AGAAGAAAGCACCAAGTAAGTCCCAAGTTGCTTCCAGACTGTTTCTTAGGGTTTCTGTAACCCATTGTGGCTCAATTTATATACAGTCATTTCTCTCGAATGAGTGTGCAATAGATACGGTGAGAAGCAGGGTGAGAAAGGGTGATTCTGTCCATCCTGTGGTTTTTCCAAGTATAAGTGGACAACCTTTCTCAGCCCCTAAACATATATCGAGTTCGTGCAAGACAGTCATCTGATAGCACCCTGGTCGCCAGACCGCCCCTCGAATGCACGTTGCCTTCTTTTTCAGCCCTCGTCTTCTCAATGAATCGGGTACGCATATGAGCCGCACGCCCTCTGAACGATGCGGCTTTCCCCACGGCGGCGCCAGCGTGAGAATGCATCCCATACGCAACAAAGGGGACATTGCAACCGGCCTCCACCCCCCAGCGGCGAGCCAGTTCAGTCTTACCCTCCTCTGCCCCCCACTTTTCCAGATGGCATAAAAGTCTTGTACGACTGTCCGGATGCTGCAGTTGATATTTGCTTTGTTCACGGTTTGACCGGTGATCGGGAAAGAACCTGGAACGCAGATGGCCAATCGATTCCCTGGCCGCAAGCACTTCTCCCACCAAAACTCGACCGAGCTCGCATACTTACCTACGGCTACGACGCATATATAGTGCGCAAATCAGTTGCATCTTCGAACCGGTTGATTGATCGCGCCACCAACCTTTGGATCGATCTTGCATCAGATCGAGATTTGTGCAATGCGACTTCTCCCTCTCATTTTTGTCGCGCATAGCTTAGGTGGTTTGGCCTGCAAACGGGCTATTCTCCTGTAGCGCAATAATCCCGAAGCTCATCTTCAGAACATATTTGATGCACTCAAAGGCGTGGTTTTTATGGGAACACCCCATAAAGGCGCGTGGATGTCGGACTGGGCCAAAATCCCTGCATCTGCACTTGGCTTCGTGAAGTCTTCGAATGTCGTCCTTCTTGATGTCTTGCAGAGAAACAATCAAAATTTTTGGCCATGGTGCGGCAACTGCGCGAAGGGGCCGCGGTCTTGAGATGACCTGCTTCTTTGAAGAGCTTCCTATACTTGGGGCTGGAATGATTGTGTCAAAGGAGTCTGCTACTTTTGAAAGTTATGCGGCTCGGAGCATCTATGCTAATTACCGGGATATGGTCAAGTTTGCGACAGTGGAGGATAATGGTTTCAAAAGATTATTGTGGGAGCTGACCCAATGGTTATCAAAAATTAGTGAGGATTATTCAGGATGATCAGAAGGCTCAGATTTGATTAGCAATAGATAACTTTCCACTTGCCTACAAAGTCACAAACCAAGCTACACTAAATAGCGAGAATCGAGAGCCTTCACAGGGTCTACATATGGTAAATTCTAGTGACGACAAAAGTCGAATCGAGAGACTGGAGGCCGGATTAGTCAAAGACTTAGATCGCTGGGTCCTTGAGAACAATGACTCTAAACGAGGGCGCCATGATAAGGGACCACACTTGCAAGCCCTATAGCGCTATAGCGAGTCCCTCGAGTCGCTTACCTGGTCCCTGGAAGGAGACCGACTAGCATCGGGATCGGTGAATAACACAGTCAGGATCTGGGACCCAGTCACTAGACAGTGTATATCAACTCGAGACAATTAGGGTACATACAATCTCGAGGGGAACGTCAACTTGGCTATATTAATTGCCTGGTCACCCAATAGAAGTCAACTGGCGTGTGGTTCACATAATAGCAATGTTAAGATCAGGGAACTATCCACTGGACAGTGTTTATGACAGTGTTTATCGACTCTTGAAGGGCATGCCAGATTTGTATTGTCTATTACTTGGTCATCAGATACAGAGAAACTCGTATCTGGGTCAGATGATAATATAATAAGGATCTGGGAACTTGCGACGGCCGCACAACGCACGTTGACTCTTATAGGGCACAGATATTGGGTTAGATCGGTTGCCTGGTCGCCAGATGGACGCCGGCTGGCCTCAGGGTCCTACTACAATACAGTTAAGATCTGGGACCCGGCTACTGGGGGGTGTATATTAACCCTTAAGGAGCGTAGCGATTAGATCGGATCGATTGTGTGGTCGCCGAATTTATACCGACTCGCATCGGGGTCAAACGATAATACCCTCAGGGTCTGGGATCTGGCATCAGGAAAGTGTATGACGATGCTCGAGGATCATAGAGATTGGGTCAGGGTAATTGCGTGGTCACCAATAGGAGGTCGACTGGCATCGGGGTCATATGATAATACTGTCGGGATCTGGGACCCAGCCTCTGGGCAATGCACAAAGATTCTCAAGTGACATAGAGATTGGATCAGGGTAATCGCCTGGTCACTAAAGGAACAGCCAATCGCATCAGGATCGTGCGATTATACTATTAGGATCTGGGATCCGGCCTCTGGCCAGTGCACAACGATACTTGAGGGGCATAAAGATTGGGTCAGGTCGTTAAAATGGTCGCCAAGGGGAAAACGACTAGCATCTGCGTCGGACGATGATATAGTCAGAACTTGGCACCCGGCCAAAGGGTGTGCACATTAATACTTGACATCTGTTCTCCCGATGCTCTTCCTATCTGGAATCCGCCGCCTCTACCCTAGAAAGAAATCGCGCACGGGACAGCCACATCCTAGACAGACGTATTTCTTATACTCGACTGGGTCAGCGGATTCTCTTCATATAGAGCGAAATTTCAGATTAAAAAGGCAGGGAAAAAATATGAGATGAAAAGATTAAACTTAAATAAACAGATGTCAGATGGAATGAATATTAAGATTACAAGTATAAACTTAAAAGCATACCGGCAAAGTTCGGATAAAAGATACTAGCCGAAAGAAACACTCGGATGAAAGCAAAATCAAAGCTTAAAAAATAAGTACGTAGCAAAAACTTACAACAACAGGGACTAGCATGTGGTCACCCACCATACTACTAACCTGCCGACGTGCAACCATCGGCTTTAACACGATTCTTCAATCCAAGACCAAAAATTTTCTCTTTGGAGATAAAGGCTTTACCTATAAGAAAAATAGAAAATACGTGGGATGAATACGCCCTGGAAGCAAAAGGGCACGACTGTGGAGGGCTGTAGCCGAATTGATTCAATTAGACTAGGCCAACGAACTGTTTACAACAATCTTGAAGAAAGGAGGCTCTTGGTCACGTTCGGTGCTGATCTGGTCAGTTCGGTCACGTGCACCATTTCGTGGGAAACCCGTGTCTAGGCCTCTCAGGCCAATATATCGGGCTTTGGCCCGTTACAACGACCTGGTATCACTCGATGGAAAGGTAGTTGGACTCGCCTCACCCGATCCTAAAAACATACTTTTCTTACGTTTCACGATGTTCGATGCATGAGGGACTCAGCTACTGCTTTCTTTTTTCAGCCCTCAAGATAAACATATGTGCATTCTTTTCTACCATCTCGACTGCCAAAAAGCAAAGGATATCATGTGATCTCCTCATTAGCCAGCTCACTTCAGCACATCACGTGACTAGGTAACTAACAGTCAACTGACTAACTAGTTAACTAGCCGCCACTAGGTTACTTCTTTCCTAGTTACTGTACGGTACACCTCCCAAGTATCCATCATACGTGGAATTACCTTCATGTCCTTCCAGTACAGAGTATTATACCGCTCCTCAAAAGGTGATGCTGTGATACCATGCCTCACTCTACATCGTATTTTCCAGCCTCATCTTTACCACGCCGACAGATCGAGGCTCGAAGCTCGGTGAGCAGGACGGTCCTTTGCCCCCATATTGAGGATACGAGTGAATTAACGCCCTCCTACCTGCGCGGCCCCACGACAATCATTTCTCCACTCGCCCTCTGGTGAAGAAAGCAAATTCATTACAGCGTATCTGACTTCAACGAAAGGACGTGTGCCGACTATCAAGGGGCCCAATCAGTCATCCAGCAAAGAAGCGGACGATGCGAACACAGATTCATTCACTCGAAAAATGAGTTGACCAAGAGTACGACGGGCTGTCCAATCATACATGATGCCTCCTCGAAAGCCTTGGCGTGAAAGCTGGCGGCTACAGAGTGCCAGTGATTGGTGCTTTAATGAACAGAGAGGCGGTGTGGACCCACCTGCACATTGGAGGACTGAGATCGGCAGAGTAGTGCGTCTCACACGACAGTCGTGGGAGTCAGCCCCAATATCGCGTCGTCACTTCATCCACCTGGCCAATATTTTCAACCCAGAGGTTACCCAAAAAGAGCTGGGGCTTCTCTAAGCAGTTCCTCAACTAGGATACCCAAGTTTAATCCCATCTCGAACAGTCTCGTGTGCAATATCCGCGCTTAACATCATGGACCCCATTTCATTCGGGAGCTCCAACTATGGCTTTCAAGCGGGCGTAAGCTATGGACAAATTTACAAAGGGGATTTCGCGTCCAGGAAGGATCCATGGGAAATCCAGGCGGGTAAGATCTGTGGAAGACTTGTCAAACTTGTATTTAAGCGCTGACTCTGCGATCGCTTTCAAGATCAAGGTGCAACAGATTCCAGTTCTTCTTTCTCGATTCCTTTCCCACGCGATGTCAACTTTCTTGTTGATGAGAAATTCCTGGAAGAAGTCGACGCAAAGACCTCTTGCCCTGAATTTCGTATAGTTTTTCTTGGATTAGGTGGAGCTGGGTAGGTTCGCTAAATGAATTTTCTTGCTCGTCTACCCAGTACTAAAGATGAGCAGAAAATCCCACTTGGCTATCGAATGTGCCTATCGAATCCACGACAGATCCCCGGATACATTGATTCTATGGGTCAATGCGAGTAACTGGGCTCGATCAGACCAGTCCTACCGTGATATAGCCGATCGGTTTGAAATACCGCAGCGCAACGACCCCCACAGGAATATCTTCCAGATCGTCCATAAATGGCTTGAGACATGTGGAGAAAGATGGGTCCTCATTCTAGACGATATGGACCTAGATGACATGGGCCTAGACGATGCATTCCAGACGGATACCCCGGGAAAAATGGAGGGAAGATCAGACGCACCAAACAGTGGCCCGCTCAACCCAATCGGCATCATTCCCCCTCATAGTCCGGGTGGATCAGTAATAGTGACTACCAGAAGCTTCAATGCGTCTTACGATCTTACAACCAAAGACCATGTCATTTTGGTTGAGTCGATGAATGAGCCCCTCGCAACTGCCCTTTTTCGGGTGAAGCTACCCCCTCATGTACGCGGGGAGGATGTCGCGCCAATTTCACAAGCACTGCACGGTCACCCACTTTCAATTGTTATGGCAGCTGCTTGTATTAATTCACCAACCCTTCCATGGGATCTTCGGGGGTTTCACGAAGAAATTAAGAGACGAGAGTCATTTCGACGTGAAAAGAAGGGCACCCTCCCCGTGATGCAACCTTTTCATAATATCTCGCAAATCGTCTTAGATACTCTGAAGCAAGTAGACAGACCGGCGCTAGACCTACTCTGTTATCTGAGCTTCTTTGATCCACAAGGGGTTCCGGAGAGTCTACTTGCTGACGGGCCTGGTGATGTCTCGAAATTCCGTGAGGGTCAACAAAGGTCTAGCCAGATCGAGGGTCTTGCACCTGAGATCTTCCTTCTCAGAAACCTACGATTGATACATGTCACACCTGGCGACAGAACGATCGTAATACATGACTTGTTACGACGCGTCGTTAAGGAATGGATGGAAACTAATCTCTATGGGGAAGATCCGACTGAACCTGTGAAAAGTCGTTTTATCAAGAACCTTTCCCACAGATTCGTCGCGGAAGAGCATGCAAATTGGAAGAAGTGCAGGTCACTGTTTCCACACGTGCAAGTTGCGATAGATGATCCACCGAGCAGATATATGAAGCAATCTCTGTTGCAGTGGGCTACCCTCCTCCATGCGGGTGCACGCTATGCCGGGAATATCGGAAAGGCCACAGTCATGGCTCGAATGGCAATGAAGGCAATGCATGCCCGTCATGATATACTAGGTCCTAATCATCTGGAGTCTATAGATGCTGAGATGACATTGAGACTGGCCTACTTGCTACAGGGCCGGTGGTCAAAAGCGGAGATGATGGCAAAACATCGGGTTGAGCATTGTGATCGGGTACTTGGTCCGGAGCACCCTGCCTCTCTGTCTGCCTCAGGTCACCTAGCCTTAGCAAAGTGGTACCAAGGCCAATGGGATGATGCGGAGCGACCGAATCTGAAGCTCCTTGAAACATCCCGGCGAGCTCTGGGTAGAGATCATCCAGACACCTTAACTATCATGAGTAACCTTGCCATGATTTACGAACAGCAAGGCCGGTTGAAAGAAGCTGAAGATATGAACTTTGTGGTCCGCGAGACACGCAGACGTGTTTTAGGCTCCGAGCATCCAAGTACTTTGGCCAGCATGAATAACCTTGCGGTAATATACATGCGCCAAGGCCGATTGGAAGAGGCAGAAAACATGAACTCTCATTTGCTCAGGATTCGCACGCGCAGCTTAGGGCAGGACCATCCAGTCACCTTAACCAGCATGACCAATCTTGCGTCCGTATACAAGGCTGAAGGGCGGTTCGACGAAGCTGAAGCGCTATATCATCTCGCAGTTTCTATTTCGAAGAAGATCAAGGGCGGTGAGCATCGTGACACGCTTGGGGTGATGGGCAATTTAGCGGCCATCTACCAGGCCAAAGGGCGATTGGTCGAAGCAGAGGAACTCGAGACACAAGTACTCTTAGGCCGTCAAAAGGTCCTTGGAAACGAGCATCCCGATACAGTCAAAAGCCTAGCAAGCTTGGCAGCAAGATATTTTAGGCGAAGTCAGTTGGAACTTGCTGAAGCCACTCAGACGCAGGTTATAGGGTTTCAAGAGGCTCAATTGGGTCCCGAACATCCAGATGTGCTTTTGAGTCTGGTTCTTTTAGCATCCATCTTTAGGGCCCGTGGAAGATTGGAAGAATCGGAGGAGATTTACTTGCGAGTAATCAGCGGGATGGAGAAACATTTTGGTCCAGAACATCCGAGCACGATAGATGGCATGGAAGGCATGGCTCTTGTTCTCATCCACCAAGGGAGGTTTGAAGAGGCCGAGGCACTACAGCTCAGGTCAATTGCCAGTAAAGAGAGGGTGCTGGGATCCGAACACCCCTCAGTCTTGACGAGTCGAGCTACCCTGGCTTTAAATTACCAGCATCAGAACAGGCTGTTCGAAGCCGGGGATATATACAGCCATGTATTGGTCAAAAGCCTGAAAGTATTTGGCGAAGAGCACCCAGATACCCTCGACATCATGGAAAATCTGGCGTTGATACGTTTCGAAATGGATGATCTGGTTGAGGCCGAAACCCTGGCAAAAAGGGCCAGACAGACACGGGATAGATTCCTTCGGGTGGATAGGCCAGGAGAAACAAAATCAGCTAAGCTGCTTCATGAAATTTGGCAGAAGAGGCAGGCCCAGGGTATGCGCATGGATGGAGATGATGATTCCAATGACTCTGATTTTGGGTCGATCCTAAGCAGCCTTGGATTTGCCGGTAGTAACTCCTCCGCAACAAGCTTCGACAACACAGTATTCACCTCTGCGGTTGAAGTCTTCACTGCATCACTTCTACGGATTGAGAGTTTTCAAAATATTTGTAAATTTGCGCTTGAGGAGAGCGATACGTCAATATCCAGATTCCAGCGCAATCTGACGAAGGCCTTGCGGCTTTTTGCATTTCATTTGGCCCAAGAGACAGAATTCGAAGGTCGTCCCAGCATTGCAAAATTTCTCCGCAGTGCGTCTTCCAGAGTTGCAAGTCAAACAATCCAAAGCTTTGGTGTGATGAAAATGTCCGGACTGGAGGAATGGAATGTTCGACGACTTGGGGAAAAGGGCTCCAGAGCTAAAATATTGGAATATCTCGAGACTCAAGATGCCACTGGCGTCACAAAGCACTCTCGAGAAGAACGCTTGGAACTAGAAACTGAGATCCAGACGCAAAGTCATGATGATGACGAGATAGAATCGGACTCGGATTCCGACGCAGATTCGATCCCAGAGGGCTTCGAAGGACAGACAATAATGGATGATCTAGAGAAGACTGAGTACCTTCTCTTCAAGTCAAACGCCTTTCTAATTATGGAAAGAGAATTTCACGATTTTGTCTTCCCATCTCTGCGATCCGAGCTCGGTAAATGGATCGCAAAGAAGCGCCGAGCCGTAGCCTTCACGGCAAAACAGCTACGAGATATTGAGACTGTGGTGAGCGAATTGCAGCATATTGCCCCAGATCAAATTTTCTTGAATAAAGAAGAAGATACTTCGATCATCAATAAAATTAAGGGAAAATGGGAGACATTCACAGCAGAAACTTGGGACTGGTGGCCCTTGAGACCGTACATGCGTCCTCTAGCAAATGGAGAGTCGCGTTTGTATTGGCGATGTGTGAGTTTTTCCACCTGAGTCATTATTTTAACGCTAACCATTGCATCCAGAGCTGTGGGAAAGCTCGCTGGGCAGAAGTCCCGCATTCTTTTGCAAAAGCAGTCACGAGCGCTTCCGTATTCCTCTCCCAGAAAAATACCTCCCAGGCAAGCGCCAGCACGCAAGGTCCAAGCAATCCTCCAGGTCAATCAAATTCTCTGGCACAGCAAAGTCTGAAAAAGGATCATCACTCGGCTCTCCGCTTCCCACAGAGAGGATCCTCCCAGGCCCCACTGGGAAATAAAATCGATCTCCATGTGTTTCTTGTTGTGCCACATTATTCGCTTTTCGGAGGGCCGCATCGTCTCGCCCAGACATCGGTGAAAGATATGAATGACGAAAACTTTTTCTCGTGGGTTCGAAAAATGTACTTTCTTCATCGAGGGTTTCTACCGAGTTGGTTTGGAGTCTACAAATACTCACATTGTGAGTTCTTTAAGGTATGCCACCGGTCTCTGCGTTTGACTCTTCTTTAACATTCATATTGGACACAGTTTGAAAGGTTTCTGCAAGATGCATATTCACCGTTAGTACCCGAATTTCCAAGCCCGCAGCAAGCCTCGTATCATTTTTCTCCAAAGCCGATTTTCCCGGACCCCCCAGTGCCACCCCATGAATTCTGGCATTGGTCTCGGTATTTGACGTGGTACCGCGTGCTCTACCGCGAGATATTGAAGAGGCGTGGGAAGGACGTTCCCAACCTCTTTCAGGATGTTGTTGTTCGCACCAAGCTTCCCAAGCGGGACAGTCATTTAGTGGAACAAGATGCTTCTCGTGAGTATTTCTGGGGCTTGTATGCTGTGGAAAAGCGCTCGACACCTATGCTGGCTGTTTACAGCATAGCATTCCTGACGCCTCCGTTCTATTTTTTCTTTGCGTGGTTGTTTCAATGGCGCCATGACGCAGATCTCCAAAATGCTTCTGTTCCATTTACGGTATCCTTTGGCTTGCTTGGGACATTTTGGGCAATCATCTCATTGCATTCACCTAGGTTTGAGGGGAAACAGACGTTTTATTGAAAAGTAGGAAGAAACTTGTTTTTCAAAGCGGTATACTCCAGGCGGACTGAATCATCCGACGTGGTCTCTAGAGGCATTCACACACTATTCTTCCTGAGTATCATCTTGTATCTTCAAAGAAAAGTTGTCTTGGACATTTCATGGTGGGGCCTCGTGCTGCCGACTTGAATGATTCGCAAGTGCGTAGTTAGATTGGCTAAGCACTCAAGATCAATATAATGGGGTCATGAATACACTGTGCACATGATTTTCCTAGCTCCTTAGGTACTACTCGCCAGTATTCATTGGCATCGTCATATTATTTACTCAATTTCCGAATAATTAGTGCTTGGACATGGTTGAAAAGATCCGTTGAAAAGAATCGTTGAAAAGAGTCCTTGAGGAGAGTCGTTGAAGTGAACTGTCAAGAGAATTTTTAGCAAAAATCGATTTTCACGAGTCGGTGAATGATTGGTGTAAAGAGTCGGTGACAAATTGATACAGTAAATCAGTGAGGGGTACAGCCGAAGGGACTAGTTGAAGGAGATGAAGATACCGTCGAAAGTATTAGGAGGGCCGGAGAATTGGTCAAAGTCATCAATTCTCGGGATATCGCTGAAGCACTATGATACATTTTTGAGACTAGATCAGCTGTACGCAAGGATGTGTCTGAGCAAACTTGAATGATTTGAGACAAAGTGAGACGGAAGTTTCACTGGCGTAAGTTGAGTACTTTTCCACGTCAGTTCCGAAGACAGCCGCAATGTGACGGAGTTGCCGCTCTGGGGAAAATAAATGCAGAGGACCTCAATTAGAAGTTGTTAACTCGCGTTATGAGATTAGAAAATCATTCAATGGCATTTGGAACCAATTCATTTACTCCGTACAATCCCACTTTCATTATTTTTATCTGCCATTTGAACGTTATTTCTCCATGTGAGCCTAGCCAAGACATGTAAGCCAGCAAGGTATCAGGAAATCATTCATAAGCCGAATTATGGCATCACTTCCAGCCCATTCAAGGGGGCATTAACCAACTGAAGTTGATGTCCGGGCCATATTTATGGTCTTATGCTTCTGTCATACAGCCTTGAATCCCTTGACCCATGGTGGTCTTTACGGAAAGCCCTGGATTGCGGAAATCTATATAAAAGAGAATTCAAGATTAAATAGAATAGAAAAGATTAATAGGTGCCGAGGTAAAAGCCGGCGGCTAACTTCTTATATTGACCAACTTCGAATAGATGTAAAACGATTCATTTATCCAGGTACTCCGCCGAATATTTCATTTTACACCTAAAGATAACTTTAAATACAGACTCAACCTAATGAGGTGAGGTAATAATCGATTTTGATGAAGGGTTAGTAATAATGAAATCAATCACTCTGACTGCTGCTATGTAAGTGCTTATTAGGAATCTCAATACCTAGGATATAATCACGTACCCTCATCGGCATGATGAGACGCTTTCGTTCCTGAAAGGATCTGGGTTAAAAGATTGAAGTGAGAGGATAGTCAAAGTCGAATTCGATGGTAAGATACAGATGTATTGATTAGAAACGCTCTTGTTATGATGTTACCATACGAAAATCCATCAGAACAAATACGAGTGGCTTTGCACGCTATGTTGCTGTGCTGTAAAGAAAATTCGTATAACAAACAATAATGTAACGGGTTTCAAAACCGGTAGTTTACAAAAAACCCCATCATCACCGACTCCAGTTTCTCTTTTGCCGTGGAGTGCACGTAGACAAATGGCAAATTGTTCAACAGCCCCCTTCAATTGGTAGCTTGAGTATACCAAGTATGCACTTCCATCGCTTACATTTTATCTACTCTCTCTATAGACGTTGAATCGCCGAATCACGACATAGAGCATCAACCCAGAGCAGATGGCTCGGTAAGCAAATTATCGCACAAAAGAACCGGGCTGATCTATAAACGTTGAAAGCTACACATGTACTTCGCTCAAGATTTTTTCTCAGAAATATCAGATCATACCGCGGCCTGACCGGAAAAGGATATCCGTTGCTCTTCTTCTCCTCGGTGGTCTCACCCTTGGCCTGGCGACGGCGGCCAATGACCTAGCCGTAGTGGGCCTTGTACCAGTGACGGAAGGGGGGCGGCGTCAGTCTGGACGAATGTGGACTTGGTCAAGTTGTTTGTAGAACCTTGAGTAGGTCTTCAATTCCCTCAAAAATTGTCTCTCACAAGGTACGTACAACTGTTGCACATAAGATTCAAAGAAATTCCAGAAGCGAGAATCGGAACAATCGGTCCAACGGCGCCAAATGAGGACGCAGAACCTCCAAAATCATGATCTTGACGAGAGCAGCCAGAAATATTGGAGCTCAAATTCGGTTCCGACGTAACCAACCTCGTATTATGTCTGCATTCTATGTAGCCAGAACGGGCATTTCATCAAGTCATGTGAGCTCACCTACGAAACTTCTCTATAGTAGAATTTAAAAAGCTTGCCAACCGTGCTTGAGAGTTGGCATATAATTTGCAAGTAAAGTTAGCATCCCAGGAAGCATATTGCCCCTGGGATTTACGTCTCAGTGATCTGGGAGCAACTTCCTCGGCCCCAGGAGCGACACTGGCCCTCCTAGGATCTATATTGCCCTTAAAAACTAGGATTATACTCCAGGAATTGGGTAGCAGCCAATGTTTCCAATATCTCATGCAAGTCTCTTCCAGGAGTCCATGGCCCAGTGTTGAGCTAATTCTCCATCGCACGATTCGAGGTTTCGCAGTTTTTCCGCTTCAGACCTGCGCGTGCTTTCTTTTTTACCTTGATATATCTGAGAAACAATATACGAACTGCAGATCTGTCAAAAATTAACTCAATACGCTTGTGAAAAGTAATTTATAATGGGTTATCAAGCCAACGTTTTATATTTTTGCGTAAAGGGCTTGTCGGTCGGATTCGGAATCAGGCATGGTTCTGTATGTGGTCTCCACTGCTTTGCTAAGGGATCATGCAAAAAACCCTCTTAGCCGAAAACGCCTCTTGTGGCCGCTGTGTGCTCGCATTAAAGCTTGAGTTCTAGGCTTTGCCAAGGTCGCGCAGCCGTGGATCAGTGGAAGCTGGGTTTGGCATTTTGGTATTTGGAGAACCTCTCCTTGAGCGTGTGAGGTATCTTGGCTGGTATGCAACTTTGCTTCCCTTCTCCCTAAGTTGAGAGCGTCTACTCAACATGTGACTTCTTCGAGTGTTTGATGAGGATTGGACAAATTGGCGAGAATTTTCCAGCTCGTTCTCCCTAATTGTGGAGCTATCACTCTTTTTCGAACGAATGATGAAATGACGCTGTTGGACTGCCCTCGAGCTTCGTCCAGGAAAGTAGGGAAAAATAGGCCTCCATTCCAGCTTTTGGGCACCCCTTAGTTCTGACAACAAAAGCTCTTCCTCGGGCTCCCAACTTTTGCCTACTGCGGATGACTGTCTTTTTGTCGTGGAAAATCCTTTATCGGTCTCATCAGTTGCCATATTGCTCGTTGCAATAATGCCATATGTGTGTTGGAGAGATTTGATTGTGTTCTGTATCACCACGAGATTTTCCTTGCAAGTACCTCCATCCACCAAATCATCTGAGAGTTGACCATCAGCGCTGGCCAAACTGTAGAAGTGTTTCAGGAATCGTATTGAGTCCCTGATTTTGGTGTTTTTATTTGAATGTCCTTCCTCGTATTGAGATGGACGTTCAGCTTTTGAATTGCTTTTTCTTCTCGTCGACGACATTTTCGTATCAGAATAGCGGGTCCGCAGTCGTTTCTGATGAGAATGAGGTTCCTCCAGGGTTCGCTTCGTTCCTCGTACGCTAGATTGCGTGTGCACGGGCGCATTTCCTTTCCCAGTTGGATTATCGTGAAATATGTCAAAGATCCTTGATGTCCCAGGTCTATCTAAACCGGTCACGATAGACTGCTGCTAACTCGAGAGGAAGGGTAGAGTGCGATATTCTCGGGGTAATCGGGGTAATTTTCAGCGGTCGATCTATCGCTAGCAGAGGCTTCTGGTAGAATATCTTGAGCCGATTGGTCATTTTGCGACACTGACGTGATTACTTAGAATTCGGAAATGGGGATTGTATGTCTGAAGATTGATACGTACGGACGTCCTCCGTTTCATACCCATAATGTGATCTGTATTTCCACAGCACGTGGCCATTTGCATAGCCTCGTTCGCCGACATTGAAGGATTGCTCCGGTACCCTAGAAGCTACAATTTCTGGAGCATTTTCTGAGCAATTTCTGGGCGTTTCCGTGGCTGGTTGCCAAAAGCTTTGATGGTTTAGAGTCACCATGAAGAAAATATGGTGGCGTAATTTGGTCAGGGATATTCCAAACGAGGTAGTCGAGGATGAAATTGCGAAGGAAAGATGTATTCCAGAGATTCGTAAGATGGGGAACAACCGTGGCTATTTATAATCTGTCTTGACCATCGTGTCTGTTGAGGTCCCAATATCGGGGAAGCGATACGATTGAAGAATCAGCTTCTGCCCAGGCTGCTCAGGTTGCAGCTGAACGAGAACATACCGGCTGACACCCGACATAACTCCACTGCAAGTTGCCGTAGCCAATTGAAGGGCCGCTCTCGCCAATGATGTACCAGCAAAAGGAGATTCTCCTAGGAACCCACGACTAAAATGGACGAGTGAGCATTAATCAGACAGTGACTAAATGTTGCTGGGTTACTGACGTCTTTCCAGCCTCCTCATAGTGGAGTAAATACGGCCTATATGTCATGGAGTTTTTGCTTGACTGACAGCCCTGGGATGAATTAATCCAGAGCATAGAGGAAGAGATAAACGACGAAAATTCATCTTCAGAATTCAATCGAGTGAAGGATGCAGTAAAAGAAAGAAGAAACAACGAAAACCGAGTTTAGGGGAAATCAAATTCCCTCAGAATGACGGACCATAGCTGTCAGGCGATGAGCTCAAGTGAGCAAGCGCTGGAGAAAATACAGCGGGAGATCAGGCCATGTCTTCCTTCGAGCTCCTAGGAGCGACCGAGGCAGCATTGCGCTTATCATCGGAGGATGTGAAACAAAGAAAGAAGAGTGACGTCGGCCAGTCGTAGCATCAGGGGTGAGCCATTAGGGTGCTCCGGGAGCAGATCCGGGAGCAGTTCGGGAGCGGTCAGGGTCGCTCAGGGTCGCTCAAGGAGCAGCTCAGGGCGGCGGGGGGACTAACTCAGGCTGGGCTCTGGGAGCCGATCGCTTCCCGAGGCGGCAGTGTTACCGTCACCTTTACTACACAGTAAACGAGCATTGGCTCCTATACAGACGCTAATAATAAGAATAAAATATTCCAGATAAATCTAGCCCATATTGTCCAGCCCCAACGGCGTTAAATATTTAAGAACAAAAAATTCACAGAAACGCCCCGAGAAAGAACCATAAATGAACTCCGAGTGATGCTTTTGTGAGGTATCATAGAAGGTTTTGTACAGAAACGAGAGTCGTGATGAGTAGATATTGGAGTGCGCTCATGCAACTCCAGCCGAAATGTGGGTAAGGTCGTCCTTCTCATACTTTCTCTCTTGGGCATTTGCTTCGAGCTCGGTGAAGCAGAGGGACTCCTCCAGTTTCTCGGCAAGTGCCGAGCCTTCCTGGGGCTCGGCTGGGGCCTCGGACTTGATTTCCGAGGTGGCGGATGGAATATCATCCTTGCACCCATTTTCAGTCTGGCTGTTCGGAATGGCAGATACCGACAAAAAGTCGGTATCTGGCTGGGTAGCAGTTAGGTCCTCTGCCGGAGTCATGGTCTCCTCATCAGGCCCCTCGCCGCCGCTGGCAGATAGAAATTCGTCCTTGTCGGCGGGGAGCTCGGAATCCGAGTCGTCGAAAAGATCATCATCATCCTCGTACACGACAGCCGGTACAACCTTGGGAGTCTGCAGCATCTTCACATTGGGCGGCAGAGCATTCTGCATCTGAATGGGCTCCACAGGTTCCGCGGGCTCAACAGCAGCCTCGGTCGGCTCGGTACTGCGGCTTGAGTGGGAGAGGGCTGTCGGAGATGTTGATTCACGGCTGGAACCAGAGCCCCAGGTGTGTCGGGGGTGACGGGGAGGAAGGGCAGGTGGCGTAGGACGCTTAGCGATAGTGACTAGACGAGCCCGAGTGAATGTTGGGGACGTGCGCTTAGATTCTGGCTCTTCCACCGGAGTGGAATCCTTGCTCTCTCGCTTGTTGACGGTCACGTTGCTGACCTCCTGGACCTCGATGTCGGTGTCGGATTCATCGTGGTTCTTCTCGTGGACGTTGCCGTCGTGCTTCCTTTCCTCCTTGTCCTCCTCTTCGCCGCCATGAATTGGGACCGTGTCCCAGTGAGAGGCCTCATCGTCTGATGGGCTCGGGGCAGGAATATCCGTGGATTCCTTCGCACTGCGAGACGATGCTTGGCTTACTGGCGTGGTGGCAGTTAGCGGAAGGTCATCGGTCTGTGTGCCGCGATTCACGCTGGTATAGCTTTGGACGCTGGTGCGCCAGCTATTACGCGGGGAGCTATCGAGACTGCGCCGCGAGAAGGTTGCGTAGATGGGACTGCCGGGGCTGGGGCGAAATTCAAAGGTTTCGGGTGATGGCCTCACCTTCGTGCCGGCCTCCCGGATGAACAGTCCTTCAGCCTCCAACGCCTTTACACCGTATGGATCTGGGTCGTCTGCGGCCGGCACACCGAAGTTTTGGCTATCTTGAAGTTCGACGTCGCCGGGGGTTTCGCCAGGGGGTGGGACTAAGGTTTCGTCGACGTCGGAGTCGCCTTGGGCAGCCTTGATCGTCTGGTGCAGCGTCTTGATCGAGTCCGGTGGGTGTCGGATTTTTCCTGCGAGGATCTCGGAGACCGAAATGCGTTCACCATAGAATTTCTCGTTTTCGTCGGTTCGTTCAATGACGATGGTCCCGTCGATGGCGACGCCGGCATAGAGGCCTTTGCTCTTCATGTAGGTCCAGATCGGGGCCTGGCGCTTGTGGACTTCGGATTCTAGTACGCCGCCCATTCCCACTGGGCCTGCTGTGGCACTGACTTCTCCGCCGAGAGTGCAACGCACTTTCTTGAACGCATCCAACGCTTCATACGTGTTGATAATGACGACACAGTCATAGATATCGACGCCGGCGAGGAATCCGATGCCGGCTGTGTGAAGCATGATGCCAGATGGCGGGCTCCATTCGCCAGTCTCGGGGATGCGGGCCAGTAGAACTCCACTGCCTCCAGAGCCGCTGACCCAGAGTCCGGTGCGCATTGTCGTGAAAATAGCGAGGCCCTTGGCATTCTGAATAACCTGAGAAGGGATCTTCTTCATCACCTTCTGCTTGCCCTTGGGCCGATTGATCTTGCCGTGCTCGTCGGTATTGACTTCGGATTCGGAAGCATAGAAGCCATCTTTACAGAAGCTGCGGATAATGCGCGCGGCCTTGTCGCTTTCTTTGTCGATAGCCATGGGCCAGAAGGCCTCGGCGCCGAGTCGATTCGAGAGGCGGTTGACAGGCGCACCGAGTTTGTCGACAGTGTCCCAGGCCTTGTCAAAGCCCTTCTTCGAATAGCGTTTAGTTTTCTCCCAAGCCGATTGCGACATGGTTGCGGGTGAACAAGACCAATATCACAGTGAGAGAGAAGTACAATGCGAGAGCGCGAATCGACGAAAGAGCAGGATACAATAAGCGCGAATAAAGGCTGGTCGGATCGATAAGCCTATCTGGACAGTAAGCGCCGCGAACAGCATCAGACCCAAGAATGCTTCTTAAAACGATCAAGAATGCCGGGCGATCGAGGATTGGAATTCGGCGAAGATCGGCAGTGCGCCACTGGGGAATGCTTGTGGGGAAAATGCGAATGCAAAATGGATGTCGCAGGCGCGAGACCACCTCCGTGCGGATGAAGTCGTCTACGGATCAGTTAGTATTACTGTCACGACTGCGAGGATGCCCGCGATATTATCCAGCGGTAATGCCGCAGCACCGCACCGCAGGCGCAGCTGTGGCGTGCGCCGTTGGGTTTGGCTCTGGAATGCCAACATCAAAACATTGGGAAGAAATAAAGCTTACCACGACGGGGGTACAGCGGATCTGGGGATGGAGGAATATGCAGGGAGCGATGAGGAGGGGAGACAGTGATGGGATGCTTTAAGAAAGAAAAGCGCCGGGTCTGACGGAAAGGCGTGGTAGGCCGAGTGGCGCGCGTGGCCGCCAGGGCCGCAAGACAAGAGTCAGCAACTGCTGGCGACTGCAAAGTCCAGAATCTGCAGAACCAGGGTCTGCTGGTGGAACGCGCGGAGGGACGTCATCACCGACTGGTTGATCGGCCCTCCATTTGTATCCATGCAGGCACTACTAACCACTAGGTACATCCTTAGGCCTCTTTTCCCCCGGCTCTATCACTGCGGAGGGTGCCTGAGGGTCGAACATACTCGCGCCTCCAAATGCACCCCCAAAACTGAGATCGGATCTTTACCATCTCGTCTCGCTAGCGGCGTCAGCTGAAAGTCTCCCCGGCCCGTTTGCGATAGATCAATTGCCCCACTGCGCAGCCCCGGCAATCAAAGCTTTTTTACCCATCGAGCTGGTCGATGCCACGCTGCCTCGGCGAGAACGCTACGGATCTATCTTCCGTTGGGACGATTTGAAATTTTCGTGGGTCGATCGCCCATGCGTATTGCTTTTAGGAGTGTTCATCAAAACGAAACATCGGCAGACAGACTAGTGCAGGGTATCCCCAGGCTCGGCAATCATGTACTCCACTCGCACACATTGATCAATAAAACGCCTCTAAATACAACTCTGGTCTACAAATTTGCACTGACTTTGATCTCACTTTTTGCTCGAGAGTGTCTCGCAATATTGTACAATTGTAGTACTGTGGATCCTGGAAACCGACTTCAGCCTTACCCACGCCGCATGAGGTCAGCGGCCTCGACTAGTGCTGCTACCCTTGTACATATACCTTGTTTACCTACAACGACATGGGTAGAAACTACTACTCTCGATGCTGGTACTAGCGGTAGTTGTACAGCTCATTTGTTAACCTCTGCGCAATTTCGACGCAGACTGATTGGCTGGTCAAGTCACCAAAAAAAGCAATCTTGCACAGTACGACTAGAGGCTAGGTCGACTAATCGACTAAGCAGCATCGAGTCCATCGCAATTTCGGGCGATGCGGGGGCCAATCGCGGACAATAAATTGTTAGAGTACCAAAAGTACCATCGAATACCACCGCGCCTAATATACACTAGTAGAGTTCTATGCAGGTGTACCTCTGACCAACATGAAAGTATTTGCCTCTTTGACATCGTAAGTAGTACCATCAACCGGCACATAATTATTGTTTTGCTCATTAAAAAGACAAGCAATGCCACTCTCTGGCCGATCGTCGAGGGTCGCACACGATTCAATAATTCCCCGATCGCCAAGTGTATCCGCGACAGCCCACACTATTGATTCGACGCACCAATGGCCGCGAACATACTTTGCAGGGATCAACGCAGTTACCAACTGGAAGGATATGACACCATCATGAGATGAGTACTAGAAGGTACCCTAGGGTAGCTTTGCGGGAAGGATCGAGAGGTTATTGCGAAGGGGGAAGAAAAGAAGAAAAAGAAAAAGAAATGAAAAAGAAAAGAAAAAACAATCGTTCTTGGCCTAATAGGATACCCTACTAGTATACGCAGTATAACCCTAAACGGTATGCCCGAGATCCAATCTCAGATTTGCCGGACAAACAGGGGCAGTCCGCAACGAGCTACCGAAGAATTTGGGGCGAGCAAACCCCGAGCGAAGCAGATACAGATGTTTTGAATCACTCTTTTCATTTATGCAGAGAGGCTGCCCGGCGCAAAGACCATTCTGTCGGGTCGGCAAGTCGCGGCAGCGGGTTCAGCCTAGACAAAATACAGTCTAGCAACAACAGATGGTATAGAAACACAAATACGACTCGCAATCTCTAAATCACAATCTAGAGAGCGCCAAGCTCCTTCAGCTTGGAGACAAGGCCATCGACATCCTCGACCTTGCCACCACCCTTGCGAGGCGGGGGCTCTGCAATGTCACAATTAGCCAATCTGCTGCACCACGACACCACGAGTGCAAATTCAACTTACCGGTGACCTTGACGGTCTTCAACCGCCGGGTATCCTCAACGCCAAAGTCGGCCAGGGTCTTCTTCTCCAGCGGCTTCTTCTTGGCCTTCATGATGTTCGGCAGACTCGCGTAACGAGGCTCGTTCAGACGCAGATCAGTGGTGATGACCATGGGCAGTTTCGCCCGGAGAGTCTCAACACCACCATCCACCTCGTGGGTCACCTCGACGGTACCCGCCTCATCCTTGATCTCGACCTTGCTGGCCTGGGTAGCCTGCGGCCAGCCCAGGAGACCAGCCAGCATCTGACCGGTCTGACCCTGGTCGCCATCAATGGCCTGCTTACCCAGCAGCACGAGGTTGATGTTCTCCTTTTCGACGACGCCACGGAGCATCTTGGCGACTGTCAGCGGCTCGGGGCTACCGTCCGCCTCGGGGACGTCGATGTGGAAGGCCCGGTCGGCACCCATGGCCATGGCGGTGCGCAGGACATCGGGGGTCTTGGGGCCGCCGGCGGAGAGGGCGAGGATGTTCTCGACCTTCATCGGGCTCTTGCTCTCCTCTCCGCGCTGGCGCAGGCGGACGGCTTCCTCGACGGAGAGCTCATCGAATGGGTTCATGGAGTGCTTCACGCCGGTGGTTTCGACGCCCGTGGAGGCCTTGTTGATGCGGGGTTTGATCTGTACGTGCGAAAGCATATGCCATTAGCTCTTCTGTTCCTTTCTATGTAATGATTCTCGAGGACGATGGTGCTGTCGGCCGTTCAATCGGATTCGAGCACCGCGAGCAATGGGCCATTACTCCCTCGTGCTTGGCTCCGATCGCCGGTCGCTCATTGCTAGTGCTGGTCGTCTCGTTTCGGGGAAGAAGGGATGCTAACCGCATAGTCAATCACCCGCTTGACGGGAACTAGAATGCGCAGTGCCTTGCTCATGGTGACGGTGGACAAGGAGAGTTGACAGGGTCCGATCTGCGGGATGCGAGAAAGAGTCCCGAGTCGACTGCGGTGACGGAGTGCCAAGCCCTCGAAAACGCCGACGCGGCCCGAATGTAGCCCTCTTCACACCACCGCCCCCAGCCGAGGTTATGCCATGTAGCCTATAACCGGGAGGGGCACCAAGATGGATGGACTATATTCGAAGTCATTTGCCATGTTTACTTATGTCCGTCTATTTTCTTTTAATGGCAGACTGCATGCCCTCAGAGACTGTTGGTGGCTGGTGGCTATCTCGCCGAGCACATGCTTCCATGTGTTAGCCGTAGATGTAGATCCTCCATCAAGCTTAAGTGGTCTAGTGCCATCATATTGATATGCTGTGTTCTCTATTTTATGGAGTTGAACACAATCACCAAGTCTCTTGCTTGTATCGCCCGACTTTCTCCATCCCAATAAGATACTCCTCCGCCTGCGACCGGCTGTATGGCTGCCCGGGTACCGGTGCCCCTCCACTCACAAATGCCTCGATGAGCGCCTCGCGAACCGCCTGGGGCATCCGACCCGATGAACCACAGATATAGACCGACCCTTCCATGTCGTGGAGGAGACGGAAGAAGAGCACGAAATTCTGACGGATTGTATCTTGGACGTAGACCTTCTGGGGTTGGTCTCGTGAGAAGGCTGTCAGCACCTGCAGCGGGATCAATGTGCTCAGGTGTCTCCATTCTTCCTCGAAGAAGAAGTCAGAGGTACGGTTCCTACCTCCGTAGAGGAGAATTGTCGGCCCGATGGGAGGCGTGACACCAGGGTTTTGCTCGCGGAACGCTTGAACCAGCGCCGCCTTCTCCCAGAGCATCGACCGGAGCGGAGCGATGCCCGTGCCGGGGCCGATCAAGACAGTAGACGCCGTCAGCTGCTGTTGAGAGGAGTTGAGGCCTCCTGGCTGGAGCTGAACGCGGAGTGTACTGCCTGGTCGGAGGGTGGATAGGTACTTGGTGCAAACGCCTTCACGAATTCGCTTGATCACAGTTTGGTATTTGACGATGGCGATGAGAAGCTCAAACTGTGTTTTTCCATCGGCAGTCCTCTTCTTTTCACCGCCGCTAGAAACACTGAACTGTCGAGCACGGATCACTGGGAGAACGGAGACGGCGTGTTCCCAGGGAATTTTCACCGAGTCAAACTCGTGCAGAACTTCAATGATGCTGCGTCGAGGCCGTGTAGTATAATCCCATAGTTCATCTAAATACTCTGGGTTGGTAAATTCCAAGAGTCGTTCCTTATGTAGCTCATTGCTTGTGTAGTGAGCAATGGCGGAAAAGAAAGCTCTGCGAGGTATGCCGCGGACGTCGAGGTAGTCCGTGAGGAGGGTGCGTAAGGTAAGGTTAGGGTAAGAGTCGAGCCCAGCGATAGGAGGTGGGGCAGGAATGTCTCCCGTAGGAACAAGGGTAATAAGTTTGTCAGCTTGCTCATGCCAGGCCATAAGGTCAATGAAAATCTGCACATCCTTCGGCGAGGATTTTGGGGTGATGGCGATCATATCTCCCGGGACGTAGTTGACAGATTCCGGAATAGTCAAGGATATTCTTCGAACATCTTGCCAGTGCTTCTGTGGAGTAACTCGTCGGTTTTCAGTCAGAGTGGAAGTATATGTGTCTGGTAGTGGCCGACTATCGGTGTCAAGATTGGTCAGACTGGGGTTTTCATCGGTCTCGGCTTGCTGTGTCGCCGGGATAGGAGCTTCATCCTTTGGTGCTGTGGCCGAGATATTCTCGCCTTTCAGTCGTAATATCCATTTGGGAGGCAGCTGCACATCATCTGGAATTGGGTGTTCTCCCGCTGGGAGAGGGTGCGTGCCCATCAAATGCTTTCGGAAGTCCGTGGCCCATGGTATAAATGTGCCTTCGAGGCTGTTCGGAGGCAATTGTTAGAAGAATCAAAACATGTTCCATCCCATATTGCATCTGCTTACCCTTCAGGATGTTGCTGGTCTGCCTCGCCGGTTGGATAGATGTCATTCCCGCCCAGCTGGATCAGCCGCTTGTAAAGCTTTCGTACTGCCCAGTTGAACCTGCCGAGTGGTGAGCATTAGACCTTCGGAATTTTCGGTTTGGCCCTCACATACTTTGGATAAGAGCTATCACCCAGGCCGAAAGTTGTAAAATTGACCCCGTTCAGGTACGTCGGTGAGAGCTTCTTAAGCAGCAGCGACTTCCAGAACTTGCGTGCATTCGCCGGTAGATCACCCTGTCCAGTCGTCGATATCACAAATATCGTAACAGTGTATGAAGAAAGGGTATCCTATGGACAAACATTGAAAATTAATATCAACCCAAGTACTTTTGGTTATCTCGGCTTGAACTTACCGCTGATGCATGGTTCAATTCGGAGACATGCGTCACGAAACGCAGTCGCTCAGCCAAAGATCCCAATTCTTCTGCCACTTCCTGCGCATTGCCTGTCTCAGACCCATAGAGAATGAGTGCCGACCGCGTGTGGTCGGGGCCCGGAGAGGCCATTCTGTTCGGGTGTTTGTTCGTGGACTGCAAGCCCCTCCGCATCTCAAAATTCCCAATTTGGCCGCGGGGGCCGATCTCGCCGGCTGACGTCATCCAGGCCGACATCGCCGATGATCCTCTCTATAGATCAAAAATATTGAACTCATTATTTGTTTGCATTTAGTATTCTTTGGTTCTGATAAATTGATTTTAATGCGGAGTGACCTCACGGGATTATGGTAGTTATCTGTCTGCTCTTACTGTGAGGCTTTTGGGGAAGCACCTCAGCCAGGAATCATAAAATATGTAGCCTCGAAATAGTTTCGTGAAAACTACCAAGCGCACGTTCGAAAGCGTGGATTATTTAAAATCCATGGCCACCAGTGATCAAAAATGATTCTCCAAGTTTCCTGAATGATAGCATTCAATACTGAACGTGCACGATGGCGATGGCAAGCAGTAAATGTAATTTGACAGACAATATGTAATGTAACAGAGAACACCACCTGGTGACCAGAAGGTCACCTAATGCAGATCAGAATGGACCATGTCCACATGACCACCGCTTAAAAACAGAAATGTAAAGTAACGAGCGCACAAAACTCGAGGTAGCACATAAGCACGTAGCGAAGCGAAAAGGGTATCTCAAATCCGTGCTTCTAGATCTCATCCTCACCACCACCGTCTCCGCCATCGTCACCCATATCATCGCCGCCGTCATCGAAGTATTGCTCGGCGTTGTAGTCTCCACCCATGTCGTCCTCGTCATCCTCGTAATCATTGTCGGAGATTTCTTCCTCGACTTCATCACCTTCGAGTAATCCGCCCTCATCACCTTCAGCTTCATTCTCCTCGTAGTCTTCTTCGTCATTTTCTCCCTTCGGTGCTTGGGCGGCGTCATCCTCGTCGTCTTCGAAACCGCGCTTCATGCCGAATGAGGCCATCTTGGGTTTGTACCCATCGACTGGGGCGTCAGGTCGGAAATCGGGCTTGATGGTCTGCCAGAGCTCGCGGGGGAAGAACTGGGTTTCTGCGGGGTCGAGAGCAGGTGATTAGTATTTGAACCCAACCGGGCAACCTGGGAGCGTTCTGAACTCACCGTAATCACGGACATCTGCGATTTTGGGGATCGTCCGGCGTTTCTTCTGGTATCGGCGAGAATACGAGGGCATGCCATGGAAAGGGTCAAAGTTCACTCGGGCGGCACTGCCTTTCTTCGCCGAGGTGGAGGAGGAGTCGAGAACAGCGTAGTAGGGTCCATCCTGGTAGCGCTCGCGCAGACTGCGATACCAATCGGTGTGGTTCTGCTCCGTCTGGGTGAGTTTGCGACGGAGGGGCACGACGTAGGCCTGGCGGAGTTTCTTGCGTTTAGAAAGCATTCATGCGTGCGACGATGTCGAGGTCGTAGATTTTGAGCAGCACGTGGGAGGGAATAGCTCGCGGAGGGGGACAAAGAGCTCACCGGATACAAGGGCGTTGGCGCAGTGTCGGGTTTACCACCGGCCTCGGCATCCCACGCAAATTCTGCCCCGGGGAGCCGCTTACCCTTCGAAAAACGCGACATTTACGAAGCGCAACAAGTGAATGGGATTGGGGAGGAAGGTATACAGCTTTACAGCTCCATGTTGGAGAACGGAGATCTCTGAGTCGCAAAAAATAGCGGCGCATTCACCGCCCGCCGCCCCGCACGGAAGTTTAGGGCAACGCTTGCGTTCTCCACTATTTACTACATACTACAAGCAGTCTACAAGTGTATTCCACATACCCTAAGGTATCGACTGCGCTATATTGGTTGTCTACTAGTGCAGAGATGGGGAATTTGGAGGGAGGAATTTGTGGTTGGACAATCCACAAAAGATTTATATTACCTATCGTAAATCGTTACATCGTAAAATCAGTCTGTGCTAGTATATGACACTGACTTGCACCGGCCCCATGGGTCCTTCGTTCACCCGTTGCGTAGTATGCGCAAGGTTTTCTAGAATCTTTGAATCTTGGGTTGTAGCCAGAGACCGAAAATTGTCAGGTTGTCACTGTCCCCTGGTCGCTACGTCACTTTGTCCAGATGGTGCCTCGGGCCTTTCAAGCAAACGATGTTGCATTGTCCGTAAGATATCCTCGAGTCCTGGAACTGTCTGGTCATCGCTCTCTTTGAGTCGCTGGTAAAGGGCAGCCAGCACGTCGTGCTTGGCTGTAGCCACCTGCCAAATCGTATTTTGAGAGTCGCCAGCACCACCTCCTACGAATTCTGCGTACGACCGAGGGGGCTTGAAGATGTATGGCAGAAGCGTCGTCAAAGCAGGGGGTGTGAGAATCGCCCAGCAACCGGAAAGAGGGAGCAGACCACTTGAAGCAGGGGAGAGCTGTGCAAGGGCCTCCTCCGAAGGGAGCGTGAAGCGCGACGAGTTGCCAGACACGTGGGACGCCGGAGGCAGTGGCTGCCAGTTCGCCTGAGCGACGCGATCCATGAGGCCGATAGCTGAAAGAGCAGTCTCTTTCATGACGATGGTATCGGCGGCAGCAACAGCATTGGTCCACAGGTCAGGATTGCTGTTGAGAAACTCAAAGTAAAGAACCCGGGCAGCGGCAGCTTCGTGGTGCCAATCGGTTGGGGTTCGGCCCGAGGTGATCAAATCCATTGAATCCGCCGCGTAAGATCGGAATGGCCCGTGGAAAACCTTGCCCAGGGTATCAAAAACGACCCCACTGGGAGGGTTGGTGGGAAGGGTCAGCAGGGGATTTGTACCACGCTTACCAGCTTCGATGAGCAAAACTCGAGGAAGGGAGGCAAGTATCCGTAAATGTCCGACTGGGATTTCACCATGCGCCCATTGACTCAGGGGAATATCCAGGGCCCGTGAAATACGCCCAATGATACCGTCGAGAAGTGTGCTCGGGTTTTGCAGGAAATGGTTGGGGTACAGCTCAGCGTATGTCGCCACATAATCCATGATCTGAGATGACAGATAAATCTGCGCCATAGGATCAAGCTGAGATTCATCCAGGTATTTTTCTAACACCCGGGAATGCAGCTTTTCAGAAATAAGGAAGTCGAGCGCTGGAGAAGAGAAGGTCGAGGCTGAGTGCACATAGCTCCTAGCCGCTAGACCTGGTGCTTCCAGCTCCAATAGCTCATGGAAGAATACCAAACAGTTCAAATGCATGAGCACATCACCTTCAGTGTCGACCATGTGGCACGCAGCGAATTGGGCAAGACTGTTGCTGTGATATTTCATTTCGACTTCTGGAATGTGAGACTTGGAAATGGTATCCCATCGTACACGACCAACCTTGACCAGGAAGCTCATCAATCTTCCTTGAGCCAACGATCGCTGACGTTTGGATAGCTCTCCTGGCGCGTCCTCTTGCAGGCTACAGAGGCCAAAAAGAAGCCCGTAGACATCCTTGTCTGTGAAAACTCTTCGCCACACGAGTCCGTGTCCCCCATGAGCGCCGGAGGATGGAACATGTTCGTCTTTTTCCCAAGGGCTGGCTAGATCGACCTCAAGCAGGGCCCACAATGATCTGAGCGCCGCGTGCGCGACTTCAGCGGAAGGGGTCGAAAGCCACAGCTCCACCAATGATGACATAAGTATAGAATCTCCAGCGACTATGGCCGCATCGCTGGCCGAGTTTCCTGCATTTTGAAGCAAGGACAAGACAAGAAGGTTGATGGGTTCGGAGGGGGCTTTGAGACCAGCGACGAGATTGACTGGGGGTTGGATGGAGCGAATCTTTGCGAAGCTGAAACTCGTCGTGGCCTTGATGACAAGAGAGGTAAGGGGCGTCGGATCTTCTTGCAAAACAGGCAGTAGAGCTGACACTTGCGACAGGAGTGCCGCAGGGATGACGGGATCAGTGGATTCGTCAAGTTGGTACTGTAATCTGGCGATTAGGGGGAGATTCAGGGCTGTAGACGGGTCCTCGAGGATCGCCGCAAGATGCGACATCAGCGCATCAAAGTCGGAGGGAATCGTCATGAGGGAAGGAGGGAAGAAGTGGAGGAGGAGGAGGAGGAGGTGGTAGTGGTAGATGGTTAAGGTGGAAGAGTCACGTCGATCGGGGAAGCTTAATGGAAGATTCCGGCGGGGAAGCTCGCCCGCCAAACAAACCAAACATGACCGCATAACACAGACAGCTAGCTGCCTTCACCTCACTTTCGTCCCTCCCCATCCATCCCGGCAGCGGCTCCAAGATGGATCCCCCGCAGTCACTCGTTTCGCAAAAGCCCTCCGACTCTGGAATCCACGTCCAGGTGCATCCACTCGTGCTCCTCACCATTTCCGACCAGATCACCCGGTTCGCCGCACGACAGAGAAAAGTTGAAGGTAGTACGATTATTGGGGTTCTGCTAGGCCAGCAGAATGGACGGCAGATCACCATCGACCATGCCTTTGAGTGCGATGTGCCGCGTGGAGATGACACTGAGGTTCTTCTCCCTGAGCCGTGGTTTGAAGAGCGAGTGAAGCAGTGTATGTACTCCCCGCTCCAGCTGAAGTAGCTTCTCTGTCCAAGCTAACTGAACGCGTCCATAGTCAAGGATGTGCACAAGGCCCCTTCCGTTGACCTGGTGGGCTGGTGGTCAATTATGCCGCCCACTGGCCCTAGCACGGTGCATCTTCCTCTCCACCGTCAGCTTCTCCAGACGCACAACGAGAACGCCGTTTTCCTCGGTTTCCAGACCACCCAAGTAAACTCCGATTCGCGCACCGCCAAGCTTCCCTTGGCTATCTATGAAAGCGTCCTCGAAGGAGAAAATGCTGCTGATGCTCCAAAGGACATGCAGATCGACGGCGAGGAACGGAACATGAGTCTCCGCTTCCGTGAGTTACCATATGCCGTCGATACTGGCGAAGCAGAGATTATTGGGGTCGACACCATTGCCAAAGGATCTGGAACCGCTTCACACGACGAAATGCGCACTCAGAAATCGAACTTGTCTACGGGAAATGAAGAAAACGCATCAGTTGGGCTGTCCCAGGACGAAGAAGAATGTATGTTGTCCGTGGATGATCTATTTCATGGCTCTGTTCTAACGATCGACAGTGGTTGGTAGCCTCAATACCCGCATCAACGCCGTCCGTACCTTCCAAGACCGGATCTCGAACATCAAGGATTATCTCATCAGCATCGAACGTGGCGACGTACCGCCATCGCACCATATCCTTCGCAGCATCAACTCTCTCATGTCTCAGCTCTCCATCCTGGCTCCGGACGAAGGAGGCTCTTTTGCGTCGGAAGTTCTCGCCCAACAGAACGACGTCGAGCTCGCTGCTCTTCTCGGCCGTATGGGCGAAAACATCAAGGAAATCCGTGAAATGGGCCGTCGATCAGCTACTATCCAGTCAGCGCGCCAGACGGAACAGGCTCGCGCGCATATGGGCCCCGGCAATACATCTGGAGATTTGACCGGCGAGTTATTCCGTCAAGATATGCCTCGCGGAAGAGGATAGGATCCTCACTCACGCAACGGCAGAGATCTTGACTTTTGCGTTCAAATGTGAGTAGCATTGACCTTTTGCTGTTTCAAGGCGCCATGATTTCAATTCTAACACACCAGAAGCCTGGAAGACATCACGGATGAACTGGACGGCCTTCGCCGCTAATCCCATGGCTTCATGATTTCAATTATCACATTCGATACGAGAAGCTGAACGAGATAACGAATCAACGCCCCTGAATCAAATTTTCATGACTGTTTGGCTTTGTCGTACTACTAAGTAGGTTTGGAACTAATATGGGAAAAATAGACGTAGGCTGCGTTCATGAAAAAAGGTTACTATACAAATGTATCGCCATGCTAGATACGCAAAGCATGGGATAATGGCGTGGCTTGAAACATCCAAAAAACGACATGCCAACTGAAACAAATTGGCGGGTATTCATATCCAAGGAACATGTCTATACTAGAAAAGGTGGGAAAGAGCATGCAGCATGCAAGGAAAACAAAAACAAGAATTCCTCACCAGAAAATTGAGAAGCTGATCATGGGTACCGTTGAATGAGAAAAGAAAGAGAGAAGAATGAAAAGGTCGCCCCGGTGCTGTAGTGGCCGAAGACTTTATGATCGAGGGCACAGCGCTGTATGAATTGCCCAATTTTATACGAGTTGTCATAAAAAGAAAAAACCAGTAGATCACCCTATAGATGGTGGTGCTCGTCGGGGTAAGGAGGCGGCGGCTGGTACGGATCTGGCATCGGCATGGGCACTTGTTCGCGGAGAGGCCCGTCGGCTGGGTAAGGATGTGCCGAGGCATCGTGGGCACCAGCATAATCATATCCGACATTCTGGTGCTCGATATCGTCGTAAGGCGAATGTTCATGCCCATGGCCACTCTGGTAGAAGCGCCCAGAGTGCTCGCCCAGGTACTCATCGGATTCGGAGTACGGGGAAGTACCTAGATGGCTGGCCTCGGGATTTGACTGGGCGTTCGCGAGAAGGACCTCGCCTTCCTCGTCACCGGCATAGCGGCCCGTCCGGCCGCCAGACATGGTCGTCCCTGCGCCTTGGTAGGAGGTTCCTGTGTTACCAGTTTCTGAAGACTCGAGGCCAATTGTTTCGTCTTGTCGCTGGTAGCTGGGGTCTTGCATGCGGTTTTTGCGGCCGACGAATAGCCAACGTCCACCACGTCCGATAGCTTTCACCAAGTCGAATGGGTTCATGGCGTCCATCAATGCTTTAAAGCCCCAGCGTCCGCCTGAGTAGGCTTCCTTACCATTGCCGTAGAAATCGGAGACCTCACCGGGTTGGGTTGCATAGGGTCGCCAGGCAAAAGCCCACAGATGCAAGATGGAAAAAATGGCCATTTCAATGTTGATAAGTAGTTCTGGAAGACCGTATTTGAGATCTGCCATGGCTATTTTTTTCGTTGGGTGAATGGCGCCTCCTGAAATGAGTAGACTGATGAAGGTCTAAAAAAAGTGTTATGAAAAATTATCAGAGCTGTCGCATGAGGGGACAAGCTTACCGACTGCCAAAATGACAAGAAAATGACCAGCTTGATGGAGACGATCTTCAGGAATGGGCGATGTTGCTTGATATCTTGACTGATCTGGTGATAGAACTGGATCAAGCAGTACATTGCGATTGTGACGGAGACGGATTCGATGACGATGGTCTATAGCGCAGGGAGAGACGTTAGCTTTATTCCCCCAGATCCAGTCAAAATGGCTCTCGGTGACGTACCCAAACATGAGCGAAAGCCGGACTCAGCGATTCCTCACAGTATCTGCCAGTGGCTTGAGCGGCAACGGCAACGATGGTCATCAACACGCGCATCACGCAGTATTGAAAGACGCCAGTCCAGATGACCTATTAAAGACATCCATCAGCATCCTGGGCGGTTTCTTTTGCTCCCAATTCGAATCCGCTTACATTAAACCATGTCACGCCACTGCGGGGATCTCTCCATATCCCGCGTGAGCCACCGCACCACGCCCATTTTTGAAACCAACTCAACGGCCAGAGCCAGCTTTTCGCCTGGATTCCGCGGAAGTAGTCCTTTTGGCTGTGCAAGTCAGGAGCGATGTAGGCGCACATGAGGGAGAAGAATGCGGCGATACAGAACGCTTCATAGCAGTTGCCGATCACCTCAAAGTAAACGGAGTCGTGGTAGAAAAGGATACTAAGCCATGCGACGAGGGAGTATATAGGGACCATCCAGAGAATGCGAATAATACTGCGCGAGATCATCAATGTCAGTTAACTGTACAAGGGTTGTCGCGCAATCTTCGGGCCGGCTTGGGAGAACACTTACTGGCGCTGCTCGATCGGCTTGCTGTAGTGTCGGGCATGGCCCATAATCAAAAATATCGAGGCGACACAGGCGACGACGGCGCAAGCGCCGCCCACGATCAGGCTGAGTTCGTGAAAGGTGAGCCCGCCATCCCAGAGGGCAATCTCCTCGACTGTCCCACGAGGTCAGCACTGCTCGGTACTTTAAAAGCGATGCTCACAGGACACTTACTCTTCTCATCTTCGGTAGTGGTATTGCACGTAGTCCAGCCCATTGTGGCTGGAGTGCGAGAGGTCGCAGCAGAGTGAGAGGGGTGAAAGGGGCAGGGCGGTTCTTTTTTCGCCTGGTTTATCTTATCCGCGGATCAACAGGGGACAATCGGGGCGCCACCAAAGACGCCACGGGGGTGTTTGCGGGAATGTGGGAACGCGCGAGCACCATGTACTAATAGTAGAAAAAGTCGGCGAAGTTGGTATGCAGGAATGGGTTGCTCGTCCAGGTCCAGGTCCAAGCCACGTTTGTGGATTCGCAGGGATCGGCGCGTCTTGGGCGAGGCTTGTCTATTTTGGTCGGCTTGGCTGCCTGTCAGCGCTGTAGATCAGCTCTTCTACGCGAAACAGATACAATGTATAGGGTATGTTGTACATGTTTCTAGTCAAACATTCGCATTGGTATCGTACATGGAAAACGTCTCAGACCGCGCCGGAGTCAGTGGTTTTGGGAAATTTTGTGTCTTTTAGTCCTTGTCCTTTGTCCTTGTTGGGGTAGGTACAGTGGTTTCAATATCTACGTCCGCGCCACGAACCTCCCGGTCGTCCCCCACGGTCCTGGCGTCGCTGAAGAGCTGCACGGCCGTACTCAGGTCCGATATCGACAAAGTAATCATCGTCCTCAAAGGTGATCCGGCGCCTTTCATCACCACCGCGGCGGGGGAACGTGCCCTTGCGGAGCAGCTCGTCAAACTGATCCAGCCGCTTGTCGGCAACACTGCGAGAAACTGGCTGATAGTAAAGCTTGGGTTTGGCCGTCGTCGACTTGAAAAGTTCGTCCAATGGCTTGAAGCCTTGTCCAGGTCGCGACGGAGGTACTGGTGGGGCGTTGGAGGGTCGACGATCCGCCTGGACACTTCCACGAGGACCCAGTGGTGGTGTGCTGCTGAACGGAGACTCCTTAGGTTTGTTCGGGGCGGAGCGTGAATTGGGCCCGACTTCGGTCAAGGTAGCGGTGGTCTCTTCATCAGTAGTGTCGTATCGGACTTCCCAGCGCACGGGAGGTCCAGCGCGATCTCGCGATTCCCGCTCAGTCTTGATCCATTCTTCGATCTTGTCATCGGGAACGAAATCGGCAAACAGAACCTTGCGATTGCGCTCTTTGGGCCATACCTTCCCATGCATAGCGGAGCGGACCCGTGACGCGGCGGTGGTATCGCTAAGACGAACAAAGCAGTGTGTTTTGATGGGATCGAGATAGAACTCCTGGACGATATCGGCATTCGGTGACGCACCGGCACCCGAAGCAATGCCGACGATATGCTTGCGAAGCGCAACGGGCTGCAAAGGACGCATCAGCCCATCAATGTAGAGGGCTGTGGTCACAGCGTGCAAGGCGGGCTCAACTTCCGTGTCATCCATCACTGTATCCGTTGGCGGTACTTCTTCGGTGGACTTGAACAGACCGCGGAAGCGTGCGTCTTGCTTGATCGAAGTGGGAGGCTTGGGGGCCGAGGTAGGGAGAGGGACAGATGGTTTCTGTTCTTCAGGTTTCTCTTCTTCAGGTTTCTCTTCTTCAGGTTTCTGTTCCTCCAGGGGCGCGTCGTTCATCACATCGTCTTTCAGGACAACTTCCTCCTTGGCTCGAGCTTTCTTATTTGCGATTGCCTCTTGGGTCGGGACGGGGCTCTGACTGCGGCGTTTGCGCTTCCGTTTATCCTCGAGGGCCTCTTCGACGGGTACAGGAGTTGACATTTCCGTATTGGCAGCGGAGGCTGAGGCTGCTGGTGGGACGCGCTTGTCGCCTGCTTCAGCTGACTCTGCCCGCTCGGCGGGTTCAGCCTGGGAAGGAGCGACCCCGGCGGGCGCAGGTGCGGGTTCCGGCTCGGCTTCACCTGGTTTCTCCTGACCGACTGCTGACTCGGGTTTTTGCACTGGCTCTACTTTTTGCGCATCGTCTTCAGCCGTAGCTGGTTTCTCCAATGGCTCGTCTTGCGTCTTCGCGGGCTCCGGTTCCTCGGGGGATGGTTCTTTCGGTGCGGGTGGTTCTTGGCTGGGCGCTTCTTTTTCTTCGTGGGGTTGCGGTTCAGTCTCTGCTGCTGGTTGAGCTACGTCCGACGCCGCTTCCTGCTGCTGCTGCTGCTGCTGCTGCTGCTGCTCTTGCTCCTCCTCCTCGGCAGCGGCGGCTTCGGGTGAAGCTTTAGCTGCATCGCCGGTCGGAGCTTGAGTGTCTTCCTCTGCGAGTTTGTCGATAAAATGTTGCTTGAGGCGAAGACCAGTCTGGGAAATTCCACGCCGCTTCAACTCGGCCTTCAGATCAGCCACCTTCCAAGATGAGTAGTCGGCCATTGTGCGCAGAACATGAGAGGGGCGAAGGGGGGAGAGAGTGAATGGACACTGAAAATGAATCTGGGGACGCGCGCGGAATGCGCGCCGATGATGTAGGACGCTAGCCGGATCAAGCTAGCGTGGGTATAAAGTGGCCGCGGTGTTTCGTGCGACGCTCCAGAGACTGTCAACCACCTTAAATAAAGGATTAAAAAGGTGACCGAGAGCGTCAAAATGTTGATCGGCGATGAAGTAAGGGAAAGAGTCATCGAAAGAGGTGCGGGCGTGACACGTAAGATATGCTGCGAAGTTACCAGAGGATGAACGGGAAAGTCAAGGGAATTTGATCATGTAGGCGACTCTAACAACCTGGAAAATTCAGAGCCAATTCTATTACTACTCCTTCTAAATGTGAAGCTGATTCTGATTTCATACAAAAACAAGACCCCCTCGGTTACGACTCATTGCTGATCTACAGTGATACTACAGGTAGTTCATCGACTGTCCTAACTCGGTACGGGTAGCGAACCGCCCCAAGTGAATTATGGTAGACTGCTCAATACTTGCCAATTTCAGAATTTAGCTACAAAAACTAAAATGGATTGAAATTTCAAAGCTCCCAGTTGAGTTGCTTTGTGCTTAGTCTCAAAGTCAGGCGAGGACTTGCCACCCATGCAAGCATGGGGCCGAGCCCGCAACCAAGGATATCGGGCAAGGAGACGAATCGTATTCCAAGCCACCTAAGAGCCAACCAATCTCCTACACTCACGACTGTTTTAATGCATACCTTACGTCTTTCATCAGATGACTCTATGAGTTGTCGCTCATATAAGCAGGGTGCCTCCTCGCCTGCTGGAAAGAACAACAGGCATACGAAACCACTAAGCCGGACAACCCAACATCGCTTGAAATATGTCTTCCTTCAGTAACTTCCAAACTCTGCTCGATCAGCAGGTCGGCACTCTACCGAGGCGTTCTTGGCCGGCAGCCCCAGGTAATGCCCAAACTCCTAATCAGACCATCGTATAATTCATACTGATCTGTGAACAGGAGTAGGACCCGACCGATCGACAACTCAGAGGCGCATCCCCGCCAACTCCTTACGATTGCAGGGACCTGCCTGGATCACGGCTGGTGGTAGCATGTGCGCCACCTTGTCTGGTGTCTATAAAATATTCCGAAACTTCCGGGCATTCAGATATATCTGATACACCCCTTTCACTGAGTCTGGTAATTGCAAATTGACTTGTTCATGTCAGCTATCATGCACCGTCCGCAGAAATCAAACACCATGAAGTATCTAGGTAGTAGGCGTTGAAGAATCAAATCCAGCATCACATTTCAATTGTCTGCCATTGGTCTAATGTCACGGGGGCTTTCTTCGGAAGACATCAATGTAGTAGCACCCCTGTATTGACACGACTCCCCATACTCTGTGCGAGGAACTCAGCTAACATGATAATGCAGCCTATCTCCAGCTCGGGCAGCTCATTTCTTCGGGGCGGTATGAATACTGGAACTTCTCTAAACTTTGACGCATACGCCTCGATCACAGAAGTATATCTTGTCTTCATCAATTCTTCGTCAGGCGAAGGAGCCGACCGAAGCTCTCTGTCCAACGACGCCCAGGATACCGGCGGTGCTATATGCGGGTCTTCTCGGCCAGGGATCTGGAAATGCCATCGTCGATGTCTTGTATGGTGATGTGAACCCTAGCGGCAAACTGAGTCACACAATCGCCAAAAAGAGGGAGTCGGACAATCCCACTTCAGTCTTCGAGACTGAAAACAGCGCTTTCAAAGAAGGATTCTATGTCAACCATCGCTGGTTTGATGCGAAGAACATCGAGCATCGCTTCCCCTTCGGCCACGGATCGAGCTATACCACCTTTAACTATGGCGATGTGAGCGCTAAGGTGACTAACTCTTCGGCATTGTCATCCAAGTATCCGACAGAGACACTTAATGATCCCATCCAAATTATCACGACGGTCAAGTATACCGGTTCTCTGCAAGGCAGGGAGATGGCCAGCTGTATGTGAGCTTTCCCAAGGAGGCTTAGGAGCTAATCCGTGCCCTTCGTGGGTTTGAAAAGGTTTTGACTGAGTCAGGAAAGACTACTCAGATCAAATTCCCCCTGCGCCATCGTGACGTCAGTTATTGGGATGTCTCTGCGCAGAAGTGGGCTACTGCTAGTGGAAAGTACACCTTCTCTGTCGGCTCGACCTCGCGCCCTTCGTGGAAACTCCACATTAACTATCTGATTGATTCTTGAGATCTCTGTCCTTTCTTTTCTGATATTTTCTCATTTGGAAAACTCAAATTATAGATCTTTATAGACCAATTGAGTTGAGATGATAATTCTTGGATTGTGTATGTGCATGCGTAGATACTGGCCATCGTTGTGGAATTTGAGGCACATCAAAATGGAGCATGATCTTCAATCCACGATTCCTTGCGGCAGGAGTGCAACATAGTCTAACGGTGCTGGCTCAACCCCATCGGGCTTACCGATGATTTTCAAAGTGTCACCTTTCTTCACCTTGACATCTCTGAATTTGAGACGCGTAGCCGAGTGACCATCCAAATAAATGGAGGGTGTGTGACTGAAGACATCCTCATTGTTGCCTTGCCATTCACCGACCTTTTTGTCATTCACGTAGACTCCCCATTGAGATTTTCCGCCATAAAGATCGTAGTAGTTCACCGCCAAATCATAGGTTCCAGACGGGAGCTTGATATTGGTCGTGGCTGTGCCGACAGTCTCGTTGGAGGTTGTTACGATAGCAACAGACCCTGATGCCGTCTCGAAGGGGCTGACTGTGTAGGGCCTGTATCCGTCCAGCGACATGTTCTCTGCCTCTATGCGCCATGGGTGACGGCCAACACGCTTGAATTGATCGGGGATTCCGGAGAGATTGTGGTAGAAATCGTTGATGGCATCTCGCCAAATGATGGAATGGCCAGCCTGGTACTCCAGACGACGGACTACATGCTCGTATCGCTCTTCGTCAATTTTCCCCTTCAGAGACTGCCATTGAGCCAAAAGGTACTGTGCTGTCTCTGCGCCACTGTAGTGGGCGTCATAGAAATGCTGGATGACTGTTTTACCTGAGTGCAGTTGGTGGGTATAGTTGACATGGTGGAACCACAAGAGAAGATTATCAGGAGTAGTATCGATATCTTCGTACATGGCTGCGATCTCGTCTGGGTATTGACCAGAGTACCCTGTACCATTAGAGACCGTCCGATCCATTCCGATTGAAGTACGGTCTGCCCGAGTCCATTGACCCCAGCCATTATCGTCCTGAGAAGCTGGGTTAGGGCCATAGTGCGTATACAGGATATCCGTCAGGGTTTGTATTCCTAGATTGCCACTGTAGTTCTCGTAGGCCGGCCAGGATTCCATGGACATTTGCGTGATTGCGTCGAGCACCTTTTCGTCAAAGCCGAAGGTAAGTCGAATCCAGTCCTGTAGCATACCCTTGGGATCGTCGGTAGGGTCCCAGGCGAGACGCCCGTAGGCATACAGGTTTGACATGGCCAGATGGCTACCAAGCCAAGTAGTGTTCGTGCCAACGTTGACGACGGCGGCAGATCCTCCCAGTTTCCTGTTGAAGTGCTTTCCAGAGTAGACATCGCGCGTAAGAGAGGCCTTGTGGTCAATCCGAAGATCAAAATCCAGAATTGTTTTCCAGAGAGGCGGGAGATAAACTAGGTGGGATTGCTGTCCGAGATACTCTTGCGTGACCTGCAGCTCAATCGCAGTGCTGGTATTGAACAAGTTGGCGAACAAGGGTGATACCGGCTCGCGCACTTGGAAATCGATGGGGCCATATTTAATCTGAACAACCACATTCTCATCAAACTTCCCATCGAGTTCTTTGAAGAATTCAACTGCAGCCTTGGCTCGATCGGCTGTCCAGTTTGTCTCGTTGAGCTGATCGTAAACGAAAGCGCGGAACATCACAATGCCCCCATGCGGTTGTAGGGCATTGGCGAAGAGATTTGCTCCTTCGGCCAAAGTCCGATTGTATGTCAATGGACCGGGTTGTCCTTCTGAGTTCGCCTTGACAAGATAGCCAGCCAGATCTGGCACATGCTCATAGATTTGATCTGTGATGTTGGTCCACCATTTGATGACCGATGCGTCCAGGGGATCGAAGGTGTCCAGACCACCAAAGGTTTCGGGCGATGCATAGTTCAAGGAAACTCCAACTTGTACACCATATGGACGGAAGACGTCTGCGATTCGACCGAGTCCCTCGAGGTTCTCAGTTGTCAACAACGTGGCATTGGCATTTACATTGTTGACAACCACTGCGTTAACTCGAATCGAGGCGAGAAGTCGAGCATACTGTTTGACACGAGTGAGGTCTTCAACGATGGCGCCGTCCTTGAAGAAGATTGACGGTCCACCATATCCTCTTTCTATACTGCCATCCATATTATCCCATTCGTTCACCCATCGAATTGGAGCCACCGGGTTTGTGGCATAGGCGACTTCGGAAAAGTTCCCTTGTGCCAGCATCGACAAATATTCAAAGGCGCCATAGAGCGCACCCTTTTCGTTTGAGCCGAGGATATGAACCACAGTGTCTTTCGTGTCGATCCAGAAACCGTCTCCATCGAGATCGGGGACATCTTTCAAAGACCCGCATGTCTTGCGATATTGCTCAAGAGTGCCGACGATGACGGCAGCTGACGGCGTTTGACACTTGTCGTGGCTGATATCGACATGGGAACCGTAGATGCCTTTCAAGCCTTGCTGCAGCTCGATGCCTGCAGTGTAGACAGGGCTCGACTCGGTCGCATTGAGGGCAATGATGTTGGCTGGCAGTTTCGACTGGCATTGGTGAGAACATGACAGCGATGCGTGTCGCAGCCACCCAGCCAGGCCATTCTCAGCGGTCGCAGATCCTAATAGCGGCGCGAGAAAGAAGAGAACTCGCATCTTAGGAAGAAAAAGCTAATTTGGGCCATGAGAAACCAGGGCATCCCTTGGCCGTGGGGTATCTCTTATACTACCCCGTGCTTGCGCATCAGGCGATCGACAGCTCCTTGGATCCGGAATGGTTCAGGCTAAAAGTCCCTAGTGCCTACCTGTTAAATAGAAGATTTCAGGCTATAGTGCCAGGCAAGTTTGCGGAGGTGAGGAGTGCAGCAAAAAAGTGGATACTTTGGGATTTCCCCGCAAAGCAGCGACGGCGTGGGGTTTCACCTGCAGCCGAAGATTTCCCGCGGCCTCTTCGTGCCTCAGGGACAAGCACAACCTAGGGTAAGTTCGGATAAGCCAAGAAGTTACGGAAGGCCAGTAAGGAAAGGCTGAGAATACTGGAACATAGGGGGCTGTTTGCATTGAAACATCTCGTAATTTTTAGGCTATTTCTAGAAACGCCGTCTCCTATGACCATCCTTGCAAAATTGAACAGGGTATTGGGCACACGGAGGCCAGAGATGTCATCAATCGTAAATTTTTTTTTATTTTTTTTCCACCAACGGAAAAAATGGCTACAGGGCGGCTTGCGCTAACCCGGGCGCCGAAGCTGGTCTAAAGAGCAGACATTTACTGCTCACGGGTGAGGATGTCGGAGTCACCGGCATCCAGGACAGCCATGGTGGAGCAGCGGAACAGCTTACCGCAGGCAGTGCCGAGCTCAATCTATATGATTGTTAGTTTGCTTACTGGCTCTCCGGGATCCTTCCTGGCGGAAGAAAACCCATCGCTGAGCAACTTCACTCTCCGAAGCAGGCAGACGCCCAGCTTCTTCTCAGAGTAGTGGAGCTGACTGGCAGCTGCGACGACTCCTGGGAGTGTCGACTTAGAAGGGGGAAACGTACGTTGTTGCCGTTGAAGTGGTGGACGGGAACCTTGGCGAGCATGGCGTAGTACTCAAGCTCGGACTTGCGGAGGGGAGGGCAGTTGCCAGCGATGAGGATCAGCTTGGCCTTGCCGGAGCGGAGGGTCTTCATGGTGGACTTGGAGCCCATAGTGACTGCGCGGAAAAAAATGTTAATTTTTTTTTACCTTCCGTGCGATTTGTGCGATGCAATTGAAACTCACCCTTGCCGGACTTCATGACCAGAGCGAGACGGGACGAGATGGTCTCGCCGGACTTCTTAGCCTTAACCATTTTGACGGTGGTGGAGGGTTGGTGGGTTGATGGGAGAAGAGGTTGCCGTGGATGGAGGTGTGGAAGGAAATCAAATTCGGAGTCGCACTTTGTTCGGGTGGAAAACTCCAAGCGAGGGTTATCTCACCGCCCACGTGACGTGGATCCCGTGACCCGCGGGGTTGCGGGTGAGTCATCATTTTCTGCAGGCTTTTGTCCGCCCGCATTGATTTCCCCTCGTTTTCTATTCCATTCCATTCTTCTTCATCACTTTCTTTGCATTTGCATTGTTCATTTCAGTCACCATGGTGGCCGAATCTAGCGCTGTCCCTGCGCGACTCCGTCAGTTTCCTCCCCTTTCACCTATCTGGTTTTTTAAGACGGCTACTAAATCCCGTAGAGAGAGTCGATTCGCAACCTGAGAACCCCTACTCTCGTCTGATCGAGGACCAGTCCATTGCGGTCATTCCGTCGTTCAAACTCGAGTCCGGCGTTACTCTGTACAATGTCCCGGTCGCCTACACAACCCGGGGCACTCTTTCGCCCGAGGGAGACAACGCCTTGGTCATTTGTCATGCCCTGAGTGGAAGCGCCGACGTCGCAGACTGGTGGGGACCTCTGTTGGGTGGGCCCGGGCAGGCATTTGATCTGTCCCGGTTCTTTATGATTTGCCTGAACAGCTTGGGAAGCCCCTACGGCAGTGCCAGTGCCGTTACCTACAAAGACGGCAAGCCTGAAAATGGCTACTACGGCCCTGAGTTCCCCCTCACCACCGTTCGTGACGACGTGAACATTCACAAGCTGGTTCTTGATGACCTCGGTGTGAAGCAGATTGCTGCTGTTGTTGGAGGCTCCATGGGCGGCATGCTCACCCTCGAGTACTCGTTCTTCGGCAAGGACTATGTCCGAGCCATTGTGCCCATTGCCACGTCGGCCCGTCATTCTGCATGGTGTATCAGCTGGGGTGAGGCTCAACGTCAGAGCATCTACAGTGACCCTAAGTATGATGACGGTTACTACCCCTTCAACGACCCTCCTGCCACTGGTCTTGGAGCTGCTCGCATGTCGGCGCTTCTCACCTACCGCAGTCGCAATTCTTTCGAGTCGCGATTCGGCCGCAATGTGCCGGACCCTACTCGCCAGCAGAATATCAATGGCACCGAAAAACTTCCCACTCCTCCGAATGAACACTGGGCTATTCACAATGACGGACACCGTGGTGGTCTGTCCTCGCGGTCCGAGAGCCGCCAGAACTCGCCGGCTCCGCAGTCTGAAGTTCAATATATGGACCCCCAGTTCTCGGGCACCAAGACTTTTAGTGCCCCCGTTCCTACTAAGACCGATGCTGCTGGTCGCCCGCGGCCTCCCACCTACTTCTCGGCCCAGTCCTACCTCCGCTACCAGGGCGAGAAGTTCGTTCAACGCTTCGATGCCAATTGTTATATCGCCATGACCCGCAAGCTTGACACTCATGATGTGTCCCGCCACCGGGGTAACCCTGACGCGGCCGATCCTGTTCTCGATGCTCTTTCCCGCGTGGAGCAGCCCGCCTTGGTTCTGGGAATTGAGTCGGATGGTCTCTTCACCTTTGCGGAGCAGCAAGAAATTGCCGCGGGCATTCCCGACTCGCGACTGAAGCGCATTGACAGTCCCGAGGGCCACGACGCCTTCCTCCTGCAGTTCGAGCAGGTCAACCGCCACATCGTGGACTTCTTCCATGAGGTGTTGCCCGATATCATGGCTCGGTCCGGCGACAAGGCTGCTGTTTCCAGCGTTGGCAAGCTGACCAAGAGCAGTACCTTCGGCGAGGCCGAGGTAGAGGACATTACCGCGTGGTAAAGTCCTGACTATATAATAAGTCATTATCGGCGCAGTCCTATTCTGCAGCCATCCCATGCTCCTGTCCTCCGACACGGATCCCCGTCCGGCCGTCTTGCTCGAGGGCTCTCGAGTAAAGATGTCTCGACGTCGAGTCCGCGTTTGAGCAGGATGTCATGGCGTATCCAGGGGAAGTAGAGGTTGCCGTTCTTTTATCCGTTTCGCTAGTCAGGGAGATGCGCATCCAACTGCCTCTCTCGAATCTCACTTGGCGCTATCCATGTCGAGAAGACTGCACAAGAAGCATCCAACTGCTCTCCATCAGACCCACCCTCTGGGTCATTTTCTCCCGGTCTCAACTGAGATACACTCCGGAGGTTGATGGGTCCATTTTCGATTCGATTACCAGGCGACTGGTGACTCGCGCGACACTGTCGCTTTTTACACATAGATAAAACTCAATAAAACTGGTAGACGGGTGAGTTCACCTTCTACACAATCAGTGCATCTATAGCTTCACACTACGTAGGGATCTACTCGAGTCATCGATAGTGCAATTTGGAAGATGGGTCATAGCCCATTAGATTCAATTCTCCCGCGCCGGAAAATAAAAAAAAAAATAGATAAAGAAAAATGAACCAGGAAATAACTCCGGCGCTATGTATTCACCCAGCCCACGCCCCCCATTCCCCCTACCCCATTATGTGAGCAAAATTGAAAATTAAATCGTGGGGGCGTTCGGGCATTAACGAAGGGGCATCAATGGCACAACGAGGACTACCGGGGTATCCTCTGTTTGGCTGTGATGTATGTTAGGTGCGTGGTCCGACATGCGTATGGGAGCATGAGCACCAGTTGGCTGCGAGCTTACCTTCATCTACACATTGATGCTCAATAATCTTCTTCCCGGGGCCAGTCGAAGAGGAAGAGGTTCGCGGCGGCGCTTCCAGCATCATCGATGGTATTCCGGCGGGTGGGGTGTCGGTAGCTGTCCAGATAGACAGCACCGATGAGAGCCTCCACGGTGGTGGCCATCTTCTTGGTGCCCACCGGTACGGCGTTGTTGCTCTCACGGACCTCAGCCAGGAAGCGATCCAGACCCAGGAAGAAACCTTTCTCGGCAAGGTTTCTGTTGCTGCCCTTGATGCTCTGGAGCTCGGAGATCTCGCCTGTATCCACGTCGGTTCAGTATTCTGAGATGATCTTCGACCGGGGGAGGTCTGAACTTACGAGCAGTTTGAAGCCGGCGGATGCCATCGTGGTAGTGAAGCAGTCGGATCACAGCGTCACCGACAAGAGCGAGGCATCTCTGGGGCTCGCTATCGTAGTAGCCGTGGCCCGCCTGCAGGGCAGTCGCCAACAGCCCCGGTTCCTCGAAGGTCCAGCCGAGGATATCCTGGACCTCATCCAGGGTGGCTTCCGGGATTCGGTTGGCCATTATCGGCGTGCAGTTTCGATGCTACGCTCAATGGGGGAGGGGGGGAATGGAATTGATGGTATTGTCAGTATGGGCGAATTATGCGTTGCTCGAATTCCCTGGGGAGAAGAAGAGAAATTACAGTGAGAAGTTGGAGCCTCTCTACTACTACTGGAGGCTACGTTATCCGTCAGATGAGGCAGGTGCGATAGTCGCGCCTGCAGGCAGACACTCAAACATTCACAAGGAAAATGGGCCCCCCGGATGACACGAAAGTGAACATTTGGTGAACAGTGTTGCCCACCGGGCCTTTTTGCGTTCATGGGAGTGTATCCGTGGGCTGTTGGCACTTGTATCCCGAAATAGAGAAACCACGCTGCATTTTCCGGGAGTTGAATTGTCACCAGCAAGTCGGGGTTGCCCACTAGGCTTTCAATGGTCACGACCCGTTGGCCTCACCTGCCCGGGAAGGTCGTCACATGACAGCCCAGCAAGTCGTTGAGATTCACTCCTTCCAAGTATACCCTAGGGTACACCTTGGTTAGAGAAGACCCATGGTCATTCGTGGTCACACTGCACTTTTACTGGAAGGCTAGTGTACTATCTACTCCAGCGCAACCTGTTTCGATGCAGGCGTCGAGCTTTATGGCATACCAGCCACGGCGCAGGGCTACAGACCGTCTCACACGGTCATTAGGCTGTATACATGAATAGCACCCTACATTAATGGAGGATTCGATTACAGTGTATATTGTACATTCAGAAGTTTGTAGGAACGGGCCCTTCCTGTGGGTTGGCTGTCAATGTCACAACTCAATTTAGATTGGACTAACACAACTTGGACGTGCGGTGTTGTAGTGATGGGATCATTTCAAATATTTTGTGACTGGCTATTTCGAGTATTTCATTTTGAAGAGGCAAAAATTTTTCAAGCGCCGACATCAAATGCTTTACTACACTCGTGGAGTAGCATCGAAGTGAGCCTTGCAATGAAGTACGGGCAGCTGCACTGATAGGGCACCGCGAGATCATGTGATGTGACAGTGCCAAGCATATCCTCACATGAGTATGGAGGTCTGTCATGTGACATGCATACATCATCTACTGAGGGTACCTGGAGTCGCACCGTCTTGCACTCGCCACGTTTCAATTCGAGTATACTTCCATAATGTAATGTCATGTCGCTACAGTATTTAGAAGCTATCACATTTGATGTCATATGATTGGTGTAAATTAATGTATATCGTATAGCAATACAGTGATGTACAATCCATCGTGTGTACGAGATGCAGGATATATATCAGCTATATTTGACCTGGGTAGTGTACCCTAGAGTACGTAGTGCATCGAATCACTACAGTATTGAGGCTGTCCCTATCGGGAAGCCGAGCACTGGACCAATACTTTAGCATGATGCGCCGCCAAGCAAGGACCAAGCAATAAAGATGAGGGGTTCAGCTGATGTTTCACATGGCGAAACGGATACATCCGTGCTGCAGAATTAGGGTGTTTTTAAAGACCACTTGCCAAACCACTGGCAGTTACAGTACGCCTTGAATGATTGAATCGTGCATTGCAGTGGATCGGACTGCAAGGGGCTTCGACGGGCCGGGATGGAAGTCAGACATATTGATGTACCATTCAATGGTATGCGTTCCTTGCAGCATCAATGATCAGCACCGGACGGCAAAATCAACCCGAGGACGATAGATCTATAGATCGATCCGACACCGAAGGGAAGGGAAGATCACTTTGAAACGGAGCAGCTCAGCAACCGTCGAAAATTGGGGCTGTCTCAGCGCGAAAATGAGGTCGGAGGAGGGACAAAAGAACGGTGAAGGACCGAGGGTTCGGGACCTTCAGGGCCATACAGCAGCAAGATAGGCCAGTCACGGATGAAGCTATCGTCATCTCAGGGACGATTCGCACGGAATCTGAAAAAAGGTGGAGCGCGCCGTTGTGTGGGGACCTTTTGCCCCGTTGGGAGCGCAGTGCGATTGGCACGCGATCCAGGGGAAATGATTCCAAGGAGCGCCCGCGAACCCACTGGGCGATTCGCCCACTTTGGGCAGCAAGCGCTGACTCACTATCTCTGATTGCAAGTGATTTGATCTTAGGGTACTGTGGGTGGATTAGCGCTAGATCAAAAGAACACGGCTGGGCGCCGTGCTGCATGGGTGCTCAGGATCGGATAATAGCAGCCCCAGGGGGCATCGCAAGCGAAGAGTGTTCCAAGGCGAGAACAGGCGAAGCGGCCGACATGACGGAGGGAGCGGCGTCGACGCCAGTCTAGACCCGACGCTACTGGCCGAGTCGATGATCTTTGCGCCGTGCGGTAGTGCAGTGGGGAGGGCGGCGGCCAGCTGATACGGTTCCCCAGCCCTAAACTCCCCTAAGGGACTGCGGAGTCTCCACCGGCCTCCTGATCGTCCTGATAATCCAACACTGCTTGGCCCCAGGCCTATCGGGGGCCCCTCCACCACCAGGGCTTGACACCTGCCGAATCGTCGTGGGTTCAAAAGAAACCGCATGACGCGCCTGTCTCTCTTTTTTCTGCTCTCGAACCCTTCCATCCCTCGTTGCACTCTCCCCCCTCCCCATCCCCCGCATACCAGAGCCGTCGTACGGCCAACGCGGACACTCTGCATCGCATTGCTCTCGAAATTCTACGTTGCCGTAGCGGAGGAAGAGAAAATTCTATTATTTTTGCATAGGAGTCCGCTGCCACTGGCTGCATGCACTAAAGCACTTAGCCGCCGTCGCTCGTTTTCATTGTTTGCGCGCTGTTGACAGCCCGACTCGATCCTTTCAGTCCTTTAATCTCAACCACCAGCCACAACCACCCAGTTGAAAACCAGGCGATAAGTCTATTTAGGCTGATTTCCAACTCGCAAAGCCTCGCAACTGCAGATTTGCATACTCGTGGAAGCCAGAGGGAGCAGCAGCAGCAGGAGCAGCAGCAGGCACGGCCGGGTCTACGTTGGATGCAATCACAACAAACCCGTCCCAACCCACCATAACAACCATACCTTGTTCACTATTCTAATACGACTACGACGACCACCGTTATGGAGCGTAGACTCTCCCAAAAGACCACCAAAATGCGCCAGCGCTTCACCTTCGGTCGCAACCGGGCATCCACCCTCAATTCGTCCACGACCTCCATCAGCAACTCCGGGAGCCGCCCCCGATCCGCCACCACGCCGGTCTCGTTGAAGGCCAAGCCAACGTGGGACATGGATAGCCGGTGCTACAACTTCACTGACGAGCCGGGTTATTTCCGCCCGGTTTCGCCATTGCTCGAACGTCAGGAAGTCGAGGAAGACCTGGAGGATGAGCTCGTTCATGCCTGCTCGCTGCTCGTCCAAAGTATCGACCGCGGCCTACCCATCTGGCCCTCCTTCCTCCCCGACTCGCAGTCACGACAAGCCGGCGGCACTGCGCCTTCCCCTCAAGCATACACCAATCCCCAGGGCCGCCATCCCTCTCCCGCCAGGGTCCTTGACACTGGCATCCCCGTCCAAAAGGGTAACCCCGACTCCGGTGTAGCATTTAGCAACCCGTCCCCGAGATTCTATGGCCGCACCGGCTCCAATAGCCTGTCGACTGCCAATTCCTGTGCTGGAAATGGACGATTCTACGGAAAGCGCCTGTCGACTTCACTACCGGAAGATGAGGAGGTCCGCGGCCGCTCGCGTGGTCGTAGCTCTGCCACGGACTCGACCTCGCCCTGTTCGCGCTCGCCTCGTTCGCGTTCAACCTCGTGCTCTCGCTCGAGATCGCCGAGTCTGGTCCTCTTCCCGTACAGTCCACCCCAGGCGGATGCCCCGTGGACACATGAAGATGCCTACGAGATGAGCACGAAGCCTACAATTCAACCCTTCACAGAACGAGATTCCCCCCTCGGGCCAGAAGGCATGACCTGGCTACGAGCCAGCCTCGATATCCAGCCCCGAGTCGACCACGACACTCCCATCAACCCTTCCACGAACAAAAAGGCCAACCAACCCGCCCCGGCTGCACCCCGCCGCTTTTACAGCATGCGCCAGCCCTCCAAGAAGAAGCTCAACACCCCCGATTGGACTGCCTACGAGGTGACCAGCAGCCGCAACTCGAGTATCCGCGGCAGCTTTTCGGTGCACAGCTTCTCTTCCTTTGACGAGGACGAAGGCGAAAAGTCCTACCACAACTTCTACCAGCTCTGCGCGGATCCGGCCCGGGAGACAACTTCGAATGCCGTGCCCCGCACCCACGATCTCTACACCCCGCCGCGGCATAAGCGCAAACGTGCCTCGCATCTACTGAAGAAATTGACCGGGCTGGGGATGCGGAGAAGGGAACCTTCCATGGAAGGGAGGAGAGTTCATACCGCTGTTGCGGCTCTTGCATGACACATTCACAATGTACCCAATGAAATTTTATGATTGGAGTTGATCTGTTAAAAGGTTTGATCTGGTGGAGTTTATGAAGAACTTTCATGTCCATTCGCTGTTAGCTATTGTCTCTTTTGTTTTGATGGCTGTTTGTATATACCCTCTTCTGTTGTATATTCTGGAAGTTACCTGTCATCTGATCACTTTCAAACATTCAATTTCCTACCTTTGTTTAAACGCTTTGGGCTTAATGCGTTTACACCCCACTTTGCGATTTGACGTTCTATGTAAAAAAGGTAACGGTAACACTGCCGCCTCGGGAAGCAGTCGGCTCTCGGAGCCCAGCCTGAGTTAGTCTCCCGCCGCCCTGAGCATCCCTGAGCATCCCTGAGCAACCCAGAGCAGCTGAATATAGCTCGGAGTGGAAAGGCTACATGGAAGGGGCGTTCTGCTCTGGAGAGCAGGGAGCTAAGCAGGTTGTGGAGATTATGCAGAAACCAACTGCGAAGATATAATTAAATATGACGGATTCTAGAAGCACCTGATGATTCAAGAAAGCATGATCGAATAAGTGATGCCTCACAGTTAGAATAATTAAATGGAGTGTTTTAAAATGAATATCTCTGAAGAGAAACAAACTCCGGCAAGTAGGAGCAGGGGCTATTTATGTATCGCCGAAAGCTTGAGGTGGCACGAACACCTGACAAAGTATCCCTTTATATTTGTACAAGAGGCTACAAGCGGATGGCAGAGAAGAATTACTGATGACGTGCCTGATTTTCTACCCAGAGACCCTGAACAGAGTGGAGCTGATCCCGAGTAGCCATGAGCACTCCGGGAGCAAGCGATAAGACTGTCAATCACGTGATGTTTCGATAACTAAGACCTTGGTAAAATGAAAAATGGCGTCGAAAGTAGCCGTTGTGGCGCTCAATTTACCGTCACTTGGCGTTGGGTGGTAGGTAGTATTACGAGCAGTCCGTATACTTCTCTACAACTTCATCGAACTACGCTACTGGAAGGAGAGATAAAGTATTTAAGATTTTATTGTCTTCATTACACATAAGAATATCCAGCAACATCTGAAGATCTGAAGAGCTGAAGAAAAGGGTAAAAATAGAAGATAAAAATAAAAAAAGGAAATGAAAGGTACAGTGGATGGACCCAGAACACCGGTCACGATGCAGATTGCAATAACACAGAAATGAATGAAATAAAAGAAGAGGAATTTTCATCACAAAAACCATGCTGTAAACCATCCACGAAACATCTCCCCTAAAAAGCTCATGGCATGAGTTTAGATCAGGGTCCTCCACGACGAGGACGCTTGTTATCACCGCCCAAACGGGGACCACGGCCTCCATCACCATTCTCGTCAGGGTTGGGACGACCACGCTTTCGACCAGAGCCACCGCCATCACGGTGCTGATCACGATCCCGACGGTCACCACGGCGATCACGCTCGCGATCGCGGTTCTCAGAGCGAGTGCCGCGATCTCCGCCGGAGCCCCAGCGGCGAGGGCCATTGTCATCGGTTGGGGGAGGCGGCTGAGAAGAAGGACCGCTAGGTGGAGGCGGGGCGCCCGAAGAAGAGGGAGGACGGAGACGACCCTCGGATTCGTTGTTGTTGTTGGGATATGCGGGGGCATTGTCGACCCCGTCGTCGCGATCTCGTCGGTCTCGACGGCGCATTTCCTCGCGTGAGCCGGGGGCTCGACGGAGTGCCTCGCGGTCCTTGTCACCGGCGCCACCGGCGCCACCGGCATCGCTTCGGCGGCTGCGTTCACGGTCTGAGTCTCGGCCGCGTTCGCGACGGTCTTCACGGCGGGAAGAGCTGCCGCTACCGCTGGCATCATCCGCACGGCGCTCACGGTTCCGCTCACGGTCAGAGTTGCGGGTTGAACGATGAGTGTCGGGAGTAGCGTCGTCGAGTAGGTCTCCGCGGGCGTCGGGACGGACACGAGCTGAACCGGGGGTCTCGGCACCGCTGGGGCCCAGAGGGGGTCTGGTAGCGAGTTGAGGGGAGGCGTTGGCGGAAGAGATATTCGATTGACGCGGGCCTCGTCCGCGAGGTGTGCCAGGTGCACGTTCTGCCGAGCCGTTGGTCTGCTGAAGGACGCCGTTGATACCGGCGAATCGCTTATCACCACGGCCACGATCACCACCAGGTCCTCGGGGTGCTTGTTGGGGCCCTGAAGCGCGAGGACCGGATGGAGGAGTCATGGTAGTCGCGTGTGGTTGCTGCGGCTTATCCTCGATATTGATCAACCGATCAGGGTGGATACCCGAGCCTTCACTCGGCTCCGATGGGTGCGATGCTGCTGATGGAGGTACATCTTGACCTCCATGTCCACTTTGTCGTGCAGGGCCAGTAGGAATTTGACGATCGGGACTAGGAACTCTGCCATTACTCGGGCCGGACGGGGCCACGAGGTTAGAGGAAGCATTGCGGGTGTTCCGGCCCCTTCCACGTGGCGCAGATGGAGTGTCTGATGGTGGGTCGGGCCCGCGGAGACGGCCGTGGTGCATATCAGGTTCACCAGCGGAACGATCGTTGCGGGGGCCTCGGGGGAACCCGAAATCGTCTGGGTTAGACGGTGGTGTATTGAAGTTGCCAGATCGGCGGTCGTGAGGGAATCGCTCAGGGCGATTGGGTAGATCAGATCGAGACGGCGATGACGCACGATGAGGACGTCGTTCGTGATTCTTCTCGCGCAATCGCTCTTCAACGCGACGTCGGTCTGCCATGGCTTCTTTGTAGGCGATCGCGTCGTCCTCGGCATCCCTTCTCTTCTGCGACTCAGAGCGAGGAGGAGGCGGCATCCTTGGACCGTCGAATGGTTCATAAGGTCCCCATCCCGAGTCTGATTGTCGAGGAAGACGGCCGTCACGATAGGGCCGCCCACGCATGGGATCATTTGGTGAAGGTCTTACACCAAAGTCACGGTCTCGTGCACGACCCCGAGGATCAGAACCCGGGCCACGGCCATCGAAGGAGCGAGCATGATCGGCACCTCCTTGTTGGTTGCGGTTGTTTAAGTCGGAGTGTCGGCCCCGTCGATCCTCTGCCACGTCAGGCCGCGGCGGAAGCCTGTTAGGACCATCGCTGTGTCGGGGAAGGCGAGCCACATCACGCGGGTTCATAGCGGGCTCAGGCCGTTTAGGGACATCGGGCTGGCGACCTGTCCGAGATCGAGCTCGGGGCTCTTGCTGATCACGATTTTCGTCTGAGCGGTCGAGGACATCCAGACTGGTGTCCATAGCAGTGGTGTCGGGGCTCACGCCCGTTGCCGGAACCTCTGCTTGCGATTTGGCTTCGTACGAGTCCGTTGCAGGCGCAGTATCTGTCATTTGAGTATCAATCTCTCCATCCTCCACTTCTCTACCAAGATCTTGCTTTGTGGTATCATTTGTCCTGAGGATATCGTGTTAGCTTGGAACGTAAATCGATTTCAGTTGAGGGACTCTTACTCCTGAGGAGTGGGTTTGAACTCCGGCGCAGCAGCGTTCAATGGTGCTGACGTCGGATGGGGAGATTGCGAACTAGGGGTACCGGACTTTCCGGCACGGTCCGTCGGGGGCTGAGAGCCGAGCTTCGATTGACCACCATCGGTCTGCTTCAAGATGTTGAACGACTGGGGAAGCATCCACTTCTTTTCTCGTCCTCTCAAGGCCCCGATGAGCGAGGCAGCAGGGATCTTGACATCGTCTCGATCATCGTTCTTGCTGAGATAATCCACGCAGTCACGCATTTGAGCACCCATCCAGTTCACGGCGGGGAAGTTGTTGACAACCGCTCGAAGAACGCTGATGGCATTGCGAATGTGCATGTACTCGCTGCTTTCGAGACAGGTCTTGAGCGAAATGCAGAGCAATCGGTGCCATTTGTACAACAAACGACGGAAATCTTCATATTCCAGGAAGTTCACGGGGACGCCCTCAGAATCAACAGTCTTCGCAAATCCGGGAAGATCTTTCCTTGTTCCGTAGGCTTCCTTCTCATACACTTTTTTGTCGGCGTGCCAGGTGGACAGCCAACGCAGAACCTCGCTCAAGAAACGTCCCAGATTGTCAGCCTCCTTTGAAGTGCAAAGAAAGATGAGTGACGTCAAACGCTGGTCCCGGAAGAGTTGATCAATCAAGCCCATCGTGCGAAGATTGGGAGCTCCTGAGCTATGCAGGAACTTCAACATTTTGAAACAGAAAAATGCATCAATGGGCGATAGCAAGAGTCGAGGAATGAAACACTTCTCCAGCAAAGCAATATGTAGCTCCTCAGACTTGAGGCGCATACCCGCGAACCACCGATCTTTCTCGGACTGGAGTCTGATGCGTGTGTCCTGATAATTCTTCACGTGGGTGCGGTTTTCGGCCACAAGCTGATCAATGAGGCTTGAAATTTGCTTTTTATCTTGTTCCATTTGCTTCTTTTCTTGTTCCTTTCGCTGGGTAGTATTCCTGCCGTGGTCGCGAATCTGGTGAAGATGCTGAAGCTGCTTAGTCAATCGCCGATTCTCATCTTGGTAGGATGATTGAGGCATGTGCAAGTCATAGGGAGACAGTTGCCAAAAGGTAGCATAAAAATAGGCGCCGACTGTTTCCCAGGTGTCCGACGGCAGCACTGCTTTAACATTGTCGATCAACTCTTGCATGACGGGGTTCGCAGCCAGCGGCAAAGGCGGAGTTGATGGAGCAGCTGTAGGCTGATCCGTTTTGTCGACCTCCATGCGCTCGCCATCCTCGTTGGTGTCCTTCTGAGTCTCGTCATGAGGCTTAGAAGCCAAAGCCCCCTTGGCCTCTTTGGCTGGGGATCCTGTTGCTTTCGAGTTTTCGTACTCCAAAAGCTTGTCGGATATACTGATGCGCCGAATCCAGAAGGCGATTTCGGGCTGGACTCCAAACTCTTGAATCAAAGATGCGAAGTCGGGCACAAAAGAGTCGAAATCCTCGACAGAAAGGTTGCTTCGCAGGAGGTCGAGATATTGGGTCAGAACGCGATGGACTTCATCGAAGATATTGGCGAGTAACTTCAACTCTGACGATGACTCGCTGAAGACACATGTAAGCCGCTCCTGCGCAATGGCAACAAGCAGCTGGCCGGCAAGACGATTAGGAGTCAAAGACTTGATCAGTCGCTTGGAGGTAGCCTGAGATTGATGTCGTTTGTCCAAAAGCTGCAAGAGCGTCCGTGCCCGCAGACCCTCACCACCAGTCATCGCCTGAACCTGATTGTCGTTGAAATCATTGTCGGTAATGATGCCCGCCATAGAGCTGATCAATTTTTCCAAAACGATGAGATCGGCAACATTGTTGTGTCGCAGCTGTTGAACAACATACTGGAAAAGTGGAGTAGGATCCATGGCGGAATGTTCTTGGAAAATTCGGCCAGCAAAAGTTGCCAAAGCATTCAACCACCGGCTTGTAAACATGCCATCTTGCTGCACGTGGCTTCTGCCCTTCTGACCCAACGAATTGATGAGACACCAGGTCAGAATGTCGTATCCCATGGTTGTAAACTTGCGCGTGCACTGAACAACCACTTCGATGAGGTTTTCATACGACTCGATCTGGCTGATGGCGACATTGAGGACAATGCCGGGGTTGATCAAGGCAATAGCCGTCAGTTGGCTAGCCATTGCCGAAATATTTGTTTTGCTGATGCGCTTGAGAACATCTTTAGTTTCCGCCTTTGCCAGGTCGAAAGCAGACTTGATATCTGGCAGTCTGGAAGTTTGACCGAAATGCCATTCCGCGTACATGTTGAAACGGACCTCACGAGGGAAAAAGCTGACCAGTTCGAACACGTCAGAGACGGCATTGGCGACGCTCGTATCGAATTTTCTCTGCTTCTCTTCTTTTTTCCTCTTGATCCATCCCTGATCATCGCTTTTGATTTCGACTTTCTTTCTGGCCAGACTGATTGCAGGTAGCAAAAGTCGTTTACAAAGATCATGCCAGCGAGCCTTGTTGCCTTCGCTGGTATCTTCTCTCAGACTGTATTTGCCAATCCGAGCAAACTTGGTCATCAGGACAGGATCTTGGCCAATCTTGTGCCCGGAGAGATTAAGGAAAGTAGAGCACAAAGTGAAGACGTCATCGACAGACTGACAAATTGGAACATCATCGACCCAGTCATCCCAGTAGAAATGATAATCGGTTTCTTCCACGGGGTCGTCAATCCGATCAAGCTGAGCCCAGCGTTTGGCTCGACGGAGCGGGGCTGGCGCAGTCGCCGTTCCAAGAGAACTCTGGGCCTGATTGTAGACCTTGCTCAGCGAGTGGTGAAGAATGCGGTGAATGTGTTCGGGAAGCTCAGGATAGCCATCCATGACCCACGGGAATTTGCTGATGATAAACAACGATTCGGGAATTGCGCCAATAGCGAGGAGGCTCTTCAAAAGGAGCACCTTCTGATCCGAAGGATCAGGTAGTTCGGGCTCGGCCTTGGTAGTCGTTGTCTGCTTATCAGCCTCCGATTCCTTTCCTGGTGTGGCCAATCGAGAGGCAGCATCACGCAGGCGTGGAGTTGGAATAGTATCGTCCGAGAGTGCGGAGGCCATCATCAAAGCGTTCATACCACCACCTGGACGCGCAGTCTTCTCTCTTTCTGCTTTCTCTGTCATCTTTTCGGCCTTCAGAACGTCCATTGAGCCATCGGGTCTCCAAAGGTGGGCATAGAGGTCACGGAGGGAAACGAAGCCCACTTTGATGAGCAGTGCGGTCAGATAGATGAGGTTGTCTGGCAGAATATCCGACTTGGAGCGAGCCGAAGATGAATAGAACCGCAGTTTGAATCCAAGAAGCTGGGCGGCAACTCTATTGCCGGTGGTTGGCAGGGTTCCGGTCGTTTCAATCCATGTCTTGGTTGCTTCTTCCTCTTCAGGAAAAGCACTAGGGTCGGAAAGTACTCGGTGGATTTCATCCTCAGAGAGCCGTTTGCGGTTGATCTCAAAGAAAGCCTGGAGACCGACCTGTCTGGCGCGATCAAACAAGTCCCTATCACGCTGCTCATTGGACTTCACGATGCGAGCTCTTTCTTCATCGGTTGTATGACATTCCAGTGAATTTGGAAGGGCCCAGTCCGGCAGTCCTGAGGCACAGCGAGCATGGTCCTCCTTGGGCCACCAGGAGCTGACTCGCAACAACTTCACGAAGAAACGGGAGTTTTTGACAAGTACGGAAGCAAACACATCAAGCATCACATCAAGGACTCGACCAACATCCATATCAAAAGCACCGATCATGGCTTTAACTCGTTCAAACGTTTCATGGGCTACCTCACACGTGGGTGGCTCATTCTCGCTGGTGGTGAACAGATCGGTGATAAGCTTTGAATAGCCCTCGGACTCTTCTCGGAGAAGATTGTAGTTAGATTGGCGATAAAGAAGGTTGGTCTGCTTGCGGATTCCCATGCGGGTAAAGGTTTCGCGAACCAATCCTAGCGATTGCAAGAGGGGTGAGTCGAGCTGGAGACGCATGAGATTCGGAGAGATTGCGGTCGCCGAAACGAGAGGCTTCAGCACAGGGTTCGCTGTATCGGCGTCTGTGACAATTGAAAGGATGTCGAGGAACAATGAGCGCGAGTCCAGCTCGGCGGTCGAAGGCTTCGGGTCCTCGACTTCTATATCCAGATCCTGAGATGCAAATTCATCACCGATAATATCCTTGACAACTGTCCCTGCCTCCGACGGCGCCGCTCGTCCGTTAAATACGGAATAGACCAGCTCTTGGTAGATCGATGCCAATGTAGGAGCATCCTGTTGAGATAGAGCAGCGCGTCCTTGTTCCACAATCTTCTGTTTTCCTCCAGAGAACCACTCTCGTGCAACAGCGTCTGTGACATATTCGTAATCGTAAACAGAGGGTGTCTTCTTTGGGAGCTGTTCAGGATTCACGTCGGTTTCGGCTCGGGATGGAGGAGGCTGCTGGGGCTGCGCTGCGGGAGTGTTGGGCGTGGGGGAAGGTGTAGGCTGGGTCCTAACACGCTCTTCATTTGTAGGCGCATTCTCTGTTGTCTCCTGAGGCTGGTTCTGAAACTGGTTCTGAAACTGGTTCTGAGGCTGGTTCTGAGACTGGGAAGACATTGCGCTTGCATCTCGGTGCTGGTAATTGGGGCCTTCGTACGATCCGCGGCGGTAGTTGCCTCGGCCACCACCACCACCACCACCACCACCTCCTCCTCCTCGGTGAGAATAACGGCGCGGACGATCGCGTGTGTCATGAGAATCGCGGGATGGGCTAGGTTGATAGCCCTGCTGCGCGTTGTGGTGTGCCATGTTCAAGTTACCAGGACGGTGAGGCGACGGACGTGAGGGCTCGTTACTCGGCGAATCGCCTGACCACGAGCGGCCGTCGCGCTTGCGCTTGCCACCCTGACCGGGTGCCATGGCGTCTGGAAGGCCGTTGGCCACCTGAGATTGAACAGACAGATTCGAAATGATAGGTTCGATTGGATGTGCGGAGAAAGATGAAACTTGAACGGTTGGTTGCTAAACGTAACGCGCAAAGGCGATGATCAGCGATTGAAAAAAGATTGGGAAGCGGAAACGTGTGTGGAAAAGAGTTGGAGAGAAAAAGCCTTACCAGCGTGGACAATTATGCCCTGCGGGTAGCTAAGCGAAGGGTGGTGAATGGCGAGGATGAGTGAATCACGATGGCAGTGAAGCTTGTTCGCAGCAAAGATGGGGCCGGCCCGAATGCGTGGTGCCTGAGGCAATAACTGCCTCCCCTGCCGCCCGGACTAACTATGCGGTAACTCCTATGCAAACATATCCCTGGCACTTCGTTGCGTTGATTGTTACTGCCATCATTCCATGGATTTTTATTTGATTGCTTTAGCGTACAGAACCAATAGCATGGTCTCATTGATTGACAATTTATTTCTACTCCAATCGAAGGCAGCAAAAATCGCGTGAGAAATTACCAGTACCATCGTTTCCTTATTGGGGGGAGCTTTTAAACTCATTTTTTCCTATCAAAAACAAAATTCACAGACCAAGCGCTTTCGCCTCGAGCGAGACAATGTCCGGTATCAAGTCAATCAACTTGGGCTGCTTAGGCTCCCATCCAAAAAGCTTCCGGGCCCGAATTGCACGTCCACGAGAGTTGGAACCCCAAGCATAAAGACCCACGGACAAAATATCGCTAGTCTGCTTGTCGTCCAGAGACTCGACCGCTGGTGATTCAATAAATTTCTGAGCATGTGCCTCCTCGGCCACCTTCCGCTGGATATCCCCCCACACGAAAGAACCATTCTCGGCAAGATAGTATCCCTCTTCGTTCCATGTGGCTTTCCCTCCACCAGCAGCCGCAGCATCACCCAGAGCCAGATAGACGTTGCTCAAATCTTGGACGTGAACCTGGTGCCAAACATTTTCTCCCTTCCCAACCAAGAAGCCTTTGCCGCGCTTCAACACCGCGGCGCTCAGCAGGTAGGCCTGTACACTCTTGGTATTGCCAGGCCCACGGCCAGGGCCATAGATAGTAGGTGGGCAGACAACAGCGGTACGAGCACTGAATGGGTCGCGTCGGCCGATGCCAATAATAATTTCGTCTACATTTCGGTGGAAGGCGTCCTCGGGAAGGTTGACAAGCTCGCTAACTCCCTCCCAGTCGTTATATTCTTTAAGTCGTTCGATTCCATAGCTTCGAGCGCGCTGGTCCTCGACCGTCAGGATGCCCGTGCCCGAAGTGTGAATTAGCCACAGGGGCCGCTCAGGTGTGTGATGCTGAGCACCTTTGGCAATCGCCTTGGCCGCGGCGACGTGATCACAATCGGCGAAATCTGACAGCGCAAGGTCAGCCTTGCAAAGCTCAGAACAAAAGCAATATTGAGATGTTTGGGGAACCCACGGAAGACAATATCAGCATTCTTCACTTCCTCCTCGATGATATCCGAAGAATCCAGGTCGCCGAGGACCACCCGAATCTTGGGATACTGGCTCGTCAGCCGGGCAGCCTTTTCCTTGCTGCGGACGAGGGCAGAGAGTTCCCAGTCGGGGTGCGCATTGGAAACGGCATACAGGCCATCACCACCGATATAGCCGGTCACGCCAGTCCTGTGGAGACAATCAGCATAGCTTGATAGGGATGAAAAGTGGGGAGGCTCACAAGAAGACCTTCGGAGCCATGTTGCGTGGAGACGATAGATTGATAATAAACTCTGGGCAGAGAAGTTGAAAGAGGGGTCAGATAAATGAAGATTGAAGGTGAGAGTGAGACAAAAACTTTGTCCTAGTTGGGGTTGTGTTTGCTTTGAAATCAGCTCAATTGAGAAACTTGCTCCGAGGAACCACAAAGGTGGGGGCGTGAACAGCCCATCCCCGAGCTTTGAGCTGCTTCGACTACATGATCCAGTCGACTGTCTGATGATTTTAAGTATGTAAGTATTTCAAATGAGTTGACTATCCGCTTAGAAGTTGCGAAGAAATCGCCGCCCCCAAGCGATATTCAACTTCCGGTGATACTGTTGATAGCTGTCCCGCATGACATCAGAGAGTCGGATATATCACTCTGCGGGAGACGAGCAGGCATCGTCACGCCATCAAGTTCAAAAAATGGTATTCAAAGAAAGAAGAACGTGAGACTCTCCAGTACTTGGTGAGATTTTATTCTCTTCAACCATTACGTTATGCGCGGTCCCCACCTGAAGAGGTACATGCAATACTTTGTGTACAGCAGATGACCCACTAGCGCATTATTCGATGACTTCCTACACTCCAGGGCTGTAAGTAGTATGCAATGATAGTTTGTGGATTGGCGGATAACTAATTAAGTCCAAAATTTTGTATTTACACTAAAGTGTAGCAGTGTATGGCATGGTAATCTACTAAAACGACATTTACTGTTGCTGTAGAACCGTCCAATCACGCCGTGACATGGCGGTGGCACGAGCGCTGGGAAGTATAAAGGCGGCCAGCGCAAGCGGGGGGATTTCGTATCGACAACTCCCCAGAACATCGAGCCCTCCACCCATGCAAAATCTCAAATCAAACCATCATGGCTTCGGGAAGTTGCGCTTGCAAACACATTCGCTATACCACCTCTGCAAGCCCGACTAGGCTGGTCAACTGCCACTGCTCCGAATGCCGCAAACAAGCAGGTGCACCCTACCTGTCCTTCGTACACGTCCCTGCTGGCTCAATTCAGTGGGAGACGGAGCCCAAGGAATGGAAATCCAGCGAAAATGCTACCCGTACCTTCTGTCCTCGTTGTGGATCGGTCCTCACGATGAAAGTGTTCAGCATGCCCGAGGAAGAGGGGTTGGCGGCGGGTACGCTGGACGATGTCAAAGGACTGGTTCCGTCTCTGTCTGCTCATATTTTCTTGAAGGAGAAGGCTTCCTGGTTCCAGGTGCCAGATGATGGAGCAGAGAGGTATGAGGGATGGCCTCAGTGATAGGAGGGTATCGTGGCGACTGACCAGGTTGGGAAGGGGCGTTGTTTCAGAGGGAAAGGGGTATGTCGTTGAGAAGGGGCATGTAGTAGAGATTTTAGGGAGGTCTTCAAAGCAGGGAGTTTGCGCAATGGAGCGACAATTTTTTTTCATCCATAAACAATGATAGTTCTGGTTTGAGAAGGCAACTTGGAGATGTCCAGGTGGCTGTGTTTCATATGATATCTTGGGGAATCCGAACAAACTACAAACATAGAATTGGGCCCATAATAGCTTAATAGAAAAGAAAAGAAAAGAAAAAAGACGAGACACGAATTAAAAAAGCAACAAAGGGGAATCACGGAGTCGTGCTCAGGCTACATGTACACATTTGATACTGAATACAGTCGATGCGTTCCAAGATTCTGTTCAGTTTAGAAGGTGCTGGTGGCCAGCCGGCTAGCAGCATTGCGAGCATCCAGACGATCATCATCTTCCTCCGCGATCGCCTCGGTCGTCTGGCTGGTAGATCGAGCTCGGCCCTGGCCAGACCCGGGACTAGTCTCATCATCATCGTCGTGGGCGATTGAAGGGGCAGTGAAGCTGCCACTCATGCTGCGCCCCATGCTATCCGGACGACGGGGAACTCCACTCCAGGCGTCCCCCTTAGGGCCCTGACTCGAAACAGCATGTGTACGGCGAGTGGCCGGGTGTGCCTCACGTCCCAGCCGGCTCAACCCACCAGAGGCATCAATGGCACGGATATCAGGTCGGACGCTCTCCAGAGTGGCGAGGGTGCGGCGCTCTGCTTCAATCTGGCGCAGTGTATACTCGCGCAGACTGAACAAAAGGTCCGCAGTGGTCCGGTCGAACCAGCGGCGCTTCTCGTGAAGCAGGTTATTCGTCACGCGGTGGGTGCGTTTAGTAAGATAGTCCTCATGGCCTTGAGCTTCCTCCAGGGCACTGATTGCCTCATCGACCTTGTCCGGGCGAACAGATGAGCTGACTTTCAATCGGTCTGCCGCGGCACGTTTGCTTCGAGCGTTCTGCTGAGCCTGAAGAAGTTCGCGCAGTAGGATGTGTCTGTTGGTCAGAGTCTCCTTCACAATGAAAGCGTCCGAGGAATGATAGCTCAATGGCTCTCCCAAAGTCGTGGCCTCAGCGGTCGCCTGGACAGCGTGGAAGTCACCGACGGTTTGAATTATCTTGCCAAGCTTGCGGTAAGCCAGTCCCAAACCAGGGTGTGTTTCCTGAACGTGCATCTGTCCAATCTTGACACCAAATTCAGATTCGGCCAAACCCAGTCCTAATAAAAATTAGCTGTATGTTTCCAACTTAGGCGGTTTATTCAATTGACGTACCTCGACGACCTTTAACAACGCGGTCCACCTTGTGGCTCGCATCCATTGATCCGAGGTAGAACATCTTGACAGTGGGACGAGCATCCTGAAGCTCGGGGGTATCATCCGGGGGCGGCGCAAATTGCTTCAACATCTTGCGCCGTACACCCGTGGCCGGCTGTTTCATGCGGAGAACGGGGCTATATCCGAAATCACTCTCCACGAAAAGCACCATCTCGTCGTCTTGAATGAGAACCTCATTGCTAAGCACGATATTGAGCCATCGTTGCATAGAGGCCTTGACTCGGATCTCGTCTTCGTCGGTCCCAGCGCCGGCGGGGGTGACTGGTGGTGGCACCGCGGGGACAAGAGCCTCGGGACAGGCCGAGATCAAGTGGTCGGCGAGCTTGGTGAATTCGGAGTGTGTACGACGAACATCGCGGTATTGGGTCGTGCGGAATTTGGGGATATTAGTCTGCATTGAGATTTCAATCCGAAGTTAGTCATAGTCATGCTCGGGGACACATTGGGATTCCTAGGGGGTCAATCAACTCACGTGGACATCAAATCGGAGAATGGGATCTTTCTTGCCCGTCCGCTCCAGACCAGTGATCTTTCCTTGGATCCTGTATGTCGGCACCGGCGCGGGAGGGCGGGAATTCTGTCTTGCTCCGGTATGGTACCGTGCGGGGAGCTGTGACCGCTGCTCTGCATTAGGGGATTGCTGAGTCGCGAACGGTGACTGGCCCTCCGCATAGTCCGGGTCTCCTATTTGGGCACTCTGAAGTTGAGCAGAAAGGTCGGGGGATTGAATCCCGGCATCCTGCGCACCGTCCGCGCTGTCCGTTGACTGTTCCTGACCGGGCAGTGGCGATGACGGGATATCGCTGTTGCTGGAGGTGGGGAACGTGGTTCGGTCGGGGCGCGGAGAACCCCAGGGCGAGGTGCCGGCGGGATGATCGGGATCGTGGGAGATGGCTGAGTAGTCCATCTTTGATGGGATTGGAGGTAAGGGGCGTCTTCACGGGAGGGCCAAAGGGTGAGAGCTGCTAAATGACAGGCGTCAGTATTATGGGCTCGGGATTGACCCCAACAGTAGCGGCCAGGTAGCTCGGAAAGCAGTCGGAGAACCCACGTCGGCGCAGGCAAAGTTGACAGCGAAGGTCGCTAAAAGAAGCGCATAGCAAAGCACAAACAAGTCCTGAGCGTGAGGTTGGCGGTCCGAAATGTCGAAGTGTGGAGGTTCGGGAGTTACGTAGGAGTGGAATGCGCGCGCCAAGCCCCGAAGTTGCCAGCTCCGCGCGGTTTTCCCTTTAAGCTCTCACAATCGTGCATTGCATGGAACAGCGCGCCAATGAATCGGTCCCTTTGAAAAAGATATCGACATCAAAGAGCTCAGTATATATACCAGATTGCATGGTAGCTTCCTAGGAAATGGTCGCAGCCCCGTTGTTGCGCCTCCCCGGCTCGGGGATGCGTTGTATGGGCTCCCGTTTTTATAGGAGCCCAATCAACCCTCTCAAGAGCTTCTCCGGGCTCAATAGCATACAAGCGCAAAGACAGTCTATACAATGCTTCTCTACTTCTTTGTCCAGGTGGCAGGACGAAGTCTTGGACCGAACCCGCAACATCGGAATCATCGCTCACATCGATGCCGGAAAGACGACGACCACGGAACGCATGCTATTTTACAGCGGCTTCACTCGGCGCCTCGGCGATGTGGATGAGGGTTCGACTGTGACTGATTTCTTGCCGGCTGAGCGTGCACGAGGAATCACCATTCAGTCGGCTGCCATCACCTTCCATTGGCCTCCTGGTAATGTCGACGGGGCTCAGACGGGGGCGCGAGACCAGTCTTTACCGAGGTCTGCAGCTTCACATACGATTAATCTCATCGACACGCCGGGTCACGCAGACTTTACATTTGAAGTCATGCGATCCTTGCGCATTTTGGATGGCGCTGTCTGTATTCTGGACGGTGTGGCCGGAGTCGAGGCACAGACTGAGAAGGTCTGGCATCAGGCGAGCACGTACAAGATCCCTCGCGTGATCTATGTCAACAAACTGGATCGCGATGGAGCTGCCTTTGGTCGGACAGTGCGAGAAGTGAGCTCTCGCCTATCTGTATACCCAGCAGTATGCCATATTCCTTGGTTCGAAGGGGTGACGGGGCCATTTGTTGGTATTGCCGACGCTATTAACCTCCAAGCCCTGAGATGGAAAGAGGGCGATGATGGACGCACCGTGAAAATGATGAATCTGGAACAACTTGACGCGGAGGAGCCGTCTCTGGGACAAGAGCTGAGAAAGGCGCGAATTGCGCTGGTCGAGCTCCTCAGTGAACAGGACGAAACTATTGTTGAGAATTTCTTTGAATGCGACGAGGACCACATGGCCGTCTCTTCTATGGATATTATCGACAGTCTCCGACGGTGCGTTCTCGACCCGACAAGTCGAATCGTACCACTTTTCGCAGGAGCGAGTTTCCGCAATATGGGTGTCCAGCCATTGCTCGACGCGGTTGTGAATCTCCTTCCCAGCCCCGCTGAGGCCTCTGATCCAGAGGTCAGTATCGGTGGCGTTAAAGGAGGACTACGACGGTTACTCTCAGGTGACCTTATCGTCGAGCAGAGCGAGAAAGCCTCTGTTCCTGCCAAGAGCAAGAAAAAGAAGAACACTGCTCCTCAAACCAACCCCAAAGATGCAATTGACAAATTGCAAAGCTGCGCCTTGGCATTCAAGGTGGTCAACGATGCCAAACGTGGCGTATTGGTTTACGTGAGGGTGTATTCTGGCTCTCTTGATCGCAATAGTCTGCTTTTCAACACCAACCTGCATCTTTCTGAACGGGCCCCGCGTCTGCTGAAGATGTACGCCAATGATGCAGTGGAAGTGGATTCCATTCCAGCGGGCCATATCGGTGTCGTGGTCGGGCTGAAGCAGGCCCGTACCGGAGACACTCTCGTTTCCTATGCTGGCAACAAGCCGACACCCCCGGAACCTTTGACCAGTCTACAGCTGCGTCCTATTGAAGTGCCCCCACCAGTCTTCTTCACCAGCGTTGAGCCGCATAGTCTGAGCGAAGAAAAGAGAATGCAAGAATCACTTGCACTACTCCTGCGAGAGGACCCGAGTCTCCACGTCAGTGTGGATGAAGAATCAGGCCAGACTCTTCTGAGCGGCATGGGCGAATTGCATCTTGAGATTGCCCGTGATCGTCTCATCAACGACCTCAAGGCGAAGGCCTCGATGGGTCGTATCGAGATCGGATATCGCGAATCCGGATTGGGTGAATCGTCGCCGGTCACCAAGATCTTTGATAAGGAAGTTGCCGGTCGCCGTGGTAAGGCAGGCTGCACGGCACTTGTCCAACCACTCAATGGGGAAGATATCTCCGACGCAGCGGAAGAAGACACTCTGCTTGCTGAAAATATCGAGGGCAATCAAATCATTATCCGGGCACACGGTCTGCAAATGGAGCGTGCATCCCGAGGAGAAGAAGAATCTAGTCCATTCCTACCACCCGGTATGGATACAGTCACCCTTCGCACAGCACTGCAAAACGGTGCCTTGGCAGCTCTCGCCCGTGGTCCCCAATTCACATTCCCGATGCACAACACCCGGGTCACGCTCACCATCAACCCTCCGGAGCATCTCTTTGGCGGGGATACTACAACCTCTGCACTCGCCGCTGCAGCCCGTCAGGCCACCAGTGCCGCGTTGCGAGAGCTACTTACAGGTCCGGGAACTGTAATGATGGAGCCGGTCATGAATGTCATTATTAGTGTCGATGAAGCAAGCCTGGGCTCAGTTGTCCATGACATTTCGTCTTCGCGAGGCGGCCATATCGTCTCTCTCGATGAGCATGTTCCTATCCCTGGTACTGATGCGTCAAGCACCGAGTCCATTGCCGCCGAAAATGACCTACCTCCCATTAACCCCAACCGCGTGTATGCGCCGCCAGATCCATTTGCAACGCAATCTGTTGCTGCAGAGATATCTGCCATCTCGTCTAACCCACGCACAATCACTGCCAAGGTGCCCCTGAAAGAGATGGTTGGGTACCTGAAGCATCTACGGAGCCTGACAGCTGGTCGGGGCACTTTTGTTATGAGTGTGGACCGGTTTGAGAACATGTCTGCTCAAAGACAAAAGGCCGTCCTTGCGGAGCTAAGAGGTGGCTTCTGAGGCAGTTGTTCCTCAAATTGAAGCAGCTTCTTCTCGTTTATAAGCATCCGTGTACATTACATTATATTCCCTCTATAGCATCTTCTCCAATGTACTACCACTACGTTTTCAATGCGAAGACAATTACACACATGCAGTATGAATCTAGCAAATCAAAGTTGTAGACCTCCCCGCAGTACACGTAGGAGATACTTTATTCATCAAATCCAAACGAGGTATATGAGGTAACCAAAAAGGCAAGACGGTATACAAAAGTCATGGCGTCTGAAACCCGCCTCGTAAACACATGGAACGACTAGCCAATTCCGAATATATACTACCATTCATCATCCCATTCATCCTTCTCCTTTGGCTTCGTTTTAGAAGCTTCAGCCCCCTCTACCCCAGAAGGCACCGAAGTGTCCGCAGCCGAAGCGGGAGTCGAGTTGGACAAACCAGAAGTTGCTGGGGTAGGGCCCTTGCGCATCGCAGCAGTCCCAATGACGTCTGATCGCGATCCACTTCGCTGGTGACCCGTCCGCTCCTTCTCTTGTTGCGAAGCAATTGATGAGAAGTCGTCCCAGAAATCCCGACGCTCGGGCTCGACGCGAGAACGGGAGGAGCCCTGGGCACCTTCATCGCCCTCGACAAAGCGGTTGAACTGGTCTGCAGCGCTGCGGGCACCTGTTTGAAAGTTCTGGCCCCAATTAGCCGCCTGCATACGGGCCTGGGCAGCAAAGTCGGATTCGGCGAGTTGCTTCGCGGTCGGTTGCAAGTATGAGTCGTTGACCGTCTTCGCACCCCTTCCGACCGTCGACGCGAACCAGCCGAATCCTTTGCTCAAACTGCCCATGGGATCTTTCTGGAAATCATCGAGTCCTCCTCCTCCTCCTCCACCACCACCACTCCCAAATGCGCCCCATCCACCGAACCCGCCAAATGGTGAAGACCGACGGTCACCAGCAGCCGGAGGCATACCACCTCCGAAGCCAGTGAACTTTCCGCCCTGCGAAGGAGGCAGAGCATCAGAGCGCGTGGAGTTCTCGTTACCCAACTTGGCAAAATAGGCCTCGTTCTGTTCCTTCTTCGTAGCGGCCCCGCCTCGCACGCTATCGGATCGAATAGAGGTAGTAGGCGAGCTCGTCCTCGCCCCAGCGCCAGCGCCAGCCGCACCTCCAAGACTCATCGGTGTGCTGGATCGCGATGAGGCGTTGGCATTGTTCTTCTTCTCCTGGCCCTGCACGTACTCGCGACCTTCAACCTTGCAGGTTAGACGCTCCTTCCATTCCTCACCCGCATCGCCGTCGTATCGTTCCTTAATAGTCGAATCTTCGAATGTGCGGCCCTCGGAGGTGGTGACCGGATGCGCATCATAGAATGCCTTCCAGGGCTCGTTTCCTCCGAGCTCCATGCGCTGGATCTCGGCGTGCTTGAAGGCGTCCATGGTGATCGAGCGGACGAAGGAGATGTGTACACCGAGCCCGCGGTGTGTGCCTGCACAGTTGAGGCAGATGAAGGTTCCGAACTTGGGTGAGGCCTACATGGGAGGACAGAATGTTAGTCTGATGTCTGGTGTAGATGGGAGGACATGGCCAGTAGGAGGGGGGCATCGCCTCCGTTCAGGATTGCGGCCACTGGGCGCAAATTGTATTCAGAGCTGGAACTGGAGTCTGAGTGACATACCCATTGAGGCGATGGTGCACCGCAATCGCAACATCTATCATTTCCATTTGTCTTGGAGATCTGGAGGAGCTGTTCGTCCGTTGCGTGTCAGTCGTCCTGATCGTGCAGCGAGCCTGGCGGCCAATGGAGGGGGGCGATTGTGAGCGCACCTTTGTCCTTGTCTCCGGGTCGACCTCCCACATGCGAGACATGATGTTGGTTATATATAGAGTGTTGCAGTAGGGACAATGGGAAGGGAAGCCAGGCACGCAAGATGGCGATCCAAGGGTGTGGGTGGAGCGGACTCGGTGCCGCACGTTGATTTCGGAGAATGAGACGGTTTGGTGCCTAACCCCTTTTCTGTTGATTCTCGATCGCTCCACCGAACGCACGCAAGAAAAAGGGGCAACGGGAGTCGAGTAAGCAGTATCGGATGCGTAGTTTGAGGGTAGAGCGAGGTGTACGACATACCTCAGGTATGTTTTGGCCGCCGATCAGCGAGGGTGCGAGGGTCGCTCCGAGCTAGCGTCATCGCCAAGGTTGAGACCAGCTGGAGCACAGCAGTCTGCCAGAAGGCCAGTACTCTGCTCCCGTTAAGGTACTACGGGGAATTCGACGAAAATACTAGCGAGCATACAATAGAGGCTACGAAATTACACTTGTACCGGCGAGGAGACCTTGGGCAGATCGTCATCAGAAGTTAAATGAAGCTAAGATACAGATGGAGAAGGCAAAGGTCGTTAAAGGATGGGAGGCCAAAGCAAAGCTCTCCAGCATGGACATTCCATGGCATCCGTAAAAACAAAGGAAAAATGTCATCACAACTCATCACCACAGATTGCGTCCAGAAGTACTCGCTCAGGAAAGGAATGGTCCTACCGGGTGACTTGAAAATCACTATGTCATATTCATATCACGCAACTAACGCCCCTCCATTCCGAAAAGCAAGCCATTCAGCAATCCATCTGTGGAAAAATAAGACCAGCTTAAGCAGTGCTCTCGACGGGAGCAGCCGCGGCGGGGGCAGCGGCGGGAGCAGCGTTGTCCTCAGCAGAAGGGTTGGTCTCCTCATACTTGTCGGCCGCGGCATTGACGTCGTCCTCCTTGCCGGGGCTGTCAATAGCAACCTTCACGGCGATGGTGCGACCGTCGATCTCCTTGCCGTTCATCTCGGAAACGGCCTTGGCCTGGAGCTCCTCAGAGGCCAGGTTAACAAAGCCGAAGCCGCGGGTCTTGCGACGCTCGTTGCGAGCTTGGAGCTTCTTAATCATGAAACGAGGAATGGGACGCAGAGCGACCTTGGCCGAGACGGGGGAGTATTCAACGAAGATCTCCTTCAGCTTGTCCTCGGTAAGGTCGTAGGGAAGGTTGGCCACCATAACCTTGGTCTTGGAGGGAATACCGTCCTCGGGTGGTCCACGCTGCTTCTGGTTCGGCTGGCGCGCAGCTCGGGCCTTACCCTGCTTGGCGCCGTCGGCGGTAGCGGACTCGGTCTCGTTGGCGGTAGCCGCAGTAGTTTCGGCGGGGGCGGCTTGGTTAGCGGCGGGGGCGTCGGTGGTATCCTGACCATCCTGAGCCTGTTAAAAACAATTCTAATGAGCAATGCGGGTTAGAAAAACAGGGGAACTTTGAACTTACACCACGACCGCGTCCAAGTCGGCCACCACGGCCGCGAGCTCGACCGCGGCCACGGCCCCGACCACCGGTACGCTTGCGGCCCTCGTTGCCGCTGGCACCCTCGCCACCACTAGCAGCGCCCTCCTTGGCCTCGACGGGCTCCGGCTTGCGAGCGAGCTGCACGGAGACCTTGCGCGAAAGGATCTCCTTGCCGGACAGACCTTCGATGGCGGTAGTCGCTTCGGCGGCGGTGGCGAGGTCAACAAACGCGTAGCCGACGGGACGGTTGGTGCGTGGGTTCACCGGGATCGAGGTACTCTCGCTGAAAGCTCCAAGTCAGTATTGCTGGACACAAGTGATCCTGTTGGGGGTTGGGGAGCGGGAAGGGGAGCGTCATCTTCAGCTCAGCCACACGAGCTTCGCCAAAGCTTGACCATCGAAACGTACATGGCGTAACCCTTGAAGAACTCCTTGAGCTCCTCCTCGGTGGTCGCATAAGCGAGGTTCCCGATGTACAGACGACGACCCTCATCGGCGCTGGCGGCCGCGGCGTCGGTGGCCTGAGTGGTCGCAGCGGTGCCGTTAGTGGTGGGGGTGTCGTTGATGGTGGTGTTAGCCACGGAGTCGGCGAGGTTGTCGACGGCAGACATCTTGAAGGCGAGACACAAAGATAGATGATGGGTAAAAAAGCTCGATGTGTCAAACAAACACAGAGGGGAGTGTTTGTTCGGGTTGGCCTGGGGGCGGGGGTTGAAAACTTGACGAGGGGAGAGTTGGGGGAAGGAGCAGGGTAGCTTGGTGCCCTAGATACCGGTTGAAGAGGGGGGGAAGAAGAGATGATGGAAATCAGAAGGTAGAGGATGACACTACGAAGGGAAGGAAGAGAGGAAGGGAGGAAGGTGGAAAGGAGGAGGCGGTGTAGACTAGCCTGTTGGGGGGATTCGCTTTCACTGTTGCGTTTGGGCGGCAGTACTCGGGCGGCGGCCAGGCCAGGCTAGGCTGCGCTCAGCCCGCCCAGTGAATCCAACGAGGGCGCCTTTGTCAAGCCGCCTTACCCAGAGCTAGGGGCCCACGCCGGCCGCTCACCTCAATTCACCAAGTGAGTGCCCCGGCAACAGCTTAACGTCATTGTGGAGCCGGACCCAATTCGGTGAGGTGCCATGATCTTCGATCGATTCGACTGGCTTCACCGACTGGCATTGACTCACTTGGAGGAATCAACGGATCGAGCTCTGATCGGATAGGCGAAAACAGGGAGGTATTGCGGGCAATTTTGATGATAACATTCTGCCCCCAAAGCTACCTGCATATTGTGGCTACCTTGATTTGGAGCTTATTTCCCAAAAAGGTTCCTACACGAGCGGACCAGCAAGGGCAAAAACGGCAAGTAAAATCCATGACAGACAATCCAAGCGACCATTGCAGTCATTCTATGCACGTCAACTGAAAGCTCTCAATAATCAAACAGGTGTTCGCTCATTCCCCAACCTGCTTTGCCGGCATCTCCACAAATCGGGCAAAAAAATCATTTACAGTTTTAAAATGTATCAACACTGCACCACCAGGCGGTAGACCCATTATTAACTTCCCAAGTACTCAAGTGCCACTCCCAGATAGCGTGGGCAGTTGGCCATCCGCAGGGTATCCCTCAGTATTGTTCTTGGCATTATCCCACGAACACAAAGTGAGTCGAGTTAGCTCAGAAAGACAAAGCCCTCTAAGCTCCAGGTCATACCTGTAGTAGTTAGGCTTAGATACTTTCTCCTAACTCTAAATATGTGACTTACTCTACTGTATGTACATTCATCATGCCGCTGGAAATTTCTTCAATGCAATGCTGATCTTCCACCTCAGCCGGCTCCACTTGTGCGACCCTGCTTCGCCACGTCTCAAGGCTGGAATTTCAGCCATGGTCCGACGTGCACAGACAACCTCTGACCTAATCTCACACCCCGTGATACCCAAACTACAGGCTGTATCAGTGAAGGATCATGGTTGTCTCTGTACAAGGGAGATGGCCAGAGCTGGTCGCGTTACTCTGCAGTGGTACAGCTGGGAATGCGGATGAGCCGATGCCGAAAAGAAAACACAATCGCAACACTTCTGAAATGGCACGAGAATCGATTCTGTGCCATCTAACTACACGTTGAGGGTGTTTGAGTTGACACGACGATAGGTTCCTCAGCTTATAGCCTCGACTTGTTGAGCTCCTTGTCCCGGCGGAGAGTCCTGCGTTTCAATCCGGTCAGCCAAAGAGACAAACGTATACGTAGAATGTGCGATGTTCGCAAGCAAAACAACGCTTTCCGAGGGCATTTTTTTTCCAGGCTACTTCTTCAGCCGTCCACAAAGCTTTGCCTAACGTATTCGCTTTCATGATGTGCTGCTAATAGTAGCACGTAAGGTATCTACATGCCATCGATTATCCCGCAAAGAACACAAGTTCTTGATCAAAGGTGCCGATGAAGCTTTCATGGCTAGAATTTCGTTCCCAATGAGGAGAGAGTTGGGGGGGGGGGGGGGCGAGTACGGGGTCCTAATTCGGCGAATGCAGAGGTAGTATCAGAAACCGGCCAGTCCTTCAAGTCGTCCATGCACTTTGTGATTGTCCGTTATGGACGTTGAGCAAATGTGCAGATCTGTGAGTACTGTAGTCCCGTGGAGAAATATGAAGGCTTCAAGGCCGCTAGAGAAAGAGGAAGAGGGTTCGTCAGAATAGGAGCTAGAATAGCTGGAAGGATCTCTGGTATTCGTGGTGGCTCATGGACCTGTCTCAGGAGGCTTGGGGCTTGTGGAACCATGACCGGGTAGAGCAGCCTCAGCGGATGAGATACTCCCAGTATCAATACCACGCAATCGATGTAAGAAATTCGGGGCTATAATTGCTCGAAGAATCGTTAATTATGATGTTCATTTCCTTTTGTGACTCCGAGATTCGGGATTCTGTCGAGGCTAAGACCAATGAGGAGGATGCTTTGGTCACTGCATCACTGCATCAGATATGTAGCACCATAGACGTTGGGGAAGGAGGCCAGGGACGAGGCATGTTTCGAACAGAATTATGTATGGGACAGTGTCGATATGATGGCGATAGAGAAGTAAGATTCGGTAGTTGTCTCTCACTTTGATCTCAGATATCTAATCCATCGTTAGGTACCCGATCCGAAGCTAGGGTCGAATAATAGTCATATAGCCAGTGAGATACTCAAAAATTGGATTCGTTCGAGACTCGCAAGAGTATGGCTTAATTCCTGTTAAGTGCATATACAATACCCCATTCCCCGTACGCATGTCCAGCGCGCTGTATGTGATTCGGGGCAGTCGTGGACCCCATTGCTTAGCGTAGCTTAAGGATCGGCTCCACCCGTCAAGCATGGCCCCTGCGATCTATACAGCGCCTGCCGTCCAGCACTCTGGAGTTGCCCTCCCCGACGGCCCTACTTTACCACTGCCGCCCCAAGTAATCCCGTACATCACAACAGCAGGGATCAACTGCACACGCGATGCAAGCAGGAAAAGAGTAGCGTGGCCTCCACTGCGATCGACAGCTTAGCTCCGCCGGCGACTCCACCGCAGCGTCACAGCCAAAACAAGATTCGGGCGGCTTACTCATCCCCCCAGCGTTTTCGTTCCAGGCCCAGCAAATCATCCAGGAATTGTCACAGTTTCGGGTTTCTTCAGGCTATTACTGGGGGCGTTGGGCTGTTTACTCACTGTGTCCAGGTCTCCATACGGCCTCGCATCCCGTATTGACTCCCTGTTCCAGCCCCCCGGGATTTGCCCTTGCAACCTCCCTGTGGGACTACGAACCTCGATGGCGGATCGCATCGAGCCCGTGGACGACCCCGTTGAAGGGAATCACCCAGACGCACAACCAACCGAATCGATCTCGGTCAGACCGCCGTTGACGACTCTGCGCCCTCGGGCGCCCTCTTCGTCAGGGCGAGCGCGCCGGCCTAGTATTCGACTGTCGCGTCTCTCCTCCGTCTCCTCGTTCGAAAATGAAGCGCAATCCCAACAAGCGCAGCCGGAAACTCAGCCGGGGCCATCGGTCAGCAGATATCCTTTCCCGGAGGTGACTTCACCCGTGGCCGAAGAGGATGAATCGGCGCACACGGGGCGACGGCGCAGTAGCTCTGAGCCGCGACCTGGACGATGGTCGTCCCCTCCCCCCGACGTTCTATCGCGGGTGGCGACACCCGGACGCATGATGCCTCTGAAGGAAGAATCTTCCCGCCAAAGCCCCATGTCTCCTCGTCCTGGTGCAAGCGAGAATCAAGGTGCTGCACCGGATGCTGCCTCCGAATTGGCTGTTCCTCCACCCGTCACACAGCCGGGAAGGTTGCGGCGGACGAGCCAGGCGGCGTTAAACCGGTTCTCTCGCAACCGCGCATCGACGGTTACCGGTGCCCCGCCGACCCTCAAGAACACAGAAGATGACGAAAATCGTCCGAACGAATACGGCTCTCATGTGGTGGATGTACTGGACGTCATTGGTAAGGCTTTTCTGATAGAGACTGCGGGGAAGGAAAGGGTGGCTAACAGGTGGAATGCCCATAGACCCGGAGGTTTCGGCACTTTCAACCCTCACAAATGTTCAGAACTCGCTGTTCGTCCCCAATTTGGGTGGCTTCGTCAATCGTATGCCCACCTACACCATCACTCGCCCGCCACCTTCGGATGAAGAACAAGCGACTTCCACGGATGAGGACCAGTCGGAGAGTGATAAGCTCAAGGAACGGCCCACCTTGGAGCAGCTTCGTCCATTCACTAGCATGTCATCGGTGTTGGTCGGCCCTCGCTATGCCGTTTTGCCCGAGGGACATGAGTTGGAAGGTTGGACTCGAGAAGATTTCATGGAGCTGAATGATCACGTTCGGCACATGCTCCACTCTCGTCGCTCCAAGTTCAAGAGAGCGATGAAAGGGTTTGGACAATATGTCTCCAAACGTAAGTGCCAGTGGGATTTTAAACCTCAAGCTTGCATCTAAGACTAGCCTAACCGTGCTCTAGCTCTCGGTTTCCTAATTACTCTCTATGCAACTCTAATCACCTTGTTCGGTCTGGCTTGGGTTCTCTTCTTGATCGGTATGTTTCCCGGCTTCGCTTTCCGCGTAACCTGCGACAATTCTAATCTTATCCAGGTTGGATTAATGTCGGCGGTAAACAATTGCAAGTCATCAACATCATCGACAACATCCTAGTAGGCTTATTCGCCATTATGGGTGATGGATTAGCTCCTTTCCGGGCTGTGGACACCTACCACATGATTTTCATTGCACACTACACGCATCTGACCTGGAAGATCCGTCGTAAGCGGCAACTTCCTAAACTGAAGGACAAAAACGACCTTCCATCGCAACGGGAGAAAGATATCGATGTCGAGTTTGGCGACACCTCTAAGGAAGATGAGCATGAATTTTCGGTCCTTGACCCTCGACAGCAACTTCGCCTGATGCACCATCAAAACAAGTTTGCCAAATCGCACACCTTCTACAAACCCCACGAGACATTTACCCATCACGCTTTCCCACTTCGAATTCTTATTGCCATCGTCGTCTTGCTTGATTGTCATTCGCTGCTTCAGATGGCGCTGGGTGCCTGTACCTGGAGTATGGAAGATCCCGGAGAACGACCTTTTGCCTTGACCACCGTCATCCTCTGTTGCTCAATCACCTGCAATATCTCTGGTGGTGTGTTGATCATGATCGGCGACCGACGTACGCGCAAGAAGGAGATTGTGGAGAGACTCTTCCGGCAGCAATTGACTGAAGAGGCGATGAGGAAGATGGAGAAGCGCAAAGTCAAGGAAGAGCGGCGCAGCATGCAAATGAGCCGCCCCGAGCCCTACGGTGGGACTTAAAAGCAGGCCTCTTTTCGCCTCTCCCACTTCTTCACGATCGTCCCACGACCTTCACGAATCTTATCTTGGGGTATTTTTCTTATACGCGCTAGTCAATCTCCCCGACTGTACAGTCTTCCGCCTGGCCCCGTTTGTCATTTTCTTGGCCAGGCAGTTATATATATCGCCTTGGCGTTCTGGATTCCCCTTCTTGGGACCTGGCTTTGGTTTTGCTTTACGTATTGTCTTTTTAATAGCCCTGTTGTATTATGATTCCCCTACCCAATCTAGACTCATGCTTCTGTGCGACTGCGGCCTTTCGCTCTAATGATTTGAATCTGCTTGATCATGCTACCATGTCTTTATTTCGGCATTTAAACAAAATTCAAATTTGATTTAGTATAAGCAAGCGATCTAAGTGCAATTTCCCTAACCCATCCTTGAAACAAAAACTTAAACATGAAAATCCACCTACGGCCATTTAACAAGTGAGCAGCACCCCCTGTCCCGCCCACCGCTCGCCACCACAGTTGACAATCTCTTCGTAAATCCACTCCCCAATCAGCTGCCGGGGCACCAAATACCCAATCGCAGCAGCAGGGCTCTCATCCGTCGCAACACGCAGCTTCGAATAACCGGAGTCCTCCCCAGCAGGCACAATGCGATGATCGCCCGTTAGGAAGCTAGGCCGAACAATAACCAATCCCCGCGCAAGGAGCGTTTCCTTCTTCTCCCGCTCCTCATTCAACACCTTCTCCATATTCGACTTGTCTGCATGCGGCTCGGGAAGAAGAGTAGAGTACATGGGTCGAAAGAGGTACGGCACATCCTTCATTCCATTCTTGGATCCGATCCCTGTTCCCGATATCACCGTCAACTGCGGCGCGGCGTAGGCATACTTATCATAGGAGCCGAATTGCTCCGTGGAGATACGCTGCAGAGCCTGGAGGAGCGTGCGAGTGGTATCCTCCGTGATGTGCGGGTTCGGCAGCTCGATGTGCGGAAGACTGGGAATGCGCATAGTCATCTTGTCGCAGGGGTTTGGTCGGGTCCAGGACATGGTTGGTGCGCCGCCGATGCCGGAAATGATACTTGTGACCAGAGTGCAGGGCTGAATTTCGGTCTTGGGGGCAATGATGAGGGTGTTTATGATATCGTCGACGTTTGTCGCATCACCCTTGTGGATGCGGAGGTGCTTGTCTAGGATTTCGCGGGTGAGGCCTGGTTGCTCGAGGAGTTGCGATTCGAGCTTGGAGGGTGTGCGGGCTAGCGCCACGGCGTTGTGGCCATTGCGGAGTGTATGAGCCAGGCAGGCATTGGCACAGCCGCCGGTTGCTCCGAGGAAGGCGATTGTCAACATTTTGAATGTAGTTGTGGGTGGATGTTGACTGTCGATTAAGGTTGTATAGATCTGTAGATGTGGAAAGGCTTGTTGTTGATTATGATGAGGGAATTGTGGTGAGTCTTGAGGAGGTTATCAGGATTACTTTATGTTCGTCTCTCTGCTGAGCACAGCCTCGTATACAAGTGCAACGGAGGGTTAGTAGGCCAGCTTAATCAAGCTTCCAAGCTTCACTTGCACGCAGCCGAACATCACATTGCCTATTTGGGCTAGCGTCTATCCTAATCGAGATGATTCTGCGCCGCCTGCAGGAGCATGCCATGGCACAGCCCTGCGACTATACTTGGGCTTCCACTACGCATTATATTGATCTGAGAGGGCGAGTCGACTTCGTTTTGCTTTCTATTTTGATCACTTTCCTGCCATGGTCAGGAGAATCCCGCTTACCGGGCTTTGTCAATCTCAGCCCAGCTGAAAGAAGACCATCCCGACTGCCAACAAGGAGCTCACCCCTATACTCCCAGGAGTCCAGGTCCGGTGGATTCCCATCCTACAGAAGACCGCAAAAACCGCAATTTCTATTCCATTGATGGCTTGAATACCATACCAGAATCTATGCGTCTGCCTTGGAATCAGATGTCTGAGATGTCAGATTCTCTGCTTGGACCAACCAAGACACGAGCAAAATATGGGCCGATGCAGGCCTCGAACCTCGAATGCCTGACAATCCATTCCTCTCCTCAGCCAGATGGGTTCGCTGCTCAGGAACGGATGTGTCGATCACCACGGCCGCCCGTCTTTACCGTGAGTATTCACGAGTCAAGCGGGCCTGCCATCGAGTCTAGGGGAATCGTTTAGGGCTGAGGTACCGTTGATGGCCCTACATTCGATCGGGCTCCCGATCCGAATCATGGTTGACTCACCGATGGATGACTGGCTTGATTTGCCACGAGGGTCTGGGACGGTGACACCTTGAGCGCCCTGGTCCGTGTATGGGTGCTGAGAGATCTACAGTTGGATTTACAGTCTCTGGAGAATGAACAGTAGTATACAGAGTGACTGACTTGTATAGGAACGAAGAGCCGCAGAAAAAACCCTCCGAATAACGTCACAGCGCCTTCAAGCCATGGCTCAGAACACAGAATCTTGGTACAACTACTGACTACGGCCACTGCGTGAATTAGAAACAGACTTGGCTTGAGAGCCGTTGCATTCCCTGGGAGGGTGCGCAGAACATTTCGTGCTATGGCCCTGAAATGAATTCTAGAATCACCACAACGTGAGGAGTTTTGCCATGGCAAGAGCAATGTTTTTATTGTTTTCAAATTATTTCCTTGCAACAGTTGATGCAATGGCTGATAGTGGGCGAGATTTGAAATGAGCAGGACGCTCAAGGTGACCTTCATGGATACGATCACCGCGGAGGAAAGCAGGGCTCGTGGGTCTCTGAGTAGCAAAGGGGCGCAGGACATCAAACTAGCGCTGCAAGCAGAACGTTGCCTGCTGTGCCAACTCCCCCTCCGAGGCCGTAAGTATCCTCTCTCCCTTAAACCGCAAGATCTTTACTAACAATCGACACAGTCCAAGGACCTGGTCGGCGCTGACCTTCCTTGCGTTGCCCTCGGCTCCATCCTCTAAAGCGCATCGCTTTGGGTGTTCTTGCTCTGGGGTTTGATGTTTCAGGTGTCCTGTGATATACCTTTATCAATTCCTTTGTCTGTTTTGTGAGGTTTAGCTGCTTTTGTGATTGCCATCTTAAGAGGTAATAATATCTCTGCCTAATACATTATTTCCTTTCCAGAAATTCGATCGTAGACGTTGCTTCCCTCGTAGGCAGCTGATCATCGCGATGATCGATTTAGCTCCCTTCCAATGCCTCACATAATCCCCCATGAAATGTCTTTTTTCGCAACTGCAAAATTCAAGGCCGCTCGCGAGTTCTTGTTCTGACAACCTTCGTTGATTTCTGCTACCATTTAAAAATGATTTGATTGATGAGTGATGTGTCATAGTGGTAGAGCCTTGCTAAGCCTGGGCCTTTGGGTATAGTATATGATTTGGAAAGGACTGCTCGTGGTCGTGATTGGTTTCTGGCCATCCGTGGGATGTAATTGGGTTATCTCTGCAGATTCCATAACTTCGTCCATACGATAACTTCACGTAGGAGCACCCTACGCGGCGACCTTCTGGATACCAGCCTCCAGAGCCCGGATATCCGCACCACGAACCCGCTCGACCTCAGCGCCATCCTTCATAATAACGAAAGTCGGCATCGCAGTGATGTTGAACTGAGTCGCGACACCGCGTAGCTTATCCACATCGACAGACACGAAGCGCACATTCTCATATTTCTCGCTCAGCTCGCCGACCTTGGGAGCAACGGCGCGGCAGGGACCACACCAGGTGGCGTAGAAGTCGACGACAGCGGGACCCGCGTGGACTAGGGCTTTGAAGATGACATCGCTGTAGTTCACGCCTGTTAGCATTGACACTGCGCAGGTATGTCTTCACAGGAAAGGGATCTCGTACTTGTCGATGTCGGCGACCTTTCCGTGTGAAGGCATTGGGGTTCTTGCAGCTCGTTGCGACTGGACGAAGCGGAAAACTAGCGGGGCTGTCAGACGGGGTCTTCACGATGAGGGTTGTGTTTCTGTCCTGGCAATCTCGCCAAGGATGACGAGTGTCACAGGTAGTAGGCTGTGGCGACACTCACCGAGGAAAAGGGCCGTGATGATCAGCACAGTCGACAGCTCCATTGTGGGTTGCTGGTGGATTTGGGCTGTCGGCGACTCCCGGTGGAGTCGCGATGGACCGCGGTCACGTGGGAAGTATACTGTACAGCCAGGCCAACTCGCAGAATGGCAGTGGCACATCAGCCCGGCTGCATGCATGAACCTGCGGCATCCATAGCTCGAAGAAGGTTGAAAATACCCCGGTGGCTGTGCATATCACGGCTGCCCTGCAAAAGTGGCTCTGACTTCCGATCGCTTCTATTCGGGTGCCTCCGGTCACGAAAGTCACACCTGAAGTCACGGAGCAGCAACGAGAAATATGGAAAGCTGCATCCAAAACTTGGACTTATCTCCTGAAAACCGATCGCCCTTCTTTGGAGGAGTTACAACGCGCCAGCAAAGAAAAGAATGAGGCTGTACGAAAACTCCTAGCTATGGAGGATAGCCAAAGGACTGTTCTACACTGCTGCAGGTTTGTTTCTCAGGAGTTCACATTAAAATCGGAGGCGGGTCTACTCTGACATTGGACAACAAGGGGAACATGGAGGAGATGTCGAATATTGTCTTCGCCTGGATGCTGGACCAGATCAAAGGGTTCGTCTCGCTCAACGAAGAGACGCTGCAAAACGAGCGGATCGAACGCCAAATCAGACTTACGAAACTCAACAACACTCTGAGCTGGTTTAATGAGCGAGTCGATCGGCGCAAAGCAGAGTCGTGTGGCAAGTGGCTCCAGCGAGTTGGCCAATGGGCTACATCCTCGATCTTGCATCCTCTCACCCCGAGTGACAGGCCCGCCTACATGAGCGAGCGCATCTACACATGGGGTCTCGGTGACTACCCGACAACTTCGGAATCGTTTATGTGTGCAACGGCCCCAGACCACGTACACCAGACCGCTATGCCTTCGATAAGAGGGGCCAGAAACTCGGCGAGACGTTCGAACAAGTCCATCCGGTTGTGAGATACCGAGTGGAAAAGACCAAAGATCATACGGTCAAGTGCAAGAGGCACCCGCCCTATCTGGCTGACAGATGATAAACTACGACAGCTCAAAGAAGGAAGGGGGCTACTAGTACCGGTTTAAATACCCTAGCGCGTCAGAGTATCAAATATTGCCTGAGTGGAAGATCTACGAGGATGTCAGCTCCTATGAAAGGTTGGCAATTACGGGAGACATGGAGTATGATTATGTGGATACTTTGGATCTTGGACTGGGGAGGGATATCAAAATCCTTCGTTCGCAGACAGGTTAGTTTGGCAGGTGAGTTCAGCTGGGATGTGAAGTGCACACCGGACAATTTCGTTGCTGCATGATAAGTTCATGGGTCGATTGCGAGTTTCAAACAATCGAAAGAAAATGTTTCAATATTCGAGACTACTGAAAATTAGGTATGCATTCTACTGCCATATCTCCTAATGACGCTCATGGCAAGTCACTTCACTCTGTAAATGCGTTGTGTCAAAAAGGTCTTTGCCTTGACGGGCTAGACAGGCAGACATGACCTGTGACTCAAGTGCTCAATGCCGCCTGACTATGAGCTGCATCCCTAGTTTGAGCCAGCCACTGGCAATCGGTCAATTTGGTGAGTCGACCAAGTTTTGGCGGATCATAGAATTCTGGTCTAATATTCCAAGGCAAACACAGCTATCCTAGATGTAATTCGAGTAAAAGTAAAGATGGGGAAATTCCCAGGCGACCGGAACACAGGCGAGATTCGACGATGAAGGGAGGAAAGCACAAGGATCTGCATTCTCCTTCCTAAAATTCCAGGCAATGAACCTTGAAACAGCCCTGAATTGCTTGGCTTGCTTTATTCTCCGCGGTGATTTCATGACGCAAGTCATTTTAATCAAAAACCAATCGTCATTGGTCCCTTGTGAGAGCTGGAATTCTTGATGAGCAAGGTAGCTATGTGTGGCGTCAAGCTGGCATGCAAGCAGGACCGTGCAACCCCGACAAGCCTTATATTCCCGTATCAAAGTGTTTTTGACAGGAAAAAGGCAACCGCACATTTTGAGTACACACCTCCAATAACGAATCCTCGACACAGCGTTAAAATGACGCTCGGGAAATACCATGACGACGAGGAGCCCGAGAAGGTCGATTTTACGCCTCTTCCTCCGGACGCCGGCAATGAAACACGAGCGAAGGGACTCAATTCGACAGGGGCCATGTTGCGTCTCTCATTATGGGTGTCCTTTGCAGCTTGGCTTGCCAACTTCGACCACGGATACACGGGTACCATTCTGATTATGCCGTCTTATCGAAAGGCGTTTGGTACATGTACCAACCATCTCATGAATCCGAACTCGGGTGATATTGTGGAGCACTGCTACATCACGCCCCTGCAGCAGTCGCTCATCAGTTTGAATTATATGTTCATCGGGATCGGTGGAGGGCTTTCGGGCATAACGGGACGATATACTGGCCGACGAGGAGCCATCCAGATCGGGTGTTTGCTGGCTATCATCGGAGCCGCAGGGATGCTGGGGACAGGTGCAGGACAGGCTGGGAGTTTCATCCACTACATGGTGTGCAAGTGCATCAGCGCTATTGGAATCGGTCAAATAATGACGTCGGGGCTCACCTATGGCTCGGAGTGCATTGCGGCCGACAAGCGCGGGTATGCTCTGGGCCTATACAACATCGGGCTGGCCATGGGCAACCTCGCATCGTCCGCTGTGTGCGCTGGTTCTGCGCAGCTTGAGCCACACAATAATTGGCAGTGGAAGTCTCCAATTTTGTGCCAGATTCCCTTAGGCGTTGTGCTCGGCGCTGGGATTCTGATGTTCCCCGAATCTCCTCGATGGCTGCTAAGCCATGGAGAGGGAAGAGAAGAAGACGCACGAAGAGCCTTCAGCATGCTCTATCGGATCCCACCACAGTCTCACGAGATCACGGCACAAATTGAAGAAGTCAAGAATCATATCAAGGCCGAGCGTGCGATCGCGGCATCCACATCCTGGTCTCAGATTTACCAGAAGAGTCACATCCGTCGCACTTCCACATCAGCCTTGATCATGATTGGAATGTCCATCACGGGCATCCAGTTTGTCCAGCCATACGCAACAACCTTTCTCAAAGGCGTCGGAATCAGCAATCCCTACCTCATCAACGTGATTATCGGCGTGTGCATCCTAGGTGGATCATGTCTAGGTCCTTTCATTGTTGAATACGGCGGACGACGATTCGCAATCATCTCTGGATACAGCACCATGGCGGCTTGCATGTTGATTCTGTCTCTGGTCAGCACAATGCTGGGAAGAGACGGCGTTTCGAAGATCGTCATCGTTGTCTTGCTCTGTTTCTGGTCTTTCGTCTTCGGTGGAACCATTGCGCCCAGTGCAGGTCTGGCTTCTGTCGAGATGCACAGCGTTTCGCTTCGTACGTATGGGCAGGCGAACACAACAATCTTGTATGGCATTTTCTCGTTCGGAGCGACCTTCTGGACGCCGTATATGCTGGATCCGAATCATGGGAATATGGGAGCGAATGTGGGGTACTTCTATGCTGGTGTGACGGTGGTCATTGCCTGCTTGGTTTTCGCGTTGGTTCCGGAGACTGCGAGTTTGACTCTGGAGCAGATTGATGATGTCTTCACTTCGGGTGTTCGACCGTGGAAGACGTCAATTGCGGAGAACAAGGCGATTGCCAGGGCTCGGACAGAGGCATTGAATCGGAATGGGGACTAATTCGCAGCGTCTGGACGTTAAGCTGCCGGTCCACGTGACAATGTCTACAGCATGATTATTTTCTGTAAATAGGATAGAGTATTCATGAAACAAGATATCATACCTTCTATTGACTAGGCGACTAAGGTTGTCATCGAACTGTCATTAATCCCGACAAATGCCCATACAACAATTTTGACAATGCTCTAATACCAGCTAGGGTGATTCAAAGGCAAAGGTTGATATGTGAACTCTGCAAGTCTATACACGCTATCTGACGTTTGTAGGACATCAGTCCAAGTAAGCTAACAAGAAAAGAATAGAAAAGAAAGAAAAGACAAAAAGAAATCTGCTCATAAGACGCCTTGAGTGCTTGGAGGGTTTCAAACCCACTAAACGCTAGAGGAAATGGTTTCAGAGAACACTGTACAGAAACAGCCCGTTGGCGGAAAGAAGATAGGGTCGCTGGAAAACACAAAAGGAGAATATGCAGCAATCTGGTAGCTGCTATGGACAAAGCAGTTGGCGCTCATGTACAAAATGTAAAGGTCCGTTCAGCTCCAAACATTTTGGGAAAGGGGCGGTGGACATGACTGACTGTCGAGAGAGGGGACGTAGGGCGGCGCATGCCCACAAGAGAGTGTGAATAAACGAGAATGGACGGTAGGGAGTGTAGAAAGTTTCAAGAGCTTGCGTGAATGATGGAATCAAGAGGAAAGGCGTAAAGGTTTTTTGAGGTGTGAAGAGGGTGTAAAACAACGGTTAGAGAGCATAATGGTGGGAGATTGAATTTGGGAGAATGAAATTTAGAGCTCAACACGGATGGACTCGTCCGCGGGTTGCTGTGCCTTGCGCTTGTTCATCATCTCTTCGAGAATGTCGAGACGCTGTCGCGTGGTTCGGATAGCGTGATCCATCTCGCGATCAGATACCTTTTCTTCATTGAGACGTGCGGCAAGGTCACGCTCATCGGCGTGATTGACACGAGGCGCCCTACGGCTCGCATGAGGCTCAGGCATCCGGTGATGAAGGGTTGGGAAGACCATGCCATCCATTCCGACTCGGTCTTCCAGCCAATTCCAGAGCTCGCTTTCCTCGCGTCGCCACATCTCTTCGTATGCAGCCAGCCTCTGAGGCAGACTGAAACCAGGGTAAACAGTATCGTGTGAGTGCTGAGGTGATGAAGATCGGAAGAATGCCATGTAGAGCACAATACCAATGATCAGGATTGCAATGTTGCCGCTCCAAAGTGGCTTGAGCATGCTCGTGATAGGCTCCAGAACCGGGCGGACGGGCTCGAAGAGACCCCAGGACTCGGCCTGTCCCGAGCTGCTATCTACCGCGGCCTTCAGGGAGGCTGCTGCTGATGCCTCGCGCGCAGAAATATCGCCCTTCTTGCGTCGGCCCTTGCCCTTGCCGGCGCCATTCGCTCGCCCGCGAGGAACAACACCGACCTTGAGAGACTTGACGAGCTCATTACCGAAGGTCATTTGGCCATCGATAGCACCCTTTTCAATTGGACCTGTGTCATATTAGTACACGTTGCTCTGTAGACAGGTATAGAAGAGAAGCAACATACCTTTCAGCCAACTCTTGCCCGACCATTCAATAGTACAAGTCATTAGGAACCGAGTTTGATTGCCCGCAGCCCAAGTGAAGAGGTACTTGGTCTTCACGGCAAAAACGTTGCCACTGGGAACATCAGGGGTCTGGGTGCTGAGTGTGACAAGAACTGCCTTCTCCAGATCCAGATATTCCAAATTTTCAGTACTTATGCACTTGGTTTGTTTCGGGCCGATTGAGCCATAGAGAGGTTTGATGTAGGAGTATTTTCGAATCCGGCTTTCGTTGGTCAATCCCTTCGCGGTTCCTTCAAACTGCAATTCGCCCGACTTTTGATTATCCACGAGGAATTTTGTCATGAATTCTCCCGACGCCGGTCCAAAAACCAAAGAGTAGACCTTGCCAAGGGGAGCAGGGATCGTCTCATCCTTGATCATCTTTTCATACTGCCCATTTGGTTCGGTATATTCGGTAGGAGCATGTGTAACGGGCCCAGGGAAATCTGGCTCCTTTGAGGCAGCAGACTTATCGCCATTCTTAGCATCGCTACTGGCAGTAAGTCCAGCACCAGAAGCCACTCCATTGGTAGACAAGCCCGAAGCTTGGCGGCTGAGCCCTATCCTCGCCGGCAATGACCGTTCGCTTGCATTGGCACTAGGACCAGCCTCGAAGAAGCTTTCGGCATTCTCATCTTCCTCATCTTCATCATAGATCTCATCCTCATCAGAAATCTCGGTCTCGGTCTCACTTTCTCCATCGCCGACCTTTTCTGTCTTGTCACCGGTGCCACTTGTCACCCGAGTTCCGTTGACAGTGCTCTTGATAGAGGGATGATTAATCTTCCAGATATTGACCATCAGATCATAGGTGGACTCGCGGCTGAGAAGGCTGCGGAAGGTATGACGGGCATGCAGGGTTTGAATGGCAATGGCATTGGGGAATACCATTGCCGTATTCTCCTTCTCGATAGCCACAACCTCATCAAAACTGATGACAAGCGTCGTGACCCAACCAAGAATATTACTGGAGAAACAGATATGCCCTTCAGAGATGTAAATACGACCAGCAAGGATGATCTCGCGCTGCAACGCACAACTGTAGTCTTCAATCAGGTAGTCGTCCTCGGGAACGCTGCGGAATAATTGGTGGAAGTCTCGGTTCCGTTTCTTGCTTGCAACGGCGAATCCAGTGAGCCGAGGCACACTAGCGTTGACACCAGGGACACCAAGGGCCAATGCATTGCCGCCAATGGCACCGATGGCGCCGATTGTGGAGGACGTGGCACCGGAGGAACCTCGATGCCGTCGAGCAAGTCGACTGCGCACACTACCACTCCGCTTGATTCCACTCCCAATGTCACCGTCGATGATACTTCCCGTGGGCGGGGTATGATCACCAGTGATGGTACCTTCTCGCGGAAGCGAAGAAGTGGATTGGAGTTCCAAAACATCGTCACCAGGAGACCCTATCAGGCTGGATTCCGTTGGTCTCTCGTATGCCATATCGACAGCTCGAGCCGCGCGCTTGTCTTCGAGCTTTGCAGCCGCTTCATCGCGTTGATACACGGCCTGGTTCTTGCGCTTATCTAAAGGTGTCTCTGGTTTCGTCACCACTACGCCGTCGGTCTTAGAAATAACTTCACCAGGTGGCGCGTCGATGTCCAAATGACTGAAGTTCAGATCGCCAGCCCCCAGCGTCTCCACGGCAGAAGGCTTTGCTTCTTCGGCCTTACCCTTGCCCTCCGGAATCTTATCGACTTCTTCAGTACTGACTTCCATGGGAGGATTATCAAGGTCCGTAGGTGCTGGTTGAGAAATGGTGCGGCTTCTCTGCTGTGAATTGAGGCTGTTGCTTAGCGAGGAAGCCGCATTTTGGGCGACCGAGAACACGGATGAGAAAAAGCCGCTTTGGTTGGAGGCGCTCTTGGGGAGAGTTTTGTTCTCGTCCAAAGGACTCAAAGCTGTGACATTCGACAACTTGCTCGGACCATGAGCTGCTGAGGCGGATCGCACTCGTCGGTGAGAGATCATGTTCCCCGTCGGGCTCACGGTGGTGACTCCGGACGAAGAAATCGAGTTTCGAGACTTGATCGAATCTGGCGAATCCGTAACGCCCTCGGCAAGGATTTGGGGATTGAGGGGGCGGTGTTCTGTCGGTGTGGGAGGCGTCACTGTTGTGGCTGGGGCAGGAATGGCCGTGTGAGGTGGAGTGTTTGGCAAGGGGCTGGCTTCGAGCGAGCGAGACGTTTGTTCAGTCAGATCGGTACGAATGGGAGCTGGGACAGGCGGAACGGGTTCTGGAGTCGCTTTTGCCCGCTTCGAGGAGAGACTGCTGCGTCGGCTACCCCCAAATATACTCCGAGCACTTTTGCTGCCGCCTGATTTTGTCGAAGCCCGATCCTGATCATCACTCCCATACTTCTTCTCGTCCTTTTTTTCTTCCTTCTTATCTGGTGCGCCGAAGGCATCCTTGAAGCGTCTTCCTGGTGAGACGCTCCGTCTCTTGCTGGAATCAGTTGGAACATCCAATGCCATACCCGCGGTCTTCGGCCTCGGCGCCCTTTCACTGGGCGCTGAATGATCTGAGCTAGCCGCACTGGGGCCACTAACCGCCGACTCGACGTCGCCATGTGCACCTTCGGTATCCGCAGCATCTACCGAGGTTGTTTTGATGAGGGGAGAGGAGGAGGTATAGAATCCGGCATGGGAGTTGTGGGAGGTCAGTGGGGGAGTCCTGCACGCCAGATAAAAAAAGCAAAAACGTTAGTCAAGATTCGATTATAAAAGGAAATAGCACCACCGGGAAAAGAGGTGATCATACCTGTCTGGCTCGGAATCGTCAGTCAGGAGAGTGATCACCTCGCCCTCTGGCGGGGCAGAACTATTGCTGGACGAAGGAACGGCCGAGATACCATCGCGGGACTCGTTGGAATGGCTCTCCTGCAGGTCCTGTTCGGTGATCACACCTGGCACTGGCGGCTCCTCCGACTGTCCGCGCTTGTTCTTCTTCCGACGGCGTCGCGCATTCAGGAGCTTCGAGAAGCCGCTAGGACCAGCCTTTGCGGAATCAGGCACCTCGCCTGCCTGCGTCTTGGGTCGTTCGAGAGTAGAATCGACGGAGGTGCGACCATTGCTCCGACCAGAGCTCTCCATGGCATCCGACTCCGCCGACACGGTCCAGGCACGATGGGTGCGGCCACCATGCAGGCTGGAGGATTCGGAGTCCACCATGGCGAAGGCAGGAATCAGCCCGGGTGGGCAGTTACTCAAGAGGTGAATCGAGGGGCACACGGCATGGGGTGCTTGCAACGGTGTATTGAGCTGCGTGGATGTTGGAGGCAGAAGATCCCCTGGTTCCACCGCGAGGGGAGACTTAGTCAGGCGCCCAGACCGAGCGGACTCCACACTTCTCCAGATGCTATTCTGGACACTACAATTACCCTAGGGTAGCTAACTAAGGGTACATTGGACGACGAGTATCTATGCGAATACTACCTCAGAATATGTCAATCGGGCGTCAGTCCCAATCCGACCTTTAGCAATATATGTACTGCCTCGTGGCTTGGTCTCCACTGTATAGAATGCGGCTGCGACGCCGGTGGCCTCTAAAGGCTGCATTCGGTAACAATCAATTGTTCATTAGCAGTAGATGTGACCTAGATGCGATATACAAGCTAATGTGTGATTACACGTCTACAGACATACTCAAAACATATTCCTGGTCGAGAGTAACAATCTGTGTTGGAGGGGCGGAAAGCCGTGGCAGTTGCTCAGCAGCCTTACGCGAGCGATCCTCCGGATGTCGTCACTGATTGCCCTCCCTCTATCGCTATCTTTCTTCCTCAGCAACATTCGACCCAACCCCAACCCCTCTCCCCACGCTTTCCAGGGTTTCTGGAAAGGTGCCCCTCAAACCATCATGGAGACGTCTCCGCTCAGTCTTGTGAGGCGGATGCCTGTTCATTCCCCAAGAGTGCAAACCCCCGCTCTAACATTTGACATGCCAGGCCCACACCCATGCACGAAACGCGGTTCTCGAGACTCGCAAGTCGAATCCGGTCGCGGCCAGTGAGGAGCACGACCTAGCTGCGGGTGAGTTTGCATCAGCCATACTAAAGAGCTCCGACCACGAGGTGAGCCCACGGGAGCCGATCTCTCTGACAAGACCCCGAACACTGACCCTAACCACGGAAGCTAGGCTGTTCGAACCCTCAAGCTCCTCGAGGCCCACCACAAGCAGATGGCCGAAATCCTGAGATTCCAACCTGAACAGCAGGCGGATGCGACTGCCTTGCCGTCATTAGATACCCCTTCTGCAAACCTGACGAGCCAGACCTCGGTGGCCGAAATCGCGCACTCTCCAAAGACCTCCAGCCAAGATGCCCAGGTCCAACTCTCACGACCACCCCGACTCATCAGTCGCGAATCCTCCTCGATCGCCAGTAATTTGGCCTCGGCGAGAGGTATTCCTTCCCACCCTCAGCGGGGATCGCCAGTGTCGCCGTCCCTCTCTTCACACCAGGCCGGGGCGAAGATGACGGAAGTATCGTCTCGCACGAGTGAAACCCGAATTAAGAATCGCCAGAGCCGAGCAAACGCAACTCGACCACCTTGGTCTCCGCCGCTGCCCAGCACTTCCGAGATCTCTTCTCATGAAGTTGTGCCCCGGGGGTCACCGAACACACGCAGCCGGCCGGCAAAGATCCTGCCACTGGCGATACCTTCCAACGATTTTACTCCACCTTTGAAGGGTTGGTGAATAGGTTCTCAGCACCCTTGGCATTCACGGGTCTCCCTATGACCTCCGATGGTTCTACAAAAACAGAAACTGGCAATCGCAAGTCGCTCGCCACGGCCAAACTAGATCGCCATCAGGCCCACTCCGATCGGAAATCTTCAATCCAGGATTCGCCGGATGTAAGCCGGCACTTTTCACGAGCAGCATTGCGATCCATTCAAGAGAACAATGGCACCAGCCCGAACAACACGGCGGAATCTTTCTACGTTGTGCCGACCACTGGCGGGACGATGTCGTACGCTGGCATCTTGTCACGAGCTGAGAAAGAGGCTCGGCGAAATAGCGCTGACGATGGGAACGAAAACTTTGTCGATGCACGAGAGATGCAATCCTCCCCGGAAATGCTACAGAACTCAGCCAAGAAACCCCGCTCGCGGCGTAACAATCATGGTATCGAGGAGGTGTACTTCCCCATGAGGACCCCGAAAACCATGGAGGAACTAGCAGTTGAGAACGAAGCGCTGAAGGAACTCTCGGACACACTCTCCAAGCGGCTGCATATGTGGGAGGTCAATGCACAATCCTCGTCCATGGCATTGCAGCAGTCCCTGAGGGCGATGCACAACCAAAATACCGGATCGCCTGATCTCCGCACTCCCGGTTTGTCGGCTGGTGTTTCGACGGCGCTCTCTTCGACGACCGAATCCGATCCCAAGGTCAAAGAATTACAAGATATTCTCCTCAAGAGCGAGCAGAAGTTGGAGCGGGCTGCACGCGAGAACGACCGGCTTAAAAATACCCTCGGTCGCTATCGGGAACGATGGGAGAAGTTGAAGGAGGGTGCGAAGACTCGACGGGAGAGCCTGGTTGCCGAAGGCGAAGGCAGCAAGAAGCCCGATACCACGATATCTCCGCACCCTGACATCGAGTCGCCCAACAAATCAGAAGCAGAGACAGAAACCGAGCGAGCCGCCGCAGTTGGTTCCTAGGAGAGACACGCGAGACACGCGAGTCACGCGTTTTATGGCGGTTCCTAGGAGGTTGTCAGACGTGCATATTGGGCCTTTGGCGTAAAAGACAAGAAGAAACAAGAGTGACCACACGTCTTTGCGAGGGCCCGAGAATGCTACGTCTGGCAAATCTCCAACTGATCTGTTACGTTATATCATTTATTGTGTCAGGTTTTCTCCGTGGGGCTTTCGAGAGATGGAGAAATACTATGGCTGGAGTTATCTCATAATTATTACAGCTGCCTTACATACCCAAGGTCGCTGCGGGAGAAATCAACCATCAACCTTGAAATCAACTGAGCCGGCTCGTTAAACGTGTCTTCCAAGAGACATATCCTAATTCTGCTTCCCAAGCAGCTCTCGTACTCGATAGCATGATCCTCTCTCCCTCAATGTCGCACTCGACAGTATCTACTCAAGGTTGAGGGAGGTATTTGCGGAAAGAAGTGCAAACCACCTGCTGTTTTCGAAAGAGACAGAACGGCTGAAAGTTTAAGCTCTCTTGGAATAAAATTGTCTAGATTTTGCACAATGCTATTGGCGCGGGAATGGTTGTTTTTCGGAGCTCAGACTGTTTCATATGTGTCCCGCGTTATTTTTAGGTTCCTTTGTGGCTTCGCTTGTGGCTTCGACCGACGCTGAACTCCACTTTCTTCACGTCGGCACTTCTACGCTGCAAGGACTCTTGGGAGCCACAGACGACAGCCACCGAACTCAATACTTGGGCGTTGACATTCTGGGTATTTTGTTGACTGCCTGGGCCTCTCTGACCGAGTTGCATAATCAATTCTCCAGCGTGCGTGGACGGCGGATGACGAGACAGAAAGTGGGCCTCGTCCAGCATGGCGACGCACCTAATGGCACGAAACCTGCTAGCTGGTCCGTTCAGGAACCACGGATCTCGCAGACTAAGGGCAACAGGAAGTGGACCAACTGGAGTCGGATCGGGCATGGCTGTCATCCCACTGGCTCAGGCTCAGCTGGGCCTGCTGCTAATAAGGCTACCCTAACCCAACGCTAAAATCTCGTCGAACCGCTTAACCGATCAAGACAAGTGCAACAGTACGCTGGAACATCGCCGTGGAAGTGGATGCCGAAGAAATTTGCTGGGCCCTGGTCTTATTGTTCGTTATTCCTGGCATCCACCGTCAGGCACTGCAGAGCTTGCGATTTGAAGGGTTTCAAGAGGTCCTCCCAACCCTGGGTAGCGAGTGTGGGAAAGCCAGGCGGAGGGGCACATGGATGCTCCACAGCATCTAGAAGGAAGGCTGAATTCTAGGTTATTAATGGAAGTGACCCGAGCTCGTGGGTGTACGTGTGGATTTTTGCGCTAGGACGAAGCACGCCAATCAATGCCGCGTCAAGTATCCTTATGGCTGAAAGAGGGAGGAGAGAAACGATTCAAATATCGAAGTTTCATGCATCAGTCCGAAATGAAGTCGACAGTAATCGGAAAAGTGAGTCGCGGAGATGTGGACGGATGCAATTCCCTTAACTTGTTTCTCGCCGTCATTTCGAGTTTGGGCATGTCATAAGGTACAGACAACCGGCCAGCGCCGGCTCCATCCAAGTCTAGGCTGAGAAGATGGAGACACGCCGACTCATGGCATGGCCCACACAGAGAGACTAGTTCGTACCTAGTAGGCATGCAGGTTTTCATAAATTTACACCGCTGCTGGTCCTCGCTCTTTTGTCGCCATACACCACGCTTTTCTTCGACTCTGCAACGATTGTTGCTGTCCATTCATTCATTCGTTTACCTATACTCTCATTCGATTTTTATTCATGGTTTAACCAAGTCATTCATTCCCTCTTATACTATATAAAGTCTAAATGGCGGACCAAAAGGAGAAACGGCGCTCCGTTGTGGAGGACGTGCCGATCCCTAAACATCTACTGTCAACCGCCAAATTCAATTCTCCCTGGGAACAGATCAAATGGGAAAAGTCCCTTCCCCAGAATAACAGAGTTCAGCGCACCCTTTCAACGACTTTGAATCGACGGGAAAAGGGTGGTCTTTCTCGCTCGTCAAGTCTGTCGGCTTTGAGAATTTCCAGGCCGCCTCGCACCTCACGGCCACTCACCAATCCACCTGCGCTGCACGGTATGTTCTAAAAAGACAGTTCTTGTGACTCGGATTTTGATTTTTTGAATCCTAGAATGGGAGGAAAATCTAAGGAGTCCCAATTCTCTGAGGCCTTCGAATTCGGACTCAGAAGATGAGCCCATCACCCCAGTCAAGCAGGTGGCATTCAGTCCAACCCAGCTTAGCCGCATCAGCTCTCGTACCGAGCACAGTCGCCGGAGTAGCATGCACGAAGTTTACGAGAAGGCTAAACTAAGGGGTGTTGCCCTTCAGAGGAAGTATTGGGTCCGTCTTCTATTTGAGTGGGGACTCTACCTTTTTCTCGTCCTTTTCGTCTATTTCGTTCTGATAGGCATGCCCTTGTGGAAGGGTGCTGTCTGGTGGCTGTACTGGGTTGTACGAAATAAGTTCGTCATCAAAGGAGGCTTCGCTATCACTATTGGCCTGGCTGCACTGTGAGAAGTCCTATCACGATGTTTTATCATTCTGACAGTTGCTAACCGAATCGACTCCTAGATATGCCTTTCTACCCCTGTTGATTCTATTTGACAAAGACCCTCCTCTTAAAGAGGCTGCCGAAAATCAAGACCCCGAAAAGAACCTCTCGAATGCCCAATCGACGGCTTTGCTCATTCCCTGCTATAAATCTGCGAACCTGATCGGCCCGACCTTGGAAGCGGCTCTCAAAATATTTCCTCCGGAAAATATCTTCGTCATCGCAAATGGAAACTCGGAGAAACCCCTAGATAATACAGAAGAGGTCTGCCAGCCTTACGGTGTCAATCACCTCTGGGTCCCGGTCGGGTCGAAGATTGTTGCTCAGTTCGCCGGCTGCTATGCCGCGAGTGAATTTGAAAATGTTCTACTCATCGACGACGACTGCGCATTGCCCCCGAACTTCCCTATTGTCAGCGACAAGCTCAAAGGCAAGGTGAAATGCATCGGTTATACGATTAAGAGCGTCGGTCCCAACTCGTCCAAAGGAACATATTGCCAGCAAGCTCAGGATCTGGAGTATAAGATGTCTGGATTACAGCGAGCCTTCTTTGGCAAGCTTGGAAGTGCTACTTTTCCCCACGGCGCCATTTCGATTTGGAAAACAGAGTTCTTGAAGCAGACTTTCCACGAGCACCCGGGATTCTCCGTTTCAGAGGACTGGTTCTTTGGAGATAGCTGTCGTCGTCTTGGAGGACGCATCACCATGTGCTCTGCGGTGTTTGTTGAGACTGAGACTCCTGCCTCGGTCTTCTTCAGTGGCAGTGGTAGTCGTGGTGGATTTGGTGAAATGACCATCTTCCAGCAAAGGTTCAAGCGGTGGAATTTCTTCTTTGTAATTGGCATGTACTATGATTTGAAGTACATCCTGACGAGCTGGAAGCTTGGCTGGTGGGAGATCGGTGCGAAGATCTGTGTTTTCCAAGAGGTAAGGTATTCAATTTTTGGATTTTTAATAACTATCCATGCTGACACGATAATTCCTGTTAGGTCTATGAAACCCTGATCTACCTCCTCGCCCCCTTCGTTCTCCCGATCTCCTTCGTCGTCCGACCCGAATTCTGCGGTATTCTCCTCGGAGCCACTGTCGGCATGTATATTGTCAACGTCATCATCTTCAACGAGATCCATCTGCGATTGAAGAACGAGCGGATCAGCTGGATCATTCTGCTCTTCTACTATACTTTCTATAAGATCGCCCTTACGGTCATCAATGTGATCAGCTGCTACTGGTCTCTTTATAAATACGCCCGGTACTTCGCCAAGCGACACCCGAAAGTCATTGAAGACGAACAGGCGATCGAGGTGATACTCAGTCTTGAGAAGGATGTTGGAGCATCGCAATCCACCACGTTTCTAGTCGAAGTTGACGAGTCTGCGCCACCTTCTGATCCTACGCATACTCATGCCAATACTGCTCTCAAGAGGCTGACATTGACGAAAGTTCAAATGGATCCGGCTCAGAGATGGTCTACTTTCGGACAGTTGGAGAGTAATCCCCAGTCGCTCAACAGACGATCATGGTTATAGAGTGAGTCGACGGTGTACAAAAATGGCGTTTTTGGTTGCTTCTATCTTATTGCATGGTTGATTTGGTTTCTATGAATACGGGATGGCATTTTAATTTACACATAATGAAGCGTAGCTTTTGAGAGAATCAGCGTTTAATCAAATGAATCGATTTGAAAGATTGATATATCAACAAATGGGCACTATATACCGTAGGGATAGGATAAATGAGAGATGAGACGCTTCAGTCCCGAAAAGGTGGAATGCGATAATTTGATCACCGCACAGTGAAAGTGGCGTTGCCTCTGATATCCTCAGAGCTGCTGCCAACGAAGACAGTAAATTCGCCTGGCTCGACGACATATTTCATCTTAGTATTCCAAACACCAAGATCTTCAATTTTGATCGGAATGCTGACTGTCTTGGTCTTTCCAGCTGGGATGACTACTTTCTCAAAGCCTTTGAGCTGTCTGTTGGGAACAACCACGGAGGCGATCTTGTCGGAAATGTAAACCTGGACAACCTCGGTGGCCTCACGCTTCGTATCGGTGTTGGTCACCCTGACGCTGACTGTGATCTTGCTATCTGAAGCCGAGACGGAGCTGCGGTCCACACTGACAGATCCATATTCGAAAGTGGAGTAGCTCTTGCCATAGCCGAATGGGTACCAGGGCGTTGGGTTGCCAAGGACATACTGGTGGCCAAACACCAGTGTCCCATTGCTGAGCTCTTGTCCAGAGTCGCCAATCAGTCGCCCGGAGTTGAGGTAATCGTAAAAGATAGGCAGGTCACCCACGTAGCGAGGGAAGCTGACAGACAGCTTACCAGAGGGGTTGTAATCCCCAAAGAGAACATCCGCGAGAGCGTTGCCACCCTGCTCGGAGGGGTAGAATTGCTGGACGAGAGCGGAGGTGGAGTTGGACAGCCAGGTCTCGGTGATGGGTTTTCCGCTGGAGAGAATTACGACGGTGGGAACGCCTGTGTCCGCAATAGCCTTGATGAGCGGAGCCTGCGCGCCCACCAGCGAGAGGTCGTCCACATCGACGTGCTCACCGGTTCTGGAATACGTTAGTATCTGGGAGGGACCAGAAGGATCCGCAATGACACCGAAGATCCAGCAAATAAACAGTGTCTCACTCACGTTGCATTCAGGCCCTGCCAGAGCTGATACTGATCTCGCGACCAGGTGCCCACCACCACCACGGCCACATCCGATTTCTTTGCAGCCTCGACCGCCTCGTCGAATCCAGACTGGTCGTTGCTCCACCTTTCGCAGCCCTGCGCGTAGTGGATCTGGGCTTTGTCTCCCACTGCGGCTTTGATGCCATCCAACGGGGTGATGCCTCGGTACTGGCTTTGGTAAACGACATAGTCACCGTACTTGCAAGGATTTGTGAGCTATTTTCATTGTCTGTTATATTCTCTCGGGAAGACTCACATTCATAAACCCATGAGCCATAGGCCCAATCACTGCAATGTTACCTGACTTGGACAGAGGGAGAGTCGCATTATGATTTTCGAGCAGAACAATCGACTCCTTGTCCAGATCCCGAGCAAGCTTCACAGCCTCAGGACTGTTGATCAGCTTGTCCCATTTGTTCTCCGGGGAAGCAGGGTAAGGATTCTCAAACAGGCCCATCTCGAACTTGGCACGAAGGAGTCTGGAGACAGCGGTGTTGACCGTGGAAATATCCAGCTTGCCAGATTTGACGAGCTCGGGGATTTTCTGGAAGTTACTGCAAATCGTCAGTGGTGTGCTCATGCAACTTGGGGCGAGGCATTCTTACAAGGAACCGCCTCCCATCTCCACGTCAATACCAGCAGTCAGCAATTGGTCAGTGACGGACTCCATGTCGATGGGGTCGCTCTCGCAGAGTTTGAAGTAGCTGCAGATTCGATCGCTGCCGCCAGCATCGGTCATGACGAAATACTCATAGCCCCATTCGTTTCGCAAGATCTCGGTCAGGGTATGGTAGTCGGACACGGCTGGAATACCATCATAGCTGTGAAAATCATCAGTTCAACTGCAATTTCAACTTCTTAGTCTGGCAGAAACTCACGAGTGATAAGCAGCCATGATAGACCACGCACCAGCATCAATGATGGCGCGCTTAAATGGTGGGAGCCAGCTGGAAGCGATATTTAGCATTTGATAGCGAGATAGGTTCTCGAAGGCACTCACGTTGTTCGCAGCTCTCTCTCGCCACCATGAACCGGTCCAGTATTGATGCCTTGCTCGGGGGCGCTGAAGCCCGCAAAGTGTTTGACCATAGAGGAGACCCTCTTGCTCTGCAGGCCCTTGACATAATGATATCCAATCTCTCCAGCAAGAAAAGGATCTTCGGAGAATGTTTCCTCGACCTAGACCAGATTTATTCATTCAGTTGGAGCACATTCGGAATTGAATGGATCAAACTTACACGACCAAAGCGAGGCTCGCGAGCCAAATCGACCACGGGTGCAAAGAGCTGATTCACACCCAGGGCTTTCGCTTCCTGGCCGATGATTTCTCCCATCTTTCGGACCAACTGTGCATTTATCAGAATTTCCTAGTCACTTTATGTTGGAGGAAATCACTCACGTCCATGTTCCAGGAAGATCCATATGCAATTGGCGAGTTAAAAATCGTAGCGTTGCCGATCAAGAAACCGTGGATACCTATGGTTTTGACCGTTCAGCTTGATATCCAACAAAGTGATATGTTAAATTCCTAACCTTCTGTCTGGACAATCGCAGGAATACCGAGAGTAGTATTCTGAAGCAGATAATCTTGCGCTCGTTTGATATTATCCGCGATCCAGTCCCATGCAACGGGATATCCAACTAGATGAGAGTCAGCATCCGTCTCACAGCCCCATAATTGCTTTTTGGCCCATGCCGTAAAAGCTTCCCGCTTTCATTTCCATGTTGGTCGCAAGCCCGGTGTAGTTGAATGCGCCTGATGTTTGGTTCATCCAGTTCGTGATATCTCCTGAAAACAGACCCTTCGGTATTAGCTGTAAGCCCAGACTCACAGACAGCTTTGACTGATGTCATACCCTGCATCAATTGAGCCATCTTGTCCTCGATCGTCATTCTGCTCAACAGGTCCTTCACTCTCTTCTCGACAGGCGCACTAGCATCCTTGTAGACCGGTTTGCTCGAAGAGCTCATCCCAGCGACAGATCCAGCGAAGAGCTGCAGGAGCAGCAGCCCCTGGGCAATTCCCTTGACCATCATTCTGAAGAGGAGCTTTTTTGGTCAATTCTCAAGACCAGCCTCCAGTTTCCAACAAAGAAGAAAGAAAAAACAGGGACGATTTCTCGATCCGAATGGGCCGATCACCGTGCATATATGACATGCCAGCTCTGTACCCTTTTCTTAACCCGCCGGGAACGGCATTCGCGGGGCTTGTCGTGTTGCACCACAGGTATAGCAAAGTGGATATTAGATCAAACCCTAGGCCACAATCTAGTATGAACTGGGAATACTTCGGAGATGAAATGATCACGGGGAAGGCTTCTAATCATTCGATGGGCAGTGCTAAGAGACTATTCCATGCACTAGAGCCATAACGAGACGGAGGAATAACCCCGCCTCTTAGTGTTGATTTAGTTCGTCTGGGATGGTCAAATTAGCCTCTGCAGGTAGAAGGAGAGGGAGCTCCGACCCCGAACCCCCACCCCCGGGCCAGGAAAGCCGGCTAAATTACCATGAGACGAGCCAAAGACATTCCATTTCTGCCGAGATGCAATTGGAATGCAATAGTGCAATAGACCAGGAGGACAAGGGGTTCTGCAGGTGGAGATTCCCGTCATCTCCATTTTCCACCTATCAAGGGCCGCATTCTGCTTGGCGAATCACGAATAACGCAGGACTCAGATTCGATCAGGTTCGAAGCGAGAAAAACACCGGGAACTGGACGGCCTGAAAATAAGGTAACTTGTTTGGACGGGACTGGAGAATAGAGAATTGTACAAAAGTGGCGAGAATAGCACATATAAACATGCGAGAAAGTAGTCGATGAAATCCGCTCCTTCAAAAAAAGGTTCCTGGTATGATGACAACAAAAGATATTAAATGCCTTAAGAGAATATACCCCGCAGAATGCAATGCCAATTATAATCCAAAAAAAGTCCGTCGCAAAAATTGGTATACCTAAAACCCGCCAGGAAGAAGCTTTGAAAATGAAAAATAAGGATGAACGGAGTAAAAGTCTAAGAGTAGTATGAAAGGGTGTATGTGATATGATTTGGAGTGACCCAGCCACTCTCCATGTACGGCCCTTAAGAATAGGGCTTGAAAGACGTTCCCCCTTGCTGCACTGCGCTTACCGAGTGTCGGCGGGGGCGTCTGAATCATGGCGAGGATGATCGCCCCCCTGAGATCCTTCATTGTTTGATGGTGTGGCAGCTCCATGTGTTGTTGCACCACTAGCAATAGCTTGCTCAGGGCGGCCGGTAGTTCGCAATGCACCACCCAACCAGGCGAGCCCACCGCTCCATGAGTCACTGAAGCTACGAAGTCGAGAGACTTCGTTGGATTTTTGAGTTGCAGTGGTATACAATTCGGTGGTGAGAGCAGGGGTTGAGCGACCAGCGTCTGCAGTCGGGGTAGCAAGGCTCGTGGCCGATTGGAGTCTAGCGTTGGCGATCGTCAGGGGAGTATCATTGCCTGTACCGTCGCCGCCAATAGGACCATCTTGATAACGAACGCCATCGAACGCGCCGTCCAACTGCTTGCGGCGTCCCAACTTGCGCTTCACGCGGTCCTTAAAAGGGCCTCCCTCGCCACGCCGCAGAGACTCTGCAACTACAGCGCTGAAACCGCCGGAAAGAGTAGGTAGAAGAGGACCAGGCGAGAATTTGTTCGAGATGGAGTTTCGAAGTGCGTTTCGAGTAGGCGTCTCGAGAGCTGTTTGGCTTCGATCGGGAAGCGGCGGCTGATCTCCTCCAGCCGGAGTCGATGCTCGCCTAACAGCCACTGTATTACCATTCGACGGGGACCCTTCCATTCCAGGCGCCGGGGGAAGCGAAGGAGCACTGTAGATTCTTGGATTGCGTCTTCAGCCGATGGGGGTGTGACGGGGCGATGAATTTCAGGGTCGGATCCAGGAGACCCAGATATTTGCTCATGGATGTCTACCCAGGGATTGGACATCCGAGAGGGGGGCCGCAGTGGAGATGGGCCTTCAAATGATGGGCCTGAAAGGGGAGATTCGGACGGCAATGAGCCATCTGGAGAAGATGAAGCCGCCGAAAGAATACCGCGAGGCGTCGGCTGTTCGTCGTCAATCCCATCAACTCCACGGCTCAAGAGAGATCCAGAAGGAGAGTCTCTGTATTCCTCATTGAAGTCGGGAGCAGCTTGTGGACCCTTTGGAGCTCGCAACTGTTGGCCCGGGGGTGACAGATCAACGCGGTCTTGATATCTTTCCCCATGCAGCAATCCAATGGCCTCTTCTTCATCATCGGTCGAGAAAGTGGACTCATCGTCAGAGCGGACTCTGCCACTGGTGATGAAGTATACACCCAAGAAAGTCATCAGACAGCCGCCAACGAACTTCGCGGCACGCCCGACTGACATCGACTCAAAATCGCGATAGAGTATCGCGCTTCCAATAATAACGGACAAGGTGAACAGGACAAATTGCGTTGGAATCACTTGGGTAGAGTCAAAACGTTGCAGGGCGCGATTGATGTACCGAATCTGCATCAGAGCGCTGGAGACGAGAACAAAGACGAGGAGATATGTAATGGGAAATGTGATGACATGCCACAGAGAAAATGTCAGAAGCGAAGACACGCCCTTGGTGGAGAGAGCTGTGTAACCGCCTATTTGGCATGTTAACTTGAAAGCTTGCATTGAAAAGACTGGAAAGGTACTTACCGAACAGGGCTACCAACCCAACATCGATGAGGATCGACCGCGCTCCATATTTGAAGCTAGCCCACATAAGCCCGATAATCAAACCGACTGTCAGTCCCAGATAAAGCTCGAACTCCCAACGAGTGATCATGGTCCAGATCTCATCCGGGCCGATCTTCTCTTCGGAGGACTTGGCACTGAGTACGACAACAACAGCACCAGCAATGGAGATCAAAACACCCCAGAAGTCGCGCTGTCGGAACTTCTCTTTGAGTAGACATGGCGCAATGACGCAGTTTGATATCAAGGCTACAACTCCCAGAGGCGACACGATCGACGCCGGCGCAAAACCGTACGCCATGAAGTTTCCTGTCTCCCCAAGACACATCAAGATGATCCCGACCCACCAGTAGGGGGACTGGAGGTAAGACTTGCGGTCTCCGAACCCTTCATCCTTGTCTCCGGGCCGAGCGGTGCGATCGGACGTGAAGGAGTCGCGCAGTCGTTCCGGTGATTCCCAGGCGCCACCCCTTCCTCGAGGGGGGATTATCCACGTCGTCGCGATATTCGTCAAAATCCTGCTGTATCGTACGTCGGTGTTCTCTGCGCATTCTTCCCCGCACATCGCCGCGGGTGTTCTCGTCCTCGACGGTTCCGTACGAGTTCCGTTCGTCGGTATGAGGATGATTCCGTCTCCATTCCGCTTCTTTCTTGACCTTGTCTTGCTCCCATTCCCTTGCGATCCGGAGGTGTGCGTAGCGCTGGATGTTGAGAGCTAAAGAGATCAACACGTTGCCGGCCAGAGCAGTTATAATACCGATCAAAGATGACCACTCGCCCGTGTCTCCCTCAATCTTCAAATGGCTATTTTGTGGCGGCTGCGACGGGACTGGGGGCGAGATGGCGGAAGGATGATGTGAATAGGAGACCAAGTACGGAGTGGTCACAGGAGTCGCGATAGCTGAAGTAACGAGCGAGGCGAGGGGCCCTGCCCCAAGAGATGTCTGAGAGAAATCCATTCAGACGCGCGGGTTCAATGTAGAGTGCGAATACAGAGCAGTTGTCTTTCAATCACATCCACTACCGGCCAAATCGGTGTTACCGACGGTAGCTCCGGAGCTCTTTCAATAACGGCGGTCGACAGGTCGACGTAGAAAAGGGCGAGGATTGAGAGTCAGCATTTCAAAGCGCAGTAGACAGCATGCTGAAATCCGGTGAACAGGCAGAATCGTCGACTGTCACCTTCGACCGCGCCACCTCGTCGCGTGTGGAAAGGCAGAAGTCGAGAGCGCCCGAGAGCTTGCGGAGCGGAGATGCTATGTCAGCACCAACCCTCCTTGCACCACGCTAAACGGTCGACGGGCGCCTCACGCAGTTACAAATCGCGCCAAAGTCCCGAGGCCCAAGCTCGCGCGGCGGTGCTCGTGTTGGTCATTGGCAGCTCGGGCACAGAAACGACCAACTCCTCTGACGATCGCTCTTGAGACGTCATCCGGCGGCCAAGAAAGAGGGGGCATTCCTGAACTGCTGGCGCAAGGAGCCACACCCATGCGCCTGGGTTTCATCACGGTCCAGAAGCTGCTGCCTTCACACTGTCACAGGATGCGGGTTACAGATGCAGTGCGTAATACGTACTAGTACTACTGGTAGTATGCTGTGGAGATCAAGAGCGCTGTGGCAGCTATTGACCCGCTCTCACAAGCGGATGCATAATCATGAGAATTCATAGGACTTTATTATAGTTACATGGTTCAAGGTTTCACTCAGGACTTATCGTCGGGCTTTTTTCTTCTCTGGGCCTCCATCTTCGTCGTCACTCAGATCTGCGTAGATCGCATTTGGTTGGGTTTCCTTATATGCTTTGGTGAAGATGGGGTCCTTCTCGGCTTTGTCGGCATACTTCAAGAGTGCCTCGCGGGGATCCTCATCCCGCATGGAACTAAGAGGAATGTTTTCACGAATATGCTTCTCATCAGGCTGAGATTTGGCGAAAGGAGTGACCTGGGGCACGTGGGGACGACGCGGGTCTCGAGAACGACCAGACGCTGTCAATCCGACATTCGGGTGACGGGCAGACCAGGTTGCTGCACTGTAATGGGGCACACCGTTGGAACCAATAACTACCGAGTCCCCGGCCATACTGTGTGAAAGACCAGTTGTGAAAGTTGGGTCGTCATCCAGGTGGCGGCGCTTGGGGGGCCCTAGACATGACTAAGGAAGCACCTTTGGTCGACATGGTCGGGTTGTAGAGAACATGTGTTTCAGCGTTGGCGGACCCAGTCAGGATTTGATTCAACTTCTCATGCCATAGGACGGAGATCAAGGGAGACCCAGGCGTAACGGGGGAGACCAGCTCGGGCCTGAGAGTACCTGGGTTGAGGATGTGCAAATGACCAGTCTCTGAACCAGTGATGATGTTCGCAGAGGACGGCGAGAATTGGATATTCGACGTGGGATAGCGGAAAGAAGTTGATGTATGAGTGACAGTATTGACAGGAGATTTAAACTTCCTGGTATCCCACAGCTTGATCGTATCGTCTCCACCTCGGCTGACAACAAGCCGCCCATCGGAGCTGATATCCAACCCACTGGTCCAGGTATCCCGAGTGTGAGCATCTCGCACTTCAGCGACAGGCCGATGGAACGGGCCTTTACCGTTGTACATAACCAAGGTGCCATCAAGAGCGGCAGCCACCAGGATATCGGAGCTTCCTTGTTTTTGTGAGCCCCAGGTGACAGCCGTCATCTTGGTCCGACCAGCGGATCCTGCGACTTTAGACTTATACACAATCACATCCTTTTGCGAACGGCCCACGTTGGCATCCCAAATACGGACTGTCCCATCGTATCCAGCTGTAGCGCAGAGGTTCTCATCAGATGGGCACCATGCTCCACTGGTTACTTCAGCGATATGTCCCTTGGTATTGTGAAGATCGCGCAGGTACATGTCACCCTTGGCGAATTCGACCAAGGTGTCACCATCACGATCAAGGACTCGAGGTTGGGCTGTGGCCGTAACCGCAAGAACGTAGCCCGGAGTGATCGGGTTGAACGCTGCGTAGTGCACCGCATGGGTGTCTTGTGCCGCGGATTGTTTCTTCTCCGAGGGATCGACGGACTTGAATGCGCGGATGGTCGAGGGCGTCATGGAGGCAAAGTCATGAAGCTTGAGGGTACAATCGGTAGAACCTGTTATTAGTCGCGCGCCCGAGGGATCCACGGTCATGGTTGTCACGGCGCGGTCGTGCGTCTTTATAACCATCTCATGCGACACCGGAAACTCATCCTCGTCATCGGAGTCGTCCGAATCATCATCAGAGTCAGAGTCGCCTTTGCGACTGGACTGATCTTGCTTGTTCTCCGAGTCGGCAACGCCAGCTGTTTCGGGTGCATTTAGTTCGCTCCCTGCCTGTCCTGCGGGCGGTTTCACTGAAACCTCTTTGCGCTTGGAGCTATCGATCTGGGCATCGACGTCGACTGACTTTTCCTGCTTGCCAAAGCTGGTGGGGAAGAACTTCCTGAGACTTTCCTCGCTGAAGCCGTCCATGATTCAAGATGTGTCAAGTGGACTGAAGCGAACTCGCGCAAGAACCTGCCGGTGGTTTGATATCGCCGGGAGCTTGTTTGCAGTGTTTGCACCTGCCACCACAAATGCATATCGATCACTCATCAAGTGATTGGAAGGGGCGATAAAAGTTGACTGGCACATTCCAGTGTCGTGGTACTACATTCTCAGGTGCCGACATGATCATTTTAGAAAGACTTATGTTACAATTGATTAACTACAACTTGATCTTCACAGACCGTACGTTAGAACGGGCTAACGTGAAGACAGAATTGGATAATCCAAAGGTATATATCAATGTCTGCCGTCTCCATAAATCGCTTGGGTACCATTAAAATACACAGATCCAGCCCTGAAGGACTCCAGTACAGTAACACTCAATTGATACTGAGCAAAGCTTACAAGTACAGTCCCTCCACAGGGCCGCCGTCCTGCTTGGTCTTCATGATCCGCTCCCGAGCCGAGCGGAAGTCATCCATCTGTACCCTCATACGTCGTTCTCTCAGAGCCATCAGACCAGCCTCAGTACAGATGGCCCGGATATCGGCACCGGAAAGATCGTCCTTCTGGTTGATGAATTCGTCCAGGTCGACATCATCACCAAGGGACATCTTGGAGGTGTGCAGGGTGAAGATCTTCTTCTTGGTAGTTTCTGCGAACAATGTATGTTAGTCAACCGAGGGTTGTGGTATATACAGAGGGTGAGCCTTACGGTCGGGGTTCTCAAACAAGATCTTACGATCGATACGGCCAGGTCGAATCAGAGCAGGGTCCAGCGTTTCGATCTTATTGGTGGCCATGATGACCTTCACGTCACCACGGTCATCGAAGCCATCCAGTTGGTTGAGCAATTCCAGCATGGTGCGCTGAATTTCTCGCTCACCACCAGATGTCGACTCGTACCGCTTAGTACCGATGGCATCAATCTCGTCAATGAACACAATCGAGGGTGCGTGATCGGCAGCGACGGAGAAAATTTGGCGGACCAAGCGAGGGCCATCACCCAGGTATTTCTGGATCAACTCACTGCCAACAATACGCAGGAAAGTGGCACTTGTTTGGTTGGCGACAGCCTTGGCAAGAAGTGTCTTTCCTGTTCCGGGCGCACCGTACAGGATGACACCCTTTGGTGGCTTGATACCCATCTCCTCATACAGCTCAGGGTGTAGCAAGGGCAGTTCGACGGACTCCCGAACCTCTTGGATTTGTTGTTCCAAACCACCAATATCGGCATATGACTCCGTAGGAGCCTTGTCCAGCTTCATCACCGACACAAGAGGGTCGGATTCTTCTGTCAAGACACCCACGACAGATACCGATTTGTGGTGCAGAAGAATGCTGGCGCCGGGTTCAAGGAGGTCCTTGTCGACGAACGACATGATTGAGACATAGTACTCGGGGCCAGTGGCGCTCGAAACAATCGCATGGTCGTCGTCGATCAATTCTTCCAGGTTACCAACGCCCATCGGGCTGCCACGCATGTCATCAACTCGACTCCGCTCATCAGCATTGCGATCCATCACATCGAGATCACCTCGATCAACGGGCCCCTGAGTAGCTTGAGCCTTGGCCTTACGCAGCCGCTCCATATTCTCGACGTACTCCTCCTCGAGCAAGAGGTGGTCATGGACTCGTTGCATTCGGAGGTATCGTAGCTTGCATCGCGAAGTAGGATAAATATCTGGGAGCTTGGAGGCGGTACTAGGACCAGCGGCCTTGCGCTTCTTCTTTCCGATGCGGGTGGTGGGTGGTGGAGGAGGCTCGTATCTGGGCTTGTCCTTCTGCCGGACGCAGGCATTAGTGAATTGATGGAGCAGCCGAATGAGATCAAAAAAGTCATACCTTCTTATCCTTGTCATCACGTCCATCTCCACCGGGTCCCCCGCCCATGTTCGATTGCTGGTTGCCCTGTTCGATGGATTGTCAGTACACGCGCAAACCCGATGGGCGCCAGTCAGGTAGGGTTGCTCACCATGTTTGTCAGCCAGCGACAGGATCGCTGTCAAAGTCCACGGAGCAAAGCCGAGATGAGTGTTGAAGAGTTGAAGCTTCTGAACCCGACAACGAGTAGCGAAGATGAGGGTTTGGGGGTGAAAGGGATGGCTAACGTAGCTGCGGTGTTGCTGCTCGGGGGTCAGCGAGCTGGCAGCTGTTGCCGCTTGCACGTGACCTATAATGCCTCAGGCGAATATCTGCGTCATGGGTGCCTTTATGCCTTGCTGCCTGATCTCGCTCACATCCCGCACTTTTCGATCGTTCGGGAAGAGGCAGCTCGCTCAAGCTTGGACAGTAGCCACGATCAGGCTTATGGTAGTCGTCTTTGAAGAAAGTGCAAGCATTGGGTACACTTCATATCTCCACGCATTTGATTTTCACTTTCAACGTATCCATTGCGAAAATTAAAAAGCCCATAGTACATTCCCTCCAACTGGTAAGATTGCTATATTCAAGTTGCACCTTCCCCGGGCGTCGTTCTGCGGCATTTGCAACCTATTTCATTCACTTCCGTGGCCCATTTCCGCTCTTGCTAGAGGGTGATTTATTCCTAACTTCTTACCCTTCCTCAGTCTTCAGACAGCACTTTATCGGATCACTCATCCCGACTGTTTCCCGGCCGGCACCACCTTCGTGGTTCATCCTTACTTCGGCAGAAGGTAAACATTCTCTGAATACTCAGCTCGCGTCTTCGGCTCCTCGCCCATCCAAGTCCGTCCTTCACTCCTTTCACCACCATGGCGGCTAGTCACCGTGTTCGTCGTATTGGCAAGGAAATTGCCGACATTCGCGCGGACACTCACTCGCAAATTGGCATCGAACCCTTTGGTGACCAGGACGATGTCACTCATCTCCGCGGCTCATTCCCGGGCCCTCCTGGTACTCCCTATGAAGGTGGTACTTTCGCTGTCGATGTGAAGATCCCTACCGACTATCCGTTCACCCCTCCGGCCATGAGGTTCGAAACCAAAGTTTGGCATCCCAACATCAGCAGCCAGACCGTGAGTACATCCTTCCGTAACAAATTCATACCATATGCCAACGACTCTCTGTTTAGGGCGCTATTTGTCTCGATACGCTCTCGAGTGCTTGGTCCCCTGTCCTGACCGTGAAGTCGGCGCTTCTTTCCCTGCAGCAACTGCTGAGCACCCCTGAGCCAAAGGACCCCCAGGATGCCGAAGTCGCGAAGATGATGATGAACACGCCCGCAGAATTTGCGCGTGTTGCCCGGAAATGGACTGTTCTCTATGCGGGTGCTCCGCCGAAGCCCGACGAAGAAACTCAGGATGCTGTGGCCAGCACGCAGGTGGCAACCGAAGAAGATAATCTCGCTCGGTAAGCGACCTATTTCTGATTATCAGCCAACTTCGTTGAAGCAACCTAATCGCCCCTCTTCAGGTATCAAGGATACAACAAGGATCTGGTTGATCGGTTTGGTAATATGGGATTCGATGTCGCTCAAGTGGTTGATGCCTTTCAACAGGTCAAAGTTGACCGCAACGCAGGCGAGGACTATGAGCTGGATCCAGTTGTCATGGCGAATGTCACTGCCCGACTCGTCGGAGAATAGACTGCTCTCCCGAGGTAATACCTAAGGAGATTTCAAATGTTTGATGAATGGAATGAATCTACATACATGTATTAATACGATGGATTAGGAATCTGATCTACGTGCATCTCCAGATTTTGTAACTAGTAGTAGTTATGATCGATTGGTGGTTTTGATGTTGCACAAACTAAAGCTGAACAGCGCCTCTAGAGCCACTTACTATCACCTTTGTCATGGGGTTTCTAAGCTCATCCTGATCGAGAATCTATAATGTCGAATAATTTGGAATGGCCTTGCTTCCTGCTCAGTTGAATGCCTCAGGCTCGCAGCCATTTCCTCTTCGAGTTGTTATCGATAAAGCGGCTCCATTTCGAATTCGAATGACAATCAGACCTCGCCGACTGCCAACACTCCGTTCATTCGTGCTGCACAAGCAGTCTCGCTCAAAACACCGATCAAATCGCTAGTCCTCGCAAGTTCTTCCCTTCACCTGCAACTCGAATCGAAATCTCTCTCCGCTTTTCGTGCAAGATCAGCTCAGCTTCCCTGCGCCGGCGCCAGGCATTTGTTGCACCATGATTGAAGACGACATTTACCGCACCTCTTCTCAATTCCGGCTGTGGTCGTATACCAAACCCGCTCTACAGACGCTTCGAGCAACAACAAATGCGGTGGCTAGTGAGCGAGTCAGAGCCGCCTTGCGCCGAGCTCGCGAAGCTCGGCAGTCCGCCACGCCCTCCGCGGCGGGAACACCACAGACCGGCAGCGATGCGGAAAGCAAAGTAGGCGATGAAAAAGCGGTTGACTGCTTGACACCAGAAGAGGAGTTGGTTTTTGTCCGCTACTACTGTGAAACACTCCTGGAATTGGGCGACGAGTACAAGCCTCCACTGCCCACGGCCGTCCGGGTAAGTCCAAGAGGATCGCGACGATCCAGGAAATGTCCTAACCCATTCACTCTTGTGCTAGGCGACCGCAATTCAATACCTTCGTCGATTCTATCTGACCAACTCTCCAATGACATACCACCCGAAAACAATTATGGCGTGCGCGCTCTTCCTGGCAACCAAAACCGATAACTATTACATGTCGCTGCGGCATTTCACTGACGGGATACCCGGCAAGCCATCCCCAGACGAGGTGGTTGCTCCCGAGTTCTTGCTTATGCAGGGCCTTCGGTTCTCATTCGATGTCCGACATCCCCTGCGCGGACTTGAAGGCGGTGTCATGGAACTCTCAGCCATTGCGCAAGGACAGGGCCAGCCATCACCCCTCCAACCACACCAAACTCCAGAAAGCCTCAAGAATGGACTTCTTTCTATTGCACCACCACCTACTCCGTCCTCCTCTATCACCGATCGAATCGGGCGCGCACACACCGGCACACGCGAGCTGCTCAAGACTGCGGCGCAGATGACCGACGCATATTTCCTCTATACCCCCTCACAAATCTGGCTCTCAGCCTTCTTTCTTGCCGATCGACCATTGGCCGAATTCTACCTTGATACCAAACTCGGTGGACCCATCACACCCACCGCTGCCAGCACAAATCCATCCGGCCTTCAAAATCCGCTCTACGAAATGCGCACTAAGGTCTTCAAGGTCCTCTCCGACTGCTCCGCACTTCTACAAGCTTACACCCCCTTTCTTCCGACGAGGCCCAAATGAAAAACCTCAAGCGGATTGCGAAGAAACTCTATAAATGCCAAAACCCCGAGAAGGCTAATCTCTCACAAAAACGAGATTCTGCTCAGCCTCCAACTTCGGCTGCTATCACTGACTCGGGGCAGGTGACCTCAGAAAGCGAGACAGAACGGTTAGCCAAAAAACGAAAGCTCGATGAACAGAAACAGCGTGGCTCCCAGGATCTGTTTGGCCCCGAGCTTGTGCTTGATCGGACTAAGTGACCATTTGATTCCAAAATACCTTACGCGATAGCGCTTTGACTGGCCATAAATGCCAATTTGAAAATGAGCTTCACCATGTTCCTGTTGATTCAGGTACTTGTAAAACTGCTGACGGATTACGCAGGCAGGCGGCATTGGGTCATGCAGGTTCCTGGATAGACTTTTCAGTTTTCCAGTAGTGTAAGAGGACAAAGAAAGATGTAAACCAGACTTGGAAGTAGATATTACAAGCGCCGTCCGAGGAACAACTACGAAAGTACTACATTTGCAGTGAAGAGAAGAATTGAGAAAAAGAAAATCCAGCACAGGCGAAAATGACCATGCGCAGAGGGGGAATGATTTCATGACCAGCAACTAAAAACAAAAGATATCGCTCCCCCAGGCCCAGATCTTCCAAGAATCTAGTAAGGGGAGAAAAGAGAAAAGAGACAGGAAGACCACCGATCTAAGAACAAAAGAAAATGAATCAAAAAATCAAGCGCCGTGCCCATCATAAGAGAAAAACCCATGAGCAATGCTAATGCTCCATTTTTCCCGGTCACGAGGCTGAACTTTTCTGGCATTGCAATTCCTTTAATTCTCGTCTAACATTTCGTCGTCATCAGGGGGGTTTTGAAACAAGAAAATATGTATAAAACGTTTTGAGCATGCATAGTGAGTCAATTTTAGACAGCACCGGCATCCACCATCTTGTTGCGCAAGTAGTTCTTGTAGGCGCCAATGGTGCCGTCCCAGCGACGGACGGTCTTGTGCTCGCAAACCATGATGTCCTTGGCGATCTTGTCAAGCAGACGGAAATCGTGAGACACGACGACAACACCACCGTCGAAGGCGTTGATGGCATCAGCCAGGGAGTCAATGGTGGGGATATCAAGACCGTTGGTAGGCTCGTCCAGCAGGATCATGTTGGGGGACTCGATGGCCAGCAGAGCGAAGACGATACGGCTCTTCTGGCCCTCGGACAGGGTACCCATAATGGCGGTCTGGGACTCACCGCTGAGACCGTAGCGGCCCAGCTGCTGGCGCCAGTACTGGTAGTCCTGGGACTTCTCGGGGAACTTGTCACGGACGAACTCCAGAGCAGACTTGGTCAGGTCAAGCTGCTCGGCGGAGTGCTGGCTATACATGCCGAGCTTCAGGTGAGTGTGACGGGAGACACGGCCACCAATGGGGCTCAGCTTGCCGGTCATCAAACGCAGCAGAGTGGACTTGCCGACACCGTTAGGGCCGACCAGGGCGGTACGAGAGTCCATGTCGACACCGAAGTCGAGGTGCTCGTACAGGGTGTCCTCCCACTTGCCAGAGTAGGAGAAGCTAACATCGTCAAATGACAGGACGGGGGGGGGGCAGCTTCTCGACCTCAGCGAAACGGAAAGTGAAGACACGGTCGGGGATGACAGGCTGAATGAAACCATCGGCCTCCATCTTGTCGAGAATCTTTTGACGAGACTTGGCCTGACGCACCAAGTTGGCGTAGGTACCAGCGGAGGCAATGAACTTCTTGATGTGCTGGATTTCCTCCTGCTGCTTGTGGTAGGCCTTCATCTGGTTGGTCTCCTGTTCGCTACGGGTCTTGTGGTAAGAGTCGTAGTTACCACCGTAGTAGAGGAGCTCCTTGCCGCGCATGTCCAGCATGTTGGTGCAGACACCGTTCAGGAAATCCATGGAGTGGGACACCAGAACCAGGGTGCGCTCCCACTTCTTCAGGTACTCCTCCAGCCACACACAGGCCTCCAAATCCAAGTGAGCAGTGGGGTCGTCCAGCAGAAGCAGCGAAGGCTTGACAAACAGAGCCTTGGCCAGGGCGACACGCATACGCCAACCACCGGACATGTCCTTGGTCTTCTTGTGGATGGTGGTTTTGTTGAAACCCAGACCAGTCAAGATCAGGGAAGCACGGGTGTGGAAGGTAGAGGGATCCATTTTGTCCATACGCTGGAGGTGAAATGTCAGGATATGCTCGATCAGAAATATTTTCCAACAAAGGTGTTTTTGCAACTTACGTCGTACAGATCCTCAAGGATAGGGCTCTCAGGGCCTTCATGTTCCAGGATCTCCTCGGCCCGCTTTTCCATGTTGTCCAGTTGGTTCTGGGCCTCGCGGACAACCCACTCAAGGGCACCGAAATCGGTAGGGGGAGCACCCTCGTTCAGCAGGTAGATATCGATGTGCTCGGGAATGGGGAACTCTCGGGTAGCGATGGACTTGAGCAGTGTGGACTTTCCGCAGCCGTTCTCACCAAGCAGACCGTAACGGCGACCGAAGTTCAGCTCGAGGGTGGAGTCGGTAATGAGGACCTTGCCATGGAACACCAGGGAGGCGGAGGTGATCTTAGCATCGCGGGAGGAGGGAATCGAGGACAGGACACCGGTGGTGACACGATCGGACAGACCGTGCTTATCCATCTGGGCTGTGAGCTTCTCGACCTCCTTCATCTTCTCGTCGGTGGTGGCGGGCTGCTCGGCAGCATCGCCCTCGGGCTCATCGGCCTTGGAGCCTTTCTTGGTCTTCTTCTCGTCGGCACGCTTGGCCATACGGGCGGCCTTGGAGGCGGAAACCATGATGGCGGTTGTAGAGAGCGTGAAAAATAGGGGGAGAAAGAGGGGTTGGGTGGGTGGTTGAGGAGGGGAGAGGAGGGGGGAAGAGAACGACGAGGTATCTCAGGCAGGAACGAAGAGATTGAAGGCAAAAGAAATGCAAAAAGATTGAGTGGAGCGCCTGGCGGGGCGGAGAGTAGAGGGGCGAAAGTGGAAGTGGGGGGTTGGCAAGCCCTTATCGATAGAAAAGCCTAGGATCTCTAAGCCTCGACGTCAGCAGGACGATGAGAAAAAGGTGGAGGACGGGACGAGCGCTTCTCTTTTTTATGGCGGCCTCGGCCCTTCACAACAAAAATCCTTAATGCGAAGGCAAAGGGGAAAAAAAATTGAAGCGGTGGGCCTTCAAAGCCTGAGGCGCCGCTGATTGGGGCCGAGACGTCACCGCACAACTTGGAGGCCTGAGGCATCAAATGCATATTTGCCACTACGGGCTTTCGTCTGTTCAACAGCACCAGTCACCTCGAGAATGGGTATGCTTGGGCGAAAGATCATGATATTATTATATGCAAATGGGCTGCTACCTATATTACAGCCGCTCGCTAATCTTGTCCAGAATCTGCCTCTCTTCTGTCGACAAAAAGACCCCATCGGGCACCCAAACATCGCTGCGCTCCACCACCAGGCGTCGAGGAATGTCCGTCAGGCTGTCTTCATAATGGCTCCCGATTTGGGCTCGCTTCTCATGGTCCGACTCGACGTCTCCATCTCGGGAACGGGAGAGTGGCTGCGACGTCCACCAGTATAACGGGTATCGACGCTGGATGTTGTTGACCACAAGAGCAGCCGACTGCATCAGAGTGATTCCCAGAATCATCACCGGGAATAGGAACCATCCCAGGCCCACAGTTTGCGAATTCGTGACGGCCAGCAGGGCAGTTGCACCCGCCGGCGGGTGCACAGTACTTGTCAGGACCATCACGGCCGTGGTGACGCCGCAGGCCAATGCGCCTCCAAGTTCAGTATACATCTCGGCGTTCGGATTGAGGGCAAAGAGCTTGGAGATTCCCACGCCGACCAAGCAGGCAATCATCTGGCTGAAAAATGCATTTCGTGGCTGCGCAAAGGGCGAGTCGACGGCACAGAACTCGATCACGGCGGCAGCACCCTGATCCACGTCATTTCGTCAGCGATATGTCCTCCGGCGTTCATCATATATGTGCTCGGATGGAACCACTTTCACGTCCGTCTCTGACTTACAAAACTGCCAATGATTGCTGGTGCATTCCGGTCCTCGAATGAGGGCACCCGCTTGGAGACGCTGGCCACCAGGGCCACACCGCAAAAGGCACCGACCATAGACCAAAACGCAACCAAGACATTACCCAGCGGTTTCGGGGTTGTACTTCGATAGCCCAGGAAATGAGCGATGGGCTGTGGGACCAAATGCCATCTTGGCGCTGGAATAAGCGGGTTCAGGAAACGATCGATGTCAAAATGCCAGCTTGAGATGCTAGAAAGCGACTTGGAGCGCTCTTGGGACGACTCGGCCATGGCAGACGGGAGAGGCAGACTACGCCAAAGACCAGCTCGAACCGTTTGCGGGTGGCTGTGTTTGCCGGCGTTTTTTCAGGGACCAGAATTCCAGGAACCCCGGGGGATTTCCAGCCCTATGAGGGATCTATAAAGAAGCATTCTATGGCTCTTGTCTCTCGCGTGGATCCTGCGACCGCTGCGTGTGCCGTCCTCCGCGTCACCACCTTTCGAATATCTCCGCGGGCGCAAGTGCTGAAGCCAGCAGCCAGAGGCCTTTGGTGCGGCCTCTGGGCCTTGCAACTGGGGTCGCTCCAGCGCAAAGACGGCCGCTCTGCCACTAACGCCTTTTGCATTTGGTAACAGAAATTCCTCTTTGGGCCTTAGTGTCTTGGCGTGGATGATGTCATCTCCGGCTCGCGTGGTCTTTGATCTACACCCAGCTGTCTGCACCGTAGGCCGTAAAAACAGTAGAATATCAGACTGTTGAACTTCTATATGCAGTTGAGATTTTCTGAAGAATATCACATAATTTTTCGAAATCTGTGGCTGGTTCAACCGGTCGGTGATCATGGAACCATGGTGTTGCACAGGCCTACTTTGTCATCTATAAACTACCAGTCAGACTAGTGAGCGACGCATGTCTATCGCGAGGCCATGAATTTACACTCATTCGGACGGCTGCTCGAATACTCCGTAAATGCTGGACATTAAACCGCCTATACATGAGACACCAAGCCTAGAAGCAATGTTCAAGTGCTACATCAGGATACTTGATATCCGGCTAATTTTAAATATACTAGAATTTGCTTGCATGACTTCATGTTTATCAGATTGGAAAGTGTGGCAATCATGTATAAATAAAAATCATCTGGCTTAGCTGAAATCGCTAGATTGAACCCACATTTCCAAGATCTACCACGCACTATATTATATGTGATAAAACATACCCCAACAGACATCAGACCTCACCGACATTCCTCCAAAGCACCTCCTCAGCCATCTGAAAAGGTAACCCCACGCACCAAGCCCGTGGATACTCCATCCCCCACTTGGCCATCAAACACTTTAAATCGCCCTCGTCGCCCGGCACAACATTCACAAAGATGCGATCTCCATGAGACCGCGGTTCCGAATGCACGGCGCCTTTCTCCTCGCCGACACGGAAAAAGACACACTCGCCCGATTGCGCTTGTACGACGCCATGTGGCTCTAGCTCGGCTGCTAGCCGGGTCCTCACCGACTCTGCGGCTGATGCACAGCCGACACAGCGAACGGAGAGACAGATGTGATCTGGGTTTGCTTTTCGGACGGCGAGTCGGGTGCTCCGTTGGATGTCGCGGGCGGCGGGGCTAGTCTTTTGGGGTATGAAGAGGGTTCCTGGGCCCAGCAAGGTGGTGGTAAGTTTCCAGTTTGTTGGGGTTGGGTTGGGGGTGAGGATTTGGGCGGGAGAGGTTGGTGTTTGTGTTGGCGCGGTCGTATCGAATATTGAGGCAAGCTCTTTACTGGCTCGCTTTTGGTGGGTGGGATGGATTTGCCTGGAAATATTGATGCTTTTCCGGAATGGCGATCGTAGAGACCGACGACGGTGTGGTGGGATGGCTGCTGCGAGCGGCGAGAAGAATAGATCGTCAGTGTGCCATCGGGGAATGTCGTATTCATTTGACCCCTTGGTAGCTCGCACCGTCAGCCAGTAGTGAGCGAGGTTGTTGGTCTCGAGGAATTCGTGCACAAAGGTCAAAAACGAGAAGAGAGGGGTCAGCAAGGAACCACTGACGGTGGCTTCGGCCCAGGTGTGGAAGGAGGATGGGAGGTGGTCTTGGTCCAGGGTCAATAAGGGACCGCAGTACGTCCATGAGGAGGTGGCGTTGAGGGTGAGAGATTCGTCCAATGTCGACGAGAGTACATCCTTTTCGTAATTGGAAGGAAGAGGTTCTCTTGCTTTGAGGTATGGGAGGATGTGGAAATCGGGGAGTGTGCTAGCATCCATCCTGCTGGAACCGGGTCTTTACGTCGACCCTCTGACAGCTTCAAACTGGTCACAAAGCCAAAGCCAAAACCTCCGATCAGAATAAGGTTGCTCGATCCCACGTATAAATCCACGTTTCTGCGATGGTCGACAGGGTTGCGAGCGAACAAGGCGGCCAATGCTCGGGCCCCTCGTCTCCTGCATGGCCATGTGACGAGGGCGTTTAAGATGCAAGGGAATAACGTGGCCGGCCACGTTGTGTTTCATCGTGGAGCTCACAGGTGAGATGGCAGAGCATCCTGGTGGGACTAGACCCAAATCGGGCACCAAGTTGGGTTTGAGGATTAGCAGCTTGCCTGGACTGGCCTAGCGGGCGAGCAATCACAATGAATCACTGTACCTGGTCAAACGCCCCAAATGCCGACTTCGTATTTGACTTCTCGAAGGAATCATAAGTCGGTGGATCAGTTACGCCTTTGCCCCCCTCCCCCCCAACATCAGACTGGGGGCTGCAGGTGTTCGTTCCAGGGTGTCCATAAGCAATTATGCCTCTGTTCCCTGACGGCCTGTAAGCTTCCATCGTACGATACTGAAGCATTGGGCGCTAGTACGAGTATCGATACCGCTATTCCTTCACAAAAGGTTGCATTCTGATCTATTTCCCCTGTTTTGATTAAAATGATACGCTTGGTGACAGTGTTTTATCTGGAAAATCCGGTCAGGAGTAATTAAACGCAGAATGCCAGCACGAACTATCCAGCAGAAGATGCTAAAATGTGAGGTCCCAAGATCCATGTTCCTTTGACTTCCCTCCGTGAAATCCATATAAGCTGCGGATATAATCTGCAAATTGCGCTTATTTAGGCCACAGATGGTCGTACTTCCAGCTGAATTGGGAATCTGACCGGCATGGGCATACAGCTGTTCTACCTTGGCATGCTCGTACATACAGTTGTAGTGACCAATGCTGAAGCAATATGTTGAATAAAAAATACATCAGCGGTCTTCACTGATACCACACCGGAGGGGTATGAGACGCTCGTAACACCAGTCCACAATGTTATTAAGCTCATTCAAGCATTTTTGTGCCACCAAATCAAATATTAGCGCAAGAAACGTTTTCTTTCCATTCTCTATCGCTCGTCGTAATCGTCATTGCTTTTCATATACATTAAGCCACCGCTATATTGCGATATTTAAACATCCAGGGTGCGACCGGTAGCAGAGCTCTCACGGGCCAGCTCAATCAGGCGGATAACCTGGCTAGCTTCAGCACCGCTGGCCGGCAGATCACCCTCGCCTCCAAGGGCACGGACGAGCTTGCGGTAGTACTCGGTGTAAGTGGGGGGCTCGACAGTGGGGACAATCTCTTTGACGGGCTTGCCGTCCTGGATGGTGGTCAGAGTACCATAGCGCTCGCTGGGCTCCCGGCCATAGCCGTTGTCCTCGGGCTTGATGCCGGCCTTGAGCTGGTCCTCTTGGATATCCAGGTGGAACTTCTTGAAGCTTCCCTTCTCACCACGCACCCAGAAGCGCAGCTGCTCCTCCTCGGGGCTGACAACGGTGGCCTTGGCGGTGACCAAGGTGCCATTGGCGTAGTGCAGCAGAACAGTGAAGGAGTCCTCGAAGCCAGAGCTGTTGACGGCGCGGGCAGTACCAATGAAACCGGTCACACGCTTGGGCAAGCCCAGGAGGTGAACGGCCTGGTCGAGCAGGTGGGTGCCCAGGTCATAGACAGCCGATCCACCGGGCATGACCTTGTTCTTCCACTTGGAGGCATCGGGGGCGGGCTCCTCGGGACGGTGGCGGTCGAAGTGGGTTTCGAACTCGGAGATGCGGCCGAGCGAGCCGTTCTTGACGAGCTTGGAAAGGGTAACGAAGTCGGCGTCCCAGCGACGGTCTAAGAATTATCCAGTTAGATTGACTGACTTTGGAAACAAGCTGCCCGAGAGCATATAGGTCGCGACGGCGATTGAGGGGGTATAACGTACTCTGGTACACTGCAAGCTGCTTCTTCTGCTTATCGGCAATCTGGACGAGCTCGGCGGCCTCCTTGTAAGTGGGAGTGAAGGGCTTCTCGCAAACAACTGCAAATGATTCATCAGCGGGAGTTCAACGCGTTTGTGGGCAGCTTGCGTCACTCACCGTGCTTGCCAGCTTCGAGGGACAGCTTGGCCAGATCGAAGTGGGAGTCCGGCGCGGTGGTGATGATCACGATATCCAGCGCGGGGTCCTTGACCATCTCCTCGGTGGTACGGTAGGACTTGACACCGGGGTGGTCCTTCTCGGCGTCATCATCGGCCTTGGGAGTGCGCTGCACGATGGAGTGCAGCTTCAGCTCTGGAATCTGCGCGACGAAGGGAATATGGAAGATCTTGGCGCTAAAGCCGTAGCCGACGACACCGACGTTATAGGTCTTGGAAGCCATGATTGCGATGTGAGCAATTGAGATGGTGGTCAGAACAACGGACGGTGAGGTGCTTATAAACCCCCACGGAATTTGCAGGCCGAACGCGGGGGAAGGTCCTGGCGACGGCAACCTTTGGGTCTGGCGGGGCATTTGCCGTCGCCGACGAGTCGGCCTGCCGTGGCAAAACTCGGGCTTCGACCGTTCTTACTCTATCACTCTACTCCCGGAGCATTGTCGCCCCAGTCTACAGGCAAATTTGGGCAGAGTTGCATCCAGGATTGCTAATCAGAAACAGAATCTTCATTGAAATTAAACACAAACTACTGGCCCGACTGTCACTCGCACGACGGCCGGAGCCGCTCTGCAAACCCCACCATCCGGTGTCTCCGGGCCATGAGACCCCAAAAACGGTGCCCGTTCTAGATGTTGGAGGTTTCCTCGATCGCCACACATCGCGACACTTCAATTGCATCCTACCAATTGATTAGCAATCGCCTGAAGATTCCGTGATCAGACTCGATGGTCCACAAAATGGCTCACCTGTTCCCCCTCGGGCTGATGCAGCTCGCTCTTGTATACGATGTTCGGGTTCCCAACCACTTCGAAGATCGGCGTCGCATTCTTGGGCATGTACGACTGGATGGCTCGTTCTCGGATACCCGCGGTGTTGTATTCCTTCTTGGGTCCTTCCTTTTCGGCCTCCCGCTTCTGCTGGACCGTCGACCGCACATATTCTAAATAGGGGGGTTGCCAGGATAGAGGACATTGTCTGCGGCCAGGACGGTACCAGGAACAATCATGCCGTGATGCTCGCAGAGCTTGAGGTCTGTGGTATAGGCCGGCTTGTAGTGGTCAATAAACATGAGCTCGATCGTCTTCACCTCGCCGGTACGGTATAGTTTGTCCAGCGACAGGTCGCTGCGGCCCACAATGATGCGTACAAAGTCGCGCAGACCAGCCAAGTCAACGAGCATGTTCGCAATGGCTGCAAACTCTGGGTTCAGCTCCAGACTCAGATAGCGCTCGCCCCCATTGCGACGCACCGCGTCGCCGAAGAGGATGGCAGAGTACCCCACGTAGCACCCGAGCTCAATCATGGTCTTCGGTCTCACTTCGTTGATCAGATCGGTCACAATCTTGCCCTTTGGCACACCGACGGTCACCAAGTGGTAATCCTCTTCAAATTTCTCGATGAGGTCGAGTACCTTTTCTGGGTGTCCACTGATGTCATCCAGGTTGGGTTGTTCGTAAATGAAGTGCAGGAGTTTGATCTCCCGGCCTTCTTCGCGCTGCCGCAAGAGTCAGTTTCGGCGATGATCTACACCAGAGCTACATAGGCATTCGATCAAACTCACAGAACGCTCGCCCTGCCGGGTATGCGGGGGCGGGGAAGGAGGGTGCGTGGTCATCTTGAGAGGGGTGTAGAAAGCAAAGCAACGATGGGAATGTTTGGAAAAACAGAAAATTGGTACACCAGAGTGCGAAGCAAAGGCCTTTTTATACGAAAAAAGGGATCATTCCTAAGAACCGGCAAACCATGGACCCCCCGCATGGTTGTTGCCGAAGCAGACGGGCAGGTCCAGATGTGGAACCGATGATACGAGCTCGGCCTCGGGGATAAATACTCAACAGAGCAGAAGTTGGCGCAAGGAAAGATCTATGCAGCAGATCTCGGCGGGCTTCGCAGATGGAACCCTCGCTCTATATTAAGTCGGATCATCGATTTGAAAATTGCTGCCTTCGGGAATGAAGATATGAATTTCCTAATGGTAAGCCTAATGTTCTCGGAGCTAATGATTCGGGCAATCAGCCCCGAATACACCGGGTTGTCCGAGGACCCCCAAACGAGTGAAATTATGTGATCAACACATTGACTTCGCTTCAGATGGTAGCTAACAGCTCATCTATCAGCTCATTTGCGAAAATCATACACAAGTCTTCTGCAAAGGTACTCTCCTTCGGAGTTCATTACCACAACCCGACGTGTGAAGTGCCGAACACCATCGATCAATTCGAACCCCCATACCTGCCGTTAAATCCGGTGTCACCCCATGAGAATGTGTCGCGTTACGAATTATAGTTTGCTCACCTGTGATGAGAGCCCTCCTGTCTCCAGCTTCCGTTCAACTGTATAAATCCAAAGTCCTGGAACACCCAAGACTCCTTGAGTGTTGATGACACCAGAGTTCTCGGGCAACGACCCCACAAGAAAAGCAGATGCATTTCCTTTGTCTAGAGCAGTTCCCGACAAGAAATTTCGAATCTCCTCTTTGTGTTGCATTTCGGGTTCTAGCTCAATCTCGGGTTGATCTTCTTCGGGCGTAATGACATGGCCCCGGATGTAACGGGCCTGAAGCTGAGCTGATCCGAAGATGTAGTCCGAGTAGTCTTGCGGCCTCCAGTTTAGAGTTCGTCTTTCGATAGTACTCGCGAAGCCACCGCTGAATCTCTGGGTCAGTTCTACGGTGGGAACTGACTCGTTGGACTCGGGGTCGATCTTTGAATATTCGGAGACAGCCGTGGTAATCGTTATGGCTGGTACAGTTTTTCGGATTATCCAAGAGACCCCTTGCTGATATCCAAGTTGTTAGCACTGAAAGGTTTGGACGAGTTCTCAAAAAAGATAGGCGTATATAAATAGGGATTATGGGCATTTTCATATCTACCAGCTTCAAAAGAGGGCCCAAGTCGCCGGTCAACTGCTTATTCTATTCATGATCGATGGTGAATAATAACGGACATGACACAAGAGAACATCTATGATCATGCCTACCAGGATCCACTCATTTCTGAGACAACCAACTCGAATATGCTCCGGTGTGGCCATACTTGTTCGAATATCATTGATGCTTTGTGAAGGGGAAACCTGGTATTCGGTCCGATGCGACCTTCGTCAGTCCTTTTATAGATTAAGATAAGTTCTGCGTTGACATGTGATCGGCTACATTACTATGGTTCTTGGGCAGCCATAATATTGCGACCGTTACAGATATCGCCGATAGGTGCTTGGCCGGCTTGTCCCACCTTGATGCCTCTTTTGCCTGTACTTCAGCCCTCGCACTACTAGGAATCAGCCGCTGGAAACAAAGATGGTGGTAGCTCCCAGCTTCTAGAATATGGTATCCACTGAAAGTTCTCAAGGTCATCTGCCGCTTCAATAGAATTACCGTTTGACCTATCCAGCCTGCAATCTTGGTGCTCAGGGTGGCTTGGTAAGCTGGGTCAATTGCTTGCCTTCCTGTCCACACCAACATGAGGTGGCGAGCCATAATTTCCAGGCACACAACCATGCCTACCTTTCTCAACCCCATTCACTTTCATACTGGACTTGAACTGCCCCGCGCCTTCAGCCAAGATTTGGAGCGCATGCTTCTCAGTGTCGTCAAATCTACTGCTCGACTAACCCTGAAGGTTGCAATATTGTTCTAGTCTGGCAAACTAGGTGAGTCTTTAACCCCATCTCGGCTTCCCGAGGGTCAACACTGGTCGACCTTGCGATTCACTGCACAACGCCCTGGAAGCGCACCAGCCTCGGGTGACTCACATTGTCTGTGAATGACAATGAATATGAAAATGGAGCTTTGTTTCGGGCATTTACATAATCTACTCACAAGATTCCTTCTTTCTAATCTTTCTCATGATTCTAAAGATATCTTCGCCGTTCAAGTTTCGCGTCGATCCCGGTTCCTGCTCGATCATTCTCGCGCCCTCCAGCGGTGCGATACTCGCGCGGCCTCCAAATCTGTCGATACCATCCCCTGTTTATTTTGGGAGGTCTGTGCCGTCTGACAATTTACCTCACCTTGCGACCCTCGAAACCCTCGCCTCGTCACGACCTGGGATCTCCTCCGAGTCGGTTAAAATGGACGATAACCTCGTTTACGAGGAAAAGGACATCTCTAAGAGATGGCCTGATACCATCTACAGGACCTCAGATATGTTTTGTCCTCCGGATAAGAAGACTGAATCCCTCGAACAGCTCGAAAAGAAGCGAGCCCGATGCTCCCGACTGCTGAAGGAACCCAAGGCTCGAGTCTGGGATGAAAATGAAGACCCATCCACCCGTGGCGGTAAACGCCTCTACGATAAACTGCCCACTTTCACCCCTGAGGGACAGTATATCCTTCCCCCGAAGGGGGGTAACATTCTCCTCTCCGATCTCAATGTCGCCATGGTCATCAACAACTGTGGTGTACGAGTCCGCTCCAAGCATTGGCCGGCGATTTTCGATAAGAGCGGCGATATAAAGCCAGATCGGGTCCCTGAGGACCCAGCTCCGTTTGCCTTTGCCCATGGGCTGCCGCATATTCCCGTTTTCCGCGGATATTACCTTCTCTGTGGGCGGGAGATGGCGACAAAAATCACTACATGGCAGCTGTCCGAGAAAACCCTCCAGTCCCGAACTCCCATGGCTCTCCTCCTTGGTGTGGTTATCGCACCGCCCTATTTCATGGCTTCCCCTCTTGAGAAAAAGCGGGAGATCAATGCCTTTGAAAAGGGTGCCAAGATTCTACATGGCCTTCGCCATGACTATCTGACGTTGTTCTTTGACCCCGAAAGTAACAATTATGAGTGTCAACCACTCTACGAGTTTCCTGGATATCGAGCCAGGCTTTCAGAGAACTTCGACCATTATGTCAAACCAATGAGACTTTCGGTGGAGAAACTCGCAGCCAATCTTAAGCTCCCATACGCACGGAACCACCGCGTTGTTATCAAAGGCTCTCGCGAGGCTCGGGAGACTCCTTCACCTACTGGATCGGATTCGCCTCCACTCACTTCCCCAACCCGAAGTGAGTACAACGGGGAAGATCCCCTCACCATGACCACCTCCCCTTCGGTCACCGGTGCTTTGCCAGAAGGTTTCCCCGACTTCCACTTCCACAATGAGATCAGCGACAATCTCGAAAGTGGTAGCGATGACGAAGATCAGTCTCAGGATAGCGAGGTGGATGACGAACGTGCCCTGAGGAGACTAAAGAAGCTCAAGAAGTACAAGGATATCGTCCACGCGCAAAATCCGACGTACAAGCCACAAACCAAGTTGGCAAAGAATCTTGAGAAAGTCACCCAAAGCATCATCGATCGATGCAAGAGCGTCGACGGCCCTACCCTGGCCATCATGCAGATGGGCTTTGAGTTGGCCCACGACATCGAAAAATTCAAGCAGGGTGTTGTGGCCTTCGAAGAAGAGGCTCGAAACGGCCCTCCCTTGATCCCATTCTTGCAGGATAAGATCAACAAGCGGGTCAGTCGGTCCAAGCGTGTTCTCCCAAGCCTGGATAAGGTCGTCGATTTCCTACACAGCAGCCCCGAGCAGACTGCTGTCGAAAAACTTTCGGTCAATCTTCAGTCTCTGAAGCGCAAGGCGCCGGATGAGGACGAGGAGCGGCGGTGTCGTGCGCGGCACGAGTGAGGCAGGGCCTCGCATCTCCATATACCAGACTTTCGATCTTTTTTCTTTTCTACTCAAGATACCTTCCAAATTTCTTTCTTTGATATTTGTCTCGGATCCTATTTACATCCGGTCGGATATGCTTTCGTGTTTGTTGTTTTGTTATTTTTCCCTATTGATAATTATACTATGTAGTTTTATTCTTATTTTATTTGGTGTCTCCTCGGGTTTTCATTTTCTAGCTTCTTTTCGTAGTGGAGTCTCTGGGTCTCCAGCGGGGACAGTGGTGATAGCCTAAGGCAGTAGGTGGCACCATGGGTCGCGCTAGGCAAGAAACAGTGGTACACTTTCCAGTAGATTTTGATCGATAGTGCTATAAGATCCCAATGAGAAACATCATTTACAAACCAACTCATATAAATGTCATACACTCCCTCGGGTACTAGTACTTGTGGCGGGCTGTCTGGCGGAGGGCGGAGTATTCCTAGAGTTACCTTCCGGAGGGTTAGTACCCGTGGGACATACAATTGTAAGGTAGGAATGGACGCGATCAGATAACGCGGAATGCACTACCACCAAACCGGCCTAGGCCACTTCCTCCACGTACTTCCGCAGTCGCACGAGCACGGCATCCTCGATCTCGACCTGCATGGGTTCGCCGATCGCCCCTCATTCCAGCTAGGCCCAGCCCAACCTCCCACTTTCCCGCATTCTCACCTCCTAGAGACCTACCTCCAAGGGTGCCATCCGCGTCTGCATCCCTCCGCGGCGTCTTCCCAGCTCGTGGAATGGCCGCCTCGTCCAAACAAAGTCCCCATCACGCCATGAAGACTCTCCGGGCTGCTAACTCGGCTGAGGCCCTCTCATGCACGTTCTGGCATCTGTTTCGGATCTCCGTCTCGTTCGCTCTATTATTTGTGGACAATACGATCCTAATAGCGGCCGTGGTGCTCGCTCGTTTACAGTCCGTGGCTGGTTGGCGCCCGGCGGCGCTGCGAGATGTGCGCTTCTACCCCAAGACCGTGTTAATTACGGGAATTGGAACTGCCCACGGCCTGGCGCTTGCACGAGCCTGGGAGGCGCAAGGCCACCGCGTGGTCGGGGCGGATGTCGCAGATCTCGATCTCTCCGTTCGGTCGGGTGGCAGCGTCTCCAAGGCGCTCGTGGCATTCTACCGCGTCCCCAAGGACCACTACATCTCCCGGATCCTGGACATTGTTCATCGGGAGAAAGTGGATATCTGGATCCCCTGCTCGCCCAAAGCAACCGTCATTGAAGACGCGACGGCCCGGCAGGTGATTGAAAGCCGGACCAGCTGTCGGTGTATCGCCTTTGACGCCGAGCTTGCGGCGCGGTTCATCCACACCGACTCTTTCCGACAGTTTCTGGCAGAGAGGAATCTGCCCGTGCTCGAGCGTCACCAGGTGCACTCGCGCGACTCAATTCACAAGATTTTACACCGCTCGCCCAGCAAGTCGTATCAGATTCGTCGGCTGGGATCCAGTGCTAACGAGGCAGTTGTGGTCCTGCCGAAGCGAACGCTGAGCAAGACGTACTCGGAAGTCAGCGAGATCCAAATCAGCCAAGAATTACCATGGGTCCTCCAGCAGCAGACTCGGCTGGGCGAGTTCTATGCTGATATTCTGGTGGTGCGGGGCCATGTTCACGCCATCAAAGTCCGGCTGGCAGAGGCTCGATCTCCGCACTGGGGTGCCTCGCGGTTGGATGAGGCGCTGGCAACGGGGATTCACCGGTTGATGCAGAATTTTGCTGAAAAGGGTGGCACGCGGATGACCGGGCATCTGTCAGTTCGACTGCTGGTAGACGAGGAGTTCGACCACTCTTCTGTTCGCCATACTATCCATATTTCCGACTGTGTTCCGGGCGCTGCAGCCGTAGAGAATCTTGTACGCGATGCGACTTGTCCTGTTGCCGGTTACCTCGCTATCATCTCCTCCGAAGCGGATCGAGCTGGTTGGAAGGTGACAGCAACACTGTCCCCGTCTTTTCATCCCGGGTCCGCCTTGATTGGAAACGACACGGCTATCCAAATACTATCACGATTACTGTCCCTGGATCTCGTCAAGCGAGGGGCGGCCATATTGGAAAAGGAGCTGGTGCCTTTCTTATTCTGGCGAGATTCACGGTTCTCATATCATGACCCTCTCCCTTGGTGGTGGCATGTACATGTGTACCAGCCTTTTCGAGAGGTTTGGCTGTTGGTGAAGCAGATTCGGGAAACAGGGCTGGTCAATGGGCCTATTAAAATTTGACATGCATTCTGCGGGCATCGCGGTATGCTCTATGAATTACGACTATACGAATGATAAGGTGGTGGAGGTGTGGCCTATACCATGAGCATTAACTTGGGTTAATCATTATTTCGGGGATACGTCATTGTCATCCTATACTTCCCGTCTCTCTGCCATATTACTAGTAAGCAGCTTGAACTCCGGGTAGAGTTAGCACACCGAATTCTTCTTTGTTGGAATCGGTAATTGGCAAATTATTGATGCATGATGCCATTGCATTATCTTTCTGATCATTTTCCATTCATCTCTGCCTTAGATGAGACCGAAGGTACCATGCATCTTTAGTGATCTGCCACCCTTCCCGAAACACTAGTACACTTCCCGGTGCCCGTTCGTCGCAGATGCCCCATTGCGTATCTACAATGCTGGAATCTCGGATAATACCTAGGGGTATATATTGTAATATTGTAGTTGCGTAGTCGCTACATCGCACCCTCTGGCAGTTCCTTTCGCAGATGGTTGCCTGTCGAGTACAATGGGATTATGTACTGAGTGCTGGCACTGCCGAGTCTCCACCGTGGCTAAGCCCCGCACCAAAATAGAACGGGCTGTCGCCTGGGCGATCGTCCTCACTCGAAACTCACTTGCGTTGAGGTTCTTGACGTCGCGATCTTTGCAACTCCTCACTTCCACCCTCACTTCCACCCTCAATTTCCCCAGATTCCTCTTGCCTTTCACCATTACCATCACCATCACTATAACCATCACCATCGCACATCGTCGCAGTCCCGCCGATCACCTGGCCGCGTCCCCACAGAGCCGCACGAGCAAGCCAAGAAACGCTGCGCGTCCCCCCAAAGTCCAACCGTCTCCGCTGTCGCTCGCATTCTTTCGCCCTTGAATCGCATGCCCCTGTCAATCGCACATCTGCGATCCTGAGCTTTTCCGAACGTTCCCTTTTGGACTCTCTTGAGAAAGGGTTGAGACAGCCTTGCAGTCCTTAAATCCTGTGCTCCTCGCCAACATGGCCAATTTCCGCATCCCCCGTCCCTCGGGTGGTAACCTGGGGAGAACGAAGAACCTGATCCATTTCACCCAAGCCCTCATCATCTTTGTCGCCTGGGCCATGACCATCGCCATCTGGACCAAGGGCAAGGGCGATACGGGCGGTGCTATCGATGGTCGCACCGTCTGGTACTGGATCCTGGTGAGTCTGCACTCCAACTTGCAGATTCCTGAGCCTTGCAGCTGACAGATGTGGTTTCATAGTGCTGGATCAGCGTCCCCGCCTTGGTCTACCTCGCGGCGGTCCCCATGTGGCCGCGGGCCCGGCGCTTTGGGAATGTTTACGCTTTCGCCACGGTCGATATCATCTACGCTGTCTTCTGGTTCAGCGCCTGGATCTGCCTTGCTTCCTACGTTGCGCAGGGCAAGAGCATCGGGAAATCCTCTGACAGCGATAGCAAGAACAGCAAGGACAGCAGCAGCGGCGGCGGCAGTAGCGGTAGTAGCAGCAACAACAAGCGAGCCAGCAGTGACAGTAACAGCAGCAGCAGCAAGGGTGGCTGCGACAACTGGGCATATGGCAATGCCAGCAAGTGCAACATCAGCACAGCCACTACCATTATCGGCGTCGTGATCTTGTATGTGTCTACCGCGCGAACCAGAGAGAAAAAAAGCACTAACAATCGTCGTTTCTACAGCATCCTCTTCGCTATCACTGCTTGGATGTCCTTCCGCAATGTCATGCACTTCCGCCGCACTGGTACCCTTCCCGATGCCGTCTCCGACCCGACCTTCGCTGCTCAATCCAAGGCCGCCTTCTCTTCCAACCCGCCCCACGACTTCGAGGAGGATGAGGAAGACTTCCGCTCCGGTCGCGGCGGTGGCATGGCTGCCCCGTCCCGCGGCGACCAAGACGAGGACTATGCCCTGCTACAGCAGAGTGAGGCGGACGATCTGGGCGGCCGGTCCGCGATGCACGGCGCCTACGATCCCACCGGACCTGCCTCGAGCAGTGTCCTCCACGACTACGGCAACACCAGCTACACCGGTGCCGAATCGAGCTTCGGCGGTACCAACACCAGCTACGGTGGTAGAAATACTAGCTACGGTGGCTCCCAGGCCGCACAGATGCCGTATTCGCCATCTGAGTACAGCACAACAATGAGTGGATACCCACGGTAGAGAGGCCAGTGGGTGGATATAGAGTGGGAATGTTGAGGACATGAAATGCTGGCAATGAATACCCCAAAATCATCACGTCATTCTGCTATTGATCTGTGTCTGGAACGGTCACGGAGCGGTGTTGGCGGGCGCATAGTTTGCTGTTTCTTTGTTTTGTTTTTCTTCACGTCGAGGAGCGTCTGGCTGGGCGTTGTCATGATTCTCCCAGCCATATGATGAGGGCCACGATTGTACTTATTGAATGTAGCAAATAGATCATATCCAATGGAATTACAAAAACTACTCGATATGCTACATAATAGAACTCGAACAGGCTCTGTTATAACAATGTAAGGCTTGATATCGGTGCCTGAGTCCCCGGATTTCGTGGATTCTGCCACCGCCTTGCGGCCAGGTTCTGGACAGCTTGCGCTCTCGCCGCACCTTTGGTCTCAATATCCCACTACATTGCACCCCCAAGCAAAAGAACCTTTCCATTACTGGAGGTCACTATTTCCTGGTCTATTTGAATTATTTGGTACGAAATACCCCTTCTAAGACTCCACACGACGGTACAATCCATCAACATCTACATGTGCACAACGAGCTAATACCAACAACAGAAACAATCCATACACAACCGCTCAGGACACAAAGTCCTACCACCTCCAAAATGGCCAGCGAGATTGATCTGTACACCCAATACCCGCTCCACATGGACGGCGCCTCAAAAGCCATCTCCCTGCCTCCATCTTCCGCCTACACCAGCACCCAGTCAACGACGATCAACTCCGAACTCGAAGAACTAAACACCCTCCACCGGGCTCTCATCTCCCTCGACGCCCCCAATGTCCCCCCACCCCCGATGCCCGTCAACGCCAAGCGCGGCGCCCAAATCGCCAAACTCCGCGAAAGTGCCAACACCGCCTACCGCAAGAATAACTACGCCGAGGCGGTGCGCCTGTACACCTACGCCATTGAGATGGCCATCTCCCGCCCCGGGTGGGAGCCTGTTGCGCTGGCGCGTGAGGATCTGTCGGGTCTGTATGGGAATCGGGCGCAGGCGCAGATGGCGTTGCAGGCTTGGCCAGAGGGTTTGACCGATGCGAAGATTAGCGTTGATTCTAAGCCCATGGGGAATGTCAAGGCTTGGTGGCGCGTTGCGAAGTGCTTGGCTGAGATGACTCGGTATGAGGAGGCCAAGACTTTTCTACTGAAGGGGCTGGAGATTGAGGGGAGGGCTTCGGATGGGGCGAAGGAGTTGGTTGCGCTGTTGGAGGATGTTGAGGCTGCGCTGAAGAGGGCTGTTTAAACTGCTTCCTTGGGGGACTAGTTTGTCATTGTGTGGTCGTTTTTCTATCTATTTATTGCATGTTCGAAGCTTGGCTTTGGCTAGACGACGATTCCCTGATTGTTACTGGCGTTTGGCGAATGAAATATTTCAATGTTCTCTAAGCTTATAGATATTTGAACTTATATTGCGTATTGATACCTTTGTCCTAGTTTCTGTTGAACCGCACTCCTTGAGGACTCGTGACTCTACCTCACTTAACCTCGAATGTAACTCTGTGGGACGATATCACATGCACACAGTGTAATATCGTTTCGATGTTATGCTCTGTCATTTCAAATGAATATATATATCTGTCTTTAACCTAATGTAATATTATACCGAAACCACATATCAAGGCGCTTGGAATTCCTTTCACAAATCTCGTATCCAAGGAACTACACAATGTACTTTGGAGCAGGTGACAGAAACTTGCCAGTTTCGTCTTAATTCCCAGGAGCAAGTACAGAATAAGGTCACACCGGCAGTATTGCTATCCTCTTGAAATGACGGCCCGACAATCCAACGCCGACATTCCGATTGGCTGGACCCACACCTAAACCGATCTCCTTTTTCCGCCTCCACCGTCCAATCACCAACCAGATTGATTTCAGGATCCACCATGCAAAAAAAAAATCTTGACAGGATCGCAAAATGCAAAAAGAAAAGAAGAATCTCCGATAGGGGGAATCGAACCCCCGGCTGCCGTGTGAGAGACGGCGATGTTAGCCACTACACCATATCGGATTACTTGTTGAAAGATCAGCGAGAATAAGCTTCATAAGCCAGATTGTGCCTCCCGTGGGGGTAGCCATACCTGCCCGCCACAAATTGTGAGGACTTGGGACTTCATATTACCTGAAGCAGTCTGAATATACGAAAATTCTCTCGTAACATGCGGCATTTGGGCCCTATTTGGTTGTCGACGCCATCCGACTTGGTTCATTTCGTATAATGGTTCGATTGGATTTGATATCTACTTCGTATTGCGGATTCTACCAGTAGGCAAAGAAGGGTATACTGTTTGAAGGAGCTTTAAAAGGAAGGAGAAAGCTCCTTCCTGGGGATTTCGGGGTGTGCATCAAGGTAGATGGGCATTTTCTGGTTAAACAGCCAGCGCAATATCGCTATTATGTCTTCAATGTGGCGACGACTTCGGAGATGCATCGTTGGGACTCGAGAAGACTTAGCTTCGTGCCAGGCTTTGAGCTTTGTCAAAACCAAAATTGCTGGATGGATGATGAGGACTATATTAAAACAAGGTTAGGGAAGGCCACATAATAAGTGCTAATAGACACACTCTTTTCAAGAATCTCCCTGCGACTAAGCTCCTTAGGCCTCACGACGTACATTTCAACGTCTGCGGGACTCGGGATCTGCCATGCCTACCTGGGTGGGATATCATGGTAGCCACGACTTCATACGCCGTAGAGTGATCGTGGCATGGGTTCTAGGAGACTGTATGCTTACGGCATGATTTGGTTGGCATGGGCTGGATGTGTGTCCATTTCGTTCCACTGTCTCTCGTCGCTTCAATATGGAGGGAAAATTCGAGGTCACATCCTCGTTCGATCACGATATCAGAATCCTCACTCCAAAGCCCACCATCTCCAAAGTTTTCCCCTCCTCGACTATGGTCGATTCCGAGTGGGACAGGATCTTTTGATATTTATTTCGGCCTACATATCCCATCACCCTCCTGCCCATGTGGGTCCTGAGAGACGGCAGGGTATCGTCGTTCAGCGAGTCGAAGAATACCTTAGTCAGGGAACAAGAACTAGGGGTTCAATTGATTAAGGAATGGGACTGGAGCAATGTCGAAGAGGGCGACCTGGAACTTGCTGGGCGTGTCATTCGAAATTGCCGCTTTGTCGGAGAGCTAACGGACGTCATAGAAGGAAAATCAATGCGACAATAGGGGTCTGAGGACCCTCGATTCGCATTGAACTACTAGTACTACTATCCCGTTGGGTTTTTCTCGCATTAGCTACGCTCGGCGGGAAAACTACCAGGGTATTGAACCGTAATGTGACTGGAATCCTGTACAATTAAGAGTGAATCGAATTGTTTGTGTGCTTTTGCAGAGGACTATTGGCACGGTGCTTACTATTTGCAGAGTATATTCTTGTAACTAGTTAACTAACAGGTCGCCCGATTGTAGCCTGAGGCACATAGACGCACTTAACCGTTTACAGTCTAGCGTCATTCGAAATGGTGTCTGCCCGAGCAGCCAATCAAACGCCAATCGTGAGCCCTAGCCGACTTACGTGAGCAGAACATCATGTGACGCACAACCGACCCGCTTCCAATATTCAAACCACGAATTCTCATCCCCGACCAACGACAACCCCATCCACGACACCCTGAAGGAGGCACCGTCAAGATGACTGTTCGCAACTACGGTGTGTCCCATCCCGCTCTGCGCCCTGCGCCATTCGCTCTTTTTTCGCCGAATTCAGAATACTGACGGATTTGTGTGCTACAGGTATCGCCTCTTCGCGGAGCAAGTCCCGCAAGGTAATTATCGATCGACCAACCGACCGACGAAAGACAATCGACTCACAATTTGTAACAGGCTCACTTCTCTGCGCCCTCCAGCCAGCGTCGTGTTCTTATGTCCGCTCCCCTCTCCACTGAGCTGCGCCAGGAGAAGAACGTACGTTTTCCCACTCGACCCGATCCATGCAACCGCACGACATGACCCCCCTCCAAAAAACCCACAAAATTCGAACAATGCCTAACCATTGCTGCCTCTTACAGGTCCGCTCCATCCCCATCCGTGTCGGCGACTACGTTACCATCACCCGTGGATCCCAGAAGGGCCGTGAGGGCAAGGTCACCTCCTCCTACCGTCTGAAGTTCGTCATCTACGTCGACAAGGTTACTCGCGATAAGAGCAACGGCCAGAGCGTTCCCATCCCCATCTCCGCCTCCAACGTCGTCATCACCAAGCTGCACATGGACAAGGACCGTGAGGACATCCTCGCCCGCATTGCCAAGGGCCGTGAGACCGTCCAGAACAAGTCCGCCTAAGGGAATACGATGCATGGGGTTTAGGTCTATATTTTTGCAATGACGGTAATAGCGCAAGTTTGTTTCAGGAGCCCTCAAAAAGACGGGTTTACCTATCATTCCGAAATCAGGCGCATTGCGGTCAATGAAAAATGAAAAAATATCGTTCTTCTTCAATTGGGTCTCGTGGTGTTTGCAGAGAAATTCGCCAATACCGTGGTCTTGGATCCTCGTCCCCGCCGTGGGGGTCTGCTCGAAAATATCTAGTGAAGAGGGCATACTTGATGGCAGCCTCGCCCAACGGCTAGGTCAAGGTGGAAGAAAAATCTATCTTACAGATCACCACCGCTGTCAAGAACCCCTACGAACGTAGAAACCTTTAGATGTGTTTCTTGAATCTCCGCCACATACAGGCAATTGTAGAACTCGAGGAGCGTATAAGCATGCACACGACCCCAGATACCTTGGCAGATCCATGGAGAATGAGATCAGACTCAGCTAGGAGCGGGTCCAGGATGTCCTAATGGTAAATCTCCATCCCAGGTATTGGTAAGCCAGCGTCTCTCCGCTGCGTTGGATCCTCGGTGCTGCCTAAATATAGTCTTGGTTTGCTAAGTTGATATGAAGCGGGGTTGTCTGTGCGTGGAATATATCTACTGTAGGGTCGAGGACATATCAAAGCCAAGCATAGATCTGACCAGACCATACTAGACCATTGCACACCTGATCGCCTCACAGTGCAATACTTGCATGCGTGCTTCACGAGATTGCGGTGTTATCCAACTTGATACCAATTGACACTTAGGAGATACCCCGTGGCTAAACAAGCAAAGTTCATCGCTAAGCGATAGTTCAAGCACGTTGGACATTTAAATTGTGGGTTGTGATATGTTTCAGCCCGACACGTGGACCACTATGTTAGAGCTTATGCACACTTCCATAACAGTGTACCCCCGGTAATCGGTGCCACACAATGCACTGGTGCAAATTAGGGATGCGGCGAAGTGACTCGGACCCTGTCGTCGGGTAGCCGCACCCTGTTGCGAGATATATCTTGGCTCAGCACAGACGAAAATGGTCGCCAAATATACAATGTGTTGTGTAGTCGTGGTGCCTTAACAGATTTGAGTAAGCACCTGGGAATATGTGAGTGTTTGATATATTGTAGCACTGCATACTTCCATGAACCGATGTGATGCGAACCTATTCGAAATGTAGCATCTGAACATAATTTTTGAGCAAGGCACCTTCAGTGTGCTGGGGGCCCAACGACGGAGTGCATCCAGAAATAATGAATTCACATTGAGAGGGATATCCATTCCATGCACTCCTATATCATAGTAACATTCACAGAGTAGATGATGTGATGAGAGTATGATTAAATGCGTACTCGTACTGCTCGTATCCCAATCACTGTCTGACCATCTACCCGACCCTCTTACTCAACCACCTGCCTGGGCCACGCCACTTACATATTTCGACCACAAGTCCTAAATCAGCCAGATCTCAAGCCACATAGTTCCTGCCATACTTCAAATTATATCCGCTCGATCGGGTGAACTGTAAAATAAAGACATACCTGGCCGAAAGGCTGATTCGTCCTGATGATGGACGGGGCTGAAAACTCTGCGTGAAACAAGATGGAAAGTGGCTACATTCGGACAAGTCTTGTCAATTCCTAAGATGAGCAACGTGAGATACTGTGACTATGCCCCTCTGGTAGGTCGAAGAGTGATGCACAGCGTACATCTCATTGATCTACAAGTCCATCGGAATGACATTGTTGCTATTGGCCCACGAGATGGTCGTCTGAGCCGTTCCCAAATCGGACACGAGAGGTTGCGTCGGAAACCGGCCCCGTCTAGGAAAAGCCGGGCAGGAATCTGGAACTCCGGAGAGGGTTCTACACTGGTCTGCCAGATCTACCCTAGGGTACTTGGCAGTGTATGGCGGTTAGTACTGGGGCTGAGGTACACGCCAGGGACTCCGATATCGCGGCGTTCCTGCTAAACGGGAAGTGGCCGCCCGCGCCCGCGCTAGTCCCAGACGAGTTTGGCGTTGTCATGCGAAGGGCGTGCATCTGCAACTGGCAACGGTGCCCTCTCGGACCTCGACCCTCCCCTCCGCCGTCTACATGATCCATGACGTTGACTGCAATACGACCGGGCGCACCTCGGGATCTGAACTATACGAGCCCCTCTTCGCTCAGTGCGGCTGATGGCCGCCATGACATTCCTTTATGACTGATGGGCTTATCGGCCCATGGTACGGCGCCTGATGTCATGGTCCTGGGACCGGCCAACTTGCGAGGGCCCGATTGATGGACCTTTTAGCGCCGCATGTGGTCCCAGAGCTTTGGAGCAGGCTCCACTGTTGATTATTCACCCTGCCCTCTCTACCCCAGACCCAAGGATATGCCCGCCCTCGCAGACCGACTCTTTCTTTACCATCCTCCAGTTTCCTCGCTGTTGCCTTTAAAACAGGTGGGATTGGCTCTGCTGGACCCGCGCTATTCTAGTCGCAATGGAATATTTCGACTTTGAAGGCGCCTCATCCGCCCACGAGTCAAACCACCAAAGTGACGACGTTGCCTCGGTTGATCTCGAATTCGATGAGCCAGAAGAGCAGACGGACAGATTCAACTCGCTGCTCCAAGATCAGAAGGGCCTCCCGCTCGAATTCCCCATTGACCCGCCTGTCCCGGAGTCGGCCGAACAGAATGTCGGAGCTCCTGTTGGGCCCGACCAAGACACCGGAGTCTACCCCATGTTCCGAGCCCAGGAACCCTGTGACTTTTGCCGCCGCATGGGCTTTGATTGCTTCGTTGCCAAACGGGGTGTAATGCAAAACGGTTATTGTACCTGCTGCATCTCTCTTTGGCGCGAGTGCAGTTTCAAGCACACCAGACCCCCCGGCAGATTCCTCCAGACACTGCACCCAGTGACCGAAAACGCCTACATCCCAACGGGAAGCTTGACTGGGCTCAGAGCTCTAAAGTCAGTGTCCTACAATACATTTGGAGACGACCCCGATGGTCGATCCCGCAAGAGTAACGCTCGACTGTCTCGCAAGGCCGTCAACATTTTGAAGAGTTGGCTTCGTGACCACAACGATAACCCATACCCTACCGAACCCGAAAAGGATGAACTGAAGCAGAGCACCGGCTTGACTCGAACCCAGATCTCCAACTGGCTTGCTAACGCTCGTCGTCGAGGCAAGGTTCGTCCCACCGGGACCGAGTCGCCCGGTTCGGGACCTGTCAACATACCCGGCCAACAGCCCATGGACGTGTCTCTCATGACTCCCCTGGAACGTTGGAAGTATTCACCCCCGAAAACGAGCCGGCCACGATCAGCGATATTAACCGTGCCTTGGCCAACCCACCCTTCGATCCCGCGCGTCAACGTCAGACCCAGTCTGGTCACGTGAGGCTTCGCCCGGGGTCCAGTACCAATGAGTCAAGCCACGCTAGTTCTGAACATAAAAGATATACCGCCTCGGGGAGCAGTTTGGATACTAGCCGGTCTTCACTCTCAGACCTCTCCTTTGCCTCTGCTTTCTCCCATCGGTCCTCGCTGGGCTCCTTCGGCTCAATGGATCGCAAAGAACGTCGTCGTCGACGCAAGACCTCGACGCCGATCAATACTTTCAATCACCAAAAGGCGCGAGCTTCTCGTCCCTTCCAATGTACCTTCTGCACAGACTCCTTTACTGCCAAATACGATTGGCAGCGTCATGAAAAATCTATGCACCTTATTCTGGACCAATGGACATGTTCTCCCCATGGCGGCGTGACGGAGGAGAATGGTATACTTCGTTGTGTCTTCTGCTCTGCAGCTAATCCAAACCGAGATCACCTGGAGACACACAACTACATCAGCTGTCAAGAGAAGTCACCGCAAGAGAGAACCTTTTTCCGAAAGGATCACCTCAACCAACACCTCCGACTCATGCACAATGCCAAGTTCCAACGATGTATGGATAAATGGCACAGCAGCATCACAGAAATCCGATCTAGATGCGGATTCTGTGGCTCTGTCCTTCGAACCTGGAAAGACCGGGTTGATCACCTTGCTGGCCACTTCAAGAATGGCGCCAACATGGCTCAATGGCAGGGCGACTGGGGATTCGAGCCGTGGATCCAAGACCGCGTCGAGAATGCTATACCACCTTACATGATTGGATACGAATCGCGATCTCTCGACCCCTGGACTACGGTGCGAGCCCAAGGGGATGACAATACACCGTCGTTACCCGTCCCGAACGATGCCAATTGCTACGATCGCCTGTCACGCGAACTCACTGCTTACATCCACAGCCAGACGGCGCAAGGGCTTGTCCCGACAGATCAGATGCTACAAGCCGAGGGTCGTCGAGTCATCTATGGCAGTGATGACCCTTGGAACCAAACTTGTGCAGACAACCCTGTCTGGCTGAGTATCTTGAAACGAGATACAGGGCTCGAGCCCGCCGCGAGCAATGAAAACATACAGTTTTCCGATTTAGGTCTTCAGCCTCCCTTCGCCGCCATCAACAGTGGCTTGCGAGGGCCTTCGCACCAAGCCAACCCATTGGCTAGAGCAGTGTTCCCTGGCGCACTCCCAAGCCCCGCAGTGTCTAGCCCTGGCATTCGAAGTCCCGCCTACCCTGGAACTGGCCACTCATCTGCTGCCGCCAGTCGACCGGGAAGTCTATCCGGGAGCTATGCTGGAAGTTCAGGGATGATCTCAGCCGGGGTTCCAGCATTTGCCTCTGATTGGGACAGCAGTCTCACTGGTGGTCAAGCCTCCTCTTCCTCAGCACCTGCAGATGGAGGGGCACCTGATCCTCTCGTGCAGATGGGATTCGATCCGGCATTTCTGCAACGCTTGAATGACAGCTACAGCGAGCTCACTCCACCGGACATGGAGAACATGCCCTTGAGTAAGCCCAATGATTATGATGGTAGGGGTAAGCAGCCTTGGGTGGACCCGGCGACTCAGTTCCAGACTGGAATAGTTCCTACCTCAGATTCGATCACCATCTCGGATTTGAAAAAAGACCAGACCCCTGCATCGGCCGCGGCCCAGTCTAGTATGCCTGCATTTCACGACGAGAACATGCACTTTTGATTTTTGAGGACGTTTATATTGGATGCATACCGGCTTGACTGGGGCCGGTAAAAGTATAATGATTTCGGTTAATTGGGCGATGAAGACGGGTTGTATCTTCACCATAGCTATTATTAATTGACGTCACTAGCAATTAATAGTGTTTCAAAATTTAATTCTTGATGTTTCCTTGCTTCTCCCACCTACTCACCCTTCCGCCGCGTGGTGGGTGGCCCAGTTCAGAACCATACCCCTACCACACCACACCCAAGCCTACCTAGGCCCCCTCGCCTCGGGCTTGCCCTATTATTTTTGATCATTTCTATGTATTGCGTACTTGATCCACCCACTAAGCACGTGGGACCCCATGCTATGAGGAAAAGTGGTGGTTTTTGCCGAAAGCCGGGTGGCCCAGGTTGACTCATACCTCAGGCTTCGAACCTTACTAGTTAACTAACTAACCAACTGATTACCAAGCCTGCCGATCCTAGTATGTCATTTCGTCAGGCCCGTTGCCCGTCTTGTGGCTTTCTCTCGGCCGATCGCCGAAACAGCCGATCTTGATTTGAGTCAGATATTCTAGGAGGGGTCTACGTAGCCATACTTTCTGCAATGCGGAAATGTGGTTCATCTCGACTTGCATTATGCCGACGTCCAATCGAGGCCAAGTCTTTTCTTGCGTTCTTCATTCCAAATATGCAAAGCATACGCTTCCATCACATTTCATCACAAGTACTTTCGTCGCTCGCAGAGTTATTCATCTCGGGCTTATACCCTCCCCGAGAGGTGCGTGGTTCGTGCTCAGGACCCTTCTGCCTTTTGCCCAATGTAGATCTCCCCGTGAGTGAGTGAGGTGTCCCACGCCGACGCCACAAACTTTCAGGAAGTATGATTGGCCTGTCAAGATAAAGATCCAGGATCCCGGTCGGGTATACTGAGGATTTGTATAAGTTCGCTGCCTGTTTTTGCTGTAATTATATGCGGGATTATTATTGTCCATGTGTCTTTAGTATCCGGTATTCAAGCTGACGGAGGAACAACACACCATGTCACCCATCCAAGCTATACGAGGGACATAGGCAATATTTGATGTCAAAGTACCAGATGATGTTCTCTATGTTGATGTCCAAGTACCTCAAGGCTGCAATATTTCAGACGAAAAGGCGTCTATAATCCATTTTGCTATGATACATAGGGCGTGGCCACGAGAACTCTCAACCAGGATGCTAAACCGTGCACTCTAGACTGACAGCCCCCAATATCTGATGCTTTTGCTCTATAAAATGAAAAGTCTACGCCATGTGGTTCATACGGAAATAAAAATCTTGAAATCCTTTCAAAAAAGCCTTAAGTAGTATATAAAAAATGAGGCCCAACTCTCAGAATTTGTTTCTAATTGTCTTTTGTCTCATACAATGGGCGGAAGCTGCGAACGTCTTCTTCCCTCTCGTTTTGACTTGGCAGAACACTTCAGTTGCTGGAAATGTTAGACCTGTCATTCACTCCAACTTCCAATTTCCCGGCCCAGAGCTTCGCATCAACCAAGGCGATCGTGTTCAGTTTGCTGTGACGAATCTTTGTCCTTTCAACGTCACGGTCCATTTCCATGGTAAGACTTTCCAATGAAGAGTTATGATTTATCTAGCTAATCAAGGCTCAACTGTGAAGGAATTGAACAACTCGGAACACCCTGGTCTGATGGAGTTCCTGGAAGCTCCCAGAGACCAATTGTAACCGGGCAGTCTTTCCTTTACCGCTGGACTGCTACCGAATACGGCGCGTACATGTACCATGCTCATCATCGTGGACAGTTTGAAGATGGTCTTTATGGGCCTATTTACATCACCCCCACGGCAACCGAGACCCGGCCCTTTAGTCTGGTCGCAACGAACAATACACAGCTCCAAGCCATGCTGGCTGCAGAAAGAAAGACGTCCCCTGTTTTACTTTCGGACTGGCGCCTTTTGACTTCAGAGGAGGTTTGGGCAGCAGAGGTGGCCTCGGGAGTCGACTCCTACTGCGTCAATGCCCTGCTCATCAATGGAAAGGGTGCCGTGTCCTGTCTCCCCCGTGCCCTGATCAACTCTTTGATCACACCAAATGTGCAAGCGGTATTGGGCAATGAAACGCTTACTGATATTGCGTAAGTATCCTGCTGGGATGATTCTATAACAAAGTTACTGACTCGATCAGCTGCTTTCCACCGAACGTGACCATCGTGCAAGGCGATTATCCTCATAATTATGATGCTATTCCACCGACGATGTTCTCTGGCTGCACCCCAACTCAAGGTGAACAAGAAGTTTTTACTGTCAATGCAAACCAGCAATTTGTCAGTTGGGACCTGACGAGTGCTTCTGGACATTTGCATCTAATTTTCTCCGTGGATGAACACGACATGTGGGTATATGCAATTGACGGTCGCTATATCGAACCAGTTCGCGTCAACGCAATCAATTTGCCAAACGCCAATCGATACTCTGTGCTTGTACCGCTCAACAAGCCTCGAGGAGACTATGCAGTTCGTTTGATCAGCGGCAGCCAGCAGCAGATCCTTAATACCACAGGCATCCTTCGATATCAAGGCAAACCTCAACTGAATAGGCCCTCGAATCCATGGGTCCTGCTGAATGGTCTCAATGCGACCGCCGATACCGTTTTCCTCAACGACTCGCAGACCATACCATTCCCTGTAGTGACTCCTTCAGCGACCGTTGACCAAACATTCAAATTGACAATTCAACACTTCAACGCATCCTATCTTTGGACCTTGGGTAATTCCAGCTTCAACCTTGAGCTTGAAGAATCTCAACCGCTACTGTTCAATCAAACTGCCATTCCAAGCGACTTGATTATTCGAACCAAGAACAATACCTGGGTTGATTTGATTATCATTGTTGACACCCCACCGATTTCCCCCAGCATCCAATCCACAAGCACTCAAACAAGCATTTCGTTATCGGATCAGGCACCGGGGCATTTAATTACTCTACGGTCGCAGAGGCCATGCAAGAGATTCCAGAGGCTTTTAATTTGGTGAATCCCCAAATCCGAGATACCACCGACACGGTAGTTGCGATCTTTGAGCCTACATGGTTGGTTCTTCGCTATCAAGTCGTCAATCCAGGTGCATTTTTACTGCACTGTCATGTCCAGGTTCACCAGAGTGGCGGGATGGCTCTGGCTATCTTGGATGGCGTTGATGCTTGGCCGACTATCCCGCCTGGATACCTTCTTGACTCTGGATTTTTCTGATTCATCTCAACAGAGTTGAGGTGAGATATTAATGGGATGACGAAGTAAATGTTGGTAAATAAGCACGAAATACTTTTCGAGTAGTGGTATATATTAGGAATTCACAGAGTACATTCAACAATTAGGATTCACATTATCTGAAAGTTATTCTATTAGAAGATGCTAGAGACTCCCGGAATGCAAAGATGCAGATATGATAAAACAAAAGCTTTTAGACTATCTCCTCATCCGTATCTCGATCAATAGCCACCTCTCCCTTCATAACTCTCTGAGCGAACGGGCTCCGACCACGAATCCACTCACCATACCTGATGAAAATGAACGGAATGATGGCGAGGGACAAGGAGATGAAAGCCAGTACTGAGGTTGCCCAGTTGATTCCCAGTTGGCTGTACATGGGGTTTGTAGCCAACGGTAGGCAAACAGCCATAGTGGATCGGATGGTACTGGCGGCTGCCTGAGCCGATGCCGAATATTGCTTGTAGGCATCAGTGAGGTAATTGATCATTGCCATAAATATGAGGATGTATCCCAGGCCAAAGAAGAGACCAGACATGATTGGCGTGATGGGATGAATCGATAGTTTCGCAGTCCAGGCCAGCCAGAACATGGCCGTTGGCAATCTAGAAATGTCAGAACAATATTTTCGAATGACAAAAATCAGAGGCCGAAATAAATGACTTACAGTGGTGCTCCGATAGCGGCGAGTGGAAGTCGTCGATACTCCTCGACAGAGGTCCATGCCCTGCCTGCCCTCTGAGCCTTGGTATGATAAAAGCCATAGCACATGAAAAGTGTAAAAGCGATGACGGCACCAACAGAGACTGTTATGAAATTAGCTTTATTTCAGCAACTTTTTGAAAAACTGTCGACTTACTTGGCAGAAACGCAAGGCCTGCAATACCGGCAGAGAGTCCATATAGATCTAGGAAGGAACAAGTTAGTCGCATATCTTGGTAGTCGGACTGGGGATCTCAGAATTACTTACCTTGGAAGACAAGGGGATATGCCTGGAAATAGAGATAGAACACAGCATAGGTGAAACCCATGAAGAGGGAAGAGAACAGAAGAATGGGCTCTTGGACAGTCATCACAAATGGTCGCGTGAAGACGGTCAAGACTCCGTCCCCTTTAGGAAGCGAATTCATGATGTTTGCTACCTCATCGTCCGAGTCACTTTCTTCCTTGAGTTGTTTCTCCAAGGCTCGCTTTTTGAGCACCGGAACATAGGTCTCTGGGATAAACACCATGAAGGGGAATCCAACACCACCGGCAATCAAGCCAACCCAGAACGTCCAGCGCCAAGATACAGTTGAGATAAATCCAGAGACAAGCGGAGCCATCTGGGGTCCAAATGCGGTGACTACCATGAAAAGTGCCATGGCAGTTCCCCGAGTTTGAGGACTTTCAAGGATGTCGGCATAGAGTCCACCGAGAACTGCATTAGGAGAAGCTGCGTTGAGACCGGTGAGTAGACGAAATATAAGCAGCGCAGCAAAATTAGGGGAGAGTGCACAGCCAAGCGTGAAGACTAAGTAGCCGAAGAATGTTCCAACAAGAACGGGCTTGCGACCGACATGTTCACTCAACGGCCCAAAAATGAGCGGTCCAATGGCAAAGCCGACAAGATACAAAGATGTTGGCAAAACAAGTAGAGTGCTCTCGCTGGGAATATTGAAGTATTCTGAGATTTCATCTTTTGCACCTGAGGGCAGAGATGACCCAAAAGCAGCGTTGAATATAAACAAGATTCCAGCGGCAACAATGTGTAGTTTTTTGCCCTATGTCGATAAGTTAGTAGAAGCAATTGTAGTGTTCGTGCATAACCACTAACCCGTGAGAATGTAAAAGGATGTTCGAAATGGTTGTTTGATTGGCGCATTGCTTGTGATGGCCTCTGGCCCGCGGCCACGGCGATATCTATCTTTTCAGGCATAGAAAGGATAGTCGCTATGCTAATCTTTTCGAAGTCAAGACAAGAATATCAAAGAGCGCTAAGGCTTTTTGACATTTCCAAAATGTATGTTTCTGTGACGCCACTATACCCTAGGGTACCCTGATGGCCCTCAATAATTTTGTCAAATTTTCTTCATGGTGCTTCATCACTCGCTGTTAATACGCCCCACAGCGCGCCCTATAACATGGCCCACATCGCGCCTTACTCCGCGCCCTACTTCGGCCATCTTCCGGTCTTCTGTTTAGCGTTTTTGAGGCTTGAATAGAGATGAGCTGCAATACAGTTTATGAACCTGTATGCTCAAGGGGGAGTCTCTCGTTGGAGGATTATTGTTATGAATTGTCTTTTTGTAAGCCTTGCATCTAATGTAGTCATGCCCTGCAGATGCCGAGTGCAGATCCCTGAGGGGTGACGGGTATGTCGGCACAGACAATATCAGATTGACTCGACAGGCACAAGAATACTAAACTCGATTTCATAGAATTGCGATAGATGCTTTAGAATTATCATGTTGCAACTACATAGAGTAAAAAAAGTATGCAAGGTTGCCACCAAAACTAAAACTTTGCAAGCTGGAGAAACAAACTGCCGGATTACCTAAGCTCGGGGAAGTCGCCGATCTAACATCCCACTTCGTGTAGCATTCATGAACCGCTCGATCCGAGGTTATCAGCCGCCAATAGTACTGCAAAACGTCGAGCATGGCGGACGAGACTCATTCGTTCGATAATACAGAGCTAGGAGGTTTGTCGTGAGACTTGTTGGGATGCAGAACAGGCGCTAAAGCAGTTTATCACAGTTTTTGATCCAGACTGGAGCTGGCTGGATATCAATCCCCCTAATCCAGACCCAAATGACACCAGCGTGGATCCCAGTCAAAATATACAGCCTATTTTTACATCACTGGGGTCTCTACACCCGAACGCGGGCTTTTTAGGCCCGGAATCAGCTCCCGATGTGAACCTGGAGGGGCATGAAACTGCTTTGTCGAGTGGAAACAGCCCGCTCTCAACGGTTCACTCTGGGACTCCCAGCCCGTCTATGGGATTTGTTGGAGCATCCATGCGCAATGATGTCCAAGGAGGGGGACCATTATCTCACACCTCGTCGGGGATCAATACCCCGCCGCGGGGCCTTCCCAGACGACGAAGTCGCTATTTCATGTCGCGATCAGCATCCAAGCAGCGAACAACTCCGATCATGATCCCAAGCGCACCGCCACAAGACCAGTCTCTTGACCCCATGCAACGATGGCAAGAATCTCCACCAGAAGACGAGCCCGCCTCCATGTCTGCTATCATGGATGCAGTCCATAATGCAGTCATTGAAGGCAATGCCCGCTTAACAGATTATCCCAGCACGGCCTCCGAGGCAAACAGCCGTGAGTCATTTGATGCATTTCGACGACACCGAGGACGTCCATCACGGCCGTCTTCGACAAGTGGCGAAAGTGGTACCAGTATGTCGTCCAAATTCTCCGGCGCGTCGCACCGCTCTGCAGGATCGGGACTGTCGCCATCTGGTTCGCTGAGACGCAAATCACATTCGCGTGTTGGAAAACCACGACAGACAAAGGCGAGCCAAGATCCGCGACGAAGATACTGCTGCACTTTCTGTTGCGATCGATTTAAGAGCAAATACGACTGGGCTCGACACGAGAAATCACTTCATCTGAACCTGGAAATGTGGATGTGCACGCCATTTGGTGGCGTAGTCTTCTCTCAAACAACGAATAGAACCCATTGCGCATACTGCCATGCTCTCGAGCCAAATTCCGAGCATCTTGCCTTGCATAACCACCTCGTTTGTCAAGGCAATAGCCCTGGATTCCGCCGGAAGGATCACCTCGTACAACATCTTCGACATACGCACAAGCTCGAGGTTATGCCCATCATCGACGACTGGAAGATACCTGGGCCCGCCGTCTCGTCGCGGTGTGGATTCTGCGATAAGACAATGAACACCTGGACCGAGCGAGCAGAGCATCTCGCTGGACACTTCCGAGACGGAGTGACGATGAAAGAATGGCGCGGTGATCACGGATTTGCACCTTCAATTGCGGCACAGGTGAAAAACTGGATGCCGCCATATATGATCGGGTCCGAGTCCCACAGCATGATTCCTTTCTCGGCGACGGACTATAATGTCAAGGATCATTTGAACCAGATTTCAGCACGGGTACATGGAGAGAAGGGATTCGACGAGCAAACAGACTTGCCCGCACTGAACGAGGATCTGCCCAAGTCGCAGCTGAGCTCATTCACAGAAGTCTTGACCAGGCATTTAAGTCAATATGCCCAGCGCCAAATGAAGTTGGGCATCATACCGACCGATGAGATGTTTCAGCGAGAATCGAGGCGCATCGTCTATGATACGGATGATTCGTGGAATCAGAGCATTGCAGATAATACGGAGTGGCTGAATGCGTTTCGGAGGTTGCACTGTCAGCCGCCTGAATTATCGAGAGACACTGCTCAACCTGGCGATGACGATGTGCGGGCACAGTCCATGGGTGCTTCGCCGGTACACAGCTAAATGATCATTACAATGGATGACGTGATAATCCAGAGCCCTAATACAAGTACTGCATATAGTATATAAATAATTTAAAACAATCAATTGATATGAACGGAGACTAGCTGGCTAAATAACATCGAAAATATAGGACGCCCAAATAGTGAAGATCTCGTGAGCAACGCACATACAAACATTCAGCTCATATCATTCCAGTCATAAAAGTTATAATAAGATCGTGTTTCATCTTTCATCTTTAGTCCACTCACTCTTCAGTGAGCGAAGATTCGTCATCAATAATGACATTCTCATTGTGAGTTTGGTGACTCGCGGTTTCCATTCCTGTTTCGCGAGCGTTCTCGGTGTGGCTCCCAGAAATTTCAGGTTGGATATCCTCCGTTGGCGTGGATGGTGCCGAAAGGTCGGTGTTGGTTGGAGTCGCCTCGGCATCAACTGATGATGTTTCCAATTCAGAGATGGAAGACGAAGAAGCGCTCTCTGCTGAGGCAGGCGTGCTTGTAGTTTCGGGTTCGAGAGGCTGAGGATGGACAGATATTTTCCCGGCTCCAGCGGTAGTCGATATATTATCCTGTGCTGTAGCAGAATGCGAGGCTGCTTCCATGTGTGAAGTTGCAGGCTCAGATACGAGCTCAGATACGACACCTTCGGAGTCGATTGAGTGGGTTTTAGCTTCACGGGTTGGGTGTGAAGGGACATCTTCTTCTGCTACTGTTGATGTACCAACTTGCTCCACAGAAGAAAAAACTGACTCCGATACCATTACTGAGGCAACAGTGCCCGAAGCGACGAAACCCTCTGCGGTAGCCATGCTGGGAGAAGGAGCAGACACTGGTGCAGCATCATTTGCTTGCACACCTGCAACATGGGGCAATTCCACAATGTCCCGCGGAATTGAGTGCAGGGCTGGAGGAGTAAATTGCTGCTGGCGAGTCCCAATAGCCAGGAAAACCACCAAAATGCTCATAACAACCAGAGCAATGTTGCGTTTGTCAGTGGCCAGCACACGCACATAGTTGATCAGCAAAGTCGGAAGAGCAATCTGTTGCTCTTTCTCTCCACGGGTCTGCTCGACTTGTGGATGTTCAGCCTGAGGCTCTGCAGATTTGGTCTCGGCAGCCACAGATGCAGGTGCAGGTACAGGCGCCGGTGCAGACTTTAAAGGAGGTCTGGTTGCTTGGAAAGACCCAGCGTCGCTGAAGTCCTGGGAGTGAGACTGGACGGACGACCGCCGGGGATCCACTTCGAAATCCTCCTTTGTAACAGCCTGCTCCTCGGCAAGTCTCTTCTCCAAAGCCCTTCGCACGTCTGAAGGCAACCACAACCCAACCTCGACATCCACCTTCTCCATTTCTTTCCAGGCGGCGGCCCACGCACCTGCACGCATCAGCCCATTCGCAGCGTAGACGCGAATTTCCCATTTGCGGTTGCTGTCACTGTGCTTCTGGACACGACCGCCACAATCGGGACACTCATCTCCTTGCTCGCCGTCTGTCTCACTCTCTTCTCTATCAGAGAACGCTCCATCGGAACTAGTACCGCTCTCTTCGTGTCCGAGGAAGTGACCTTGATGCAGCCGCGGACGTTGCAGCTCAAGACTCTCCAGTAGCCGCTCCTCCAGCATGTCATACAGGTCTTCCGGGTGGGAAATCAACACGCCGCGGTCTCGCAGAACTCCCGATCCAACCTTATCCTGGAGTCTCCGCCATCGCTTCCAATACTCTGGCGGCAGGACCTCTTCGACAATGCCTTGATTCTGTGGCAATGATGCACCGGGTACAGGAAGGGAAGGGGTAAGTAAATTGCAATGCAAAAGAACAAGTGGATACTCATTCTTCGGCTTGGGTTTATTCGCCGAGGGCGAATAATATGGCGATCGCTTCAACGGCGAGCCATTGTGAGGGGATCCGCGCATTCCACTTCGTCGTCGAGGTGGGGTAAGATACTCATCCTCATCAGCCTCGTCCTCCGTATGCATCTGCATCGCGCGAACAGAGCTCGGTTTCCGGAACGCTGCTTGTTGTTGACGGATCGTACGGATATTCTTCGGTGGACTATTAAAGTCTTCGAAATCCCCGAAACTGGCCTCGCTTTCTTCGACGGAGTAGGCGGCCATTTTCTCCGCGGGGTTCATCGAGCGCATGGAGTTGATCTTTTCGAGCGGGTGGATGAGGACCGAGGCCGGTATAGATGAAAACGAGGAGCGGCTCGATGCTCGGGACTTCATTTGCTCGAGTTCGTCATCCACATCGCGACCGAAGATGTCGCTGCTGGAATGGCGAGTAGAGCTCGAGGATGAGGTGTATTCATAATCCCGGGACATCTGGCCGTCGTCCGTGGCTGAATCTGGCTCGTGGCAATGGGATGTCTCGAATGAAGCGAGTAGATGATCCTTGCCGGGAGGGGCGCAAGGTTGCGGGCTTAGGACCTCAAGGGAGGGTTGTCCCTCCGAAGTTGGCTGACTCTCGTCATTGAGTCTTGCCATCGAGCGAGCATGTGCGGATTTTGATGAGGAAATGCGTGGCTGGCTTTGGTGATCTTCACACTGCTCTGACGTGTTGACGTGCTTCACCGCTCTGGTTGTACCGGGCAACCGTGACAACACGCCATTTGGTGCGAATGGCATTTCGGTATTTGTCTAACGGAAGCATCATTAAATTCAAGTTTGGTTTGTTCAGAAGGAACTTTGATGGCTAGTTGCATGTGAGTGTTTACTCCGGCTTGATCTTAATCTTATCACCAAGCGGGTGTCTAACTGCTCACTGTATATATCGTAGTGGACACCCGGTCCACCCACTCCACTTACCGAGTGATGAGGTTCTACATACGGTGTATACCTTCAGATGAAATGTAGTATAGTCGACGGTGCAAAAAAAAAAAAAAAAGAATCATGCGAATATTATATAGATCGTCAAAGGCGTCATCATCCAAACCGAGATCACCATGCACGCGCTGTACGCTTCCAAAGCCCAACCAGAACCGGCAAAACAAAACAGTCGTAGCCCGATCTATAAACGGCAAATAATACCAAGCCTACCAGACGCCATCCAACCTGAGATCGGACCCTGAAGAAAATGTGCAGAGGCATCGCTGAAATCGGAACTAATGCCAAAACCTGTCGAATAAATACATATATACTAGAAGAGAATCCGCTGAAAGTAAAGATACGAAGAATTACTGCGGAGGTCGGGGCGTGCTGTCGTCAGGGCTCATGAGCGGGAAATTTTGATTTTCACCGAAAAAGCTCAGCACATCCTGGGGAAGATATTCTAGCCAGGGTAAAATATCGCCGTTGGAGAAGGGGAAGGATTCTTGTTGCTGGAGGGTGTTCATGTCCACATCGTGACTTTCAATCATCATGCCGCCGGTGTTGGTATTCATGGGCGCATGTAGATCGTGCGATCGAGGGCCCATGTGTCCGTGGCTGCTACGTTCCGCAGCCGCGGAAGAAACCGCGTAGCCATAAGCCGATGGAGGATTCTCCATCCGAGTGGTGGGCAGGCCTTGAGTATAGCTGGGCTGCGCCGTTGCGCGAGAGCTCGACTCTGGGAACGGAGGAGTCATACTCATGAAATACGGCGAATCGGTCCCGATTGTTCGAGGAGGCATTGGTGTGTATTTTGCCAGTGGCGGCGCCCCCCTTCATCATGTGAATGGGGTGGATGAGCAGCCGAAAAAGAGGGCGCTGTGCCTTGTGTTGCATGTGCCTGCATGGGGAGTGTCGGATAGGTGTGACTATATTGAGATGGTTGGGCCGGCTTGCTGGGGGAAGCTTCGTTTTGGGCCGTAGGCATTTGATACAGTAGACTGAGGTTAGGCTGGGAAGAGTTGGTGGCTCCAGTAAGTGCCCACCCAATGGCTGCAAAGAAGTTAGTAAGTGCACAAAATATTCGAGACAATGAGACGCGCTTACCCTGACTGGGATCGATTTTGGGCGACCATTTCCCATCTGACGGGATATTGGCCGCTCCGGGGGTATCCGGATCATGTGAAGGATCGTTCGGAGACTTTCCATGCCACCCGCCTGGTGTGAACGCCTGGTTTGGCGTATTTTCAGTGGTGTTTTCCATATCTTCAGCAGTGTAGAGAAGCGGATCAACAATTCCCTTGGCTTTTTGATCGAGAACAGTCAAAATGTACCTTGTCCCCTCCCAGTAAGTATCGAGTGCCTTCAGCGCCTTATAGCAACGCTGATAGTTTTCTCTCGCAGCAGAAGCGAGCAGAATGTGCTTGGCATTTGATTTGCGTTCAGACCCGCTCGAATTTTCCATACTTGGCATGACGAACCCACTTGACTGGTTTGATAGTAAAGGCTGAGGAGGCGGCGAGGTCGACCGCGACGAAGGCATGGAGTAGTATGCGCTTTCCATGAGAAAAGCGCATGCGGCGATGTACATCGGTTGGCTGGTGAAAGGATTGCCGATGAAGCTCTTTCCATCAACTAGCTCTGAAAACGAGAGAATGTCGGCGATTGTCTTGGCCGAAGACATTGACAATTCACGACTGTTCGGATACAGGTGCTGGATCGTTCCGCCAAATGAATTGAGCAACGTGGGTTGGTGGAGAAGGACGATGAGCGTATGGAACCAGAAATGGAGTAGGATGAAGTTGGTCCCCTCTTTGGCCTTGACGTATGCCTGGAAATTGGCCGCATTGAAGTAAAGTCTTGGTGATAAACGCTGATAAATCCCAGTCAAATCACTCTCCATGCCGGCGAGTCGCTTAAGAGTGCCTGCCGTGACGTGATTCACATCCTGAATACCATTGATGAGATCGGTCACTCGTCCATAAAGATGAATGATTCGAATCAGGGGCGGGAACGGCGCGGGCCAGCCGTTTGGCAATTGTGATTCAGACTGGAGAGGGAAGCACAGCTCGATATCCTCATCGCGCAGTGTGACCGGTCGTCCAGTGCCCGAGGAGATCACCCGATCCAAAAAGAAGATGCTCCAGAATGAGTCTACCTGCTCTCTTTCTCTGGCGCGTTCGGAATCGGAGGCAGGAGGTGGGCCCTGAGGACTTTGATAGACATCAAAATCATCATACTGATCTTCTCGTAATTTCCCAGCTTGCCCGGTAACAACTTCTTTCGGGGTGACACCCTTCCGGCCATAATTATGTTTCAAGCCCTGGTGCTTTTGCAAGCCAAGATCCTGGGCCATGCGGATTGAAATTCCCAGGTACATCCAGAGACCGCTGTCATGGTTAGATCCGAATTGCTCATAGGCCAAGAGGAGGCAGGCCTGAACCGCAGAAAGAGTCGGGCATGATAATACATCGACGAGGGCGCTGCTTGCTCGTTGAGCAAATGGTAACCCACGATCCCACAGATTGATGTCCGCAGGCGGCTGCGACTGGTGGTCGATTGGAGGCGCCTGCGGAGGAGCCAAGAGTGGATGTGGAGAGAAGCGGGCTGCTAATGCACAGACAGCATCCACTAACATGGTATCCACCTTCTTTTCATTCAAGTCTTGGAGAAATCGGTCTCGTTGTAGGAAGGGGAAGCTGCAGCCGAGATGGACAAAGAATAGTTCGCTTAGGTGAGATACTAATTTCGAAACTGGAAGGGTGTCGTCGCGGTCATAAAAGGGAATCGTATTGGCATCGCGATTGTCGCGGTTGTCTACCGTAAGAGGCTGGATGCCAGCAGGAACATCTGATGGTTTTGGGCTTCGTAGGGGTGATATTGATTCTGTCGACAAGAAGTTTTGATGATTAGCACTACCTATTACAAGGTGGGCGGCTCTGCCAAGATAAATTGAGGAAGGAAGGGAAAACCAACCTGATGACATGGATGGGTTGCTCTTACGCGATCCCCGGACTTGTACGACCTTGGAATCAGTTAGATATTGTGCGCGGCGATGATTCCGAGAACGGCCAACCATTTGCTTGAAGCCTGGCACGATGGCTGTCGGGCCGAAGTATCTGAAGTATGGAACATGAGTACGGCTGTTGGAGCTCACAGAGGTACGACCTGGGTGGAAGGTTCTACATCAGTACAGGTACTAAAACAGCAACACATTTCCAAGACTTATCTTGCCAGGGAATCCTCAACTTACTGCTCTCTGGGCTGTCGCCTGCCTGCTGGGAATCCAACTCTTTGTGCACCCGCGCCGACGTGTCTCTGGAGGACCCATCCTTCGAGTCTGCCGATTTTGCAGCTTGCGGGGATTTTTCGGTGCTATTATTTGGCAGCCCGGCAGGCGCAGGATCTGGGGAGCAGCTCTCAACCGCACGAGAGCTGCGTTGGTTGGTCTCGTTATTAGCGAAGGACGAGACCGGCGGAGCCCGTTGCGCGGAGTCGGACTGTGATCGCAGGTGCGCGGTAGATTCGCTGTAACCGAGGCAGACATGCTTGAAATCGGAGCACGTCTTGCATACTGTCGATCGCCCAGGTGTTAGCCGGTCAAGGGTTATTATTTATGATGATGTCAGGCGAGAGCCTTCCATCTTGGACGGGCGCGTCGTACCTGGTTGTTCTCCGGAACAGCGAATTTTGCGCCGGCGGCAGGTCAGACATCTAAGAGTGATGGCAATGTTAGCTTCAAGAGTTCTTTCGTAGCAGTAGGTCGGGTTTGCGCAGTACGTACGCGGCGTTGACTCTGCGGCGTTTGGTCTGCGGCTGGCCATCTGTGGCAACGAAGCGGATCTGTCTGGGCCCCGAAGAGTTGCCGCTGTTCTTTTTCTTGGGCGACGGGGGGCTCATTGCGAGCAACGAAGGTTATCCGTGATCACGACCCATTGGGCCACCGGGGTTTGCTGGGGGGAGGAGGCCGCAGGGTCGATCGGCGGGGAGCTCTAGCGCAGGGTGAGTCCGGCTATAGGGCAGATAAAGCGGTAGGGGAGGTCGTGGGAGAGAAGCAGGGACTCTGGGCACGATAACTTCATGGGGGAGGAGCTTGCAAGACTGTTGCACGCCGTTTCACGATGGACCACGAGGTGTTGAGGGGGCAAAGAAACCGGGGGGCGGTCCTAGAGCCCAATAGGAAGGGATAGCAAACGCGAGCAGAGGGGAGTCGATAAGGGCCCTGACCGCCTGTCTTGAGGAGATTCCCAGCTTCCGCAGGTACACAGGGTCAACTACAGAAATATTCTACGATTTCACGACTACTGCGATCCCGCCGTCCTTTCTACGAGACACAAAGCCCTAAACGAGCGCCTTAGGGCAACCGGGGTGCTGATGGGGTGGAGAGCCGCAACACCTGCCACGCAACCGCAGTCCCCCACCATGGGCAATTGTGATTCAAAAAAGATCTGACGGTCATGGGATCGCCCTGTGGGGTCGATCCTGCGTTCCTGAGACCCGGGTGGCTGGAAATCGAGGAAACATCTGGCTCTCTTCTTCCTGGGGTCGCGTTGAAGACACGAACAGCCTCGAGCCAAGGTGTTGAGGAGTGATAGTTCCTGCAGCGAGTCGATCATGGAATACTCCCGTCAGAACTATACGAACTATACTTGGGATGTATATTCTAGGCAGGAGTTTACAGTCTATTACTTCTAACCTAGGGTGCTTTAGGGGACAGTAGTGGTAGGCTATACTGCCGATGAACTCTCTCGCTCCAGCTTACCCTGTCTACATCGAGGGGCAGCCCACACTCCGGGGCTCCAGTTTTGTTTCCCCACGCCCCCATGTGCTGCCATGTCCCAGGCCCTATCGTCCTCGAAAACCACTCGGGCGCCATTTCCCTTTCTCGGGTGCCATGACACACGGGGCAGATTTTTTTTCTGGGAATTAAGCTTATCCACTTACTCGAGTTTCTTCTTTTTACCGGCATTTATCCGCGCTTGTCGGACGAGAAGATCGCCGATTCAGCACACCGACAATGTCGTTCGAGAACGTCCCAAGGTACCAATTGAGGTGCCTCTGATGTCAGACGGGATCAAAAGACAATTATTATTAGAACCCGAAACGGATCGGCAGGTCTGCCACGGTGTGCCTGGCTATGATCTCATCTTACCCCTCACATTCACAGTCCTTTCGTATATGTACTGATGTCTGCTTCGAAGCCGACGGTATTTCCCGTCTGTTCGGCCCGAACGCCGGAGCGAGTCCGACCACGCAGCAAATGGACAGCGGCGACGGAAAATATATAGGAAAGTGCGTGTACATAACGATGACCCGGCGGAAACCTGCATGGTCTTAGCGTCGTTCCACGGAAGCTGAGCCTCGGCCGGCCTTCGAGTCCAATCGGACCAGCGACAATCAGCTATCGATAAGCAACATCGAAGCTACCTTGTTCAGGGGGTCGAGTTCCTACAATTGTAGCATGCCCCGACTCACCTCCGCGTTTCGCCCGCTTCGCCCGCTTCGCTGCCTCGTGCAACCATCGTGAGTGTCTCACCGTCACAGTGGCGAGACGAGCGACACCTGTCGCTGCAGAACGCGGGGACTTTGGCGCTCGCGAGCTCGCCTGCGGGGCATGTCGCGGACAGCTAACATACCCACATTAGACACTCCTGTCCCCAAAGTCACATCGCAGCCCCCTCCTCGTTCGGCTCCCGAAGCCGTCGATCTTTCAGCCACACTTCCGCCATGTTCAAAGTGCGTCCCGACTTCGAGCAGCTCCAGGCCTCCCGCCCGGATTTCCGTCGCGATGCCGAGGTCACCTTCTCTAAGCCGCCGAATCCCGCGTGGAAGGATGGCGATGGTGCAAATGACGGCGGCGAAAGCTTGAAGAAGAACCATGTCGAGATCGATCCAAATGAAGAGGGCCGCCCCGTGGCGTCCAACTACAAGCTTCTCATTTCCGGCATGGTGCCGAGACCAATTGCCCTCATCAGTAGCAAGTCTCAAGATGGCAAGACCACGAATCTAGCGCCTTTCAGTTACTCCCAGGTGATCAACCATGATCCCCCTCTGTTCGTCGTCGGATTCGTGGGCTCGCTTGAGAAGGCGAAGGATACATTGAAGAACCTGAACGAGACGGGCGAATGCGTGATCAACATCATCTCTGAGCACTTTGTCGAGGCTGCCAATGCTACCGCCATCAATGCACCGTATGGTGTGTCCGAGTGGGAGACTTCTGGTCTGACCCAAGCTCCTACCTCCGTCGTCAAGCCGGCGCGTGTCAAGGAATCCATCCTTTCAATCGAGGCCAAGCTGGTGGAGACGAAGGAGTTTGAAAGCCGGTCCACCCCCGGGAAGAAGTCGAGCGTCTTGGCTATTGTCGAGGGAGTGCGCTTCTGGGCCCGTGAGGATGCTATCGATGAGGACAAGAGTCTTATCGATCTCAAGGTACTCAAGCCAATCAGTCGCCTGGGTGGTATCTCCTACGGGCGTACGACCGATGCGATTGAGATCCCGCGACCTCAGTTTTAATTTAGCTGCGTCGGCATCACAGCCCTTTATGAACATTATTACATTTACTAGATAGTCAGGACATAAAATATAGAAAACAAACTTAAAGTATACCATTCGGAAATTGAAAGGCATGCAGCCAGGTATTTTTCCCGATACAAAGTCATAGAAATCTTACATGATTGATTATTGAACGGTCTTTCCTAGACAAGACCAAAGCGTTACTTTGACCTAGCGGGAAATAGGCACTGGTTGAGCTAGGGTACCATGAGGAGTTAGCATCAGTGTGCAACTGCATCTTAATCTGCGCGCGCGAGACAACAAGTGGGGACTCTGGGTGATCCTCCGGCCCACTACTCATGCAGAAAAGCTACATATTATCGCAGCTAAAGCCTCCTCTGTTATCTGATGAAAGGGTTTGTTTTTCATCAAGAACATGAATAATATTCAGGCTCCAGCAGTGCAGAATAAAATACCGCGTAACTCCGATGTCAAGCGCTTGGCCCCTCGTGCGGAGAGACGAGCGGGGTTGTTATCGCAGAGACTATAAAGGGCAGATCTCCCAGTGACACACAACTCGAACTCATGTGACACCTACCCTCAATCCGCGAAGAACACATTTTTGCCGAAAAAATGAGCGATCGGGATTACGAAACCTTCAAGCTTGGAGACTGGGAGCTGCAGAGTGGAGAGAAGATCGTGGATGCGCACATTGCTTACAAGACCTTTGGCAACCCAGTGTCGCCAGCAATCGTTTACCCAAGCTGGTTTTCTGGAAGTATGACCCTGTAAATTATCCAAGACTGCTTCCTGAGCTGTTACTAACTCAAAGTCTGAAATAGTGATCTCGGACAATTTCTGGCTGATTGGCGAAAACAAGACGCTTGACCCGGCGAAATTCTTCATTATCATTCCTGCACTTTTTGGCAATGGACAGTCTTCTTCACCCTCGAATCAACCTATTCCAGCGGCATTCCCGGAATGTTCCTTCTATGACAACGTGCGCGCTCAGCACGAGCTCGTCACTAAGCACCTGGGCATTACTCACCTGCGAGCTGTAGTTGGGTGGTCGATGGGGGCCGCCCAGACATTCCAGTGGGCCACCCAGTACCCAGATTTCATGGATATTGCTGTCCCATTTTGTGGATCCGCAAAGACCTCTCTTCACAATCAGGTATTCCTTGAGGGTGTGAAAAGCGCTTTGCTGGCCGCGAAAGATACCCGCTCGGCAGGATCTGGAGCGATTGGAGTGCAAGAGAAAGAGTCAAATGTCCGCACATGGACTGCACGAGAGAAGGAAGTTGGCCTCAAGGCACTTGGAAGGGTTTACGCAGGCTGGCAAGTCAAACCCGTTGTTCTGTTTAATAGCCCGTCTAACAAATGTATAAACAGGGGATTCAGCCAAGCATTCTACCGACACAAGTTGTACGAGACCGTCTTGGGTTATCAAGGCCTTGAGGATTTTTTGCATAATTTCTGGGAGACATGGGCTTGCTCTAAAGGTAGAACAGTGAGAACCAAGCATAAGTCTGAATGATGCTAACTCAAGCTGCAGACCCTGAAAACTTGCTAATAATGATCCAAACCTGGCAAAATGGCGACGTCTCCAAGCAAGAACCATACAACGGAAATTTCGAGAACGCAATGGCATCGATCAAGGCCAAGACTCTGGTCTTGCCTGCGAAGACCGACCTTTATTTCCCGTGAGTTGAACACTCGGAGACTTGCAGGAAAATGCACTGACGACAATATTTAGGCCCGAGGATTCGGAGTACGAGGTTGCTTGCATGAAGCCGGGAATTGGAAAGCTAGATATATTTCCTTCAATCTGGGGCCGTGAGTTAAGTCTCCACTCATCGAACACTATTTACTGACATGAAATCCAGACTGGGCAGGAGGACCTGGGGATAGCAAGGAAGATGTTGAGTGGCTGGATCGGCAGTTGGCGGAATTCTTTGCAGGAAATTAAGCGCAGGACGTCGCTGCACTCTCTCAGAAGCTGGACTCAACTCTGTAATGTCCATTCTTGCTGGGCTTTAAATAGGTAGCATCGAACTATTCGTGAGGACTAGCACCATTCCATAGTACCAAGCTGCTGAGATTCAAACTATTTTGTGGCTCGATGAATGTTGTCCTAGGATAATGAAGGTACTTGAGGCAGCATGTTATGGCAAACGCACTACTCAAGGCGGAACTCTAGGCAGACAGACAGATGTAACAGGTGGACAGACAAGCCCCTTCCCAAACGGTCGCAGATGCGATCATGTGACCGCTGCATGAGTAAGCGCCGATGGAAGCGCCGTGCGTAGACCTTTCGCGCTTTCACCTTCCTACCAACTCCTAGTCCTGCCGCTCTTTTCCCCTTGTCGCATTACCATCCTCCTTTTCCTTTGTCTCCTCTTCACTAGCCTCGGCTGTTTCTTTCAATCCATATTTCTGCAGTCGCCATCACGCGACTGTGACGTCGATTCGAACCCGTCGGCGCCGTTATCTAATCCCTATCTTCGTCGCAAAGCTCTAGGGTACTTTGAGGATCACCCCGATCTTTCATCACACGGTCACAATGGCAACGCCGCCAGCTCGACAGTGGGGCGTCACCCCTCCCATCTCGACTGTCCTCCCCACCCAAGATGAGGTGGCTGCCAACGATAATCTCATCGCCGAACTGAAAGCGCAAAACAACTTCGAACTCCCAGCGGAGACAGAGCGACGGTGCGTGACCTCCCACATCGCTTTCGGATATGAGAAAGATTCTGACTGTTTGGTTATATAGGAAGCAGATATTGTCGCTTCTTCAGCGTGTCGCGCTCGAGTTCGTCAAGGTGGTCAGTCGTAAGAAGGGACTCTCCCAAGCCGCTGTGGAGGCCGCCGGAGGTAAAGTCTTCGCTTACGGTAGTTACCGACTGGGTGTCTATGGTCCAGGTAGGTTGTGTATCTGTTGATGTTCAATGCGCATTCGCTAAACCGCCGGTGGTATTAGGATCGGATATCGATACCTTGGTTGTCGGCCCCAAGCACGTTCTTAGAGATGATTTCTTTACCGACTTCCCCCTGTCCTCGAATCGATCGCACCCAAAGGCTCAATCGAGAAAATGACTCCAGTTCCGGAAGCCTTCGTCCCCATCATCAAGCTGGAGATTTCCGGGATCAGCATCGATTTGATTTTCGCCAGACTAATGGTTTCATCAGTGCCGATGAACTTGGACCTCAAGAACAATGACTACCTGAGAGGTCTGGATGAGTTCGAGGTACGCTCGCTGAATGGAACTCGTGTCACGGATCAGATCTTGGAGCTTGTTCCCCAGCAAAAGACCTTCCGACTCGCGTTGCGTGCGATCAAGCTCTGGGCCCAACGTAAGTTGAGCCCTCTTCTCCCTCGTGAGCTTACCATAATCTTATTTCTCCTTTCTGCTACAGGTCGCGCGATCTATTCGAACATCGTTGGTTTTCCCGGTGGTGTTGCATGGGCAATGCTGGTGGCGCGAGTCTGCCAGCTGTACCCTCAAGCAACCGGATCTGTCATTGTCGGCAAGTTTTTCAGGATCATGAACAAATGGGCATGGCCGCAGCCAGTTCTGCTCAAGCAAATTGAGGATGGTCCACTTCAGATGAAGATCTGGAATCCAAAGGTAGGACGAACGTCCATAATATTGCCTTTCATGAATGTTTCTTTTTCGCTGACATGAACTTCAGATCTACCCTCAGGACCGATACCACCTCATGCCTATAATCACGCCCGCATACCCTTCCATGTGTGCCACTCACAACATTTCGTTGTCCACCAAAGCTGTTATCCTTCGTGAGCTTGCCCGGGGAGGAGATATCGTCGACAAGATCTTCACCAAGAAGGGTTCTTGGAGTGATCTCTTCGGCCGACACAGCTTTTTCACACAGGCATACAAGTACTACTTGAATATCACGGCTACAAGCAAGACCAAAGAAGCCGAGGCTGTCTGGTCTGGCCTTGTCGAGTCAAAGCTGCGTCATCTTGTGGGAGCTCTTGACCGGAAGGCGATCGTTGCAGTTGCGCATCCTTTCCCGAAAGGATTCGAACGGATTCACCTAGTGTCGAACCCAGAGGAGTTGGAAGCTGTCAAGAATGGTTCCACCAAGTACCAGGCTCAAGGAACGACCACAGAGACCACCGATGAGACCAAGGATGCCGCTCATCAAGCCGCGGCACAGAACGGAGGAGCCGAGGATGCTCATGCCCCCGAGCCCGCAGAGCGAAAGGCTGAAAATGAAAGCCAGAATGTCTACACGACTACCTACTACATTGGCTTGGAACTTAACCAACTCGAGCCCGGTATATATGCTATAGCTACGTTCGCTTATGACAACAATTATTGATTGACAGATGCAGGCGCTCCACGATCCTTGGATATCTCACACGATGCTGGCACCTTCAAAAGCACTTGCATGGCGTGGAGTGGTTACCAACCGGATGTTCATGACTTGTCCATCACTCATGTTCGAAGGTATAGTGCTGGCCCCGACTTGAGGAGATCTATGAATGTTGACACTTTATAGTTTTGAACTGCCCGATGACGTCTTCCAGCCCGGTGAAGCTCGACCAACCCGTCCGACAAAGAAGAAGGTTGTCAAGAAGAACGCCGCACCCGACGCCGCATCCGCCGGACAGAAGCGCAACATCAACCAGTTGGAGGTAAGCGCGGATATGATCAAGATGAATCTGACCCAACAGGAGCTCATTGATCGACCTCGTTCATCCCCGTCTGCCCCCGTCCACCCCCGTCCTTCGAGAATTTCACGCAAGGTAGTATGACCAAAATATGGCTAACTGCGGATTGTTTCAGAGCTCGACCGAAGCCGCGGCGAAGCGCCAGGCTACAACGAACGGAGTCTCTCGCGCCGCCGCCCCCGCTTGACCAACAATTCGATACCAAATCCGTCACAGCTCATCGCGTCGGGGCTAGTCCCCATCGTCCAACAAGCACAACAATCACGAAGTGAACACATCCGCCCAGCAGGTTTTTTCTTTTTTCTCTCCCCTGTCTGTAACATATCGACCACGTGAGATGATTGCCGAGACAATCGATGACCACTGCAGTGAACCGACAAGACAAGCTCGCGTAGAGCACCCAAGGTGGGTTCTCTTTCACTTACCCTTTCAGCATTTGCAAGCCTGGAAATTAAGTTGGAGATCATCGTCCGTGGAAAAGTCCCGTATGTTCCTGATCTACAAGACCTGGCTGCAAGAATGGGTGTTTCGTCAAGTTATTTATCGCATTGCCCACAGCGAAGCCCCATAGTCTGCTATGTTTAGTGACTGATCCTGGCCCGTATTCTTTTGCATCTGAGTTCACCAGATAGCTTAGCTAGGGTAGTTCAATCAAACAGATTTTCACCGTAAGGGCGGGCTTAAACAAACTGGATTTATTCACTAGAGAAAGTATAGTAATATCGACATCTCTTCAATCATAAGCGGTCTAGCCTAGAATGCTGGTTAGCTCAGTGATCTTTGACCATGTATTACGGGGCCCCAAGCCGGTTATAGATTTTGATTTCACGTGGCTTCACGAACATTGCCTCTGTCTCAGTCAGATATTCCTTGTAATACTCCCTGGTAATTTGATTCTGTACCAGCGTTAGTATGTACCCGCGTTAGTAGACCATACATTGTGAACAGCACAGCAACAGGTGGTTAACCCATGAACCCTTCAGTTGTTGCAGCCCTGGCAAATGATAAACATGCGATCTGTGTATGATTCAACAACCGAAGGAATGTAATTACCAGTTCTCAGTTCAATGCAAAGTCCCCGGGTCTGTGGGAGACTGGTATATTTCAAAGAAACGACATTCCGGCTCGGCAATCATGGCTTCGTAGCCGGGCTTCATCAGTTCGAAGAATCTAGGCAGATCCGACTGGTCTATGTAGACCGCCACATAGGGACTGAAGCTGGGAGAAGTATTCGAAGCCATTGTTGATTAGTGCAAGGGAGAAGATGTTGATGGAGAAGTGTTGATAATGCTTACGCGGCGCTGTGCGATTCTTAAGTATGGGACCATGACTGAATTCGGTCGTAATATCGGACGGCCGATGGAATTAATTCCTGGAACCCCGAAGCCCAATCTCAAATTAATAACCATATATCAGCAAGACTGTCGCAAGATTGTGGAGGAGCTGCATGACTCGCTAGCGGATATATAGAGAGAAATTTAGGATTGATGACTTAGATGGGATGGCTCAAGGTGTGGATTTGTTTGATATCATAATTTAGATAAAAGGCACGATTATGAGATGAAAGGACCCGTAGGAACTGTGTTATATTGCCTGTACAGCCAACGGCTTATACTCCTCCTCCAAAAACAACATTTCCTCATCAGTCAGCTCCACCTCCAGCGTCTCCAGCGCAGCCTCAATTCGCTGAATGCTATTCAGCCCGACAATCGGACAAGTGCCCCTCTTCAACAACCACGCCATCGCAATGGAACTCATCCCACAGCCCTTCTTCGCCGCCAGCTCCTCAACCCGATCAATGATCACCGTATCCTGATCGCCTACAAACCACTTCTTCGTCTTCACGTCCTGATCCGCGCGCGCTGACTTTTCCCGCGACGGACGAGCCAGTAACCCGCGCGCCAACGGACTCCACGGAATGAGCCCGACGCCCTCCGCCACACAGAACGGATTCATCTCGCGCTCCTCTTCGCGGTAAAGCAAGTTGTACAGGCCCTGCATGCTCACGAACGAAGTCCACCCATTCATCTTGGCGGTGTATTGCAGCCGCGCGAATTCCCAGCAGTGCATACTTGATGCGCCCAGGTAGTGGATCTTGCCCAGTTGAACGAGGTCGTGAAGAGCGCGCATGATTTCCTCTGGAGATGTCTCGCGATCTAAACGGTGGAGTTGTAGAACATCGATGTAATCTGTACCGAGTCGACGGAGGGATCCCTCCACCGCATCAAAGATGTGCTTGCGACTCAGTCCCATCTGATTGACTAAGTCCCCATCATTGAACGCTGGATTTGGCCGGGCATCGAGGTCATCTTCGAGAACGGGGTAGTATAGCTTCGTCATGATCACTACTTTGCTGCGGGGGATGGAGTATGTCGACAGCGCCTTTCCGATGATGGTTTCGGAATTTCCGTTCGAGTAGGTATTGGCTGTGTCGAAGGTGTTGATGCCGAGGTCGTAGGCTCGTTTGAGGAGTGGGAGGGACTCTTCTTCACTCAGCACCCAAGGGGATCCTTCCCAGTTGGGATTGCCGTATGTCATGCAGCCGAGTATTATTCGGGAGACTTTTAGGCCGCTGTTGCCGAGTCTTTGGTACTGCATCTTCGGGTGTGTAGATTTGCTTGCGGCATTATGGGTGCTGGTGGATGTTGGCGGAGTTGGAGACATTCCGATTCAGCGCTGGTTATTCGCTACGATGCTGAAAGAAATGTAGATCTCTTGAGCCTTATTAAATGTGCTCTCGAGTGGGTATCGGCGATTGGACCGGGGATCTCTCCGGAGTTTTGCCGAGGGCCTGCCTGCCAGATTTGAATATTGAAGCCATCTGGATTGACAGGGAATGGTAGTAGAGCAATAGGACGATCTACGCGTTTATTTTTGTATATTGTAGACGGGGAATTATCTCATAATGGATAAATATGCCAAAAATTGAGAGGTATCTACTAGTTCTGACCAGACATCATCCCAGGAAAACTAAACTCTCCAAAATCCGCAAACAAAAAGTCATCTACAGGCGGTACGAGCGAGTCACCAGCAAAAGGAAAGGCCCCGGGTGGCGCATTCATCTGTCCTGGAACACTGTGTGCCTCATACTCAATCGGATCTGTGGCCATTGGCAGGGAAGACATGATTTGCCCACCATCCCTCTGCAGCATATCAATGCACTCGCGCAATTTACGTGTTAGGCCGGGAGTCATTCGACAGATTGGGTGCTGCTGTATTGATGGGATAGCCTCGAAAAGCTCAAGCACTTTCCGAATTAATTCGAAATCCTGATCTGGTGATATCGGTAGCTGGGCGTGGTAGTTCCGAGTTACTTCCATCAAGAAGTGACCGGCAAAGGCAATCATGATGTGGAAGTAATGGGGCATCCCAACGAGGCTACGTCGGAGGTTTTCTTCGCGTAGGATCATCTCGAAGATCGCGATGGCGGCTTCGTGGGCCATACTGGCTGCTGCCAGGAAATGGGACGGGATGGCTTCTCCGTTCAGTCCTTTGAACACCTGGTGGCCGAGGTATAGTTTACCGAAATGGTAATGTAGCTGGAGCCCGCGCTTCGGGAAGTCGCCAATGTATGGATCTGGTTTGAAGAGGGCAGAGAACTTGGTGAACCAACGGTCGAGTTGACGGGAGTAGTGCGTGATTTGGTGGGAGAGGGACTGTGGAATGCGAGACTCTTGATCAGAGCCGAGTAGATCACGAATTTGACTCATGATGACTAGAAGTGCGACCTGGGATATGATGCGAACATCGGAATCGGTCGTGTCGTCTCGGGCTAGAAAGGTTTCCCAGCCTAGTGCGATCTCTTTGTCGCTACGGAGGAGAGGATCGCGGTTATGGAGAATGGAAAGATGCTGGTCGGAGATGAAAATGAGATACCACAACCTCACGCGGTCTTTGAGGACATTTATTCCGGCCAGAGATGTTCCGGGTGCAGTATCAGTTAGTTGCAATCCCGGATCGATCGTCGTGTTCGCGAGATGGGTGAAACCACGATGTAGACGCATGTCCGCTGCACGTCGAATGGCGTCGCTCGCCAGAATCCTCGATGCATCGGACAGCCAGAAGGAGCTGACGCATAGCGCACGCACATATTCCAGGTCATGTTTCTCGAAGATTGATCGTGAGACCAGTCGCCGAAATTCGCGGTTGCATACTTCGTACACTGCTTGTCCTTGTGGATCTTGTAGCGCAGAGACGGTGCAGATGGCTGCCAGGAGGACGGGGGATGCCGTCCGAAGCTGCTTGAGATCTCGATAGCGACTGCAGATGCCGTAAAGGTAGGGGTCTAGTCGTGTATAGTATCTTTCTACCAAGGTCTCTGCGACAGTAGCGTTCATCACGGCCTTGCTGATCAGGTCTTGGGGTGCTGCATATTGTCGTTGGCGGGTGGTGCTTCTCGGGGTGTTCTCTGACGAGCCCGGACTGCCCAGTTTAGCGATATCCAGGAACGTATCGATGGGGGCCTGCACGGCAGATGGTGTGTCGGGTGGTGATATCTCACAGCCGTCGAGATCTTCCTGGTCTCGTTCTACATCGTCCGGTTGATCTGCTTTGATGTCCGCTTGTGACGACTCGCCCGCAGTGAGAAGAGGACTCGGTCGTGGCAAGCTGAGGTGCTGGCAGATGCTGTCGAGAACCTCGTGAATGCCATGGACATCGCTCTGCAACTGCTCGGTATTCTTGACCTCCTCCACCAGCGACTGCAGGCTCTTGTTCAATACGCAGGACAGGCCTCGCCGATGACATCGTGAGCACGGGGGCCCATTGGTCATGTCACATTTGATCTAGACCATTCTGCACTGTTAGCTCTCATCAAATCAAACACAGCACAATTCAATTACTGCGTGTAGTGCAATGTGTTTCGACTGACCTTCTGCTTGCGACACGCTCCACATGCGGTGATCTTCCGGGTAATCCCCGGCAAAACTTCCAGCACGTCTTTGCTCTCGCTAGTCTGCAAGATGGTCTCCGGCAAGGCCTCCGATGCCTCATCGGCTTCCGTCCGCTTGCGTTTGGTCATGGTTCATGGCCCGCGAGGGGGGATTGCGAGGGTGGTGGGATTGGAAGGTGCTCAGGTAGGGCCCCGGGGAGTTGCCCGAGGGGGTTTATCTACGCACGAGAGGGGAAACTTTCCACCCCCATGTTCACGTCAATCTACGCTTTTCCACTTCAGCCCACTTCCTGACGAAATCCACGGTTGCCACTCGTCAATATCATCAAGCTCGCCAAGCTCGCCAGCTGCCAGAAGGATTGGCTGCTCCCCCGCCTTTCGCCTTCTCCACCGAGCTTTATTGGCGCCAGCTCCCCGCAGTGGAAAAGACTCCGGGACGGAAATCTCGGACTCTCGCCGAAGCAAAGTCAACGACGCCCATCTGAGAGTGTATAAGGCGGGTATGGAGGGGCTGTCGACGCCGTGGGGAGGGGTCCAGCTGTGTGATTTACCAGAAAAAAGCGAACATGACATCCACCATCGCGAATAAGGCCAAGGTCATCCCCGCCGGCATCTACGTGCCCGTCATCTCCCTGTACAAACCATCCCGGCGGCAGGAAGTGGACTACGATGCATCCTACAAGCTCTTCTCTCATTTGATCCGCGGCGGTCTAAACGGCCTGGTGTTGGCTGGAACTAATGCAGAGGCTGTCCTGCTCTCTGCCGAGGAGCGCAAGGAATTAATCAAGGTTGCGCGCAAAGCTGCGGCAGATCTGGGTCGACCTGATTTCCCGGTCGTCGCAGGCATCAGTGGACAATCGACGAACGAGTCAATCCGCCTAGCCGAGGATGCATTGACCGCTGGTGCGGATTTTGGCTTGTTGCTGCCGCCGAATTACTGGGCCAAGGCTGTGACAAAGGAAGCTCTGCTAGGCTTTTATCGTGATGTCGCGGATGCGACTGCGCTTCCTATCGTCATTTACAGCGTGAGTCTACCCGCTCGAATACTCAAAATTCCCCAGACTAACCCGCAAAAAGTTCCCGGCCATGTGCAATGGCATCGACATGAATTCCGACACCCTCTCCGAACTCGCCCAGCATCCTAACATTGTCGGTGTCAAGCTGACTTGTGGCAACGCTGGAAAAGTGACGAGATTGACCCAGGAATATAAGCATGAGCAGTTTGCTGTCTATGCTGGGTCTTCTGACTGGTTGCTTCCTTGCCTGGTCGGAAGTGGCGCTGGCTGTGTGACAGGCATTGCGAATGTATTTCCCAAGTGCGTATCGAGGCTCTACACTCTGTGGAATGAAGGAAAGACCAAAGTGGCACAGGAGCTTCAAGGGTTAGTGGCCCAGGCCGAGAAAGCATGCAAGGAGGGAATTGCGCCTACGAAATACGCAGTTGGGCATTTTGCTGGTCCTGCGGCTGGTATCACAGACCCCAAGGCCTTTTGGCCGCGGAAGCCCTATCTCCCTGTTGGCGCAGAGAAGGCAGCGTGGGTGGAGAAGGTGATGCAGCACTTGGTCGAGATTGAGAAGAGTCTGCCAGATGCTGTGTAAGAATAGACCATGCCCATAGATTTAGAAATGGTCAAGCAATAAATGAGCTTAATATCGCTGGAATTGACATTATTATGAACCTACAAGTATTTTATGGAACGAAATTCTCATTCCTGCTACTTGTGACCCTCCGTTCAAACACACTCGGTAGTAGAAGTAGTATCCTGGAAGCAAAACTAGTATACAAAAAAATAAAAGTTCATTTTATCTAATGGTACAGGCGCTAGCTAGCATGTATATTGCTGTAGAGCGTTGTATTTATTCATGTACACCTGGTGGCTTCTCCTAAGAAAAAAGTCCTCCTCGAGACGAACATACTTAATGCGCTGTCTCCAAAACGTAAACGCAACATGGATAGCACCATCCCTTCCAGTTACAATACTCGGATACGAAAGCTCCCGATTCAACTTCTGCTCACTGTTGTTCGTCAAGCAATACCCATCTCCCTCCTCCAATGTTTTCCACGTCCACGACTTGCCCTCATCATCACTCCACGCAACATTCAACGGCGCTCTCGGAGCACCCCAGAAGGCTTCCTTTCCATGCTTGCTTGCCTGGTTGTTTCGCGTATCCGTGCCATCGCTGATATCATCATATAGCCCATCGCGCCGACCGAGGGCATCCACTTTGGAGGAGTGATTGTACACTAGTACCACGCGGCCTGACGGCAGCACATCAAAGCAAATCCCTGCGTTTGGGTTTGGGAGAATAGTCGGCTGTGGCTCACTCCATTCGAGTCCGTCTGGGGAAGTCGACAGGTAGACGTGATCCGCCCAGCGACTTCGGTATAGTCCCAGGTAGTTGCCACTTTTCAGTCGCTTGATGTTCATATGCACGCAGCCGTAGCTGTTTGGTATATCCCTCTCCGTCCAAGTCCTTCCTTCATCCTTGGATATGCGGATACATGAGATATCGTCGCTTCCCAGCCACCGTTCGCCTGGCCCCGTGCGGCATTTGAAGGTGGGGACCACCCACTTACCATCGTCCAAGACGATGACAGGTTGTCGGATAAAGGTGCCTGCATCTCCGAATAGCACTGCCGGGTCGGACCAGGTTGAACCGTTATCTGAGGAGGTCAATTGCTTGACGATCGCTGAATCTTGATTGCCCGCGTTTTGCGATGTGTACAGGAGACGAATATCGCCGGTGGAGGGAACGCGAAAGAGGACGGGATTCTGTTCACTGCGGGTGTGATCGTGGGTTATTTTCACTGCGCCTGTCCAGGTTTGTTGCCCGAATGGTATGCGGGACATGTAGATGCAGATGTCGGGTCGGCCCTCGATGCTGCCTCCGAACCAGGCGCAGAGGAGGTCGCCATTTGGTAAAAGTAGAAGATTGGAGGCGTGGCATTGTTGAGTGAGAGCGGGTATGTACGCTTCATGGAGGGGCCTCTTCATCGGAGAGGGTTGAAGGGTTGGAGTGAAGTCGGGAGCTTCGGTGAGGGTCGTGGTGGACATGACGGCGGTGATGGCGGAGTGGAAAAGGAAGCCACGCTGCTGAGGACCAGAATGTCCTTGAGCAACCCGCACAATTTAAAACAGCTATCTTATCGATAACATAGCTGCTGTTGCCCACCTTCGACTCATGTCAAGCTTGCCAGAAAGAATCAAGAGCTGCAAAGCATCGGTTTGGTCACCGGAAGGCTGTCGAGAGCACGAAACCACGGAGGACAGTCCGATATCAAGCAATCAATACCCACTCCCCCACTTCCCCATGGGGTGTGCAGCTGAATTCTGGGCGCAGTGGGTTTATTGGAGTGCCGACAGCGTGTACTGACCCACGTTCTCGTGTTCTTCTTCAGTGCGATCTATATATTTCGCTGCTGGCCCTGGAGCCATTCAACTATCCCCGATTTCCAATCTTCTCGGGCTTTCATAACTTTAGCAGCCTCAACTGCTTTAGCAGGAATTTTCGAACAGCTCTTGTACAGGCATCATGGCGGGGGGAACGAGCATCTGGATCAGTAACGAGGCGAAGACCGACCCGAAAGCGATCTTCAATCTCCGTCTTCTCTATCTTTTGGTGGCCGTCTCCTGGGGTGGCTCCTTTTATGGATTCGACACCGGAAACATCGGCGGCATTTTGACCCTCCCCTCCTTCAAAAATGCATTCGGCCTGAATGCCGTCACCCAGGCGGAGCAGGACAATCGCAAGGTATGCAGAGCCCTGATCTTGCAGAGAATGTCGGACCAACTGACGAGAATCAGGGGACTATTGCATCAATGTTAGCTGCCGGTGGCTCCGTCGGCGCTCTACTCGCAGCACCAACCTCCGACTATTTGGGGCGCAAGTGGTCAGTCCTTGGATGGGGATTGGTATTCGTTGCCGGCGCCGTAATGCAAATGATTGCAGATTACGATGTCCTGTTAGCAGGGCGGTTCATCGCTGGTATGGGAGTCGGAGCCTCGTCAATGCTCACGCCTCAGTTTCTGGCAGAAAATTCACCCAAATCCATTCGAGGCTCCATGACGGCTACATACAACCTCATGATCGTTTCGTCGCTCATGTTGGCATTTTGGGTGAACTATGGAGTTTCCAAGTGGTCCTTTCCCGGCGTTGAGCACGATGATACGCAATGGCGGACAGCGATGGGTATTCAGATCATTCCTGGTGCCCTGCTGTGTTTGATGATACCGTTTGTGCCCGAGACGCCTCGGTGGTTGATCAACCACGGTCGATCCGAGCAGGGCCTGAAGAATATTTGCAAGTTGCGAAAGCTTCCGGAAGATCATGAGTACGTCCAGACCGAGTATAATGAGATTCAAGCGCAGGTGAGACATGAGCAGGAATGCTTCGCTGGGCATAACTACTGGGTAGTGGTCAAGGATATCTTCACGTCCAAGAGTAACTTCCAGCGCTTTGTGTTGGCAGTGATGCTGTTTCTGTTTCACAAGTTTACGGGTACTGATTCGTTGAATGTAAGTTTTGGAGAAAGGAGGGTTGTGATTTTCTCTACTGACAACAAGAAATAGTACTACGCGCCCGAGATTTTTGCTTTAATCGGCGTTAGTGGTGGCTCATCCAGCCTCCTCACAACTGGTATATACGGTGTTGTCAAGACAATAACCACCATTTTCTATGTGGGCTTCCTGGTTGACCGTGTGGGTCGCCGAGTTCCGCTTCTGGTAGGAGCAACAATGCAGGCGACAGCGATGCTTTATCTTGCCCTGTATCTGCGGTTCGCAGGGACGAACACAGATAATGTGGGCGGAACCCCAGCAGGCGGTATTGTCGGCATCATCTGGATTTACATTTATGCCTTCGGATGGTCATTCGGTCATTCAGTCGCATGCTACGTGGTTGCCGCAGAAATCTTTCCAACCCGAATTGTGAGTGTCTTGTCCCATTACTTTTTCAATCATGTCTAACGACTCCCAGCGATCATTCTGTATGGCTATCTGCTTCTTCATCAATTGGATCGTGGATTACGGTATCACGAGAGCGACACCAAATATGATTACCGAGATGGGCTGGGGCGTGTTTTTACTATACGCCATGCTGACCTATCTGGGAGTTGTTTTCGTATTTTTTTGTCTCCCAGAGATGAAAGGTCGCTCCATAGAGAGCATGGATAATCTCTTCGAGAAACCATTGTGGATGATGTGGCGACATGCCTATCCAACAGAAGAGGAGAAAGTTCGGTCGGATGTACGTGAGAATATTGTGGCTGGCAAGCTGGACCGTGATCATGATGATGCGAAAGACCGAGTGGAACATGTGGAGACTGCTTAGGATTACCTTCTCAAGGCCTATAATGAACGGAATTGGACGCAATGCTCTTGGCTGTTAAGATGAAAATACCAAACACAATAATGCTGGTGGGACTCGTAGAGAATCCGGGGTAAGTCCGAGTCTGTAGATGAGGGGAAATCAAGCTAGAGCACCTACGGTCTTCTCTCCGGTCTTTTCAGACGCATACCCCACTCAGATCGTTGCTTTCTAGGAAATGCGGCGAGTCGAATTATAATAGAGCTCTCTTGCGCTGTTGATTAACTGAAGTAATTGATTCATCCTCGGCAAAATGACAGAGGATCCGCAAAGCAAGTATTTCAGCCTCAACACCGGCGCCAAGATCCCTGCAATCGGATTTGGCACATGGAAGGCCGGGCCTGGTGAAGCTGCTGCTGCCGTCAAGTCGGCGTTTGAAGCGGGATACAGGCATTTTGTAAGAGCTCCGGACATTTCTAAAATTCTGTTGATTCAGCTGCTAATGGCCAGGATCTAGGATTGCGCCCCTCTTTGTATGCTAGACTAAAACAGTCAAATGACGAAAAGGATACTGACAGCTTCAGACGGAAACGAAGCAGAGATCGGACAAGTATTCAAAACAATTGACGTCCCGAGAAATGAATTCTTCGTGACCACAAAACTGTATGATCCGGAATATTGAGAAGGGTTTGAACATTGTTAATTCGATTTCACGTTCGCAGCTGGTCATCCGACCACCGTCGCATTATATCTGCTTTGCAAAAATCACTCGATGACTTGTGCCTCGATTATGTTGACCTGTACCTCATGCATTGGCCCGTCACACTGCCTACTGCCTCCGCCGAGACGTACGGGAAAGAAGACCGGACAGTCCATGATCCAGAGTGGGACTTTACAGACACCTGGCGCGAGATGGAGAAGCTTCTAGCGAGCGGCAAAGTGCGCGCTATCGGTGTCGCAAATTTTTCGACTGTGAATCTCGAGAGACTTCTGAAGAGCTGCACGATTGTTCCTGCCGTCAACCAGACCGAGATCCAGCCCTTGCTTCCACAAAAGAAACTCAATGCCCTTTGCGTGAAGAACGGGGTTCATCAGACAGCATTCGGTCCGTTAGGCGGTAGTGGAAGTACTCTTCACGAGAATCCCGTTGTCAATGACATTGCGCAGAAGCGAGGCTGCAGCTCTGGCAATGTGTTGCTGAGTTGGGGAGTGAAAAAGGGGTGGAGTGTCATTCCAAAGAGCACAAACCCTGTAAGAATCGCTGGTAATCTTCAGCAATGTTTCACGATGAACGATGAAGAGATATCACAGATTGACGAGTTAGTCACGTCGCTTGGGGGCAAGAGGTTTAACCGGCCGAACTGGGGGACTGACATTTTCCATGATGATGCGGGGGCAAATGTGCAATAATTGCGGTTGCATATCTGTCGTTAACAATTAGCAAGCATTTCAAATCGTGGACATGTCAGCAATAACGGAGGTGGGTCAGAGCCTTGCGGATTCGGAGACATTTAAAGGCTTTATGCAATTTGGGGGCAATTGGTGTGCTCCGGAGGCTGGCGGGGTGATGATGGATGATGATTACAAATTACAGGTTAGAACTAAGATAGCATCCACTTTCGATCCTCTTTAAATTGAACAACATCTCTCATACAATAAAACACACCCAGTCAGTTTCCATTCCCATGTCTCACAACATCCTTGTCACCGGCGCGTCCGGATATCTCGGAGGATCCTTACTCGCCCGGTGGAGCTCCGCCAAACTCCCTGCATATCGCCGACTATACGCGCTTGTGCGCACCGACGAGCAAAGCGAGGCTGTCAAGCAATATGGCGCAGACCCGATCAAATTCGACGTTAACGACGAAGCGAGTATTCGCGCTGCAATTGTCGAAAATGATATCTCCATCATCTACTTCTTGATCGATGCCATGGCTTCAACCACGCAGCTTCACATGATCAAAGCTCTTGCAGAAGTCAGGAAGAAGACTGGGAGGGATGTGCATTTCTTGCACACATCTGGTGCAAAACTTTTCAGTAGCCATGCTGGCCTCCCGACCGACCGACCTATTCCTGATAATGATCCGGAGCTGTACAATCTCCAGAAAACTTCAGTCCCTCGCTTTGGTCCTGTCGGAAAGGCGATGGAAGCAAACAATACAATCATAGAAACGGCAGATAATTATGGCGTGCGGAGTTACATTTTCGTACCCTGCATTGTATATGGAGAAGGGGAAGGGTTTGGAAATAAGACTTCCATCCAGACTGTCGCCATTGTCAACGCTGCCACGAAGGCCGGAAAGGTGTACAGACCCGATCCCACTGGTTATGTAGGTCTTTCCCATCCTCGAAATTCAGATCGAATGCTAATCCTCTATTCTTGAAGACATGGCCAGTCTGCCATGTGGTCGACAATTCGAATTTGTATCTGGAGATCTGCCGGAATATCCTGTCGGGTAAGGAAATCGGCTACGGAAAGAATGGATACTATCTCGCTGCTAGCGGAAGCGTAGCTTGGAATGACCTCTACTCAGCAATGGCTCGGCGACTGGCAGAGCGCAAGATTGTTGATACAGAGAAAGTGGAACTGGCTGATGACCAGGCCCTGGAAAATATGGGCGTGGCGCTGGAATGTCCGAAGGAAATAGTGCCGTTGTTTCTTGGGGGCAAATGCACATTGGAAGCTCATAACGGTCGCGAGATTGGGTGGAATCCTCAGTACTTGCCGGCTCATATTTTGGAAATGGCCAGTGCTGAAGTTGATACGATACTTGAGAACACTGGGGCAAAATCGTCTTGAAGTTCCACCAATAAGCCGAATCAAAAGACAGATCCACATCCAGGAATACGAAAGTATATTATCAGCCTTCTTTCCTATGCCATAATTCCAATTCTCAATCTCGAATGAGTATATTCGTCTAATATCGTGAATTGATCTCATTTTTTGAAGCTTAAATGAATCATTTATCTTGATCTCATCTAACATTTTAGTTTCTATCGCATCTTCTAAATTCATCTAATTTACAACGGCTAGGCCAGTTGCGATATCGGAACCTTCGACCACCAAAACTTCGTCTCTTCCTTGGCCCACTCATCCTTCACAAACTTGGCCGCAGGGGCAGTCGATCCTCCAATGAGCTCCTCGTTGCCCTCTCCGAAGATCATAATCTCGGCGTTATCTGGCACATAAGGTTTCCACTCAGGCAACTGCCCATTCTGACCCCGAAAGGCATTGGGGTCACCAGAGGTGATGAAGCCGGTCACATAAGCATGCAGCGCGCCAGACAGCTCCTTCTGAGACTCGGAAAGTCCGGTGATGTCGCTATTGAAGGTTTCATAGTACATGTTGTCACCGTGGTTCGCACGACCAACCACAGTTCGAGGTAGTGCCCAGTTGTACAGATAAACAGGCGTGCCTTGTAATGCGGCGAAATACGCGGTCTGACGGACAGGTGCAACGTACGCATAATGTCCGTATGCAGCTTCGATTCGCTTATATTGTGGTCCAAGGCCAAGGCCCTTCCTTGTTTCGATGTACGGTGAATCGGGACACGTACTTGGGTCCGGGTATAGGCAGTCGATAGTATCGAGGTCTTCCTCCGAGAGCTCAGGGAGTAGGCCCTTCCAGAAACTTCGGAATTGCTCTGGACGGGACATTTTCTTGTCTACGTACATTGTTCCTTCGTTACTGTTGAAACCGGTCATTATAGGAACTTTGTTCCAGACCTTCGAGTTCCAGGCGTCCAGAGGTTTGCGGGAGATGAGATCGTCGTCGATGACGGGCTGGAATGCCCAGCGGAGAGATGGATTGTACTTGTCGAATACCTTTGTTTGCGCATCGGTGACTACCGAGCTTGGCAGGGTGCGGAGGAAAGGGAAGATCTTAGATTCGGGGAGATCGGATGGGCAGCCGACTTCTTTGAGATAGTCTTGAAATTGTTGTTCATGGATTTTGGCGTTGTAGGGACGAACTGCGCGTGAGGTTGGGGATCCGGACTCCAGAATCACGCGGTGGAACAGTGGCTTCTCAGCGTAGTTGAGCAGGTGGTGGCCGATCTATTCTTCTGTTAGTGAAGAACGAGTCAAGCTTCGAAGTGGAACATACTGAGTGGGCACCAGCGGACAGACCAAACAAGGTGACGCATCCAGGATCGCCTCCAAACTGTTCAATGTTTTCTTGAACCCATTCGAACAGGTCCACCTGGTCGCGAAGACCGAGATTCAAAAGACCCTCCTTTTTCGTCAAAGTCGACGGCAGGAACCCGAGAGCTCCAATGCGATACCCAAAACTGACGCCGATGAAGGGAGCTTTCGACCATGCCACCATGGACCCGGTGTCATGCGTCGCAGCCGCTCCCCGATTGAACGCACCGCCATGAAGATAGATGGCGACAGGAAGCCGATCTTTCTCGCTCGTCCCGGTCGGTCGGAAAATGTTGGCAGTCAGACAATCCTCGCTCTGTTCCAGCTTGGGACCGCCAGCCAGCAACGCCTTCCCGGGGGCCGCGGCGCCAAATTTGGTGGCATCGATACTTTTTGTGGAGGGAGGCACCTTCTCGGCGGGCTTGAATCGTCTGTCGCCGACTGGTGGGAGAGCATACGGCACGCCCAGAAATGCGTCGATCGCTTGAGGGGCGGTCTCTCCCTGACGGGTGCCAATTACCTTGCCCTGGGCAAGGGTCACAGTTGGTTGAATTGAGCCGGTCATTACGGTCTGCCTCGTCTCGATTGAGCAATTGTCGCGGCGTGTTGTGGGAGAGACGATGGTGAGATTATAAGAGATGGGCTTGCTTGCCCGGGAGACAGAAGTAGCTCCGTGCGGGGGAGATAATCGTGTGGGAAGTGGAGACTGCGTTTATTTCACGAGACAAGATAGGCATTCCACTACTTAAGTTAATCCTGGGAGTGTCAGGAGGTTTATCTTGTGGGGCCAGCGAGTTCGGCGAGAATCCGAGAATACACATTACTCCGCATGGATTTGAGTTAGCAAGTCGGGGATGCTGGGCAGAGATAAGGAGTGACTTTAAAAGGATTCTCAGGGGGCGCTTCGTTTTCTTTTTGTCCCTGTCTTTACGTACTCCATTTAGTCTTACTATCATGTCCGAAACTACGAAGAAGCCAGTTGAGGGCACCTCCGAAGAGAAAGATATCCAAGCCGGTATTATCACCGACCTTGACGAGGGCGGGCTGTTCCTCCACGAACATGGATTCACCTCGGAAACAATCCAGGCCATGCTGGACGATGAGCCTCGCAACAAAGCATTAGTTCACAGAGTCGACCTGATTCTCCTGCCACTTCTCGCGGGCACATACACCCTCCAGTACATTGACAAGTCCGCCTTGGCTTATTCGGCCGTTTTTGACCTGTTGACGTCCACCCATATGTCCAGTAACGAGTACAGCTGGCTGGCCAGCATCTTCTATTTCGCGTATCTTGTCGCCGAGTATCCTTGGAATGTCCTTGCTCAAAGAACAAGGCTTGGGAAAGTCGTGTCGGCGAATGTGGTGGCATGGGGATCGATGCTCATGATCACTGCGGCGTGCTCTTCATTCAATGGCATGGCTATCTGTCGGTTTCTCCTCGGTATCTTTGAGGCACCCATCACGCCCTGCTTTATGATGATTGTCGGCATGTGGTATACGCGTGCACAACAGCCATTTCGTGCCGGTGTATTCTACAGCTGCAATGGCGTGGGCGCAATGATCGGCAGCCTGTTGACATTTGGTATCGGTCAGATCAAGACGATTGCGGTGTGGAGAGCGATTTACTTGATTCTCGGCGGTATCACTATCCTCTGGGGCATTGTGATGCTCTTCTTTCTGCCTGACGACATCGTTTCCGCAAAGCGATTCAAGCTGGAGGAAAAAGCACTCCTGATCGCGCGCAGCCGACTCGGTCGGACCGGTGTGATCAACCATCACATCAAATGGTATCAGATTCGCGAAGCATTGGTTGATCCTCAAGTGTGGATCTTGTTCTTTTTCACCCTTTTCAACGAAACGATCAACGGCGGATACGCGAATTTCGGCAAGCTCATCATCAAAGGACTGACCAATGATCCTCTCGAGACTGTCGCACTAGGCATACCCCAGGGTGCCTTTCAGGTCTTTTGGATCTTGTCGGGAACATTCCTGGCTTCACGCATTAGGAACATTCGCACCTATGTGATGGCCTTGTACCTAGCTCCGACCATCACTGGGGTGTGTCTGATGTGGAAGCTCCCGCATGAATCCCACAAAGTGGGAATCTTGTTCAGCTACTACATCCTCGGAGCTTATGTTTGCTCTTTGGTACTGGCACTGCAGATGCCCGCCACCAACCTGGCCGGCTACACAAAGCGTAGCACGGGTGTCGCGCTGGTATTTTTGGCATACTGTGCTGGCAACATCATTGGGCCTCATGCCTTCCTGGCTAGGGAGGCTCCGTTGTATCAGACCGGTTGCAAAGTCATTCTTGCCTGCTCTTCGAGCCAGGTGGCGCTCGCGATTGGCCTGAGGTTGTTGTTGACTAGACGTAACAAAAAGCGAGATGCTGCGGCTGGTAACGAAGGTGGCGAGGGCCTTTCGCAGGCTGATGAACTGTCTGATCTCACAGATTTTGAGGTAAAATTCCCCCTTGCCCGACTTCCTCGTAACCGACTTGCTGATATGCTCGCAGAACCCGAATTTCCGATATGTACTTTAAGTCTGGCGATTTCGAGGGAAATGTTATCGAGGGCTTTCTTCTTTCGTTTCATATCGTGACTGTAATTGTGTCAATCAATTCTTTCGTTCATCAATTGAGCCACGAACGACTTAACTTAGGTCCAGATACCAAACATCGGTATCTGGGCCCGATTGCTCGGGGAGGCCTACCGAGAGCCCATCGTGACTCTATCCCACGGAATCAATTCATCTCAATTGATCTTGATTGTTCGACATCAAAGAGGATGCATGCATCATAGGCCTTTCGTTGCTTAATATTCAATTAGGTCTGTAGTAAAAATGAAACTCAATTGCAAATCGACTCATAGAATGAGTGCCGAAGAATTGAATACGCGCCCTTTGACGAGCCCACATGCCCGTTTCGGAAACATACCCCACCCCCAATCTCTCCCCGCCAGACTTCACCCGGCGATGTTCAACGGATTCTGTTCTCGCATATATCTTCGTCAACACATAATATAAAGATGGATCCCTCAAATCTACCCGCCTTTCAAGACGATGGCGCCATCAAACCCATCACCTGCGTCGAAATGCACACGGCCGGCGAGCCAACCCGCATTCTCTGGTCCGGCTTCCCCAAATTGACAGGAACGCTCATGGAGCAACGCGCCCAGGCGAAGGCGCAATCAGACGAATTCCGTCGTCTTCTCATGTTGGAGCCGCGCGGTCATTATGATATGTACGGCGCCATTCTCTGTGCTGAGACCGAGCTGGTGGCGGCAGGAAAGGCGGATATCGGCGTCTTGTTCACGCATAATGAAGGGTTCTCGACTATGTGTGGACATGCGACGATTGCTCTTGGACGGTTTCTTGTTGATGTTGGTGAGTCAGTCTTCCCGCGCCGGGGTCAGTTGAAGTATGATAGTGCTTCTGGCACGACTCATCTCAATCTGCATGTTCCTTGTGGACTTGTCGAGGTTACCGTGCCCACCCTGCCAACTGGAAAGTCGGATCCCTCGCAGCCGGTGTCGTTTGTCTCGGTTCCGTCTTTTGCAACTGCGACCTCTCTGGAGGTTCAGCTGCCAGAGACGCATCGGTGGCCGGAACTAAAAGGCCGGACTTCGGTGACGGCTGACTTTGCCTATGGCGGAGCATACTACTGCCTGATTAGCGCCGAAGAGTTGGGCTTCCCTAAGGGACTGGGGGAGGTCGAGCTGCAAGAGATGGACAATGCAACACGACTCCTGAAGGAGGTCATTAGCTCCAACCCGGATCTCGCCTACCTGACTCGAGATATTGTCACCGGCGAGCAGGGGTATCTGTATAGCATCATGATCACAGACATGCGACTCGGTCACGTCAACGCTGCGGAGGGCACAGCTGCTTTCCGAGCACAGCAGAGATCTGATAGTGAGGAGACCGGCCTTTGCTTCTTTGCCAATCAGCAGATCGATCGGTCTCCAACAGGTGGGTGCGTCGCGGCGCGAGTGGCCCTCGCGCACGTCAAGGGGACCTTGTCAACGGGTGGAAAGCGCATCTATAACTCGTTAGTCACTCGTGCTCACAAGCCGCTTTCGGGTTTTGTTGGGTCCGTTGCAAACAGTGAGCAAGGTCGTCCGTGGGTGAAGGTGCGGGTAGAGGGATATGCCTACTATACTGGATATCACAATTTTGTGGTTGAGAAGGAAGATGGACTAGGTGTGGATGGATTCTCGGTCAAGGATATTGCCATGTAAATACATTTTGATGTGTTCTACACGGGCCAGGGTACAAACGAAAATCGTGAAAAATTTTTGAGACAAAGAAAACCAAACGTGTTTTTGAAAGAAAATGGAGACAAAGTATTGTACATCATATTTGAGGGATGGACAAGCCGCAAAATAAGAAAAGCTCTAAGGGTAGTCTCTATTATCCTCCAACATCTACACAAGTCGAGTACTCTTATTTGGAGATCTCAACACCACCAGTGGCACCGAGGATGCGCTTGATGTCACCGTAGATGGCGAACTGACCGGCAGTGATACCACCGACCATGAACAGACGGGCACCGATACCGGAGTAGGAGCCACGGATACCGAGCTCCTTACCGATCTTGACAAGGCGGGAGACAGTGCCCTCACCGGGGAGACCCTGGGTCTTGTTGATCTTGGAGAGCATGGTGTCGGCGGGCTGGGAGATGATGGCGGCGGCGAGACCGGCGATCAGACCGGAGCCGAGGTTGACAACGGTCTGGCTACCGGTGGAGAGGGAGTTCTTGTCGACGGACTTGTAGATGGCCTCGGAGACCTTCTCGAAGACGACGAACTTGGCCATGGTGTAGGGGACCCTGGGAGTTTGTTAGCATTGTACGCTTGCAAACGAAGCTGCCGATGGACACTTACTGCTTGAACAGAATGGGTCCGAATCCGGAGTAGAAGGCACCGACACCCTCCTCCTTGAGGATACGGCTGAAACCGCCCATCAGGCCGTTAGCGAAGGTGGGCTGGGAGACGAGACGGATACGGGTGGCCTCGAGGGGGCACAGGGCAATGTCGGCCATGAACTCGGCGGCGGCGGACGAGGCGAGGTAGACAGCGGTGCGGTTGTTGGCAGCGGTCTCGTAGCCGAGGTTGTTGATGGCCTGCTTCTTGAAGAACTCGTAACCACCGAACTTGAAGGCACCCTGGAGGAAGTAACCGGCGGCGGTAGGACCGAGACCAGTCAGGAGAGCGCCAGCACCCTCGTTCTGAATGACCTGGCGGAAACCACCGATCATACCACGGTTGTAGGTGGCAGGGTCGAGCTGGATACGGGTCTTGACGCTGTACGATGCGACACATTAGCAACTGAATCCGAAGACGACGCCGCTATTCCGACTGGAGGCACTGCAGGCATTGCAGCTGCTGGGAGCCATTGGCGCCAGAGTCGACTGCGACAAGGGTGTTCTTCCACTTACACATCAAGGGGAGTAGCAGCACCGTGGGTGACGGAGCAGCAGACAGCACCAGCGAAGGCGAAGCTATATTGCGAAGGTGGTTAGCTGGCGGTCGCAAAGAGTATCGGAGGAGGGTTGGACACACCGAGCGTAAAGGTCAACGCCCTGGGGCGCATCCTGCTTGGGGGCGACGGCGGCCATTGTGAATTAGAGTGGATGGGATGGTTTGAGGGGAGATGAACGACGTTGGAGCGAAGAGGAGGAAAGGAGAAAAGATTTGAAGCCAGGGATGGGTCCGGGAGGCCAGTCTCGGGCCAATCCGGAGCCATCGGCTCAGCACGGCACGCGCCCCATTAAGTCCGGCCATCGGGCGGTCAACCAGACTTAGCAGCTACCACAGGTGCTAGGTCAAAGGCAGTGGAGAGGTATACATTCAATCAATTTATTCCGTATTTGCTATTGCACATATTCTGATTTTTATTTTATTTTTTTTTGACTCTGTTACCGGGTGAAAATTCGATCGGAATGTTTGCCGGTGAGCCACCGGGTTCCCGCCTGCGCACCGAGCGCATAAAAAACACGCCTATTTTGGTGAGAAATAAATTGCGATAGGGTTATTCCTAGACTATTTTATGCATACATTGCATACAGAAGCCATTTCAAGTCTCGGTGCACGCTTGACAGGGATCTCCGTTTTACAATATTCGCAAAGCATGAATAGATGCACGAACAAACTGCTGCGTCGGTCGAATGGCGCTACTACGTCACAACCTTTGGAATGCTTCTGAAAGTGGACACTTGGCGCCCGCGATGGGGCCCAACGCCGACTGCCCTGTTTTGGCCACGGCGCCAAGAACGGGCACGCCAGGCCGGCAAAGGGACCGAATGTCGCCGCATCGGAGCCACCTTAATGGGTCCCAGCGCTTTTCCACAAATCAGACGCTGCGACGGTCCTAAATCATGACTCTTGTAATTGGCTATATCCTTACTTCGGATCAACGATGCTCCAAGACAGCGAAGTATAGAGCGAAATATATACAGCATAATTGCCATACGTAACATTAGGATCAAAGCGCTTCATTGTTTTTCCCGCTAAAACCCTGAGTAGATACCCAAGACATCAAAAAGACCATCCGCCATATTTCAAAAATTTATATAGGAGGGCTACACAGAATTTGATGTATCTTACGCAGCATGCAATATGGTGGTGGACGTTGTTGATAATGACAAAACACTAGTGCTGAGGCGGTTTTGTCAGAGGTCCCCTGTCGGAAGCTAAGGCGCTCACCACACTATTTAGGCAGTGCAGTGCCCGAAGTATCTATTTATATTGTGGGAGCTCTCCAGAGAAAATCTTTGTGACATTGTCTTAGAGCTTTGACGGTTCCGACAACCGGTTAGGTCCTAGGGTTAGTTTTGAGTGGCTGGCGATAACGACGTCCGTAGGCTCCGAATATATACCTGCCAACAGAATCAATTATACAGGCCGTGACTGCGAATTTCTCTTCATTTTGTGTTCTGGGAATTGTCAAACGAGATAGACCGCACAGACTGTGACTAATCTATCATCGTATACACTTGCCCAGGTGGTGCATCAGTGGAGGTATATCGCACAGCAGGGACCGGGGTGGGCCAGTGTCACTTGGCCGTTCTTTCCAACATACCCCTCGAAACCACCGCTCTCACGACATTTTCAGTGCAAGAGATTCAATCATGTCCTAATAACTCATCCATCGCCGTCTACTAAATCAGACGACGCAAGGCTCGCGCCCACTTTGTTTGTTTGTTTGTTTTTCAAACACGTGGTCTCGATGTCGGCCTTGTTCAGCTGCTGTTTGAAGATGTGGCGGCAGACAGCGGAGTGGAAGGTGATTGAAGGTATGTGTCAGGATATCACCAGAACTAATTAATGAAGTGTTTGATTCTCATCCCAGTCGCTCACAGACAGAGCAGAGGATCCGGAAAAGGCCCCAGGGTGGACGGTCCCCCCGAATTCCCTCATGATCCAGGGCTTCGAATGGCACGTCCCGGCTGATCAATGTCACTGGCAGCGCCTGCGAAGAGCGCTGCCGAGCCTCAAAGGGGTCGGCGTGGACAATATCTGGATTCCGCCCGCATGCAAAGGGATGGGCTCATCAGGCATTGGATACGATGTCTACGACCTGTACGATGTTGGGGAGTTTGACCAGAAGGGAACCCGATCGACACGGTGGGGCTCAAAGGAGGACCTGCATGAACTTGTGCGATCGGCCAAAGACATGAACATTGGGATCATTTGGGATGCGGTCTTGAATCATAAAGCCGGGGCCGATTTTACCGAGACGCTTTCGGCAGTGAGAGTAAATCCTGACAGTACGTGTACAGCGGCTGGAGATTAAATTGGATTGAAAGACTCACTAATGAATCATGTCGAATAGATCGCAACATGGAGATATCCAAGCCCGAACAAATAACAGCCTGGGTGGGCTTTGACTTTCCGGGACGCAAAGGAAAGTACAGTCCGCTTAAGTATGACCATCGACATTTCACCGGGGTGGATTGGGACCAGTCACGTAAGGAACATGCTATATACAAGGTTGCCGAGCCCAGGAAAGAATGGTCTAAGGATGTCAGCGACGAACATGGTAACTATGATTACCTGATGTTTGCCAACCTGGACCAGAATCACCCCGAAGTTCGGGCGGATATCTTCAATTGGGCTGAGTGGATTGGAACTGAGTTTTCGCTCAGTGGCATGCGAATCGATGCGGCTAAACATTACTCTGCTTCTTTCCAAAGGGACTTTGTGGATCATCTCCGGAGGACCGTGGGTGCCGATTATGTACTCGTCGGCGAGTATTGGAGAGGAGAGGTGGATCATCTCCTGAAGTACCTGGAGGTCATGGACAATCGTGTTTCGCTTTTTGATGTACCTCTATTAGGACGAATAGCTGCTATTTCCCAAACGGAAAACAGCGACCTACGGAAGATCTTCAAGGGAACCCTCGTGGAACAGAGACCTGACCAGGCTGTGGTAAGATTCTACTTCTGGATACCGCAATGCACTAGTACTCTCACTAATCTCTGGTTTCACTGTCAGACGTTCGTGGGGAATCATGATACAGTAAGTATTTGACCGCCATTGCGGACTCGTGCAGGGCTGATTTCTATAAAGCAACCTGGCCAATCGCTAGAGGTATGATCCAGAGATACTGTGTAGGTTCCTGCCGACACGAGTACTAATTTGGCTGTCAGACAATCGTCATGCCATTCTTCAAACCAATCGCGTACGCGCTAATTCTCCTCCGAAGCCAAGGCCAGCCTTGTGTCTTTTACGGGGATCTGTATGGACTTCAAGGTGGCCCGAACTCTCTCAACACCCCGTCTTGCAAGGGGAAGCTTCCCATCTTGATGCGGGCGAGGAAGCTTTACGCGTACGGGGAGCAGCGGGACTATTTTGATAAACGGAACTGCATCGGTAAGAATTTTTCTTTCAATAACTCCGGTATCTGCTAATGTATCCCCAGGATTTGTGCGGTACGGAACGGTGAAATATCCTTTCGGGATGGCCTGCATCATCAGCAATTCCGTCGCGGCCTACAAGCGCATGTATGTGGGCATCAAGCATGCTGGAGAAGAGTGGACTGATATACTCGGTTGGTGTATCGGAACTGTTATCATTGACAGTCGGGGGTATGGAGTTTTCCCGGTCGCTGCGAAGAGTTTGAGTGTGTGGGTTAATGATAGGGCGAGGGGGAGAAGTGTTCTTGCTCGGCCATTGTAAGTTCATATGCCCAAGGCCTTTCCACTGGAAATCTTGACAGGCAACTGATTGATTTGTAAACAGTGACAGAAAGATATACAGGATCTAATATTAATTTAGCAGCAGACCGTAATCCACTCACAGACTGATCTTCATATGCGTGGCACTCAAATGATTAAGGATTCTATTAGATGACATGAATTAAAGATCCGGATACACGTAGGAGATTGGATGCATGAATTATGTGATTTAAGTTAATTTTAAATTTTTTAATAAAGAGATGAATTTCAAGCTTAAAAATCTTCAAGCCTGAAGATTAAGTTTAAGAGTTCAGAGATGACTTCAAATTGAATGTTCTCTTTGTTTGGAAAGGATATAAAAGGAATGACGAGGGTATAATAACGACTCAGGATGCAGAATAAACTTTGAAACTATTAAACTCCCAATACGCATCACCGAAAGCAGCCCCATTTTCAGCCGCATACTGTTTACATGACCCGGGACAAGAGTACATGTCTTTGTAATATGAGTCTGCACCAGCAAGATCACCGCAGATGTCGATATTGGCGACGATGCTCTGGTTTCGGAAGTGGGAGCTAATATCGCAGTTTGTGCTTGGGAAGTCGGCCAGCGCCTCGCCCCATGTTGATGGATCGGGTGTACTGCTCGAATTCGAGATGTCGGACGGGACGTTATCGCGCGTAAACATCCAGATGCGAATTCCGGCATCGCGCAGCTCCATGGCATAGACCTAGCCGTTACAGTCAGTATATATATGGTGCGATGGCATCTTCGCTGCCTCAGGTAGATGGTTGACTTACTCCGCCACCGTTATCGTTGAAAGCCCCGCCATAAGTTGCCTTTTTTACCCTCGACGCCGCAGCCCGCATTTTCATTGGCAGTGTTGAGACAGTTCGCATACTGCGCACTGCCCGTTTCCTTTCGCCGAACATTCATTTTGCATCCGCTGGAGGTGTGCAAAGTCATGGAATTTCCATTTGTGCCGTTGTTATTCGATTCAATCACGTCGATTTCTCCATTCTCCGGCCAATTGCTGGGGTCTGTCAACCATAGCGCTGGCCATGTCGCACACCCATACGGAGTGTGAACCACATCAAAGATGAACAGTCCACTTTCATATGTGTTTGTGGATGTAATGCGAACTGATTTGCGGCCGGAGGTTTGGTTCTGTGTATCGGTGTCCACCTTGATGACAGCTGATGACTCGGAAGCGTAGGTCAAATTCATCTGCGACGCTGTTTGCGAATCCACATATTGCACAAAGCCATTGGTAGGATCACTGGTAGCATATTCGAAATTATCGAAGAAGGAGGACCCGGAATAAGTATCCTTCAATGTGTAGTTCAATGCGGAATAATTTGGATATGCCGCTGCCTTCGTGCCTTCGACAGCCCCCACGATCACCGCGACGATGATAACCACAACACAACCGGCGACGATCAATTTTTTTCGCAATGACCAGCCCCGAACATCATACCATGGTCGTTCAACTGTGGGCGCTCGTCCTACGATTTCGGAATAGCGGGGCGGTGCTTGTGTCGGGTAGGCATAGGCGGCGCGACTGGGATCATCGAATTGCGGAAATTGGGAAGTCGCATGTCCGTAGCGACTGTAATCGCCTCCCGTATAGTATGGATCTGTATATCTCATTGCGATTTGGCAGGCTGCTTTTCTGTGTGTTGCGCCGGAGAGGCTGAGGAAAAGAAATATCCACCCCCACGTTGAGCGCCCTGCATGAGATATCAACAATTTTTGTTGGGCTCGATTGTGAGGGGAGCTCCCGCCACCTGATAGAAAAAATCATTCGATTGGCGAAAATATCACTAGGGTCTACGATTCCGCTCGACAGCAGACGCCTGCCGCGCCGCGTAAGTCCGACTTCGTGCCAAGATCTCCACTTTCAAGGTTCGATATCGCAAGCTTCGAATTTCACGTTGATTAAATGCCAGGCGCAAATCCAGGTAGCTTAACGTTATTTTTGGAGGAGCACAAACATTTCTGTGGACGTGGGTGTGACCAGTTCGGTGATGCCGTTCCGCAACAACCCTGGGAGTGCTCTTCGATCCTGTTCGATCCCCATCGCGATTTGGAGGCTGCAGTGGCAAGGGCCTGGCCATGGAGGGTTGCAGGGTCTTTGCTGGAGGCTGAATGGTCGTGTGTCAGGGTAAGCGAGGAAAATCTTGCGCCGACCCAAGACAGACAACTGCGAAGCTGCATGGGCTCCGGCGCCGCCACGCAATTGACGCGTAAACAGGGTCTGCGAGGTCCCTGGCAGCCACGCCTTGAACATTCGCTAGTGGCAGTGGAAATATTTACCGAAGAGGCTATTTTCTACTGTAGAAAGAACGTTTTTCGAAGAAAGATCGCTCTCGATTTCTCGTTCAAGTCGAGCGATTCGTTTGCCATCCCTCTTGGCTCAGCCTTGTTGCGTGCTAGTGATCTGCATGGATACGTCATTGCAGGCAGCTCTTTTTATAGTAATCGTAAATGCAGAGGGCATGTAGGGCAGCAAGACAGGCAGCTTGAGATAACAATCTTCTGCAATTAGCCAGTCCCTCGGGTCTTCATAACTACCGTTGTATCTTCAGGACGTCATGTCAAAGTGGAATTTGCTTGCACGCAGGCAAGGATCCACAAATCATGTCCACAACCTTCAAATTGGACTGAGACTTTCACAAGCAACAAGCCTTCGATTAGAGGAACTCGAATTCGACTGTGTACGCCTTTCACTGTTGTAGTGCTTCTGATGCCAAGTTGCATATGTTGATATTTTACGATTGTACCTGCCTGGACCCTGCATGCCTCATGAATTGGATGTAATCAAAATCAAAATGCGAGGTTGAATAGGGCAATGCCTATGGTGGAATCCTTTGAAATGCATACACTGTATCATCAGACCGGAGCGGCGCAGAATGATAAAACGATGGTCGCCTACTATGGCAAGATACCAGTAATTCCCGGCTATCGGGCCGATTCCCATGTAAGGATAATCCCCATGTTTTCGATTATCATGATTCGACTCCATTAGAATGTATTTTTTATTCTATTTTATTTTCCAGGTCTTTTGGGTCTACCGAAATATATGCTCTCTTAGAGCAGGGGCCAAACTCTATCACCTCCTCGCCTGCTAAAGAGCCACCCTTGAGTAGAAGAATATGCACGTTCGCGAGAAATGCCGAAGTTTACCCGGTCCGATTGCCACTTCTCCACGCGGGGTAATTTACGAGTAGATCCGATTGTAAGGTACATTTTTACAAAAATTAGCCTCTATGCCAGTGGATGTGAAAATTTCCTCTCATGTCGCCTTCTTCGCTGTCCCCGTAACTTTCAAAGCACGGTTGTAGCTGTCCATTGAGAACAGACTACTTAGGCAGTACTCACGGGGCATTCTACGTCAATATTCAACATGGCCGCACCTAAAAGCACTGAGCAATTGCTTTCGTTACTGACACTGGAAGAAAAGGTGAGAAACACTGAAGGACAAATGGTTCCGTTGGGAATCCCCCACGTCGTGCCTGAAGCATCAAGGCATCTTCCTTCAATCATCTAGCTTCAGAGTGAGAGCGTGGAGGGCAATCTTTCTCCCACCCTTCTCTGCCGCTGTTAATATACCCCGTCACCATCACCCTTGTCATTCTGAAGGCTCTAACTCACTGACAAGAAGAGCCGGATGTCAGATTTCGCTTCTAGCGGGTTCAACCTTTTCCAATACAACTGGGATTGAGGAGAAAGGCGTGCCATGGATCAGGGTGAGTCTACCAAGATCTTCGAAGGAAGCCCGACCGTGGAAAATACTGATGGTGTGGAATCTCCTCCACGAAGACCGCGGATGGTCCGAATGGTGTTCGTGCTGCTGCAATCGATCGCGACATCAAGTCCGCCTGTTTCCCCGCAGCCTGTAGCGTGGCGGCCTCGTTCGACAGTGACATTGCATACCGGGTGGGTGCTTCTTTGGCCGCAGAGGCTCGGCACAAAAACGCCCACTGCGTGTTAGGCCCGACCGTATGCATCCATCGACATCCACTAGGCGGCCGAAATTTCGAGAGCTTCAGCGAAGACCCCTTTCTTGCTGGAAAGCTAGCTGCACAGGTCATCCACGGCCTACAGCATCGAGGCGTGTCAGCAACCATCAAACATTTTGTTGCTAATGAGCAGGAGACCGCGCGGACAACGGTCGATGAGATCATTTCGGAAAGGGCGCTTCGCGAGATCTATCTGCGTCCCTTTGAAATCGCGATTCGCGAGGCTCATCCTTGGGCAGTTATGACTGCATATAATTGTGTCAATGGGACTCACTGTGATTCCAATGAATGGCTCCTGAAGTCCGTTCTCCGGGGAGAGTGGAAGTGGGATGGCCTTGTCATTAGTGATTGGGGTGGCACTAATTCTGTGTCTGATGCTCTCAACGCCGGCCTAGACCTTGAGATGCCCGGACCCCCACGCAAGCGCAAATTTACCGCCATCATGGATGCTTTGGAGCAAGGGACTCTAACACAGGCCAAGATTGATGAAAGAGCCCGATCGATTATCCGCTTTGCGACGAAGATACGAGCCCTTGCTGACAACGATAAAAAAGAAATCGCGGTCAACGGGGCCGAAGACCGCGCTTTCATTCGAGAGGCGGGTGCTCGAGGAATCGTGTTGTTGAAAAATGAGCAATCCATACTACCCTTGTCAAAAAGGGAGCTGGCCGGGAAGAAAGTTGCGCTCATCGGCTTGGCCAAAGATGCTCTTGCCCATGGTGGCGGCAGTGCTAGTGTCAACACATACTATCGAGTGACACCTTGGGAAGGTCTCCAAGCAGCTTTGGGAGCGGACGTGGAACTTCTATACTCCAAAGGATTCCACAAAGAGCGACTCCTACCACCTATCGATGGCCGTGCCTCGGAATGTGGCAAAATTATTGGTCTCGATGGGAATATCGGATTCAGCCGTTTACTTTACGCCTTTGACTGTCAGGATGGAACCACCGTCGACAAGCCCGTGTCTGTGTTGCATGATTTTCCTCAATCCGCATACTCCCCCCTCGGCTCGCAAGAATCGCTGTGGAAATCGTTAGAGATTGCCGGTGACTTTATCCCAGCTGAAACTGGAGAGCACTATATTGCTTGTTCGGGTCTTGGGCCGACGCAAATCCTCGTTGACGATCAAGTTATCTTTGACCAAAAAGAAAATTGCAGTGACCCCATGGGATCACTGTTTCTTGCGGCACCAGAAGTGGAAATACGTCACGCCTTCACCGCAGGCCAAACATATCGCCTACGCATCCGGACAAACCCACCCGTTGGAATTGGTCTGGACATTCTGGAGGGTCGCAGTGGTGTGCGGATGGGCATGTCTCTTGAGTCTATGCATGATCAAGATTTGCTAGGTGAAGCAGCATTTGTGGCCAGACAAGCTGATTTCGCGATTGTTTTCACCGGTCATGATCCGCAGTGGGAGTCCGAGGGCCGCGACCAAGATTCTTTCCATCTCCCTCGACGCGGTACACAAGATGCTGTCGTTACAGCGGTGGCTGCGAACAATTCGAATACCATTGTTGTAAATTCTACCGGCGTCGCAATTGCTATGCCTTGGCTTCAAAGCGTCCGTGCCGTCGTGCAGTCCTGGTTTCCCGGTCAAGAGTGCGGAAATTCGATCGCTGATATCTTGACCGGTGCAGTTAACCCGGAGGGTCGTCTACCAGTCACCTTTCCACGCCACATAGAAGATGCTCCGGCCCACGGCAATTTCCCCGGAGGGTATGTTGATGGTCAACTCAAAGTCACGTATGCTGAAGATGTGTTCGTTGGGTATCGGCATTACGACAAGCACCCATCAGACTCAATCAATTTCCCATTCGGACATGGTCTTTCTTATACAAAATTTCGCTACAGCCAGATGACCGTGACTGAGTATGACTTCAGCAGTGACTCATTCGTGGTGAATGTTGATGTTTCCAATGCAGGCTCTGTGCATGGCGGCACCGTCATCCAGCTATACCTTGGTTTGGCTTCTCCTATCCCCGAGCATCCCACAAAGTCCCTAGTCGGATTCAAAAAGGTACGTATAGAGCCAGATGAGTCATGTCTAGTTGAATTATGTATTTCAGTCCGTGATGCTGCGTACTTTGATGTGAATTTGCGGCGCTGGGTTGTCGACGCAGGTCAATACATCTTGTACCTCGGCAAGTCTGCAGCCGAGACACTTCAGACTGTCACTATCACACTGCCTCTCCTACAATATTCTCTCTAGAATATGATCGGACCCGAACCGGACGAGAGGGGGTATCCTGATTCACCATGAAAGAGCTCAATGCACGCACCTTCTCCCTTCTTCTTCTCTCCTCTTCCTTTCCTCTCCACCACCCCTGCACCGGGTGCAGGCATCTGCCCCCTCAGCCTCGCGGCTCCCCTCCTCCCCTCTGCTTTCTTTGCCTCCGCGTCGGCAAACCTATTTCTCCGCCTTATTTTCAATTTAACCATCATTAGTACTGCTTCTTCTTCTTTCTGCCTTCTTATTTTTTTGCCTCTTATCTCTTCCTTATTTCTTACTTCTTATTAAGTCCTTCTTATTAAGTCCTTAATTTTTTTTTCTTCTCTTTACCTTCTTTTTCACTGACATATTCTTGTCTTTTCATCATGCCTCGAGTCAGTGACTCGAGCATGGAGAAGAGTTGTCCCTTGGTTTGTTTCCGATGCGGTCGACTGTCATTTCAAGTATACAAACCATCACATGACTTCAAGTGGGACCAGTGCAGCCAACCAACGACCAACTTCTCCCATCCCTCCGTTACCCTCACTGTTCATCAGTTCTCCCAATCTCGACTGAGTGTGACTGGAGTCGACTGACTTGACAAAGCACAATGTCCTCCAAGACCGCCTGTGGCAAATCCAGCCCGTTTGACCCCGCGACCCTTCTGGAATGCTGTTCTCGGGCGGTCAGGGCGCCTCGGCCAGAAGTCCGGCCTCGAATCGGGACGCATCCGGCTTGACATCGGGAATTTGGCCCGTCACGCATATTTCGCATAGTTTGCGTGCAAGCGAAGATCCGGTCGCATTCACCGTCCACGATCGGGCACCTTCGCCGCAGAACAGCATGAAAATGCCTGAACCGGGATGCGAGTCGGCCAACTTTCAGAACACCGGCTCTTGCTGTCAGGTGTGGAGTCGTTTTCGGCTACCCGCCCCGGTGGAATGAGTCAAGCCCCAGGGCGGAATACACCGTCTGACTCACCCTTAGTAGGGCTTTCCCTGTGCCCAGGGGTCCCTGTCGTCGCTGAGACTGGGGCTAGTGAGGGAGTCCGGGGAAACGAAAAAGGCTTTTCATGAGGAATTGGCACTCATGCTCCACATCGATCTGGACAGGCGATCTATGATCCTGGCGGACAATGGTCAAACCTCCGATGTGAAACTGAGAAACCACGCGGAGTCGTTGGGTTGATCTGCATGGAATCGACCCCTCTTTCCGTGTTGGAGAATTGACGGCCCAAGGACCAGGATGCATGCGGACAAGGTGTCTCTATAGAATGCCTGTGACATTTAGCGGGTTGTTTTTCTCGTTCGCGAAAAAGAAAATTACTACGATAGCAAAGTCGAGCCCCGTCATAACAGTGGCTAATTGTACTTCTTCATGCAGACAACAAACCAGATGTTGCCACTGCAAAAAGAATTTAAATCTTGGCTCCTGTTTCCCGCTAACCAGAGTTTATCAGAAGCCGTCTTAACCGAGCAGGACCTGGTGATTCCCACGATCAACACGTCAAACTACCCCATTGGAGTCGATTAGGCTAGAATTTCGCCGTAGTGTCCAGAACAGTCGCACACGGACACCTTTGTCAAGCCCAAGGCATGGAGAGTCGAAAATGTGGCAGACGGGGGTGGAGCCCCCATCCACAAAAACATCCAGTTTTATTTGTCTAGGTGCAGCGGTGGACCTGGGACCCTGGAAGAGTGGATCCGGAACTGCTTTCCTGAATTTTCGAGGTAGCAATGTCCTTTATAAGCTGCCATCCCACTTTTTTGATCTTCATTTAGCGCATTCTGGCTATTTTGATGGGTGCTATCTGTGATTACCACCACCATGGCAGACCACTTCCGCGAGGAAGAGAACCTTCAAAAGGTCATGTCAGCTGCAGGTAGGACTCCGCCTTGGTCTTTGCAATATTTGAATTATTCTGACATTGCTCTGCTTCAGAGGAGGTGGCTATATCCCCTCATGAGTCACAAGACTCGGAGTCGCGGTGCGACTCCTCAGATCAAGAATCCGAAGTCACCCACGAGCCTATCCAAGAACGCTATGACAACCCATCATACTCTCGTTTCCGCCGGGTGGCTTCCAAAACGGTCGTCTCGTTCGGGCCAAATGACCCCGAAAATCCGGTGAATTGGCGAAAGGTAATGTGAATGCCTAGGCAAAGTTCTTGGGCCAGACTGACGCGGTACAGACAAGGAAGTTCCTGGTCCTCGGCTCAGGTGTCATGCAGGTCATGAACAGCACCATCGGGTCGAGCATCTGCAGTAACGCCATCCCCGAGATCGCGGCGGAGTTTGACATTCACAATGAACAAGCTCTTGTCCTACCGATCTCGATTTTCCTTATCGGGTATATCCTGGGTCCCCTGCTCTGGGGTCCTAGCTCCGAGTACTTTGGGCGCAAGAAGCCCTTATTGATTGCCTATACCGGGTTCACGATCTTCACGCTGGCATGTGCCGTAGCCGACTCGTATGCCTCGCTGTTGGTTTTTCGATTGATGAACGGGATGATGGCGTCGGCACCAATCGCCACTGTCGGTGGATTATTCGCCGATATCCACGACGATCCGACGAAGCGAGGCCGCTTGATGGCATATTTTATGGCCTGCACAACCTTCGGGCCACTTATCGGACCGTGGGTCTCTGGATTCGTGGCCGTCGTGAGCTGGCGATGGTGCTTCTGGATTGGACTAATCTTCTCCGGGGCTTTCCTGCCATTGGTGATCTGGATGCCAGAGACGTATGGCCCCGTCGTACTGAAGCATCGTGCCAAAAAATTGCGCAAAGACACAGGCAATTCAAGCATTATTTCGCCTCTCGAGATGGAAAGCCGCAATCTTCGCCAGAAATTCATGACGACGATTTCACGACCCTTCCGCATGATCATCCACGAGTCGATTGTCTCATTGACATCGCTGTATCTTGCTCTTGCATACGCAATCTTCTACCTTTACTTCGAAGCGTACCCAATTATCTTTCAGGGTAAGCCAGACATCTGCAAAAAATCGCCGTGCTTATGCTCATTTTGATTTAGGTATTTATGGCATGAATGCTGGCGTCTCGGGTCTAATGTTTCTGCCTAGTGAGTGCATATCTCCCCTGCAAAGCTGGTGAAGACCTCTATACTAATTTATAATCATATAGTCGGCATTGGTGCGATCCTTGCATGTTTTGTCTTTCTGTGGTATGACGGATATCTCGCCCGCGCCAAGGCCCGCAATGCTAGCTGGGCATTCATCGAAGAATATCGACGCCTTCCTCTTGCCTGCCTTGGAGGGCCGCTTTATGTTGTTTCCCTATTCTGGGTCGGATGGACAGCTTCTGAAAATATCCACTGGGTTGTTCCTTTCCTGTCGGGTATTCCATTCGGAGCAGGCTACCTGCTCATTTTCATGGCCATGCTCAACTACCTCACCGATGCCTATGAGACCTTGTCTGCGAGTGCCCAGTCAGCCGCCAGCTGTACCCGAAGCATCTTCGGCGCCGTACTTCCCCTTGCTGCGAAGCCCATGTTCAATCGACTGGGTGTGCACTGGGCATGCAGCCTCATCGCTTTCCTGAGTCTTGGTGTCTCCGTAATTCCATTCGCCTTCATCCGCTATGGCGATCGCATCAGAGGCAACAGCAAGTTCTGCCAGGAGTTGAAGCGTATAAAAGAGGCAGAGAGACTAGAGCTGGAGAGAGAAGAGCGCGGCGAGCAGCCAAACACCCTCGAGCCTGTCCAGTCGACCGCTACTGGACATCTTTCCAGGATTGAGACTGCTCGCAGCCATGCCGAGAAGGCTTCCATCATCTGTGGCTGATTATTATCTTCACGGCTACATACGACCTAATGACCTAAATAATTGCCATATCCCGATGTCTGTGGTGTGGACCGGCAGCTCAAAAGTCTTCGATTTTTCCTTTTCCTTTTTCGCAAGCGTTCTCGATTGCCCTAAATATATTCTCACGTTAATACATACACGAACAGGGACAATTATCTTCCAAGATGCGATGAAAACTCGGTGACCAGCAAAATAAAGGTGTTTTCATTTCTTTTTCATTCCCCTGCTTTTGACTTTTTCACTGAATCTCCAGGCAAGCATGATCAATTACACAGGGCGAGTATTGCATAGTACCAGATTGCGCTTCCATAGGTAGTTGATAGCCCATTACTTTGACATAATTAAATGCATAATATCCACATTTTTCTATTGGACTCCATCTCCTCAACCCTAGTACCACTCTACTCTCTCTTCAAACCGACCTTACCAGCCTTGCGCAGTCCCCAAGCGCCAATCCCAGAAGCAGCAACCATCAGGCCGAAACAAGTCCAAAAGACCGCCCGGTATCCGACCATAAGGGCATCCGGAGAGTTTTTGTCACCGTACGATGAGCCTTGCGTGACACTGGCCGAAATGATGGCGAAAAGTGTTAGCCCGATGGATGTGCCGAACTGTGCGATAGTGTTGAATACTGCGCCTGCGAGGCCCTGCGTTTTCGGGCTGAATGAGTCCGCGATGATGAGATTCGCGACCGTGAAGATCACTGAGATGCTGTGTTAACCAAAGTACCATCAAATGGGTGCGGGCTATTTACCATCTGCCGATAAGGGCCCAAGGAGAACTGCCCAGAAAGCGCAATACCACCAGGACCATTTGGGATCGATCACGGCCATCAGCAATGGCGATCCGGAGCTCAGGACAGTCGTGATGAGAACGAGCCAGTTGGCATGCAGTCGATGGACCAACAGCCCAGTCGCAAGATTCAAAATGATACCGATGACAATGTTCGGAAGAAATCGAATTGCCGCTTGGATAGGAGAAAGATCCTGCACTTCTTGGAAGCTATTGGGATTGATTAGCAGCGCTCATAAATGAGGGTGCGTGGACGTACAAAAGACTGAGAATCGTTTCCATGCCGTTCAATACTGCCCATGAGAATAACACCATGACGCAAATAGAAGCGAACGCAGTGTTGTTCCAGAGGGAGTTCGGAATAAGTGCCGATTTTCCAGAGTTCTCTCTCCATCTCATCCAGTACCAGAACGCAGGGATCATGGCACCTGACACGGAGAGAAGTGCAATGTTTTCAGGACGGCGGATATTGGACGGGCTATCGGTGATTGCGCTGATTCAGAAGTTAGAACAGGGGCATTCTATTGATGCGATTGGAGTCTACTCACGAGAAAACATAGGATATGATGCCCAGACAGGCGCTGGAGAGAATGATGCCAACCCAGTCGATCTCCGTTTGAAGTCGGCGCAACGTGATGGGCTCACGGGGCCTGTCCTTTGGGAGCTTGAAGTAATTGACGGCCATCAAGAGGAAAGAGGCACCCGCACAGAGATAATATCCGAATCTCCAGCCAAGTGAAGATGACTGGAATAGTCCTCCGAGCACAAGGCCAACGGAGAACCCAAAGGGCTGGCCCAGCCCCAGGCATGCAAAGCCGATGTTCCGTCGCTTCCCGATGGGCATGGTATCAGTCAAGATACTGAATGCTGTGGGGAGGCACATGGAGGTGGCGACACCCTGGAATGTGCGAAACAAGATCATTTGGATACCGGTCTGGGCTACACTGCAGGCCAGAATGAAGATTCCCATGGCGAAACAGCCGATCAAGTTAATGACCCTATTTCCGATGAAGTCGGCAAGAGAGCCCGACAAGAGGAGGCAGCATCCATTTGCAAGGCTGTAATTCGAGTTCAGTATGGCACTGGGGGTTAGGAGTAGAGATGCGAGAACTCACGAATAAACTGAAACAGGCCTTCAAATTTAAAGGGGTTGAATTAGTACCCTCTCCTCCTTTTAGAAATCTGAGTAGGACATACCATAGTAGGAGATTGTCCGGGAGATCCAAATCAGCCGCAATCCATGGCAGACCAACAGTCAGAAGGCCCCCGCTCATACTCCCGACGAATGTGATACCCGTGAGGGTGGCAATGAGGATGATAGCCCTCGTGCGGGACAGCTCCACATACTGCGAGTCGTGAGTACCATCGCTGGGAGTTTGACCCTCAGATAGAAGGCTGCGAGGTCGCGGCTCTGGTTGCAAGTTTTCCGAAGACCATAGCGAAGATACTTGGCGTGAGTCATCTACGCCCAGAGGCGCAGTCTGGGAATGAGTGAGGACGACGGTTGCCATCGCCGCGGTCCGTTGGGTGGGTTGTCTCCACAGACGCAAAGGAGTCCGGCTGGGGCTGAAACTGGGGTCCAGTTTACCAGTCACAAAGTCAGTGTGACTCGGCTCAGTTCAACTTGGATTGTTGGATCTGAGGGAAGGTCAAAGTCGGGGTCCATTAGTCATTTCGTGGGTGTGGGGTCCCCGCTATACTGCTTAGGGTTGTACTGTATTCTACCCATGTCGAGCTGACATGCGGGATCTGCTTTGAAGTGGGGAGTTGACAAGTCAGTTATCGATATTGTAGGAGTGGTTGGGGTGATCTTGACCAGCGTCCTGACCTGCACAGTTGTGTGGGACCCACGCGGCGCCTCGTGCTGTCAGCCTTCCCACCCCACAAATTGGCATCACTAGTACGTGTGCAGCACCTTGAAGTAATGCGATGGACCATCTGGTGTTCAAATTGAGGGATCTATCTAAATGGACCTTGTGGAAAATGAGTTTATGGCAAGAGCAAGCTGAGAGTCTACTCGCAAAGTATTTTTCTCACATCTCCAAAACCAGTTTCGACTCAACAAGTTTTGAGCTTGTCAAGGAACACTCAATGACATCAAATATGATGTTTGAGGCTAGATAGCATATTTTTCCAATGGAGCGAAAGCAGCAGTTCTCTTATGTCTTGGTTACCAGTAGTTATTAGGTGTGAATGAAAGGCCTGGGACCAACCGAGGTCAAAGCATGGTATTTAGTGTCGGGCTGCATCTCGAGCTGGGCGGGGCTGAGACCTGACCCGACCGGCCTTCAAAACCGTTGGAGTATATTTCCAAACTGTCAGAGGAGAGAAGTCACGAGATCACATTGAAGCTAATTTTACGAGGTGTCCGAATATGTACAACGTCAGCTTGGAGCTGACAGAGTCGTTGGTCTAAGATTACGCGTACCAATGGCCACTTCCAAGGTTCATACCTTGGTCATCGATGTGTACAAACAAATACTTCCGAATCATGGTTCTCGGAGATCAAATCCTGAAGCATTGGGCTCTGGGAAGTGAAGCTAGGTTTGAAATGACCTGCAATTGTTGTCAAGGATGCATGTTTGCCAGGAGACGGGGGATACAAACTTGGAATAAGTGGCAAATTCACAAAGCATACAGGCTCAGACACTGAGACTTACTGATAAAATTTGCTTTAATTGAAGCACCATCAACATATTGCGAACCTCTAGCTGGGCGTTTTGGGATTGTTTTGATCAGGATGAGCCCCCCTGTCCAATGGTAGACGTCGGATTAGCCCCGTCAGTAGTGGCTGCCAAGGGACAATATGTTACAAATATACTCCCTAGCATGGTCCAGTCACAGGTCTTTAACAGGAGCTAATGCGAAACATTCAAGCACGGCCCCTCCTGCTGATCAATGGGGAAGCGGAGGATGCCTAGGCCCGGAGGCTCCAAACAGCCTCGTTCCCAAAGCCATCAACATGACACGAGTAGCATATCTTACTAAAAATGTGATGTATAACGTTGAAAAACAGGATTTGACGAAGAAACAGGTCAATTCAGGATATTGCTGATTGCGTGTCGACTCGCGTGGACAATTCAGCTTGAGCGAGGAGTGAGTGTACCTGCGGCTTGTGACGGCGAAAGGTTAGGTCCTGATCAAGTTGACTTGCAGGTCCCCACAACCTTGTCAGTGCAGCCCGAGTCAAAATACAGGCCCTGTGCCTCAATTTGAGGATGTTGTCACTGCTAATATGGTTTCCATATCCTTGCGCGCTCATTGTGCACTGCCCGGTGTCGATCGAAGGCTGTGTGCAAACCGTAAAGTTCAGGGATGAGGCCAGAGTAGACAGATCGAACCCGCTGGAATCAACCCGACACGGCAGATATGAGCAAGCGGGTGCAAGTGATGTCGAGAGCATCCATGTGCATGTATATGACTTCATTTCCTGTCGCTTGTGTTGCGTCGAAGGACCATTGCGAAGAACAGGAATTACAACGGGCGGCAAAAAGCAAATATGGCTGTGAATCTGCCAGGAATTTTCGAATTTTCGGGGGCCACGCCACTACGCCATCTTCACCGCCTAGGAAAAGAAATGAGAGATCCATCTGGGCATTTTGGAAATTGGAGGACCCTCGGCTATGACGGTGCCGAGCGATAAATCCAGCAAAGAACAAGATCCAAACAAGATCGACGGAAAAAAATAATTAAAAATCATAAAAAATCAAATCCACAATGCCAGCCCCGAATCAACCGCAAAAAAGGCAAGCAACCCTTACCGGGCAGTAAATATTCGAGCAGCGGCAAGCGCGCAAAGCGCGAAAGGAGAGAAGAGCGGTTGCAGCGGGAACCCCAGACGGAGTGGAGTCCAGCCGAGTGGGCCCGTGGAACGCTGCACAAACACCTCCTCGACCAGACCTGCCCTACGACGGGGAATCGGTGAACAACGGGGAAGGGCGCATTCATGATCGTCCGTGTTGACCGGTCCTGACGCCTGCGGAGCTGTGTAGCTGCACTCGTGCCCTACGCCGACGCCTACCGAGCCAGGGGGCAACGGAGGGACCTGGATGAACTGGGGAAATCAGGGAGGTCGTTATACATGCCTCGCTGAAAATCTAGTTCAGGCAGGCGACCGCCAAAAAGCCCCGGGCGAGACATCCATTCCGGTTAAGACCAGGATCAGGGCCGGGGCCGCGGAAGCAAGCACACTGGTTCCGTTGGAGAGGATCCCACCCCCACACCCCAGGAGGGCCATCTGATACGCCCAGCCCGTCTCCATCCCTCATCGTGCGAGGACAGTCACGGTGTGATGTGCACTGGAACTAGATCGCCCCCTGGCCAGTCGAATCGGGCGTGTTTTAATGAGTCCGTTGTGCTTGGTGCTGGCAAAGGGGCAGACTGGAGCTGGATCAAACATCGCCTCCACAGCCTAGCGGGTGCCCGTCGTGTCGGATGCTGATGCTGAGGCCGATGGTTCGCCTCACGCGGTCCATCAGCTGGCCGTATTCCTCGCCTCCGACGGTATCCGGGCAGGGCTCACGCCGGTCCAGATGGTCTCGAGAGGTCTTTCCCAAAGCTGGCAAGGCTTGCAATACTTCGGCAAACGGTTCACGGGCGCCGCGCACGGACAGGATGCGCGAGCTTGACGAGGGACTCGCCGCTAGTACAGGATGCCGGGCGTGGTGCCTAGATCGTGGCTAGCGACTGGGTCTATTCGCCGCATGATGCGACCAGTCCCTTGTTGCCCTCTCCAAGCGCCAATATTCGCCCGCGCTGCCCCCAGCTTGGCCCGCGTCGTAAGGTCCATGTCGTCAAAACTCCACCCTCCCGAGACACTGCGGTGGAGACCTGCGAACACATCTTACCAGACGATGGACGGATGTGCATACCGGAAAACAGCCTGGCCTCGACCCGCCTGTCCCCAAGCTGAGGTCAACTACGATCATGTGGCTGCTGTCAACTGCCTCTCACATACTAGTTCGCTCCGAGCAACGAACCAAAAGAGGCTTTCTTCCCTTTTTGCGGGGAATCCCTGAGCGTATCACGGCAGTTCCGCAGACGCAGTCGCCCTGGATCCGGAATGTGGAATGCTCCTGTTTGGCCCTGGGGATCCATTTCTTGCCTGAGCCTAGCGCCGCTGACTTTTTTTTTTTTTTTTTTTTTTTTGGCCGTCTGGTGATCACTGGCCCTGGTGTTGCCTGGGCCCAAACGGGGTCATATCGTCGGTGGGAAAAGCATAGAGTATTTATGGAGCTTCCTTCACGCGGTAGTCGAGTCACTTTTTTTTTTTTTCAAGAGTTTATTCTTGCCCCCCTTTTAAGTTTTCTTTAAAGACGTCTGTTTGACTTTTGTCAACTATACTTTCTTCATCGAACGTGTATCTATCAGCTTCTTATCCATCTTCGACTCGAACCACGCATGGGAAAAGTATGACAACATTCTCACTGGTGACGCTTTCCATCCTCGCCCTACTATTCGTCGTGCGATATCGAAAGGAAATCGTCAATTGGCCTATTACTGTCCTCAGAGGGAAAGGCTACGGGAAAGATGTCGCGCCGGACGACCCATCCAATGTCAAGCGGTTGGCACCATACCCAGCACAGCCCATCAAGGGCAGAGAGCGATACCGCGTCATGATGGACATTCGCAAGCTGGATTCGCAGAATTGGCTCACCCTCGACAAGAACTACATGGAAGAACACCGTGTGCGAGATCATTTGCTGCGTGAAAAACGCGAGCAGGTTCTACGATGCTTGCCGGAATCTCTCGAGGCCTGCCGGGAGGCTCTGGAAGAGGTGTCTGATTTTCTCTGTCAGCGATTTCCCAATATGTTTCAAAAAGTCAGCCACAACGATCAAAAGTTCATTCAAAACTGCATGACTGGAGAGAGATTCGATATCGGTGGGTCGCCCGCGGGCGAGCGAAACACTGACGCCCTGGAGGCGGCTGTACGACTGACGATGGAGGATCTGAGCATTTTGATGCTGAATAATGAGGGTGAATATTACTTGTATGATATGCCGATATTCCAGGATTCCTCAAGAATTTTCTAATACCGAATGCAGGGCGGCAAGTGCCAGTCTGTTCCCAACCGGCTGGACAGTGCAAGAACGCATCGGATGGACCATCTCCCAACTGCATGCACCGGTACCATTGTGGCACCAACAGGTGTCGAATTCGGTCAGCAAGTAAGAGACCAATCTGCGTGCCCGCTTTCCTGATTACCATCTAACATTCGACTTAGATTCCTGTCCCGTCTCACGTCCAATTCGCCTATGGAGCGTTCCAATTACTTCGTCGAAGTCAAGCGGCCCGACGAGGACCTCTTTGAAATTCTCTATCGTCCTGGGGCTCTTTGCGAAAAGGAATTGAGCAATCCCTCCCCCGAGCAGATTATCATTCGTCGCGAAAGGCAGACCTTCCGCCGCCTGCCGCGGACTGGTGCCCTTGTTTTCGGCGTGAAGACGTACTTGACTACCCTAGACCAACTGCCGATGCAAGAATTGGAGAATCTGGTCAAGGAGATGAAAAGCTGGCCTGAGCATGTGGCCGAGTACAAGGGTATGAATGTCTGGAGCGCGAAGGTGTTGGAATTTTACAATATGCGCATGGCGGCCAGTGGGTTGCAGGATGAGGTGAAGGAGAAGGTTGAAGTTTGAGATATGGTCCTTCGATGAATGCATGAGAAGATGATGGCTTTGCTTCTTTTGTGTTTTTGCGGCTCTTTCAACATGCGCATCTCATATACCGGGCGTTTTTCTTTCTTACCATCGGTTGTTTGCTTGCTTTTTCTTTTCGTTTCATCATAAACTGGGTGGCTGTCTGAACACTTTTACTGCTTTTCAAAAGCTTGTCTGGATTTCATTACCCCTCAAGGGTCCCTGATTATCCCATATACGCTTGTCAAGTCTGATTTTTGAAGAATCCAATGTGAACTTTCATCATTGTTTCCAAGTGATATGTAGATGCCAAAATGAAGTCCTTGATTTGGTCGAGTTAAAAATATAAATACTGCATGGCACCGGGCAAACATACAAGCTTCGTCCAGTAAATACAAAAGAAACAGACGGGAAAACAAGAAAAGAGGGAAAAGTCTATTGTTGAAATATGTAAATCGAATGGAAAAGAGCAACCGACCACTGGCTAAAAGTGGCTCGGGATGAAGGGGTATAAAAGGGGTATTCGCTTATATCTTGGCCAGTGGAGGCTTATCCTGCTTTAACCGGACGACGCCCTAAGATTGCTGTTAGAATATACCAAATACCTTAAGAGTCGGCCACTCCTGGAGTCGAAATCAAACATACCTCTTGAGTGCACGTGGCAATGAGCACGCCATCTTTCGACCAGATCTTCTGCAGGGCCAATCCGCGGCCCTCGCCAGCCCAGGGGCTCTCCATCTCAATCAGCATCCACTCGTCGGCTCGGAATGCCCTCGGGTTGTGGAAATAGATCGAGTGGTCAAGGCTGACCATCATGCCGACCTCCTTGCGGTCCTTCTCATTCGTAGCGTCACTGAGAGCCCCCTCCAGTCGGCGTCGCAGATCCGCCGCCTCTTCCTCCTTCAACTCCTTCAATGCCTTGGTGATATCTTCGTCGTCCAGATCGGAGGGGTTCTTCAATGCCTTCAGCAACTTCTCCAGCTCGGCCGGGGATGAGAATCGCGGGATATCGTGTACTCGGGCAACAGTCCCGATGAAGAAGCTGTCGGTCACATATGCGAGTGCCGACAGGTGGGCTTGGAAGCCACCTTCTTCGGAAATGTGGCCGCGCGCCCGGACAAACCGACGCATCTTCTTGTCCGCGGGACTCGAGACGCGGTTGACAATCCCCGCCTTCTGGGACTCAAAGGGGCCGCCCCCAGCATCGCTGAGCGCCTTCACAGTTCCCGGGATGGGCGGTTGGGGCGGAGGAATATCTGGCTTGGGGACGGCGTGGTTGAGGGTCTTTTCGCCTCCACTGCCGACCCGGCTGAAGCTCAGCGTAGTCGTGAAGATCGGACGGCCACGTTGGCGCGCCTGCACGGTGCGCGTAATGAAGCTCCGGCCGTCGCGCACCCGTTCGACATGGTATAGGATAGGGATTTCGGAGTCGCCGGCCAGAACAAAGTAGCAGTGCATGCTATGGACGGCAAAATCGGCAGGGACGGTCCGCATCGCGGCGGACAGGGACTGAGCGATGGCGGCGCCGCCGTAGATGCCTCGCGCGCCGGGCGGGTGCCATAGCGGTCGGGTATTGGTGAAGACGTCCTATCGAGCAGAGAGACATTAGCGTGTTGTCTGCGATTGCGGCTGAGAAAGAAGGCATACTGGGCCGAGGTCCACGACGGGGGTCAAATCAAGCACATTCTCGATGGGCGCCTTGGAATGATCCTGCGGCGGGGGATCGAGCAGCGTCACACGCTTCGCCATGGTGTCTGATGAGGTGAAGATGGGGAGTCTTGCGGCAAGACGAGGGAGGGCGATCGAGGGCACCTTGGGGCGGAGCCCGGCGGTCTCCAACTTTTAAATGCGGGCTGAGCCGAGGTCCAACGCGTCCCGCGCGACCGCCGAGTCATCCTTTCTCATTCTCTCGTATTATTAAGGGCAGTATGTCACATGGAACTCTTTTCACTGAAATCATCACGCAGAGTCGCTCATTACAAACACAAGATCGGATCACTGATACACTTCAGACTACCCCTGAGGTCTCTGTCCGGCTGCTGCTACTCCACGTCCTCGATGCGGCGGGGCTATACTGTCCGTTCCACGTCTTCTGGGGAGGATCCATGCCAGGCAGGTCAAGCCGGTATGTGCTATGCACAATATCTGGCGAGGGCGCCCCAGAGTTCCGGTCTTCTAGCAGCCGGCGCAGCTGCTGCCGAGTCAAGTCCTCTTGGTTTAAGTGCAGTAATGGGGTGCCATCCTCTGCCCGATGGCCTTCACTCGGCCCATACTCGCGATAGATCAGAAAGGCCGACAGGCCATAGATCACGGAAAATGCACTCGGCAGCCCGATCCCAACTACTCGGAGTGCGCTGAGAGGCAGCAGATTGCGACCGAGGACGTTGAAGAGGACGTTGAATAAGGAAACGAGGTTGATCAATAAATATGGCCTAGCAGGCTGTTAGTCTGGCTCTGATGAGTCGGGTTTGAAAAGACACGTGGACTCACATAAACAGTGAACGAAGAAGGAATATTTTTCGACTGCGCTGGAAAAAAGCGATGGTCACAGACGCAGTATACGCAACTCCGATAAAGAACAAGGCGAATGCGACGGAGGCAGTTTGATTAACTAGGAGCCCGTCGTCGGTATCTCCGAATACAATGGGAAGGATCATATATCTCAAATATTGTCAGTTACTCATGAAGACGCTGTGGCTCGGTAATATTCACCCCAGTAGTAGAAGAACGGCAGACAAGCCCGTAAGAACCCTCCAGAGCTTTGGGACGCGGTTCGCATTACGCTGGGCAGCCTGCGTGTCGTCAAGCGGACTGGCTTGCATATTGGAAGGCGCGTCAAGTCATCTCAAAATCCTCGAGAAATAAAAAGAGTGTATAGCAAGAACAATAACAGGTTAGGCGACCGCACGAGCAAGCCGGCTCAGGCAGCCCAGAACGAACGGCGAGTTGAATCAGGGAGATGAAGAAGAAAGGAGTTTCCCCTCTTCCACGAGCCACACCGTGGATGGGGCACGCCGAGCATATTCTGACGCTGAGCCACTCGGGCGATCTAAGCCTTGCAGGCTGAGACCAGCCCCATCTTGTTGCAGGCTGGGGCGGAACGCCTGGCTCTGTTGTTGCGGCTGATCGGGCCTGCATGCTGGAGACTGGCGCCTAAATGACGGTGGGTGCGGGTTGAACGTTTGTCCCGGTCAATCGTTGCCTTTTTCGCCCTGTATCCTAGTCCGATTGCATATTAGTACCTCTTAGTATGTCCCAGTGTCTACTAGTACTGGGCCTCGACTTTTTCCGTAATGAAATTGAAGAGATATCGAGTTCTTGATTGGCGGCGTCTACACACAACAATAACTAATTTCCGCCCCCATGTCATGCCGCACATATTCTGCATCGCCCTCGGGCTAGGCAACTGCGCTTTATTTTCGTTTTCAATTTGAGATTCTCAGACCTGCAGCTTCTGCCGATCCATACCTCGGCTCTCGTTTAGACTGCGAACCTACTTTGTACGTCTCAGTCCCAAAAGAGCGGCTAAGGACGATGACAAATGCGACTTGCTACACTGTAGGAACCATATTCTGACTAGGTATCGAACGAGTAAATTCATGTCGCTTCCGTATTCTTCTAGATAAATAAAGAATGAACAACCGCTCCAAATTAGAGGTATTCGTCATCGGGAACTTCGTATCTGTAGAATGTAGGTCAGTCAGTCAGCAGATGATCGGCAAATGTACCAGTTCAGTGACACCAACCTCGATCCATTTCGAAGTCGACGGGTTTTGACTAATTGTCCTCCATTCTGTGCGAACCCCGATGTGAACCTGTAGAAATAGATCTTAGAGATGACCACGAAGCTTTGTGGCAGATTTTCCCCATACTCGCGACAGTCGCCATCAGAGACGAATGGGCGAAACTTTACCTGTGCCTCGTCAGGTAAGTTTGTCTTGGGATCGACTGGCCATATAGCAATTGGGTAGTTCACTGGAAAAATACTCGGGCATAATTATGTTCCTTTTACTGTCAATTCAAAGAATGATTATTTTTGTCATTCTACTATATCATATGAAGTGTACATGGTATAACCGAGATGATATAGGAATGTGATTCCTCGTGTCATGTCATAATGCGCTCACGATGGCAATAACTGGCCATGTACGCTCAGGGTACTGCTTCCAATATGGCTCAAAAGAAACGCATTCCAATGGAAAACACATTTTGTGATGCTATTCGGGTATACTAATTACGGATCATCTTCGATTCATGTTACCGCAGTCCTCAGAACGCAAGAAATTTGAAATGCTTTATGCACAAAGACTGGTCGTCAAGAATGGATACTGGCAAAGTGACATACCGTAACTACTACTCCAGACAATATATAATCGGTACAATTGCGAATCGAGGCATGTACAACGGTTTGTTCTGCACAGTGGCTTTCTTCGGCAGGACGCCGTATACAATATACTATATCCGTAATCAATTGGGTCATCGCTTGACCTCGTCTTCCCGCGGCTTCCTTGCACATACACGTCGGCTGTACTCCAATTAACAATGTAATTATTCTGCGGAGGACATGAAACTTTCCCAAATTCATAGATGTGGTAGTGATGGTTCTTCAGCTCATTCCGGACCTTGGTCATATACACCTTACCTCCTAGGAACCCAGGGCGTCGGCAGACAAACTTAGTCGGGAGCCACATTGAACAGCCCTTCATATCTGTCGCCCAATGGTGGTGGTTGAGCTGACCGATCTCCTTGAGAACCTTGTCTCGGGGCCACGCTCCCATCGGAACCTCGTGGACGTCGACGAAGCCAGCCTTCTCGATACTGGCTCGCGTTGTTTCCTGGACAGCCAGGGAGCGCTGGGCACGATCACCGCAGCCGATAAAATTCTCGCCCCACGAGGCGAGCTCGCTGTCTGGTGGGAGGGACTTGTCGTCACTGTGCACACGGATGTCGAATTCCAGTTGCTCGATCCAGCCGCCGGGCTCAAGGTTTCTTTATTGATCAGAACTGTCAGTTCCCAACCTTCTCGCTGTCTTCCTACTACCAGTGGGTTTGTACACTCACTCGTAGCATTGCCTATACAAAGTCTCCCATCCCTCCTTGTCAAAAGATCCGATCAGGTGACGAATGAAAATATAGTCGAAAGGCTCGTTCCAGGTCCATTCTTGCAGCAGGTCATCCACTTCGAAAATGCAATTGGGGGCATCCATGTAACTGGAGGAGGGAACAGATCGACACCACTAACAGTCGCTAATACATAAAGTATTGGTTAACGGCGGGATCCTCGGGCTGGAGGAAAGAACACCCCACCAGAAGGATACATATCGGCCATGTCTCTGGTATTACTATGTCAGCATGCTATTCTTGTCTGTGATGCGGTGAGCAGCTTACATAGCCCAGCTGCCTTTTCCGGTGCCCACGTTGAGAATGTACTGTATGCAATGTGAGTACATCATATCCTGAGATCTCGGTCATTAGCTGCACTTCCTTTAGGGGAATCACCGATGGGAGCTCGGTGGAGAGGGTTCGGCTGGTGATGATCCAGAAGGAGGTAGACCAGGTGGCTAGAACATATTTGTCTGATGTGATCATCGACGATAACACTACGGCGAAAATCAAGACCGTTTTGTGCTCGATGCGACAGACAGACAACGAGTTAAATCATAAAAGACCATATAGTATGCGCTGGAGCTGTTCCGGTCCTTCTCATAAGTATTTCGAGGGTTGTAATTTGTCCTCTCCTTCCCCGATTATTGGGAACGGATGCTAGTATTCTGCGATGAGGATGAAGATCCGCCGTATCTCATTTACTCTGGTTCTGTAAGTTTCAATACAGGGCTACCTCATATCATGATGCTGCGCGGCGACATTGATCCTATATTGCGAGTATATGCTCATCCCAAAGCGAGGAAGGATGAGTTTCGGTGTATTTACGTGGAGATATTGAAGGTTGTTGTATGCCTAAATGTCATCCAATGCTTCCCAGAGACATTTGGAAAAAAGCCTGGAAACACGGACCTGGAAGACTATCGTTATGTTGCGAGTTATCAATTCATGGCCCGTTGCTTCGGGGAACAATACTGGAGTGCCATGGCATGCCCACATCGGTTCTTCTTTGGGATCCACGAGGTTCAATGGGAAAGTTGTGATGAATTCAAGATCCACAGTGACCGACGACGAACTCCCGCTTGGAAACCCTACATCGAAGAGCAGGGCAGAATCGACCCCAAGAATGTTTGTGGCAGACTACCTTTGAATGAGTTATTTGTTTGCGAGAAACCCGCCGACCATGTCCTTCCGCATTTACTGTCACGTCTTGATGTGGGAATTGTGCGATATCTTATCTGCTTGAAAGGACTGCCAATAGAGCTGTCCCCCCACGTCATGGAGATGGCGGGTTATGAACCCACGTACCGATTGGGGGTGGCCCGCGATCTTTTACATCCCTTGAACAGAGAGGAACTGGCTAAATACCGTTAGTACTACTGGCAGTTTATTATTCGCAGCGATATTATTGCCAAAGATGCTGGCATGGGAATTGACTGGCGGGAGTGTATGAGTGTATTACTGATTTGTGGGAAAAGAGAAAAGATGGAAATTTGGGGTACAGAACCGTTGCGTCGTTTCTGGGGGCATTTTGGCAGGTGGGGAGAAAATAAAAATAAGCAAGTCGTGGGATTTGCGGATCGCGAAGCGGTAGCGGTGAAGGTAGATATGGCCCAACAACTATGGTGTTCAAATGATATCGCCAATAGCTGGATTAGCTCTCTGGTCATTTTTTGTACAGTATCTTCGCAGCTACCTTGTCCTAGAGCAGTGATTGATAAAAATCTCATAATCATTTGTAAGAGGTTTTTTGACATGATACTTCCTCGCGGAGGCGGAATTCCAAGCCCCTGACAAGGAAATCCATAAGCAGGCGTAAGCAGGGCCGGCGGGGCGATAATTTGGACTCACCTTTGAATCGCTTATCCAAGTAGTTCAAATTAGGCTCACACACACTTAGCCGAAGGATTTGGGGGTTCATAAATAGCACTTGCTAAGTCTATGGCGTCCAGCGGTGAATCAAGCCCGATATTCCATCTGCAGAAGGGCATGGAGCACCACCGGGCTTGAATCTGCTTCTAATTAAGGCACGAGTGGGGGCATCGAGGACGAATTTAAGGCATTTGATTGCTGGAAAATCCCCCCGATCTCGGCCAAGTACCGATCAGAGACCGCCATCAACTCAAGGTTCGGGTTGACGGGTTGACATGCATGCTGACATGATCCTTAGCTCGTAGTTTGTCAGACACTAATTGAGCAAATCCGAGCCCTGCATCTAGCGATGAACTCGCTCGGATGTGTTTGCTGCACTGGAAAAGTGGGATTTTAATCTCCTCAACGGTCATCGATGAATCTAATGGGTCTCGTATCTACTGTGGCTTTTGTTGGGGTAGGAATTGGCTTAGCAACCAGATTTGGCTGTCTGTGAGCTTCCGTCTTCAGAAAAGTAGTGCCAAGAACATGATTTTTTGTTCGGTCGAGTCTCCCCAGGCCGAATTGAAATCGAATTCAATGTTAAACCTTCAGTCGACATGCATTACTTGTGTGAGATATATCGAAATATTCGCGAATGAATTCGCTGCAACCAACAACGCGCTGCCAATTATCACATCAAGATGTGAAACGTATGCACCACCACTTCAACTCGGCTTTTGGGAGTACACAATTAGCTCCGATTAGGAAAATGCCATTTGCTAATCCCAACCAATGCTAGGTCAAAATACCGAGAGAACCTCTAGCTCGAAACACATGTGGTCGACACCTGGCCTCTGCAGGCCAAGACAATGCCGGAGCACGAGGGCATGAACGGACAGCAATATCGTTCATCAAAAATCAGCACTAAGCAGCTCGCTCGCCTATTACAGACCCTCAGTCAAGATGATGGATCCTCATCGTCGGGATTAGTATAGCATCGGACTTGCTCGGACTCATTGGAACAACTATAAAGAGGACGCTCTGTCCGGAGAAAAGGTCGAACATTAGAGCCAAAGACCTTAACAGCAGAGCTTCCGCTTCAAGCCTTGTCTCGATCAATCTCCAACATGCGTGTTACAGCTGCCATCCAAGCCACTTTCTTGCTGGCAATCTCTGTCCCGGCTCAGGCCTGGAACAGACTTGACAAGGAAAATGCTGTATGTAAGAGCCACTTCTAAACGGAAGACCGTACCTAACTCTTGTCTAGGCTCTGCTGGTCATTGACCATCAGGTTGGTCTGTCTCAAGTCGTCCGTGACTTCAGCACGAATGACTTCCGCAACAACATGCTCGCTCACGCTGCTCTGGGTAATGTCTTCGACCTGCCAACCGTCCTGACTACCTCCTCGGATGCGGGTCCCAACGGACTCATGCTTAAGGAGATTATGGACATGCACCCTAACGCCACCTTTGTCCGTCGTCAGGGCGAGGTCAATGCTTGGGACAATGCCGAGTTTCGGGCTGCTGTCAAGGCCACTGGCAAGAAGCAGTTGATTATTGGTGGTATTGTGACTGAAGTTTGTAAGCACCCATATCCCCCAGGTCATTTGTCCCGAGGTCATATTGAGCTTCGGTGTCCCATAGAAATTCTGACTAGCTTTCCAGGCACCACATTCCTGGCTCTCTCCCTCATCGACGAGGGCTATGAGGTCTTCGCCAACACTGATGCTAGCGGCACTTTCGACACCCGTCTTGCCGAGGACGCCAACCGCCGCATGGAACGTGCTGGTGTCACTCTGATGGGAATGTTTGCCATTGCCTGTGACCTGATGCGGGACTGGAGAAAGACTCCCGGTTTGACAGAGTTGCTGCCCTTCCTTGACAAGTAAGTCCTTCTCCAATTTCCAGCAATGAACGTTGACTCAATCCATCGATAGATACCAGTTCGCTTATGGTCTTGTTGCTCGTCACCACGGTGGTGCTCTGCAGAATGGTACTCTGTACCCCATTGAGCAGACTCTTCTGTGAGCAATGTCCTCATCAAGGAACGAGTGATGCTTCACTCATCGAATTTGGGTCCGGAGAAACAAGATGTACCGAAGGGGCGCGACAGTAGTGTGGTTGGTAGATAGGTAGAGTTATACAAATGAAAACAGTTGAGGAATCGTCCTTCCGACTAGGAAGTAGGGGCCATTCTCGCCCTGGAAGGTAAAATGTACGAATGTTGGAACGGTCTCGAGAGACTTGAATTGGTATTTACGTGACGTGCAGACATAACAATTATTGATGTGAAACGTGAATGGATTTCCATTCTGCAAAGCAAGAGGCGCTCGGCGGCGCGGGTATCCTGAAAATTGTAAACAGGCACGGAGATACAAAGGTCGTAATATTTGAAAAAATAGCTCATCAGCACGCTAATAAGCTACTGAATGAAACACCATGTTGACACAAGTTGAGAAGTGTTCTCATTTCTGGATTGCCTTTGGGACAATGAAGGCCGCAAAGTATCGCGGTGAATCGGAACGTACAAGTAATTACTCGCAGGTAGTTCTCTTTCAGATAATATTAGCAATCGTCATGCGAGAGTGGGCCGAACTGGACCGTCTGTCTTCTTCTGAAGCCGGGCGCTCAGGCTGAAGCAAAGACGAGGCCGGTCTCGGTTCCAAGTTGACATCGCGGCGGTCAACCTCCATTTGTTGATTGTGATGCGAAGCTTCCAGCTCCCGTTGCTGCTTATGCTGCCCTTCCAGACGTTGCTGCTGCTCGAGCTGAAGCTGGTACTGTCGTTGCTTTCCGTCATGTAGGTACTGTACCGTCTGCTCGATCCATGCCCATCCGGGCCAGTCCTTTTCAGGCCCTGGTGGTTCCGGGGCACTCTCTGTTGAGGACACGGCCTCGAGCTGTGAGCCGGTCTCACTACCCTGCCAAACCCAGCTACCATCGCTCGTTCCTTGCATATCACCCGAGACGTACGCGATCAATTCTTCATCCTGCTCAAGGGTGACTTCGCCTCGTTGAAGATGGTCAAGGAGTCGCTGAATGAAGAATGCCAAGTAACGTCCACATGATGCGTTGATAGCGCGATCATCGCCAACTGCAACACTCGCCTTCACGCAGGACAGTGCTGGTCCAAATTGTTGCTGGAAAAGAAGGAAAAGCGCGCAGCGCCAGATGTGGGTGCAAAGCAGTGTTCCTGCGGCAGAGGCAAACAGAGTGCACCAGTCGGAATCGGGGTGGGATCGCATGCAGCGAGAGAGGATATTGGCGGTGTCGATTGCCACCGAAACACAGCGGTCCATAGCTAGGGCGCGGACTGGAGGCTGGCAGTAAGGGGAGATATTATGGCGGTAGAGGAGAAGACGTGCGTTGTGTAAGTAGATAACGGGGGCTAAGGATCGGGGATCGAGATCTTGGTCGTTGGCCGGGTGGAGATGAGGGGGGAATATGGCAAGACATGTGCTGAAGTGTCGTTCAAAGGTCTCGAGAGTCTCTGGGCTGAGAGTAGTCCATCGTAAGGTTCGAGTGAGCTGGCCAAGAGAGCGGACGACGTGAATTGTGGCGAGCAGCGGTATTGTCTGCTGGCCTTCCGGGATGCCACCTCCTTCTGTAATGTACTGATCATCAACGGGGCAAGGAAGATCGATATCGCAGTCCTGGTCATTTATCAAAACAGGCTTTCCCATTTCGAGAGCGAGAAGTCTTCAAGGGTCAGCATTATTCTCTACGTTAAGGGTGGAAGCAATTGGACCTACCTATCCCAGGTATACAAACCCCACCACAGACGCTTCCGCATCTCGCCTTCAACGGGTGACCATGGACCGGATTCGATGTGCAACCCAATCTCTTGGGCCACACGCACTGCAGAACCAATCCAGACCCAACTCGCTGATTTGGAATTGACTTCGTATAAGAAGATACTGGCCAACAAAGCGGCCCGCGCTCGGTCCAGGTTGAAGTTGTCTTGCCAGACATCAATGATACCGCACGAAATGCGAACGTATTCCTTGCCTTCCTGCTCGCGTTTCCGCTCGACAGTGTGGATGGCGCCACAAGCAAGAACCCCGAATAGTACGGCCGCCCATTCACTCGAAACTCCCACAAGCGAGCCGGATTTGTACACCTTTTCGAAGTCGGCGATAAAACTGGGCCAATGCAAAACAGGCAGGACTGAGTGGATGCAGTTGTAGTATTGAGCTAACAGATGGTCTGCGAGGTCTTTCGGGGGCAGGTTAACAGCGTCATTGCCCACGACCGATTGTGACCGTTGCTGTTGATAAGGCGTAGGAAACTTCAGTATTCCCTGGCCATGTTGTCGAAGGTTTGATTGGACCTCTGACAGGTCTTGGGAGAGGGCTGGTCGTAGCCTGCGTGTCGGTTTGTAGTCGATCTCAGGTAGTCGAATGACCGGCTGGGCACTCGCTTCATCAACCTCGGCCGTGTTATGATCGGGACGCATTCGTTCTGAGCGCAGGCGGTCCAGCTGTGACTGTGTCTTCTGGAGTTGCTTCTCCAGGTCCTGGACGACTTTAATGGTCGACATGCGACGGTTGGTGTCTTTTGTGAATTGACACCGGACCTTCCGGTTTTGACATTCGGTACAACTGGCCGAGTCCGACGCATCACACTTGACTTTGCGTTCTCTGCAGGCATCGCAGCTGGGATCCTTCCTTCGCTGACGATAAGCGCGCTTCTGCTGCGCTTGCGAATGGTGCACGATCGGGCTCGTCTGGAACAGGCCGGGACCTGACATCGAACCCATCGGAGGAGCATCTGGTAAGACACCACTCTCCGCGGGAGATCCGGAGCCTGACTCGTAGAACCGCGAGTACGGCGAGGTTGAGGGGCCGGGAACAGACCCGGCCATGGAACCCGGCGGCGGACCCGGCGCACTTGTTAGCTGCTGATGCGACGGAGGGCCCTGGGGCATCGGCTGCAGCAGATGAGCCATCTGCATTCCGCTGCCCGGTCTACTGGGCGGCGCGGAGAGCATGCCCCCCGGGGCCGGTGGGAATGCGCCCGACGTCACCGACTGCACCGGCGGCAACTCGATCGAGTTGCTGGAGTTGCTAGTCACCATGGGCGGGCGAAAGTGCGAGGGCTGCATAGTGGAGGCACGTTTGTCTCGGGAAGACAATCATCCAGCCGTGCTCACTGCGATAAACAAAAGAGGGGATGGGTTCCAGGATTGAACCAACGGGGGAAGCGCTTTTTTCTCTTCCAGGGCGCATAAAACTGGCAATAAGCCGCGAGAGATAAAGAGGATCGCAATGAGTATTGCAGACTGTGGGCGCTATCGCCTCACACAGCCAAATTGTTTCGGATCCAGCCAGTCGAGATGGACGTTGGTCATTCGCGGCAGTGCGATGAAGCCATTGTCGGGAAAATTGTAGTGGCGGGCGAGATAGGATTGGTCGTGTGGAGGATGAATAAACGGCTTGGGGGGTGGGGGAGCAAATGAAAAGGCGAGGCGGAAAATAAAGTGACAAGATAAAAATAACAAAAAAAAAATATTCAAATCAGGATACTAGAAAGAATCACGAAAAAAGAAATCCGACAACGAAAATGGGCCGCCACGTCTACAAGACGCAAGTCAGAGAGGATCGTGGAGATGCAAATGCCGAGGTTGGGGCATCCAAGGGCACGAATGAAGATCCAGGAATCTCGTGAAGAGAGGAAAGCGCGCGAGGCGATCGACCAAACCCTCTCGGGCAGCTGGGCCAGATGACCTATGGGGACGGTCTGCGGTTAAGGTATTCGTACTCCGGGGAAGCGTGTCGCTCGAATCGCCCAAGGTTTGCTGGCAGCGGCGCCGGGTACTTGAGTAGTACTACCTAGGTAGGGACTAGGATGGGTGTGAAGAGACAAAAAGGAAAGAAAACGAAGTGAAGAAGCGGCACAGGTACAGGCGCAGGCAAAAGGGAAATGGAAAAAGGAAAGAAAAGGACGGGTGAAGGAACCAGATCGACAAGGCCAAACGCGACGATTCAATTGCGATCACCGTTCCTATGGACTCCATCAGGGTCCCGGCGCCCACAGATCGCGGAGGACTGGTGGCGGTTCTGGATTTAGGAATCTTCAGCCGAAATGACACCTGGTTAAGCCGGGCCTGGCCCGAGGGAATGGTTCGTCCTCCTTGAGTCGCTCTCGCCTGCACTTGACGCCGGCTAGTGCGCTACCTTGGGGTTGGTCCAGTCGGTGCCCTTGGCCGAGGGGGCGAGCTAGTCGCGCCAGCAGCCCTTCGCGGTCACAGTCGCTCCCTTCCCCCTGCGCGCTGGCTCCTGCTGGCTTCTGGCAGCAGCTGTCCCTGCGAACCCGAGATCAGACCTCCAGGCATCCCGAGATCGGCTGGTGGATGGATACCTGAAGCACTGGAGCGGCGTTGAGGATGTCGGCTGGGCCAGTGACATGGCCTGGAGTCCAGCGCCTGATGTCCACCCGGGGCCCACCACCGGGAAGCCAGGTATTTGGCAAACCTTGTCTCGATCCGGAGAGGAGGTGCTGCTCACCCGCTAACCCTCCCGGGGGTTAGGGGGAGAATAGGTCTTGTCGGCAGAGTTAGCGGGGCCCACCTGGTCCGAGAGCGTATCCCCTGTCGTGACAGTGCCGGATCGTCCAGGAGAAGATCGTCAAGCCTCGGTGGTGAGAGGTGAGGAGGTGAAGTGTAGTCGAATGAAGGGGTTGACGGGACGGAGCTATAGAGCAGCGGGCGGAGGCAATATACTTTTGAGGTCACGAGCAGACTCTAACTACAATCTTCTTAATAGCATCGACTCTACTTTGTATCGCAGCGTCTATTGTGATATCAACAACCACAGCAGAGTTAGGCAACCCCGGCACGAGCGCCCCCCTCTTGCAACCCAAAGTTGACCGCGGTATGTGGGATGAAGATCTCGGCGCCCGCCGTGCCGTGCCTTTTTCTCTTTTCCTCTCCCAACTGCCCACTTTTTTGTTCTCACATTAGCCCGGCCACCGCCTTTGTTTCATCTTCTGCACGGTTGAGCCCTGATGATCGACTCGGAAGTCGTGCACCGGACCACATGGGTGCGCCGGCTGCTGGGCCGGTGGGACCGTGTGGCAACACGTCTGCTCAATGCCAATCTTTGCTTTTTTGGTGCAGGCGATGGCTGCCGAGCCCGTCGCCTATCGCTCATCGTTGAACATCGTTGGCTGGGGGCTGCATGGGATGATTGGGGGTTGGCCTCCCCCGAGACGGCTTCAAATGTAATCTAACTCAACGAGCGGACAGGGAACGTCCAGCATGAAGCGTCCCGACCGCTGGTTAACCCGAGTTTTATCCGATAATCCAACGTTTAGCCCTCCTCAGTTCGCCCTAACTCCGTTGTAAGGGCGCAGGCTCCGCAAAAGGAATGCCATACGAGGATCTCGCCGCTGTATGGAATGTCCTAAGCTCCGCCGAGGATACACCAGATGAACACCCATCCAGCTCGATGACCATGACCTTGCATCGTCCCCGTTCCACATCTATGCGAGTTCACGAGAGACAACGGGCGCGTGGTCAACCAACCGATCTTCTGACCCGTCAAATTGCACCTACTAGCAGTGGTACTAGACGTGTACTACTACAGTACCCTCTGTATACCACGCACTGGATCCACTACTGTTGGGCGGGGCGTCAAGCCGGCTCGGAGATCTTCTCCAAGGACAGTCGCTCACGAGCACTTATTCCTGGACTCCGGGACTCTGCCGGATCACAGGACATGAACAGCCCAAGTGTTACCATGCAGCAAGCACGGACAGCTTTCAGCCGCGTCCTCCCCGTTTGGCTAATGCTCCGGTCTGCTCCTGCCCAGTGCCACGCTATCGATCCTCATTCGGGTCGGCCTGGAGCAGCCGCTGAACCAACGTAAACCAACAAAGGCCAACAAGAATATCCTGCGGCACAGACTTGCAGAAGTCTGCATGCCTTCAACGCATGGATTGGTGGCCATTGGCGCGCGCGTCCATTCCCAACCACACGCTTTGTCACATTGAATCACGACGAGGATAATCATTTGCAACAATGTCACTCCCGTCGGGGGCGTTTCGAGGGACCTTGAGGACAGGACTCCTTCCCCGCACCCTTCGCTTAGGCGATAAGACGGCCCCGGATGCCAGCCTCTAGTTGAAACGGGCTCTCTAGCGGACTATCCGACTGCACTGTATTGGGCCATCACGCCCTCACGCCCCCGCCACGATCCATGCGCACAAACACATTGAAACGCCGCTTGGGAGTACCGAGATATCAAACAGGGATGTTGATTTTCAACCGCCAGTAGCGCCCTGGTACTCTGGCTCTGCTTCTGCTCTGCAATTTCGCTGTTGCGTGCTGGGGTCTGCATAAGCTTACTCTGGCGGGTGCGCCCTCGGTTCGTCCCGTCGGTGCTGCGTGCTCGCGCTCGCAGTCTGCACTCTGCACTACACTCTTTCTTCCGTGTCCACCCCACGCATGGGCCTCAAGCTCGTAAATCAAACCCATCACCCCCCGCTTTTCCGCTGAGTTGAGACCCTGTGGTGGTGTGTTGGCACTGATCGACTTCGACATCCCCTTCGTCCCAGGTGACTGGGCTGAACCTTGACAGGGTCTCCCATGGCGCCTTGGCAGGTCGGAGCTTTTGTCTTGTCGAGCCGAAGCCCTCACACCGCTAGCGTAGCGCCGCCTGCCTCGCTGGATTTGCCTGGCCTTGCCTCTTCTCTTGCCCCGATGCTTCCCGAACGTTAGGCAGAGGCCTTTCGCCGTCCTGCTGGAGGTCTTGTATGTTCCTTCTCAGGTCCCCACTTCTAAGAATAAAGGTAGGGCAGGATGCTCGGCGGAGGACGATCGGCGCCCGGAAACGTCGCCTAGGGTATGTACTTAGCCAGTCCATACCGACTGTCCCGTGACTGCCAGTACGGAGACCATGTCGACCATTTTCCCTATCCCTATTAGCACCGACCGAGTATGATTCTGCCCTCATTTCGCTTAACCACACTCCACTTCCGCACCATATATATTTAAGGGCAAGTTTGGTTCTGGTCAAGTCTTTTTGGCGCCCCACAGCGGGACAACGATCCGAAGCTAATGAAACAGTTCCGGTCAGCAACCGAGGCTTTCCGATTTGCCCTGTCGGGCGTGCTGGGGCCTGTCGCTCTTTTTTATCTGAGACCGGAGTCCTCCGTGTGCTAAATCGCGGGAGTCTCAGATTAAACGATTGCTTGGCCTGTCGATGACGTGTAGATCGGTCGGCGCGCACCGAGTGCGTTTGCGTTTATCGTGGTTCCGATACATGAATTTGCCGAGATCTTCAGTTACGATCTCATATCTTTGCGATTCTTTTGTCGCTACTTATCGCGGTTGTATCGTATGGTGCACTGCTGATGGGCCCTTTACATAGACTTTGAGGCTTGCGTATGGCGTGGATGGCATCGGCCCCACTGCAACGTTTGCATGTGGTATTCCTCCGGCTCCATTTATACTAAAGAACAGTTGCATTGTGTCGAGATTAAGAGCTAAATCATTACTCTAAGGTAATGTGCGATCGATGCATATGAAATTAGTCGGACTCAATTACTCTTTCAGGGCGTATACTCGTCGGAATTTCTCATCGACCTGGATGAGGTAGTAGGTACCCGGCGCAAGAGCTTCGACATTGCCAACAGGGACATAGCCTTCTGCTGGTACGCTCTTTCTCGAAGTCGGCACATCTATCATGCTTGCTTAGTATATCTCTGGGTCACTATGTTTTGAATCAACATACTTCATCGTAGAAATCGTGCGAGACACGCAGTCGGACAGCTAGCCGAGCATGCAGATTAATGCTGGCTGCAATGCCACTCATATCGCCGACGACACGCAAAGCTGAACAAAGTACTCGCCAACCCACTCCCAAAGCTAAATACCCCGATGCGCTGGCCCGTGAGCTCGGAACTGGGGAAATTGCTCAGCAGACTCACGAGACCCGAATACACACCCGCGGTATACATGTTGCCGCACATCGTCGGCCCGGTCAGACTCGGCTGCACGCGGCGTAAAAATAGCCCCCGAGAAAGTCCAATGAACTGTCTTTCCACATTCTTGTCATGGAACGAGCTGTCGCGTGTCTACTCGCGGATAGCCGAGGAAACAGCGTTGCCTGTGAAAGGTGGTTGCGCTGGATTCGCGAGGAAATCGTCGTACATCATGTGTGCATATGCCTTGGAGACGAGCTTGCAGTTTGAGCATGGAAGACGAAGAAGTCAAATTCATCCAGTGGTAGCAGAGAAGGTGAATATTTGTTTGACAGGGTACTTCTTTCACGAGCGGCTTGTTTGTCGCGGTATCACTGGTAGCACCCATCCAAGGCCTGCAAGTAGCATGATGAAGAGTAGTGCCCATCCACGACGGGGTACTCAGTCTTGAAGTCTGGCTTGTAAAAATCATGTGTCGCATGTATGACGCCCGCAATGGCTCCAGGACAATGGGTGCATTAGGTCCGACGAGCATGGCCACACACCCGGCACCACCTGTCGGGTGTGCAGAGGTCTGGTTACACAATGCGACATCAGATGCAACGACGATGGCTTCCCAGCCCAAGATAAGGACTCGATCCAGTGGACTGCATTGAAGAGGGCGTTCGTCCCACCGTAGCAGGCATTGTAGGTGTCTGCTCCTTCGATGTCTGGGTTGGATGAGAAGAACTGCATGGGCACGGTTTTGCAGGACTTGGCTTTATCGAGCATCGATTCGGTGCCGACTTCGAGACGTCCGATAGAGTCTGGCGATATGCTGTATTTTTTCATGAGGGAGGATACGGTGGTGAGGGCGAGTGAGTATACATCTGTCACCATGTTTTGTTAGCTTGTAGAAATCCATGTCAATCAAGTATAAGATGGTCTCTCAGTAATGTACGCTTCAAAGTATGTTGAAAGACAGTAACACTGTGCAAATTCGACTTGAAAGCATTCAATAACACCAGGGAACGTCGAGATGGATAAAATTCTACTCACCTTCACGGTTATCGCAAAAGCTCATGTTGGTCTGTCCGAGACCGATGGTAAATTTGCCCGTGCTGGCCCCAAGAAATGTCTCGGGCTCGGATTGAGCGACGAACTGATCAGAATTAGTTTGTGACAGCTTCTTTATTCAATATCTATACACTCTGCTTGGAAAATAGATATCCATGGCTTTAATGCCCACATTGTGTGGAGCCATGATAACAAGTGAGCTCCTCGAGTATCCAAGTATCCAAGTATTTAAGTGCTGGATATGCTCTCAACCATGTACTGACCGTCACCTGTCCTCTATTTGTATTAGCAGAATTTGGAATTCTCATACCGAAATGGTATATTCATGGCCTGGGTCTCTGAAAAGCCATTGTGGGTCGATTAACCCATGTTAGTCGACTTCAATCCAATTCCTCAATCTCTGTGCCATGATTTCCAAGACACCAGGCAGGATATGGAAACTTCCTTTTGACCGGACGATGCAGAGAAAGACAAATCTGCTCAACCGGTGGTTGCCTGGGGCCAATGTGCTGGCATTCGTGGATGCACAGTGTTGATCGGGTCCTGGTGGTTCTGCAATCGGCGGTTTCACAACAACCAACTCCGGAATCCGGCATCCCAGTATCGTGGGATCGTGCTATTGATGCAGAGTCGTCGTTCGCCAGTGGAGTTCCCTTGAACAATGGGTGTATCTAAATGCTGAGCCATCTTGTGGTGTTCGCAGAGGATCAGACAGCACCGCTCAAAACTTTGCCTGGCCACGTCAATCTGTGATGTTTCATGAAATGATCGACGGTGCAGTCTTAAGGGGCAAGACCAGACTCAGATCAACGCAGTATTCCTGGTATCAGTCGCGTTCAACAGCGCAACTCACCCAACAGGCAATTCCAAGCTCCGAAAACGATCGTCGCGTGTTTTATGAACATATCGGGCAAGATCGATCCACGAAGAGCTGTGTTTGAAAAAGGTGCCATCTCAAGACATCGAAACATGATCTGATGTATTCATCACCATTTTCTGCGAGATTGATGTTGATTGTCGGTGTGACGTCTGGGGATCGGATTGAGAATAGCGTGTTTGATTGCTTGTATATCTCCGGTCAATAGCCTAGTTTGAAATAGATTCATGAAAGGTACCTCGAGCACTAAATCGTTTAGACATCATAAAGCCTTAAACTCCACGAACAAATACTCAGACCACCGAAATGTCGATTACTGTTTTTGCGCTTCATATTTCTCCACCACCAGGTTGACAATGTGCGTCAAACCCTCCATCTCCTCCTCGACCTGCAAGCCTAGCGCATTGGTGTCAATACTGCATCCCACGTAGATAGGCATGCCGATACGACGGGTGATAATCTTTGCCACACGAGTTGTGTACTCGATGCTTGATGGTGAGGTGTAAATCGTCGTGGCGATAGTTGATTTGGAGGATGTGCGCTGTGTGGAGTTAGCCATGTCTGAATGTGTGTAACAAGCGAAGAAACCTGGCTAGGCCAGGCAAGGAAGACCCAAAGTGGCCTTCCATGAAGCTTGGACGGTGAGTATAGTCATATAGCACCCCATCAAATTCGATAACCATGATCATCACTTACATCAGGCATGGCGTAGACAAAGCTTCCCAGCGACTTCACCGACCCTGCCGAGTCACCGGGCGTCGAGGTTGCCAGGAACACCATCACACAGTGACCCAAGAAGCTCAAATGAATATGGCCGGTGGTGTGAAGAGCTTTGGGTAAGGGGAAGGAGAGCTGTTGCGGCTTGAAGCTGGGCAAGACCCGCTCTGTTTGGGGGATTTCCGACGCTGCCTCGGTCGCCATGGTCAGTTTTGTACACCCAAAAGGAGAGCGGCTGAAGTCGATGTGTTGAAGAAGCTGGACGGGGTGGATGTGCCGACTGCGAGAGTGCTTTGCGGTTGCCGGCAGAAGTGAAGTGAAGTCTAAATCCCCGCAGACCCACCAATGCCGCCCAGCTTTGCCCGCACACACAACGCCTGCCGAACTTCTGGGTGGTTTCCTTCCCCGTTGATGCCCACGGGTATTTCGACTTTGTCGCTATGTCGGACTCCCAGATGCCTGACGAGGACCCTGAAGAGTGGCAGGGCGACTTCGATCCCTTGGCCGATCCTGAGGAACGGCGGGTGGTGTTCGCTGCACTGGACTCATTCAGGTAAGTGTCTACAAAACAACAACACCATCTATATCTTCACCACATATAAATACTGATTACCCCCCAAGACAATATCGGCGGCATGCCCACCTCAACTCCACGCATCGCCGACGCCAGGCCTTCTACGCCTTACCCTCCGGACACTGGCAGATGCTGTCCGAGGCACCCTTTTCCATCCTGGACCACTTGAATGCTGTGGATGATGCGATCGACGTCAACGCCGACATCGCCGATGCGATCCTGGCTGTCGCGCTGGACTCTTTCCGCCTGCCTGCCAATCCCGACAAAGACGATCCGCGCCAAAACTGGCACGACACCGCCACCGCGGCGGATGTCAACAAGGCGCATTCAACAATCCGTCAATTCTACCGCGACTGGAGTGCCGAAGGCCAAGTGGAACGCGATGTCTGCTACGAACCTGTCAAGGAGTTTCTATTAAATGAGTTTGCCGCCCGGCGTGACGAGGGCGAGGAGGTGCGCGTCCTGGTTCCTGGTGCGGGATTGGGGCGGTTTGTCTTTGATTTGTGCATCGCCGGATTCCATGCGGAAGGCAATGAGATTTCCTACCACCAGCTGATGGCCAGCAGCTGGGTACTCAATCACACCGAGGGCCCGGGCAAGCATACCCTGCACCCCTTTGCGCTGCAATTCTCGAACCTCAGGTCCCGACAGCAGCAGCTCCGCAGTGTGGCCATCCCCGATAATTACCCGGCGACGGCCATTAAGCAGGTCCTCGATGAAGTGAGCCGCGATGCGGCGCTCCATGGGTCCGACTCAAAGGTGCTGATGGGATCGATGACGATGACGGCGGCAGATTTTGTGGTTTGCTACAGGAAGTCGGAATACCGGGAATTGTTCGGCGCGGTCGCGACGGTGTTCTTCATCGATACGGCGCCCAACCTGATCCGCTACATCGAGACGATCTGGCACTGCCTCGAGCCTAATGGGGTTTGGATCAATGTGGGGCCGTTGCTGTGGCACTTCGAGGGACGCCGGCACGAAAACCACCAGGATCGCACGGACGAGGCGGGCATTGGGGAACCGGGCAATGTGGAGTTGACACATGAAGAGGTTCTGGCGCTGGTGTCGCGCATGGGCTTCGTGGTGGAGGAGCAGGCGGAGGAGCGGACGTGTGGGTATATCCAGGATGAGGAGAGCATGCTGTTGAACAAGTACCGCCCGGTGCGCTGGGTGGCTCGCAAGAAGCAGTAGACAATGGATCGGACAAGCACGCGCAATGCTTGCTGCCAACACCAGCTTACATGCTTTGTCCTGAGCCAGGCGAGCCCAAAATAGCATGACAAATTGACACAGCCGAGTGAAAGCGACCCGCGTAATTTCCGCGTTGGGGGCCAAAACAGACAAAGCGCGGGTTCCATGGTTGAGTTGCTAAAGTAGGTATGCGATGTGGCAATGAATGTTTACTCGAGTTTAATTCGATCGTGCACTATGCAACTGTGTAGTGTCATATGGAGTCGCTGAAAACAAGATTGTAGATGCGATTGGAGTCTAAAGTATATCTGACCCGATTGTAAATGGAGGCTGCACTGTACCCAATACACTGTACCCAGACTAGTCCATTCTGAATAGCATCACCCCACAGCGCGTATTCTCGTCCAGGGCATGGATGATCCTCAGCCTCAGATGCCTGATGTTGGCCCCTTTCTGGCCCTCGATCGAGGCGTGCCTCGTGCTGGTGACCGCATCGGTCCCTAGCGGGCCTTTGCATCTGGCATTCTGCCGACTCTTCCACAAACTCGTATTCTCAGCCTTGTCTCCTCCCCCTCCCTCTTTCTTTCTTCCCCTTCTCCCACCCGCCGCCGCCGCACATGGACTCCATGAGCGCTAAATTCCGGTCTTTCCATCCTTTCAAGAAAGGCAATCAGAAAGAGAGACCCCAACCCGTCGCTTCGCCCGCCCCCTCTAACGGCACCGTCGCGCCCTCCAACGGTACCTCGCCCACCTCCCCCCCTCCCTCCCACCGCAGCTCCTCCACGGCCAGTCTGTCCCAACAGCCGTCGCAGCCGACACCACAGCAGCAGCTCGGTCGTCCACCTAGCTACCCCGTCCAGCAGCGCCCGCAGAGTCCCATGGTCCAGCAGGTCGTCCAGCACCCCGCCCCGCTCAACCCACCCAACATGCAGTACGCTCAGCCCGGCATCCCGCAACAAATGAACCCGCCGCCAGCCTACGGCATGCAGCAACCCCAGCAAGGCATGGGGTTGCCCATGCCCGCACCGCTCGCCTCGCAATACCGCAACCCGGCCGTCGAGGTCGAGGGCGCCAACCGGAGCAAGGCCCAGCTCATTGTCGGTATCGACTTTGGTACTACCTTCTCCGGTGTCGCGTTTGCCTTTGCGACCAACAACGAGGCGAGAGAAGACATTATCACCGAGTGGCCAGGCGCCGGCACTCACACCAAGCAGAAAGTGAGCGCATTTTCACTCGAATCAACAAAGTTTCACCCAAACTGACCACGCTTCCCAAACTAGATCCCCACCGTTCTCTACTACGACCAATACCAGAAAGTCGTCGGCTGGGGGCCGGATATCGCCGATGCCCTGGCCCCGACAGGCTACCCCAAGCCCGGCGTGCAGAAGGTGGAATGGTTTAAGCTGCAGCTGATGCTGTCCGGAAACACCTATATCGACCCGATCAACCTGCCCCCACTGCCCCCAGGCAAGTCCGAAATCGACGTGGCCGCCGACTACCTCTTCAAGTTGCGCCAGGCCATGCGCGCTCAACTGCAGAAGACGTTGGGTGAAGTGTTTACTCGTGAAGAGCGCAACATCCGTTATTACCTCACTGTTCCGGCCATTTGGAACGATGCCGGCAAGGCAGCTACCCGCGCGGCGGCCATCCAAGCTGGCTTCCTGCGCGATGAAAATGACAACCGCCTGACTCTTATTTCCGAGCCTGAGGCGGCCGCTCTCTTCTGTGCGAAGAGCGGTCTGCTCAATCTGAAGATCGGCGATGCTATCCTGATTGTCGATTGCGGTGGTGGTACTGTCGATTTGATCGCATACGAGGTCGAGGAAGAATCCCCCTTCAGTGTGATGGAGTGCACGACCGGATCGGGTGACTCGTGCGGTTCGACGGCCCTCAACCGGAATTTCAGCAACATCCTGCGCGCCAAGATTCGGAAGATGAAGCTGCCGGACGGCTCCCGAATTGCGGGCAAGGTCTACGCCAAGTGTATCATGGATTTTGAGAACCGCATCAAGGCAGACTTCCGCAACAATGGCCAAAAATGGGCCGTGGATGTCGGTATTGAGGCCGACTTCCCCGATGCAGGTATTGAGGAGGGTTATATGATGTTCACCAATGAGGAGATCTTGCAGTGCTTCGAGCCTGTAGTGAACCGGATTCTCGAGTTGGTGCGCAATCAGATCATTGCCATCCAGGCCCAGAACCGGGTGCTGCAGAACGTCCTGGTTGTGGGTGGATTCGGTGCCTCGGAGTATCTCTTCCAGCAGATCAAGCTGCACGTCCCGCCACAATACAACACCAAGGTGGTCCGCCCCATGGACTCGGTGGCTGCCATTGTCAAGGGTGCTGTAACCGCCGGAATCACCGAGCGAGTCATCACCCACCGTGTTGCCCGTCGACACTACCTCATGGCCACCCTGCAGCCATTCAAGGAGGGATACCATCCTGAGCAGTATCGCGTGCCTAGCTTGGATGGCCGCGATCGCTGCAAGTACACTCGCCAGATCTTCGTCCAGAAGGGTGAGCGTGTCAAGATTGGCGAGCCTGTCAAGGTCAGCTTCTTCCGTCAGGTGGCACCGGGTGCTACCCTTATGTATGAGGATGTGCTATACGCTTGCGATGAGGACGTTTGCCCCGAGTATACTAAAGATCCTCGTAAGTCTTCCTCGAATGAGCTTTAAATTTTGCTGCATGTATTAACAACCAATACAGGCATCAAGGAGGTCGTCACGCTCACTTCGGATTTGTCCCGCAAAAACCTCGAGACCGACTTTGAACGCATGGATACACCCCAGGGTATCTTCTACCGGGTGTACTTCGACATCTACCTGACCCTGGACGGTAGTGAGTTCAGCGCCGAGCTGGTTTGCCAGAATGAAATCATGGGCCGCTGCCGCGCCAAGTTCCGGTAAACGCCTCGCCACAACCAATCTGAAACTACCCCCATCCAAACAAAAACCCCTCCCAAAATACGATAAAAGATGCTGGACCATTCCCCAGACGAGAGCCGTATATACTGGTGCAAAAGCAGTACCGGAGCGGGAGCCATGATGCAAATGGCCATGCCTCATATTTGATTTTTTACTTTTCTTTCGGGATGCTCTTCCCCTCCCTTCGCGTTACTGGGCAGCAGCACTGCAATGGAGAATCGGCGTTGCTCTGATGACTCGTGTTGCCATCTTTCCTTTTCCTACATATATGCCGCAGCGTTGGATTTGTGATATCTTTGGTGGATTGCCCTTTTCATTTTCTTGGTCTTCTTAGATACCTCTATTTTATTTGATTGAATGAATTATGATGTGGTTGATAACCTGTTCTTAGTGGAGTAATTGATTGTTCAATCTTATGTATGTTAAACTGATCGCATGAGTGAAGGCACCTCGCGAAACGACAACATCGATGCTTCCAAGCATCCCAACAGAAAAGACATGCAATGTGAAGCATCACATTCGACCACGCTTACACTCCGAACAGTAACCCAGAAACAGCCAAACCAACCACCACAACCCCAACTTTCCAACCCCCACGACCAACCTCCACCGAAACACCCGCATCAGTAACAGAACTCGGCACCGAAGTCGAAGACGTCTTAGTCGCAGAGGTAGCAGTAGGATACTCAGTAGCCGTAGCACTCGCATCCGTCGACCCAAAACACCAGACATCCTCCCACTCAACACCCGCATCATAGAGACAATTCGTGAGCTTCTGGACAGTCTGGTTGATGGCCGGTGTGTAGAGGGCGCAGTTGTGGTTGTAGGATTGGACGCTGGCGGGTCTGGCGCAGGTTTCAATCAGCGGCTTGTATCTTGGTGTGTTGGGGATGCCGCAGGCTGCGTCTTTGATGGGGAGTTCATATTGGGCTGAGCCGCCGCAGTGGGAGATAGATGTGGTTGTTGAGTGGGTGGCATTTGTTGTTGTTGTGGTGCTGGTCAAGGTGCTGGTGCTTGTGATGGCTGTTGCGTTGGACATGTTGGGGGACAACGCCGTGAAGAGGGAATATGAATGAGGGTTTGTAGTGGAGGGGTTCTGGGAGAATGTCGATCAATGGAAGTGATGGGTGTTGCACGGTAATAAAGAGTATTGGGATAGGGACCGGTCGCAGAAAGATATGGTCAGTTGTGCGTTTGTTGGATGGAGACAGCTAGTTTTGAACTGGCACGTATATTGAGAATCCTGCTGGTCCAGCCGGAGCAGAGAAATGATATTGGAACAAGGAACCACAAACAAGGAACCACCACCAAACTTGCACGGCATTTCTGCCTATTGTTGTACGATCCAGGCTTGGCCAAGCTGCTAATATTTTGTGTCATTTTAGGATTTCATTCCGTGGAATACATATCTTATTTTAGGGTTCGTGTCATGATAAACAAAGACCTTGGATCTTGTCTAGGTCTCCAAGTTAATGCTACGTCCGAAGCGAGCGTACAAAGCAACCTTCAGCTGTTGCAATTCCTCGCGCAGCTCATCAAGCGACTCCTCCAGCTTCGACACGTCCGCGTCGATCTGCTCTGTGGATGTGGAGAGCATAGACTGGGCATCTGAGAGGGGAAGTTGGAAGAAGGAGTCACCAATTTTGTAGCTAGTGATGTTAGTCTAGTTCTGCTTTTTGCGCTGTATCTCCCCTGAGGAACTTTGAGGAAGTGGGGGGAGAGATAGGTAAGACTTACGGAACGAGGTCATCCTCATCGGCAAGTTCGAGTTCCATGGAGACTTCCTCCAGGTCTTCTTTGTCTTTCTATATTGGTATTAGCATGAGGCCCCGATTCGAACATTGCATGCCATGAATTGCTGATGGCGGGGCATTCATATTCATACCTGCTTGGCCTTGAGCTGGTCCTCCAGTGTGGATTGGCGCTGGTGTAGTCGGCTGAACCGATTGATCTTCTCCTGGTCCTCGCGACGGACCTCATTCTCCTCGTTACCGCCGACGCCCTCCTCCTCCTTCGAGAGCTGCGCGGTGTCAGTATCAGTGCTAATGCGTTCCCCTGGCCGATGCGGGGGTTTGTGTCATTGGGCTTCGGCTGGGGGGTTCAATCGGGGGGCAGAATGGCCTACCATGCGTGGTTGCATCATGATTGGATGTAAGGAGTGACTGTGCAGAAAGCGACTGGCTGGAGAAAGTCGTCCGCGTTGGATGGCATTCGGGTTTGATGTGCGGGTGGCCCGTGCGTGGGCGGAGGGGTTTAGTATCCAAGCAGGTACGAAGTATAGCCAGAGAGAGCAGCACGAAGGACATTCAGCAGAAACTAGACAATCCAAAAAAAAAAAAAAAAAAGGTGTGGAATAATTTCAGAGACTTCGATTAGTTTGATGTCTCGATTTAAATATATTGGTAGCTCCTAGGGAGCTTCTAGTCGAGTAATTGCTGGTCCTCACAGCCATACACAAGCTTCTGGAGTCATTCTTGTCTCTTTGTTTTATCGAAAATAATGCAAATAATTTATCTCAGATAAAAGTTGTTCTGAAATATCTCTGGCGTGTTGTCTACCCTAGCAATGTGGTCACACGTCAGGCGAAACAATGCTACTGTCTTGGTCGAGTGACATCATCCCAGCCTGACTTAAGCCAGCAAACAGAGGCAGCTAGCTGCGGTCATCAGACAATCCCTACCATCACGTTTCCAGCGTATCCTACGTGATAAAAGTGTTCAGGCATCTCTCTTACCCCAGGGTACCCCACAGTCGATCGCAACCTTCGTGGACGCATCGGCGCTGTCTGCAGGGGCCGCATCGGAGAAACGAAACACCTCCGCCGCCGCAAACCCGTCATCGTCACCTCGCTACGGCCTCGCCCTCCTCGCCAACCGCAAGCGCAGCCACCGTTGGGCCCAGCACCAACGCTCTTGTCATTGGAACGACCATTTAACCCTCGGTGACTGCACTGTCCACGTGGCATTCGCGGAATTCTTCAGCTCCTGCTTTCGTCCGCGTCGCGGCTCCGCCAGCTCCTCCTTCGACGCCTTGCGCCTCCTCTACCTCTCCCACTTGTTATAGAACCACCGTCATGCGAATACAATCAACTGGAACATTGCTCCTGCTGTCCGCCCTAGGCGCCAGCTTGACGACCGCGATGAGCTTTGACTGCGCCCACATCAAGGTCAACGATTACAAATACGATTTCAGCCCGTTGGGCGGCGTGCACGAGATCTACCACGTCAACAAAACAGAGGAATATGTGACGAATACAACCTACGTCCTGGACATCTGCCACTCGCTGGGTAAAGCATCGAAACGCCCGGATGGAGCCGGCAGCTGTGAGCACTCCAAGAACAGTACGTCCACCACCTACTCCCACGTAAAGATCATTTGGTCCTGGGCATCCGGAATGGCTACTAACCCCTCGCCCCTGAATGCAGTCTGTGGATTCGAGGACCTCACTCCCAGCGATGGAAATGGCGACCAGAAATTCGGCTTCCCGATCGCCGGCCTCGATCCGATGGGCGGCGGCTCCAAGGAGCCCAAGTTCACACGACTCAGCGAGATCGACTCGAACACCCAGGGTCTGCGTCTTCAGATCGCCGGTGGGTCATGGAAAGGCGAATACAATAACAAGAAGGCCAAGGATGCGGCTGCCTTGATTGATTTCAAGTGTGACCCGGACCGGTCTGGACTGGAGGGAATTAGCACCAAGGAGTCGGTTCCAGAGGATGAGGAGAACAAGAAGCAACGCCGCGCGGACGGGGACGAGGAGGAAATGCCTTCGAACCAAAGCCTCCAGTTCAAGAGCTTTGCTCCCAACGACGACGGCGTCTACGTTCTCAAGCTGGAATGGCAAACGCGTTACGCCTGTGATAATTACCAGGATGGCAACGACGCCAGCTCGAACCATTGGGGCTTCTTCACCTGGTTGATCATCATGTGAGTTGACTCTCGATTTAGCTGCCCAATCAAGGAGCTAATACTAACCACCTCCTTCCCCTAGTCTCTTCCTCTGCATCGCAGCCTACCTCATCTTCGGCTCATGGCTGAACTACAACCGCTACGGCGCCCGCGGCTGGGATCTCCTCCCGCACGGCGACGCCATCCGCGACATTCCCTATCTCCTGCAGGACTGGTTCCGTCGGGTCGTCAACACCCTCCAGGGAACCGGGTCGAGAGGCGGATACAGTGCGGTGTAGAATGCATGCGTGCGATAATCTGGCATTGTATTTTGAAATAATTTCCCGTTTTCATTTTTGTCCAGGATTTATGAGATCAGGAGTGTTGCTTGCGGGATTCGGGTTTAGCAGACTAGGCGCTAGATTTGTTATGGCAGCGAATGTGATTATACATGGACACCATACCCGGATACTATCATCCGGCAGAAGCTAACCTGTGAGCCTCCAGAGCCTGAATACTAGCAGAATGTACGTTCCCCAAACGGCAAGGTAATCCGATTCCACCCGGCCACAACACATTACAGTAATCACCGAAAATATTATCCGCTCGAAGAACAGGAATAGTCAATCAGACACTCTTTGACCACGGGCCCGTGTGAACCGTTCCAAGGCCGTCCCTGCTCGAGCAACAGCTTCTACTGGGGGAGGATGAGTCTCCGCACCCCGGAAATCTCGCCATCGGGCTGGAGTGCAGTAGTGCAGGACCGATGCGACCATATCTCAGAGATCGGATGATTATTTCAGTAACACATCTTACGTGATTGTCATGGCCAGTAGATACCTGGGGTATCTAGGTGGAGCGGGTGCAAGCAATTTCAAAGCAATCAAGTTCAATCTGGTAATTGGGCATAATGGTATACTTGGATCGTAAGGAGTTCGACAGCAATAGTAATGACAAGAGCAATAGCAATAATAGCAGTAAGGAACAGTCGGTGAGGCATGAAACACGGCGCAGTGATGCGATCGACTGGGGCGCGGTGGAGATGGCGCCATCGGGACTAAATCGTCCTCATCAAACAAAATGGGGGAATCGCTGCATTGAACAGAAAATAACGGGGCATTCCTCCTCTCTCTTCTCCTGTCTTCTCTTCTCTCTTCTTTCCTCCTCTTTCTGTGCCTTCGGTGCGGTATACCCGGTATAATGTATACTGGTATACTCCACACTCAACATGAAGACAATGAGCATCTCGACCTCTACCTGACAGCATTAGACCTTCACGGCAAACTGCTTCAGGTACAGGTAGTCGCCCATGTTGGCGTCGACGGTCTGGCGGATGAGAGCGGCCGCCTCGTCTCCATACTTCTTGCGCCATTCGGCGTCGAACTGCTCCTCGGACTTGGGGGCATGTTTCTGTAAGATATCAGTATCATCCTCTTCTAATACCTCTTCTCTGTTTCGACTCATTGAGCTTACATGTGTTCTCGCTACCAGGCTATTCGACTCGATAGCGTCATTGTGGAAACCTCGCCACTTCTCAAACGCATCGCACGCAACCTTATAGTCCTCGGGCGTATCCCAGACCAGCATGTCGGGGGTATACGGCAGGCCCACGCTATTACAGAAAGCCTCGATGGTCGCTGCGGGGGCATCCAGCATGTCATCCGCATCGATCACACAGATCTCGTCGGTGGTCTCCTTCACCTTCGATTCATCCTCGAGCTTAAGGTCCGGACGAGTCGCCACGCGAGGACCAATCAGTCCCTCCCGACGAAGATAATCGAAGTGCCGACGCAGCTCGTCATATCCGGCCTCGAGGGGATCATAGTTATAGAAGCCCGTCACCTGGTCCAGCGGGGGGATGGTGCAGCGGAAGTACGAAGGCACACTGAAGTGCGGGTCGCGGATGAGGAAGGCCCAGTGGAATTGCTCCTGCAGGGCCCGCGGCATCACCGTCGGGTTACCCGGCTCGGAGGGTGTGTTGTACGGGTATGGCCGTGCAGACTCGCCATTGGAGGTGCCGTTGACGTGTCCGTTGGCGTGCCCGTTAGTGGCGGAGCCGTTGGTGGCAGAGCCGTTGGTGGCAGAGCCGTTGGTGTCGTGGAGCTCGACGCCGTTAGCCGTGTCGTTGCTCACCGTGCCATTGGTGCCGTTGGTGACACCATTCGTTGGCTCGGTGTGCCCGTTGGCGTGGGCGTGTCCGTTGACATCGCCATTCACGCCGTTGGCGAGGGTCTCGCCATTGGTGCTGGCGCTGGTGCCGACACCGCGCTTGATGCGTCGCAGAGAGGGAGCGACGCTGGCGGGTAGGTCATTTGGCGGGAGAAGGTAGTGGTCGATATCTTTGATGAAGATTCTCTTTCCCTATAAAGAAGGTAAGTATTTCCCTCGAGGATGACAATATTCGACGTATGACGGATGCAAGACCCTTTCAACCCCCGGTCTTTCTAAGTGTGACAACAGAGGCAGGAAGGGGGTCACGACGGCTCGAAAGCATCATCGTGGAAAAAAACGAGAGAGGGGGGATCTTTCCCTAGTCGATCCTCGCGGAGACATGGGAGCATTTTGCGGCAAGGGAAACGATTTGGGGGGCGGTTTCGCAGGAAGAAGGGTCGGACCTGTGATGCTTCTCTTTCAATTCTTTCCAACACGGTGGAATACGTGGATTTGCTGAAGCCGCTCTCCACACGTGCCTGTTCGTCGTCTTCGAAACGGTCTGAGAGACGCTCCGGACCGTAGTAGAAGGCATCGCCGAACGGCTCGTGTATGCACTGGATAGTGTCCCGTTGAGTCATGAAGACCTAGTGAGGGTCAGCAATCATTCAGTCGACCATTGTAGAATCCAATTGTAGAATCCAATTCTTAGGCAAATTTCATAGAAGAATGGAATTTCTATTCTTGGATTTTTGGAAATCTCTGCTGATCAACTTACTCGCTCGAATGCCGTTGAACAGGCACGCGGATGCGTCGCCACGAAGATCGGCTTGGTCGACATGATGAGTGAGTACAGAGTGACAGAGGATTCAGATCAGGGCGAAAGACAATCGGAGATAAACTCGTGGAGTGAACCGAGCAATAGAGAGGAAGGGAATAGCAAGCACGGCCGTTGAGAGGTTGGCCCTAAAAAGGCACAGGGTTGATCGGCCGCTGGGATAGTCGCGACAGACAGAACCCGGGCAGCGTCCGAAATGCGTCCAGCAAATACGAAGACGTGCAGATGAGCTCACTGGAGGGTGTGATGGCGTGAGATAGGATCCGCTGGGAGGCGAGTAGACTTTATAGTGACATATGCAGGTCGTTGACCTTTTACGGTCCTAGGACAGCTGAGTCTAGCGCGGTTTAGGGGAGAAAATGAACCCACTCCTAATGGATTTAAGTAACCTGAACATGGAAAAACTCAGAAGGGAGCGAGTCGGGCCACTCAAACCGGGTTTTCCCTGCAAGAGCCTCGGGTGAGAGGTCTTGGGGACCAGAGTTGGCTCTCATTGCCCGTGGGAACGATGGACACGCTGCCCGCAGCTCTACGCCTATCATGCCAACTCTCTAAGCACCACGCCCAAATAACGTACACCTAAAGAGGGGAAGCAATCATCAGATTAGGATCTACAGCTGTACCTTGTCCCGCGACAGGCACCGTCGTGTCTTGCCGCAGCGTAGAGAAGCCGAGAAATCTCGAATATGCCGCATAAAACCCTCGCTAAGTACATTTTACCCAGGGTCAACAGTGTACACCCGGTATAGCTTCTACGGATTCTACAGACTGGGGGTCTGCTAGGCAATCAGCGTCAAGGCAATCTTCGCCCCCTCTCTCCGCTGGCCCCGCCGCTGGAACCTTCCGCTTCTATTTTTTGCGCCATAACCGCGCCGTCTCATGCCCCGGTGGCCCCGACGAAACCTTGGACCGGCCCATGACCTCCAATTAGCGCTCCAGCGATGCGCAGTGGGTTGTATCGATCTCCGTGTCTGGATGCGCCGACGCGGTTTCTGGTGGGCACTGCGCTCCCCACGGATGTCCACGATGTCTCCACGATGTCTAGGCTCCACGGTCGCCTACCCAGCTTGGGATATCCCAGGGCTTTAGCTCGAGTTTAGGCCATCCGGTGAATTCCCGCCATCGCTCAGCTTGCCCGTACCAGGAGCAAAGTGGATAACCGAGAGAAATTCGAGCTGCAGCGGGAATTTTTTCTTTTTCGTTGGTGTTGGCGTGTGAGGGGTTCGGGGTGCTTTTACCTTCCTCCCAACCTTGAATTAATTTCTTTGTTGCGACGGACGCAGCATCGCAAAAGTCAATGTCTGACGTCAAGATACGATTCACTCCAGGCATTTCACCATTTTGCTGGTTGGCCGGTCGCGCCTGACGTCATGACAAGATCATCAGATAGTACCTGGAACCTTCAGTTTTGTCGGGTATCGTAGCAGGATGAAAGTTCTGCGGGTAGACGTAGTCAGCCGGCTGGAAGGACGGATATCAGTCTCAGACGAGGTCGACCCCCGCCTGTTCCTCGATAACCAGCGATCTGGAACCGGGTCAATTCTCCCTCGCGGAGAGGGGTTGTCCCTAGGCTGGCGTCAGCGGCACTGCATCTCGGTCAAATCAAAACTCTCACCACGGCTTCCTTGGATCGGACGTCGTGGATGGACACGAGGCCCTGTCCCGAGGCACACCCGCACACTGTACTTCCCCCAATGGAAGCACTTGCAGGCATCAGTCTTGGGGTCTGGTTGCAATCAGCATCGCGGGGGTCTGGCTCACTCTCAGAAAGAAAGTTTACCGTCGATGCTGCATATGCTGACTCAGTTGACACCTCAACCGTGCGGCAGCGATCAGGCAGGAACTTTGTTGCCGTGACAGACAGACAGGTATTAAGTGCCTGAGGTGTCGAGGTGTCGTATTGAGGCATCAGCATCGACTGATCTGAAAGATCATGTGACGTCGCCTGATCGCGAAATCACCTGATCCTTCACGCGTCTTCTGGAAGGCGGTGGAAGCAGCCCGTGGCGTCATGACGGTGGCAGGTGCTTCAAGGCAGGTGGGCTGCCCAAGTATATAGGCACTTGCATCATCGGCGCTGCATACGTTTCAGCATTTCTTTCTCGGACTTTCTTTCAGAACGCTCTCTCAACACAAACACCTTATACCTGTTCCGCGACCTCCACCCACTTCACTGATATCCCCTCCCATCCATCCCGTTCAACATGAACGGCGCTCAATTCACAGATCGGGCCAACAAGGCCTTGCTGGACTCCAGCGCCTTGGCCGAGCAATATGCTCACTCCCAAATCTTACCTCTCCACTTGGCTGTGTCACTTCTCAACCCATCTCCCGATGAGTCGGAGGACCAGCAACCCGTCGGCCACTCGTCACACGATGCCGCCTCGACCCCACTCTTCCGTCAGGTCGTCGAACGGGCGCACGGCGACCCTCAGCTGCTCGATCGGGCACTCATGAAGTTGTTGGTCCGGCTGCCCAGTCAAGACCCCCACCCGAGACCGTCAGCGTCTCTCCCGCTCTCGCCAAGGTCATTCGGAAGGCGACCGAGCTGTCAAAGACACAGAAGGACAGCTTTGTCGCTATTGACCATTTGATCCAGACTGTCGCACAGGACTCCCAGGTCGAACGCGCCTTGCGAGACTCGAACATTCCCAACCTCAAACTGATCGACAATGCGATCCAGCAAATTCGTGGCTCGCGTCGCGTCGATTCCAAGACTGCCGACTCCGAGAGCGAAAATGAAAACCTCAAGAAATTTACCATCGACATGACCGCTCTCGCCCGCGAGGGTAAGATCGATCCTGTTATCGGACGTGAGGAGGAGATCCGCCGAGTCATCCGAATCCTCAGTCGACGCACCAAGAACAACCCCGTCCTGATCGGAGAACCCGGTGTTGGTAAGACCACCATTGTGGAGGGCCTGGCGCGACGGATTGTCAACGCCGATATCCCTGCCAACCTGGCTAACTGCCGTCTCCTCTCCCTCGACGTCGGATCTCTGGTCGCCGGCAGCAAATACCGTGGTGAATTCGAGGAGCGCATGAAGGGCGTCCTCAAAGAAATTGAAGACTCCAAGGACACCATCGTCCTCTTCGTCGACGAGATCCATCTCCTTATGGGTGCTGGATCCAGCGGCGAGGGCGGCATGGATGCTGCCAACCTTCTCAAGCCCATGCTGGCTAGAGGCCAACTTCACTGTATCGGTGCGACCACCCTGAGCGAGTACCGCAAGTACATTGAGAAAGACCAGGCCTTTGAGCGACGATTCCAGCAGGTCCTCGTCAAGGAGCCCTCTGTCTCTGAAACAATCTCCATTCTCCGTGGACTCAAGGAGAAGTACGAGGTCCACCACGGTGTCAACATCCTCGACGGCGCCATTGTCACTGCGGCCACCCTCGCTTCCCGCTATCTGACAGCTCGCCGTCTTCCCGACTCTGCTGTTGACCTGATCGATGAGGCCGCCGCGGCTGTCCGAGTGACGCGCGAATCCGAACCCGAAGCTTTGGATACCCTCGAGCGTAGGCTCCGCCAACTTCAGATTGAAATTCATGCCTTGGAGCGTGAGCAGGATGAGGCCGCCAAGGCCCGTCTTGAGACCGCTAAACAAGAAGCTGCCAACGTCACCGAGGAACTGCGACCCATGCGCGAGAAGTATGAAAGCGAGAAGAAGCGCAGCAAGGAAGTGCAAGATGCCAAGATCAAGCTCGACTCCCTCAAGGTCAAACGTGATGAGGCTGAGCGCTCCGGCGACACTGTGACTGCCGCTGATCTCGAATACTACGCCATTCCCGAAACCAAGCAGCTGATCGAACGCCTCGAGGCTGATCGAGCCCGAGCTGATGCTGAGCGACGGGCTACTGCTGGCGAGGCTGGTGAGGCTCTGCTCGCCGATGCTGTTGGCCCGGATCAGATCAACGAGATTGTTGGTCGCTGGACTGGCATCCCGGTTACTCGATTGAAGACTACGGAGAAGGACAAGTTGCTGAACATGGAGAAGTCTTTGGGCAAGGTTGTCATCGGACAGAAGGAGGCTGTTGTCTCCGTCTCCAATGCTATCCGACTGCAACGCTCCGGTCTGAGCAACCCGAACTCACCTCCAAGCTTCCTCTTCTGCGGTCCATCGGGTACCGGTAAGACCCTGCTTACCAAGGCTCTTGCTGAGTTCCTCTTCGACGACCCCAAGGCCATGATCCGATTCGACATGTCCGAGTACCAGGAGCGTCACTCGCTGAGCCGGATGATCGGTGCTCCTCCTGGCTACGTTGGTCACGACGCCGGTGGTCAACTGACGGAGAGCTTGCGCCGCCGCCCCTTCTCCATCCTGCTCTTCGACGAGGTCGAGAAGGCCGCCAAGGAAGTCCTCACCGTTCTCCTGCAACTCATGGACGACGGTCGCATCACCGACGGCCAAGGCCGCATTGTTGACGCGAAGAACTGCATTGTCGTCATGACCTCCAACCTAGGTGCCGAATTCCTGGCCCGTCCCACTACCAAGGACGGCCAAATCGACCAGCAAACCCGCGAAATGGTTCTGGGTGCTCTCCGCGACTACTTCCTCCCGGAGTTCCTCAACCGTATCTCCAGCACGGTCATCTTCAACCGTCTTACGAGAAGAGAGATCCGCAAGATCGTCGATCTCCGTCTTGCCGAGGTCCAGAAGCGTCTCGAGGGCAACGGCCGCAACGTCCACATCCAATGCACCGAAGAAGTCAAGGATTACCTCGGTGCGGCTGGATATTCTCCCGCCTATGGTGCCCGTCCCTTGCAGCGTCTCATCGAACGCGAGGTCCTCAACCGCCTGGCCGTGCTTATCCTCCGCGGCAGTATCAAGGATGGCGAGGCTGCCCGCGTTGTCCTCCGCAATGGCCGTAGTATCGATGTATTGCCTAATCACGACTCGGTAACTGACAGCGATGGGGACGAGTCCATGACTGACGATGATGAATCTTTGGCTAACATTGAAGACGGTAGTGGTGGTGACATGGATCTTTACGAGGAGTAAAGATTTGCCACCGGGATTTTAGTTTGATTGATTGACCATTTGCATCGAGCGATTCCAGAAAAGTTAAGCACATGATGACGAGTATGATTTGTGAATATTTTTCTTTCTTAAGTTTGTTTTCCGCATGGCACTGGGCATGATGTTCTCTTAAGTTTATTTTTATTTCCTTTGTCTTGCTCATACGAGGCTGGCTCATCTAATCTATTTACTACAAGATAGCCCTGCATGATAGCAATATCACCTACACTACCCTAAGGTACCCTCGTAGGTAGTGAGTGTACTTATGAACACAACTTCACGTTTGCACAATCGTAGATTTCATCGTAGTTCTCGTCCTGCCCCAAGCACCTGTGAGGTGGGTATTTAATATCGCTTTCGAAGCTACTATTATCTGCTAAAGCAATCAATATGGACACACCTCTCAACATCGAACAAACACCACAGAGCTCGATCTACCAATCCGCCGGTAAGTCGATCGATCGGTGACTAGCCTTGCCCACTGAACCTCGGGTTGATTTTCCTAGTGGCCGAATCCCATATGTTTTTTTTTTATCAAAAGGCATGGGTCCTCTAGTGGGCCCGAGGACTCCGAGGCTGATGGCTCGCAGTTCCCCCACCCGTATCCGTTACACCTGGGCACTGCAGTCTCGCGGGGGTCTCAGTAAATGAATGCTAAGAGGTTGCCCCACGCTCTCGTGAGTACCTCTAGACGGCGAATTGCCAAAAGCGTACTCTATGAAGGAGCGGCAAAAAAGACAGATGTGATTTGAACGATATTCTCCACCAACATGTTACCTTTCTTTCGCAATGCAGCTCACGCTGGGTCCTGGTCATGTACACGAGGGAATTTATTGATCACTCGCATAATACTGAAAGTAGCTCGGTGCCCGCAGGAAGCATCTCATGCTGGCCGCCCACGTTCATTACCAGCCCCGCACCATATTCAGTTTTCATTGCTTTTTCTCTTATCTCCGTGCCGACTGTGGCCGCCAATTCATTCATTGAGCATCGTTAAGCAATATAAAATTAGGGAGACATACTAGATGGACATCAGGCGATTCAGAGTTCAGAAATTGCTAGTAGAATCATATTGGCGACCGATCTCCCTCGCACGGGTCAGCCACATCCACGCCTCCAGTGGTCAGTCCTATACGCCGAGGCTGTGTCAACCAGATATGTGAGTCGTAAATTTGCTGGCCATTTACCCCAGAAAGCTTCAGTATTAGAGTACTAAGCGATTCATCCGAAGGTAAACGAAGAGAGTGCCTAATTACGGAATACTAGGTACCTTAAGTCGTGAACATTCACCGACTCTAGATATAAAGCTGCTTTGACATCGTCTTCGGTTCTCGAAGACTTTTTTGTGCCTGATGGCTTGCGCTCATTACATCACTTATTTTGCTCACTTTGCATCTCGCAGGTGCATAACTACCTACCTTCCACTGTCCGGACCCTCGGGCTTTGTGAAAAAACAATGTAGAGCAATCAGAGGCTCATCACTTCTCTTTTCCGAGAGAACAAATGGTATGCAAGTCAGAGCTTTGTACAGTACCTCAGCTCTTAGCTGGCCTAGGAGGCGGGATACGATACCCAGGTGCACGCCAACTACCGCGTCGAGATAGACGATACGCGGCATTGGAATAGGAACAGATCCGCATGAACCTATACTAAGCTAGCTCAAGCTATGGGGTGGCCTGTACATGATTTAGCGTGGTAGAGGACTGGCGCCACCCTGTAAAGACAAGCATTACCAGGGGCAGCCTTAGTAGCAATAGACGCCTCTGCACAGTACAACCACAGGCAGGTAACCTTGGAAGTCCGAGCGGAAGTTACTGAGACCAACGAGGCCATGGTTACACAGAACATGAGACCAACGTTGAAATCCCCGCGATGCAAGATATACCTACACGTTGTGCTTCAGGTTGCACAGCTCCGTCCCTGGCGCCACTGCTTCAGATGCACAGAAGATAGTCCTGAGATGTATCAGTTTTTACCAGGGCTCAGACTTGTAAATCGTCAAGTGGAAGAGAACATCAGAACTCATTGACCAACCATGCACTTTTGTATGATGGCACAGCAGCATTGCATTCGATAGTAACGCTGCATGGTAGCAAAAATGTAACCATTTATCTTGCACATCAAGGCACAAGTTTTACAATGAAAATAATTCGACCACGGACAGCTTCGTTCCAGCTCGAAGCTTCTCCCTTGGGACCTCTATGGCCGAGTAAATTTAGCGGCGCAATGGAAGAGGCAAAAGACATAGATAGAACTGCCCCAGCACAGAAATTGAAGAGCATCCAACAGAGTGGTCAACAGATCACTTGCCCTCTTGATACCATTTTCAATCTATTTTCTCGCTGATACTTTTGGGCTCGATCCAACATGCTTTACATTGCTCGGGGTAATGAGCTCCCCGAGATTGCCGTCCGAGGCGGTCTTGTTGATCCTCGGGCTGACCACCAGCGCTCCTTAATGCGCGTGTTGCCGATGCCGTCGACTGCGCCGTTGGATTGCTGGCTGACGCTGCCATTCTCTTGGAAGCCCGTGATAAGGTGATCACAACCGGCAAGAACGAAGTCCTTGACTTTGGTGAGGTGCACAAGGTGGACGTGCCTACCTAGCCTGTTGCCCGCAAGCTCTTGGCTCCCAAGCTGAGCGGCGTGGCCGACTCGCCTGACAAGGCCACTGATGATTTTTTCGCCACCGAGTCGTGTGAAGAGCCTCTGATCAACTCGAGCATCTTCGCCATGTCGATGGGCTACAACCGTGGTAGACATTATGGTGGATCGATCTCTGGTCTTTGGGCTATCATGAAATCAGCCTTTATCTTCGGCTACTCCATTGGTACTGATACCTCTGCGATGTCTGACCGTCTGTCGTTTGTCTTTGCTGAAGTGACTGCCTCTGCTGAGGCCTCGGCCTCTGCCGGTCCCCATATCGATGAGATTCGCATTGTCAAGGGCTGCAATTACGGCTGTCTCCGCCAGAAGACCATCATTGAAGATAATGATCCGGTGGATTCCAGTCCGTGCATGGTTGTCGGGAACGATCTCGACCGATTTGCCGCTACAAGCTGGCCGACGCCTTCTTCTGCCACGTCTACTACAACCCTGGTGGTGGTGAGCAGATGGCCGCCATTGCCGGTCTTGACTGTGTCTGCCACGACTGGGTTTATCTTGGTCCTGATGTGGTGTGCGGTGAAGTGAGTAACATCATTCTCTCGCTGGCCCGCGGCTCTCTGGAGGACCCTGGCCGAGTTGTACGCGCGTATGATCGGTTCTATGATGTGGTATCGCAACAACGACGCCTACAACCCCGCTGCTCTCTGCCTTCTCAACACCCACTGGTGGCAGCTCGCCAACTGCCGCCACAGACCCGTCACTCTGCTGGGCCGAACCGACCACGGCGTGGCTGCGGCTATTGCCCCCATTATACTGGAAGGCCGACCTGAGCTGGAGCACTTCCGTGCCAGTGGCACTCGCGTCGAGCATAGTGAGGATCCCTTCTCTAGCGCCGAGAACCGTCTCAAGGATTTACTTGCCTCAAAGTACCTGCCGGAAACTCGATCCGTCGTCGGAGCACCTGGTCAACCCGGTTATCGCCTACTGCGGGGAGGTGACAGCCTGCCCTCGAAGAGCAAGTACGTCGGCAACGTCCTCACTGCTCAGTTGGCCTACCCTCAGGGTTAGAAGATATTGGAGCTGTGGGTTCTGACTATCGTGATGTGAGAGTGCGGTGCCATGTGGTCGCCTGGTGTGGCTGGTCTTTGCTACATCCACACCGGAAAAACAAACTGTGACCGCGCTCGTCACGATCTGGCAAACCACACCTGGAGTTAATCGTGCAGACTGGCTCTGGCATGCTTGATGACTGAGTGGATTTCAATCATTGTGCATTGATGATGGCGAGTGGTTTGCGAGCCAGTTTTCCTTCTTTTTATATATTATGAGACCATGTGTCAGAGGGGAAATATACATACACTAAATCCCTGGGAATAACCCACGACCGCTCTTTACGTGATAATGAAACCACGATTAAAGATACAATACTTTCACTGAGACTTTCAAGAAAATGAAAAATCGAGTTTCCCAGGCAAAGACGCGAGGCCCCTTCCCCACCTATTCAGCAACACATCGGGCATGTCCTCGTGATTTCGCCTTGCCCCCCTCAGTGGTGATCATGCATTTTTAGTGAAATGGACTACCATTACATTCGTGAATCTATGTCCGGTCGTCAGTTTTACATTGAAGGATGAATTAAAGTGTCAGATATCACACGATGTATCACATCCAGTAGCCCCTACCGATCCATAGTTCATCGGAATCTCCCAGCAGTTTGGTCGCACCCACCACACGCTCGGGTAGACACAAGGGGTTCCCAGTCTTGGGCGCAGACCAGGGTCGTTGCTGCGCCATCGGACAAATCAGGCATGCCAACGTTTCCTTATAAGCGCTAGCGATGCATCATGCCGCCCTAATTCAGACATGAACTCGATTCAAAGCGAGATAATCGATCTCGGGCGCCATAACATGTCATCGTCTACGGCTGGAATGCATGAGAATGACCCGGGTAAATTTTTTCTGAATGTCTTTGGTAGCGAATAGTCTTGGATGGTCTTCACCGATCTATCTGATAACCCTTGCTATCCTTCACACCATCAGTGAAATTTTTTTGAATCGCTCCCTGTCTCTGACCACCCCAAGGCTTTACCGACATTTTAATCGTGGAGGGGAGGTGTATGGCGTCTTTTTTTTGAGGACTTTGGGCCCCAGTAATACGTAGCGGTGAATGTGTCTTAAAAAAATGTATAAATTTGTCGAAAAATCTCTTGTTCTCCGTATGAGCTATCACGCGCTTCTTTTGGTTTTGAACACTCCTCATTTAAACACCATCGTTGTTGTCAGCACTACGCCAGAGGAAAAGGCCTGATTTCATCATGAGCGAACTACCGGGGACTGCTTCGATAGTCCAGAGGCACGTCAACCCAGAAGTTGAGAAAGAGTTCTGTTTCCAAACGATCTATGGAGTAGCAGAGCACATATGTCACCAGCTTCTTCTCAGCAGTGATATACCACATTTCATCGAAAGCCCAGCCCATGATCGCCACAGTCTCCATAAATTACCCAAGAATTGCCACGGCACTGGCAGCATCTTGCAATACCCGACACCGAATAATACCGGAGATCAGCACTCTAGTTCGTGTGATGTTAGAATCATCTTGCATTACATGAGGGACCAGCCGAAAATCAAAAGTCTTTTACAAGAAGCATTTAAAATCGAAAACGAAAGTCGTCACCCAGGCATTCTCGGTAGCGCCCAGGAGAAAACGAACGATAGAGGAGCCTCCGAGCGAGATACTCCGGGCTCTGTCAGCTTTTATCGTGTCTGCGTCAAAAAAGAACGTCTGCAAATGCATCTGAGTGCTCAAGCCGGTACTGCCATTACCATTCAGGTCAGAAATATATTGGACGATATATCGGCCAGATATGAGGGCCGAAGACAGAGTTCCAACGCGTTGTCCGTTTCCGAGGGCCAGCGGATTGCCAGATTCCTCTACTCGGGCTTGGAAATTGTGGGTTCCGTCGAGCAAGAGCTTCATGAAAAAGAATTTCGCAGGAATAAAAAGGACAATGAGCTACTTGAAGAGAGTGATAAGATCGCTAATTGTTTCCGAAAAATCTTGGGGCCTAAGACCGGGGAAGCCAGGAACATCAGGAGCTCTTCTTTCGAAGCATTGGCCAGCTTTCTCAAATTGAACGGCAACAACACCAGAGCCCGTTTGGTAACTCTGATAGGCAGTCATAACTTGAACATTCCTGATGAGATTCAACAAGAATATCAGCATATGGATTTCAACATTGTGCTTTATCTCATCGACCAAGAGCTACTAGGTCACGAGACCCCATCGGCACCAAAAGAATCGGCGGAACAAGTTCGAATCATCATGAGCACGATCCTTTGGCTCAACCTTCTTTTCCCCCTAGAACATGGCAGGAAAGGCTCTTCAAACAACACTCTCATTACTATTTCAAACGACATCTCGCCTGGCTGGGTTCCGATCGCCAACGCCGCTTCCTGGAGGAGGGTGATGACAGGTGGAGCGACGACGATCTCGTCACACTGGACATTCTTTGGGAATTGTTCCATACACATGAGGAGCGACCAATTCAACTGGGATTCGGCATGGCCTGCCATGGCATGTTGAGAGATCTACTCAGGGAGCGGGAAGACCTGTGCGGGATCATTGAAAAGATTGAGGAAGAACGTCGACCGGTCGCCGATTTGGTGGATTGTTTCATGCAAGGATCGCTATAAGACGATTGAGTAAGCTGTGTTGAGTTTTTTTTGGGGGCCAGAATGATGCAGCTCAGCTCTAACCCCCAGCGGTATTTGGAAATTCAATCCTTTCTTCGATAAGGTAGCCAAACCTGTTACGTATCTCCCCTATGCTGAGTAGACCGTGGATGAGGTCATGCCAAATGTCGATCTGTATCGACGCGTAGGAAATGGTCGATTATGGTCGCAAATCGCCAACGGTATTGATTGAGATCGGCGGCTAAGGCCCCGAAACGTATGTAGACTCAGACGGAGGTCGTGGCTGCCTGCAATCTATGAGTCAAAATGTGGTATGGAAAATCGACAGGTCACGCAGAGAGCCTCGAAGTGCCGAATGTTTGTCTCAGAGCCCTACCCTAAGGTAGTACCGTAGCCAATCAGGCCAAAAGGGGGCTCAGGCTCGCAAAAATCAGTCATGGTAACCCTGGTGTTTTTCAACATCGGAGGGCTAGAGTATGGGAATTTACCAACCCTGCAGTGGTAATAGAATAGCATTGTGTACCGGAAAAGAAATGGAGCAATCCTTGTCTTTTTCAACTCGGGGGGTTCTAACCGGCATATTTGGAGGGAGAATTGCGAGGCTTGGGACAAAGGTAGTTTCGGAGCCAAATTCATGAATTTTGGTTCCCGGTACCTGCAGCACGATGGAAAAAGTACCTGGAAATCTGTTGGAGCCGTGAGGCTGAGGCGCTCGGCCAAGACAGACTAATTTCCCACGAATTTCGATCGTGGGCGCCTCGAATCCAAGAGACAATGGGGTCAACTCCCTCAACTCCCCCTACCTCCCACCACTGATCTTGGCAGTGTGCGGTGACGGTACGAGCTGTCCTTAAAGCTGAACCTTCCAGTGAATCATGACAGAAACCCAAAGGAGAATGATGGTGGCAATAATTGTCTACCTTTTGAAGCCTGCAGACCTGCCAAACGGTGAGAGACGCTCATATTCTTTTCTGTGCCTTACTAACACGCATTTCGATTGGCAGATGTCGTCGAGCATGAACTTCTTGTCGTGAGCAAATGTCTGGAAGGATACCCAGATCGCGAATTGGCAACACCGGAGGAGGCAAACCTGGTCAACAGATTGGGTGAGCTCGCCGAAAGGTCTCTGGAGAGGTCCGATCAGACCATAATGATGAACCGACGCAAAATGGTGTTCACATGCTGGATCCTGTGTGGGATTATGGATGCGTGGCACTGGGATCCTCAAACCATATGGGAAATGTTCGAGAAAGTAACGGCGGAAAGAGCCGTTGGACCAGGTTAGTTAAGCCCCAAGTCACGAAGAGCAGGAAAAGACACGGCATATCGACAGGCGAGTTAGCTGCCGAATTTAGCCACAAGCGATGCATTGGACCAATTCGCATACTGAGATCACATGCTGATGTTATCGCAGTGGATAGTCTTCGGGACATTCTGATATACGACAACACCTTGAAGTTCATACCTCCCTGTTTCGGCGCGCGTCGACGGTATAATCCTCGATAAAAATCAACCCACGGATCTCGGTATCCATTTTCTGAAGAGCTGGGGGTAACCAGAGGGTATAAATATGGCGGTGGTCGGAGAGTATAATGATGTAGGCCGGGATGGACCATGATTGGTTAGCGGCATGGTTGCATTCCTGCAGGCTCACATTAAAAGGTGATTGAGTGCATTGTGATGTTGGCGCGCATTGTAACAACATGGATTGTCAGTCCAAACCGAAAGTATTTTTGTTTTTGCGATTTCTTTTGCAGTCACTCGTTCATTGCACCAGTTTGTGAAAGCTCACGATTTCAGGTCAGACTGTGTCCTTCAGGGGCTCGCCTCGTTTTTATACTGTAGTTGTCTCCATTAGGGCGAGCAAAGATACTGCGGAATACGACCCTCTGGCCTTGAGGCACGGCCGCACCCCAAAAGCAACGACAAGACAAGCGGGATATCAATAGCCGAGCGAAGTGAAAGATCGCCCCCTAGCTGACTTGTCACACAATGACCAGGCGTGCATTTGGGGGTTCTGCTGATTGGCTTCATGAGCAGAGCTCCTGTTAGTACCGGCGAAGGGTTGCATGAGGATCCGCAATTGATGGCAACAGATGCCCTTGCATTAGATGTCCTTGACAGCAGGAGTAGAATAAGAATGCAGTAGCTACGTATTTACATGGCATAGTGAGGTAAAACAAGCCCGCGCCCGGTAAATTATGAAAGTTCGCAGCTGAGCGATGTTGAAAAAGATCAGGGGAATATGAATACAATGCACATCTATAAGATTGAAATCCCGCAGCAGCGAATCCGCGCGCTGTCCACATGTGCCGGGCGTCCCCACCAGAGAGACACGAGTTCTTCGACAAAGATTCGATCTGTAGCGCTCCACATGTCGAGTCCCATCTCCGCCATGTCGGCGACGGTGATGATGATCGGATCATCTTTGCCCGAAGCCCCTCGCCTCGAGCTCGAGTCATGATGGCTAGAGTGACTCGCGTGCGATCGCTGCCGCAATAGAGGGCTACTTCCATCATCGGTGTGTATCGACCGTCGTGACATGGAAAGTGACAGGTCGGTATCATCGTTGTCGGGGTCATCGAGGTAAGGCGTGTCGTGATAAGGATCAGTGCCGTCCTCGTCACGGTATTCAGAATCGTGGCGGTCGATGGCGCCAGCAAGGGTGAAGAAGATCTGTGTGGTCAAGCGGCGGAAGTAGGCTACCAGAGCAACTTCCGGCGGCTCCTGGCCAGCATCATCGGCGTGGGAGGAGCGCCGGCCTGTGGAGTTGGGAGCAGGATATGCAAGACTCTCCACGCTTGCCAGCAATCGTGCGTCTTGTTCAATCTGGTGCTCCTCTTCTTCCTCCGAGAGACCCTCACGGTTTGCGCCGGCGGAAGCCCACCAAATGAAAGAATTGTAGGCGAGTCGGGTCCATGAGATCGGCTCAACGACCGGGCTCGATGAATAGGTGGAGTCGGTGTCGGATTCGTCCGACACATCAGGGGAGGCTCGGTCAGCGGCAAAATGTCGTAGACCTCTACGTAGCATTGCGTAACGACGAGCGTCCCGTTGTGTTGCCTTCAGAAGGAAGTTGTTTTTCGGGTTGGATTTTCTGTCTGAAGGGTGCATCAGAGTGATTTGGGGGAATACACCCTCGACGTCATGTTGGAAATGCGCAGGAGAGAGAGTGACCAGGACGTCATAAAGCTCAGGCTTCATCGTCAGGACACTATCTGTCGAGCAAGCAATCCAGCTAGGGTCTCTTTCGAAATCTTGACTGTCCCGCGAGATATCGAAGGATGAAAGGTACGGGATATCGTGTATACCGATGTTGAAAAGCGGGCGAGGCCGCATGGGTGGAATGTATCCAGATGGCAGTGCTTGGAGGAGGGAGTTTGGTAGAGATGCCAGCAGTGATAGATCATAAACTATGAGAAGGTCAGCAGCCGCAAATGTGTAAAATACGCGAGGAGAGACGCCATACCATAATTGCATGGTGTATGTACCGGTGCTTCGGTCATGAAAAGGATACGTTTCCGCAATAGCGCTGCCCTATACAAGGGGAACACCAACGGCCCGAAGCGGTCGATGAAATCAGGTAGGGACGAAGCAGGATGGAAGGGTGTCAAGGCCGGCCTTAACGTTTCCAAAGCCATGGCATCGCTGAAGGCGCGGTTGCGCGACGAGTGGTCAGGTCTGTCGCCCGGTCGGAACCGAACGCTCACTGGCGAATCGACCGGCGAGTCGGCGGTAACAATATCGGTCCCTCCGGCTTGAAAAGCATCCCAATAGTCCAACAATGGCTGTTCATTTGACATGTCGGTGGCGTATTTCCTGTTCGAAAGTATAAGCATTGGTCACGACATGACGGGCGAGCTAGGGTCCAAATTCACGAACAATGTCAAATCTCTCAGTCGCGGAGCATGTCGCCAGCTCTTTCCGAGTCTCCCAGAGCTTAGAGGAACCAAGACTCCAATAGCGAACATCTTCGCATTGCGCTCCGCCTCGGCGGCGGGCTGGTTGAGGAACGAGCTGATCCCGGCATACTGATCATGGACGAAATACCTAAGTCGAGAGAGAGCGTTAGCCAGGCATTCAAGGAACGCTGATTATTGTTGTAAATGAGGCCAATCCACATACACTAAATCGTCCGTCACGTTGTGCAGCCCGGAAGGCAGCGACTTGTACTCGACTACCCCTTCGACGTCGACTGTCGTAACCGTGTTAGCATCGCATCGCGCGTCGCAACAACTCCATCATTCAACACTCGGGGCTCCTTACTTCCTGGTGTTGTTCGTTTCCACGAGACCACATATCTGCCATCACATGCGTGTTAGCAACAGACCCCTCCTGAGAGTTCGCAAGGTGGGGGAGTAACACTTACCCGGTCCTGATGTCGAAGCGAATGACGAACAAGGCAGCGATGCCTGGGGGCGATTCCATGGCGGCACGCGAAGCGTCAATGACAGACTGCTTCCTATGAGGATCGGAAGCCATCGTGTGAGAAGAACCGGGCCGCCATTCGAGCAGCTGGGGACATTGGGGGATCGGGAGTCGGGGAATCACGGTGGCTGCGGAACTTGGGGAAGTCCAAGCGGGTCGGCGGACGTGGCCTGAGGCGGAAACGCTAGGCCAGGTTGGGCTAGCGTGGTGAAGTATGGTGAAGTAAACAATCCGATATACTTCTCAGATGATTCCTACAGTAGATCCTCTTGCGCATGTATAGTGTCAAGTGAGCTCTTGAAAAAAAGCCACTAGGCTTCAGAAATAAATTTGATGACATATACGAAGATATGAAGATATGTTGCTAGCTGACGTTGTGCCGAGGAGGTGTCAGTTGAGAGCCGAGCATTCTACACGTCGCTTGCCTATTCAAGATCTGGTAAGATCTGGTACGAAGGGCAAGGAAGGCCCGGGTTGTGGTCAGGACACGATTTTACACCAGAAACCTAGCTCGGGTGAGTTCTATCAGAGAAAATGGTAGGGCTCTCCAATGATCAAGACCATGCCTGATTGAGCAATCCGGCTGATGCGCTGGGTATTGTCAAGTTCTTCTTCTCAACCTCAGTCCAATATTAAAGGAATTTCCCATCAATATGCCCCCCTTTTCGGACCCTTTCCTTGTCTCTGTGGAGGTTTCATCACGGTCAAATCGGGCTATACAACTCGGCTAGCTTTTAGCAATACTATATATACCTCTCATTGGCTCACTGCTCCCGATGTGCTCCACAACACCAAGTGTCATCGATTTGATCATCGCGCCGCAGAACTCGAGGCCAAACAAACACCCCCCGTGCCGTGTCAGGGATTAATGATCGGACACCAGCTTACTTGAGGCTAAACGATAGCTCAGCGATTCTCTTGTCCCTCGGATCTCCCGACTTTGCCAGGGGCCACTCGAACAAGCTTTTCGATTCGCCCTACGCAGGCACGATGCCGGCTTCACACCCTTATTATCCCCTCGGGGCCGACATTGTCGGCTATTCGCCCAACCAAGCCTCGGTGTTCGAGCTGCTCGTCGCGATGGGCGGAGGATGCGCGGCCCTCTTGGGATTGACTTTTGCCGCGGCCAGTTACGTGCGCCCGTCGCTGCGGATGGGCGATCGGATCGCCATCCTGTGGTTTGTGCTCTGTATGACCATCCGGAGGTTGGATGCATCGTTACGATGAAGAATCTCACAAGAACTGACAAGAGGCAAAATAACAGCGGGAACACTGCACTGTTTCTTCGAAGGCTATTTCATGGTCCACCATGACCATATGGCGTCGGCACAGGATCTGTTTGGGCAGCTATGGAAGGAATACGCCTTGTCCGACTCTCGGTACATGACCTCGGACACTTTGGTGCTCTGTATGGAGACCATGACTGTGGTGCGTGTCCTTTATTTTTCCCCAAGCTGGGCAGAATGTCACTTGGAATAAATTATGACCTGCTAACTCCTCGCCCTCCAGCTCCTGTGGGGGCCTCTCTGCTTCACTGTTGCATATCTGACCGCAACGCGGCACTCTCTGCGTCACCCGATCCAAGTGATCGTGTGCATGAGCCATCTCTACGGCGATACCCTATACTATGCAACGAGCCTGTTCGATGACTATGTGAAGGGGGTCCCCTACAGCCGACCGGAGCCTTACTATTTTTGGCTGTATTACTTTTTCATGAATTTCATCTGGATCGTGGTTCCAGCCTGTAAGTATTATTCATCGAAAAGACACAGACAATAAGAAACTGGCTGACGGGTCACTAGACTACCTCTACAACAGCATCTCGACCATTTCGGCCGCGGTTCGGGCCCAGCAAGTGTCAGGCGAGCGGCGCAAGAGCCAGTAACACCTCTTTCGTCATCGGCACCAGGGTGGGTGGGCTGGTGGATGTGCTGGTGGGGACGGGAGATTCTCGATCAACAGTGGGCACGAATAATGCTTGGTCCTGGCCTGGTCAGAATCAAGATCGAGGGGGAAGGGAAGCTTCGAAGCGAGAGCAAGGAGTGTAATTTTACTTGGCGACATACCCTAGACAGACAACGATCTCTTTGTCCCGACACCAGAGTTGTAGCACGCTGAAACGGGGCAAGTATCGAGTCACGACGCGGATACACCGCTATACCCGCTGCGAAGCACTACGACGAAGTGGACTGTCCAACGCACTCACCAGCTGGGCAGCACCCATTTTCCCACACTTGCTGCAGCAGGGGCCACTCGACAGCTTTGACGCGCACTCATAAAAACCGGCTGTGTCCCACTCGGCTCTGTTAACAGCGTTGTGCCTCCCGCCTTTTCTTTCCCTGACAAAGGCTGGTGATGCCAAGCGAGTCGAGGCCTTGTCTGTCAGGTGCAGCCAAATTTTCGAGCGTCCGAGTGCTGCACGCAGACGACCAAATCACGCGCAGCCGCGGGAGGCACCTTGCAGGGCCGAGTTTGCACCTTGCCTGAACAGCGTGAGAGTGTGTCGATCGGCGGTTTCCCCGGCAGCGAAGTGGCTGAGGTGGGCGGCTTATCGGGCGGTGTCAGCCTCCACCGGCAGCCCAAGCAGCTTGTTTACATCCCTCCGTCCACCGCCAGCGACAAAGGAAGCTGAAGCAAATGCTGCCCGGTCGCGGTTTCTGATCGACGAGGTCATAACGTGAGCGGCGACCGAGCGTGGTAAGTCATGATTTCCTTGTCCCAGCACCAGAACAGCAACCTCGAGCTGTCAACAAAGCACATGGCGGCAGCCCGCATCGCCAACATCACACTGGAATATCTGGGGAACAAGAGTGCTGACACTGTTTTGGGGGATAGATATCGATGCCGTCTCCTGCGACGCCAAACCGGCCCGCCAACCGTGGAGGGAGTGCCAAACCCACCCCGACAAAACCGCTGGATATCGGCCAGCCGCTTGGAGTGCACGACACGAACACGGTTCGCGCGAGGGTTCGGCAGTGGCAGCAACAAGGCGGAGGAGTTATTACGATCGACGATGGAATTTACGATGACGATGACGAGGAGAACCAGACGAAGGACAAGGGCAAGGAAAAGCCCAAGCCCAAGCCCGGCAAGGTGAAGCTCGACCGGATCGAGAAGCCACTCAAGGACAAAGAGAAGACCGCGCCGACGACGAGGAAACGCAGTCATAGCACGCCACGAAAGCGAGTCGTTAGCGACGAGCACTGGAAGAGAAACCGATCAACGACACAAACAACTGCCCCGCGCAATTTGCCGATTCCGAAGCGCATCAATGAGTACACGACGAATGAAGATGCAGCGTCCCCGCGCACGAGAAAGGACAACAAGAACGATGGCCGCGATAAAAGTCGAGATCCGCCGCGAGCCAGGCCCCGTCGAGACACGGCAATATCTAGATCTCCCCCTCGCGAACGGGCGCGCTCCACGGTCCGTAAAGATGCCGAGTCGGTAGCAGACAGCGATGCGGAGACAGATCGGCCGCGGTCTACAGTCATGTCCGATATTCCAGAGCGTCAGCGCAGACAATCCCCGCCCCCCGACGATGGGGAATGGGCCAGAAGCGAAGCTGACTTCACGGAGCTGTCGCGCAGGCGTCGTACTGGCCCCGCCAAGGGACCAAAGGGTGGCATCTTCGCGCATATGCTGGATGAGTCCAGGAAGATGTTCACCAGGCCAGAAGCCGAGCCACCGAGGCCTACACCTCCTCCAACCGGAAACCGCGGAGCCAAGATCGAAGCATGGCTGTCCGGGACTTCGGATCCTTTCGTGGACGGCGAAGACAACAAGAGTGACATGCCCGGTCCTCTTGACATAAAGTCAGCGCGGGCGCGGCGATCTCAGCAGATTACTGACGAGATCGCGTCTAGCAACTTCTCTCGGTCTGAACTGTCCGTGGAGAGCGAGTCTCGTCCAAAGAGCTCGCATAGTCGACACTCCAGGGACAAGGATCGTCCGTCGTCCTCGGAGAAGCCTCGCAAGTATCTAGAACGCGATGCGCCGTCGACATCCAAACGATCGAGCACAGACAAAATTGAACGGCCACTGGCCCTGCGTATCCGAGAAGACAAAAAGAACGACAAGTGGTACGAAGACAGCCTGGCCCCTTCGGAATCTGAACTGCAGCCCTTCTCAGAGGGATCGGAGGTGTCTGCAAACAATGCACCCGTTCCCACCGGCCCCAAACGGCCATTCCCCAAAACCGGCAATCACCGGCTGTCCACAATCGCCTCTAGTGAGACTTTGAGCACTGTTCCCGAAGGCTCGACAGGCCCAGCCAAGACGACCGCATCTGAATCTGAAAAGCACATTCCGCAAACCGTGGAAGAGGCCGAAGAGGCTGCTGAGGAGAAGGACCACTTTGACCCTGATTCTCTTCCCCAGGTGACATCACAACTCAAGCGACGACTCACGACTCACAATGATCTGATGACCGTCCTGTCAGGTCCCAGCCGGAGCAGAAGTACTCGATCGAAAGGAAGCATTCGCTCTAACAAGAGCCGCTTGGCCAACGCAACGATCCCCGACATCATGGCTGAGCTTGCCGCGGATGAGTCGAAATATATGCGCGAGCTCAAAACACTTGTCGGTGGTGTTATCCCGGTTCTGCTGACTTGTGTCCTTTCACGCTCTGACTCGGCCATTGCTGCGGGTCTCTTCCGGCCGTCTCTAGATCCGAAGGATGATGTGAATTTCTCAAAGCCCATTGTCAATATGGGCGTGGCGGTTGAGAGGTTGAAGACGTTGCACAAACGCATCCCACAAGACAACGCCGATGCATTGCTTACGTGGGCTCAGGGCGCCCAGAGAGTGTATCGGGAGTACTTGAAGGCCTGGAGGCTTGGTTTCAAGGATGTGATCGTGAATCTGGCTCCCTTGGAAGAAGATGAGACCAACCACAATGATGACACAAAGAGTCTTGACGAAGGTCTGGAGCGGGACGAGAACGGCGATGTGATTGGCAATGATGGCGAAAAGGTCGATGTTGCGTATCTCCTCAAGCGACCTCTGGTACGCCTGAAGTATCTCTCAAAGACGTTTCGAGGCATCAATACAATCCAGCCTTCTACCAAGGCCGAAGAGATCGCAGCGGCGTATCAGGATCTTGTGAATGATGCACGCAAACGAGCCAGAGACGAACGAGCGAGGTTGGAAGATGAGTCTGCTTCTAGCATTGACCCGAGTCGTGCGCGAGACCCGATGACGCTGGGTGTTCTCCAAAATGTGACAGTCGATCGCAGCCGCCGTGTCCGGGCTCGAGACTTCTTCAACTTGTCTCTGTATCATTCCAGTGGTCAACTGGTTGACTGCCGTGCCGAGTTGCTTTACCGAGACAATTCCCCGGGCAATGGGGCGGGTGGTGACTTGATGATTTGTGAAATTGATCATTCGGATCGTTGGCTGCTCTTCCCACCCATGGACCTGCGTTGTGTTTCCGCCCGCACTGGGGATAGCAAGGGTGAAATTGTTCTGATGCTCCGCAGTGCTCCGGATGCAGAGAAGTACTGGCAGGAATTGATCTCCCTCCGTATCGACGAGGTCGAGGTTGGCCTTGAATGGGTTCAGCTCCTGGGTTCTGACCCTATCCCACCGACAATCTTCCGTACCCAGAGCTTTATCAGCCGAGCCAAACAACACAAGGCACGCAAGTCCGATGTTGAATCTCCTCCTCGACCAAACCCTAGTGATGTGGATATCCCGATTGGCGAAAGGGCTTATAGCAAACGCTGTTCTTTGACACCCAAGGAACACTACTCTGAACCGAGCACGGTGGATTCCGCTCTGACGGATAATAGAAGCTCTGTATACTCGACAGCTACTCGTGACACTGAGTATACTGCCGGAGGATCGGATGTATCTGCGAAGCAGTCTCGTCCCGGCCTGCCCCTTCTGCCTTCGACCGTGAGCCCAGATAAGTCACCTTCAGGATTGAAGAGATCCAAGGCAAAGCGAATGTCTCGATATGGTGATAGCCCGTCTTCGGAGCCTCCTGCATCTCCGACAACCACTGTTGCAGAGAAAGAGCCCGAATCCCCAGCTCCAGCTCCCCAGCCGCGGTCACAACCGACAACGCCCCAGTCGTCCACCCCTCAGCAAGCAGAAACAAGATTTTACGGTGGCGGCAAGGATGTTGCGAAGGAATCAGGAATTCCGAAGTTGAAGTCTCATCAAAAGACACCAAAAACTCCTCGTGAGCCGGAGCCGGAGGAAGAGTCTCCTCGCGTATCTTCTGTGCCGTCGGCATATCTTCCCCAGATTCCTAAGATCCGCAGCGCTAGCAGCCAAACTCATCTTTCGTCACCTTCCAACATCGGAGACGACCAGGAAGAAGATTATCCTCCTCTAGACTCCCTACCTGAGCAAGAGGAAATCCCGGAGACTCCTACAAAAAGCAGGAGAAAGTCTCGCCGCAAGTCCAAACATGATGACTCGCCGCCTCCTCCACCTCCCCATCGTTCTCCCAGTTCCAAGCTGAGCAACAATCAACCTGTGCTCAGCCCCTCGGGCGTTCGACTCAAGCGCCGCGGATCCTCCCCCCTGAAGCATGAGTACGAGCCCTCCACTGCTTCTGACTACTCGGAAACCGACTCGGACGCCTCGACTGTGCGTCGCTACTCCTACTCCTCTTCGGAGTATTCACGATCCGGATCTGAATCAGAGTCCGACTATTCTTCTGAATCTGAAGATGATGAGATCAACCTCCCCAAACCCAGACCGTATGACACGGCTACGGCAACCTCTGATACCAGTTCCTTGTCTCCATCTAACTCTGCCTCGCAGAGTGGTTTATCGCACCACCCCTGTGCAGCCTACCAAGTCGACCAAGGTTGTTGCATCTCTCTTTGCCTGGTCTGACAAGGGCAGCTGGGAACCCCTGATCCCCGACGAGTGCAGCATCATGGTTAGCCCGGGCCTTATTGAAGCGTTCACTATGAACGCCGACTCTACAAGCTCTGACCGATTATCCCGGTCATCGCGTCCACTCATTTCTATGGAGCTTACTCCTCTTGTTCCTCTTCGCCGCGGCACTGCTATTGACATTAGCATCCGCTCCCCTCCGACTGATCGATCCAAGATCACCTCTAGCAACAACATCATGTTCCGTTCTCGCAACCCTGACGAGTGTGACGCTCTTTACGGCCTGATTAACCAGGCTCGCATTAACAACCCAACATATATCGCTCTTCAGAACGCTCGGGGTGGTACTTTCGATAACCCAATCCCAACCTATGAACCCACTACCAAGTCCGGTGGCAGCTGGTTCGGCTTCCCTCGCCGCAGAAAGAGCTACCGTGCCGACAGCTCTCCTCGCTCCCTCGCCGAAGGTTCCGAGAGCAGTGTCGGAACCATGAGCAGCGCCTTTTCCGCTCTTAAACGATTCGGTGCCGGTAGCAGGATGTTCAACATCTCTCGGTCAACCGTGACATCCCGCAGCGGCCGTGAGGGCAGCATGTACTCTGGGTCTGGTGAATCAGGCCACTCTCCTTCCTCTGGAATCGGCCGTATCGCCGCTGCCATCAAGGGCGCCGACGGTATCGGTCTATCCAACGCAAAGATCCGCATCTATCTCCGCGAAACCGCCTCCAAGTGGCGCGACATGGGCGCAGCTCGTCTGACTATAATGCCTGCTCCTCCCAAGAGCCCCTCCCGCCCCGGTACCGCCGTCAGTGCCCGTAGCGAGGGCAGCGGCACACATGGCGACGGCAGCGGATCATCCCTCCCAGCTCGGGCGCCGCAACGCCGCGCCGCGAGGCCGAGTCCGAAAAGCGCATCATCATCCGCGGCAAGACCCGCGGCGAAATCCTGCTGGACGTCTGTCTTCCCGAGAGCTCGTTCGAGCGTGTCGCTCGTACGGGTATCGCTGTGTCTGTTTATGAAGAGAATGCCGGTGGCGTAGTCGCGAAACAGGGCGGTGTCACCGCTACCTCGCAACGCATTTACATGATTCAGATGAAGAGCGAGGCTGAGGCGGCGTATACCTTCGGTCTTGTTGGCAAGCTTCGGTACTAAGTGTATCTTATGGGTGCTGATATGGTTGGTGTTGGGATGGACTTGTGATCAGTGTCAGCATTGGGATCTGGTGCATGGTGAATGGGAGGTATTTGTCTTGTGCATGTTTTGTTTTTATTTTCGTTGTCGCATTTTTACTTTTGAGTATTAGATATCACCCTGCCGTTCCTCGGCTATCTCTTTTGTATATTTAGATCTCGTGCCAGATCTTTCTGGCCTGTGGATTTCTGGATTTCTAGTATCAATAGCTAATCTGACATACTTTTGACACCCATTAAAACCAAATTCAACATGCGAAGCTGAATTTTTTGGCCAACCAACCGTTTATGTCCTATTATTTGTAAACTGCTAATAGCACCTTGGCCATTAACTCAACGCTTTGGCACGTGACGGCAATTAACAACGCCCAATTATAATCTGATCTTCACCTCTGCGCCCTCGATGCGCCCACATCACCGCTCCCCAATATTTCTTTCTTCGCTTATGGAAGCGCCGAGGCAGAGCCAGTCCTGAACATACTGCTTTGACCAGTGAATCTGGACACCTCATATGCTCATGCATTCTGCCTCTGCACCCCTGTCCTACCAGGCCGTCGGTCATCTAGGCGACTCCACATTCAGCCTCCAATCCAAATCAACAGACCTATGCCTTCGTCCACCCACAAACAAAGATCTACCCTCAATACTGGAAATTCTCCAGAATAACGCAAATTCAAAATTCGACAGGTCCCTCTCTGAAGCTTCAATCGCCCAGTTGATAGAAATCGCTCAACGATGGACATCTCTCTCAGAGCCTCTTACATCTCTCATGTTCCTCATCTGTCATCCAAACCATGACGCACCCATTGGAATCGCTGGTTTTGGCTGGATTGGTCCCATGAGGGGAATTCAAGTGGGAGATAATACATCTCGAGCCGGCGTCGCAGGCCTGATGATCCAGCCGGCCATGCGGGGAAAAGGTTATGGCCACGATGCCCTCAAGATGGTGTTTCACTATGGACTACACGAGTTGAAACTTGTCGAGATCCGGCTCTGGAGTCACTCCGGAAATGTCCCGATGAGAATGTTGATGGAGCGGAAATTTGGGTTACAGACTGAAGAGGGCGATCGAGATCGCGTGGATGAGTTTGGGAATGATCTTTTATGGGCTGTTACGAAGGAGAAGCTAGCTGGTGCTTTATCTACGAAAAACTCTTAGATGCATTTACTAATACCAACAAGTTCTTAGAATTTCACGTATTAAGCAATAAGATATGATAGCCAGTCGTTCTTGCCAATAAAGGTGGATGTTTACTGTGGCCGCGGAGACGGGACTAGCGTATTTTACAGTGCGGGCATGGCGATCGTGATGTGGCTGTGATAGGTTTTACTTTTTCTCTCTGTCTTCATGCAATTACTCAAATCGGTTTATGTATGGGACACTATGGGGGTTGGGGGTGGGGGGTGGTAAGCCACGCTCCTTCTGCGGGGTAACTGAATTTCCGACTGTCTGTGAATGTGACTGCAAGATGTCATTATCGAAAACGAATAAAGCGACTGGAACCTTTTAAACTCCCTTCTCCCATTTTATGCACTTCATTACTCGAATAATCAAAAATCTCGAAATGGTCTGGACCTGTCGCTCATGCAGACCCAAACTAGCTCGAGTCATCGATGATACTTGACTAATGCAAGACGTGCCGACTATCTCACCCGCGACACCGTCTGCCCCTTCTTAGCTGAAGCACAGATTTTCATTGGTGCCAGCCACAGAGTATAATTCCAATTTGGCCCGTTCTCTCTCAAATTGCAAATATAAGCGGGATTTTTGAAAGTGTGATAGGGCGGATAAATATAGAGTGTTTTTAGCTGGATGCCCCTCGTTAGCTTTTCTCTAGATTGTATCCCCAAATTCCAGGCAAGGATTAAAGATACAGCCAAGCTCTGCCGGTGTGGAGTACATATTATATCTCGCAATCGTGTCTGTCTGCCGCTCGGGATTAAGCACACCCGAGTCTCTACTAAACCTTCGCCCAGATGTTGCTTCAACGAGCATGGCTGGTTCTGCTCGGCCTGGCGACTCTTTTTGCCCTACGAAGTATCTATCGCCTCTTCTTTCATCCTCTGCGCAAGATCCCTGGTCCGAAGTTAGCGGCAATCACCCATGTATACGAGTTCTATTACAACTGCGTCCGTGATGGAAGATATATCTTTCAAATTGAAAAGATGCACCAAAAATATGGTACACTTGGAACGCCGCAATAAAAAGGCGTATGCGATCAGACTAACACTCGTGGACGACCACAACAGGTCCAATCGTCCGCATCACACCAAACGAAGTACACATCATCGACCCGTTCTTCTACGACGAGATCTACGCAGCTAGCAGTCGTCGCCGGGATAAGAGCGTCAGAGTGGCGCAGGCATCAGGTGTCCTCGGTTCGATGGTAGCCACCGTCCCACACGACCATCACCGCATCCGACGCGGTATCTTGAGCGAATTCTTCTCCAGACGATCTATTCTGACCATGACTCCGATAATTGACAAGTACCTGCAAAAGCTGGGTGACCGGCTCGGTCAGTTTCATAATGGTAAGACGGTTATTCGTCTGGATAATGCGCTGAATGCCTTTACGTCCGATATTATTACGGAATATTGCTATGGGAATAGTTGGGGGTTCCTTGATGATGAGAATTTCCGGAGTGATACTCGTTCTGCACTTCTTGAAGTTGCGAATACGATTCATCTTGGTTCTTTTTTTCCTTGGCTTATTGTTTTGATTCGGAAGATTCCGATTCATTTACTGCGACGTCTGCAACCTGGGAAAGCGACGATCTTCGAGGCTATGGAGGCTATTTTCAACCAGGCTGCTTCGTCGATGAATAAGGGGAAACAATATGGAATCAAGACAGAGACTAGCGAGAAAAGGATTCAGCAGAATATGTTCGACAAGCTGATTTCTCCGGATGTCCCAGCCGAAGAACGCACTCTCGAGCGTCTCCAGGACGAGGGTCTTCTTGTTCTCGGTGCGGGGACTGAGACCGTGGCGCATACTCTGACAACCTCGGTCTTTTATTTGTCCTTGAATACGGATGTACTGTACCGATTGCGCGAGGAATTGAAGCAAAAGCTGCCGACTCCGACTAGCACTGTCAGCCTTTTGGAGTTGGAGAGACTCCCTTACCTTGTGAGTACTTTTTCATGGCCTGGAAAGTCCTTTATTGATGAACATGCAGACGGCAGTTGTATATGAAAGCCTCCGCTTAGCATACGGTCCGCTGATTCGAATGCCTCGGATTGCACCGACTGAAAGTTTGAGATATGGCGAATACGTGATTCCTCCAGGGGTGAGTAATAGTTAGTCTCAGGATTTGGAAAGACAAGGCTGATCCATCTAGACTCCCATGAGCTCAATCACTTATTTTATCCACCGTGACCCAACCCTCTTTCCCAACCCGGACAAATTTGATCCCAAACGATGGCTCCAGGGTGCTCAGAGCGAGGATCTGAAGAGGTATATTGTCAATTTCACCAAAGGTAGCCGAGCTTGTCTGGGAATTACGTGAGTTCATATATCGGTCTTTTTTCTGCCTACATTTGGTGGCTATAAGACCATATCCATTTAAGACTGATACTTATTTCTTCCAGTCTGGCATATGCGGAAATCTACAAGGCCATTGCCGGTCTTGCGCGCCGCTTTGATTTCGACTTGCATGGTACTACAATTGAAGATATCAAGCCCCTTGGCGAGCGGGTATTTGTTATTACGAGGCGGGGCCAGACTCAGGTGTATGTGACTGTGACCGATTTGGACAAGGCGTGAGTTGTTGGTTTGTGCGGACAGTCGATAGGCAGTTGGACTTGAACATTGATATTGAGTGGGAGAAATTCATGCATCATGATATCCATTTGATTTCCATGCTATGATCTGATGATTCTGGGCCTCAACATTGAACACGGTTCGTGCAGCTCTATAAATGCAAGAGAAAGGAATAAGAACCACAATGCCCAACGCCAATTCCGTTTCAGATATCCAATTATGACTTTTCCGGCAGGGGCGTCCGAGTCTCAACCTCGGCGCCATTCGTCTTTTTGAAAATGTAGCCAATGCGGTTGCACTCATCTTTGAGCAAGGACACGAGGACATCGTCATCAACAGCAGCCGCGACTTCTTCCGCATCGTCGGCACCGGAAACGAGACAGGCCGGGTTGATGTGAGAATACTGCGCAAGAGACTGGTGCATCTTGTCTTTTTGTTTCTTCGTGCTGCTCTTCTCATCTTTTGCTGCGTGGCGACGAGACGCCTCACGGATAGCCTTTTCTTGTTTCTCCATGTCGACTTCGGATGCCTTTTTCAAAGCATGGAAATCAAGCTCAGGGAGATCATCGTCTGAGTCCGTATCGCTCGGCTCGGCATCGCTGTTCTGCCTCAGTTCGGCGGGCGTGGCGATACCAGAGGAAATACCCTTGCCTCCGCAGTCACATCCCAATAAATCGTGAGTCTGACAAGTACTTTCCTCATCGAGACGGAACAGATCGCGCAACTCGGCGGTGGAGAATTGCGCGACGCTGTCTTTGTGCTCCATGACACTATCGGCCAATCCCAGTTTGGTGACCTGGCGCTGCCAAATCTTCTCTTCCAAGCTACCCTTCAGGACAATGCGATAGATGCGGCAATGGTGCTTTTGTCCGTCGCGGTGAATGCGGGCCATGGCTTGGATATCTGTTGCCGGGTTCCAGTCCACGTCGAAAAGAACGAGTCGACTCGCGCCGATGAGATTGAGGCCTGTTCCGCCAGCCTTCGCAGATAACAGAAAAGCAAAGCAGGTCTCAGCAGGAAGACGGTTGAAGTCGTCTACAAGTGGTTGCCGTTTCTGGGCAGGAGTGCTGCCGTCTAAGCGGAGGAAGGGGAGGCCGAGGGACGTAAGAAGCGTGGCTAATAGGTTCAGCGTAGATGTGTAGTTGGAGACAAGCACGATCTTCTCGGAGGTCTGTGAGCGCATACTGTCCAGGAGCTGATCCATCACTCGGACCTTTGCACTTGCGGACGGAGAGAAGTGGCGCATCAAGTTTGGTGGAAGAGACGATAAGAGGGCGGTGATAGTTTCATTAGGCGATTTATCATTGTTTTTGGCCGATAGGAGAGAAGGACTGTTGCAAAGTTTCTTTAGGATGGTGATAAGCTGAAGGGCACTTTCGGCGTTGCCAATGGCCGTCTGGAAGATGGGTGACGCAAGGACAGCTTGATAGATGCTAGCCTGTGCGCGAGTTGGGTTGCAGAACAGCACATATTCGGACTTGGGTGGGAGATACTTGGCTAAGACATCGGCAGTCCTGCGAAGGATGAACTTGGAAGTGAGTTCGCGCAGCTCCTCGTTTCGAGACTCGCCCTTTTCGATGTCTTTGCTAGTTGCTTCGGGCTGTCGGCTTCGAACGATGGGGGTTTCAAACTCCCGAATGAATGTTTTGAAGTTTCCAAGCACCCCGGGGTTGACGAGATCGACAGCTGCGAAGAACTCGCGTAGGTCGTTTTGGATGGGTGTTCCTGAAAGAATGACCCTCTTCGCCGCATTGAGCGACTGGATAGCTTGTCCGCTCTTGTTTTGCAACGTCTTGAGACGGTGTCCTTCATCGGCAATGATGATATCGACGCCTGCGCCCTTTGCCAATCCCTCTTGTACAGTTCGCAGCTTCTCATATCCAACAATCATGATATTGTAAGCTCGTCCTTTGGTGAAATCCGTCAAACGTTTCCGCTTGTCGTCAAAAACAAAAACTCCAATGCGCTCGTTCCCAAGCCATTTGCGAAATTCTTTTCGCCAGTTATTAATCAGAGTCACAGGGCAGACAATTAAGGCCTTCTTGAGTACCGGGCCCTCGCCATAGATGGGATTCTGCTTTAACAGTGTCCATAACAAAGTGATTGTTTGCAGCGTCTTGCCCAGTCCCATATCGTCGGCGAGAATGGCACCCTCGCCATTGAAGTCGCGCATTCCCATCACACACTCGTAGAGAAACTTGACACCCTCTCGTTGGTGTTGTCGCAAGCTTTTGGACAGCAGAGGATCAACGACGACATCGACGATTTGTTTTCCTTTGGGCACGAGGTTTGGCCGGGGCATAATCAATGCATCCTTTGCGTTGGGGTCATGGCGCGGGACTATCTTGTCGGCGCTTACTGGGACGACAGTATCTTCAATCAAGGGACTCTTGTAAGCGCCTAGACGCGATGGTGCCTTCGTGGAGCTATCACCATCTAGTGCCGACGCAGTCCGTTTCAATGGTTGAGTTCTGCCAGTTACTAATGCCAGGGAAGAAATTCGCCCGGAATCAGTTCGAGCCTCCGTCTTTTTCGACGCCGGTATTTTTTTGGGTGCTGCAGCGGGAGCTGGGGCTGGTTTCGAGTCCCCGACAAACTTTTGCTCAGTAAGAAATTGTCGGCGAGGAATCTCGGAGTCGATCTCGACCTCTTTTCCACCGATATAGAGCATTGTCCCCGGCTCCAATATCGATTCGTACATTGACCGTCCCATGTCCTTGCCTCCATCATCGCGCAGGAAGACGAATCCCTGGCGCGTTGCGACTACCCCATCTCCATCCCATGTCTTATTTTTCTTCGTGCTCGGTTTTCTCCTGCGCCGAAAAGTAGGTTAGGTGATATTCTTTCGGGCGAGAGGCAAAGGTTGAGCGCCAAAACTAACCAGAGAGCATTGAAGAATCTTTCAAAGGTAGCGTCTTCCTTGGAAATAATTGCAGGGGTTGGTTTCACCGCTGAATCCTTGCCGACATTTTTGACTTGTAGTAGAGGTTTCCGACTTGCGGCTCCAGGACGCGTCTCAAGCTCGATGACCGAATCATCCTTTTGAAGACGGGGCTTTTTGGCGGGGTGCTCCTGGTCCTCGCCGGCAGGTTTCTCGGTCGCATGTTCGGGTTTCCTAATCAAAGGAGGCTTGAATGGCTTGAAAACCATGGCGTGGACGGACGTCTGTCGTGGATGCGGCGGGCAGAGGACGCGAGTTAGGCGCGCGTGGTCACGTGATTAATATGTCCTCATGTATACAAGCCACCGCAGTTGAGGCAAATCTAGACCAGCAGAGCTTCTTATTATTAAGCTAAATTTAGACTGGAGGATAGTTTCGAATTGTGGATTCAGCTATACCAAGTACAGCATGTTTCAATTGAAATGTATTAATCATAGCGCACTTGCAATCCAGCACGATTAAAATGATATACAGAAGGAAAGATGGCATCGATCACATAAGAGAAAATGCATCACATGCAAAATCGTGAATAATGAAAGGGTATGAGAAGAGAAACGAAACGAAATGGTATATGCAAACAAAACAGCCCCATTTTGATTTCCCAGCACAAGTCCTAAGCTGGGGCACCCACTTATTTCGCGTCCTCCGCAACATGCTTGTCGGTGATGGGGATATTCTTCGGTCCCTCGTAGGTGCCCTGGCGGAAGAACCACCAGATAACAACAAAAATCGACAGACCTCCGGTCATCAGACTGGCATAATTCATGTCGGCTGCGGTGGCGGGCAGAGAGTAGGGGAAGCAGAATATGATGACGAAGGCGATGATGTAGATGCAGGCCAGGGTGTTGATAACAAAACCGATCTTGTTGTTCATGAAGAAGTAGCCGGGAACGAAGGAAGAGCGGCGGCTCAGGATGTGTGGGAAGATCGCCATGAAATAGGAAAGACTGGACAGCTGGACGAAGCAGCCGACGAAGGCCTGGAAAGCAGTGGTGGAGCCCATGTAGATGCAGGCCAGGACGGTGACAACGCAGCCACAGGTTAGAGTCGCGTTGAAAGGGTTCTGGAAGCGGGAGTTGATGTGGCCGAGCCAGTTGGGGAACGGAGTCGCGCGGTCACGAGAGAGGGTCCACAGAGTACGTCCGGCAGTGATGTAGCAGCCCGAGGCAGTGATCAAGGTCGGGATGAAGGCGATGATCAAAAGACCCAGGGCACCGCCACGGGTGCCGGTAGCCTGGTGGTAGATCACAGCGAGGGGGAACAGGGAAGTTCCACTGACAGCGTCCAGGTCGCTGATCGAATAGAAGATGGCAATCATGTAGCAAATACCAGTGATGAAACCAACACCCATCTGGGCCAACACGGCCTTGGGGATGTTGCGGCTGGGCTTGGGGATCTCCTCGGCCAGATGGGTCGAGCAGTCTGGGGTACCAACACTGTAGGCGCCGTTGAGCATGCCCATGACGAAGACGAAGCCCTGCTGGGTGTATGTGGTGCCGTTCTGCCAGTTACCCCAGACATCGAAGTCGGTTTGGTAGGGCACACCATTGACATGGGGCATGACGGCGCAGACAATGATGGTGATGAAGACACCAGACAGAATAAAGAACATGCCGATGTTACCGATCATGGGCAGGAAGCGGTTCATGAACAGCACGATGCAGCAGCAGGTCCAGGTGCACAGCAGGAAGCTGACGAAGATGCTCCAGGTCGGCGGCTCGAAGCCCGGGTGCATCACAGCGTACATAGAGACGGTCTGCTGGCCCATGATCAGGGACATGGAGGCGGCACCCAAAATCCAGGCCAGGCAGTTCCACCATCCGGCAAAGAAACCGCAGACGCGTCCATATCGGCCGGCGGTGATGGTCGCCCAGTGATAGACACCACTCGACGAGGGCATGCCCGATGCCAATTCGGCAATGGAGGCGGCGACGAGCCAGTAGCAGACCGACACGGCCATACTACAGTCAGGAGTTAGCCACGATGCGATCTTCGACGTCATTGTCTCACCAGGGGAGGGGGGGGAGTGGCGAGAAGGGTGTGTGCATACAATTCATAGATCGTTCCGGCCAGACCACCGTTGGCCAACGCCGTCACGACACTACCACCCTGAGCAATCCAAGTGTTACCAGTAGTCACGGCGACGGCGCATAAACTGAGCAGGCTGAAGTTGCGGTCGAGCTCCTGCTTGTGACCGGAGGCGTTGATCACTTCGCCCTGGTTGCTGCTGTCGTCGGCGGCCAGCTCGGCGGTGGCCTTGGACTTCTCATTGTAGTCGGCCATGGTGATGGTGCGTCGATCGGCTTCCCGAGTAGACTAGGTAGCGATTTCTATATAGTCGAGATCGGTCTGTGGCAAGGGGTCGGGGCTAAGGGGGGCACGTCCGACTCTCTTGCAGTCTCGCGGTCTCGATGTTGGAAAGGGGGAGCGTTGCTGCAATCTGTACGCGGACCGAAAGAATGACAGGACCGAAGTGTCGAGAGCGCCGACAGGAGCAGGCCAGCAAAGCTATATTATTTTGCGGCGGTGGAGACCTGTACAACGCTGGGATATCGCGGCCCCCTCGGTGCGGAGGACGAGGGAACCCATCAGGATGGACCGGCGTGCTTCAACCATGAATGCATTGCGAGCGACTCCACTTGCCTGGCCACTCTAAATGACTGAAACCCCAATCTCTGGCCAATGGAGGTCCGCAGGACGCCAGTTGTGGGTGGCCACTGGCGGAGGTGGGTCGTTGAGGAGGGAACAATTGGGCGGCGGCAGAGGCGAGTTGAGCCAAACTTCAACGGAATCTGCGCCTTGGACAGTCCGATGCGCAGCGCACCTTACCCAGAAAGGGAGCTTCAGCAGAAAGAATTTTCCAGCGCGTCAGCGTGTCAGCCCGTCGCTGGTTCCTTGGTACATTCTTCCCATCCCTATTTACCAATTGACCTAAAATACCTAACTAAGGAGTACGACAAGACTATCAGCTACCTGTTTCCTAATCCTGTTGCATTCTCCGCATATCCGCAGTCTGCCATTTCGCACATTGGTACTGGTTCTGCGGAGGATTGTCATCGGATCGGATCAGTGGGTATGCCATCTGGCCATCCGTACATATGAAGGAGATGCACTGGGACTACCTCGCATATTACCGTACACATGCACTACCCTAATTACATACTGTAGTACCCTGCTGAGGTACCCTGTAATGAGTAAGGTGGACGCGGATGTTATGCATATCACTCCCATGTGATAGCCATGCGAGGTACCCTACTCAGTAGTGTCCTAACGAACGTATACAGTATTAATAAACGTACCGCCCTACCCATCGCCTCAAATTTGGGACAGTGTGACATAATTTTCATACCACATGGTCTTCTAGAAAGATTCGCAGCTTCGAAAGGAAACTGGTTTTCATCCACATGGCGTTGCCCGGGGTTCACTAGACGGTCGATTGCGACGCCAACCTGCCCGAAGGTATGCTTCGGCGGTCCTCAGGTGAGACAAGGGCAGCATTTTCGTGCAGTGTTTTACTTCTACCTCGTGTATTTGCGCCGGCATCGCATGTGTTTGGCTTCTATCTGGAATGGCTTCGAAATTGGCTACGGGGCACTAAGGACTAGTCTTCATCTTCTCAAACCACCAGGCCGACAATTCTATTGTTAGTCGCGATCGGGTTCCCGTTAGTCCCAGCATCGTTGCGCCCACACTGAAGTCTAGGCGTCTGGGCAGGTCGGTGGCTGGCCTCCCGGTCGCAGGTTACGTTCTTAGTTAAGGCGATTCCAGCTGGCCCACGGATCTACGCCCTAAGAGGCATCCCCCGAAACCTCCTCTCCCTCCAGGGACCAGCTGGAATCTCGCGGACACCGACCTAATCCAGACGATAAGCCTCAGATCTGGTGGAATCGAGTGGCGTGGGCGTTCCACAATCCACGCAGGCTCTGAGACTAGGCGAGGGCCAATCTGCGTTGTATATCCGCGAGTACGGCCCTGCAGCTAGCGACTAGGGCGCGTTAGGGCCGAACGTTCCATCTGGTTCAGCCATCGAGTTCAGGGCGCACTCAGGTACACACTTTACGCTTCTGATCTTTTCCGGAATGGTTGATTCGTTGCTGTCCTCCAGTGTTGTCGAATGCAACTGCGGCTGTGGTCGACCAGACTATATAGTCCGTTGGTCGACCTGGGATGTACCGGATCGGCAAATCTTTAGCTACCATTTGCCGAGTACCCTGGAACTCGTCAATGGTTTATGTGAGTCGTACACTGTTGATGGATATATCATCACAGCACACGTGCCTACGCCTAAAGCCTTCTGTGAACTGATCTCGCCACGCTGGGTGTCTGCTCCACCTCCCCGTACGGAGTAGGGATCTCCCCGGCTCCACTACAAAATCCACTGCAAAATCCCTCAACCTTTGCATGCAAGGGCTCGCTAAAACCAAAGCAACGACCCCACTCGCAACGCTAAGCAAAGTCTATTAGAGTTTTGGATGCCTAGAACCCCAGGCTGTCTGCCCGCTTCGAGTAAAGCATACGGACCCGGCGGACCGCAGTTGCATCATTGCGCGATCGACTTGCCCACTTTTGGACTCGCTCCGCACAGAGAACCAGGCTTGCCTCTGCTAGGAAGGCATGAATAGCCCTGTCGCATGCTCTTGCAGCGAGAACAGCACTGGGCTGGTTAAGGACCTACCTAGAAGAGATGTCTATACTCTAGCGTAGCTCATATACTTCACTTCTAGTGTCTAGGGCAGTGTTTAATCTATCCCCGGTCAATTTCCGCCCATTGCCGGAACTTACGTCCTCGACACTATGACCATGGTAATGTCGCAGTGCTCCTGCGAACCCGGTAGTTGAACTCTGAATCTGGACATGCAGCCCAGGACGACCTCCCCAACGCGGCAACTTACGAGCCAATCTCGGCCAGCACAGCTGCGCAGTGGACCATATCGGCAACCTCTTGGAACCCTGCCAGGCACAAATCGCCCATCGCCATCCAGTCACCATCCAGTGCTGCTCATCGCCCCGAACCACAAATTCTAATCCCACGGAACTCCCCTTTGGGTCGTTCTTCGGCGCCAGCCATGGAATGCTCCAACTCCGAAGATACCCCCACCCCCCACTGCGACCTGTGGTTGGCCCAGTGCTGTCACCGGAAGATCCTCCATTGCCCAGCGCGGCCCTCCTATGGGAGGCTCTCCGGTGGTCGCCTCTGATAAGCCTTGAGCCCTCCAAGCCCACGTATGTACATTGGTTCATGCATCTTCCCAATAATACAGATCAACGCCGGGCGAATCCTCTGCCCATCCCACCCCCCTCGACGTGATCGGCCTCGGCAGATGTCTGCGGTCCCAGAAAGTCTATACTCATTTGTGGGATTGTGATTTGGTTTGGTTTGATCCGCATTGCATCCGCTGCTTTGGGATTTGGATTCTATAAAATATGTGGGCGCTGCACCTCCCTCCGATCCTTCCTCTCCCCGTCTAATCCTCCCCCAGGCTACACTCCGATACCATGTCTGGTCTAGGCGGTGATTTTGGCGTGCGGTTTGCACGCGAAACATGGGCTCTCTATGCTGTCGGTGTCACGGGTGCGGTACTACGATTGTGAGTCTATGCATGTCATTGCAGTCATTGCAGTCATTGCAGTCATTGCAACCTGAACCCGGTTGGGACTTAAGACTGACTCGACCCCTCTATAGTACGGCCCGTATCCGTCGATTGGGTATTCGCAACCTCCAGGCCGATGACTACCTCATGATCTTCGCCGTATTCTGGTATACACTCCTCTGCGTCTCCCTCAACCAAGTCGCATCCGGCGGAGGGTCCAATTTGATGACCCAGGAGGATATCGACAACTTGACGCCCACCACCTACGCCGACCGTGTCAAGGGCAGCAAATGGGTCTTTGTGTCGGAACACTCCTTCGTGCTCGCCATCTGGAGCATGAAGGCGTGCATGCTGGTGATCTACGCTCGTATCACCGAGGGTCTGCGCCAGCGCAAATGGATCAACTATATCGCTATTTACGTTGGACTGGGCTTTGTTGCGACAGAGCTCTCGCTGTTCCTGATTTGCCGCCCTCTGACTGACTATTGGGCGGTTCCAACTCCGAACTGTAAGATCACAGTGATGCTGCTCTACTGGACCACTGCTAACTCTCTCCAGATCAATGCAAATCATACCAGCACTATGAGATCGTTCAAGGATGCATCTCCATCTCCGCCGATATCTTCATGCTCCTTGTCGCCATCCCGCTGCTCGTCCAAGTCCGCGTCCCCGTGAAGCAGAAACTAATTCTGGTCCTGCTTTTCGGCATGGGTATCTTCGTCATTGTGGCCGCCGTCCTGACCAAGGTGTACTGCCTGGTTCCCTCGCTCATCTCCTACGTCTACATGAACTGGTACTTCCGCGAAGCTACCGTCGCTATCCTTGTCACCAATCTCCCGCTCATCTGGTCGCTTTTGCGCGACGTCTTCCCGGCCCTCAAGTCTTGGACTGGCGGATCCAAAAAGGGCACCGATCGATACAAGTCTGGGCCTTGGTACAGCAAGGGTTCCCGGCCCTATGGTCCGCCGAGTCAACTACGGTCTGGCGACTTCGACATGCAAAATTTCTCCAATCGCAGTGTGCCTCCGACACCGCAAAAGCACGGCCCCGCCGTCTCCGATGTCAGTCTTGGCGAGACGGAGCGCGATATAAGCAGTGACGATGGCTCGGCGCGGGCACTGCGGATCCGCCAGGACATCACGGTGACCGTACAGCATGACTCGCGGCCGCCGGATTACCAGGACGGCCATGGCGTTGCACATGTTACTCGGGGTCACGAGGAAGTCTGATCGATCAATGTGCGACGAGCATTTTATCATCTATGTCTGCAGGCATGGATTAAAAACATTCACGAATTCTATGCGTGTGGGCCAGATACCCTAATCTTCAGCTTCTTGTACATATTTACACCTTTCTTGCGTACTGCTTTTTGACCGGGAGTTCTTCGGTTACGTTCGGGGGGTTTACCGGGATCGCCGTACATACTATAGACTATGTACAGTGTACAGTATAGACCAATATACCACTGCTTTGCTGCACTCCATTCCCCAGTCCTGTATACATACATACATCTCTATCCATACATCTCACTACCTTAAGACAGCGGGGGGAGTATGCACATCAATGTACACATCGATTCGGAAATTGGTGGATGGAGTCCCACGGAACCACAAAAGCAAATCTATACCGGAGCGAGTTTGGCGCAGTCCATCGGACCCGCCGATCTCCCGGCTCCTTGCGTCAACGACCGTTGATCTTATCGCAATTGGGCTCCTCGACTGCCTCCGACTGCCTCCAGTGGTCATTTTGCACCGGCAGTCAAGGAAAAGAGGTTGGTGCACGCTGATTCAGTCGGCAGATGCGCGGATGCCCACCCCTGACAAGGCGATTGGCGCAAAGCAATGCTTTCTGCCATTTTTAAATTCTGTTTCCTCTAGAGTAGTTTGTCGCATTGCCGACAACTCCAACCTGCGGATTCCGCACCCGAGGCGTTTCGCCCTAAAAGAGGTTCTTGGTTCTTCTCTACCCACGCCTCCGGAATCAGTCGATAACGCCCCAGCCCAGCGGACGGTTTGCCTCTGCTGTAATTCTCCAAATTGTGCCCATATGGGCGCGAACACCGGTTCAGCCTGTCAGAGAGCTTGCGGCGGCCATGGGGAGCTCCACCCGTGTCTTGCGCTGGTTCTCAGGTCCATCCGGTACGCAGCCGTGCCATTGGCGTGGGACTTTCCTGGGGCGTCTATCGACAGGCTCGCATCCGTGGCTCGCTCTATCTATCCAATCTGCAGCAACCGTGGTTGGGCTCATGGCGGTCTGACTTGTGGACTGTGATTTTCCGGGTGAGCAACTTGGGGCCGCTTCCACTTTCCGTGTCGTGCTGGATGGCAGTGGCAGGATCTGCCGGGGGGAAGTTGGAGAGATAAGCGGATAAAGCGGTCTGGGGATGATCAATTTCGGGCGGTCATCGGCCGAAATAGGCCTGCTGTCTATGAATTCTCTCCGCTTTCAGCTCCATGGCTGTCGCCCCCCTTTTCTTTAATTGCACTGTGTGTGTACTGTAGGCTATGAATAACTTGACTTGAAGGTAGATGTAACACTGTCTCACATTATGTCTTCCAGAAAGCCACGCAATGCTGTGTGACCGCGCTAGTTAACAGACTTTGCGTAGAGTTTCGGCGACCCACGCCTTCTGCGCGGTCCGCCGCCAATTTACAATTTACTTGCTACCAAAAAAATTCAACATCTACTCCTGCGATGTTAATGCAGGGCTGGTTTTCAGGTACACCCGGAGCAGTTCCTGCATGCATGTACAAAGTGATGCCTCAGCAATATCAGATCGGTGCTGTCCGTCCGATGTCGCTGTCGGAATATCCGATGCGACGGGATCAACACTGTGAACCGGACATCGACCGACGGGATGAACATCGGTAGAATTAATTAATTCATCTTAATTAATCAAGCCGGACCAAACAGAGTCAGACCTTCCCGGTCTATTTTATGATTTGCTCGCATCCCTGCAATTAACGAATCAACGGCATCTACAAAGAGTCAACGCGGGCTCATCTATCCCTTATTCAGTCCCAACCCCACTTCCTTCAGGGAAGTGTTCAGGCCAGATCGGAAAATAGCGCATGGCCTCAAGGCGGCCCCCAAAGGTCCTTCGCATCGATCGCACCGTTGTCTGTGCGCCGATTTGCGAACGCCCGGTCCACTTGCGCAGGTGTGTGCTTGTATGCTGGTGTGCTGGTGGCTACCGAATTTTTATCGAGCACAAACTCTTGTTGGCTTGGTGCGGCTTGAACCTTATTGCGGTTTCTGTGTATTGGTGATGGGATGGGGGCCAGGAACAAACTTTTATGAGGTTTGTGAATAATGATAATATGGCTTTCTTGTTTGATCCTGAGAAACTTTGAGGTGGCTGGCCTGGGCGACAACGGCCACCTCACATGTCAACCCCTTCCCCTAGTTTTGAGTGACAATTTTTACTCGCGACGTAGTAGATCGCCTGCTGTTGCTATAGTAGATGACTGATGTACTCACACAGTGCAATGCCTCTCAAAGCACTGGCAAGTGCTGCCGTAAACTGTATCCAAGCCACGTGACAAGTCAACCTTCGGACTATTGAATCCCAACCGCAACTGCAAGCCCATTCTCAACCCTCATCCCACGCCTTCCGCAGTCTAGACTCGCAATCAACGGGGTCGATTTGACCTTTCCACTACAATTCACAGAGCTCGGTCCAAATTGCCAGGTCTGAGCAGGAGAACCAAGCCAGGATACGCTGCCAGCCCCTGTCATCCCCCCAGAGCCTGGTCCCCCAACCCCGATTTGGGAACACTCGGGCCAGAGGTTTCCAGGTAAGCCCTTCAAACCCCGACTACTCCTTCCAATTGCCGTGCGCATTCTACCCGGGCCCCTCCAGAACCAAACTGGGGCAACGGAGGCTTACGATACAGTAGAAAGGAGGGAACCAGACTGCAATTGTCGAGCAGCCGACTACGCTTCGCATTTCCACTTCGGTCACCATCTCCGTGGCCTTACGAGCAACATCCCTGCTGATCACTCCACACTCCTGCAATTCGCGTGAGAAACGCATTTCCACTTCGGTCACCATCTCCGTGGCCTTACGAGCAAAATCCCTGCTGATCACTCCACACTCCTGCAATTCGCGTGAGAAACGCATTTCCACGTGGTTATCGCGCTGAACGGTTTTCCTGGGCGCTGATCCTACCGCAAGCGGCAGGAGCGTTGATCCTGCGTTGATCGGCGTTCGTCTAGTAGACGGCATTGACGGACAGCTACTAGCTGCTGGGCAACGTGCAGCTATCTGATTATCTTTGTAATCCTGACCCCGGGGTTTCGCAGACAGGTTAAGTTCAATGTCGACTGAAACGCTCACCCGCCGCTCCTTTTTGGGGCTTGAAGGATGCCATGTCTTCATCACTGGGGCTAGTGGTGCCATTGGGGGCGAGGCTGTGAGGGAATTCTTAGGTAGGTGCTGTGCTTGTAGTTTTGCTTTTCCACTGAGCTGTCTCTTGTTCCCGAGGAGTAGCGGCTGTTGTAGAGATGTATCTTCTGGAGTAGAGAGAGGCCATTCTTGTCGGTATAACAGAACAATCTAACGCCTCCCTTAGATCATGGATGTCGTGTCACAGCATATGACAGCCAGCCTCTCCAGCTTTCCGGAATCGATGCCGAACGTTTCTCAAGGCTGCAACTGCTGAATGGTGATCTCACCAATGAAGAATCCATCCAGTCTGCCTTTGCCAAAGCCCAGGAAAAATTCGGGCCTGCTACTATCTTGATCGTCAACTCTGCTGCCGAGAGCAAGACTAGCGATTGCCCTATTTGGGAACTGCCCCTAGAAGAATGGGAGAGGAATTACAAGACAAATGTCCAGGGCTCCTTCCTAGCCATCAAGCACTTCCTGCGATCATATCAGCAATCAACTGGTGCCAACCTGGCCAGCCCAGTGATTGTCGTGACGGAGACAGAGACTAGCACCAGTCTTACGGCAGGCAAGGCTGGTCTTCATTACGGTCTGCTCAACAGTGTTCGTGATGAGATCTTGCGTCTCAACGCGCAAGGGCGCATCAATGCTGTTGCTCCTGGCGCCTTCGAGGAAGACCAGGGGCCCGGACCGGCAGATGTAGCACGGACTATGGCTTTTCTCGCTTCTGGTCGAGCTGCTGGTCATATTTCGGGACAGTGCATTCGCGTGGAAAAGGGCAAGGAAGATTCGATTTCAGACGCGCGTGTTTCGGAGTCGGCTGTCACCAAGGACGTCACAAGGTCAATCCCTCAGGGCCTGTCGAAGCCAAAGCGAAATAAGATTCGTGTGGCTGTCTCTATCGATCTCGATGCAGTTTCTGGCTGGCTCGGAACGAGTAAGTGGCCCTCGGACCATGACGGTCTCGCGTACAAGCTGACCTGTTATTACAGACTCCCACCCCGACAATGTCCTGGCAGACTACTCGGCCGGATTCTTCGCCGCCCGAGTCGGTGTCCCTCGTCTCCTCCGCATGTTGAAGAAGCTGGACCTCGCCAATCGCTGCACTTGGTTCATCCCCGGCCATTCTGCGGAAAGCTTCCCAGACGAGGTGAAAGAGGTTGTCGCTTCAGGCTGCGAGATCGGATTGCATGGCTACGCGCACGAGGGCGCATACCAGCTCACACCGGAACAAGAGCGCGACGTACTCACCCGCTGTATGGAGATTGCTCAAAACTTGACTGGGAAGAAACCGGTCGGTTATCGAGCGCCGTTGTATCAATTGCGCGAGTCGACACTTGATCTCTTGGAGGAATTTGGATTTGAGTACGGTATGGATCTGCTGGAGTCCGTTTAGCTGCGCGCCCACATTAACCATCGTCGTGTGTAATAGATGCCTCATTGACCGATCACGACTGCCACCCATTCTTCGCGCCGAGACGTCCACCTCTCCAGCCAATCGACTTCACCAAACCCGCCTCGACATGGATGCACCCAGTCAAGGAATCACCGAATCTGCCCGATAGACGCCCTCTCGTCTGCGTGCCATGCAACTATTACATGGAAGATATGACGCCGATGCAATTCCTGCCTCACACGGAGAACTCTCAGGGCTATGTCGATGTGCGGGTGATTGAAAATCTCTGGCGCGATCGGTTCTTGTGGATTCGCGACAATGAGGAGGATCCTGTTTTTCCTGTTCTTATGCATCCTGATACCAGTGGCATGGCTCATGTTATTGGTATGCTGGAACGCATGTTGGGTTGGTTGAAGGAGTGGGAGCGCGAGGGCGAGGTGGAATTCTTGCAGACTGTGGAGATTGCTCAGTGGTGGAGAGAGAAGATGATCGCGAGGGGGACTTGATAGAGTCGAGATCGTCTCAAAAAGGCATACCAAATGGGAAATGCCTGCCTTTGCACAAATCTGCGTTAGCTGTGGAAAAAGGTACATGAAAAGTTTCTGTAAGAAAACGAATTTTGATGCCCGTTGCAGAGTGTGAGTAAACAATCGTCCAGCGCCGTGTCATAGTCAAGCCTTCCATCATAACGCATGCCTTGCACGTTGAAGTCCTTGAAATATGTGCTAGGAAGCTACGACCCTTGAAATTGGCCCCCATATTTCCAAAGAATCGAATCTGCCTTTCCTCTGACCTTTTCAAAACTACTAGTAGGCAATCAGCCTACACCAGTGTGATAGATTTGGCATTCACAATAAGCACACACTAAAGCATGCAGCCCCGATCACACTTCTCTTTTCATAAGGCTTCAGAGTGTTGCTTCGACGGTGGTTGGATAGAACGTATCCCAGCGAGGCGAACTATAGACCATCTGTGTAACGAAATCAAAGCCATCCAGCTTCGCCCCGGGGCCGTCCATTCCGTATGGCTTGCCTTAGCTGCCGATCGCCGATCAACATGAAACCGCCCCGGAGGCGTTCGCGATCGCAAGAATCATGGAAAGCAATTCCAAATGTGCGTCGGAATAATAAACAAGCACGTGTGGGCCTTGGATATGAAACGCTCCATCCCCCTGGAAAGGCGTACCCTGCCCCTTGCTTCATATGCTAACTTCGATCGCTCGAACTCCTCAAATTCATACCTCTGCCAACCTCTATTTCCTCCAAAGTAATGCGGTTATACGGTTTCTTGTTCGCCTTAAGCCTGGGCTTGGCTGGGTCTGTTGCAGCTCAAGAAGGGACCATCCAAACCGACCCCTCCGAGTCGAATCCATCCGGCACTTTGTCTCCGTTGAGCGGAGAAACATCAATGCCTGATGTCGGATACTCGCCCGTGCTGGAATCAGGGAATTACGGTCATGGGCCCGAGGTGACGACTCCTCTCCCACGCCACAATCGTCCAACGAAAAACGAGACGATGATCTGCCGACTACTCTCGAGAAGCGAGCTGTTCCGGTGCCGATTGTCGTCTAGAAGGTCCTACCTAATATTTGTCGAACCACGTGATGACACTCGGTTTTTTCGCTGAGAACGCCAATTCCTCTTTACCAGCGGCTCCATACTTCTTTGATGGTGCGGGCAGAGCAAATCGGCATCCTGGCCTAGTTATCAGTATCATGTACGCGAAAGCAATGCAAAACGAGCAAACGAAATTAAATTTGCGCCATATCGATGAACAAGTGTGAAATTCAAGATGTACACGTTCTAGTGTACTCGAGTAATCATTGTCGGTACAGTCTCATGACATGAAAATTAAAATGTATATGTACAAAAAGTTCCATCTAGACAAAGGAAATGGCAAAGGAGGGCCAGGATGGTGCAAAGCATCCGAATAGAACAACATAGCCAACCACAGAAAGACCAAACCAAGAGATGCATGACCTAATAGACTGACACTCAAAACGCCATAGCTAAAATGGTACCAAGACAAGCAGAATCATAGCGTGAAGTGTGATGCAAAAGAGCGGAGGCAAAGCTGAAGTACAAATCTGAAGTGCAACCGAGAAAATGCAAGGAGAGAATCATTATGCACCTGCGCCGGGGTATTTGAAAGAAAAGCAAAACCGGCTGTAGAAACAAAACCACATTCATATAAGAGTCTCATGGACCCGAGCGTTAACGTCGAAACATGCGAACAGGAGCACTCAGGTCCCTGCGCTCGCTCACGTCCTTCTCGCCATTTGAATCGGCGCGCAAGTTAGGGACTCGCTTTGCACCCTGACCGGGAGTCGATCGAACACTCCCCGTAGAGCCAGCGGATCGCCCAGTAGCTTCATTTGCACTGACTGATCGCTGCTTACTGCGGGCACGGCTTCGTCTCGCTCTTATCTGGGCCAGCGCTTCCTCCCGGTTGATAGGAGTGTCGCCGAAGGACGAGGATCCCTGGGAACTCGTTGGGTCACGGAGCGGAACACGTTTGGTCAAGGCAGGGTTAGGGCGATACTGCTCCCGTTCTTGTCGTCGAGAAGGTCGGACTTCCTCGGGCTCAGGAACATGGGCGGGTTCATCAGCGATAACCTCGGATGGCGCGGCGTGCACCATTCTCGAGGGAACCGGCTCAGCGGATGGAGTGTAGGACTCAACAGGCTGAATCAAGGAGGTCGTCGAAACTGCCGAGTTCCTCCAGCCACGGTGGGAGTGGGCTTGAGAGCTTCTCATCCCAGGCGAGGCAAAGGAGTCAGTCCGACGAGGTCGAACATTATCGCGGAGAGGAGACGGGTAGGTGGTGAAAGTCCCCGTCTCTGGTGAGAAGGTGACCAGTGGCTCTGCGGGCATAGGCATCTTTTCCGGGGGTTCAGTCGGCTCAGTCTTGACCGCGGGCTCCGGCTGGCGGCGAACAGGAGTATGTTGAACAGTATTTACGTGGACTGGGCTGGGAGGATCGACACTGGGGGTGTAGCTGGTTTGAGGCTCGTTGTGGACGGGTTCTGAATGGGCGGGGACAGGAGGAGGGACATCATCAAGAGAGCGAGCCTTACGAGCTGCCTCTGCTTGTGCCTCTGCCTCTGCCTGCGCATCCAGCTGCGGCTTCTGGAATTTTTCAAAGTATTCTTCGTCGTAGATATAACGACGGCCTTGGTGTTCAGCGATGCGGCAGGAGCAGCGCTCGAACTGACACTCGATGTTCATGAAATGCACCATTTCCTCTGCTTCGATTCGTCGGCGTTTCTCAAGCTCAAGCTCGTCCTGGAGATCCTCCATGGCTTCACGGGCCAATTCCGATGAAGACTGCTCATTAGAGCCTTGGTAGTCGCCGGCGGTTGTAGTGCATTCTGAGAGTCGCTGTCGTTTCGGAGGAGTGGCTTCGGCATCGATGGTTTCGAGCTCTGAGGCTGGGGACTTCACAGATCCGACGGCGGCTCGCTTAGGGCGTCGTGGGGTTGCGAGGAAAGCGAGATCGCCCTCAGCAAGGGAAAGTCGGCCAAAATCTTCTTTTCGAATCTCATGTGCACGAACTTCGAGGCTGTTAGAGTGGTTGGAGGCCTCCATGGATCGCAGTTTGCCCTTCAGGACTTCGAGTTCCTCAGTGAGACCAGCGAGGGCATAGGCGCGCTCGAATGCCTCTTGTTTCGCCTTATCTTTACACTCACGCTCTGCGGCAACCTCCTCTCTGAGGGACTTGGCTTCAGACTTGGCGTTCTTGAGTTCCTCTTGCAGCTTAACAAGAGTCGACCCCGCTCGGAAAGCCTCTTTGCGAGCCTTTCGGATCTCCTTTTCGAAAATCGAGCGTTCGTGGGCCTGGCGCTCTTTGGTGCCATGCAACTCCTCTAGTAGCGACTCGAGTCGCTCGCTAATGCGGCGCTCACGCAATTGTGCTTCCGACAACTCTTCCTGAACGGACTCGAGTGCGGACTCGGCCTCCTCACGACCGAGGATGGCCCGCTGGAGAGCAGCATTCTGGGCCGCGGCCTGATTCTGTGCACCTGGGCTAGCCTGGCGAGAGAGTTGGTTGAGAAAAGCCACTTTGGCTTGCACCTCGGAGACTCCTTTGGTGCTTTTCTGATGGAGCGATAGAAGATCTGCGGGGAGGGAGGGCGAGGCAGGAATTGTTTGTTGATTTAGGCGTTCCGGCGATACCGGGTGGAGGACCTTGGGAGGACTGAGGACTGGACGCGTTGGAGACTCCATCGCGGATATAGTCGGGATAAAAAGGGGGCGAGAGATGTTAGAAGGTCATGAGGTCGTCGCAGGAGGGTTGGCCGGAGGGGGAATCACCGTTGGCGTTTGGGCGAAAGTGTGGGTGCGTCACTGGGTTGTTTATTGCCCTCTTGGGAAAGGTCATGTGACTGTTGCCCTGGACACCAATGCGCCTTCCCCAAAATGGCCTAGCTCACGAATCACGAGACCCGCTGTCACGTGTGGTTCCCTTTCCCGAAAGTGGATTAGCCTCGTGGGAGATTCGCCCGTGACTGTCTGTGGGCATCGCAAATCGAGCGCGTCTGAACGAGACCGCAGGCAGGTGATTTCAACAGCCATGCATGAGATCGTCACCCTCCAACTGGGTCAGCGGGCCAACTATCTGGCTACGCATTTCTGGAATCTCCAGGTAATTTTGTTTCTCGCTCGAAACGCACGGTGATATATTTCTGATATCTGGAGTAGGAATCATATTTCACATACAATGAAGGCGAAGAATCTCCAGTGAATCATGATGTCCATTTCCGACCGGGCTACGGCGCAGATGGCTCCGAGACTTATACGCCTCGGACGGTCATCTATGATCTCAAAGGCGGATTCGGGACTCTGCGCAAATATAATGCTCTGTATGAGCTGACTGATGATGCAGTAGCGGGGCAAGGCTTGTGGTAAGAGCATTTTCCGTTCGCCTTCATTTCGGCCATTGACTTACTCTGTTTAGGGATGGCCAAGAAGTCGTGCAAAAACAGACACCCATTCCACAAAGTGATTATCAGAAAAGTTTAGATCAGGGTACTACAGCACCGCGACTAACGTCGGAGACGGTGCGCTACTGGTCTGATTATAACCGAGTTTTCTATCATCCTCGGTCAATCGTGCAGCTCAATGATTATGAGCTCAACTCCCAGATTATGCCATTCGAAGACTGGAATGTCGGCGAAGAGCTGTTCAATGACCTCGACAAGGAACATGATTTGCTGGACCGTGATCTGAGACCCTTCGCCGAGGAATGCGATCAGATGCGGGCCATCCAACTCTTCACCACCTCAGATGATGCATGGGGCGGATTTACTGCTCGGTTCATTGACAGAATTCGTGACGAATATGGCAAGAAGAGCGTTTGGGTGTGGGCGATGGAAGATGGGAACAAAGTGCAACGAGTATGTTGAGAGTCACGTGCCTAGAAGTCAAACAGTGCCTTTATCTAACCATCATGATGTTTCCAGCACCGACAATTGAAGAAGGACACAAACAAAGCCAAGTCTCTCTGTTCGATTTCGCCACAGTCGACACTCTATGTGCCTGTCATCGACATTCCGCACAAGCTTCCCCGCTCGCTTCAAGTGGATCGGCATTCCGAGTGGCAAACTACAGCGTTGCTAAGCTCTGCGCTTGAGACAGTGACATTGCCATCTAGATTGCGACCCTATCACGACTTTGAAGCCTCGCTTGCGGGGGACGACGGAAGGCATACTATTTTCGAGCTTCAATCCAGCATCGAGCCCGAGGACCAATCTTCGGATGACAATCAAAATGATCTGCCCAAAGCCAAAACCGAATTTGACATTGACTTTACCTATGATGGGGAAAAGGGCAAATCTCATCATATCTTTAACCAAGTCCAGGTACTGCGTGGGGATGTGCCCGAGTCAGGATCTGGTGAGCCCGTTGATGGTGATGATCTTGGCCGTCAGCGAAAACTTCGATTGTATAATTCGGAGGCAATGCTCCAGAGGTAGGACCTTCCTTCCCGTCGATGACATCCTGTTGATTTTGATGCCCCGTTTTGCCGTTTCCTTCTCGGAACTAATTAGTCGTGTCTTAGCTACCGCACCCCGCTGCGCCTGCCTATTCTCGACAGTTTCCCGCATGGGATGTATTCTACATCCCGGTCAGCCGATGGGGTGAGTGTTTTGGCCGCATTGACCGCCTCCACCCGAACGGCCGACAGGATCAAGACCATTGAGGGGACGGCTGCACGAATGTTATCGGTGGATGAGCGTGAGATGATGATGAATGGACTGGGGGAGATCCGGGAATGCTACGAGATTGGTTGGAGTAGTGGATCCGACGACGAGGATGATTAGAAGAGAGGCAGGGCAATCCCCACCGGCTAGCAGGCTTGGTATCTCATTTCTCTTGTTTTCCCCGACGACCGAGATAGAGTCAATGATGTACATACGCGGCGGCTGGCCCTGTCAGGTTGGACCGAGACCTCTTTGCGTTAGAGCGTAGAAGGCCCTCGCTCGGCACTCCGACATTAGCGCGGTCAATGTCACTATCGCTCGAATTCAGGATTTCTGGAAGGGTGCGCACTGAGTCGTGGATTCATCTCCACCTGATCACCGCCCCAGAACTTACGATACGAAGTCTCACAACGCCTCTTAGCGGTGTTCGTAGGAACCCCAAGTATAGAAGCTGGATGTACAAAAGAACGGAATCCAAAAAAAAGAAAGCATAAGATGGTTCACCGCGATTTCTATTATTGACAGTTATCGAGGCGTTCGTTATCGACTAGTATGTATCATCTGCCTTATTAAATATTGTTGCTGTGATGATGGTGATCAGTGAATGTGGCGGCAGAGCGCAGGATAGGTCGAGTAACACGATGCGGTGCATTGTTTCCCTGGGCGACCAGAGGACCCGTCTTACTTACGAACCCTGGCTCTCTCGATGTCTCCAAATCCTTCCATTCCGGGGGCTGGCGTTCGCATCCGGTACTCGGTACACCGTTGAACCCTATGCGATCAGCCCGTACGGCTCACGGCCGACCAGCCTCCTTAGCAATAGTCGGGGTGGGTGTTCCAGACCAGATACGAAACGCAGCAAGGATACGGGGTACATTTGTCAATTAAACGATCCCGCTATCGAAAAAAAAAGCATCCATCGACTATTGGTAGTTTTGTTTATTGTGACAGTGATCTAGTGACGGTGACGTTGGGACCCTGAGCGGGCAACCATGGAACATGGAATCCGAGACATGTCAACCACGGGGACCGCCAGATGGGCCCAGCAGGACAGCCAACTTGGGGAGAGCAGGGGCAGAAGGGAGAAGAACATGGCAAAACATGACAAAAACATGGGCTCAGCGTGGCCCGGCGGTGACATCATGAGAGGCCGATGGCTGGTATCGCACCAATCGCGACTTCACCTCGGCAGCATCCCTGCGCCCGCGTTAGTACCAGCGCACGCTCGTTGCTGTACGCCCGGAGTCTCGTTCCTCGATCTCCACCTGACCGGCTTGTTTTTCCACCTCGTCGAGGCCCTGGTCACCGTCATGTAACGTTACCTGCAGGTGCCACCATCAGGCACTGGAGCTCGATCCTGGATAGACTCAATTGACTCCCGGGTATCGCTGCTTAGCTCTGCCGATCTATGCACCGGGCATCGAATACTTGTCTGTCCCTTCTGGTTGTGGCAAATTGAGGAATCAACTGGCACTGCAGGAACTCGTGGCCTGCAGAGGTCCACTGGTCCAGCCACCTCCAGAACCCTGAAAGGCAGGGAGGCACAGATGCAGACGCACCAGAAGAACAAGAGTCGAGGCGGATGCAGAGTACCTTTTCAGGTCTGTTCAGGACTTACCTGAGGGGACGCGAGGCCAGCAGAACTAATGCACGGACATCACAATTCACCGGGTGGCCTCGGCGAGATTCCTGGCCCTGTGTCTTTTTCCCTTTTCATTTTTCCTTTTCCCCTGCTGTGTTCCGCCTTACCGTCAAATCTCTCGAGGACACGCTAGTGTTAGCGGTATCGACCGTGGTATTGGGTATTGGAGACGGCAGATTTGCCGGCGCGCTTCTCATTCGCGAGGTTTCCCCACATTCAGTGCTCACCCCAGAACAACAAATGAGACCTGCCTTAGGTTCCATGGTATACACCACCCAACCTGGTACTCTAAGCGTATACCCTGGGATACGCAACGGTGTATCTTATCCGGAAATGCGGAGTGAGACCGTCGTCCGAGCCCGCGCGACAAGAATAGCAATTGGTGTCCTGGCATGATCAGGGAATTAAATCTCTATCCGAACGAGGCATGACGCCTGAGTCGACCAGCCTCCACGGCAGCGGGGAGGTATCGCAGCAAGCAGTGGAGACGACGAAAACAAACGGGAGGCATGCAAAAGAAAAAGGCCGCACTGCTCTCGCTACGTCTGCATTGACATGGATGTTCATGCCCCCTTCCTCCCCAACCGAATGAGCTATCCAGCGGCCTCGTTCCCGTCTCGACGCATCTGCCAAGCCCGTCATGCATCATCGGGGGCAGACCTCGATTTAGGTCCCACTGCAGCGTGGGTCTTCGGTCCTTTCGAACGCTTTGAGTTTGGCGAGATGCATTCCGCTTCTATTCTACGAGCGAACCACCGGCCAACTTCATCACCAGAGCCCCATTTATTGGCTTCAGCCCCAGTCATCTGTCGCTGAGCCAACCGGGTCCGGAACCTGACACTAACTTCGGCCCTGCATGGAGACCTAGTACTATGTACATCGCGACATGGCGTCGACAATGAGAGACACAGAAACTCTAGCTCACCTCTGCAAGCGCATGCCCGAATGGTTTACTTTGCAAGCTTGGAGGAGCCACTTCTGTCCTAGTATTGTTGGGTACCACAGTCTAACTCCATCCACGGGACGAATCGAGATGAGGCCCCCAGGCTATCAATCGGTCGTCAATAGCACCTGATGTCAGTCAACAGAGACAGACCCGCCCCGGGCCAGGGTTCTTGCTGCACCTGCAGCCATGAGGAGCTGTGGACAGTGGGCAGAGCAGGGACCCTCGTAGTGCCCTCTTAGGGCTGTGGATATAAATTCAACCCAGATCCTCGTCTACTTCCCCCCGGTCTTTCTGGTTTCTGAGAATCAATCCGTGATAGGAGCTCTTTCGCTACGGTTCCTATCTGTCCTTCGTTCCTCGGATCGGACTTTGAAAGCAACTTCGCATAGCATTCTCTCGTTTGTTTGCTAGGCAAGATGCGCGGCATTCCAATTCTCGTTCTCTATGCCGTCGCCATGGCCTCGGGCAGCGTCTTGCCTCGAGACGCCAATGGTGACTTCCGCCTTGCTGTTCGTGGCGGTGGTGGTGATTGGGGTCATGGAGGTGGTGATGGTGGTGATGGTGGTCATGATGGTGGCGATTGGGGCCATGGAGGTGGTGACGGCGGTCACGACGGGGGTGATTGGGGTCATGGAGGCGGCGGTGGTGAAGAGTCCTCGACACCATGCGAAACTGATACTCCCACTCCTCCCCCGGTAGAGTCGTCCACGCCTTGTGAGACTGATACTCCTACCCCTACTCCGCCACCAGAGACATCGACACCTTGTGAAACTGATACTCCTACGCCTACTCCTCCCCCAGAGACTTCTACTCCTTGTGAGACTGATACTCCCTCTCCCACACCAACTCCTCCTCCAGAGAGCTCCACTCCCTGCGAGACGGACACACCTACGCCCACGCCTCCTCCCGAGTCATCTACTCCCTGCGAGACGGACACGCCTACTCCTACGCCGCCACCTGAGAGCTCTACTCCCTGCGAGACGGACACGCCTACTCCTACGCCGCCACCTGAGAGCTCTACTCCTTGTGAGACGGATACCCCAACACCTACTCCTCCCCCAGAGAGCTCTACTCCATGCGAGACAGACACGCCTACTCCTACGCCGCCACCTGAGAGCTCCACTCCTTGTGAGACGGATACCCCCACACCAACTCCTCCCCCAGAGAGCTCTACTCCCTGCGAGACCTCGACTCCCACTCCTCCTCCAGAGAGCTCTACTCCCTGCGAGACTTCGACTCCTACTCCTCCTCCGGAGAGCTCTACTCCTTGCGAGACTTCGACTCCCACTCCTCCTCCAGAGAGCTCTACTCCCTGCGAGACTTCGACTCCTACTCCTCCTCCGGAGAGCTCTACTCCTTGCGAGACTTCGACTCCTACTCCTCCCCCGGAGAGCTCTACTCCTTGCGAGACTTCGACTCCCACTCCTCCCCCAGAGAGCTCGACTCCCTGTGAAACTTCGACTCCCACTCCTCCCCCAGAGAGCTCAACTCCCTGCGAGACAGACACGCCTACTCCTACGCCGCCACCTGAGAGCTCCACTCCTTGTGAGACGGATACCCCCACACCAACTCCTCCCCCAGAGAGCTCTACTCCCTGCGAGACCTCGACTCCCACTGCTCCTCCAGAGAGCTCTACTCCCTGCGAGACTTCGACTCCTACGCCTCCCCCTGAGTCGTCCACTCCTTGCGAGACCTCCACCCCTACTCCTCCCCCGGAGAGCTCTACTCCCTGTGAAACTAGCACCCCAACCCCCCCTCCGGAGTCTTCTACCCCGTGCGAGACTGAGACTCCTACTACTCCTCCGCCGGTGCCGACCACTGTCACCACCACCTACACCACTACTACCTGCCCTGGTAAGTCCACTCGGAATGACTACTTAGTTGTTTATCACTAACTTAATATCTCTAGTTACTTGGTCTACCGTCACCAGTGGATCCTCCACCTACACTCAGCCCGTTACTCAGACTAGCACTCTGACCATCACCTCCGTGGTCACCTGCACTGAGGGCTGCGTTGTTCCCACCAGCGTCCCTGGTACTACTGTCGTGGTTCCTCCCTCGAGCCCTGCTCCTCAGCCAACCTCGCCTGCTCCCGAGGTTTCTCCCGTGCACTCGAGCACTGCTCAGCCCTCTAACCAGGCCAGCTCGACGGCTCCCGCTCCCGCGGCCACCACTTCGCCCATTTTCAACGCCGCTTCTTCCCAGTACAAGATGTCTCTGGCAGGCGTTCTCCCCGGCCTGGCCGTCGTCCTGGCGTTGTTCTAATGATTTCGCCCTCGTGCTGAAATTTGATGGACGTGCGAGCATTCTTATTTTCATTCGCAACATCGTACAGGTAATACAGGATGGGAAGCCGATCACAAGAAAAACGAAAGAAAAAACTACAAAAAAATTGGATTCTGGGGCAAGGCATGGATGACCAAACCTACTACCCTAATACCCATCGCCTGCACCCTGGCAGGCGATGGTGATTGATGAGTTCTCTTTACGACTTACGTTCCTTCACAATCATTGGCCGGCTTTAGTTTAGTATAAAGTGTAGTTCACTAATTGACGTGAGATCTTATTTATCATATACCAATTTCCAAGCTTGACAGTATCCCTCTCATGTTTGCACCAATTTTCTTCATAGATTCCGCCCACCGAGTGTGTTTGAGTTGTTTGGCCAAGGAGGTCAAGTACCTCTCGCCTCGCCAAGACTCTGAAATTTAGGGCTGCATTACGTAACTAAATGTCCTTGTGCAAACACTGCAAACACTATTGCATCCTGGACCCGTGGCCTCAGACATGCGGCTCGTTGTGCTTCTCTTGCCAGCTGGCCACAGCATCCCCTCGCGCCCAGATGGCTTAGTTGTTGTGGATTCCCGAATTTCTTCATCTTCCAACATTCTGCAACCCTCAATTCCACGACGGCGTTCCGTCTCAACCCCATTTCATAGCTCCTGCATCCGCACCTCAACTGGCGCAAGGCCAGTGTTCCACCGACACACATCTTGGCGATCTGGTGGAGCGCCTCGAGATATTCGCCATTGTTTCTGCTTGTTGATTTACCGCTGCATGTAAGTCAACTCCGGTTAATTAATCTCCTGGTCGAAGGGTACAGTAGCTCACTGGTTGCAGTTGCAGCATTAGATATAGACCATGGCTCCCCCGGGCCGCTCACGACTCCCAACCTCCCCATTCATCTCTCTTGTCTTCCTCCCATTCTTGGTCTTCCTTCTCAGCTTCGCTGGCTCGGCTTCCGCCGCCGGGTCCGCCGTAATCGGCGTCGATGTCGGCACAGAATACTTCAAAGCGGCCCTGGTGAAACCGGGCATTCCCCTTGAAATCGTGCTTAGCAAGGATTCGAAGCGCAAGGAATTGGCAGCTATCGCATTCAAGCCGACTAGAGAAAGCGACGCCCCCTTCCCCGAACGGTTCTACGGCGGCAATGCGCTGGCCCTGGCGGCTCGGTACCCTGACGATGTTTACAGCAACTTGAAGGCCTTGTTAGGATTGTCTTTCAATGACGGAAACAACGATCTGGTCAAGGAGTACTGGAGCCGGTATCCAGCCCTCAATCTTGAAACTGCCCCCAATGGCCGCGACTCTGTGGCCATGCGCAGTAATCGACTCGGCGAGATGGAGAAGAAGGACGCTTTCTTGGTTGAGGAAATCCTGTCCATGCAGCTGAAGGAAGTGAAGGCCAATGCCGATCTGTTGGCTGGTAAAGGGTCGGACATCCGTGATGTCGTGATTACATACCCTGCCTTCTATACCGCAGAGGAGAAACGGAGTCTTTCTCTGGCCGCCGAACTGGCTGGCCTGAAGATCGAGGCTCTCATCAGCGATGGTTTGGCCGTTGGTTTGAACTACGCCACTAGCCGCAAGTTCCCCAGTGTCACGGACGGAGAGAAGCCGGAATACCATGTTGTCTACGATATGGGAGCTGGCTCGACAACCGCGAGCGTTCTGCGCTTCCAGAGCCGCCAGGTCAAGGACATCGGCAAATACAATAAGACCATTCAGGAAATCCATGTGATGGGATCTGGCTGGGATAAGACACTCGGAGGCGACGCTTTGAATGATCTCATTGTCCACGACATGATTGAGAAGCTCGTCGAAGAAAAGAAGCTCAAGGGCACGGTCACCGCCGCGGACGTCAAGGCGCACGGCAAGACGATGGCGAGACTCTGGAAGGACGCAGAGAAGGTTCGACAGATTCTCAGCGCCAACTCCGACAGCTCGACTAGCTTCGAAGGTCTGTACGACGAGGAGCTGAACTTCAAGTACAAAATCACCCGCTCCCACTTTGAGAAACTGGCCGCAGAACATGCCGCTCGTATTGGCGCTCCTTTGGAGAAAGCCCTTGAGGCCTCCAACCTGAAGCTCGATGATCTTGACTCCATCGTTCTCCACGGTGGTGCTATCCGTACTCCTTTCGTTCAGAGAGAGCTCGAGAAGACCTGCGGATCATCTAAGAAGATCCGAACCAATGTCAACGCCGATGAGGCAGCAGTCTTTGGTGCCGCTTTCAAGGGTGCTGCTCTCAGCCCCAGCTTCCGAGTCAAGGAGATTCGCGCCAGTGACGCCGCCTCTTACCCCGTCGTCCTCCAGTGGAACTCGGATGGCAAGGTCAGAACCCAGAAGCTATTCACTGCTACCTCTCAAGTCGGTCCCGAGAAGCAAGTCACTGTCAAGAACCTGGACGACTTTGGTTTCGAGTTCTATCAACAGGTTGGTCAGAACGATGAGAACCTCCCGGTTCTCAGTGTTCAGACCCAGAACCTTACTGCCTCTGTGGCCAAGCTGAAGGACAGCTTCGGCTGCTCAACTGCGAACATAACCGCCAAATTCAACATTCGCTTGGATCCTGTCAACGGCCTCCCTGAGGTCACCAGCGGTAATGTGAGCTGTGAAGTTGAGGCCGAGAAGAAGGGAATCGTGGATGATGTCAAGGGGTTCTTCGGTCTTGGCTCCAAGAAGGGAGACCAAGAGCCCCTTGGTGAAGACGAGGCTAGCGAATCGATCACCCTTGAGCCCGAAGTCGAATCTTCCACCACCGCATCTGCAAGTGACGCCTCGACCACTAGCGCCACTAAGGACGCCGGTAAGGCGACTGCGCAAACTAAGGTCGAGATTATCCCAATTGCCCTGAAGTCTACCCAGCTTGGAACACCAGCACCTTCGGCCAGCGAGCTCGCCCGCATTCGTGCGCGCTTGTCTGCGTTTGATGCTTCGGACCGTGATCGTATCCTGCGTGAGGAGGCACTCAATGAGCTGGAGTCGTTCATCTACCGCAGCCGCGACTTGGTGGATAATGAGGAGTTTGCCAAGGCTGTCAAGGAAGATCAACTGGCTGCCTTGCAAGACAAGGTCTCCAAGTCTAGCGACTGGCTTTATGAAGAAAGTGATAACGCCAAGACCGCCGACTTTCAGGCTAAACTGAAAGACCTGAAGAGCATTGTCAACCCTGCTCTCAAGCGCATGAAGGAGTGGGCCGATCGTCCCGCCCGCGTGCAGATGCTCCAAGATATGATCAAGAACGCCGAATCTATGAAACAGCTCATTGAGAACCAGATTCAAACTGATGAGGATGCTTATTCCTCGGCTCTCTCCGCCTCAAGCACTTCTACTGAAGAATCGGAGACTAGCTCTTCCACCGCTGCTCCGGCTGCTTCGACCGATGACCCTCTGGACGAACTTGATGAGGACTCTTACTCATCCTCGAAGACCTCCACCAAAACCGCTGCGGCAGCTAAGCCCACCGGTCCTAAGTATACTCTCTTCAACCCTACGGACCTCTCTTCTCTCACACAAGTGTATGATTCCGTCAAGCCCTGGCTCACGGAACAACTTGCTGTCCAAGAAAAGCTCACCGAGTCCGATGACCCTGCTTTGACTCTGGTCGATATCGATTCCCGTCTGCGCGAGTTCGAGCGTGTCTTGAACCGCCTGTACGAGCGGATGACCGTTGCCGCCAAGAAGAACAGTCCAAAGAAGGACAGCCCCAAGAAGGGGAAGAGCAAGACCAAGCAACCCGAAGTTGATAAGAGCAAGGGCAATGAGAAGACAAAGGCCCCTGTGAACGACGACCGAAAGGATGAGCTTTGATCTCGCCCGGTCACGTTGCATTTTTACTATATTATTGTTCATCGAAAATAAAGAGCGCGTCTCGCATTTATCTGTACCATCACATTGAATACTAAAGAGGAGAGTAGAATTGAGGTTTGATTTATGTCAATTTACCCATGGAGACGTTCACTTGCGTGAAATGGAGTTTGCAATGTCGGGGTCCATCCTGCTCTGGATCCACCGCGTCTCGCACATATCCGAGCAGCGAAACAAATGCCGAAGTGTCCACTTTCCGCTTTCTTCGCTCTTACACGGCTGTAATGATTGGAGGAACCGGTTAGAATAAGTAGTGCTACCACAATCGAACCTCGAAGACCCCGCCGTCAATGTATCACGCCTCGTATCACCAGGCGAGGTACGCATGGGCCCGGAATTTCGGCAGCATCAAAGGCCGAGGTCACTTTGAATCAAAGCGCGTGGAGAAAATCCATTTCGGTATTGAGTGAGATGAAGTTTTCTGTCAGAAAAACTCAATCTTGTTATTCTACTGATCGTCTTACTTGGATGATGCGATGCTCTGGAGTTGAGATTGAATGTTCTCCACGCTGAAGTGGATAATGATACAGCAATGCAATGCTATTCGGCGAGCGGCCGACAGCGAATCCTCGTGCGTTGAAACCAACAGCAAACACTGATGCACCACCGGACGGTGGCTATGGATGGGTATTCACTGTTGCAGCTGCCGTCATTAACGCCCATTCCTGGGGGTTTAATTCTGCCTACGCTGTGTTCCTCGCCTACTACTTGGACAGCGACGTCTTTCCAGGCGCAAGCCATCTCGAATATGCATTTGTGGGGTCACTCAGTTTGTGTCTTTTGATGCTCATTTCGCCAATCGCGACGATATCGGTTCGAGAATTAGGTGTCAATCCGACCATATTCTGTGGTGTCGTTCTGGAAACCGTTTGTCTTTTATGCGCCAGTCTCTCAACGCAAACATGGCACTTGTTCTTAACACAGGGCGTCTTTTTCGGAATGGGACTAGGTCTTCTCTTAACACCTACAGCAGCTGTTGTCCCGCAATGATTTACCACGAAGCGGCCTCTAGTCAGCGGGATATCCCTTGCCGGAGCTGGTATGGGCGGTCTTGTTACTCTCTCGCTGCATCAGCCATGATCCGTCATCTCGGCTTACACTGGGCGTATCGAACGTTGGGCATTCTGGCCGTTGTCGTAAACACGAGTTGTATCCTTTTGGTCAAAGATCGAAACAAGACTATTGGCTCAAACCAAGCCGCGTTCGACCTCGAAATCCTCAGACGAGGCGAGTATCTTCTCCTCCTTGGTTTCAGTGCTTTCACCATGCTCGGCTATTTCATTTTAATTTTCAGTCTGGCAAACTTCGCAACATCCATTGGCCTATCCTCATCGCAGGCCTCCGTCGCCAGTTCTCTTTTCAATTTGGGACAGGCTATCGGAAGACCTCTGATCCGGTACTTCAATGATACCATCGGCCGCATCAATATGGCTGCTTCTATGACCTTTATCGCGGGTATCATCCCGGTAACCATTTGGACCAATACAGGCAGTTACGGCCTGCTAATCTTTTTTGCATTGGCTGAAGGTCTCGTCTCGTCGCAGGAAACTTCTGGGCCACCATTGCACTTGTGGCTGAAGTTGTGGGGCTACGGAATGTTCCATCGGGACTAAATCTCCTGTGGCTTGCTATTGCCATCCCATGTACTTTTAGTGAGCCAATTGCTTTGGAGATCTTTTCGGGCACTCGGAGGTATCTTGGCTCGCAGTTATTCACAGGTTTCATGTACATCGCTGCATCGCCGTGCATGCTTGGCTTGTGTGGATGGAAGATCGCGAAGAACAATGCCGGGCAGGTGGAGGTTGAGAAGCACAATAGTACTCAAGGAAGGGAAGTGAATCAGACATCTCATCTGAGAGAGAACTTGGGACAATGCTTCACACGTGCGAGGGTATAATTGCTGTCATGCAGCATTTCGAGCGCTGTGTTTTCCTGTCTCATAGCACTGCGTGCAATGGCGAACAAGTTTAGACGAATTAATGACGACTACGGTTTCAAATTCCGGTTTCAAAATTCATTCGCATCGTATCATCACAATTATCATGCAGCCATCGGGAGCAATATCGCGATCAGTGAGCCGTTGATAGCCGTTGGCTCCGGAATTCCGCTATCAGACCATTCACTTGGGTCATATCGGTATCATCATGAGTAGGCAGAGGGGCGTTAACCAACTGAAGAGACTCATACTGCATGCGTTCCAATACCAGTGTTGTCAATAGCCAGTACTCGGGCGCATTTCGTATGAAGCCAATATTTTTCCATGTTGTAGTCCTCTGTAGAGCGGTGCTATGTTGGTAGTTGGGAATATCGAGTTTCGGGCTTGGAAAGTTAGGGAATATAGAGTTAATTAGTTCTGTCAGCAGAGTCCAGCCAATAGTTTCAACCTTTGGAGCTCAACATTACCAGATATGATCGTAAACATGCCCAACACGCCCAATGTAGAAAACACATTTCCAAAGTCTTGTGGTGGTCCGCTGCAAATGACTTGCACTGCAGTCGAGAGTTTCAAATTCCTTTGAGAGCCGAGGTCTGCTCTCCAAGACTTTAAAGAAATGAAGCCTTTCTCTGCTGACTCGGCTTGAAAGCATCCTTCTGGGGCGGTGAGATCTATATCAACCTCCTGGACAAGCATTCGCGGAGGCTGCTGGTAAAACATGGCAGCCTAGGTGTCCTCGCAGCGAGTCACAAGAAGAATGCCGTCACCTTCTCAGTATTTTTGGGGAGGAGGTGGTAGTTTTCCGGTGGAGGAGGTCAAAGGCCGTCGCGCGACGAATGAGATTGGCGAAACGCCGAGAAGCGAATATGCATGCAAGTGGAAATCAGCACGGATATTTCCGTTATTCATATGAGGTCCAGGCCCGCTCTCTAAATGGCCTTGAAACGAGTCTCCGCTGGAGGTTGGCGTTGCAGGATCACCGGACGCGTCGGTAGTTGAGGAAGTATACAAATCCCGGGCATCACCTTTTGTCGCCGCCGGCCAACTTCGCCGCCCCACGCCGCCTTCACCTCCACAGCTTCCCCACAATTTTCGGTCAATGGGGATTCCACACGCCTCCGCCATGAACTTGACGTCGTTTCGACCGGCCTTTTAAATGAGCATCAACCGCGGAAAGTTCTCGGGGAGAAGTGAACTTGAAGTGACCTTTGACGACAGTTGAATGCAGGCGATGACGAAAGCACAGGCTGCAGCAGGGTTTAGGCCCCCGACGCGCCAACCTGAAGGAAATCCGAGCAGGATGGGGCCCAGTCGTCAATGCGAGCTCAAGTCTCCTCATCAAGGCATAATCCCGTGCATTTAACTGGGCCCCACCGGCCGTAGGCTCTGCGACGGGGCTGCTTTTTGTGACGATCTGCCTGGGTTGGCGCATTGTGGCCATGCCCGATTCGTCCAAAAGACGACGGCCTCGGTAGATACTGAGCGCATGAAATCCCGTGTCGTGCTGTTCTTTATATAGGACTCCTCCAAGTTCTCGCTACAATTCCCTACGGTTCAGTGTTCAACACACCACACAACCTAATACTCGGTCAAGATGCGTGGGATTACAGACCATGTCCTCCAGATGCTTTCACAGCACTGGCTGGCAACGTTTTTCGCAGTTCTGCTGCTCTGGGCTATCAGAAATCGATATCGAAATGGACTTCACAGATACCCAGGGCCTTTTCTGGCTTCCGTCACCGACTGGTGGCGTCTTGTCGATGTATATGGCCGCCGGCCCGAAGTCACACATCGAGCACTTCACAGGAAGCATGGCGATGTGGTCCGCCTGGGGCCAAACACACTTTCTTTCTCAAACCCTCAAGCCCTAAGGACAATCTACGGATTGAACAAAGGATTCACCAAGGTTGGTTTACCCCCATTCCCAAATACAGTCTACGGTTGAGCTTGATACTAAGGATTGAACTAGTCCGAGTTCTATGTCGTGCAACAGTCTATTGCAAAGGGGCATCGCTTGCAGTCCCTATTCAGTACAACGGACAATGACTTTCATGCCAGGTTTCGCCGATGCGTTAACTCCGCATTCGCAATGTCGGCTCTGGTCCAGTATGAGCCCTTTGTCGATAACACCACAAAACTCTTCTTGGATCAGACCAAGAATATCTACGTGAATAACCCAAAGGGCTGTGATTTTACTCAATGGCTACAATTTTATGCCTTTGATGTTATCGGAGAGATCACTTACAGCAAGAGACACGGCTTCGTGGAAAAGAACAAGGACATTGATGGCATCGTGGCCTACTTGTCGTGGCTATTCCTTTACGTTGCTCCGGTATGTTACGGCTTCCTCTATATGTTTACCTGGTATTATACATGTGTTCTAACGTATTTCTTTCAGATTGGTCAAATACCCTTCCTAGACCGACTTCTGCTCAAGAACCCAATCTACCTCAAGTTCTCACAGTGGGGCTTCATCGACGCCACATTTCCTGTTGCTCGATTTGCTGGCAACCGCATGGCTGAGCGCATGCCAGATCTTACCAAGGGAGAACTCAAGCCAGTCCCTGGAGCGAAGTCATTGGATCTACTCTCCAAGTTCTTGGCAGCGCATCAATCGCACCCTGAATTCATGGGTGAAACCTTGGTCCAGACGATGGCTGTGAGTATGGCTTTTGCGGGTTCGGAGACAACTGCGATAAGTCTATCGGCTGTATTTTACTTCCTACTTAAAAATCCTTCTGCCTTGGTCCGTCTGCAAGCCGAAATCGACGACGCTGGGCGTGCTGGAGAATTCGCAGACTCTGAGACGGGTCTTGTGACTTGGCATGAAAGTCAGCGTCTTCCATATCTTGACGCTTGTATCAAGGAGGCTTTCCGACTACATCCTGCTGCTGGTCTTCCACTTGAACGGGTTGTGCCCCAGGGCGGAGCAGAAATCGCGGGTCATTTTGTGCAGGGTGGAACGATCGTGGGCTGTTCCGCTTGGCTGATCCACATGGACAAAGGCGTCTTTGGGGAAGATGCCGATATCTACCGACCGGAGAGGTGGCTGTACGACGAGGAGCTCTGCAAGACAGAAGTCGGCAAAAAAGCTGAAGAATCTCGGGTCAAGGAAATGAATGGTACGATGTTCCAGTTTGGAATGGGAAGCCGGACATGTATTGGAAAAAACATCAGCCTCCTGGAGATTTACAAACTCGTGCCCAGCATGTTAAGAAGATTCGAGGTTTGTACCATTCAATACTCTGGCCTGTCTTTTAGCATGACTGACTGACTGACTTCGCCAGATCCAATTCGTCGACCCCAACCAAGAGTGGGAGCTAGTCAATGCTTGGTTTGTCAAGCAGAAGAACTTCACTACATCATTCAAGCTACGAGATATTGTCACCCCTCAGCATACGGGAAAGGGTACAACGGCTGCACCATGATTTGGTTCCTATGTTCACATTTTAGACCCGGCGTGAGACTATCAAACCTCTTTCCTACCATATTCGCCAAGTACATACAAACAAATAAAGCCTATATTTGTCAATATGGACAATTGGCAGTTAAAACCAATCAAGGTCCAGGCCATACGTAGCAGAGAAGTGAGATGAGGGCGAAATGCTTCCTCATCTGAAGCGACGATAGTGGCGGCGGAAGAACCTCGGCGCCATATCCTCAGGAACCCGTTTTAAGGTTTTCTTAGCAGATTTACAGTGTCAGAAAATCGAAGATAGGAGGAATTCGGGGGCGAACCGTCCGAGGCTGCCATTAGCACGGGCTGCTTATCTGCCGTGGCGCGCCAAGACCATAGCTTATCTGTCGGTGGGGCGTCAAAGGTTACCCGAAACGTGTGTCATCGTGGGGAAGGACGTTGCGGTCCAGATAAGCCTAGTTGTGTATATGGGGAAGCCCCTTCCTCCGAAGTGAGGATGGACAATTGTGCGAGTCTCAGAAAATCGTAGTCATGTCAGAAGAAGCGCCACCGAAATCCGATGTCCACACGACCATCGCTAGTGTGGACATTGATCCGCGAGCAGAGCGCGTATTGGTCTGGAAGTTCGACCTGCGTTTGCTCCCCGTTCTAGCGATCATGTACCTTTTCAACAGTTTGGACAAGTCAAATCTGGGCAACGCCAAAACAGCGGGTCTTGAGGGTGTGTCCTATCCTTTTCTTTGGCATTCATGTACAGCATTCTAACATTGAGCCGCTTATAGATACCCTAAATCTCCACGGAAACCAATACAACCTCATTCTCAGCATCTTCTTTGTTCCTTATGTCTTGACAGCACCCTTCCTCGGCCTTCTTGGAAAGAAGTTCGGTCCCAACATTGTGCTACCATGCATGATGATGACCTTTGGTATTTGTACCATTTTGGTGGTTGCTGTCTACAATTTCAGTGGTCTTTTTGCCATCCGATGGTTTCTGGGAATGGCTGAAAGCGCTTTCTTCCCGCTCGTGATCTATTACCAGACAACGTGAGTTTGATAGCTATAATCGCTACCGCGGCTCAATGCTAACTAGAAATTCCAGTTTCTACCGTCGAGGAGAACTGGCTCGCCGATTGGCCATCTTCTATGCAGCACAAAGTATTGCGTCTGCATTCTCGGGTCTCCTTGCCTTTGGCGTCTTCCGCATTGAAACGGGCCCATTGGCCTCATGGAGGTACCTCTTCCTCATTGAGGGTGGTGGAACTGTGCTTTTTGCGCTCTTCGCCCTCTGGTATTTGCCCAGGTCTGCTGCCGAGGCAAAATTCCTGACTCCCGAAGAGAAGGAGCTTGCTTATCTGCGATTGTCAATTGATAGTTCGTCAGTTGTGGACGAGAAGCTCAACATCCGTGACGCTTTCCGCGTCTTCAAGCACTGGACTTCTTGGGCCATCCTGGCCATTCAGATCTGCCTCGGTGTTCCCCTTCAAGGGGTGCAACTGTTTCTTCCTGTGATCATTGAGCGCCTCAACTACAGCACGGTCAAGACCAACTTGTTCACTGTGGCGCCCAATGTTTCCGGTGCGGCGATGCTGCTCATTCTAGCATTCTGCAGTGACTGGACACGATGGCGGTTTCCCTTCATTGCGCTGGGTTTTCTCTTCACATTCATCGGTTTCATCATTTATGCGGCCATTGATGTTCAAAACGACGTCAACGTCGCTTACTTTGCCTCTTTTATGATGACCTGGTAAGTTCTGCGCTCCGTTACTTTGTATTATGCTCGTTACTAATCCGTGTCCAGGGGTACATCTGCACCGTCTGTCCTTCTCGATGCCTGGTACAACAACAATATTGCCAATGAGAGTCGCCGAGTAGTCCTGACAAGTATCGCTGTTCCGGTAGCGAATTTGATGGGAGTCGTGGCGTCCAACATCTTCCGCAGTCAAGATGCGCCAACTTACCTGCCAGCGTTGATCACGACTGCCAGCTTTGGCGGTACCGGAATTGTCCTGACCATCTGTCTGGGACTTTGGATGATGTTGGACAACAAGAAAAGAGATCGAGCCCAGGGTGTGCATGTGAAAGCAATGGAAATTCCAACAGAAAACCTCCAAGATGGACCGGCAAGTGATACCTTCCGGTGGTTCTATTAAGCCATTATATGACTCTTTCCCGTTAGCGCTTTCAATAGAATTTAACTAGTTTTCCAAGAGTCCTTCTTGACTGCGCCGCAGCATCTCCAATATTATTGACACGAATAGTAAGATATCCACTCTCTGGAGAAGTAGCCTTTTGCTTGACTTCATCGCCGTTTCATAGGCGCTCCTGCTGCCATGAGCTCTGACGTTGTCGCGCCATCCAACTCTTGTGTTGCATGTAGTGATCCCAGTTCCACTGGTCCAGGGCGATGTTCATGTTGGTCCAGTTGCCCATATGATCCGCCAACATCATTCCCACCTGAAAAGGGAATCGCGCTTCTTTTTGTAGCCCTTGCCCTCTCCAAGAGCGCCCACATGATGGATATTATAGCGACCACTCCCAAAGAAACGCCAACTCCAACTCCAATCGCTGTTTGATGGCAGGTTGAGAATTCTGATTCGCAGGAGCCTGCTGTGGAATTAGATGTCGATGTTGGTAATGAGGATTGAGCGAAAGAGGAGACGTTAAAGAGAAGTGCTGCGCCGGCGAGAGGCGTTCCTGACGGGACAGTGAAGCCGGTCGAGTCGCCATCGGGGCAGACGATGGCATCGTTGCTGATCACCGGAGTGCCGCAGCAATATTCGGCAGTGCCATTTTGATAGGTGAGGTTGATGATAGAGGCGCCTTCGTGAGGCGTCGCATTCGCTAGAGAAAGACACTTGTGTTAATCGCGTTTGTTTGGATGCTAGTAGAATACTCCCCATTCCAGTAACATACTGCAATAAGGCGCACATCCTGTCGCCCAGCTGTCGCTGGTGCAAGCCCCTCGCGAAAGAACATACGGCTGATGCCCGACGTTTAGGCATAATCCATTGGACAGACATATGTCCTCCTCACCGCAGCATGAGGCAACTGTATCTTTGGAGCATGGGACGTTCCCTGGGGCTTCCGCGCCAGAAGGAAAGTAGCATTTTCTGTCAGAGCCCATGTTGATACTGAAGATTGCGACAAAAGGTTTTGGAAAAATGCGCCTGGCCTCCCGGTTTTTCTTCAGGGAAGATCAACGCCAATCTCGGTGCGCCTGGGCCTAGTCCTCTGGAGATCGACATCGCCCGATCGCTGTAGCTGAGTCTCTTGAGAGGCTGATCCTGGCCCGGGCTCAATCTCCGATCGTGAAAGGGCCAAGCATGGGTTGGGTTCAGCTGGTCTGTATTTGCAAGGCTTTGGATGAGGAAGAGCGGGTTCGTTGGCGAGACAGCCCCTGAACCTTGGTCTGCGGGCAGCGTGTGTTAGTCCCTTCGCCTATGAACGTTTTGCAGACCCCTCAGGTGGAGATTACATCTCCACCACTGCTGCAAGCTCGGCCTCGCGCGCGCTGTTGGCTCGATCCGCTCGGTCATTGCTTTTGGCGATGCGCGGTGTTCCAGGCGCAAAGCATCCCAGTGCCACTGCGGTGAATTTACTCAAGACCAGTAGACCGATCTTCTGAGCGAAAGACCTTTTGACATGAACGGAGATCAGTGTTATTTCCCGAGTCAACTCAGCTGTCATGCCCCTGGTCCACTCTGGCCCACACAGGTGTTGCGCCTAGTCAAGTTTATTTTGCACCTCAAGATTGCGGGTTTGCAAGGTACTTACCAGTAAGCACGATTCATAAGATAATGTCAATGGCGAAGGATGCATACCAATGTATCCCAAATTTCTCGTATCTGTATATGGGAATTTTATGCATAAGTATCAAACGCAACTAGTACAATGTCGGGAACAGAAATTCCAGTATCGGAATCTTCCAGCTGGAAGCTGGAAGGCAATTACAAATGTTCGAAAGAGATTGATTTTCATAATGAAAGACGCAAGCTCTTGCAACGTTGCGATCTCGAGGTTTTGAGATATGCATCGTCGCTGGACGGCAGGGATCTCAGGTAATGTACAGGCAACAATGATAGAGTAAAGTCAACAGGGGTATAGGTACACAGCAAAAGCACAAACAGAGAAAAAAAGCGGTCGTGGTACAAGGCAAAATACAAGTCCATCCAAAGGAGCAAAATCAGTCCAGGTTGCCAGCGCCATCCAGCGGCGTAAAGGTATGGGAGTTAAATTGCTCAGTCAAGCAAAGTCCATGCGGCCATAGTCCGCATCGACTTCCTCCCTTCGGCGAAGGAAGGAAGCCTCTTCAAAGTCGTCCAGATCCATGGTGGCCTGGCTGCTCATCCGCTGCGCGGCAAGCATACGACGTCGTTGCGGTCCGAGGCCTGGGGCTAGGATGTGGCGTCCAAGAGGGGTTTCCCGTGGGCCATCATTAGCCTCATCGCCTGAGTCGGCGAATACGTCATCCGAATCAAATGTCCGCTTCTGATGGTTCATGGTGCTGAACGAGTTTGTTGTCTGGACGGATTCTTGGCTGCTAGGTGGGAGGGAAAAGGCGTCTCCGTCGTCGGTGATGAGATGTCCGCAGGAAGTCGACGGTTCATACAATTTGAAAGTTCCGGAGAAAGGTGCCAATTCAGCAGACCTAGTACCACTCAAATATGGCTGGGCAGTTGAAGTTTCGGCGACAGCTGGGATCGCAAAAGCTTTCTCTTTTTCCATCGCCTCCTGCGTCTTGTATCCGTCCGCTACAGACTTGCGGACCCGCATTCCGACCGAGAGGAGTGACGATTGCACTGTCGAAGGAACTACCGGAGTGGCAGAGAACGTGGCGGCAGCATAGTGATTGTGCGAAACGGTGTGGCCATCGGAGTGGTATGGCTCGGAGGGTGCAGTCGAGAAGTAGTTTGTGATTGAGGGCTGGAAGCGTCGGCGCTTGGAGAGAGCGTCTTTCGAGGATGCCATGCTAGATTTGGCGACGACAGATGGCATGACGCAAGGAGTTGAGGAAAAGTCGGCCGAAAAGGAAAGCGTGGTGGATTTCGAGAGCACGACCGGAATGTGGAAGGAAGGAGCGGAGTGTGTTGCGTCCAGTTGCTGCAGTGTGATGTGAGAGAGTCGAGGAGACCAGAATCGGATGGCTGGGGAGAATTTGACGCGTTCCCGACGCGGCCACGCGCGGACTCAATTATGCCTATTCAGGATAGGGCTTAGGGCTGATCGCTCTTCCATGTCATGTGACGTGAATAATGGAAGTTGGCAGCGATAAGATTGGACAGGCATTGAAAATGGATAAGGTTAATTCGATGTTACGAAAGGGTTGTAACGTGCCCAACCCTCTCTCTGTCTATGAATAACCATTCAAGCAAGGTCTTCGTACACATCATAAAATAATATTTGCAATGCGTGACCCTGTCGATCTCTGATTTCTTCCAAACTTTAGGGCTAATGACATATGTCGTGGATATACTCCAGATTCATCACCAAGCATGATATATATACAATGACATGTTGCTATGCAGTGTGACATGACACCAATTTTTTTTTTTATATGATCAAATATGATTGTGATCAATCCATGTCATGATACACTACACTAATGTGACGTGATGATTTCATAACGAGCTTTTTGCAAGTCGATCTGATTACATTTGACCATGTCTGAACTACCAAGGAATAATCCACTGCAACTGAAATGACGCCAGGTCCCATTTTAGATATCTATGAATCGCATACGTACAATAAATATTTATCTATCACACTGCATCTAATGTGATGTTCCCACATTACCTCTCTTTCCACCTCTCCTCTGGCGATCGTGATGCGCCTTGAGCACAGCACGAGTTTCCACCAGACTCCGCTTGTTCTTGCTCCGCGCCTTGCCCAGCGTCATCAGGAAGTTCTTACGGCGAGCCTTCTCCTTGTTGGTAGTACTCTTTCCTTGTTCTTGCTTGCGCTCCTTGCGCTTCGCCTCCTTACTCTTGTGCTCGGACCGGTCTGGCTTGCCTTCACGAGCATGAGCAATACGCTCCTCACGAGTGGCCTTTCCGGCAGACAAGGCGGCAAGACCCTCAATCTCCTCGGCAGTCAAGGGGTCATCGGTATGACGAGAAGTATTCTGGGTGGCACGGCGAGACTTCGATCCAGGAAGAGCGGCATCAACAGCAGCCTCGGCACGGAGCTCGGCCAGTTTCGCCAGATCGGCAGGGGTCAGGATTTTTGTGGTAGCGAGCTTAGAGAAGGCATCTTGATCGGCCTTGTCGTTCTCCTCGGCCTCCGCCTTTGCTTCCTCCTCAGTCTGCTTAGCCTTCTTTGAGGGAGGAGCCTTGCCTTCATCCTCGGAATCGCTGAGTTCGATTTCAACATCACTCTGAACGTTGACCCAATCGCCTGAATCGTCGCTATCATCATCATCCTCAACATTCCAGTTGGCCCAATTCTCCGCCTCATCTTCCTCGTCGTCATCTTCGCCATCAGAAGGCAGGCCCGTCTCGCGACGCTTCTTGCGGCGCTCCTCTTCCTTCCATTTCTCCAGAAGCTCAAGACCTTCAATCCCACCAGCTTCTTGCTCACCAAATCTCTTACCCAATTTTTCGCCAGCACGAAGGCTCATGGATGCCTCCTTGCCGCGATCGCGCTTCTTGAGCATTGACGCACCGACATCACGGTAGAGACTGAGAAGACCCTTGGAAGCCATCATAACACCCTTGTCTTTACTTTTCTTATACATGACAAGATCCTGCAGCAGGGTTTCGTTCATTGCCAGAGGCTGTCGAACACAAATTTCTCGAATGGCATTAAGACCAGCAGTAGCAACCTCTCCAGCAGAAGCTTCGGAGACGAACTCATTCGCGATCTTCTGAACCAAAGGCTCAAGAACATCGGGAGGAACCAGATCGTGCGATGCCTGAGCCAAGGATGCGAGAAAAGAGGTGACGGAAGGTTGACGAGGGGTGAGGAACTTCTGGAAGTAGGAATAAAGCGACATGATATGAAGCTTGTGCAGACCCACTAGACGCGAAACCAGCTGCAAGACAAGAAGCTTGTTTTCAAGGTTCAGCTTCGCCTTGGTACTTTGCAGATGTCGAGAGAACAGCGAATCTGCGAATCCCTGAGGATCGTGCAGCAGGTGAAGTGCCGAGAAATTCAGAGGGTGCGGCGCATTCTTCTTGCGCTCCTTCTTCTTATGCATAGCCATGGCCTTTTCGGCAACACGAGCCTTCTTCTTGGTCTTCTTATTGATACCAAGTTGATGCTTGATACGTCCAACATCGATGGCCTCGTCATCACTGCTATCGTCTTCAGCCTCCTCACGTTCCTTGTCTCCACCAAGGAAGAAGCGAACGCCGCCAACGATGACCTTCTCGTTCTCGGACAAACTGGCCTCCTTCATGACCTCAACAGCCTTCGCATCAGTCCAGATCTGACGCTTCCACAGCTCTCTTGTCAGTTTAATGGCCCAGAGAGCTTTAGAACTGGTGCGATCCGATGTCACCAAGTTGAAGAGAACAGTCTGCATAGTGCGGTTAAGCTTGTGGTTGGTGGTTTTGGAGTTGGCATTGCGAAGTTCGGACAAGATCTTCTGGAAAAGAAGAGCACGTAGGGTCTTGCTAGGCGTAGTGATGAGAATTGGGAATAGGGTATGGAGCAACCTGCAGCAAAAAATGGTTAAAAACAGACATTCAAAATTCGTAAGGGACGTCCAACCACATACGTTGCGGAGTCCAAAAGATCCTTCTTTTTCAACAGAACCAGACTTCCTACCAGCTTTTCCCTCAATTCCGGCTCCAGCACCAGGTGGTGCTGCATCAGCATGTCGATGAGCTGCTGCGGGAAGTCCTTCAAGATATCCGGATAACAATCGGCGACGTGCGAGATGAAGTCGATCAATTCACGGAGAGAAATGATACCGGTATCCGTTGCGGCGGTCGGCGCAGCCATGAAAATTTCGCGATGCGACTCATATTGGTAGTGCTGGGCGCGAAAATCTTCGATATATGATCTGAGGTGCGGGACGACTGTCAGTATTGCACCGCCATGGTATGTTGCGCGAAAGAGAAGCTTTTTAGCACTTACTTCGGATCTCTGCGAATCTTATGCTGCAGATTGGGCCTGTGAGGGAGACAGATGTCAATAGAGCAGTTCCGTAGCCCTGACCGAGATGACACGGGAGCATCGGGCGCTCGCGGTCAAAAAAGACTCACAGGTCAGCTTCGACCTTTTCCAAGGCCCCAAGCTTTCTTTTCACCATCCTGACGGTATTCTAAGGTGGAGAGCAAAGGTGGTGGAAGGAGGGTGGTTGGTCTGCCCCAGGCGAAGCGGTCCGCCGAAACTTTTTTCGCCGTATCGATAAGCGACCAGCCTGGGCCAAGCATGTCGGAGGAACATACAGCGACTAAGGCAATTGCAATACACGCCACTTTCAGTTTCGATAATTACAGGGAAGATTGGGTTTGGCATGTGTCGCTCTAGAATTTCGATACACTTACTACATGAAAATAATGATACGAATAGCTCCCGACTGTAATGGAAGAGGAAAAAATTTTTCATATTGAAAGTGGCCATTACCACCCGAGACTTTCATGATCACATCCCAACTACTTGGAAAAAGCAATCCGACGGCGTTCCTTTTTTTTGGACACTGCTTTTCCCTGACCGTATCAATTTAAGTACAGCCGCGCAGATGCGTGCAATTCCACTGAATCCCGGCGAAAACCCCCCGTCCACTCCAGAAGCCGTAAACAGAGGACCAAACGGAGAATACATCCCACACACCCTTTACCGGTTGCTCTTGGCAACACGCTCAAGCTCGTCCTTCTTCTTGATAGCGTAGGAGTTGGAGCTACCCTTGGCGGCGTTGATCAGCTCCTCAGCAAGGCACCTATTGAGAAAATGATTAGCAATTGGTCAATGCGATTTAAAAGCAGACAAGGGTCTCTTACTCAGCAATGCTCTTGATGGAACGGAAGCTCGACTCGCGAGCACCGACGGTCAGAAGGCTGATGGACTGGTTGACGCGGCGCAGAGGGGAGACATCAACGGCCTGGCGGCGGACGGTACCAGCGGAACCAATGCGGGTAGCTGTTGGCAGAAATTTGAATTAGTAAATGTTTCCACTCTTTCATTTTGCTCAACAACAATCGTGTGGCCCAGAGATTTTACTGCACTGGAGCCATATTCTCGTCGGAAGAGGGTCGGATGGGGTGTAGCTTACAGTCCTCACGGGGGCCGCAGTTGACAATGGCATCGACGGCGACCTGGATGGGGTTCTGGTCGGTCATGATGTGGATCTGAAGAACAGAAATTAGCACCTGAGTCGAAATTTGGGTTGATTGATCGAGTTGGAATAACGTACGATGTCGAAAGCGTGGGAGACAATGCGCATGGCCATGAGCTTCTTTCCGTTGTTGCGGCCGTTCATCATGAGCGAGTTGGTCAGACGCTCAATGATGGGGCACTGGGCCTTGCGGAAGCGCTTGGCGGCATAGCGACCGGCAGTGTGGGAGAGGTAAACGGGCTGACGGATCTGAATGTAGTCGCTGGAGAGGGGAAGAAAAATTAGCAGTGTCCTTGATGCATTGTGCGCCCCCGAATGCCCAGTATGTATCGTGTTTCCTCCATGTCCCAGGGGCCTTGCGATGCAGTGTTTTTTCCACCAAATTTCATGCCACCAAAAATCCCAGTGTGGACTCGACAACAACCATATCTGCGCATTCGGAATCGTATGAAATGATGGGCACTCACGTCAGGGAGATGTCGCGGATCTCGACATCCTCGTAGGACCACTTGTTGAACTTTGGGGATCAGTTAGCATTTGCGGCTTAAGATGTCGAAAAATTGGAGGTGCGTACGAGGAGGACGGAGCCTTCGTTCACATCCTTGGGCAGGATGGAGTTGACCGCGACGACTTCCCCGGCGTCGGACATGTTGACAGTGTCGAGGGAGGGATTGTGGGAGGGTTTGTCGTTGGGTGGTTGATTCGACAAGTCGGTCGGCGATCGCATGGAGGAAATTGGCGGTGCGCTCGCTTAGGCGTTGTGTGGGGGTCACATGAGTTAGGGCAGATCTGGGTCCAATCAGGTATACTGGGTCATGTGACCGTCAATATTCAGTGACCGCAGTCCGCTCCCTAGTGCCTTAAGGCACCAACGCCCCCGTCAGTGTCCAACAACGGCCGAATTGGTACTATTTACATCGCCTCTACAGGTTTCATTGTGACGGACAGGGCGATATGACTACAAGATGTAGTATCAGTATAGCGTCCAGAGTACTAGCATTTAAATAAATGATTTGCCACCATGGAAACTTCTCCATCGGCTCCCCCTTTGTACCCCCTTGTACTCCGTGCGCTGTACACCTCGGTACCTTCTCGTGTACAAGTAGTTACGATGGTACCTGAGACGCCCCCATTTCCATTCGGATCATTTCGTACTCTTTGTAGCCCCTTCCCTACCAGAATCCGAGCCATCTATAGAGCCTCTTTCTCCATCAGGCGGGCATTGCTGTCGACAAAGTGCAATCTATTCTTGTCGCTCTTGTCGCTCTTGTCTCAGCAGCAGCACTCGGCTCCCTTGACCGCCCTGGGTGGGTGACGTTGCGGCCCGTCGCGCGGAGTCCCAACGCTGAGACAAAGTGCCGACTCGTCGTTCGTCCAAACGACCCCGGTTCAGATTCGATTGCAAATTTCAGCGGGGGACTCGCAACCGACTACCCCTCTCCTTTTGTTGCGCCTCGGTCAGCTCATTGCGATGCGTAACTGACCACACGACTCTCATTCCTCCCCCGCGTGTTCGATCCACATTCCCTCAAACTGAGGCCGGCCTGACCCGTGTTCAAATGGCGGAAGAGAGCCCGGAGCTCCAATCCGCTCTGCGGAACCTGGACCGTGAATTAGAGGTATTTGTGCAGCCCTGCGTGATCATGAGTCTTACGCTAACAGGACATGTCGCTTGACAGGAGGGCGACATCACAGAGAAAGGGTAAGCAATGGAATGGCCAGAGTCTTGGTCCGTCGGCTGGTCTCGGACTTCGAAATCGGTCCATCGACTGCTTTAAGAGGGCCTCGACACGATGTATAGGGACTTGATACTGACGGTCATCTAGGTACCAAAAGCGGCGCACCCTCCTCCTTTCGCAATTCCTCGGTCCAAACAAGCCTCTCGATATCAATTCGCATGCGACATCCAGCCATGCGGACTCATTTGGTTCCTCCCAGATGGCCCCTCCGGCCATCTTGAGCGTTCGACCCCCGACTGCCGACTCATCACAACCTGCAATTTCGTCTCCAACTTATGCTGGCGGGTATGAAGGTTCCGGTGGGGGTTATGGGTACAACCACGGTGTCAGCATGGACCTGCAGAACTCGTCCCCTGCGCCAACCGGAGGGTCTTACGACAGAGATAGCACGGGCATGTTGCAGACACTTGATCGTATGCCATCTTCGACATCGCATGATTCGCTCTTTCTCCCCAAACCACCTCCCTTGGGATCGCAAGGCCAAGATGGCTCCAGGACAGCAACCCTTATGAGCCAGAACTACGCTTTCAACCCGGAGACTCAGCATGAGTATTCTCAACCCGAATACTCTCAGCCTGAGTATGCCCAGGCCGAGTACGCCCAGGCCGAATATGCCCAACCCGAGTATGTGGATGATGCTATGGGTGTCTACGACCCTGCTGGCGGTGTCACGCGACAGTCAACCATGCTGGACTCGCAGCAGGGATACTTCTCAGACTTTGCCGGTCAGCAGCATGATGACTACAGAGATAGCTACGGTGGTGGGTTCCATCGATATTCTCAATCTGGAGAAGCTTTCTCTCCCACGGCAAACATGGCGCCGCCGTTCATCCCGCCTTCGGAATTGGCTCACGGGCCAGCCATCCAACATTTGCTACCACTTGAGCCTCGAGACATCCCGTTCGCCGTTAACGACCCTCATGAAAAGAATACCCCCATGTCTAATTTCGACAACATTCCCGCCGTTCTGCGACATCGCGCACGTGCTCATCCGAAGCAGCCGGCATATTGGGTCTTGGATCAGAAGGGAAAGGAGATCGCATCTATTACGTGGGATAAGCTAGCTAGCCGCGCCGAGAAGGTCGCTCAAGTTATCCGCGATAAAAGTAACCTGTACCGTGGAGACCGCGTTGCTCTGATCTATCGCGAGACAGAAATAATCGAGTTTGCTGTTGCGCTCATGGGATGCTTTATCGCAGGAGTGGTTGCAGTTCCTATTAACAGCCTCGATGACTACCAAAGTCTGAATTTGGTCCTCACCTCAACCCAGGCACATCTTGCGTTGACCACGGAAAACAACCTGAAGGGATTCCAACGCGATATCACTGCCCAGAAACTCAATTGGCCCCGTGGAGTCGAGTGGTGGAAAACGAATGAATTCGGGAGCTTCCACCCAAAGAAGAAGGATGACTCCCTCCACTTGTCGTACCCGACCTGGCCTATATCGAGTTTGCTCGAGCACCGACAGGAGATATGCGTGGAGTTGTGATGAGCCACCGGACCATCATGCACCAGATGGCGTGTCTCAGCGCAATTGTTTCAACTGTCCCCACCGATTCCAGCTCTAGACAATTCGCCAAGGGAGAGACAATTATCAGTTACCTCGACCCGCGTCAAGGTATTGGTATGATCTTGGGTGTTCTGTTGACTGTGTATGGTGGACATACGACCGTCTACCACGAGGATCGGGCAGTTGAGACTCCTGGTCTCTATGCTCACCTGATCACCAAGTACCGCGCAACGATTATGGCAGCGGATTATTCTGGTCTCAAGATTGCTGCGTACAACTACCAACAGGACCCTATGTCAACTAGGCACTACAAGAAAAATTCCGAGCCTAACTTCAGCAGCGTGAAACTCTGCCTGATCGACACTCTTACTCTTGATGCGGAGTTCCACGAGATCCTCAGCGACAGGTGGCTGCGTCCAATGAGAAACCCCAGGGCCAGAGAAATCGTTACGCCGATGCTCTGTTTGCCCGAACACGGCGGTATGGTCATCAGTATGCGCGATTGGTTGGGAGGCGAGGAACGCATGGGATGCGCTTTGACACACGAAATGGATCCTGCGGAACGTGATTCTAAGAAAGACGACTCCAAACTTGAGAAGTCCGAGACCAATACTGGCTTCGGTAGCAGTCTTCTCGGCGGTGGGTCGCGAGTATCGGCGCCCAAAGAGAGTGGAAAGAATGACTTGGGAGAGGTCCTTCTCGACAAGGAGGCCCTGAAGAGCAACGAGATTGTTGTTCTAGCCATGGGCGAAGACGCCAGGAAGTATGCCACCACCATGCCACATGCAGTCCGCGTTGGTGCTTTCGGCTACCCAATTCCTGATGCGACCCTTTCCATTGTTGATCCTGAAACCAACCTTCTGTGTACTCCAAACGTCATTGGTGAAATCTGGGTCGATTCTCCTTCACTGTCAGGTGGATTCTGGGCCCTGCCGAAACATACAGAGGCCATCTTCCATGCTCGCCCATATAAGTTCGAAGATTCCAACCCGACTCCTATCCTCGTGGAGCCCGAGTTCCTGCGAACTGGTCTTCTGGGCTGTGTTATCGAGGGCAAAGTCTTTGTTCTGGGTCTGTATGAAGATCGATTGCGACAGAAGGTTGAGTGGGTTGAGCATGGCCAAGAAGTCATCGAGCACCGATACTTCTTTGTTCAGCACCTGGTTGTCAGCCTTCTCAAGAAGATCCCGAAGATCCATGACTGCACGGCATTTGATGTATTTGTCAATGATGAGCATCTGCCAGTCATTGTCTTAGAATCGTACGCTGCCTCCACGGCTCCTACGACATCCGGCGGGCCACCGCGGCAACTTGACCAGGTCTTACTTGATTCGCTCGCCGAAAGATGTATGGAGGTTCTGTATCAGGAGCATCACCTTCGAGTTTACTGTGTTCTTCTTACGGCTCCGAACACGCTACCACGCGTAACCAAGAATGGCAGACAAGAGATCGGCAACATGCTTTGTCGCAAGGAGTTTGAAGCCGGTATGCTCCAAGCTGTTCATGTCAAGTTCGGTGTTGAGCGGTCAGTAATGAATCTGCCCGTGGGTGTCGACCCTGAGGGTGGAATCTGGTCTCCTCTTGCTCTGTCTTCGAGACAAGAGATGCTCGCATACCAGGAAAAACAATACTCGGGTGTGGACTACCGCGACGTTGTGATGGACGACCGAACCTCGACCCCGCTCAACAAGTTCAACACAATTGTGGATCTTCTTCAATGGCGTGTTTCCCGCCAGGCCGAAGAGCTGTCTTACTGCTCTATCGACGGTCGTGGCAAGGAAGGCAAGGGTATCACCTGGAAAAAATTCGATCTCAAGGTCTCTGCGGTGGCAACCTACCTCAAGAACAAGGTCAAAGTTCGACCCGGTGATCACTTGATCTTGATGTACACTCACTCCGAAGAGTACATATATGCTGTTCATGCTTGCTTCTGCTTGGGTGTTGTGGTTATCCCATTGGCACCAATTGACCAGAACCGCCTCTCCGAGGACGCCCCAGCGTTCCTTCACGTCATCAGCGACTTCAATGTCAAGGCAATTATTGTCAACACCGAGGTCGATCACGTCATGAGACAGAAGCTGGTGTCTCAGCACATCAAGCAGTCAGCACAAGTTCTCCGCATCGGTGTCCCGGCTATCTACAACACCACGAAGCCATCCAAGCAGTCCCATGGCTGTCGTGAACTCGGCTACACCATGAAGGATACTTGGCTTCAAGCCAACCCGACTGCAATGGTTTGGACTTATTGGACCCCAGACCAACGACGTATTTCCGTGCAGATCGGCCATGATACAATCATGGGTATGTGCAAGGTGCAGAAGGAGACATGCCAAATGACCAGCATGCGCCCGGTACTCGGCAGTGTGCGTAGTACTTTGGGTCTTGGATTCCTTCACACTTGTCTGATGGGTATTTATGTCGGCGCTCCAACCTACCTTGTCTCTCCTGTCGATTTTGCCCAGAACCCCATGACGCTCTTCGTTACCCTTGCACGGTACAAGATCAAGGACACTTACGCTACTAGCCAGATGTTGGACTATGCTATAAGTGCTATGGCGGGCAAGGGCTTCCAGCTCCAAGAACTGAAGAATCTAATGATCTCTGCAGAGGGTCGGCCCAGAGTCGATCTTTACCAGAAGACTCGTCTGCACTTCGCCTCTGCTGGTCTTGACCGCACTGCAATCAACGTCGTGTACTCACACGTTCTCAACCCCATGATAGTAACGAGATCTTACATGTGCATTGAGCCTATTGAGCTGTGCTTGGATATCAGAAGTCTTCGTCGCGGTCTGGTCTATCCTGTGGACCCAGACTCTGATCCCTCTGCACTTTTGCTACAAGATTCAGGTATGGTGCCTGTCAATACTCAGATTGCGATTGTGAACCCAGAGACATGCACCTTGTCCCATGTCGGAGAATATGGTGAGATCTGGGTCCAGTCCGATGCCTGCGCTGCCGGATTCTACAAGTCGAAGCAGGAGTTCGACATTGAGAGAATGAACGGTCGCGTTGCCGATGGAGATCCCAATGTGCCTTATGTTCGTACTGGTGATCTTGGTTTTCTTCACACTGTGACTCGGCCCATTGGTCATGGCGGACAGCCCGTGGAGATGCAGGTTCTCTTCGTCCTAGGTAGCATCGGCGAGACTTTCGAAGTGAACGGCCTGAATCACTTCCCTATGGACATTGAGAGCTCGGTGGAAAGATGCCACCGCAACATCATGAATGGAGGATGGTAAGCCTTGGTCATTGAACTTCCCATCCCTCAATTTCTACATTTGCTAACCATACGTTCTATCTACAGTGCCATCTTCCAAGCTGGTGGACTCATTGTTGTCGTTGTCGAGGTCACCCGCAAGGCCTTCCTCGCCTCTCTCGTCCCCGTCATTGTCGACACTGTTCTGGGTGAGCACCAAGTGGTGGCAGACATTGTTGCCTTTGTCTCACATGGCGATTTTCCTCGCTCGCGTCTCGGTGAGAAGCAGCGTGGAAAGGTTCTGGCGTCCTGGGTGACTCGCAAACTACGCACGATTGCCCAGTTCAGCATTCGCGATCTGGAAGGAGACCATCCCTTCGCCGAAGGGCAAATGCCGCACCACCGGGTTAGCCGAAGCTCTAAGCCCGGCAGCACCATGGGCAACAGCATGCGCATGTCCACCATGCCCGAGGATGATGTTCCTGAAATGCCACGCTCCCCAGGAGTCACCTTGGAGGAGACGAATCAAGTCCCTCAAGATTCTCTCCAAGAGAGGCCGCATCGGGGCACTCTGCCTGAGTTGGATACTCGAACCGACAGCAGTGTTTCGGCGACCCCAATCCCTGCAGCCACCTCTGCTGTTCCTTACATCCAAGAGCCGCAATCTGCTACGATAATGTCGGCAGATGAAGACCACTTCAACTCGATGGGACCCGAGAACCCTCAGAGCGCCTCGTCGGATGCGAATCGTGATTTCCGATTCAGCTTTGAGGTCGTCAACACACCAATGGATTCATTGCCACAAGACACGGCCCCGGCCCCCGCCCCGGGATCCCAACAGTATCTACCGCGAGTAGATTCGCTTCCTGGTCGCCAAGCAGGTCCTGCGTATGACGAGGCGGCCCGGCCCCGCACACAAGACAGCGGAGTGAGTGACGACTGGCCTGCAGAGGCCCTGATGTACCAGTCGGCCTTGGGCGATGATGGTCAAGCAGCAGCGCACAGGCGCTAAGGTAAGTCTAGCTTAAACATTGAAGCTAATTTTCCGAACATTCACATGCTGTGTTGTACATGAGCGAGTACTTGATTCGTGAAAACTTTTCCTTAGAGTAACCAAAAGGATCCCCATTGTTGAGGGTTGCTGAGTCGGTAGTGGACTTGATCATTCTTTCTTTGCTTACTTCCCCCTCCTGATTTCTTTCTGTCCTTCGAATCTCTGGTTCTATCTTTCTTTCACCTTTTCTTCTGGCTATTTATCCTCTTCCGATCCCCGAATACCTCCACTGCGTTGATCTGTTTTCCTGCATGTGCGTTTTCTCCTGTACATACCATACCCACCCAGTCTACTCTAGTCCACAATTCAGATCAAAGCCCTATCTCCATCTTCCAATGGCATTCTCCCAGAGTTCTCCCCGGTCGCACCTGCTTGTTTGTCGGTGTGACATCACCCGTCTAGAAACTATGCATGATGTGATTCCTAGTCCAGGTAAGGTTTTTATGCTTGTCCCCACACCCGAAGACGTGATGTTGACCCACCCTTTTACCATCTGCTCTGGCACCATCGATGTGTGAATCTCGCAATCCGCTATTGCCGTCTGGCCCCCGCTTGCCCGGGGAAAAAACGAGAATACGAAGTCTTCGCGCACCCTGAATCTACCGCATGATCGGCCTCGCGACCCGTTGTACTCCTTTTTACTCCATGGGCAGGTCGATCAGCGGGCTTGGCCGCGCATTGCTCTATACTCAGTAGAGCAAAAAACACAGAGCGATCACAGGCGATTGTCGCTTTTGCAAATACTGTGGAGAAATGAGACAAGAGCTCTCGCTGCTCAGTTCCATCTTGATGAAGAGGGGTCCGAAGTGATCTTTTGCCAACAGACGAGCTATATAGAGCTGCCATGAGACCAGGCAAAATGAAGCCATTCTTCCCAGGAACCGCCAAGAATATCCCTGTAGAATGAATCTCTTCCGGATCTTGCTGCTCGCTGGTCTCGCTGTGGCCAAGCAGCCGAACATCCTCTTCGTCCTGACCGACGACCAAGGCAAGTATGTCGGAGGACTGGAACATATGCCCAAGCTGCAGGTATGCACCCTCCAAGCAATTGAGTTGATACAACTTTTTAACGATTTTTAGGAACTTCTTGTGCAAAAAGGAGCGACCTACCCTAAACACTACTGCTCTGTCGCCCTGTGCTGTCCCTCTCGCGCCAACCTCTGGACGGGTCGCATGCCACATAACACCAACGTGACCGACGTCGGCCTGCCATACGGCGGATACCCCAAGGTGGTGTCGGCTGGCTGGAATGACAACTACCTGCCATTATGGATGCAAGACTCAGGGTACAACACGTACTACGTTGGCAAGTTGTGGAACGCGCACACCGAAGACAACTACAATAAGCCCTACGCACGTGGCTTCAACGGCTCCGACTTCCTCCTCGACCCCTACACCTACCGATACTACCATGCGCGGATGACCCGGAATGGTCAGCCCCCGGTGAAATACGACGGCAAATATTCGACCGATGTGATCGCCGAGAAGGCGGCCGATTTCCTGGATGAGGCGATCGCGCAGGACCGTCCGTGGATGTTGACGGTGGCGCCCAATGCGCCGCACGCCAATGGTTCGCACGATCCTACGCGCAATGCGAATTGGTTTGGTGAGCCGGAATTCGCGCCTCGTCACGCCGACTTGTTCAAGGAGTACCAGTCTCCTCGCGATGCGAGCTTTAACAAACTGATCGAGGGTGCTGTGAGCTGGACTGAGAATGTGCCTGAGCTCAGCCAGAAGGAGATTGACTATATCGATGTGTTCCAGCGCTGTCGTCTGCGTGCTCTGCAGGCAGTTGACGAGATGATTGGAAACTTGGTCGAGAAGCTTGAGAAGGCCGGTGAACTGGACAACACCTACATCTTCTTTTCCACGGACAACGGATACCATCTGGGCCAGCACCGCATGCAACCTGGAAAGAACTGTGGTTATGAAACCGATATCAATGTGCCTCTGATTGTTCGCGGACCTGGTATTCCCGAGAACCAGACTCTGGACGTCGTGACTAGCCATACCGACCTTGCGCCTACTTTCCTGTCTATCGCTGGCTCTTCGCGACAAGGACTGGATGGCAAGGCCATCCCGACCACCGTGCAGGCCAGCAAGTCTGACAACAAGAAGGAGCACGTCGCTATCGAATATTGGGGATTGGTAAGTTTGACCTAAAGACGACCCACTTTCTGGATTATTTGTCGCTAAATATTGCAAATCAGGCTGTCCCAGAAGGCATTTACGGCTACGCGAGCGACAAGCTGCAACAGCCTCACAACAGCTATCAGCGAAACACATACAAGGGCATCCGTCTCATCGCTGAAGACTACAGTCTTTACTACTCCGTCTGGTGCACAAACGAGAAGGAATACTTCAATCTGAAGGTAAGCACCAACGTCATTACCTGTCGATCTCGATCAACATTGGAGCGAGCTAACCATGATTTCGCACAGGATGACCCCCACCAAACAGTCAACCTGGCCGCCCACCCCAACAAGCACGCGAACTACAAAATCGCGAACCGGGAACTGCCCCAAATTATCAACCGCCTCGACGCCCTCATGATGGTGCTCAAGTCCTGCGAAGGCGACTCCTGTCGCGACCCGTGGGGCCAGCTGCATCCTGCCGGCCAGGTCACGAACCTCGCCGAGGCACTGGCAACCGGATTCGACGAATTCTACGAGAACCAGCCCAAGGTCTCTTTCACGGCCTGTGAGCATGGGTATATCAAGGAGTCGGAAGGTCCGCAGGAGTACAATGCCTACAAGGGTGGGAATAACCAGAAGAGAGGCTGGGGATGGGTCTCTTTCTTGTGGTGATTTATCTTTTTGCCCGAGTTGATTTGAGCTTAAAATGCAGAAAATTGCATAGCGATAGAACTGCTTTATGATAATGACCGACATTGATCGATAATTCATTGCATATACACCGGATAATGTCCGCCAATTCTTGGCGCTCTCCCTCCGTTCTAGTGCTCACCCCCTCGCCGCTTTTGCTCACTGAGCCTGACCTGAGCAATCCCAGATTTGCTTACTAATCTCCTCCCGAGAGGCGATCTGAGTAAGCAGGCTCAATAAAACGCAACAAGCTAGCCCGACCCCTTGTACAGTTTTCCTTTCAGTCAAAAGAGCGGGCATCGTAAATTTGCCACTTCCTTGGCGATCCTTGCCATTGTAAACAGGATGTATTTAGTGAAAATCGTTCAATTGGCTGATTACAATTATTGTAGATCTAATGCTCCTAGGAGCATTCTCCCGTGCCCGATACTTGGCCACATTTGGGGAGCTCTAGAGGCAATTTTGGATTTTCTTTGATTTTGATTGGATACTTTCAGATCTCTCTATAAAAATTCAGATACCCTTCTATGATCACCTACTACTAAGATGAAGACCTTTCCGGGTTTTGATGCCATACTATTCTCGCCAGATTAGGTAGCAATAAACGGAAGGAAGACCTGCTATTCGCATGACCAAACACTTTCTCCTAGGAGCGTCACAATGTTACATCTTCAAGATAGCTGAATCAAAATACTCTGTCTGTTCGGGCGAGATCTTATCATAGGCTCCTGGGAGCTTAAGCCTGACCAATGCTGCCTTGTCTTAATGAACATAGATGTGAACAAGGCTCCGTACACCGATGCCCTTTAAACAATGAACTTATCTAATAGTGAAAGTGAGTGTAATGCTAATCAAATCATATTTCTCCCGCTGATAGTTCTTCGGATGGAAAGACGTTTACCCATGCTAATTACCGCCCGTCTATGCCATGTATTTCAACCTCCCGATGAGCCCCAGTGTCTGTGTAACATGTTGTAATTATTGTGTAATAACATATCCCGTGAATTACACCATGATCTACGGTTGGTGTAGCACTAGATTGTCTGCCATTTTGCACGACGAGGTTGGTCTGCTTATCCCCCATGGAGTTTGAAACAAGAGAACCCATATGAACCACTCTCACGAGCGTTATGCTACCAGGCAGTGGCGGGGAGAATCTGTGGAAAAGAACTATCCTCCCTGCCCGGTACAGCAATAGCTTTGTGAACGGAGTAACATTCCCATCCATCCCGAACCTGAAGATTGACTTTTCCCGGGAGTTGAATACCTTGAAGCAGAATCGTAGAAGTTTGTAGGTCGGTGGATGACATACAGAGGCTATCAGTTTTGGAGGTCATAATCCAACAGATCTATCATGCCTTTGTAAAACGGTAAGCCATTTATTCACACTGTGAAACGATCACTTAAAGGGGCGACGCGGTCGTGTCTCTCTGATCCTGGAATTACAGCGGGAATCCAATGGTCATGCGTGGCCTGGCGCTAGCGAACACATATTCTCCCATTGTCTCAGGGAATCTCGCGAAGGGAGCACGGATTTTATTTTCGTTTACTCAGATCCCTAGATTGAGGAAATCAATGAATGCAGAGCACGGAATAGTCTGAAAGGGAATGGCAATAGGTGACAGCTTGTCCATGATGTGGAAATCAATGCCATGTGATTTGATTATGACACGAGGATGTCTTGGGCGGGCCGAACCATTGAAGAAATATCTACCACAGTATGATTGGACTAGACTGGGGCCTCAGTTTTTGGAATTTTCCTCGTGGCTCCTCTGCGGGAATTTGCTACGGCAATCGTACCCCGTATATTTACACCGGATTAACGCCGCACGAGCGCGCTGTTGCCTTGGAGCAATAAAAAAGACAGGAATGGAATGCGAGAGTAAATCGTTGAATTGGTGAGATTTGACTGAACACGTAAGTTGGATAACCCAATGAGAGAAGCCATGAAGTGACTAATAACCGTACTGGGGAAGAGGTGCAAGGTAGGTCTGACTCTAAAACGGTGGAAAGTGAACGAACACATTAGTATGGGTTTTCTTTCGCGATGTCTGCGGACGTATCTCTGGTGTAGGAGTAAGAGGTTGTGAGTCAGGCTTGAGCATAGTTAGGCGTGTCGAGCTAGATTATTAGCTTTCTTTGACATCGGCATCGGAGCCATTGTCTCAGTGGACTCATTTGACTGTTGAACAGTTGAGATCGAGCGACAGAGATAGGAGTACATTATCCATCGTCCATGTTCGCGGACTGGAACATACCGGCATTATTCCTAATGTCTTGCGCTGCCAATAGGCGACGGCCGAAATGGTCAGTGAATAATAGGAGAAAGTAATAGGATCTAACCCCGAGGAATTGTGCACTTTTGGACCACAGCCTCGCGCGGCAACGATTGCTATAAGGTGGTGTTCCTCCTCGTAGAGAATAAATGAAATCAAGTCATTTTCAAAGGACGCCTTGGCACTTAGGAACATCATGTAAAAGTCGACTATCCTGAGAAAAGTTGGTGCCTGTTCGTAGCGCAACATGTGCCAATTTCGTGGGAAGAGATACCCGCGTTAAGGGTGCATCGAAAATGTCTGCCACCATTTTCACCAAAGGCCCTTTGTTCCCTTTTTTGAAGGCTCAGATACACAACTTGGTAGAAGAGAGAGGTGATTCAGAAATAGATAATAGGATAGCCGAAAGAGAGAAGCCAGAGATCTATTTTCTTTTGGCCTAAGCCTTATAAAAACAGGGATTTTCTCCACGGAGAGCTAAGTCGATCAGTGTTAGAAGTTAATCCGACTGGGCGGCGCGGAGGATCCACTAGCGGAGGATTAGGGCCTGATCCAAATAGTGTTAGATCAATCAACTGTTAATGTTTCTCCGATTGGCTGACACGGAGGATCTGGACAGATGTGTTCGCCAGCCCTTCCGAGCAGAATTCCTTGGCTTTCTCCAAACCTTAAAAATACGCCCGAAGAGCGATCACGTTCGGACCACTCCAAGCTCTGGGTGCATTTCACGGATTATAGGCTCTTCTGCCGTTATGATCGACGGTCTGGCCGTAGAAGAATGAGTGACCAGTTCCTTTAGATATAGTGGCCGGTCAAAAGTTGTTGGAACACCCCCTCCTTCTAACCACTGCCCGTGCCTACGGCTTACCTATTATAGCTACTGCGACCTTTCTCAAGTATGAGTAGTTCCTCTACCTTTAACTCGACGGTCTGTCATTTTGTCACTCTAGCAATGGCTTTGCGTCTCCATGTGGAGGCAGTTGTTAAAAACGACGGCTGACGCAAGGACTACCGGGGTAATTTGTGCATGCTTAAAACCCTTTTGAACTCCGACTTTACCGATCAACATTCCAATATCTAAATCAGATTGTATTTCATGGTATGTGACGAAAGTTGAAACCATCCTCTGCCCAGGCTAGAGACGGGACGTATTATTCTCTGTTGTCAAGGAAAGTGAAGATGAGAGAACCCGCTAGAGTCGATGTGACCTAGCGGATGTCGTGATTTGAAGTACCGCCAATTTCTCCACGTGATATAAGCAAGACACCTCAACCCTTTGGTCTTTTCTTCTTTTCTTCAATTAATTCAGTCATCTCATTTTGGATTGGTTCCTCTTCTTCTCTTAGGCTCCACCAATGCGTACAAGCCCATACTGTAATTGCATAGCTTCACATCTGTACTTCAAAAGGTTTAGGGTGAAAATAGACGGTATTCGTGGGCCCTGTTCACCCGGATAATATTAACTAGTTTTGGCCTAGTTAGATAGTTAACTGGTTAGCCTCCGCTGAGTAATATAAGGCTTTGAAACGAAGCTCCCCAATACATCAACACCGGTTTCACTCCAAATCCTGCGTGTTCTTTCTACTTTTCTTCGCATCACTCAGTGCTTAAGGCCAACATGGAGCTATCTTTGTGTCCGGCAGCATTAGAATCCAAGAAACCCCGGGAGCGATTGTTCCGCGCATGCGATGCCTGCTACCGGAGAAAGGTATCGTTCCCGAATTTGCCGTCTTTTGTAATGATACACGGTTGACCATTACAGATTAAATGCGACTTGATCGGTCCACGATGTGACTGGTGCGCACATCACGGTGTTGACTGTGCCTTTACTAGACCTGGGCGTCGGGCATGGAAGCCACAAAATGATCGCAGAACCAAGTATGTATTAAAAGCTGTCATCGTCCTGCTTTATTTTATTCTAATCCAGACACAGTAGCCGTAATGAGAATCCAAAATCAAGCAGCACCGAATTAGTCGTCCCCACAATGCCAGTTCCCCTTGTCACAGAAGTCATGGGATATCGTCATCCCGAATTGCCGGACCGCCGCTTGTTATTGCAATGTGTCGATGGGTATGAAGTGTCTATCTTCCGACTTCTATTTCCGGTTATTGATCCCGACTTATTCCGCCACACCGTCGATCATATTTACTCTGAATCTTCGCCAAACCGAACATCCTGTAGTGCAAGGGTATCTATATTCTGTTTTTTCCATTTTTTCAATATACTAAGGCTTGGACCTACCAAAGCCGATGAGTATGGACGAGATCTGCTAGAAAAGTCCCAGTTTTTCTTTCATTCAATTCTCGCTGAAGCAGCATCTATCGACGGAATTCAAGCCTTAGTCATGATGGTCTTCCTAGCCCCTCTTTCTGGTGATGATGAACTCATCATATTCTATCATTCTGCCGCATTGAGCATGATTTTTGAGCTAGAAGGTCATGCTGACCTGAGCGTCGCTGCTCCCATGGCGAGCACGCATATACGAAACCTGTTCTGGCTTTGTTACACTATCGATAAACAATCCTTTCCAGGCCATTACAAACCGCTTTCCCTGATTGACGACACACTATGTGACCTCTCCCTGCCTGCGGGTTATATGGATAGGCTTTTACAGAACCTGGGGCGTTCGGTGGCCTCTACGGGGCCATTCGAAGGTGCTATCTTTCCGGTTGATATTCGTTTGAGCATACTTAAGTCTAAGGTATTCGCGGCATTCTTATCACCTATGGCCCACCAGAAACCGACGCATGAGCTCCTGCGGGATATTCGCATTCTCGACAAGGAGCTTGAAGACTGGAGACGCTCATTTCCTCCCCATTGGAATCTTACCCTTTCTGTTCTGGGCACTAATCCGAAAATCGAAAGCGCTTTTTTCCATATGTTTACGCTCCGGCTTGATTACTACTGGTGCATAACGAATATTCATCATGCATGCTACCAGTTAGCGTCACTGTCCTCTGTATGCTTTAAGCTACAAGAATGCATCGATTCAAGCTTTGCGCTTTCTCTGGAGGCAAGTCGGTCAGCACTTTTTCATCTACATGCTGCCAGCAGAGAATTTCCAACTGGCGCGCTTGGGTATGTAACGACTCATATTAGCAGTCATCTGTACGCTAACCCCGTTCCGCCCCACATAGGTTCGCTGTTTCTTTTTGCCTTCAAAATTTCTACACGGTCTACTGCAATATCTTGCAGAATCCTCAGAACCCAGAGGTAGTAAGAGATTTAGAGCTCATCCAAAACCTGGGACTGGTCATGGAGTCGTTCAATACGTCTCACAAAGGCCGTAGGATATCTAGTCTCCAACCACTTGTCAATTACGTGAAGAGTTTGAGTCGTGCGGCTTGAACGGCTGTTGACATTGCCCATGCACGCACACCGTAACCTTTCGGGGGCTGCCGAAGAATGTAGCAACTTAAGAAAGAAATGGCACAGTTTTGCAGTTCTTACAGCATACAAGTATTTGTCGGTTATATCTTCTCGGCGAGGGAAGAAACGGCCTAGCAAGGACCACACCAGGTGGCGAAGAAGTCAACAACGACGGGCTTCTTGCTGTCCTCAACGAGCTTTTTCCGCTGCTGAGCGCTATAGAGAGAGAAATTATCCGTCAGCACATATTCTCAGAATGCATGTAGCTGTAGCTCTATTTCAAGATCCGACGCCAAGAGATATGAAAGAAGAAAGTATGGAAGAAGCGCGAAACTCACCTCTCGATCTTGTGACACCCATTTTGAAGAGTGAATTACGTTAAGCAATGGGAGTGTATGTAAAGGGAGGAGTTTTATTCGGGTTGCCTTGCGTTGCCCACGTGATATCCACACCAACATTACGGAGGGCTTCTTCCCTCCTACAACTGCCTCATAAGAGTCAGTTGCTTGCCTCTGGTGGTAGCTCGTCATCTCTCACGCAATCAAGACTCGATTTTGCCCCTCCCACCTTCCCTCTGTATATAGAAACCACTGCAATGCAAACACATTGCCTCCCTGCAAGGGAGCGAGGACGGGCCTTCTCTGCCGCTACAGTCTAATGCATTTACGCAACAGACGGCAGCGACAGGTGACCCGTTAGGGCCAAACTGCACACGATGCTGTTCCCATCTTGACTGCGAGAGGTCACCAATAAGAGTACGGTGGGCGATAGTGCGAGATAGAGGGGGCCGAAAGGCGAGTCAAACGGAAGGTGGAAGGTTCCTAGAAGAGTGAAGTACTGTGAGCTTTAAAATTCAAGGAGGGGCAAGTCACTGAGAGGCGTTTGGATTTTATAGGGATGACGTTCCCGCCAGCCGGCAAGAGCTCAAATTTGAAAGCTGCCTCCTTCGGGGTCCACATTATAATTTGCAGACGGGCCGTCATAGAGGGCGAGAATCCCATCTGGGATGAGGTGCCCGCGCCCGTGTGAAGCTCCTTCGTCGAGTCGAGTTTTTGGCAATGCAGCTCTAAGTGGGTGGTAAATTTCATCTAAAGCTAAATACTGGCTGGAGGCCGATAGCGCACAAGTAGAGTGATCGAAAGAGGAATGGCACTTTGAAAAGAGAGTTAAACAGCGCATGAAATTGTTGCAAGGGAGCTGTTGCGACCGGACTCGCTCGCGGGGTTCAGCTGGCATTCGGGCCGGTCCACTCCCCCGCCGGCGGGCCAGCGTCTCATCCACTCTACGAGGAAGCCGTGGCTACAGCAACTTATACGTTACTGGTGCGGCGGTAATACCAGCACCTGAAGTATATTCATCATTACAGTAGATTAGAAGTCAGTCACAATACGTATTCAGGGTCGTTATTAGCTACAGATAAACTTCGGTAAGACTAGCCTCAAGGCACAGAGATTGTAATGGAGCAGACGTCCCGGTACCCTGAAATTCTCGCTTAATTAGCTGGTATTGGCACCTTGCCAGAATACCGTTAACAGTCTGCCAAAAGTATGTTGGCTGATGAGAGAAATTGCAACCACCTGGGATGTAAGGGCGCCTCGAAACGTGAAAGGATCAGAGCAATATGGCGGTAGGAAAGCGGGCCAGAGACTGATTGACTGAAGCTTTCGAAGGATACTATATCTGCATTAGCTAGAGATTACCATCAATTGGTAGAACACGATGACCTACACTTGAGGAGCCTTGGTAGCGTCCAAATGTTACCAAAATGCTGGAGTTGAAGGCGTAGTACGGTGATGTGGTAATCAATGTCGGAGCTGAGATTGTGATCCACTATGGTGGTCGTCTTTTTATGGAGGTCAAGGAAGATCAGGGCTGTGAATATGGTGAAGGAAATTGCTGGGTCGACAGTGAGGCAAAAAGAGCTATCCCATTGATCTGCGATAGACGCGATATCCTGACATGCCTCAAGAACACGCTCCCAGCTTGTCAACCATTCGTCACTTTGCCCAAGACCAGGGTCTGCAATTGAGAGGAGTAATTGTGCCAGTCGTAGATGAAGGACAGTAATCATCCGCGCGTGGTGATCAACATGGGACTCGTTCGAGAATGCGTTGCGTCTCTGATTAAGCCAGCCGGGTGGGAGCGCTAAACGAATCGTAGCCAGCTGCCGCTCAACTTTGGCGATTTGCGCAACCATATGTTCTTGTGAGTGAATCAGATGCAAACGGATAACAAGCCCAGCTTGGCGCAGAGTAGCAATCGTGATGTTATGAACATTCTTCAGCAATGTCTCCGGAGCTAAAGGGACGGCAAGAAGGACTTTCGATAGGTCTTCCGAGTTGGACGGTAAGTATAGCTTCAGAAATCCCTGAGCGCTTTCTGATGGCTGGGTAGTATGGCTTTGAATGAATGAGGTGTTTATAACGGAGTCATCAATCAAATATGGTGTCCCGGATGAGATATTGGAATAGGCGTCAAGGCGATAAATACACCACCAGAGAGCTCTCCATTCTTGAATATCTTCATCATTAACAGTGTTCCAGTCAGGATAGAGCGTCTGGATATGGTCCAAGCGGTCGAGCCCGATACGATAGGCCATGCGCGTCACTCTACCCACGCGCAGCCAGGATTGGTGTCCAGGGTATTGATGGAATTCATAGAACGCCAGAAGGTAGGCCTTGCGAAACTCGTCGAGTGATAGAAAGTCACCAACCAAATCATCCTCAAGTATACTTGAGCTCAGTAATAGATCCAAAGAGGTATCCAGACGGGATCGGTCATCCTCATTTGTGGTAATTCCGGTAAGCTTTGCGGTAATGATGACTATTGTCAGAATTAGATCTTCACTGCACAGGGAGCTTTGGTAGTGACGAAAGAACAGTTCTTTGGAGAAGATAGGGTTTGCATCTTGAACAATATCGAAGTAACTCCTCAGGCTAAACAAGTTCATTAGCTCCAACATGGATACACTCAATGATAGAGGATACTGCATACAGGTACTCCACCTGCTGAGGAGGTAAATGTAAGTGGCTGACAAGTTGAGGAGCATTGCCTTGCGCTTGGTGAGCGGTCGCAGGGAGTGAAACCCCGGATGGGCTATGCAAGACAAAACCTCCAAAGGTGGGAGTCGATTCATTGCTAGAAAGATGCTCCAGTGGGGAGTCGTTCCGATGTTCGCGGGCTGGATCATAGTTTGCGCGAATTATCAGCGTCACATACTGAGACTGGACGGTTGTAGAAAGGATTAGATGGGAATATAGATACCTGAAGACGTGCCTGACCTTGACGAATTGGAGACGTAGCGAGAACCGATGGCGGGTCCAGGTTTGCGCTTTACTGAAGTATAACTGCATGTTTCTCCGAGCTCAAAGCAGCGAGAGCAGGTCGGTCGTCCCTGGTTACCTATTCCAACTCAGTGGGTTGGCCAGAGTCTCAGGATAGCGACGCCAGAAACATACACTTTACCTTCTTGCTGTGGGAGGTCTGAGCTAGAGCCTTCAGCATAGAGAGGAGAACTCACCGAATGCACCGATCGCAAACCCTTAAAGGTACAGAGTTAGAATCGGAATTAGGGGCGGCGATTGCGGGATGCTGCATGGTTGCTTGCACGCAGGTTAGCTGTGCCCGGAGAGACTATTATCTCGCCAATAGATCGGAAAAATCCCCTCTCAGTGTTACCCAAAATAGCACTGATTATGTCGGATGCAGAAGCTGAAGATGATGCAAAAGTTGAGCCGATTGTCAGGGAGGATTGCATTCTTCAGGAACATATTGTCATAGTGTGCTCATTCCCTTCCCTGTCGAGTTTGTGACGTCAGTCAAGGCTCCCTTAAAAATTCTGTGCAGTTGGTTGAACAGAAATAATGCCATTATTGGCTAATCTTGGCCCCGCCTTACGGTCAAGTTCCTCCGCGGAGGAATTTCTGGGCCATAAGTGGGCCGCCACTCACCGTTTCATAAATGTTCGAGCAAGCTATTGACTACGTAGTACCCATTGATGGGACTAGATTAACCGAGGGGAGATTACGCACCAGCCGAAGTGGCTTGGGTACTATCGGGGCAAGCTGAGATAGTATGGACTAGTAATCCTCTTGGACGAATAGGCAACGAGGTAGGACTAAGCGGAGCCAATTCGGGATGATTGAGTTGACCGCTCCATGTCTCGACAGGTACTGAGTTGAGGTGTCCCCATCAGTTCCCCCGGAACGAAAGTGGGAGTGCCTCTCTCAATTCCCTGTCCCCAGGAAAAGCGGGAGTGCCCTTAGCAATGCCGGGTGTGGGGCTGGAGGAGTTAAAACTTTTGCTGTGTCACTCTGAAGGATGTCAATACCAAGTCACTTGTGGTGAGGAGACCGCTCGCATCATCTACATACAAGAGTGACTTTTTTTTCACAAATAACTAGCTGTTTATTCTAAGACTTCATTGAATACAACCAGCTGATCATGCCTTCCATCGGATCTTCCTTTGGAACATAATCCAGCACTCGTCCCTTGCGGAACTCAGGCGCCATAACGTACCGCATGATTAAGCGTTCCGTCCAGTTAGGAAGGAATAAATACCGAGAAAGAATGTAGTACCACCTATTGTTCCAGGTGTGCATACGGGTCTCGAACCCAGATTTCCAAACATCACCCTTGAGTGAGCATTGAGAGCTCATACGAACCGCCTTGTACCTCTCAAAAGTCTCCGTGAGGGCATTGACAGTTGGGTTCTCGAAAGCGGCTGCATTGATGGTCTTCCGAAGACTGTTGCAGAGTACCACCACATCTTGAACGCCATTGTTGAATCCAAGCCCCAGATGTGTGGTCATCTTGTGGCACGCATCACCCACAAGCACAACCCTTCCTAGGCTCCAGTGTTGCACGATACCCTCGTCCAGATTGGTCAGACCCGCCCCTAACATCCGTGGCCAGACATCTTTCACCTTCACTGTCCTCGTCAAGGGAAAATCCAAAAACTCTTGGGCTAAAGACTCAACGTCCTTGTCGGTGTAGTTTGTGCGCGCTTGTGTGGGGTTTGGGAGCTTCTTACACAAGAAGAACCATCCACGATTCCGACTGCTGAAGTACATAATTGCTTTGTCTTTTGCCTGGATATCATATCCGAAGCCTGACGCGGAAGGTGACGGAAATGAGCCGTAGAGAAGCTGATAGGTTGCTGTAAATGGTTGGACAGGGTCCCAGGATCGTCCAGGGCTTGCCTTGAGAGCGAGTTTGCGCATCAACTGTCGAGTTTTACTGTGGACACCGTCGGCACCAATCACGATCGATCCCTCAAAGATGCTTCCATCTGCGGAAGTCACCCTGACTCCCTCCGGATTTATCTTTATGTCGACTAGTTTCTTGTCCGTTAAGACTTTCTCTTTCGCAGCAGGCGGGAGACAGTTGTACATAATCTCGATCAATTCGGCACGGTGGAAGGCAACTGGTCCATAACCATGACTGATACTCGTCAGAATACATGTGAGTGATGACACAATACTGAACGTAGGTAGAAGGACTGGTGCGTCGTAACTTGGACTCACTTCTCGCGTATTTCGGCATATTGAGTGCCCTCCTTAAAAACGTCTCCCTCGGCCGTAAACGACAGATGGTGACGCAGCTCGGCGCCGTGAGGTAACAACTCCTCTAGAACTCCAAATTGATGCAGGACCCGTAAGGTGTGAGGATGAACAATAAGGCTAGCGCCTTTGTCTTCCACGATGGAATGCCTGCACTCCAGGACCAGGAAGTCAATACCAGCCAGGTATAGGGCATGTGCAGCTGCGAGGCCCACCGGGCCTCCGCCGACAACTATCACTTTAAATGCGTTATTCTGGTCACTCATATTGTGATTATCAATTCTGTGATAGTCAAGGAATCAGATCATTTGTTCAAAAGGGGAGGGGCTGGTTTAATACTTTGTGTACACAGTAGCTTCTCCACGGTGGTCGTCTTGTACTCCAATCAAGCCGAGAGATGCACGGTAGCGTCGTATGCGGAGCTCCCTAATTATCAAAAGTAAATTTTCAAAGAAGTGTGATCGTATTGGTTGAAATCTAAGCTCCCAACGCACACGACACGAAAATCAGAGCTTCCGGAAAGTCCCTCCGATATGGGGCCATGTGAATCACCCCATTCAATTCAGATCTCGAGTAGCAGCTAAACCGGATTATAACCGACCCTTGCCGAACATTACTATATCTCGGATCCTCGGTAATTCCTCCTCGCTGCTGATATTGAAGTCACTCCGCGGATCGACTTGACGGCGAAGCTCTAACGTTTGCGTCAAAATTTCGGAATGCGCATGGATACTGCCAGCGGATGAACTTCTCCCCAGACGTGACGTGTGGCGGGAGTACTGCGGTTACCGCCGGTCGGAAGACCCACTGTGAATGTTACTCCGGCGTTAGTATTAATTAGGACTAACTGGCAACGCTTGGTGCAAAGCTTGGCATACATGGTTGCCGCGTCGCTTCAACAAATACGGGACGGTCAGCACATTTTCGTCTTTGAGTCACGAAAAATCAACAGTTGTCACTCCTCCAAATTCTTAAGGAGAGCTTCTTGATTCATCAAAATGACTCCTTTTGACCATCTTGTGCGATTTGAATGCACAGAGGATGGCAAATCCTATTATGCGGACTTGGGACTTAATGCAGACGGGCCCCCGGCTTTGGGAACGCAGTTAGGTGCTTTCAGATCTTTTGACGACCTCACAAATCATACAGGTAAACAGATTGTGACTGTGGGACGGGTAAGTCAACATTAAAATGAAATCCAGAGAAGCCGCAGCATGCTCATGGTACAAACAGTTGCTAGCCCCGCTTCCTCGAGACAACATACCGATATACTGCGTAGGAATGAACTACAGGAGTCATGCTAAAGAGGCAAAGGTGATATTCTCTCATTCTATCACCGAGATCGTGGCTTCAAACGTCGAGCTCACACGCGCCTCGGCAGCTTCCGATCCCTTCACACCCGCCACTTTGGACGAAACCCGCAGCGTCCCTGGCACATCCCGAGGAAGAAATTCCAGTGAATGATTTCTGTGCCAAAAGCCTGCTCGATTATGAGGTGAGGGAATCGTGGATCATACCATTTACAATCTAAAAGCTGATTGAACCCTGCTTCGGGGGCCAAGGGTGAGCTGGTCTTTGTCACTTCGGAAGAGTGCCGCAATGTGTCACCGAAGGAAGCCAGGAACTATATCCTAGGCTATACGGTGGGGAACGATCTATCATGCCGCATGTTCCAACTTCCAAAGAACTCCGGAGGACAGTTTTTTTTTGCCAAAGCATTCGACCGGTTCGCGCCAATCGGCCCCACCCTTATCAGCCCAGAGCTTTTTGAAGCACATCATTTTGATTTTATCACTAAGGTAAACGGTGAAGTGCGTCAAAATTCCGATCTCGAAAATGATATGATATTTGCTCCGGAGCGAATACTTAGTCACATGAGTCAAGGTGGGTGAATGCAGTGTCCACATCTCATCCCGAAAGCATTTTGCATTTTGCTGATTGTTGCAGGTACCACTATCCCAGCAGGGACGGCAGTGATGACTGGTACCCCAAAAGGAGTTGGAGCTTTTCTTAGGCCTAAAGTATTTTTGAAAGATGGCGATGTTGTTGAAGTTAAGATGAAAAAGGTCGGAACCTTAAGGAATAAGATTCATTTTGAGTAAGCCTAGTCATGCAGCCGCATTGTGCTCACAGTTCTCGTTGCTGATAGTGCTATTGAGGGTGACTTTTTGGACTCGCGTTATTGTCTGGACACAGTGGTTGGCACTTCAGATTATTACACGGTGGATTTAGTTCGATAGAAATTTTCGTTTGGCCCGAGGCACTAGTGCCGGGTTTGTGGCAGTAGCATCAGTTAGGTTTGGCTTTATCTCCTGCAGAAGAAAACATAATACATTTTAAATTTGTCGTGCCAATACATCTTCAACCGATGGTGTCGTAGTTGACGGTGACGGGGGTGTACTGTTGATATTTGGTATGTGATATGGACTTGGCTTAATCCGTTTGGTGCGACAACGTTATGGAGCGCGCTCATAATGGACCAAGCGAAGGCTCACGGGAAGTTACAGGATTTCTCTGATTCTGAGTTGCGGTAAGGGGTAACACTTCATGAGTACATATCTTTGGCAGAAGATATGCATTCAGCTTATGACTCCTGACAAAGGAGTAGCGAGAGGGTAGCAGACGCCCCTCGACTTGATCGCGTTCTGACCATGTTAAATAGGCCTGGGGAGTTGTACATTGCAATCACCAAGAATCAATCTTGTTACGAACCCGACTACATTGTCCCTTCATCTATTACATCTGCTTCTTCCTACCTAGTTAACGGACCCTCGTCCGGTCCATTGCCCTTTACAGACAGACTGGGTTTTGTACGTATGTTAAAGGGATACTCCATGAAGCGATTGTCTAAGCATCCACGGTGATAATTATCGTGGACTGTATGAGAGGAGATCTCTAGAAAGTATTCCGGGTTTTTATAACGTGTAGGTGTACGAGTGTGCAGGGGCGGTCTTGGAGCGATAGGACGGAAACGTGGCGAAGGAGGTTGTTTCGAGCGTGGGAACAGGGGTAGTAGGGATATTTACAGGATCGTACCGGCGGTGAAATAGGCTGTACTTCGACAGAATGGTCATTTGACAGGGAACTGTATTGGGATGGAGGGAAAGGAAAGGAGTGCCGGGAGAGCTCGGAAGGAGGCAGCGTTGCAGCGGATGGAGAAGCAGCTTGCACTGGAACAGAGTGGAGATTTATAGGCGAATAGTATGAAGGTGGAGGAAAGGGGATAGTATGCGGAAACAGTTGAAAGATTAACAAGATTACAGGATAAAGATGTACAGCGCGAAAATGGCGATCTCGGCGGGAAGGCGGGGAAGGCGGGGAAGGCGGTTGGGGAGAAGGAAAAGCATTATGGAAATAGTTGAACGACCTGGCGTAGATATCTTGAAACGCGCACCGCTATTATACAAGCGTAGCACATTCAGATGAAGCCACAACGGCGGCCAGAGAAGGCAGAGACGAAGAGATAACAGGATAGAAAACTGACAGATGAAACGACAGCAGAAGAAATAAGCAGCGCACATATCTACAAAAAAACAGCTGAAACAGCAGACGCAGTGGAGCATGGAAAGAAGCGGTGGTGTAGTCGAACACGAAGACACGCGGCGACTGGCCAATGAGAAGAGGACCCTATGGAAGTGCGTAGGCACAGCAAGTATGCAGATTCGGTGAAGAACATCGAATAACGGAGGGCGTATGGAACAGCAAAGTTAGGGCCAGAGAAGTAACATTAGGGTTGAAGGGAAAGCGCCAGCGAAGATGGCCGGAAACCGTCAAGACTATGCGTAAGACTGTCAGTTGCAGAAGAGCTAATCAGAACAGAGCTTGGACAGAACAGGGAGTGAATGATAAACAAGGCAGGAAAGAAGCGGCGAATGGAAAGCAAGGATTTGGCTAACATCAACAATCGTAGATAAAGTTTTTCTGACAAGGAGAACGGCAAGATAGCCATCATGGCCTCACCGGTATTGCTAACAAGCTGAACCTTCAACAGAATACGCACTCCTTTCATCTCAGCTTTTGTTATTCCCTTTTTTATTCTGCTACCCTGGCGGGCCAGTAAATGCAGTGTATTTCCATAGTTATACATGCCATTTTTATTATAATATAATGACTGGCGCGCAAGTACTGTTTTGCTTCATATAGAAATAGGCTTTTTGGTTTCTAACACGAATGGCATGTACTAGCTATGTGTTGGTATCACCAGCTAGGTACTGTGTACACAGTTAAGTGGACAGTCTGTATGCTCTAAAGCAAAGTCAATTTGATTCTTGTTGATAGATGTAGATAGATGTTCAGTCTAGTTGGAAAACACCCCTAGATCCCACACGCCGGCCTTCGGCGGTCTCAACACCGGGGCCACAGCCCAGCGCAAGAATGCGTACACCAAGCAAGGGATGTTATCCATCGGTCGCTAGCAGTGGGTCACAGCCAGTTTGTTCTGACAGGAGAATATATCCCGACACTATGAAATTCCAAGGATATACTGTGTACTAGCGGACCAGGACAATGGAATCAGAATTGGGTGATGCAACAGATGAGATCAACAGAGTGTTGATTCTGATTCTCTGAAACTGCTGGGAGTTGAGGGGGTTGAAATACCCTCGCGAATACCTGTGACTCGGAGGTTCCTGTACATACCCGAGGTGGCGAAAGGTGGCAAAAGTAGGCGCAATCCCAATACCCAGTACCAAGTTCTCGGAACCTCAGCAGTACTGTTTGAGTCAATACAGTGCTGACCACCATTTCCCTGACGGTTTCTAAACCATGAGCAATTGCAGATGTGTCTGGTATGTGCTCAAGTCGCTAAATTCCAAGGCGGCGTTTATTAAACATGTTTGGGTGGAGTGAGCTAAACAGAGTGCAGCTTGCCGAACGTTGTATTCGTAGCTATCTGGCTAACTGAGGAAGAAGGAAAGGAAGAAGGTGTGTGTGACGGAGGTATGGTGTAGCCCGTCACCGCCCAGGTCTCGTGATTTCAAGTAAAACAATAATGCCAAGTTTTGTTATTTGGTGGTGTGAAGTATCAAGCAAGGCCATTTGTATTGATAGTCGTATTGTTCAACGTGAATTCGTTCAAAACGGAGGACGCATTTAACTGGAGTATTATATTTGCAAATGAGCCCACCCCGAGTGCCTTTAGCCAGAAAGAAAAGATCAAGATCTCAGATGATTGGGTTTTTTTTCATGGGCGTTTACTCCAGCTCTGAAGCTAATCACAGGCTCGTCCTTAATATCATAATACTACCAAGAGAGCGTTTGGAGGTGATGCACTAGGACAACGACTCCATTTGACTTGACGTGTGGAGCTTAAAACTTTCCTTGTATAATTTTATTACAACAGCTAATATGTAAATTGAGGTTTATCGAAGGTAACGGAAGACGAAAGAGAAAAAGCGTCTAGAGTGCTTGACAAAATATTAATAAACTGGTGACAGCAGCATAAACGGACAAGGAGAACAAATTGGAAAGGACCGAATGCCAGGCGTTCACGCCCGAGGCTTGGAGAACCTCGAGTGTATGAGCTTGAGCTTCTGCTTAACATTGTCGTGGTTCCAACGCTTCACTCGAAACAAATAGTAGAGAAAAGCGGCCATAATAATATTAAACACGATGTATGCCCAAATAATTCCGAAGTTCCTCCATCGCTGGGAGTAGTAGATTTGGGACTGGGCAAGGTACTGGTCACCAACCGTGAGCGAGCAGTAACTGCAATCGGAAGTACCATTCCAGTTAAGCAGCTGGCCTCCTGCAAGCTCAATATACTTCGAAAGGTATTGGCCACACGTCTGGCCAGATGGCGGGTCAAAAACCGCAAGTTCATCTAACGAGCAATCGACGTGACGACCATGGACCTGGGTCGCAGCCATGGCACCCGTCCAGTAAGTGAAAGGGCTGGCACGATACATGAAAATCCAGAATCCAGGGAGAGCAGATGGAGGTTGCATTACTCCACAGAATGTAAGAGACATCGCAAAGAGAAGGACAACAACGGCGCTAGCCGTTTGCGAGTCAGGAAGGGCGGCGATGACCATTTGAGCAAACGATCCGGCGTAGATAAAGAATTGAACGCAGAGAAGAAGGACAGTGGCCTGGCTGACGGATGGAAGGAGGCCCACGACGGCATAAAAGTAGCAGGCATATATAAGAATGCCCGTGATGAACATGTAGGGTATCTCAACTATCACGTTGGCGGCCAAAAATGCTTTCCAAGAGTAGGCTTTTGAAGGACGTTCGCGAACTTCGTAAAGAGACCGTTGCGTAACAAACAAAGGCATTAGCTATAGAAGGTTAGACGGGTTAAACGTCGATGGGGAATAGACTGAATCAGACCTGTTGAGCCAGGGAAGTGAAAATCGTACAGAGCATGAAGACTGAGTAAACGATAGTCTGTATACCTTGAAGGGACGCCTTGGCTTGGTAGAATGAGAAACCGATAAAGAGACCGGAAGCAATACCCAGCCCCCACTTAGAGATAATGTAGGACGGCATCCGCCAGTACTGCTGGAAGACTCGGTACGTGACCTGATAAAGCTGGAACCAGAAAGGCATTGAAAATTCTGCCCGGCTGGAGGATAAGTCCTCGGTGTCAGAATGCTGGCCCTGGTTTTCCTTATGAATTCGGTCAATCTCAGCCTGGACCTCTTCGCTCTTTTGACTCTGCATCCAGACATCAAACCAGTCCTCCCCCTGAGAATTGCGGCCAGCATTCACCACATCAAGCATGTATTCGGCAGGGTTCTCGCTGGCTCCACACTTTCGTGCGCCATGAGACTCGAAGTAGTCCAGGAGGGTCCGTGACTGCTCTCCAATAGGTCCGAAGTAGACAGTCTTGCCACCTCGTGCTAGGAAAAGAAGTTGATCGAATTGCTGGAATAGCATGGCACTTGGCTGGTGAATGGTACAAAGGACTGCCTGTCCATGCTTAGCCAACTTACGGAGGAAAGAACAAATAGCCCAGCTGCTTTGCGAGTCCAGACCACTGAAATATGATATTAACAACCAAGGGAAAGAGGGGAATGTATGGGTTTAGCTCACCTAGTTGGCTCATCCAGGAAAAGAAGAAGCTTGGGTTTCGCCGACAGTTCCACTCCTATGGTCAGGAGCTTGCGTTGTTCAACGTTGAGACCCTCGCCCGGCACACCCACTATAGCTTCAGCAAATTCTTCCATGTGGAGCATCTTGATCACGTCCTCAACATAACTGTACTTCTCCTGGATAGAAACAGTAGCGGGCTGACGCAACAGAGCGCTGAACCGCAATGACTCGCGAACTGTGGCGGTCTCTAAATGAAGATCCTGCTGCTGAACATAACCAGTCTTTCTTTGGAAGCTGGCATCAAGATTACGTCCATTGACAAACATTCCGCCAGTCACCACCCCAACTGATGTTCTATGTGCCAGAACATCAAGCAGGGTGGTCTTTCCTGCTCCAGAAACGCCCATCAATGCGGTGAGGGTGCCTGGTTTGACCCATCCAGAGACGTGGTCCAAAAGCCTACGAGGCTCGCCCTTGACCTCAATATCATATGAAATATGCTGCCAAGTGAAGCAATCGGTCTGCGCCTCGATAGCGGCCATTCCTTTCTCCTCGCTCCCATCGGCGGTCGCTTGGGCCACTTGTGTGGTGCCGGGGCTTTCAACATCTGATTTGCAGTTTTCTTGGCAACCGCGCGTATGTCCTGGCTCATGGCCGCGGCGGAAGACGAGAGCTTCAGCAGTGCTTGTAGTTGAGGAGTTCAACTCGCAAGCGATAAAGTAAACTGCCATGAGGCCAAAAAGGAAGGCAAATAGGATGCCGACATTACGCCACACATGACTATAGCTATACTGATAGTTGAAGAGGATATATCTATCACCGTTAACAGTTATCTGTCCAGCCACAGAGCCGGGCGCAGAGCAAGAAAATGAGTCTCCGGACATATTGGCGTAAGACGGAATGAATTGTGAGCAGGCGAAGTCCCTCCCGTGGAATTCGTTGGCGATCAGAATCTCGAAAGCATAATATATCGGATTGATGTAATGTATCCACTCAAGCCACGGGTGCATGCTGGGTACGGGGAGAACAAATCCTAGAGGCAAGATCAGGTTATTTGCCCGGACAAGATTCGAGGATGTTTCATACCTGTGTAAATTACGAGAGCAAGGATCATAACTCCTGCCAAGCCCATTGCTTGGGAGACTGTCCTAGTCACAGCGGCAAGTGTGCGGAAAGCAGCACTCATAATGAAGGTGATGAGAAATGTGACTAAGAAGTAAAGGAAAAAGCTACCCGGCTCCCGTCTTAGTCCAGAGAGGAAGTAGAGAATCAAATTGAACGCCACGGACAAGGTGAACTTGACAGGTATATCGGCGACAACTCCAGCAATCGCTTCGGTGGCGGGATGATAAAAGGCATATGAATTATGCTTCTCGACGATTGGACGTTGTGCGTAAAGACTGTTGATCTCGCTCATTGCGGTGAGCGCGTTGAGGAGCACGGCGAAAAAAAGAGTGGCACCTTTAGATGTGAAGCCAGAAGTGGTATTTGGAGAGTCATAAAAGACGGAACCGATGATCAGAGCCATGGTGATATTGGTGATGACCGTAGATACGGTGGAGGCTGCGTTGTTCCACAGCCGTTGATACGCGCGGACCGTGTTCAGCTTAATCTGCATAGGGACGCTGATGATGTAGGGTGACTTGGGTCGAGTGTGCTTTGCTTGGCTGTCACGTTTGTTCTCTTGGAACGCTAAAATAGCTGCAGCCTCGTTGTTGACTGAGTATTGCTCTTCATATGCGACGATCTCGGTCTGCAGCTGTTGAAACTCGGCGGACGTGAGCCACGCGTTTTCAAAGTCCTCAGGAGTACGTGGAGCACGGCCTTCCATGTCAGCTCTAGTTCGGCGCTCCTGCGGATTGGTGACCGAAGTAAGGAAGTCTCCCGTGGTTTGTCTAGGAGGGCATTCCCAGCCCTGCCGCTCGAAATATGCCTTGGCGGTGATGGCTGGGCCAAAGTAGACTTGCCGTCCTTCGTATAGAACCATGACCTTGTTGAATACATCATAAACACTTTGACTGGCCTGGTAGGCAGCCACAGCATGGGCTGAACCGGTAAGATCTGACAGCAGCCGGAGAGACTCCACAAATTTCAGAGCAGTAGCAGAGTCCAATCCCCGTGTAGAGTTATCCCACGCTGCCAGAGGAGACCGAGCGAGAGCCATCTCCGCGATACTGACACGCTTTCGCTCGCCACCAGAGACACCGCGAATAAAATCGTCACCCACACGCGTGCTGTATGTATGGCTAAGTCCAAAGATAGAGATCACAATTTGCGCCATGTACTTCGCAAACTCGGACCGTGACATGCCTTCGAAACGGTGAGCTGGTGTACGAGTCGCAGCGGCAAACTCTAGGGTCTGGCCGACGGTCAAATGGGGGAAATGTCGGTCAACCTAGAGACCGGGGCAAGTCAGCATAGACCCTCAGCAGGTATAGGTCCGGGTCTACTTAAAATTGCCATACCTCCTGGTTGTATACTACCTCGCCTCTGAATTCTTTCGTCATTCGCTCTTGGGTAATACCTACACCGCCCCTTTCAGTATGAAAAGTGCATAAAGCGTGCAACATCTTGAAACTTACCGTTGTAGTGAATCACGCTATTCATGTCAAGTTCCAACCCATGGAGTTCACCACAAAGAGACTTAAGGAATGTACTGCAGCCAGCGCCGGGTCGGCCCAGGACCAAAAGCAACTCCCCGCTCTTGAGGAGCCCATTAAAATCCTTGAGGATCCTCCGACGAGGAGAACGGGCATCGCGAAGCACCTGTGGCCAGCGTAGTGGCGCACTCAAAATCGATGACACAGTTTCTTGAAAGCGGAGTGCGGCGCCAGATCCATAAACATTGAGTTGTTTATACACAATTCCCATGGTCTGGCCACGACGGCCATCACGTTCAACATGATTTATGGCTGCGACGAGCCATTTCCGCAAGTCGAACTTTTGGGACTGAGGGTCCAACAATGGATCGTAATCGGCAAGAGGGTTAAGACGGTGAGCAGCGGTCGACTGTTGACGGGATTGCTGAGTAGCTATGCGAGTAAGGTTGTCTACCTCGCTCTGTTCGATCAAGTTAATAGGCTGGATGGCTGGCACCTCATGCTCTTGGATGCAATTGTGGTCTTCTCGGCTACCAGATGACATTATTGTGGCCATGCAACGTCAGCTGAGGTTGAAGAATGAGAGTATCAAGAAAACGCGCGTTCAAATAAGGTGGGAAGAACCAGCTACTTTTGTGATAGGAGAGTGATGATTTGAAGCAATAGAGAATATACCCAAAAAAGGGGCATTGAAGACAGAATCCGTGAAATTAACGGGCTGGCAGCACAGGTAGGCTATATTTGAAACGTGATTGTGATGTGCGTAACGGTAAAAGGCGAAGGGTGCAAGATATTTCAGCTCTACCGAATACTAGGTGCAGATAAACGTATTATTATATGACTGGTCATCGTGGCGATTTTAAGTTCTTCCGTGGAGGAATTAGAAAAACAAAGTCTGCTCAGCCCGGTCCAATCACGGACACTGGAACAACCCAGAAATGTTTCTCCGGCCGTTGGAAAACAAAGCTCCCCATTACTTTGGTAAGGTCTTGCATTCGATGAACGACTTGAAAGGTAAACAGAAAGACAAAGGTAAATTTTCATATCCCAGTTCGGCAAATGGGACGCACAAACACCGCCAGCTCGCTGGGCATATTTTGATTGGGGTTGCCTAGTGTGATGACTACACCGAGCGTACCGAGGGGCTCCTTCCCTCCTGCAGCTGTCTCACAGGAGTCAACTGCTCACGGCTGGTGGCAGCTCGTCATCTCTCACTCAGGCAAGACAGGCAACACTCAATTTTGTGCTTCAAGTCCTTTCTTTACGGCAATACCGCCAATAATCTTTGAATATATCTCTCTCCGCCACCCTCATGTCCAGTACGTCCAAACGTAAGACGCAAGTATTTTCCTGTTATGTCCAAGCATGAGTTTCGGGAAGGTTGGGCGGGCGCAGAATAGTGGGGCTACACATGCGGGTCACTGGAAGCTACGCGTGGAAAGACAGTCTTTTTGGCCTAAGAAGAGGTCATTTCTGGCTTCAATTTAAGAGCTCCCGATATCCAGGTTATTAACAAAGAGGGCGAATTGGATTTGAAGCCAGAGACGTCACGTTATTACATGTTATAATTTATGTGCCTCTGGGAGCCCGGGCAATTCTTTCAGACAAGAAAGATTTGCGGGGTATTGGGCGAATTAATCATATAAATTACCACGCATATCATCGCTCGTCGTCGTTCGTTTCTACATGCCATAATGTGTTGAGGTGAGGGATAAGATCTAGGAGGGGCGATAGCGTATAACAGCAACTGAGTATTATTGAGGGTATTTTAAATTAAGATAGCCCCCGAGTGGAAGCGTGCTTTACACGCTGCCCAAATATTCGCTTTACCACACAAAGTTAGCGTGTCTCAGGGAGGACAGAGAGCAACAGAAGCTCCTTTTGAGGTCCAACAGTCTTCAATGCCACCGAGGCTTTGTTGGCTATCTTGCCGTCCTCCTTGAGACGCACCGAGCCTTATATAGTAAAGTGGTCAGTTGGTAAGCGTGTAAAGCACCCTTCGGCTCAGGGATCATCTTAGTTAACTAGACATCTTCAATAACTATCATTCAATCGCTGGCTAACGCTATAACTCCTCCTAGTTCCATATCCTCATCTCAACAGCTCCCCCAAGCCAAATGATAATATCAAAGAAGCCTCAGCGGTATTGAAAATTGCCGAAAGCTTAACGCAATGTTCAAAGAAACAATTAACAGTCTTCCGCGTTGGGCTCTACAGTAATTGGTTTGGTTTCAGAAAAGAGATTTCGAGATGATTTACAACCTGTGAATTCAGCGGTTCGACTAGGTGGTTTATCAAGGTAGTAAAAATATCTTGTCAAAAATTATATTTCCAAGTAGAACCCTCCAGATTGACTGACCACCTAGTACAGTGTCCACAGTATATATTTCAGATATAGCTAGAGCTTGCTGTCCTTTGAGACAAGTTTTTCAACATCCGCAAATTGGTAATAAAACTCGAGACATGCAGGATTAATGAGGGTTCCAGACGGCTTGATTCTGCGTCCTGAAATAATCTGTTTCACAGGAAGCTCAACCTTCTTGAGATTTACAGTGGTCTGTTCCATTACTTTAGCAATTGTCCGTAAACTCCATTTATATCAAGCACATACTGGAATCTCTGGTGTTTCGAATATAAAAGATGGAACATGGCGTGCGCTGAGCTTTTGACGTATTGCAGATTTGACCCGGCTCACCAATTCTTTCGAGAAGTGGAAAGTTGGCTTCATAAGAAGGAACAATATGACGCGTTCGTCGATATCCGAAGGTCTGCGCTGGCCTACACACAACGAGTCAATAACTTCGTTGGCAAAATTGTCCTCTATAACTTGATAGATCTCCGAAGACCCAAATCGTATACCGGACGGATTAAGCACGCCATCCGAGCGCCCGTGAAAAGTAAGCTGTTTCGTGACTGGGTGGACAGATACAAAGTCCCCATGCGTCCAGACACCTATGATCATCAGCAATATACTAGACAAAACACATGGATGGTTGCACTGAGAATCATACCTTCAAATCGGGTGAAATAAGCTTCATGATAACGCCTGTCGCCGTCTCGCCCCCAAAACCCGACCGGCATGTTTGGAAAGGCTGCCGTTGCGACTAATTCACCAGGGCTGCCATCCTGGACGCGGAAACCCTTGACACCCTCCCCTTCTATTGTGGAGTCAAATACTTCAACAGGAATCCCAAGGCTCTTTCCAGCGCAGCCCCCGACGTATACAGGGAGGAGGGAGTTCCCGGTGCCAAAGCTCCCAGCAATATCTGTACCTCCAGATATGTTGTTGAGACGCACATGAGGAGGGAAACCTCTGTCATAAAACCATTCAAATAGAGAGTCCGGAAGCACCATTCCGGTGCTGGTCACAATTTGGAGCGAGCTCAAATCACATATTTCTCTGGGTTTGACAAGAGACCTCCTAAGTTCCTCGAGGTATCGAGGGGATATTCCAAAGTGAGTAACGCTGGCAGGTCATCAGAGAGGAGACTTCAAGACAAAAAATAGTAACTGATGATATATAAGATTTCTGGTGTTTAACTCACTGTTCTATATCCGCAAGCTTGATGAAGGATGCAATATCCGGCATAAATGGACTGCCGTCGTAAAGTATGACTCGAGATCCGAATAGTAATGCTTGGAGCAATGACAGATACATAATCCAGCCCGTTGTCGTATATTGCAAGACAATACTGTCTTTGTCCAATTCCTGATGCAGTCCACCCTCTTTGTGAGCGGTCAACAATGCCCCGCCGACCGAGTGCATTATGCACTTTGGTTGACCTGACGTACCCGACGAGTAAACAATCAGAAACGGATCCGAGAAGGCCACTCGTTCAAAATCCAATATATCACTCGTTGCGTCCCCCAAGAATTCGGCCAGAGGTCGAGACTTAGGGACATGATTTAACTCCGCTGGTTGTAACGCGAACCTTGGTTGGCAAACGACACCTTCAAACTCATCAATAGGCTGCATGCCCTTCACGATTTCTGCTATTTTCGGACGCAGGTCGGTGGTTTTACCGTTGTAGACAGCTGTATCATCCATAAACAGCCACCGAGGCCTGATTTGGAGCAAGCGATCGAGGATTCCTTTAACCCCCATATCTGTTGAACTGGAGGAGAAGATGGCGCCGATCGCTGTGGCTGCAAGAAAAACGAGCAAGGTATCAACGCTGTTGCTTGCGCACACTGCGACCCGATCCCCTTTGACCACTCCATGTACTCTCATTGCCTGCATTAGTCGGCCAGTCCGCTTTCTCAATTCTTCCCACGTCACACGAACCGGCTGATCGGAAGCACCTTCACGAACTTCCACAAGAGCAACTTTATCGTCCTCCTTACCGGAAGTGCCCGATAACGAGGAAAAAAGCAGGTTCTCTGCAAAATTCAGGCGAACTCCCTCAAACCATCTCGGGATACTGTCTATAGGCGCTTTTTCATCGACAACTGTAGTGTAGGTTCCTTCATGGATGAGACGAAAATACATCCAACAAAAATCCCAGAAAAGCGCACGATGATCGACTGAAAAATCAAAGAGATCGTGAAAGCTCTGGTACACGTCAGGTATAATAGGCACAATGACTGCATGAACACTACATACCTGAAAAGATTGGCCAGTCTTGAATTCAAGTGCTCGCCGAAATCGGTCCATATTACTTTGTTCTGGGGATGAATGCTCCCAGAGCTTTCGTGGCACTGATTTGAATGACATCATGGGTCGGTCACTGTCAATATTTGATAGTTGATAACCAGATCGCAGGGGCATTATCCGCAACTTAAATAGGAATACGGCATTGTTTGCTTTGTGGAACGAGTGCTTTGGGAAATATAGTTACTACAATTGTGCCGAGGTTCCAAAATAAAGACCTATTCGCTAACGCAGACTGCCGATGGGCGAGAACTAGCGGGCGCGCTCCATCGGAGGCTTGCACATGTTGGAATGTTGTGTTCCGCTTGGAAGTCCCTCCGAGGGGGAACCAGAAGATATGGATCGTGAGCCCCACGAGCGACCTCAAGGCTAACATAGGATTCGACGACTTCTGCGTTGAGGTCGCGCCGTAGCGAATGCCGGACTAGCACATGGTTCATCTCTCTCCCCTGTTCTGCTCGCATTACTCAACCTTCCACGGATGTGCATCAGCCTTCATCGATCGATGCTTACTTCCGCTGGCGGGTAGGCCCCTCAGCGGAAGACAACCTCGCAAAGACTAAAACCGAGGACATTCCCCGCATTCAAGCATGGGCCCGACGAACCGGGTCCTGCCTTCCGCCGAGAAAATCAAGTTCGTCAACCTCACCAGGGAAGGAGGCGAATAACTCAAGGGCCGGGTGGCTATGAACGGGAAGCCAGTCAAACCGTCGCCCACAGCCAAGCTGCTGGGCGTGGTCTTCGACCGGGAGATCGGGCGATAGAACGGGTCCAGTGGGCCATTAAACGCGCAAACAAGGTGAACATTGTATTGGGCGGGCTGTCGCACCTACGGCCAGATGCGACAGCTCCACCAAGCATGTATCACGATGGTCTGGCATAACTCTCTACGAACACGACTTACCTGCAAGGCAACTTTTGAAGTCTCTCCGCGGAAGGACTGAATCTGCCTGGCAAATGCTACTAGACGAATAGGAATCATCCGGGAAAACAGGTGTTAACCATATTAAGCACGTCATAAATCCTGTTGACGGAGGATGCACCTATTTTCCCATCGGCTAGAATTGCTTGGTACAGCCTGCAAGTTGAATAACACATGAAGTTGTTCCCCATGTCGAATGCTTGGAAATCCGGACGTGACGTTTTAACTACAATGGGTTTGCTTATTATAGGATGCTGATTTAGATCTTGTATTTTTTTTATCAATGTTATTATTTGCTGGGCTGGCATAAACCTGATTATCACACAAGAGCGGTGGATTAAATCCTTTGATTTTTTTTTTTTTTTTGGACTGAGGTCGTCTTTTCTTATACAGCGTTTCTCGAAGTTGCCTTGACCAGCACACACTGAGACTCTTTTTATCAGCCCCACTGCCATGGCCTTAGCGCAGATCATAATTGGGCTAGCCACGCTAAATTGAGGACCCATTCGTAATGAAACCCAGTAAGGTATTGTATCTATTACTCCAAAAGAATATATCGCATGCTTTGAATGTGGGGCACACGTTGATTGTCGCTGTATTAGCTCAGTAGCATATTACAGCGGAACGTAACTTTCTGTTGCCGACCAAATAAATTATCTGCGCTAAGACCTTGGCAGTGAGGTCAAGAAACAGAGCCTCAGTGTCTACTGGTCAAGCCAATTTCGAGAAACCCTGTACCTCGGACATCCATATAGACTTTAATTTCAACAGTACTGCCATATTCGAAATCAGATTCCCCTTTATCCACTCAGAAAATAATTCTCCAACCCAATCCTAAGATGCGCTAGTCTATATTCGGGTTAGCTATTGATCGTGGCTTGTCCACAATACGGCCACCGTTCAATAGTGTTTAGAACACGATACTTCCGTCCACAGGCATAAAGATAGGCGGGGTATATATTACGTTCCCAACAATTACGAACGGTGACTGTATTATTTACAAGCCACGATCTGCAGTTAATCTGAATATTCACTAGCGCCTCTTAAAATAGGGTCAGACAATCATTTTCTGAGTGGATAAAGGGGAATCTGATTTCGAATATGGCAGTATCTCCTGAAAATTTCTATCCCTGCTTATCATGGCTTTCGAATGCCGCTTCCAGTGGATTATTCTGCCTGTCGAGATAACCGAAGGGACACACAGGCGATCGAGTGCGTCGTGCTCTGGGCCCAGGACGACTGCAGTGTTTCTCCCCGTTTTTAATGCTTAATCATGCTTCTGGCGGTGACGTGGCGGGTTCGCAGAACATCCGTAGCGCGGGTAAAAAACCATGGCATTTGTTCTCCGAGGGGGTGTGTATCGACCTGCAGTACCACGTTAACACCAGATTGGATTTTTGGTATTCGAACCAACCCTGGAGGGAAATTTATCCAGGGTTTGCAAAGCGGCTAGAATGCCTTCGCCTACACTCTTGAAGGCCTTTGACTTTTCATAGCCAGCGGCTGGTAGGAATATATTGAGCAATCTCAGACTTCACATTCATGCGGAAAGGGATTACATTAAAGCTTCCTTACCAGAGAGTATATCTCAACACTCACAGTTCTTTCTTGCTGTCGGCCAGCGAATTAAGCAGAAGATGGAGTAGCATGGACCAATTCTTTGTGCTTCTAAGGAAGAAGTGCAGAAGTCGATTCTGGAATTTTAATTTGCATGGAAAGGATTTGAAAGAGCTTGTGGTTGGCGAAGCAGTATTAGCGGTCGACAAATGTCTTGAGTCAAAGCTGCAGGGTAATGTATGAAGGGTAGTCAGTGACTTGTTTTCGTCGGCCGGAATGAATGATCTGGTGTCTATCATGTCCTCATTCTTCAGTAAGGTCAACTCCATTCTATCCGCCGGTATCTTCTACACATTACATTTCATTAAGTATAAGCCGGTTAGGATTTGTTACATGCTTATTTGAGACCTATATAATTCCCCGGTTTGTCTTTGGCGGCTGATTCATGATAAACTTGAGAGGATGAGAGTTGTGTTAGCGACAGGCTTTGCTACGACATTGGAAGGATAATAACCCTTAAAAAGAGACGATAGACAGACTCAATGAATGGCAGCGCTTGTTTGCTTTTTTAAAGGAAACGATGCAACATTAACCAGTTCACTTTCCGCCGACGAAAAGTCTGATGAAAAGTCCAGGGAAAAGTAATGCAGTCACTATGAGTGCAGCCTCATTCCCTCTCCCACTTAACCACTCATTTTTTCTCACATTAGTTTCCAAACACGTTCAGGCTGAACTTTTTATTTGAATACTGGATGGCTTGAGTCAATTATAACCTCTGTTGTGAGACTAAATCAAGGTTACTTTGCGGGAATATTTCGAGCAAAAGGGAATGAATAAACAAAAGCTGGAATAGAAAGATAATCATCGATTCCTCTGAAGAATTCTTCCGGAATTCCTTCATTTACCACAGCTTCGACAATTCCTTGAGACAACATCTCAGATTCAATTAAAGAAAGGAGCTAAGAAAGTATTCAGACCAAAACCATCAGCCGGGCTGAAGCACGGTAGTTCTCTTCGTCAGTCTATCTCGCCTTGTTCTCCCCAAAATCGCTCGGCAGTTCAGGACCCCAGACAGATATCGGTCCGACAAATTCTCTGCGCGTATGGTTCTCTTCATTCACCACATCGCCGTCCGCATAATGTTCGATTTTGAACATACTGCTGTCATACCAATAATCAAAAATTTGACTTCCAAGTATGTGCCGCCCAACTCCCCAGACAGACTTCCACCCTTTCTTTGCAAGGTACTGATGACCCATCAATTGGGTGTCAAAATCAGCAACTTCGAAGGAACTATGATGGATGTATGTTTTGCGGACAGTCGGCGGTGCGCGCTGGAGGAACAAGGTGTGATGATCAGTATAGTCCGGGCCCAGGTCCAGGTGCATAAAGGTCAAAACGTCAATATGAGGAAATTTTGGGAGGTTCAATATGTCTGAATGAACGAAATTGAAGTTTGAGGTGTAGAAGTCCAGTTCCGTCTCGAACTCCTTGCACACATATCCGTAATGGCCCAACTTGTGAACCAAAGCAGGCCCATTATGATACCGCTGAAATTGGCCTTTCCGAGGTTTCTCAAAAGGCATATTGAAGGGACCATGGAAGTCATGAGTCGCCGATGGAAGTTGCTCCACCTCTATTTTTCGTTCGGTCTGGCCGTAGACGACATGGAAGAAGCTGCCGTTGGGCCGGGCAAAGGTGACCATTTTGCCGCCTCCCGGGGCTCCATCGAGGCTTTTGACGGTGGCCCCTGTCATAGATGCGGCCTTCTGGAAATTTGCCTCATCTTTAGCCAAAAATGCGGCACCCATAAACCGGGATTGACGGTTTGGGCTCTGTGAAGCGACATAAATATATGGGTCTTTCCCATATCCGCGGTAATATATCGTATTCCCTTCCTGACCAGCTTTCACGAATCCAAAATCGTGCGCGAATCTATCAAAGGCCTCCAGGTCGCTATGCTCAAAATAAACATGAATGATGCGACTTAACTGGACCTTGGAGGGGTCGTTGACGACGGTCGGAATTGCTGAGGGTGGGAGAAACCAGTCTTGCCATTGCTTTGGAAGGAGGGCGATGGCATCGAGCACCCAGGATGACATTGTGTTCTCTGGATAGTGCTGATGGCTTGTGAGATCTAAGTGATCGGAGAGAAAGTATGCGGAGGCGAAAACTCACAAGAAGAATGGTGAGTGTCAGCACACGGAGAAAAACTGCGTATTATATTTGGTCAATCACTGGCTCCTACTGGCAAGAAAGAAACAGCTTTCGTTTTTTTCCCTCAAGAGCAATTTTCTAAAGCCCATATCGGAGAATCTTATCGGTGCGTTACTGAATACTCACGGCGGAGCGACCCTGCGTGCGCTGTGACCTAATTCAATGGACCAACAGGAGGAATCAAGAGGAGGAATCAACAGGAGGAATAAGCAGGAGTAATTACGCAACGTAGGACATATGCCAATAAAAGAAATCATCCGCGGAACAACTTTTGTTGCCAAGGAGTGAAGTTGTACGTGGATACCTCAATTTTTATTCTGTTTAGAACCCTCCCAATTTCTCTAGAACTTATGCCCTTTTACGTAAAGTCTGAGAAAATACTTTCTTTTGATCTTAGGTAAAGAACTCTCGGACGATTACCAAGTTGTGGAGTTCGATGGAAACGAGAAAACAGAAATAGATTTACCTGTCGGTGAACGAGGTTGTTTATGCAATAGAACCCTTGGCAGCAGCATCTACGGCGGCCGATAGCGGCCTCCTTTCGAAAGTATGATTCTTTACACCGCTTCTGAGACCGCTTTGGATCAATCAGGCATCAATATCTCCAAAATAGGCAACCAGTCTGCTTTTGAAGACTCCCTACGAATCTTCTCGTCCGCATCTCTCCCTTTCCCTCTTCCACATCTCCCTCGCTGCATCTCTTTCCCCCTGCATATTAACGTCAGTATGGCCCCCGAATCAATCTTGAGCCCTACAGGGATGAAATCGCGATTGTAATCCGCTGCGGTGAAAGCGATGAAGCTATATCAGCTACCCTCTTCAATTACTATGGGATTAGTGTGACCGGGCGGACTATTGGCTCTAGTTTAGTTGAATGGAGTATACATCGTCCTTTACGGTCACCTGATTCCGAAACGACCGACAGACTTGTGGAACAACTCTATACAATGGCACTTACTTACTTCAGAGGAGGTCCTTGAGATCCTTGCGAAGAAAGGGGAAGGCTATTTCTGAGAGAACCCTGCGGCGAATAAGAAAACGTCTTGGAATTCACCTCCGCTGTGATAATCCCACCGAGCGGATTCGCCAAATTGAAGAGCTTCGAGAGATTCTGCTTGTGGAAGATGTTATTGGGGATATTGAGGGCTTTGGACGACGACTACAACATGTGTATCTTCCGAGCCCCGAGGCATTCTTTCCTCTTGATCTGATATTCGAGGTGTACAGGACGCTGAATTCCGAGGCTATTGATCGCCGTCGATATGATCTTCAACGCCTGCGAGGAACTTGTACCTGCCCTGAACCGAACTGGGTCTGGCATCTTGATGGTTATATGAAGGTTAGTTCTTCTACATCTCTCCCAAATTTGCCACCTTACTAATGCCTTCACACTCTTCTAGCTTGAGCAATTTGGCTTTGGAATATACGCTTTGATCGATGGCTATTAACGATTTATCATCTGGATCTTTGTCGGAGTATCTGCGCGCACTTCAATTAGTGTTCTTCGCCAATATCTTGATGCTGCCCAGTCGAATGGATTCGTACCGCGGGTTCTACGTGTTGATCTTGGAACAGAGACTATCCAACTTGGTGATGCCCATCTTCTTCTTCGGGGATCTATAAATAACCAACCCTGTCATCAGAATACTACAGTCCAGTTAAAAGACCGCTTGTTCTACGGTCAGAGTGTCGAGAATCAGCGTATTGAGGCCTGGTGGGGACAGCTTGCAACATCGAGTATTTTTCTCTACTACAATTACTTCCATAAGCCCCAGAAAGAAAGGCTCTTTTCAAAGGATTACCTTCCAGAGCAGGTTTCTCTCCTTGCGACCTATATGCCAATCCTACCCTCTCGAATCCATTCCTACACAGACACCTGGAATTTACATTCAATTCGTGCACAGCCCGATCGACAAAACGTGATACCAGGGAAGCCAGTCATGAATTACTATCACGCTAATGTAGAGGATCATAAACGGCAGTTTGAGCCTGGATTACTACAGAGACTGCAGGAAGATGTCTCTGAGTGAAACCCATCTGAATATCTTCCAGCGGCGACAATGACGTGGCGTTATCAACAACTTCAAGAAATCGGACAGCGGGGTTATGACAACTTTTAACGCAAAGTTATACGAAACGAAGGAAAGTGTTCCTTGATGAATTGAAACTCCATAAGCGTGTCGATAAAATTTTTGGTTTCAGAGCCAGGCAAAGTTAAGAAAAAGCTTCCCTTTGGCGCCTGTAACGAAGGTGTCAAAGAAGAGAAAGTATGGGGTAAGAGATAGGCCTTTTTATATTCCTCCTGCCCTGGGCACCCAACCAGCAAACTTCCCCATTCAGAATCGTCGAGGTATCCAAAGCAAACATCTACACTCGCCAGTTGCCATAACCGTCCTTGGCCATTCGCTCGTCACAATTGGTTGAATACTCCCAATAGATGCAACTTCTAATCACACTTTTTTGCAGGACCAATCTCAGGCGCACAAAACCCTTCCGGTTACGCTCTGGTATGGAGAGACAGAAGATCAATTTTAGTATCATTCAACGAAGCAACTAAGCATGAGGGAAGAAGATGGACAGATGCGAAAGGTGAGAGAGGTGATCTAAGAGGGAGATGCCTGTTGAACAACGCATCAACATCAAACATGTGAATCGCCACACTCTCTACTTATGATACGTCACTGGTTCTCAAGCATGCGGTCGTAGAATAGAACAACATATTTGAACTCCTCCAAGGCTCCCTGCAAATGCCGCCCCGAAGAGAACTATCTCACTAAGAGGACGAAAACAGCCAATACTACTCCGACTCTCCAGGGTTATTACTTCCACTCTCGGACACCCACTTTTTGGAAGGCCCACGAGCTTTCTTGTTCGTTCAGAAGATCTTCGGCGATAAAATGGGCATTGTCTTCGAGTGACGTGTTATACGCCGACATTTGGCTCATGATATTCAAATAGCCTCCTATCAGTGGTGTACACAAAAGCTTGGGAGACCACTTAGGAGGTACACCGCTAGAAGCCGTGAGATTTCTGGCGGAGGCTTGCTCTGCGAGTGGATATGTCGTTTTGCTCAAAGGATGCATCATACTGGGACAAAGTATTGACCAGTTAATGCTTGAGGAAGGTAGGCTTTGGAGCTTGGCCCAGGTTTGGCTATGTTCCGGGAACATCCGAAGTCTATGTAGAATTGGAAAACCAGTTAGCATCTCGAAAATTGCACAGAAGCATGAAAAACAAACAATATATGGGCCAGTTCACTTACTAGTCCACTGGGCGGTATCTAGTCTCGGGGAGGTCCATCAGGCCGAGTCCTCCCATGAACCACACCCGCAAGGGGCTCTGGCGGTCTTGCCCCATCTCCAATGCAGCGCTGATGACTGCGTCCACAATGCTAGGAAGATCGCTCTTCCCCCACGGGGCCATGGCGGCAAGCCCAGCAGTATTCACGATGGCATTACATTGATGCTTGTTTCCAGCCGCCTTGATATCGGAGCTCTTAGTGGCATCTCCAAGCTCTACGGCCGTGAGGTGGGGCACAATGGCAGGAGCGAGCTTTGAAGGGTCGCGCGCAAAGGCGACAACAGAATGCCCTCTCGCCAACAGGGCAGACAGCAGGCGAGAGCCAAGATTTCCAGTGGACCCTAAGACGAGAACCTTCATGCTGTATAATACAGGGTAGGGATAGAGATGCAAATGACCTTTGAGGGGAAAACGAACGCGAGCAAGGGCGAGACAAATTTAAATAGTTCGGGAGAAGTTTCAGCTAAGGGGAAACCCGCTGAAAGTTCTCCGTAGTGTATACGTCATTATATGTATATATAGACAAATTACGTTCGCCGTGGCCATAGTTTCATTCAGACAAGGACAGTGGGGTTTTAAAAAGCACCCGCAATAGTTAGCTTCATTGGTGTCGTGATTCTATGTTTGCACTAGGGATTCTTGCACTCCGAGAGTCCGAGAATCGGGACCAACCCCACTTACCCTATTCATATAAGCAAGGACACCCTAACGTGTCCTCGCAGCATCCGCTCTTTTCATCTTTTCTTCAACTTAATTCAACTCAACTTTTTGGATTGATTCCATTTTTGCATACAATGCCATACTGTATATGCTTGCAGTAATACATTCAAAGAGCAGTACAGTAATTGTAACTCAATACGAAGCTACAATGGGACTCAAGCGCCGGAGCGACTTTTCGGAGGAACTTTTAAGTGGGGCGCAGCATGATTGGAAACAAAAGACGAGCGTGTCGCGTATAGACCTCGACAACACTCGCGAGTCTCCAGGCCCGGTCCGGTTCTAGAACCGCTACTCTACTGGAGGGTAGACGAAACCGACGTAGGTATTTGGTATTCGTGGCAGCAATCTCGTCATTTCAATGGCTTTTTTAATCTTTCAATCCCTGTTGGTATCACCAGCTAGGTACTGTGTACACAGTTAAGTGGACAGTGTGTATGCTCCAAAGCAAAAGTCAATTGTGTTGATAGATGTTGATGTTCAGTCTAGTTGGAAAAACACCCCTAGATCCCACACGCCGGCCTTCGGCGGTCACAACACCGAGGCCACAGCCCAGCGCAAGAATGTGTACACCAAGCAAGGGATGTTATCCATCGGTCGCTAGCAGTGGGTCACAGCCAGTTTGTTCTGACAGGAGAATATATCCCGACAATCCCCAAGTCATACAAGCCCGGGCTGGTATATGTGATTCAGCGCCTTAGAACTTCAGCATGGCCTTGCCCTTGTTCTTGCCATGGAAGATACCGACCAGGCCCTCTGGTGAGTTGTCAATGCCCTCAGTCTCATGGATAAGCGTCTTGAACGAGCCCTCTTTGATCCATTTCTGCACACGCTCCTGGTGCTCCTTGGTGTAGATAGGGCCGATATCGGGGTCACTGACTATGAAGCCGCGCATCGTGATACGCTTGGCTAGGACGTTGTAGAGGTTCTTGATGGGGTAGGGAGCAGAGTTGTACTGCGAGATAAGGCCACAGACAACGACACGGCCGAAGTTCTTCATCGCGTCCAGGGCAGCCTCGAGGTGCTCACCGCCAACATTTTCATAGTAAATATCAACACCCTCAGGGGCCAGGCGGGCCAGTGCATCTGCGGGCTTCATTTTCTTGTAGTTGAAGCCTCCGTCAAAGCCAAGCTCCTTGATGATGAAGTCGAGCTTCTCATCGGAGCCGACGGAACCGATCACGCGCAGACCTTCGTGCTTGGCGATCTGGCCGACGGTCTGGCCGACGGCACCGCTAGCAGCGGAGACGAAGATGGTCTCGCCCTTCTTGGGCTTACCGATCGCGTACAAAGAGGAGTACGCGGTCAAACCAGACATACCGAGGGCGCCAAGGAAGACGCGGATATCCTCGATTCCCAGTGGGTTCTCCAGCTTGCGGATTCGCTGCAGATTCTGGCCATCGAGCGAAACGTACTCCTGGATTGGCACATGGCCAATCACGACGTCGCCCTCATTGTACGAGCCAGTGTTTGAACGAACGACCTTGGCAATGCTGGCGCTCTCGATGGGCTTGTTCAACTGGAAAGCCGGGGCGTAAGACTTGACCTCGGCGGGGCGCATGCGGCCGCGCATGTAAGGATCGAAGCTGGCGTAGAGGGACTGGATAACGACACCGTCGGCGGGAGCGGCAATATTGGCGTCATAAGTGGCGGATTCGACGGTCAGATGCTGGCCGGGGATAGGGTATCCCTTGGGGATCTCCCTGTAGACGAGTGCCTTGTTGGCCATGATGTCACTTGGATGTATTCTGGACGGGGTATAAGAGGAAAGGGTGAGTTGAATTGGAGTGTTGTTGAAAGTGAATTAACAAAGATTTTGAACGGGATGAGTGAAGTTGTTGTGATGCTGTGCACAATTCAGGGCCAATCAAGCTTTTATAATGAAAGGAGGGGACCGAGGCAGAATTGTAGAACTGCTTTCGATCATACTGTACCGTTGTACAGTATAGCAACTTGCCGTTTGCCGATGGACCCGGAGAAGCTTCTTGAGAGGGCTATCGACTTATTACTATAGGATAGATACTCCGTACTCTACGACTGCACTCTGTGTGGTCTGTGATTAACATGGTTAATTGTACGAAGTACACTTTGGGCCTTCCAAAGCGCTGACGGCTCCACTTTTCTGCACAGTACTCTAGCTTATTTCCACAGGTTGATGAAAGCGCCTCCTAATTATGGTGAAATACATCAATTCCAAGATCCGATGTTGCATACCGAGGTCCAATCAATCACGATAATATTACGGAAGCTCTGTAACCCCAGGACTTTCTCTAACTGAGTCTGCCTTCGTGGCGATAGAGCTCGGAGGAACTCAATACGCCCCAGATCGACGGGAGACGGCCATTCTGGGCGAGAGGGACGCGCCGGCAAGACGCCACTCCGTTCGCACTGGTTGCATTGTCCGCACAATGAGTAACACTATGGAACTCCAGGGCTCAATTTCTAATCATGGAGAAGCTTAGTTACCGATTCAGGTCTGGTTCAACTGCGGGGGAAAGGTCAGTGCATTGAATTTGAAGGGATTAGGAAGGCCCATAGATCTCGATTGGCCCTGCCGTTCAAGCCAAGCCAGTTACTGTCATTGACTCCTAGACACGATTCACTTTTGTTCCTCGCCACCTGCATACGCAGCTTAGATGATATCGTGACTCGATACTGTATTTTGTCTTATGCATCAATTAATGCACTGCACTTCGGTTGCATCTCCTGTAATCTCACGATTTTTGATGACTTCATCACGCCCAGGATTAATTAGGTATTATTCCGGCCCCGGACACGTATGCCCTGCCTTCACCTTAGAAGTCCTAGCGAGATGAGTGCCGGTAAAGATACATTGGCTTCCCAGTAGCTACCCATGGGTGCTTTGGCTGCTTGTGAATCTGATGCCGATTCCATGTCTTGACGTATAAATCAGCAGATAAGCGTAGAGTAGGCATGAGTACTACGAGAAGAGCAATCTGATTAGGAATGCTTGTGATCCAAAAAAGACGCTCGTTTCGAAGAATCTTGAAGTAGTTCTAATATAACATGACATTAGCGCACGAGCTTAATGGTCGAGGGAACGAGAATATACACGCCAAATAAACATACTTGATCGCGAAGCTGGGCCCACCTGGCCTTAATACGAGTATTCTCAGTACTCTTGCCATATGTATAACAATCAGATTGAGGAATCTCGGGTTCGGCTATACGCTTGAGTGCCCAATGAGCGTCTCCAAGTGTCACCCGCGCGAGGGCTGGCTAGGGTCGAGGGTCGGGTGAGGGTCAAAAATTTTGAGCCGACCCTCGCGAGGGTAATTCCGAGGTCTATGCACGGGCCATCCACGCAGATTTGAGCTTCAATTTTCTCCTATAGCCTCAATGGTGGCCCACTTTCCCACCAAACATTCGGTTAGGCATACATTCAATCCAGGCAAGTGTGAACGCGGGTCTCACTTCGCAATGACCCAGTATTTATTATAGATCGATATCATCACAATTCGAGAACGACTTTCTGTTCCTAGCATGCTGCCATGCCGTCTTTTTTAATCCTCTTTCGGGAAATAGGCGTGTATCTTTCATGGTATGGATCTAACCCTAGAGGGAAATATTGAACTATATACCCCGTTCCTCAAACGAGTAGACTCAGAGCATCTTTAATATTAATGACTCCACTGTTTGCGTCCGTCAGGGCTACTTGAAAGGGGCTCGCGAATGCTTCTTGGATGCCGCAGGTTTTCGCACATCCCTAGAATCGTGATCTTATTGCACCCAGCCTCTTCGACTACTTGAAATGGTAAATGTGGAGAAAAGCGAGTCAGGATGAATCAATCTCACCTATTTTTCCAACAACTGGAGACATTCAATCAGAATTAGTTCTCCGTTCGGATGGGCCTCCGGGGGTTGGGCGGCTACTGATAAACTTTCGCTCAACTCGGGCCGAATGGTCTTGATGTGAAGGCGAAAGATTCGGTCCAAACAAATGGTGTGATCCGACCGATCCGAGCCAGAGATGTCATCTCTCGAGAAAGGGCCAGCTTATATAGCCGGAAGAAAAGGTTCTTTAACTAAGCCTCTAGTTTCCAACGAATACATTCCTAAGTCGCCTCTTTTCACTTCGCAGTTTTCGGTCCAAAAGACGTGGTTTACGATTGAGTGGAAAAATGTCCCAAAACATTGACAAGGTCCGCAAAGCTTTGGTCGGAACTTGGAAACTATGTTCCTACGTGAGCCGACCAAGTGGCCAATATGGATCAGTCGGCTATCCTATGGGCAAGGACGTTGAAGGATACATCATCTATTCTTCGGACGGTTTCATGTCTGCTCAGCTTATGACACCGGGATCCGTGAAATACTCTTCGGAGGATTTCCTGAACCCAAAGCAGGATGAGGCAGCTGATGCGGCGCGACACTATTTGGCTTATTCCGGTCCTTATGAACTCCTTGAACACGAGGGGAAACTTGTGGTGAAACATCACATGGATATATCTGTGGTTCCAAACTGGGCCGGGCATCACCAGTTGCGATTCTGTGACTGGAGAGGTGACGAGCTCACCTTGGGCCCTCTAGAGCCGTGGCTTCTCAACGTACGTCGATACCGTTTGCACAGGAGGATATGTTATTAACCAGATCCAGGGCGAACGTGTCGACCAGTTCCTGACATGGAAGAAGGTGGTTCCTCAGTAATTCGGTCGGATCTTCTTCTGAGAGATTGCTCCTGTCACCCTTGACTTTCATTCCACATGCTACATTACTCAGTTCAACGAGAATCATTTTTCCTTTAAAAATGGGTTTGAAGAAAGTTCGCGGATTTCAGGGGTTCTTATTATTTAAGCAAAGCAGAAGTACGTTCGCAGCTGATCATACGCAACAATAACATGCAACTGTGCCAAATATAATCCTTCTAAACTGGGTAAAGGCCGACCTGTCGAGGCGTTGGTCAGGACGTATAAACCATTTGTCATAATGCTATTAAGCTTCGTGGTCAATATAGCAGGCCACGTTAAGAATTTCGGCCACGGAGAGAAGGTATGATTTAATGACTAAATTCGACACCTGTTAGTTAGAAGGAACCATTTTACATTGTAAAGATCTAGGTACGTCTAGCAGCGCTCTACCAATAGTGGCTAGTTATTAGCGTGCAACACAATCAAGCACGAGCTGGTAAATTCTAAATAACAGCTTGAAATCAGGTTGATCAAGAAAAGCTAAACCAGCTGCATGAGTAAGTGTCCTCCTATATTTTTGTATCTAGTTGATCATAGACTGCGTTGGTAGACAGTGAGTAAGAAGCTAGTTATTTAGATGATATACCGTTCCGTGACAGGTAGGCTCTTCGTATACGATTGATCACATGCCGTCTACCATTGTCTTGTGGTTTCAGCATAATGGAATTGATTCACAGCAAGCAATGCCGAGTACCGATCTGACAGAGTTCAGCTAGTTTTCGGCATTCACAGGCCCTCCAGATCCAATGTCTTCCTTCTTAAACCCCTCTGTTCCAAGTATACGACCTCCTATGGTCACTGGGTTGGCAGCTTGGAAAGTTCTTACTTCAGCTCATTTTCCTGATTAGCACTAAAGGATGTAGAACATACCGATCAAGACAAAGAACAGCCTGGCTGGTTCGTCCGAATAGTTGGTCCATCCGTGCACAGTCCCCCGCTGGACACAGACGTCCCCAGCCTTCATATCAATGCGCTCATCACCATCAAGATGACTATAGAGTGTAAATCCTATGAATTAGCGAGGATCTCAGTCCACGATTGTGAAACAAACCATGTAATTTCCCCTACATGCAAAATACCAAAATCAAGAGATACGGTTCGATGGAATATCTGGGATCGTTAATACCTCTCTCCTTGCGCTTTTCATAGGGAGTAGGTCTTTACAGTCTTTGTGCGCGGCGGAAAGTCAACTACACGCAAGACCACCCCTTTCTCGTTGGCCAAGTCCGTAGTACGGGACTTTGTCGGATCGATCCACTTGTCGTTCGATTCGGGAAACTGATGCGTCTCGTAGAGGACGGCAAAATTGCATTTGATATTGGTTGGCTGGCAGGGAATCAGGCTGTCCGCGACGATAATGGCATTGCCGTGGTCGTCATGGCCAGTGACGATGCGTCTTGGGTGAGGAAAAAGGCCCGCCATGTCGAGAGAATTGTTATAAAAGAGAAAGATATTTGCAATGACAATCAAAGATATCAAAGATAAAATTCAGTAGGGGGCCAGCCATCAGATAGCTTATATAATAAACGTGAAGTTCATCCATCATACATTCACAATCCCGAAGATCGGGGACGCTTCGGATTCGGCCTTTCGGAGAATATCCGAATGGCCCGACTACGCCATCTCTCAAGAACCGTCGAGACCACCGAAAAATTCGCCACCATGGACAACGGAGTGGGGATGCCGAAGTGACTACTATACTTTGGGAAGTTTCTCCAAAATTATGTGCTGGGGCCGATCCTTTTCACCAGACTGGCTCAATCATATTAACCTGGCCGCTGAGGGCTCATAGAAGCACTGTAATGATTAGGGTCCGCTGTTATCACAATGAATAAATCAAGCTGCGCATTCTACAATTGAACAAAATGAGGTCGAAGGCCGCAATGGAAGCCGTCACCAAATAAGCCCCCGTCTGTTTATTCTTCGCTGATAATCAAGTAGATTTATTCGATTCATCGTCATTTCCCTCATCAAAATTTTGTTTCAGCTAATATGTACAATAAAAAATTAATTAAACACTCTCCAGCCTTGCTGAAAGAGAGCTAAGGGCTCGAAACCTGAATACTGGTCGAGTCCTTCGTCCCCAAAAGATAAATTATACCACGCATCATGTAGGGATACATCGGGTTGCTCCACTAACAACTGATCAGGATGGATCGAATTAATTTCCCCGATCCCGTGCCCATGGCCATTTTCAGGATCAGCGTGCGAGTTCTGCGAACCAAGACAGGATCCCAGCTCGTCTTGGCCCGATGCAAGTGGGAAATCATTTGCCCGGTAGATCGGATGGTTCGGCCTTTCAAAAGGATGCGCCCGTGACGGCGTGGCAAGATTATCCTGGGCCGAATCGTCAACGTGCGTAGTCATATTGCAAGTCTGAACAGGCTCCACGCCAGCCATTGTATTTCGCTCCGCAGTCGAACCCTCCTGTGATGTGGAAGGGAGGAGTTGTCGGCCCAGAGCAGAAGAAAGTTTTTCCGACTTGGTTTTCCCACCAAGATGTCAGTGCGTGCTGGATTTTTTATAAAGTAGGATCTACTTACAAGATGCCCCAATGTTCTCCAATGACGGCGAAGAATGTTTAGGAGGCGCAAAATGGCCCGCACGGCACGCAACTTGCGACTTTCGGTCTGTCTTTCGGTGGTGATCCCTTGCGCTATTTTGTCTCGGCAGGAAGCTTCTGTGGCCAACAGCACTACACCTGTTATGAAAGCCCCATAACCCATGAGCGGAGGAACGAGTGTGGCATCGCAATCTCCATACAGAAAAGGGCCCAGTAGCTTTTCATGCCATCCTGCATGACGTACGACACTTTCGGCACTCCGTTTGACGGCTTCCACGCCAACCTCCGGCCCCGTGGAAGCACCCGAGAACAATGGAACAAGCATCGAGTGAAGTATAATTTGACATTGATGGAAAAGGGACTGGGACAGTAGAACTAGAGAATGGGACTCAGGTTCTGTGTCGTTGAGGGTGCTCATATCCGTGACGGAACTTGCATCGTTGAAAATCGACATTGCTAGATCGGAGAGACTGTAGACTGACTCTATGTTAAGAGAAGTAGGTGAGGCATTCCAGTCGTTAACTAAAAGCTGAACCTTTGCCCTAAGATAACCACGGTATTAGAAAAGCTGATTGTCAGTTGCATACCAGATTTCTTACCAGACTCCGATTATTTTCACTAGGGATGCAGCGGCAGGGGTGGAATACTCTCTTATATTAAGTCCAAGCGATTTCGACTGCCAATCCTGATCCATCTTTTCCCTCAAAATAATGTCACAGTGGGATCCGGTATCTCGAATGTAAGCAGGAAGTGGGATCATGGCCACTTCTTTCCAGGCTGCTCTTACGGAAGGTTCTGGCTCCATGCTGATGCATGTGGAAATCCAGCAAGCCCAAAAGCATCGACGATCAAACTCAGTTTTTAATGATAAATCTGAATCACCGGGGCCGTCTATCATCCGTTGATTATATCCAAGGAGTTGGCATGAACGATAGGCGAGAGCTATAAGCTCGGTAATGGAAATTCTCCAGATCAGCAAGATTGTATCAAAATATACTATTTAGTGGGAAGCGGGCTTACCAATACACAGGCTACATGACTGTAAATTGCCAATACCAAACCAATATAACTGCAGGCATTCAAGTGCCTGGGTAATGGCAAGGGAGGGCTGCTCGATCGCAGATGACATGGCTTCCCGGACAGCAGAACTCGCCCAGGGAAGACCACAAGAGCCATATCGTTTTAGCACCTCCAACTCAGAAACATCTGAGAAAGTTGCATTTTCGTCTAAATTTCCTGAACAAAGGAAACTGTAAATCCCATTAGTGAAGTGATCTTCAGTATATGTGGAATGACATACAGCGTAGCTAAGGCAAAGATGGCCTTCACAAGGAAACCAGGAAGTTTTCCTCTAAGATATTCCTGGAAAACAATACGTTTGTGAAACAACAAAGACGCATTGTAGACTCGTGAAAAATATATCTCAAGTAAAGCCAGGCCAATGGCGCGAGGCGGTAAGGGAGGGTCCTCCGAACCGGAAGATATTTTATGACGGGTCCTTATCTGCCCTATGTTTTCATTGGGCCGAGAAGATGGATTGATCGGTCCAAATCCGTCCACAACATACCGAGTCCGAGTCCCGGTGTAACCTTTGGGAAGCGCCTGAGCTACTCTACTAGAACTGCTAGCTTCCTCGCCCACTCGTGAACTATCACCTGGGGAGAACAAAACTCCGTCAGGATGTAATGTTGACTCATTGGTGTAGTCTGGCAGGCTTGGAGCTGGGGGGCAGCTTGTAGGTTCATATGCGCGGTTGATTATTTCCGTTGGTGGCTCATGAAGGGCCTGGCAACTTTGGTCAGCACTTATTTGTGCTTTCCCGTAATTACGATGTGATTTCCGACCCCGGCGATTCGAAGGGCTGGGGTACACACAAGTCGCATGAAGCCTCTGGCAGCGACTGCACACAGGACGTCCACGGTTGCATTTAAGCTGTTGGACTATTTAGCAATGCGAAACAGAGCAAGAAAAGATTGCTTCACTTTTTGGTTACGACATCTCTGGCACGCGGTGATAGAATATTGTACAGTATCACTCGATCGGTGCGGCTCAATTGCAGAATCCTGGCGATTCGCTTCTCTTTGTTGAATGTCCATAATAGCATAGAATTATTCAGGTTCGAGGTTGTGGTTCGTGATATGAAGGAACGACCAATTGCGACTGGAGACGTATGGCAGCGATATATGAGCTCAGAGGGCGGTGACCGGTTCTGCCAGGGAAACTGAACTAACCCGATTGGGGCTAGCAGCACCCTCATAAGTGCGCTTAGCTGCGCGCGCCCCCATACTTAGTTTCTTCTTCAGTCTTCGTTAATACTTCATGATACCTTTCATTTTGAGTTGTAACAGCGAAAGCAGGTTTGCATGAACAGTGTCCCACCTCCTACCTAGATAACTCTGAACTCGGGGCGGTGAGTTTATGCCATCCAAACATGAGTTGTAGCTACGCTCCGCGGTGAGTACACCATTTTTAGGGTATTTTATCCCAGGTCTCAATCTCCAGAATCCGACTGGCCGTGGATAAAGAGACACAATGTCCACAAAGATGTACCTTTGTTTGTCAATATTTCGAACAACCCTTTACTGTGTCCATATATCCGTGCCTATAGACGCACCACCACCCGTTCCGGGTTCTGGGTAGAATGGGCAGTGGCGGGATTCCATGATCGGACATGACGTAATTCATTAGTCTCCTCCGGTCACGCCTGTGCTAGACGCTTTGGATAGAAGCTCGGCCTCGGACTTAAGCACAAATACCGCCGAAATGCCGATGTACCGAAATGCCGATGATTCAGCTGGTCAGACAAACAAACTCTGGCTAGCTGTTTGGTTTTGAATCGTTCAATTCTCTTCTTCAAAGCTGAGCCCCATCAGACTTTCCTTTGGACAAGTAAAGCCATTGCGCGCCAACCACAGAATCCACTATCCTTCCATACCCGGGAGCACAGCAGGGAGCGATTATCGCCGATGTTTAATTGTATTAGTTGTATCTCAGTTTTTTATTGGGAAATCAGCTCCATGTGAATACTACTACTCATATTGACTATTTTTTGCCGGTAGGGTATCAGTTTTCAGTGTAGCCTCAGGACCCAGTCACAATTTTATGACGACGGCAGTATGCTTCCTCGACATTCACCAAAACCGATACGCCTTGTACCATTGTCACACCAGGCTTCCAAGACGATCTCATCCCCATCATCCAAATACTTGACTTTAGTGCCATTAGGATATTCAAGTGGACGACTACCATTCATAGTTGCTTCAAAAAGGCATCCCAGTTCGCCTTCGTCCTATTGAGTCGCTCTTCGTCAGATTGAAGAATGGCAGATTTCGAAAGTTTCATATACTCACCTGCCCGGATATCGTCCCTGTGCCCATCATGTCCCCTGTTTCCAAACCACAACCCGCGGATGCGTGATGTGCGATTTGCTGATATGGGGTCCAGTACAGAGAGCGCAGGTTGCCCTTTGTAATATTGTACCTTTCTCCATTTCCTAGATACCATCATCAATAAAAGGTAACAGGCACCGAATTATATTGCTTACTGATGAGCGAAGCACTTAGCTTTATATCAAATGTAGCTGTTGTGCGTTTCGCGTAACGTTGATGATCGAATTCAGTAGTAGAATGATCATGTGCAGGCTGACAGGCAAATGGTTTGAGTGCATCCAGAGTGACAATCCAAGGGGATATACTGGTTCCAAATCCTGAGATAACTCAACACTGTTAGCTTTGTGAACAACAAACCCAAAAAAATTCAAATATTTGATGAGTTTGGTTCACCTTTGGAATGAAAAGGCCCCAACGGAGCCATCTCAAATGCCTGAATGTCTCGACTAGACCAATCATTCAAAAGAACAAATCCAAAAATGTGCTCCGATGCATTGTCAGCGTTGATGGTCTCTCCCAAAGGAATGGGCGTCGAAACAAAGTATCCCATCTCCAGCTCATAGTCCATTTTCGCCGATGGCCCATAGACCGGCTGATCAGCATCAGAGTCGTATTTAACACCTTTAGGTCGTCGTATAGGGTGCGGGGACGGTACGACGCTCGAAGCTCTTCCATTGTAGACGGAAGGGGCATAAAAGAAATTTCGCGAGACCTCTCCGCCAGTCAAGGGAGCACACTGGCACGGGTCAGTCACTGGTCGTACTGCGGGGGGCACATTTATTTTCATACATTCCGGGCATGTTCCAGCGAACAAAAGAAGTCTGAGTACCCCCAAATCTTCATCGGGAGGTGCATATGAACTTCGCTCAGGGGAATAAAAGATTCCTCTGGTACACTTCCAACTGATAAATCGTGGATTAAGATTTCTCTCACTTTGGACCTTGTTTTGGAGCTTAGAGCTGCAAAAGAATTAAGTGAAGGCTGCAAGGATGGATTAATCTAGGCGATCCATTTAAGTTATAGAACCATGTCACTGACTTGGCTGAAAATGTCGTATAAACTTTGGGTAAGCTCGAGGCCATCATCCTTCTTATCTTTCCACAGCAAAGATAGATCAACTGCATAATGTCCAAGGGCTGTAGCGCAGCGTCTTTTCGGGTCAGAATCGGTTGAAATAACACCAAATGGGATGTTATGCAAAGTAAAGGGTGAATCCTCAGGTACGGGGGCTTGAAAGTCATGGTCAGAGATTTGGATAGACTGAAGTAGTAAATAATCTGGGACAGGTAAGAATTAGATATTAAAAACAATTCTGGGGCATTGTTGGTCCTAGGTCGCCAGAGTCGGATTCGGTCGGATTCGGTCGGATCCGGAGAATACCTCGCTGATCGCGAGAGGCGCTACTGAGCCGAACCAGGTCATGATCTGCGCAAGCATGAAACAATCTGGCGTGTAAGCGATATATTACGACACATTTTTGCCCACAGGATAGTTTGGTAGGTCTCGTTTGCCCACAGACGACCTAATGTAACAATCATAAGGGCCAAGTGCGTATTAGAATCGAATGAATGACTTAACTATGGCTTGTAACTAGTTAGACATGGCTTTATGTAACTGTATTTATGCGTTGTGGTAAGATAGAAGATATGGAGTTAGGAGATTTTTCAAAGCTTTACTTTTCCCTTCGGCGTGTGGTGTCGTACCGATTGCTGGAAGTCGCCGCTGACAGACTTAGATCGAACGACACGGCTATCCCTGGGGCCTCGAACATGAGCCTAGGAAAAATCGACAGAACCATCGGCTTTTCGGGCATAGAGAGGTTCGCAACGACCAAAACAAAGGGCCTTTGAAACTGAAGCGCACCTGTTGACTCGAGCAGTAAGCTGTTCCGGAATTTGTGAACAATTGCATCTGAACAACGGGTGGATCTCTCTAGCCCCTTTTCTTTTTTATTCGGACCCGGAAGTCTTCCGTCTCCTTTGAGTGAGGGAATTTCTCGATGACTTCGGTTTGTCGTTTTTAGGTTGATCGGATGCCTCGATGACACACGGGATGTGACCGAATTAGTTGCGTAAATGGAGATTCGGGCCGAATGGTGGATGGTGGTTGCGGGGTTCGGCTGTACGAGTTCGAATCCGACTTTCTAAGAACTTACGATATAAGTGTTACTTAACTCCGTTGCATGAGGGGAAACCGATCGTCTTACCTTGAATCGAAACACTCATCTGCAGCCCCTCCATCAATTCGCGATGCTAACTCAAGCCCACAATATCGAGACCACTGACTTGAAGTCATACTCTTACGTATTTCGGCAAAACGTCTCGGTCGGTCTCTCAAATGGAGGCCAAATTCGCTGTAATATCTATCTCCCAAAGACCGGCACGGCTAATGAGCGTTATCCCGTTTTGGTCACCTACGGTCCCTACGGAAAGGACATTCCCTATGAGCAGTATGTAGAGTGCCTTCAAAGATCCATTTCACGAACTGAGCCAAATCAAGGTTTGATGCTGCGAGCTTTGCCGATTTAAATCCCGACCACAAGTCCGAACATGCTGCCTGGGAGACGCCTTTCCCTGACTACTGGACTTCTCATGGATACGTCGTTATCCGAGCCGATGAGGTGGGTACGGGTCAGTCACCCGGTCGCCTTGATATTTTCTCGGTCGCGACGGTCGATAGCTTCTGTGAACTTGTCGAGTGGGCTGCCATCCAAGAGTGGTCTACTGGTAAGATTGGGCTGCTTGGTATCAGCTATTACGCCGCAACGCAGTGGCAGGTTGCGGCCCGAAATCCCAATGGCCTGGCCGCAATTGTGCCATGGGAGGGATTCGGAGATCATTATCGCGACTTCTCTCGACATGGAGGAATATTTTCGAATAACTTCTTCAATCTATGGTTCGAGAGACAGGTGAAGTCAGTCCAGTACGGCCTGCCCGGCCGGGCGAGCCGTAACCGGGGCCCCGACACCGTGGATGGAAATCTGACCGAGGAAGAGTTGAAAACAAATGCAGCCAATATATTTGATCAGCTCCAATCACAACGCTTCCGGGATAACGAGCGACATGCATCTGTCAACTTCAACTTTGAAGACATTCAGGTGCCTCTCCTAAGTGTCGCGAATTGGGGGGCTACCTCCTCCACCTACGTGGCAACGTTGAAGGCTACACTTGGGCCAGCTCGGAATTTAAATATCTCCGCTTCATTACAGGGAGACACGACCTGCCTTTCTACTACCCTGGCGAGGTTGAAATCCAGCGCAGTTTCCTTGATGCGTTCCTGAAAGGGGAGGATCGGATCGGATGGTCACGAAAAGGCGCCGTTCCTCCGGTCGACCTTGTTTTGCGAAAAGGCGACGTCGGGTACAACGACCCCGATGCTGAAGCATTGTATCCCCGTCGACAAGAGAATGAATGGCCCATTGCACGGACTCTTTACACGCCGTTCTTTTTGAATCCCGATCAAAGTCTCACGGAAAGCAAGCCGTCACCGAACACCATTAAAATTGCCTATAGAGCCCTTGGGAGTGTATCAAAACCACAGACTGTCTCTTTTCACACTCAACCCTTCCAGTCACAAATGGAAATCACGGGGCATATCGTAGCCCATCTGAACGTGTCCATGACTCAGGACTCTTGGGGTTCTGTTCCATCGGACATTGACTTGTTCGTTACGCTTCGCCATCTGTCATCCGACGGAAAAGAAATTTTATACACGGGTACTATCGGTGATCCAATTCCCGTAACAAAGGGCTTTTTGCGCATGAGCCTACGGAAAGTGAACAAGGAACATCCGCGCCATCGCCCGTACCTCCCACATCGCGACTACCTCTCGTCCGATGTCCAGCCGGTCCTTCCCAATGAAGTATACGCAGCTGATGTGGAGCTTTTGCCCACTAACGTCGTTGTGCAGCAAGGAGAGACCCTTGTGTTCGAAGTAAGTTCAGGAGACACTCCCGGGGTGGGGCTTTTTGAACATTGTGATCCAGTCGACAGGTTAGTTGCAAGCTGCATATCTGCGCCATGCCGCATCCTTTGCTTTGAGGATACTGATCCTAATTTGAATTGACAGATCTCCCCAACAGTTCGCGGGTACGAATTTCATTCATTTCGGACCGCAATACATCAACACAGTCACTCTTCCTATTATCCCTCCAAATCCGTGAGCACCTATCGGGGTAAAACCTTGGCATGTCCAACAGGGTCTCCTGGTTTCAACAGTCACGCATGGCTCCTGTCAAGACTTAAACCGTATAAATCTTCCCGGATGTCTGAATACGAGTGGTATTTATGGGCACAAAGGGACGAAGATGTGTGAGAGGTGTAGGATTGTTGAAGCTTACTGAGTGCGGGAGGTTGAAGTAACATGCCATCTCTCTGCTATTTGTTTGCCCAGCCATTATTTGCCCAAGGGAATAGACGGGGTGAATAGGACATCCTTGGCAATAAACAGCGCGCAAGGTCGAGAATGGAAAGTTAATGTAAAGAGGATAACATTCCATGTAAGGGATTGTTCTATATTCTTGGTGTGACGAATTTCTCTCCTCATCCGGAGAAAAGTAGAAATGAAACTCATATTCGTTCAGTTGTTCGAAAAAATGCGTTCAGGGCGTGTCGATTGTTTGGAAGCAGAATAACCCGCTCGGTCCGAAAGATTGCGATCTCGAATCTGAAGTGCGTGATCTGGATAGGATGCAACTGTTCTGATTGAGGGAATGGGTCAACCAAGTTTGGATTGGAACTCGGCTGCAGGGGATCAAAATTCGGCTGGAGTCGTTCTAGGTGGGCGGATGGGAGACGGCTGCTCAATTTCGTGGGGATTGAGTGCTTGGTCGAACAGTTCCGATCCCGCAGTCACACCAGCGTCATATCCCTGTCCAGATCGGTGCCGTCATCCTGACTGGCAGTCTCCTGTGGCAATAGATATCCAAAAAAGGCACAAAACACGGACTGTCGTACTAGAACCGCAGTGACTCGTGTTCCGGTGGTCGGACGTGAAATGGACTCAAATGAAAGCGCATAACGGTCGGCCTCGATAGAGTCAGTGAAAGGCTTACCACATTGCCGTTCTAAATCTATATCTTTGTCCTGCTCTGGTGGGAAGCCAGATGGCACTGGTAACGGGATCTCGAGTGTGGCTGTGTCCAGATCGTCCGACACAGGGGGATGAATCCCATAGGAACGGGTTAGCCCGAAGAAGAGGAGCCGCAGGGACTGGGCCATCTCTGTGGGGTTTATTTCATGGAGACCGAATTCTAGTGCGCGTTCGATGTCCTCCGCTTTTCGAGGCACACGGCGATGATGATCCTTTTGCGTCGTCATCTCGAAAGCAAACTGGAGGCTGAAGCGCCAAAGATCCCAGAGCCCAAACTGGAACCGACGTCCAGAAATTCTTGGCAGATCGGACACAGACCCACCTGAGTCTACAATGTACTGTTTTTCCAAAGCTTCGTCGATCGACCGCGTCCCCGTCAAGCGGCTGCGGCAGAATTGGCGCATTACGCTCTGCCCAACATCAAGAAGAGAATATCTTGGAAGAAGGTCTTCAGCGTCGGGATGGGGAGCTGGATCTGCTCCATTCTGTGCCAGATTGCGTCACGTTCCCGTTGGCAGTCGATGTATTTGAAGAGTCGATTTTGCTTCCGGCGGAGAAAGGTTAAGTCCCGCTCAGAGACACCGGGTGCTCGGGACTGCAATAGGCGAACCGTCACCGCGTCGATTTGGGAAAGAAGATCCGCCCGTCCTCCTACCATGTTGTCAAACACGCGCCGAATATACTCCAGGTAGAAAATCACTGGCTGCGCACACTTATCCGATCAGTACCTTTTCACAGACGACATAGCCTTCGAAGGGAGACAAATAGCATCTGTTGTAATTCAAAGGAAGATTGCTTATTTCTCTTCTGGACAGAAAACTTGAGGGTTTATATACACATGCGACCTCCAGATTGATTTCCAATCAAAGCTGGTAATTCCGTGAGGTTAGGAATTGATTCCGTTACGATACGACATATCACAACAGCATCACCTCGTTACATCTCATGGCTCTCAGCTTGTGCAAAACGCCAATGCTCATATCCGCCCAAAGCCCCTTGACGGGGAGGAGTGCATCGAACGCGTCCGCCAGGGGTTGAGGGAGCGCACGTAGGTAGTCGGCTTTTCGGCTGCCAGGCTCGCTCTGTAAAACCGCCCACCAAAAGTTCTCGGCGGTTTGATTACGATGCCCGCCCGTCACGCCTTGATAGACACGAATACTTTGGTAGATGCGCCCATCGGAGGGAAACCGTTCTTTGTGGAAGTTTTCTCGAAGAGTGCGAATAAGGTCCTCGTCGAGTGATTCGGGGTGACCTGCATCTGTGTCAGCTGCCACGTCCAGTTGGGTTTACGTTGCGGTCAATGGACCTGAGGCAGTCACATACACATCCTCTAACCACCACGGATTTTCATCTCCTAGCTCCCGAAATCTCGCTCGGGCGGCCGTGATGAGGCTCTCTTGATCCAGGGCTAACAGTGTATAGTCCAGGCTTTTATGTAGTTGGCGAAGGGGAAGTAACCGGGCGGGACCCAACGTCGAGGATTGGAGCCAGACTCGTCTGGCATCCCAGTCCGCCACGTCAATCACAACGGGCACATGGAATGCATTGCTCAGGCGGTAACATCCTTGGAGTCTCAAAGTCCGTTTTAGACGCACCACATTCTGCTGATCATCAATAAGTCGGCTCGCAGTACACCCAATGGACAGATCGGACAGCTGGACAAGCGCGGCGCACTTGAAACAGGAATTCTGATAGGGTAAAGAGCTTGTACTCATCGCTCTCAATCTCGCGTTGTTTTCTTGATGTGATAGTTGTACCTCGAGTTTGTGGACGTCTGTGCCTCCTGGTTCCTCGAGGCATTCTAACTTGGCTCCCGTGCTACGCCTGAAGTCAAAGCTATATCGAATCGTAAGGGCTTCATGTGCGGTCTTTCCAGACGATTTAATAATAGCAGCAATCACCGGATATTGCGCTATTACTGGTGTGCAGAAACTAGAGCTGTTTGAAGGTAGAAAAGCCGTCATTGTCCATATACATTCCAGCGTTGTGAGTTACAGCCTCAACAAAGATATGTCAACAAGTGTGCTTTATGTGCCTCCGTAGTGAATGGCTGGTCAATTTACACTCTTTCTGCGTTGTCATTGCCCAACCTGGAACATGTAACCTGCTTTCAGAGTGGCAATACGCTTTGCTAAGTAAAAATCGGGGCCAATGGTTCAACATACCCCTCCAAACTTGTACCATACATAATTCATGCTGCGTAGATATCCGATTTCCACGTACGTGACCATGTCGCAGGAAGCTCGCAGACAACTAGAGGGTCGTCTGTCGGAGCCCGAACCTCAGCACACTTGGTCCTCATTCGCGAAAAAATGCCAGTGGCTGGGTATAACACCAGATTATGCATGTGTTCCCACTGATAGGCTCTAGACCGGCGGCCGTGGCAGCGGATACAATGCAAAACTTCGGTTGTTTGTGGGACCGAGTTGGACAACGTGTTCTGATCACGGCCTTCTCTCTCGGAATCTTTGTGAGGCATCGACACATAACGTGATTTCTTGTATCTGGTAGAACTCGCTTCTGAAGACTAATCCCTATGTTCTCTCTGCGGGGCGCATACCGGGCGCGAAGCCACAATCTGGTTCCAGAAAGCCAATTCATAGCTATTCCACTATTCCAAAACTTCTGATAGGCAGATGACTTCAGTCTGGGATATTTGCCTTTCTCCAGCAGGAATCCGAGATTTGAAGGCTAGGGGATGGAAAAAAAGGGCTAAGGCTTCACCTTGCGTTGAGCTTAGCCCTGTGAACAGTGGATAGTTCCAGCCGAGATATGATAGAGATAGTGTAATTGAACCCAACATAGCAAATGTTATACAAACATGCCGTCTGTGATACTCTACTCCAAAATGCCAAGAATCCTGAAAAACTTGTCTGAACGAGAATAGGAGGCGAAGCTGCACAAGCCAGTGTGCACAGGTGTGTGAACACCTGAACACCTGTTTGAACATCAGGAGCCAGTATCCATAACCTCTAATTTATACGAGTGAGAACAATAAAGAATAAGAGAGACGTGCTAAGTCCTTGGGTAGAAAGTGAAGAGGAGATAGGTATTGTAACCAGCCACGATAGTGGAATTTATTCTGCTGGTTTACTAGGTGCGAAAGGAGGTGTGGGAGGCTACCCTATCGTACGGTCAGGACGAGGAGATTCCTTTGACTCTGCAGCAAAATCAACAATCATAGTTTTTAGCCGTGCATTGATTACAATTTCCTTCTATGTAACGTATTCCACGGTACTGCGGGACACGCGGTTTCACGGAACACCCTCTCCCATTACAGAATTTTGAATCAGGTATCTCAACCAAAACCCATTAATTAATATAAATATAGCGATTTTTACATGAATTGATCCTGTGCCCAATCTCCCCGCATCCACTACACCTTGGCGGAGCCCTCTTTGCTGGCTGATCCTGCGGAATAGGCAAATCGCCCTGCGCATGCGATACTACCCCTTCACCTTCAACTGGCTGATTTAGCTGCTGAACTAGCTGTAGGCCCTCTTCGACCGATAGACCACCTTCACGGGCTACCTGACTAGTATACCGATTGGGCTTTTGGCGCTTCTTCTTATTCGCTGCGCGTAGATTGGTGTTCTTCTGCGCAAGAAGGGCTACGTGGTGCATCGTTACCGCGCAACTCTTGATAATCTGATCTAGCGCCAGTTTTTGAAGGGGTCGGAGGGCTGTTCGACCGTCGCTTTAAATATTAAAAGCTAATGAGCAAGGTTGGGTAGCCGTTAAACTGCCAGCGCCTCTCATCCCCACTTCCAGGTCGAGGCCATGACGCGTGTGGCGAGACCCTGCATGGGGCTCGTCGGGAACTAACTTACTAAGGCCAACTACTTTTCCTGTTTAGGATCATGTTCGTTCCCTTTTCCTCACGCTCCTTCCTTCTCTATTCCCATCACACTCCTTCCCTATTTTGTCCATCAGACTACTCTTTACTCAACTCTGCACTTCATTCCCAGCCCCATTCTTTGCTTTCGCCATGTCGAATTCCGATAACCCACCTCGCTCGCAGTCGGGTCCCTTAGACTCGGGCACACCGTGTCTAACGTTCTCCTCGACTGAGTCCTCAGTATCGATGTCTTCTGCTGACCAGAGCCCGAATATTGTGTTTTCTGCACTGTCTTTCGAATCGGTGTCCGAGTTTGTGCACTTTGTGCTCCAGAAACTCGAAATTTGGCATCAGAATAAGCTCGATTTTACGGAGCTCGGTTGTACGGAGTACCTCTTCATAGATATACCTATTTCGTGGGGGGAGCTCGTCTTTACAGCGATCGACAAGAAATTTCGGGTACGGTGAGATGCTCTCTTTTGACTCTGTTTCGACTCTTCAGCGACTCTTTAGAGACTGACCTTTGAAGGCAAACTTGGGATACCAACTCCAGAACCTTACGGGTCGTGATACCTGGGGAAGGCCATGATTTTGTACAACAATGGCTATCCAACTCCCGCTCTCGATGGGTTAAGGATGGGTTGATCGACTGGGATGAACACGACCTTCTCGAAGTTCGCGTTGGGACAACTATCGAACTACCGGCGTCCCCATTTACAAAAAGCCGAAAGCAGCCAGAGTTTTTCTTCCGTCCAAAGGACAAGCAATTACTTCCTACGATTGCGGTCGAGGTTGGCTGGTCGGAGTCCGCACCCAATCTTCAAAAGGACATGGAGCTTCTCCTGAGGGGGGTGGCGGTGCCATCAAGGTGGTTATTGTCCTAAATTGGCGTGTCCAAAGGCACAGAACCGTTGTTGCTGGCACAGTGGATGTTTGGAGACTCGATCAAAATGGCCAACCTGTTATTGAACAGTCCGAGGTATGTCAGACATTCGATAGCATTTTCGAGGCATTGTGGTCTAATATCTTCAAGGAGGTCTTCCCCATTCCGAACCCACCTCGCATCCAACGACTCGAAGTTACCCGCGGCGAGCTTTTTCAGTCTATATTACGACCCAGTCGCAACCCAGATGATATTCTGTACTTCGATATAGACTTACTGCGCCGTGAAGCGAGCTACAGCTTTAATTTGATAAACCTCTCACCTGCTTGATCCGTCATATTGTTTTCGCTTATAGCTAGAACTCTATCCTTATCCCGGCAGATCAGTTTACTTTCCGAGTAGCTAGTTAATTTTTACCAAAATTACAGGACCCTCGCAAGCGAAGGTCCGACACCCAAACAAAAAACGACCCCCACAATATAAATTATCACAGCATCCGACTTTGACACCCAAATTACCCACATTTACATTAGAATTACTAGTAATTGAGGTCTCAATATGTGTATTCATAGGACGAACAATAAATAAAAAAAATTTCAGCGCTTCGAACGGCGTCCTGACTGCCTACAGTGCCGTTTTAGTTCAATCATAACCTTCTTCCACTGGGGCCGCAGTTTATCAATTGCCTCCAAATCAGTCAGCTTTTGTTTATCCCGCTTCATTTTCGCCACATTCGCTGAAGAAATAATGCCTCATGATCGAAAACCTGTTCTTGATACACCATAACGTGCATTGCGTGCAGCAGTTGCAGCTTTTGATGTCTCAATCTCTCGGTGTGCCTCCTCTAGCTGATATGCACATGATTGTGCCCCCTTTGAGAGCTTTTTGACAATATTTTCATGATGAGAAATATCCTTGTTTAACGTCAAAAGCATGCTCTCAAGTCTCTGAAATCGTTGAATTGTTTTGGGTGTGCTGATATTTGTTGAATTGGATGAATTGGTTGAGGGGGATTCTGGCACTTCAGGATGATTATAATCCACCAGATTATCACACACAATATTAGGATTTATTGGCCAGATGCCAGATAATTTGAATCCAAGATGAATTGTGCGTAATGTAAAAGTTTTGGTGCGAATTGATGAAATTGCAGCCAAAAAATCAATCTTTGAAAACTTTGTACAACCAGTTGCGGTTGCTGATTCAATGCCCTCGCTGTGATAGTGTTTATGCACATTAAAAACACCAACATCAAGAGGTTGCAGAAGATGGCTTGTATGTGGAGGTAAGAAGAAAAGTAAAATCTTTTTTATCTTCACAATATTTGACCATCTCATATGTCAAATGTGAGCCAAAGCCATCACATATGAGCATCCTCCAGGAACCTTTCATGCGTGCTCTTGTTGCCTTTTCAAAATGCTGAATCCACTGATAAGCAAGTTGATCATTTATATAGCCAGTCTCAGTGGTAGCAATATGCTCCTCATTCTTCAGATCATCAAACCAGCGAAATTGGGGCTGTGCAGCAGCAAGAATAATCAATGGTGGAACACAAAACCCATCTGTTGAGATTGCTTCAACCACAGTCACATATTCACGATTTGTATGGTTGCCAGAAACAATTTTTCGCCTAGGTTCACGTGTAATGATCCATTGGTCTTTTCCAATACCAATTTGGAAGCCTGTTTCATCAAAATTATATAGATCTTCAGGTTGAATACCATATAGATCAAATGCATTTTGAAACCTTTGAAACCACTCCTGAATCAATGATTTGTCATGTGCATGAAGACGTTCAATATCAAGGCTTTTTCGACGTCGGATATTGTATTTAGGATGTCGTTGTAGGAAGCGTTTGAGCCATTTTTCACTCAGTGGTGGTGAGGATGGGTTTGCGAGTTTCAAAATTGAAGTTGCAGCTGCCACAATTTGTGTACGCTTAACTGGTAATCCTAGACTATCATTATAGTCTATCCAGCTACATAAAGCTTTCTCTTGGGCAGGATCAAGCTTCCGACCATTAGGTTCACGTTCAAATAGTTATTTTTTGCCCCGATAGCGGCTACGGAGCCGTTGATAAGGCACATCAAATTCACGCGCAACTTTTGAGATATTTGGCCGAGATTGGGTATGTAGTTTTTCCAGCGCTTTTTCAATCAGTTCCTCATTTCCTTGTTTGTATGAGGCATATTGGTGGCGTGGGAGGATGCTGAAGTGGAAGTGTAGCTTTTTGAAGAGATTTATATTGTGGGGTTCGTTTTTTGTTTGGGTGTCGGACCCTCGCTTGCGAGGGTCCAGTAATTTTGGTAAAAATTACGTGGGGCCGGTTAGTACCTAATGCCGTGAACATGTGCTCGTGTCAATTTGAGCTGATAGGTGTAGACAAGTTCCTCCTAACCTTTTGTAGTAATCCTACTCATCACAAAGACTGGCTATGTCGATCTCATGCCGCCGGATGGCCGATCGCACATTTGCGGAGGCTGTGCGCATTCAAGCTTACCGGTCGGTCATAGGTAGCGACAGAAATGGGTTATTTCCAGGCTTAGCGGTTTATTTTTGGTCTTGTTGATGCCGTCAGCATCTTGGCGCTGTGGGATCCAAGCCAGCACTGCCGATGGCTGATCGGTACTTATCTAGAAGTTTGCTGCCCAAGTCAAACAGTCTGGACGATGCAGAAAATCGATTCATCTAAACAATTTATTTCTATCTCAACCACGAAATTATGGCCAGAGGTGGTCCGCGAAAAAAAATATATACCGACCTCGCTACCGTCCTCATCCTCCTTTCAACATTTGCCGGTGCAGTGACTCTCCAGACGCAATTCGCGCTACCGGATAATTGCAATGGAAGTCGCGCACGAACTCTGGTCGCCTTCTCGTCGCAATTCTTCCTGACCAGTCCGATCGCTGTTTTTGCCATTTTCATGAGCTTGCACGGATACAACGAGAATGACCTTATTGAAGCGGGACGTCATGAATTTATTCAGTGTCAATTTGCCTTGACTGGGATTATGATCATTGCTGGCTTTTTACTTCTTAATGTTGCGACGATCTTCACCGGGGGAAATTATCTCGGTCCATCGGGGACGGCATTGATGGGGCTTTTTATACTGGCCACGATTGCGTGGGGAGTTGAGGATCATTTGCCTGATAGCCAGCGGATGAAGAGGCAATCTACGATAGAGCAACCGAGTTCTACATCTCTCGTTGAATCACAGCCTGCATACCAGCCGGAGTCGACCTTTGCGGAATTCCTAGGGTTACACGGGAATCAGACTTTGTCTACGCCACGACTGATATCTCGATGGTCTATCTGTGTTCTTGTGGTCCTTGAAGCTGTGGCTATTCTTGTATTGTTTGGACTGGGAATTGCCCAGGCTGTACCTACATCTGCCACCGGATGCGATTTGATATAGAGAATTTGGGACGACTTCTTTCATCTGAAATTATTCATGATTCGTCTTCAAATTGTGTCAAGTCCTTTAATCACCTCGACATCCGCAGTTCATTCTGCTGAAGAGTCCTAATCTCATCTAACAAGGCTCTCCCCCCATTCTCCTCCAATTGCTTCGCAAGCATAGCGCCGAGCGATTCGGCGTCGCCGTCACCTGCCACATCCGATACAGCGACAGAGGATACCTGGCTCGAGCCATGTCGATGGATGATATTGTCTTCAAGTCACAGGCGAAGTCCACCGGAAGAGAAGTTTTCCTCTATAATGGAATTGACAGCAACTGGCGAGGAGCAACCGCCTTAGAGGGTACGCAGCAGAGATCGTTCGGCCAGAGAGATCCAGCGAGTGGGTAGCTCTTCGATCTTTCGAATGACGCTGAGGGTTGACGGTTCATTTGCACGGATTTCGATACCCAGCGCACCTTGGCCGACTGCATAGGGGGATTCGGAAGCTGAGAGACTCTTGGTGATACGGTGAGATAGATCGATGCGGTTGAGACCGGCTGTTGCGACGATGATTGCCGAGAAGGGACCTTCTGGAACGTCTAGTTTGCGTAGTCGTGTTTCACTGTCTTGATTTAGCATCGCAAGTACAACAACTTTGGTATCGACACTCACAGATTCCCACGGCACTCTCGAATAACCAAATGAGGATACTTGTACTTCAACAGCGCCTTCCGCCTCGTCGAACTGGTACCTACCACCGACCCAGCCGGCAATCCAGCGAGATCGGTATAAGGAAGACCATCCTTAACAACCAGCGCATCCGTCAGATCTTCTCGATGAATAATAGCACCAATAACACATGCCTCAGGCAAATTAGTGGGCATATTCTTCAAACAGTGCACTAGCAGATCCAACTCGCCCGAAGACAATTTTGCCTCCATCTCCTCGGTCCAGATGTTCGTCGCTGCGTCAGACGGTCCGCCGAATTTGAGGAAGGGGCTTGTCTTGTCGACATCACCGCGGACCGAGACGTCTTTCTATGGGAATTTGGTTTGGGGGTGGACCTTGCTGAGTGCCTTGGAGACGCGCTCTGCTTGTACGAGGGCGAGCTTGGAGTTGCGGGTGCCGATCAGGAGCTCCACTTTGATACCTTCCATTTTGAACGGATGTGTACACTAAGTGTGTATAGATGGAATGAGGCGTGGATGGATGTTGTCCAGAGGACGAAGCCACCCAGCAATCAAATTGTCTTGGCTAAAATTCGGGGCCAATCGCCAGCCTCGTACTACAACGGAATCGGTGTAGCCTGGCGGATTTAGTAAGAAGCTGAGAATATCATGAGCTAACTAGTTATAACTAGTTACCTATAATTACCTATATTCCGATGATTAATGTCTATTCGTTTTGTAACCTCTACAACTCATTGAACGGCTTTCGTGACCGATATATCAAACATAACGACATGGTATATGCATTAAAGGCTACTTCAGAAGATAACAAAACTTTTTACAGCTTACTGGGCTTCAGCCTGCTTGGTCAGCTGCTCAATGTTGACCTTGGGGCCGAGGCCGCCGTTGGCGACAGGCGCTTCAGGTGAGCCGGTCAGCTGCTCGAGAGCCTGGAGGTCCTCGTTGGTGAGAGTATTAGAGCGAATGGGGCGGAAGGGAGCCGGAGAGCCGGAGCTCGAGGCCAGGAACTATATGAGAGTATTAATACGAGCAGATATTAATATATGGGGGTTGTGCTTACCGAGCTGGCAGCGCTGAGCAGCGCAATCAGGGAAGCCTGGACCACATCCTGGTGCAGACCAACACCCCAGACTTGTTCCTTGCTGCCAGAGGCGGTGCACTGGATATATGTGGCAGCCTTGGTCTCACGACCCAGACCAATAGAGTGCTCCTTGTAGTCGACGACATCGAGGTCGATGCCCAGAGTGGACAGGGCCGCGGCCAGCGAGGAGATGGCACCAGCAGCCACACCGGTGATGGCGTGCTGGACGTTGTCGATCTCGACGATACCGGTAAAACGACGCTTCAGGTTCTTGGTGTTCAGAGCCTTGCCGGGCTCAGGAGGAGCAGGGGACTGCGAGCGGTCGGTGGTAATGTTGTAGTCAATGAGGTTGAACCGCGGGTTCGACTTGAGGTGGTAGGAGTCCTCGAAGAGGGCGACAATCTCGGCCGGACGCAATTCGCGGTTGGCCTTTTCGGTTTCTGTTTGCACGATCTTGCTGAACTCGATCTGCAGGGCGCGCGGGAGATCCAGCTCCAGACTGCGCAGAATAACCCAGGCGGCACCACCCTTTCCACTCTGGCTGTTGACTCGGATAACACTCTCATATGTACGTCCAATATCCTGGGGGTCCAGGGGCAGATAGGGAATGATAAACTCGTCGTTGTCGGTGGCCTTGGCGTTCTCGCGCAGAGCGAAACCCTTCTTGATAGCGTCCTGGTGACTGCCAGAGAAGGCACTGGTGACCAGGGCACCGGCATATGGCCAACGCTCGGGGACGGGGATCTTGGTGCATTCCTCCACGACCCTGATCACGGAGTTGATGTCGGAATAGTCGACGTTCGGTGAGACGCCTTGTGTGTAGAGGTTCAGAGCAAGAATCATCAGATCGACATTTCCAGTACGCTCTCCATCACCCAGAACAGTTCCCTCAACACGCTGAGCACCGGCCATCTGTGCCAGCTCGGCAGCAGCAACGGCGCAGCCACGGTCGTTGTGCGGGTGCAGGGAGACAACAAACTTCTCACGCTCGGTCATGTGGGTGCAGAAGTATTCGATCTGGTCAGCGTAGATATTGGGGGTCGACATTTCGACGGTGGCGGGCAGGTTGAAGATAATGGGGTTCTCGACTGAGGGCTCCCAGGCGGCCTTCACAGCCTCGCAGACCTCTACGGCGAAGTCGGGCTCGGTATCGGAGAAGGTCTCGGGGGAGAACTCGAACTGCCATTCTGTGCCGGCCATCGACGGGTCGTCCTTGGTAATCGAGCGGGCAAACTTGGTGCACTCCACAGCACGCTTCAGACTCTCCTCCTTGTTCATGTTGAAGACAATGCGACGGAAACACGGGCTGGTGGCGAGGTAGATGTGCAGGATAGCCTTCTTGGCGCCGCGCAGAGACTCGACGGTACGACGGATGAGCTCCTCGCGGCAGGGGGCGAGAACTTGGAGCCAGACATCGTCGGGAGTCAGACCGGGCTCCTCGACCAGGCGACGGGTAAAGTCGAAGTCGACTTGAGAGGCGGAGGGAAATGAGACTTCGATCTCCTTGTAACCGATATCGACGAGCATCTTGAAGAAGCGGAGTTTTTGGTCGCCATCCTATCCACCCATGTCAGGATCTATTACTACGATATGTCTGCAAGAACTACTTACCATTGGGTCGGGAAGACTCTGGTTGCCATCTCGGAGGTCGGTGGCCATCCACCGTGGGGCCCGCTCGATAGTCTTATTAGGCCATTGGCGATTGGGCAGGTTCAGCGGCTTAAACGGCTTGTATTTTGTGGAGGGATCCTTGAGCCTGAGCGAGTGGTCAGCATGCAATTGCATGGTCGTTTTCAGTTGACATCAAATTGGACATACATCGGCATGGCTGCGGTTGGCGGGGCACGGCGGGGAGAAGATGATAAGCGATAAAAGGCAGAGCGGCTTTTGAGTCAAAGGGGGACAGACGCAGGACGCGCTGGCGGAACAGGAGAGACACAATGTGTTTCAGAGATGGAATCTGTCGTTTTTTAAAACAGCAGCAGCCAAAGCCAATAAAGCGAGGGGCATTTGTGACTCAAACCATGCGATGACGCCGAATTTTTTCGGCGCCGACAGCGGAGTCACGTGGGCGATCTACAAAAGGGCGCGCCGCCAAACTCGATTAAGTTCGATTGTCGCCTTCCCAGTCTCGCGCGGGACTAGTCCGACGTATCAGAATTACTGTTCTTCTTCTGAAGCTTCCTGTGTCACCCTACTGCCGTGCGCTGGGGTTGCACACGGTGGCTGTCGCATTTTATCATGAACGAGTTGCTCTCCCTATCTATGAGAGAATCTCCCGGAGCCCCGACGTCGGAGCCCGGGCGTGGAGGAGGAGGCCGAGGCTAACCGAGCGCAAGTGTGTCATAGTGGATTCGCAGTGGATTCATATGTACAACACTACCTATAATGACATTGAAACGATTCCCTGAAATTTTAGAATATAGATATTTACTAGCAGTGATAACCCAAAAATAAATAAAAAAAAAAAAAAAAAAAAAAAAAAATTTCTCCCTATGTTGATGTACAGTATAAATCTGCCATCACCTCACAAATTCTTTTTCCAGCACTTGGAACCACATGAGCAATACATTGTATGCACCTCGCCTACTTGGTCTACTGCTCGATAAATCCGCAGCAATTGGGTCACTTAGGTCAAGAATCGGGTAATTATTTGATTGTGGTAAAGAAATATTTATAATACAAGTGAGATCTGCTCACACAAAAACTTTCTCAAACTGCACGAGCAAGGGATGCACCTCATCCACATTAAGCTTCACGGCTCGAGGATTTTGCAGCGCCTTCTCTCCCAACTGAGAACGGATCAACGTCTGGAATTGCTGCGCTTCCGGATCGGTCTTGCTTTGCATCTGCCCGGTGACATCGACTGTCACACCACCATCGGTGACATCGCGAGGTCCCACGATAAAGATCAGATTATACTTCATCTGCTTGGCCCGCTGGATCTTCTTGCCCAGCGTCTGTGCGCTGGTGTCGACGTCAACCAGGAATGTCGAGTCGGCGGACGACAGCGGGCGTGGTGAGCCGGTACCACTTTGGAGCACTTTGAATCCGGAGAATTTGTCAGCAGCATCCTGCGCATGCTGCACGACGGCGTCATCTTGGTTGACCGTCAAGACGATTGCCTGTCGAGGAGACAGCCAGAATGGCCAATGGCCACCGTGATGTTCAATGAGCAAAGCCAAGAATCGCTCGAGTGATCCGAAGATGGCACGGTGGACGAGGACGGGTGTGGCAACACCCGGCGTAGCTGGGTTATAGTCCGGCTCGCCCTCCGCGACCTGGTATTCCAGTCCAAACCGCTGAGGAAGGTTCATGTCCAGCTGGATTGTCGATAATTGATGATATTTACCGGCCTGGTCTTGCAGCTGAATGTCAATTTTCGGTCCGTAGAAAGCACCGTCGCCTTCATTCAGCGTCCAATCTCGTCCGGTGCTATTCAATGCTTCCCGCAACTGGCTCTCGGCGTTGTCCCACATGTCCAGCGTTCCAATATAGTCAGTTTCGGGCCGCGTCGACAGTACCAGTCGGTATGGGCCCAGTCCGAAGGTCGTCATGGCCATGTCCACGAATCCCAATGCCGATGCGATCTCTGACTTGATCTGCTGCGGACGACAGAAGATGTGTCCGTCGTCTTGATGGAACCGGCGCACGCGCGTGAGTCCGGTCAACGATCCAGAAACCTCGTTCCGGTGCAATGGGCTGAAATCCGCATATCGTACAGGCAATTCCCGGTAGGAGTGATTCTGCGATTTGAAGAGCAGACAGTGCCCGGGACAGTTCATCGGCTTCAGACCGTATGACTCGTCCTCGCCAATCTCGCCTTCTGTCTCTCCACTTGCTCCACGACCGGTCACTTCATACATATCATCCTTGTAATTTTGCCAGTGGCCTGAAATTTCCCACAAGGAACGTTTGTAGATGGTTGGGGTCAGGACTTCGCGGAAGCCGTATTGCATGTATTGGGTGCGGAGGAAGGAGATGAGCTTGTTGATGACGTGAGTCCCATTGGGCAGAAAGAGGGGCGAGCCGGGACTGTAAACGGATGAGGTGAATAGCTCCTGGGTCGTTCCGAGAGCTCGATGGTCGTGGGCCGGAATCGAGACGGCTTCCGTAGGTTTGCCGTTAGCCGCATCAGCGCACGAGCACCGGCGAATGGCTGAAGTCGACAGCCATCGGAACCGGGCTGGGCCTCGTAGGCGTCCAGCGAGGCAGGGGGGTCGCGCGCAGAGTTGCGGTCGAAGCCGAGTGACCAGGCGCATTGTTGGTTGCGACTTGCAAAGTAGCTGTGGCGCCGCATTTTCCTGCCGATCGCCTTCCCCACCGCTTTGCGATAGCAAACGCCGACTTGCTCTACCTTGCCAGTCAACAACACAACAACACAGCAACACAGCAACAACAACACAACCTCGATCGCTTTCAAGCCCCTTTTTTTTGTGGTGTCTATGATTACTAACGACTACAACTGACATCTTTCCGCAAAGAGTATTATTTATTATCGTGAACCGGACATGACGGCATCATGTCAACAGAACCGCGTTCCCCAGATCGCTCGGTCCTAGACGAGTCCTGGGTGATGGCATCGACTGTCTCACTCAAGGATCGAAATGCAGAGAAAAAAAAAGAGCAAGATAGACAAGAACTAGCCACCCCGACTCCACCACCACGACCACGATCAGCGCCGAGTCGAGACGGCGACAAGTTACTATCCGAGTCCTCGGAGTCGCTAGACTCCTCGTCATGGTCCATGTCGGGCCCGGAGCTCATCATGCCCTCGATATACGAAGCACCCATCTCCGAGGCCTCTTGGGTAGCCCCGGATATGCGACCAGCAGAGGCCAAACGCGAACGCGACGTGCCTGGCATGAGAAAGCGGCGCAAGGTCATATCGGAGCACTTGTCGGAAGAGACAAAGTCTAACTTGGCACCCGAAAATCCAGACGCTGGCTCGTCGACTCCAACAAAATTGCAAAGCAAACCACAAGCTATACTTGCGCATTCCCCGCTCAACTCATTGTATCGCGACCAGCGAGCCCTCCTCCGCAACGCGGTCAATGTCCTGTTGGGCATCTGTATACTTCACCTCCTACTCCTCCCCGAACTCATCTACCAAGCTCAGAATCTATGCCACCTCCCCGGCATAAAGTCTGTCTACCCAGACAGCTGCATCCGTCTACGCCCTCAGTCCTCACCCTTCCACCCCCTCGCATCCTATCACGATCAAGCCGGAAGAAACCATCATCGCCTCCCAAACGCACCTCGAAACCATCTTCACCACGTCCCTCGAAACCCTCACACCCCTTGCGCACACCCTGAAAGAAAGTGAATCCATGCTCCGAGACCTCCAATCCGACCTCCAGCATTCCTTCCCGGACGCGCGCAACGCCCTAACCCTCGAATTCCAAGGCAGCGAGAAAGCACTCCGCGCCGCGAGCTGGGAATTCGACTCGCTTCGTGCGGATGTTCGGTCTGCCATCGACTCGCTCCTCGCCTCGCCTCCGACCCAGGAGCCGGTTGGGTCCTCCGTGGCACGTGATACGCGTCTCGCGGCGCAGCTTCGGCGTCGCGCGGAGTATCTGGATCGCCTCCGGGCGCAGATTCGCAGCAAGACGGATTCCCTGAGTACAAGATTCAGCACGCTGGATGACCACCTCGAGGCTATTGATGGGATTGTCTCGCGGGAAGAGCGCCGGTCGCTCATGGATGCAGAGTCGGGTTCGGGGTCGAGTTCGGGATCGACAGACGGGGAAGGGCTGCAAGGTGTTCTAGACTCGCTTTCGAGTTATGCTTCGTTCGGCGCGAAACTTTTACGCGGTGGAAGTACGGGGTCCGACTCGAGGGTGGGGTCAACCGGAACAGGCACAGGATCGTCAGCGTCGTCAGCCTCTGAGGCGGCGACCTTGCCGAGGCCATCGACGACGCTGGCATTGCTGAGATTTGCGGCCACGCATCATTTGCCTGTTGCTGATTCGGTGGTGAGGTTGTCACGCCAGTTGCAGGATGTGCAGCGTGCGAGAGTGTGATGATCCACTCGTATGCACTGTATGCACTTGTGTATAAATTTATGACAGTTTTTTGATAGGGACGTCCTTCCAGATTATGGTGATTGTGTATTGGATTGGGTGAGAATGGCGCCAAAGGTACTTATGATGCAATGTCTTTCGTTGATCGATCGAACCCCTGAGTCCCTGGATTGAGTATAAAGGGATGAAGTAGCGAATATCATTATCTGTTGTGGAGTGTAGTTGACAAATACCAATTCAACTATTTTATTCCTTTCATTTCTATTTTGTTCCCTATTAAAATACAATACAAGCTATGGTAAAACTTGAACTGAACATGCCAGTGTACACACACTTCCAAATCCAGATAGTCACATGACATCCCACGTGCGGCCTCTCAATCATCCAAAAATAGAATCCCACAAAAGTTTCGACGAGAACAGAACTTGGCCCGAAACTTTTTACACCGAGGAATCTCAAAAACAAGAAAAGTCAATTCCAACATTCTCACCAACCAGTCCTGACCTCCGAATCAATTCCAAGACCCGACCAGCTGAACCGTGGAATTGTTTTTCCCGGTCTCCACACCAGCCAATCGCGTTGCAATCGAATACTTTAAGAGCCTTGGCATTTCCGAGTCCAGTCAATTGTGCCCCCAACTACAGTAGTGGAGAGGAGCCCGGCCGAGCTCGGTTTGTTCGTCTCGCCAAAAATTTCCATCGCTCACTCACTACGCACTTCTGTTAGAATTGAATTATCTGGGCCTTTTTTTTTATTGGATCCGTGGTATACTTATTCTAGTATAGTGGTATAGGCTACAGTACCATGAAATACATTTATTCACCTCAACGTAGAAGGTAACGAGAAACAATCAAACTAGTTTGCAGCTCACATGACTCGAATACGACAATACGACACGAAGTAGCGGGAAGAGGTTGTGAGACGCTGATGTCGCACAGCATGGCACTGCATAATAAATAGTACGCCTTTTTCTACCCCGCAACAGTGGGGCAGGGTGGGTAGAAACCGGGGTCCGGATCTTTCGAATTGGGCCAAATTGCGTTTGTTTATCTGCATGATATCGCATTCTACACTACTGTACATTCGTGCGAGGGTGGCTCCCGCGGATACGGGATAGTCGATGCGGCTGACTGGCGCCTTGCGTTGCGCATGCTTATATTGTTTCACTTGCATGAGATGTCAGCCCATTACTGCTGATGTCTTTTTAATTCCAGCAGATAGAATGATTACGAGGAAGATCAGTGTAAAGTCAGCAGCCCCGAGGCCGAGGTGCATTAGTCTAGCTGCGTGTATGTAGATATAATGGGTAAAACAGATACCCTATCTGCACAGTCACAAAAGCACATCAGTTGGTATGAATCGGTAGATACCCAAAAGAAATAAAATACTCCAAGAAAAAAGCGCCATCATGTCCAATTACCCGGTTCCAGCCCAAGTGTGCTTCATCCGTGAGGCATTATTAGTATTTGCAGTCACATCAAAATCAGTTTACAGCTGGATGAAAGCAGTGACCAGGGCCAGGAAGCCGAGAGGACCCAGGTAGTTGGCAGCCATCTTGGTGGCGGCATTGAACTCGGTCGAGGAGGCCGAGGCGCTGCTGCCGGTGGCCGAGCCAGAGCCAGAGGCCGAGCCGGAACCAGAGCCAGAGGTGCCCGCGGCAGTGCTGCTGGCACCGCCAGAGCCAGAGCTGGAGCCAGAGCCAGAGCTGGAGCCACCGGTGGTCACGCTGTTGGAGCCAGAGGCGGACGAGCTGGGGCCGTCAGAGGAAGAGGCAGTGGTGGAGCCAACGGTGGTCTTGCCAGCAGAGGAAGACTGGGTGGCGGTGGTCAGAGTGGTGGGCACGGTGGAAGAAGCATCGCCAGACTCAGTCGAAGAAGAATCACCAGTCTCGCTGGAGGACGAGGCCGAAGTGGTGGTGGTCTCGTCGGAGCGAGTGTGGGTTCCGGAGGAGGCACCCTTCTTCTGGATGGAGCTGGACGAGCCAGAGTTGTCACTGTAGGAGTAGGACTCGGCGGGGTTGGCGTTCTTGATGCTGACCGACTTGATGTACATGCTGAAGGGAGCCTGCGAGTAGTCGGTCTGACCACCAGCCCACTCAATGGTGCCCTGGCCGTTGGAGGGGTCACCACCGGCCCAGATACCGATACGGACGCGCATGGGAGTCTGGGGGAAGCGGGATCCACCCTTGGCGTCGGCGTAGTTCAGCGTGCGGACGGAGGCGCCGTCGATGTACCAGGTGATGGTCTTCTCAGTCCAGACGACCTTGTACTTGTGGAATGAGCCCTGGGGGTTGGAGACGGCGGGCCAGGTGTCGCGGTCGTAGGACGAGGTATCGCCCTTGCCGAAGTAGTTGGTCTGGACAGCAGCGGAGTTGCCGCCGAGAGCTTCCTACAGAGTTGTTAGCCTTGATCGAGTTTTCCATTGCATTTTGTCTGTGGTCACATACCCAGTCGACCTCGTCGAGGTCATCCGACTCGAGCACAATGGAGCTGACGATACCGGTGCCGGGGGCAGCCTTCATCTCAACCTCGACCTCGCCGTAGAAGATGTAGAAGGGAGTATCAATGGTGGGAGCATCGCCCTTCTTGGCGACGGTGAACACGGCGCCATCGGGGCCGGTGTCGACGGAGCCGGCGACGGTCTTCCACTTGTCGAGGTCGCCCTTGTTGGTGAAGTCGAAGCTCAGCGAGGACTCGGTGGTACCCTTGTTGTCGGGGCAGTTCGACTTCTCAAGCGGGTTGCACTGGCTGTAGGTCTGGGCAGCGGCCAGGGGAGCCATGGCGGCAAGAGCCGCAGTGGCATACTTGAGCAAGGACGGCATGGTGAGAATGAGAGCAGAACGGGATGAGCAGAAACGAGAAGGGGAGGAGGAGAATTAATAAAAGAGAACACAGCACTAACGAGTGGAGCTGTTGTCCCGCGGGTCTGAGGCAGGCGCTCCACGGTTGCTGGGGAAGTGCTCACCTTTGTACTCTCAGCTGGGGTAAGGTACAGTACCCGCAGGTATTGCGATGAGTGCAGAGAGAGAGAGAGGCCCACTCGGCTTGTCCCCAGCCTCCGCCGGTTCCACCTCGTCCACTTTTTCCTCTACCCAATTCCATGATTGGACCTCGGCGTGGCAACCATCCACGCCACGCTGTGGGCCATCGCTGGTGACAGACCTGAGTGGGCGCAGTGCACGCCTGCTGAGACATCGCCCGGAGACGCCCTGAAGTCCCTGAATCGTCCCTGGGTGATCTACGAAACCGACCCTCGACAACACCGCATTCGGCCCCTGGATCCTCGCAGGCGACACATATGATTTCATCGCTGCACGGAACGCCCACAGGAGACGCCTTCAGGATACGACGACGGGAGATAATACAGGATACAGGAGAACAGGCACAGAAGGCTGATCGCCCGATCATCCCGGGCGATCGTGTTACAGGCAGTCTCATGGCGGTCACACGGCCCATCGTTCGCCGAAGCGAGATCCACCCTGACATCTCCCGGTGCACACTGTCGAGGGCTGTCAATATTTCAGGGTAGTAATCGCATTACACTGCCGTACCTTAGGTACAATTGACTCTTATCGGTGGACCACGAGATCGAGACGTGGATGAGGTGCTTGTCGTGGATGCCTGGCTGCGTAGCCTGCAGTACACCAAGTACACCAGTCTGATCGATCGATCTGTGCCTGGTGACAAAACCAGTTCTCAGGGGTTCTCGTATTCCCTCATGTGTTCATTGTTCCAGTCGCCTCGCTTGCAATTGCCCGTCCACTCGCCAGGACCGAGTCGGTCCGAGAGCACTAAGACTAGCGCTGCGACCGTATCCCCCGTGTCTCTCCTCCCACACGCACACTGGTGCAGCACTAGGAATAATAATCCTCTGACACAAGATGGACAGGTTAGACTTTCAATATATTATTAGCCCCTCGCATTTCCCTTGACCCAATCACCGTCTCTCGCCCCGGTTTTTATGCAGGAACACGCCGGTCGCCATCCTGATTCCCATTGTTGGACCCCCTCCGTAGTCCAAGTATACACCCGGGGATGGCCCCGTCGGGCTTGAAATCCCTTAATCGGACGAACCATTACGATAGTACTAGCACTACAAGGTATACTGAAGGGAGTCTAACACTGTTGCACATCCTTCAAGGGGCCTGCGGTACTTCAGTAGTAACTTGTTAAATTCGTGCACCAGCTGGTGGTGTTAACTCGATCGCCTATTTTTGCGCGATCCCGCTAACTCACCCGCTATTGAAATCCTCCGTCTCCACAGAAAAGGCAACAAAGGCAGCAAAGGCATCGGATAAAGTACGGATCGCGGTTAGAATTCCACCACCGCAGGCCCGTCCAGCACAATGTGCACCTGCTTGGTAACGCTCTCCTGCGTCGTATTGAACGAGCCACCAGTAAAGGTTTCCCGCTTGCGACGACCACCCTCGGTCTGGCCCAGCACAGTCACCGACTCAATCACCACGTTCGCCTGGTAGCCAAACTCGCCGCGGATCGTCAGTTTATCCTCATGGTACTCAAACAGCACCAGCGAGCTGCTGGCCGGCTTCAATGACTCGCCGTCGTCCAGGTACAGCTCGCCGTGCGCATAGCCGTCCCGACTCGGCGCAACGACGATCTCAAAGCCGCGGCGCCGGAGCTCCGTCGTGGTCATGGCGCTCTTGCTGCGCAGCGGCAGGATGCTGCCCCCGCGGATGTGGATCGGGATGTCGGTCGTGCTGATCCGGTCCAGGCGCTGGACCTTTCCGTGGCCATCTACTTTCTTACCGGTGAACCAGTCGTAGAAGAGGTCGTCGGGGAAGTAGGCGTCGACGCTGGTCTTTCCTTGGTCTGTAACGGGCGAGACGAGGATCGAGTCGCCGTAGAAGAACTGCAGGTCGTTCGAGAAGGTCTGGTGGTCGCCCGGGTAGACGTAGAACAGCGGTTGAAGGAAGGGCTCGCCCGTCAGGGTTTGCCGGTGGAAGGCAGTGTACAGGTAGTCCAGGAGACGGTAGCGGATGTCGATGATCTTGCGTGCTGCCTCGGCCACGCTCGGCCACCGGTAGAACTCCTGCGGAATCGAGGTGATCTCGTTGTGGTTCCGGTAGAAGGGGTAGAAGCCACCCAGCATGGCCCAGCGGGCGCAGAGCTCTTCCGTTGTGTTGCCGCCGAAGCCACAGACATCAGAGCCGACCATGGGCACCTGGAAGATCGATGCAAAGGCAAGCATTTGTGCGATCGATGAGCGGTACTTGTCCCACTGACTGAGGTTGTCACCGAGCCAGTGGCCGACGTGGGCGCCCGCGCCCGCGAAGGTGCTGCGGGTGATGACGAGGGGACGCTTGCCAGGTCGACGGTGAAGCATGGCCTCGCGAGAGGCAGAGCTCATCACTATCGAGGTGTTAAGTGTTGTACCAAAGCAAAAATGGGGAGGGGAGTCATACTCGTTCCGTACAGGTTGTGAGTATCATACTCAACATAGCCCTTCCCAGCATGGACAAGGTCAGTATCAATCGTCTTGTTGCTAATCGATCCAGCCGCATTGGCAATTTGGTAGGGTGGGTTGATCAGATCACGACCCGGCAGTCCAGCCTTCTTGCCGCCGTCATCACTCCGACGCTTGTTATCAGATCGTCGGTGCGACTTGGGCGGCTGGAAGTCGGCAGGGAATCCGGGGATCGGACGCGGAGGCGAGCGTACGGCCGGCGGGGCCGGGGGGAGATCGTTGACCTTGGCGTACTGCTCTGGGTCCTCGCAGGGCCAGGGGCAGAAGTTGGCAGCTTCGTTCATGTCGATCCATAGTCCGTCAATGTCGACGCCGTCGTGGCTGCTGAAGAACTCCTTGAACTCGCTGTTCCAGTAGCCCTGCGTGTCCGGGTTGAACCAGTCGGGGTAGACCGTCACGCCAGGCCAGACGCCGCCTAGTAGGTGTGTTAGTCTATAATTGAAAGGTATGTATCAAACAATCGCACTTACCGCGGTACAGTTCGTCGTCGCGATACAGGAAGATACCCTCTTCCTCGCCGCGGTGAAACGCATCATTGTCTGCAGATATCAGTCAGTTTTGTCTCGAGAAAAGCGGTTGTTGATGACATACCGCTGTCACTGACAGCTGGATCCACCATCACAATGTAGTGCTGGTGCTTCTGGTGGAGATGGCGAACCAGCTCCCTCACCTTTCCCAGTGGGAACCGCTCATCGTCCAGTGTGAAGACCCTTCGTCCACTCATGTAGTCAATGTCCGTCCACATGGTTTCCAGAGGGATATGGGCACGACTGTAGTTGTAGACGGCTTCGGCGACGTCGTAGACATCCTGGTATCCGTACCGGCAGTTGTGGAACTTGAGAAAGAGTTAGATTGGAATCAACAAATGCCCGAATTATAACACTTACACCAAAGGTCCAGTAGCTCTGCATAGCAGGCCGACCCACAACCTCCGCATATTGCTTGCTGACCTCCTTCGGACTGGGGCCAGCTATAAAATAAAAGTCCAGGACGCCTCCCAGCGTGTTGTACTCGAGATACTGGCGGCCCTCATCGTCCACGTCGATCTTGATGTCCATGCCATTGGAGTTCAAGAAGAAGACACCGTGAGCACCCGCGTCACCTCGGTGATCCACATATACGGGGTGAGCACCGTACAGATTCGTGTGCTCGGGCACACCGTACGCATCGCGGTTCCACAAGGTGCGCGTGTAGTTCTTCGTGGGCATGCGCAGCGTGTCGATGTGCTCGCCCAGTCCATACAGGTTCGGGTCCTTGGGGAGCCAGGTGCGGAGATTCAGGTACTGCGATTGGAAGATGATGTTCGTGTCCGAGGTGTCGAACAGAACTTGATCGTTGCGCAGAACTCGGAAGGAGAACGGCTCGGGCTCGTAGTCAAAGCGGAGGTTCGAGGTTTCCTGGTCGTGGTCCCCGCGGCTGTTGGGGCGAGGAACGACCGACTCGGGGACTTGGTAGACCTCTTCGTCGGCGTCGTAGATCATGACATGGAGACGGTCATCTATTATGGAACGAGTCAGGGAATGGTCATGTAGAGTGTGGGGCATAGCACTGACCAGTCTGGTACTCCACCAGAAGCTTGAGGTTCTCCAGGTCTGTGCCGTAAGAATCACAGTGATCACCCGCAAGAGTGAGGTCTGCCGTTAGAGTCGAGCCCTGCTGGTTGACATTGGTAGCTGTATAGCCGGGACACTCGTCGTTGGTGGAAGCTACAGCTGTAGCAGCTCCCGCGATGGAAGCTAGGAAGAGCGACACCCGCATGTTGAGAAATCAACTGCGGGAGTATTTCGAGTGTGCAAGTAGAAGATACCAGTCAAATCAGGTAAGGAATTGTATAGGTTTATGTAGAAATTGGAGGTGGAGGAGTGTGGAGTGAGAAAGTGGGGTGGATGCATAATAAATGGAAACCCCCCGGTAGCTTCTACCTGCATAGAACTTCACCTCCCCGAGCGTCAGGTCGGCAAATCGGCAAACAGGCGGCTTTCTTGATTGCCCTCCGCATTTGCATCCGGCCAAAACGTAGAACGAGCGGAGATGCGGGCAATTATCGGATTCCATAGCTTGGCCGATCTGCAGGGTCTGTTCGGTTACAACTAGTGCATGACTCCGGTGTTTTTATTCGGTCTGGCCTAGATCTATAGTACTTATGGTTATGCCAAGGAGTACCTTAGAAAATGGTACGATTGTAGTAAATAATAATTTCCGATAATACATCAGAGGGCGTAAGATCACGGTGGTAACCCTGTGATACCGTATAGTCCGACTAAAATCTCTCCATTGCGCTTCTTTAATCTCAAGGTTTTGTCTGTGAACGAGTCTTCGGACCTCGTCGATTAGCGGTATGCACTCCGGAATAGTTTTGCTAAGGGAATCAAGAGAGGCTTGCCCGTTAAGCTGACATGATCTCTTTCATTGACAATTCACCCTAAAAAAGGTTGCTACCTAGAGCATAATGGATGGCCTGATCGGTATCCCCAGATCCTTGATAGGTAGGCCCCATGCGTAAGGTGGTCAGGCTGTTTGCCCACCGACCATCCGGGCTTTCACACGCCCATATTCGAACATTCAGTCAAGATCATATGGTACAAGGACACCAGGACTATATTTGCCATTTCCTCAATAGCGAGACGCGCAGTGTGGATGGCATTCTGACTATTAGAAGCTTTTCTTAGGTGTCGAATGAAGAAGAGACCTTTGCAGCGGAAGGTTAGTTATTTCTCTTCAGGGTCCTGGATGTGGTACTTAATTGTCTCTTGGCTTGCGCGAAATCGCAGGCTATCGCTCTGGATTTTGTGTTTTCAAGATCATCGAGTATTTTCAGAGATTAGCAGCAGTTCTAAATGGTTGGTATAACTGATCAAGGTGGATTACACTATTACATAGAGAGGATAATGATTATCCGGAGTTTTACGTAGATTACCCCATGATGGAACTACATGCAAGCCCCCACCAAAATTGATAGGGCAGTACTTTGTACAGTGATCATTCAGTGGGATCTAATAGAATTACTTCGCAGCTCCAACGCTTATTATCAAAACTGGTTTCTCTCGAGTCTGAATCCCTGGCTAAAGACCGGGTACATGACAGGTCATGTTCATTGGCATCGTTCATTTCATAAAAAAACAAGACTGCATTAGTTTTCAGTAAACCTCCATTTGGACTGTCTCTAGGTACGAACTAATACAGTCACCGCATCCATACCATATTTGGCAGGGTGGTGTCCCCAAAGATGTGGTGGGATCCCCAAAGGTCCTTCGGTGTGGGTCATGGAACGTGACTATAAGTACTTCAGCCCCTCTCCCCCCCCCCCCCCGGGGCAATATTTTTACTTCTCCCATATTCACTACGAAAGACGTATCTTCTTGGACTTTTAAACAAAAAGAAATTCATTTCGGCTCTATATGCTCAATGGCATCTCTAGACATCATTCGTGTCGTATATTAAATCATCACCGACACCCAAACCAAAAGGTATAATATGATAAAAACAACACCGTTCTCGCCCCCTTCTTGATGCTCAAGTTTAAACCTTCTGACCAGCGGAAGCAGCCTTGACATCCTCCTCCGAGCTCATAATCTGCACCTTGATGGCACCCGTCTTAGGGTTGGAGGCAGTCTCAAACGCCTTCAGGGCATCCTCGAGCGCGAAGCGGTGGGTCACCAGCTTGTTCAGGTCAATGACACCGTTCTGCACCAAGCGAATGGCACGGGGCCAGGTGTTGGAGTAACGGTACTGGTACTGAAGGTCGATCTCCTGGGTACTCAGGCGCATGAAGGGGATGTTCATCTCGTTCTTGCCGACACCGATGATGAACACCTTGCCGCCGAACTTCATACTCCAAATGGCGGAGTTGACACTGCTCTCGACTCCAGTGCACTCCAGGCACAGCTTAGGGCGCAGCGCATTAGCACCAGCACCCTGGCCGTCGTTGAAGACATTGATGATGCCGGCCGCTTGCTCCTCGGCCGACAGACCGGGCTGCACCTTGTAGGTGCGCACCTCCGGCGCAATGGTCTTAGCAAAGGCCAGACGACCCTCGTCAATATCAGTGATGACAATGGGGCAAGCACCAGCGGCGCGAGCACTGAGCAGACTGATGAGACCAATGGGACCAGCACCGGTGATCAGGAGAGGATCACCCAGGCGCAGCCCGCTGCGCTCCACAGCCGCCAGGGTCACACTGAGCGGCTCCAGAAGAGCACCGTCTTCATAACTCATGTTGCCGATCTTGTGGCACCAGATGGAGGGGTGGTTGACATAGCGGCGGAGCAGACCGTCGACGGGAGGAGTGGACAGGAAGGCGACATTCTCGCAACCATTGTACCGGCCGGTCAAGCAGGGCTCGCAGGAGTTGCAGATAATGTTGGGCTCAATGGCAACGCGGTCGCCGGGCTTGAGGTGAGTGACATCGGGCGCGACCGCGACAACCTGACCGGCAGATTCGTGGCCGAGGACGTGGTCGCCAGTGACGATCATGGGACCGATGCAGCCGGCGTGCCAGAAGTGAACGTCGGATCTGTCGTGGGGAAATAGCGGTCAGTATTTGCAGATTGACTCTCAGGTGACCTGCAGGTCCCTTGCCAATGCGCCTCAAAGCTGAGATCGGGCGCGATGGGGGAGACTGCGGGGCGTGGGGTACCCTACAGCAGGGTATACAATCAATGCAGTGGAAATCTACTCACCCGCAGATACCGGTGCTGCGCACCTCAACGGTAACCTCGCCAGGCTTGAGGCCCTTGCCGGACTGGACATCCTCGACCTTGGGAGTAGTTTCTGCGATCCAGAGGTCGTGGTTGGGGTTGGTGTAGACACCAATGTTGGTCTTAGTCACGGTCGTCGCGGAAGACATGGCGAATGCGTCAAGGGATTAAAAAAAATTTTGGAGGGGATGTGAAAAAAAAAGAAAAGGAACAGCGGCTGGTACTTTAATAGTACCGCACATCCAAACTCTGCCACGGTGGCAGGTGATCTGAAGCCCGCATTTTGCATCGCACCCCATGTCATACAGTCGAAAAGTGGAGGGGAGGGCCCCTCGATTTAACCGCGCGGGGCGGAATTGCCTGGCGACCGCCCAAGCAGGAAACCCCGGCCGCGCTGCCCCCGGACTCGCACTCGGCTCTCGGTTAATTGTGCGTGCTGGCCCACTGCATTTGCCACTGTATTTCATAGGATGTTATTGAATTGGCATGAAAAGATTCAGAGTATTGAGAAATATTTACAGTTGATATTACTAGATCACTAAATCTGCAGCACTGCACTAGCACTAATATGTACTCTTCTGCACGTAAATGGCAATTCTCCGGTGGCCGCGGCCGCCCTGGTTGATGGATTTACTACTCCCGGCTGATTCTGGCCCTTCCCCATTGCAAACAGGCCAAACTAGGGGCGACTCTTCTCTGTCTGGACAAGCGGTTTGGAATTAGGTGGGGAAGTACAATTGGGCCGAACGGTCGGCCCGAATTCGCCTGTCGCGAATCGCAACTCGGATTCTCTCCGGTTCAATTGTGGTCAGGTCGGAGAGCTCTTGAAACCGGTACCACGATGGTCCGACCACGCATTGTATTGAGGGAGAGAGCATGTGGGGTATTCCTAAGGGTTAGCTTGAGAGGTATTTGACTCCGATAAGTGATGCGGATCATGTGATCCCAGGATGCTTTTGTTGAAGCTAAGTCTGCTTAGAATAAGGTTGCTGTGCCCTGGCCTTGTCAACTCAAATGATCTCAAATGGTCAAGGCCGGGGGTTATTTTCACTCGGCTAGAGATTGATGTAATATGTACCATTTTCTCAATGCGCATTACAACGGGAACAATGACTGTTTGTTTTCTAGTAAACTAGGTAAGCAGACCAAATCCCATGCCCATCGCTAATGCATCCAATGACATTCGATTGGTATGATCACGCTTTGTGGATTGTCAGTGTGATGGATCTTTGCTGGTTGAAATGTGGTGCAGCTCTACGGTAATATAGTGCACCTTACTTTGAGATCCATAGATATATATATCCACAGCTGTGAGATTCCGGAACCCGTGACCCGAGAAAAAACTGGGAAAAATACACAATTTCATCTCCTATCACTTTTTATTCCACGACAAATATAACACATACATATTGAGCTCAAGCAACCTGTCCCACAGGGCTCAGATTAATTGTTCAATGATCGCATTGGACAAGATCTAGATGTGCTGCGGCGCTGATCCTTGCTCACTCCCGGCCGTTACAGCCACCAGTTGGCTTGGCACAAGTGCAAAGAGAACCATCACTTGTGTACTGACATCATTTTTGTAGAGATCAATGAAATCGAGCAAGAACAAGTCTGCCAGTTTTTGAACTAGAAATATATATCGTCTGGATGCTGAGAAGATGTCTTTTGTGGTGCATGTTTACCGACCCCTGCCCAGCACCTCACGTGACCCGTACCCTGAAGTTCCCGACTGCGTCCGCCCAGCAGATTCTGGTCCTGTCGTTGCGCCAGACTACAACCGCCAATTGGACTCTCTCCGTCCTCCTCCTACCAGCGACTATCCTGGGTGACTCGTGCTCGACTTCTCGTCTTCGCTCCTTCTCCTCTCGCAGTCCCCAAGATGCCCGCTGCCACCCGTGCCGTCCTGCGGCAATCGCAGTTCCTGACCCGTCGGACCGTGGTCAGACACTCCTCCTCCACCTCGGAGGCCGCCAACAAGGCCGGCCAGACTGCCTCCTCTGCTGCCTCCAAGGCTTCTGAGGGCCTCTCCAAGGCCACCGCCGCTGCCGGTCCCGCCCTCTCCAATGCCGCTTCGGCCCTCCGGAAGGTCGGCGGTCCCGTCGGCAAGGTCGTCTCGTTCGTCGACTGTAAGGCACCCTGATATCCTGGAACTTGGCATCGAATGGAAATCCGGGGATAGACAACGGAGGACCAAGGAGCGATCAATTGCGATGCTGGATGCCGCGGAAAGAAAACTTCGTCGCCTCCTGGTCTCCTTGTTGACATCCCCGAACCTCGGCCTCCAATTTCACCTGTGCATCGCTAACATGGATCTTCTCTGCAGCCATGATCCCCCCGACTCTCTACTACTCCCGCGTCGGTCTTGAGCTCGGCAAGCTGGTTTTCCGTGGCCAGAACATGAACCCCCCGTAAGTCGGAACCTCTGATACAATCTCCAGCCGCCATCGCTAATCCGTCTCGCCTGCAGCAACATGGCCACCTTCCAGTCGTACTTCCAGCCCCTGATCAACGCCGCCAAGAACCCTGCTACCTTCAAGAACCTCAACGTCTCGCCCCAGAACTTCCTGGCCCGCGTCCGTAATGCCAGCCCCAAGGAGCTGGCCCTCGCCGGTGTCACCGCCGCCGAGGTGATCGGTTTCTTCACCGTTGGCGAGATGGTTGGCCGCATGAACATTGTCGGCTACCGGGGCGAGCCTGAACACCACCACTAAATGTGGAATCTCGTCCTTTCTTTATCTCTCCGCCATCAACACACCCTTTCGTTTGTTTCCATTTCCCCCGCGTTTGTACTCTGTATGATAGACGATGGAATATAAACTGTTGTCTGAGATAGAAATCATTTGCAACTTTGATAGTTCCATTTCAAGCCTTTTTGTCTATTGTAAAACCTATGCACGTACGGTACCTGCCTGTTTTATAACTAGTAGTGGTACTCGATAACCCCAGTTGAAAACTCTCCCACCACCAACACCGCCATGACGGACAACGAGATCGGGGGAATCTTTTTGGTGCTAATTCTTCTCGGCCTCTACCTTTGCCTGGCCTTCACACCGATCAGCCTGGCGTTCCTGGCATGCACTTTGGTGTATGTGGTGTACCGGCTGAGGTACCGCAGTCGCTGGTGATCCCAGCTGCAATGCTGATTGGGCCATGCGGGCTCGCAGTGGGGCGCTCTTTTTTTTCCCTTGCGACAAAATATCGACGGCTCCCAACTTCATCGAGCATATCACCACAATGGATGCATTCCGATTGCTGACTAGGTCGACAAAATTCAAGTCGGTGACCAAGCCGGCCGCAGAGCCTGCTGCGCGTCTGCCCTCTGCGGGCACAGCGGCCATTCCGCAGCTTTTCCGGACCGCCGAGGCCGACAAGCTCGAGTCGAAGCATGGCAAGAAAAGAAAGCGTGTGCCTGCGACAGAAGAAGATGACGGTGCAAATGCAGCCGATCTGGACTTTTTCCATTCCACCAAGCGCGCCGCTGCGTCTTCAACTGGTGTACCCGCGGCGAAAGATGATCAGGACCAAGCATCTGGTCAACGCGATGAATCTGAATCTGAATCTGATGATGCTATGGATGAGGTGGAACGCCGGACGATCTTGAACTCACACAAGATCAAGGTCTCTGACCTGCGCGATCTGGATGAGATCCAGCCTCCGGCTCCGGCCAAGGAATCTAAGAAGAAAAAGAAGAAGTCTAAGAAGGAAGAAGCTCCTGCGCTGAGCAAGAAAGAGCAGAAACGTGCTCGTCGCATGTATCCACAACCGTTGCTTTCATTCAAGGAGCTGCGGACACGATACAAAATCTCTGGACGACTTGCAAATAACGTTGCGGAACAAGGGTTTGCGATGCCTACAGAGGTGCAGCTGGGAACCCTTCCTCTTTTGCTGGGAAATTCGCCCGGAACAAACTCCAACACCCTTTCCGAGCCGGATTTGCTCGTTGTCGCTCCTACGGGCAGCGGAAAGACGCTCTCATTTTTGATTCCTACGATCAATAAGATCATTCGACACCACCATTCGAACACTGAAGAGCACGGGGTCTTGTCTGTAGTCGTGGTGCCTACCAAGGAACTCGCCAGCCAGATTGTAAACGAAGGCCGGAAACTCGTGGCAGGCACTGGCGTCAAAATCACTCTGATGAGAAAGGGTATGCGAGTGGTGGATCGAGAAGGCGAAGCCGAAGTCGATGCCTTGAATGAAGACAGTGATGCATCTGGATCAGAAGAGGAAGAGGACGAGGATGCAAGCAAGCCCCAAAAGGACGAAAACAAAACACCAGTCACCAAGAGCGATATCCTGGTCACCACACCTCTCCAACTTGTCAATTCGCTGTCTTCGAATCAAACAAGACCCGTGGCGAACATGCCATTGGTACGAAGCTTGATTCTTGATGAAGCAGATGTTCTCTTGGATCCTCTATTTCGAGAGCAAACTCTCGATATCTGGCGCTCATGTGTGCACCCCGACTTACGTGTGAGCCTCTGGTCTGCTACGATGGGCTCGAACATCGAGGAGCTCACTCGCTCGACGATCAAAGAGCGATTGGAGAGAATTGGACAGACCAGCAACACACTACACCCATTGGTTCGTCTAGTTGTCGGACTGAAGGACTCCGCTGTGCCCAACATCGATCACCGTCTGGTCTACGCAGCAACTGAGCAGGGTAAATTGCTTGGTCTTCGCCAGCTGCTGCACCCAACCGCGGCCGCAGCTTCCGATGTCCGTCTCCGACCTCCATTCCTCATCTTTACTCAGACTATCCCCCGTGCCATCGCCCTCCACTCCGAATTGAAATACGATATCCCCGCCGAAGCAGGCGGATCCTCCCGCATTGCAGTGCTGCACTCCGATCTATCCGACAACCAGCGTTCCGATATCATGCGCGACTTCCGCAAAGGAGAGATCTGGATTCTTGTCACCACGGACGCGCTGTCTCGTGGTCTAGATATCAAGGGCCTCAACGGAATCGTCAACTATGATATCCCTAACTCAGCTGCTATCTATGTTCACCGAGCTGGACGAACAGGTCGCGCGGGTCGCGAGGGCGGTGTCGCAGTTACTTTCTACACCAAGGAAGATATTCCCTACGTGAAAAGCATCGCCAACGTCATCGATGCCAGTGAGAAACTCCGCGGCGCAGATGGCGACAAGTCAATCCAAAAATGGCTCCTCGAGTCCCTGCCTGATCTCAGCAAGAAGGATAAAAAGGAGCTCAAGAAGCATGGTGTCAAGGCACGCCAGATCTCGAAGCACATTGGCGGCAAGGATGGAAAGGACAAGGAGCAGGAAGAGAGAGAGAACCGACGGGCCCGAATTAGTACGAAGAGTGGATTCGAGCGTCGCATGGAGAACCGCAAGAGAGGCGCTATTGCCGCGAGTCGCAATCGGAAGGCGACTGCAGCCGCCGAGGCCGTGGCGGACAGTGACGAGGGTAGTTGGGATGGATTCAACGATTAGGCATTCTGTACAAATAAGGCTCCTCAGAGTTAGGTATAAATAACTCGTAATCATCAAAACATGGCGCATATCTCATAAACTCGTTACTTTTGTTCACTTCCCCCGGCCTGACCTTGACCTTGGCCTTGACCTTGGCTTTGGCTTTGGCTCTGGCTCGGAGGCGGGGGCGGCTCTTCCACAACCTTCCTCATAAGCGTAACAGGCACAAAGGCATTATCCAACATCTCCCTCTCCTCCAAAACCCGCGCAAGCTCGTCCCCCTCCCGATCAAAGTATAAAGCCCACTGCCCCTCTTCCTCTTCCACTGCGAAGAATGCATTCTTCTCCTCGAGCAGAATGACCTTTTCGTCTTCCGTCCAATCCCATGGTCCCACGATGTGAGTCACGCTTTGTGTCCGATTGCCATATTTCAGCTCGTACGTGTCTTTATCCGCGTATATCCAATTTAGCAGTGGGGGGTTCGCCGAGACGTACGTTGGTAGACCCAGGCCGCGCTCGAGGTGTTTTGTCTCGTCGGGTTCGGGGTATTCGATGTAGAATGCTAAAGCCGTGAAGGAGGGGATGGATCGATCTGAGGGGTTGAGGAAATCTAGGTAGACCTATACATTGCGTCTGCGTGTTAATGTTGATTCCTATAACAACGATGGGTGTTTTGCAGAATTCCACAGGCATATCTACCTTTTCATTTCGAACTACCACCCGCCTCCCATGTAAATCGCGATCATCATCCGTGTCTCCTTCGCATACAGACTCGATGTTGAACTTGACCATCCGCCGCGCATCTTCCTTGCGTTGGTTCGATTTGCGCTGCTCACTGACGCCGAATGAAACGCCCGTGACGGTGGGGATGGAGGTAAGGGTTAAGAGACCGATAACCATGGTGTAAATCTGAAGGGTCCCGTAGATATATGTGCAATCTAGCGAGTGATTTGGTGGTGTCGTGCGCTGTATTCAGGTATGTCGCGACTAGAAATTGTTCATATTCATGGACGCCGCTGGCTGTTCATTCAGCCGGTACGCGGGTTGATATCGATCTCGCGCGAATCCCGGGCTCGGTTCATGGGGTTTTCTTTGATAGAAATGCTGTCAAACGCAACCTTGGGAAGTCACACGGAAAAAAGAGATTAAAGATGGGATGGTGGCTTGAGTCTTTTAAGTCGCGACCAACCGACGTCATGGCCCCACGTGATGGTCGTGCGACAGCCCTCAGGCTCAGCGCTCGACCTCATTTTCTCATCGCCACCTTACATTTGTTGTCTGGAATATCCTCTAATGCAAATGTATTCGGATCAAAACATCTAAATGGATGGGCCATGCGTTTATGTCTAGGCGCCCGATCTATCATGTATCATCTATTCGTGATTTCATATCGATCTCGTCGCTGTCACGAGGGCATTGGACGACAGCTGGACATCACTGCCAGTGGTCATACTTTCTCGCTCCATCCCCAAACAGACCACCAGCATTTCACAGCCAGTGCGTCGCCGCTCGCACTCTCCCAGTCGTCATAGCCGACTTCCTCGCCTTCTTCGACGACTGCCAGTCCGAGATCTGTCATTCGTTGCCGGAACTCCTGTACCTGGGGTATGTATGCATCGCGAAGGGGCATTTCTACAACTACACGTGCATCCAAGCCACGGCTGAGCCAGGGGTTGATCGTGTCGACGAGTAGTTTCGGGTGGAGGGGCGAATAGAGCGGGTCGGCTGCGAGGATGACATCGAAACGCTCCTCCGCGGTGGGCAATGGGTTTGGCGTGATGGACCAATCCAACACACCGGTCGTCACCGTCGCCTCGGTCTTGTTCATCAGTTCGACGTTCAAGGCAGCGTTGTGGGCGAGGTTGGGCACGATCTCGGGCAGATCTGTCAGGTGAATGGTGGCCGCTTTGCCCTTCAAAGAGGCAAAAGACAAACCAACAAGTCCGGTTCCAGACCCGAGCTCTAATGCCCGAAGCGGCTTGCCGGTGTTTGCGGTCGAAGGCTCGGTCGAACCTGACGGGACGAGTTCCGGCGGGGATTCGAGGAGTTTGTGCAGTCGGCGGGAGAGAAGATAAGAAGACACCCAAGTCTTCATACCCAGGTTATCCGATGTGAGAGAAGGCTCGTGCAAGGTGAGTGTGTAATCTTCTCCGGAGGATGTGGGGATATTGAAGATGCGCGACATGGCCGGCATGGCTTATACAGCGGGCGTCTTGTCAGTAAACCACACAAGACTGCATGGGAACAAACAGTTCTTACCCGTCCGACCAGACCGCTCGCTGAGACGAGCAGAGGCTGCATCCCAAACCGCCTCCCGCAATTCCTCCGTGTCCAGCCATGACAGTGGGCTGGAGATGATGGAGGTGAGATACCGAGTCACTCCCGCCGGCTGCACCGCCGGTCCCTTAACAACGTCGGCGCTGGTACCGAATGTTCGCGGCTGCAGAGTCAACAAGGCCAGCGCCTTGAGCAGTTCAGTGCCCGAGGGCTTCTTGTAGATCTGGGGCAAGTCGAGCACTGTGGCAGGCCGATGGCTTATCAGTTCCACTATCTTAGTGCACCAGATATTGGTCTGCTGGTAGAGTGTAGAGTGTAGTGAACATTGTATTGTACGTACCGTGCAGTGGCTCGTCAAAAGTAGTACCGATCATGACGGGTGGGTAGGATCTCGCAATGCTGGGGAAGCAGCTCGCATCCCCTTTGGGGTTTTTTTTATCGGAGCGGCAAAGGCGCAGCCTGTCGGCGAAGCGGCGAGCCGCCACGCAAAGAAAAATCCCAATCGGGAAAGGCGTGTGCCGGTTCCGCGGCTCGCCCTCGCCGCCCGAAAATCGAGGCCGCAAGGCACGATGGAGAAAACAAGAGGACCAATAAATTATGAGAACAATCGGATCAGACTAGAGTGAGTTGGGAGTCTATTACTTGTATGCATGGAAAATATATACACGCCGTACCCTAGTACGTAGAATGTATATCGATCAGTGTACTGCTTTCAAGGCACTTGGGGCATTACTGTCTGTGAAAGGGGATGGTACTGCTCTGAATAGAAGTGTTGTATTCATGTTGGGTATCTATCATCATTCGTGAAACCTAAAGACTCCAGCTCGGCTCATGAATCCTAATTAAGGGTCGCTTTGAAGCCCTGGTAGGCTTGTTCAATATCAAAGGCCAGCTCGCGGGCCTGTTCCTCGCTCAGTTCCTCCGTCGCCCGCATTTGGTTCAGCGCAATCAGCCATTGAATTATCTTTCCACGGTTCTCGAATTCTCCATCCGTGACTTTGTTAACCGACTGAATTACCTCGGAAAGAAGTGGGTGTAGCGCATCCTTCGACACCATGTTCAGCTTCAATGCGTCGAGGAAAGTAATGAAATTCTCTGTGGCGGCCAGGATGAGACTGCCCGACGCGCCACCGGGTCCCGAGCCACCTGCAGCATTGCTGGCTACAGGCGCGCCATGCGAGGCTTGTTCGACGGTCGCAGGAAGGCCAATACGGAGTCGCTCGGTCGCTCGGGGACATTCCAGCTATCACCAATGTGAGATACAATCGAGGAGAACGTCCGAAGAGATACATACGCCCCAGCTTCGCTTGAAAGTTTCCAAATCAACGAATGCTTGCACCACAGACTCGTCACCCAGACTGGACTTGTATTGCTTGAGCAGCCGCGTGCATGTCTCTGTGTATTCCGTCTCAGTTACCACGTCTTTGATGTAGGCCTTTTCGAGTCCATCGAGTGTGATGATAATGCTGTAGATTTCGGCGAGAGATTCGTAGAGGTCGCGCTCTCCGGAGCTAGAGACCAGCTTGACTTCCTAGTGTGTCTGTCAGCAAAGGCCCCGCGTTTCCGGCCACCGTACATACCTCGTCGAGATTGATCGAAGCCGACGGGGCAGGATTGGGAGTGTAGCTGTAGGGAGTCGGCGCATAGGAGAGAGGGCGCTGGGAATGCATTGTCACGCAGCACCACGGCTAGCAAGTACTGCAATGGTTGAGATGCGTGGACCCGAGCTGCCAGTGCATAGTGGAGGAGGGCGGAGGACTGATTGCTTATCGGCAGCTCCAAGGCGGTCGCGGAGGCGGACCCGCTGATCTGCCCCGAGCCCAAATTTTTTTTCTCGTCGAAACTGCAAGACCGCTTGCAATCGCAGTTTTACACCAGTATTCACAATGGTGGGCTCGGCGAAAAAGTCGACCAAAAAGTTCGAGAAGAAGCACCTCAAGGACATTCTTGAGCGTCGCAAAGAACACGCCAAGGTCAAGCAGCGCCACCAGCAAAATGAGAAGCGCAAGGAGCGCAGTGCCAGCCGCCGCGCCGCCGAAGACGATGCCACCGAAGAACCGGACGAAGAGCAGACCAAGAAGCAAAATGCCTACGCCGAGATGAATGTCGATGACTTCTTTGCTGGCGGATTCGAAATCCCCACTGACGAGAAGGCCAGCAAGAAGGATGTTGCTTCGAAGACTGGCAAACGCAAGCGCACTGCAGAGCAGGCGCAGGATGAACAGGCCTCCGAGGCTAGCGACAATGACGACGACGACGCCAGCAGTGCCGGTGGATTCGACGAGCACAAGAACCAGCTTGAGGCATTGAAAGAGAAGGACCCTGAGTTCTACAAGTACCTGAAGGAGAACGATGCCGACCTGCTCGACTTCGGCAACCACGGTGATATGGAGGAGATTGACGAGCTCAGTGAAGGCGAGCCGGTCGAGGAGGGTCCTGCCAAGAAGAAAAAGAAGAAGGGCAAGCAGCAAGAGGAAGAGGAGGAGGAAGTGGATAACACATTGACAATCCCTATGATCAAGAAATGGGAGTCCTTGATGATCGAGCAATACTCGATCCGTGCCATGCGCCAGACCGTCCTCGCTTTCCGTGCTGCCGCTCTCGTCAACGAGGTCGAGGCCGAAGACCAAAAGTACTCGATCAAGAGTCCCGATGTCTATCACCAGGTGCTCGTCACATCGCTGAGTGTCGTTCCTAAGGTTCTCTCACACCATCTCCCCGTCAAGGAAACGGCTGGCGGCAAGATTAAGGTGTCTATGGACTCGAAGAAGTTCAAGACTCTCACTCCTTTGATCAAGTCGTATACTTCCTCCGTTCACCAGCTGCTGGTTAATCTCTCCGATGCCTCAACCCTCAAAATGACTCTTTCGGCTATGGAGCCTATGCTGCCATACCTTCTCCAGTTCCGCAAGGTCCTGAAGACCCTGATCAAGACCGTTGTTGGAATCTGGTCCGATGTGTCTACTGCAGATGCCATCCGCATCACTGCTTTCATTCTCCTGCGTCGCCTTATGATTGTCGGTGACGCTGGTATCAAGGAGACCGTGTTGAAGGCTACCTACGAGGGCGTAGTCAAGGGCAGTCGCAACACCACTGTCCACACCCTGGCTGGTGTGAACTTGATGAAGAACTCGGCCGCTGAGATCTGGGGCATTGACCAGAACGTCTCATACACCACTGGATTCTCATTCATCCGTCAATTGGCTATGCACCTGCGCAAGAGCATCACCAACACCTCCAAGGAGTCCTACAAGACCATCTACAACTGGCAATACGTCCACTCTCTGGACTTCTGGTCGCGTGTGCTCTCCCAGCACTGTGATGGCCTCGTCGAGGCCCAGGCCGGCAAGCAGTCCGCTCTGCGGCCACTAATTTACCCTGTGGTCCAAATTACCCTGGGTGCGATGCGCCTCATTCCGACCGCGCAGTACTTCCCCCTGCGCTTCCAAATGACCCGGGCTCTTCTGCGTATCTCTCGCGCAACCGGTACCTACATCCCGCTTGGATCTTCCCTGCTTGAAGTTCTCAACTCTGCCGAGATGCGCAAGGCCCCCAAGTCCAGCACCCTCCGCCCCCTCGACTTCAACACCGCTATCCGCGCCCCAAAATCCTATCTTCGCTCGCGTACCTACCACGACGGCGTCGGCGAGCAGGTCGCCGAACTTCTTTCCGAGTTCTTTGTCCTGTGGTGCAAGCACATCGCTTTCCCCGAGCTGTCTGTTCCCGTTGTTGTTGCCCTGAAGCGCTGGTTGAAGCAGGTTTCTGCCCGTTCCGGTGGTAACAAGAACGCCAAGATTAACCAGATGATTCTGTTGCTTGTGCAGAAGGTTGAAGCCAACTCTCGTTGGATCGAGGAGCGACGTCTGAACGTGAACTATACCCCCCGCAACCGCACCGAGGTTGAGTCTTTCCTCAAGGGTGTGGAGTGGGAGACTACCCCGCTTGGTGCGTTCGTCAAGACTCAGCGAAAACTGAGAGAGGAGCGCGCTTCTATTCTCGAGGAGGGTCGTCGCGAAGAGGAGAAGAGGCGAGAAGAGATGAAGAAGGGTGGTGATCAGGACGAATTGATGAACGACTTTGGCAGTGATGATGATAGTGAGGGTGAGGGCGAGGAGGAGATGGAGAGCGAAGATGAAAATGAGCTCGAGCTCGAGGGCGAGAGCGAGGACGAGGACGAGGGCGAGATGGAGGAGGAGTAGATTTTTTAATCACTTGTATATTCATGTGTTCCATACCTACCAGGTCGCATTAAAAGAATTTGGCGTTTTTCAGGCAAGCTTTTCCTCGTATTATCTCCTAAGTTGTTTGAAAATGATAGACATGAATCTAGTAAGGATAAGCTAAAATCAAGTGCTTCGTATGCTATGCAATATTCTATCTCTATAGTCGTCGACACGTGTGAAACGTAACCATCTCTAGCAAAAGCAAGAAACAAGGGTGTCGTATATAAGCTAAACAGATCCAACAGGCATCCTATCCTGTCCCCAGGCCCTGGTCTGTTCCCTCCTCATCGCAGCATCTTCCTCCTCCGCCCAGGCCAACGACTCACTAGGCAACATAACTGCCTTATCAATAGCAACAGGGAGACCACGATGGCGTCCGCGCAACGCAACAGTCGCAAGAATCAATTTGCTGATTGTATGCCAGGCCCCGCAGAACGAGTAGTTCTTGCCTGAGTACCCGATACTCACTCCGACACAGCCGTACGCGGAGACAACCTCGAACATAATATTGAAGGTTGCAAATGCCACCGGTTGATCTTGGTAATGGTCTGACTCTGCGATCGCAATGAAGAGCACGGCCAGTGCGATCCACCAGATGTCGTGGCTTAGCTGTGAGCGTAGTTGCTGGTGAACGAAGTAACCGCGAGAGGTCTCGTTGAGGGTAGGACGACCGAGGTGGTGTCGGATGAGATCCATGAGGACGTTGCTGCGGCATGTATTTGCCGGCTCGTCGGTTTTGTCGTTGGCGTAGATTCCCAGAGAGCGCTCTTCATAGACGTTTGTGTTGCGTATGGTGACCAACACTGGAAATGCGGAGACGTACATCATGAGGACGTACAAAACCAATAGACCCTGCCGGAGATCGGCAATCGTAACGACGTAGAAACCACCGGCGCGGACGGCAAGTGCCTGAAACAGTCCATCTAGGACTCGGTACTCAGATGGCAGAGCCTCGATCTCTTTGTTTCCAACTGAAAGCAGTTCAAAGCCGGCCCAGTCGATGCCGTTGAGGATGATAATTGTGCCGAGGAGGTACCACGTATGTCGGGCCGGAAACAAGTTGGTATAGACCCTTCGTGGGTGCTCCAGAATGAAGTCCAATGTGAGTCTCCAGGATTTCCAGGCTGGTCCATTCGGTAGCACCATCCGCATGACCCAGACGATGAAACGCAGGAAGCACGGGTAAAGCGTATTTCCAGCAAGAATAAGCATGCCAAGTGTAAGGAGAGGATAAGCGTTCAGTTGTAATGCAGTCATGTTCTTATCTAGAAGAGACATGCCGCTATTCACAAAAGCCGAGACAGCGAAAAAAGCGCCAGTCCAGAATGGCGACAATCCATTGGAACGAGTGACCTCAGGATGGTTTGCTTCCAGCCATCCGCCGACACCGATGATGCCGAGAAGAAGGAACATGACAAAGTAGAGGGAGACGATGACCGAAAGAAAGGAGACGGCCTTGTACTCGACGCCGCCGAGTTCTTCTCGTTCGGCAGATGTTAAGCCGTGGAATTGGGAGTTTCGAGAGATCTTTCCCTTCAAAGAGAAGTATTTCTGCGTGCCACGAATGATACCCTTGAATCTGAAACTTGTTGGTTCGGCATACAGAGGCATGGGGTTGGCATCGCGTGGGTGGTTGTGCAGATCAGGACGGGCTCCGACGCCAGCCATAGGGAAGAGCTGGTGACGATGGTGTCGAGTGTAAATATCTGCTACCGTGATCTGATCGTCGTCTAGCCATTGCACCTCATCGTGGGAAGACGGTTCCGCTGGAGTTCTGTGCACATCGACAGTGGTCGTTTTATCTTTTAAATGGGGTGTGTCGATTGGTAATTGCTGAGTGTTGCTGGGAGAGCAGGCGTCTGATGAAATATCTGGAGTGCCCGTCTGCAATTCCAATGTAGAAGCGCGACGAGATGCCTCGCGTTCATCGGAGATGCCTTTCAGCTTGGCCTCGAATGCTCGTTTGCGAACCATTAGAACGGTACTAGAAACCAGGATGGCCGAGCCCAGGATGAGCAGGATGAACAGAATGACCTGCTGGAATGTATTCAAAGTGGACAGGTCCACCTGGACGATGTTAGACAGGGGTGCTAAATATTGCAAGCAACGAAATAACATACCGTGTTCAGGCCAGCACCAGTCATAGCACTCACACACATAAAGATCGCATCGACATACGCAACGCTCTTCCACGGCGTCGAGCTCAGATAGAAAATGATACTGCTAACCAGACACGTCAAAATGAAATAGACATAATGCAGTGTCAGGAAATTAGCCGGAGGGAGCACGGCAATGAAAAACCGGCCCATCGGCCCTCGCCAGCCGCGAGCTGCTAAGAATTAGCATGAGCACATTTGAAATGATGGTCTCCCATCACTCCTCTGAATCGAGTGCAGACATACGGATGAGCAATGCGTGGATTCTCATTTCGACTGCAAGGTGCAGGAACAAGAACAATGCAACTGTTCGAGTCACTACTCCCAGCCTCGCGCGACGCGACGTGAGATGTGAGAATATAGGGGCAAATCGATGGACGTTTTAGTTGTGTTCCAGTTAGTTCAACGCCTTTCCGCGGGAGACGTCGCGGTTGACGGACGCTCAACCACTAAGGGCCCCGAGCAAACTGGATCGAGGTGGAGAGGCAGAGAATGCAAGTCATGCTTTCTCGTGAGGGGAATATCCAAGCTTCTCGACGCGGTCAGGTGAAATGTGAGCTTGTCGGCCTCTTTTTGCTGAAATTTTCAAGGACCAACAGCTGACCCACTTTTGGTGCCGGTGCTGGATCTTAGGGCCGAGGAAGTCGATAAATTTAGAAAGTAGACTAGAAAAATAGAGCAGCTGTTGGTCATCACGAAGAAAAAAGCTGAAGGCGTCACGAGAAACAAAGACAAGGAAAAACGGTGAGCCGGAGAATTTGAGGCCATATGCTTGGCGGGTCTTAGTTTATTTAAATTAGTGTGAAGACGAAGGACATTCCTCAACAGGCTGCCACTGTTGACAACTCATACAATGGTTCCATATCGTAGACTCGGATATGATCCAAGGATACTTGGTGAGCTGTGTTTATGTTTGTCTCTGTTGCTAACTTTCTAAAGTGGTCCCGTTGATGAGGTAGTATACATGTCACTGGGAACCGTTTACTCCAAATGGCTCAACCTCGGATACTAGTATAGCGCATAGCTTAGGCCTCCAGAATACCAATGCGGGGCTATACTTGCGCTGAAAATGCATGGTGGGGCTTTTACGCCCTCACATTCTGGATTTCTGTACATGAATTGGATATCCTCCGACATCGAGAGACCTTTGCAAGCCACGAATCCTCTCTTCTGTGACCAGCATCGATCGAGGGAAATCCTGACTGGGTCTCTCCCCCAGAATCATCGCAGCGACATTCTGCGACGTACGGAACGCCTTGATCATGCCAGTAGCGTGGTAAGCGCCACAAACCCATTGGTGCTTGCGCCCTGCAAATGGCAAACGACCTGCAAATGGCACTCCGTCTTGGGTGAAAGCCACGATGCCGGACCATGCGCGATCAATGTGCGATGATGAGCCGGCGGGAGCAGAGGCCAACGTCTCCTCCGCAAATCCCCGCAGGTGCTGCATCGGCTGGATATCTGTCTGGCTATCGTCCGAGGTTGCCTTTCGTCCAGTGCATGCTCGTCCGACGACGAGACCGCCGTCTCCCCGTTGAATCAGATAGTCGTAGTCCTTCTCTCCATATCGGAGCCAAAGGGAGTATTTGCTATCCAGTTTGAAGGGAGATTTGCTAGCGACACTGGCACTTTCATCGTTTGAAACGGCGCCAAAATGGACCACATTGACTCTAACAGGCGAAACAAAAGGCCGGAGCTCGGGTAGCAGATGGCCGATCCAGGCATTCTGAGCATGGACTACATGCCTCGCACGAATATCGCCACGGTTGGTTCGAACGATAGCATATTCAAAGGTATCCTCATCCGAGATTGACGTGACCGTGGTGTTGGTTTGGACATTGAGCTTTTGTTTATCAATCAGCTGGCCCAAGACGCCGGTAATCCATTTGTAGGGCCACACAGACGCAGAGGGAACACTGATAACACCGACGCATCGTGATGAAAGCTTCATCTCCTGCTGTATGTAGGCAGGGTCTGTGTAGACCTTGTGCTTTTCTGCCAGCCGCGGAATATGAGCACACATCTCATCAAGAGCTTTGATCGCACGCTCAAAACTTGGCTTGTCGTAATAGGCTTCGAGGCCATTTGTCAGAACGAGATCAGCATCGATGCCATCCTCTTTCATCGTGCGGTGCATAGCCTCCAGGTGGCTGTCCTCGAACAGAGAGATTCGAATGGCTTCTTCGATTCCAAAGATACTTTTCCTCTCCGACCACATGGCGAACGTCATGGTCTTGATATGGCCGCCATTCCGGCCAGTAGCGCCTGCACAGAGCTGCCTTGAATCCACAAGAACGACGTTCGGACTTGAATCTTTTGTCAGTGTCCGAGCCAATGTCATGCCCGAGACACCCGAGCCGATAATCAGGACATCAACGACATCTGCTGGCCAGATGGACTGGTGGTTGGCATGACGATGGGGCGAGATATGCCAATAGGGTGACGTGTAGTTGGGAAGTGGGGTCTGGGGGTCGACAACCCCGGGCTCGTAGATGCCCTCTGGAGATCCAGACATTCTGCAAGGGTCGAAGGCAGTCGGAATGAAGTAGGCAAGTTTTCAAGCACTAGAGCGTCGTCTGAAATTGCTGAATCGTTCGGAAGAAGAAAGCGAAAGAAATTATCATGCTGCTTCTTGCCCAGATTTATACCGTGGTTGAGAGGAACCCGCGACGGTGCTCTCACTTGGGCTTCCCAACTGGGAGTCCGTTGCGGGGGATGATCAGGGGCCATCGCAATTCGCTATGCGGGCGTGACCATATGTAAGCTATTTATTTGTCTTTGATCCAATTGCCGCTCTGGCTAGATAAGACATAGACCGACTGGGCTGAGTCGGAAGCCAACCGGATCATTGAGGATGAAAATGGGAGAAGGGTGACAGCGTTCATACCCCACCTTGCGACTCCCCGCGTTGACGCGACCCAATTCGGAAGACCCATTGATAGTGACCGCCGAGAAAGTACGTGACTTGCAAAATTATTACTCTTCTCTAGATCTTCCATTTGATACAGGCTTTCGACAGCTAAAATGGCACTGCAGCAGCTCTTAGATAAATCGATGTTTGTCTCTAAAAAACGCTTTGGATTCAATCTCTTTACTTCCAACTTTGAAAGCTCTCCTGCCCTCCTGACTGAATTTCTCCGACACTCTGACTGTCAAGATACAGAATGAACCCTGATGAATCAACCGATTGAGATCTTCGGAGACGTGAAGATACTAAGCGGTACCTTTTTGAATCTAAATAACATTTACTTTTGGCCCATACTATCACAATTAGCTACTCTAACCTCTAATGAAGCCCGAGGCTCCTGGATCAAGGCATCTATGCTTCATTCTAGCTGGTCCAACGCTATTTTCAGTTCCTCGTCCGAAAATCATACCGAGGTGCATAAAATAGGAATGGCTGTAGATAAAATTGCAATTGCTAACAATCCTAATTCTCCCGAAAATGGGATACCCCGATATCGAGTCATTCAACCATGGTCATTACCTAGATACTCATTGGGCGTGAAACGTTACGGAGCAAGGGGCTGCTGTCGACGCTAGATGACGTGGGATCGTCCGAACATACCTGGCATGAACATCATCTAGAACATGGTTTGGACCCTTGTATGCAGTTTCTGCAGATGACTTACCAAGAGATGGACACAAAAGCGGATCGCCTGCGTCGTTGGCTCGTTGCATGCAGCCAATGTTGCGATACTTGTGATATGTCATAAATCCGTTATGCAATGACCGAGTAGGACCGAGGCTGCGAAACTGGCAAGAAAGATAACATGTAAATTAATAAGCACATTATTTATCTGGCTCTTACTCCAGAACCATATACTTGGTGTTATGTTATGAAGTGAAGACATTGAGCCTTTTGTCTCCGTTTGAGGGTCTATTTTTAGCAATGACGTAGCAGTATGCGAGCCTAAGGTGCGATTTCAAATAAGTATCATATAGATCTGTAGAAAATTGCCCGGCTATTGGTGCATACAATATGTAAATTTACCCTTCATCTAATAGTAAGTAGGGATATGAGACGAAACTTTGTTTGTATCGAAGAATGTACCAGTCACCAGTCGAGTATGCATGGAAGCGGGTAGTGGATACAAATGCTCGGGCAGTGCATCCCAACCCTGCATGAATGATGAATTCATATACTAAGTGGTTGGGAAGATGCGGTGAGCATGTGAGATAAACAGATCCCTCGTCATCGATAAAAATCTCTAGGGTATGTTCTTTCAGCAGCAGAAGCTAGTCAGCTGGGAAAAGCTGAAGACGCAAGACCACCAAAGCCAAGTGTATTGTTCTGTGTTAATCGAGGGCAAAGGAAGCTGCTAGATATCAATGCAAAACAACGTTTGTGGACTGTGAGGTGCTAGTAGCTAGAGTAAAAGAGGCTGAGAATGCCAAAGGGCCCCCCTATCTCACTTGCAAGGTCTACGTAAGCGAGACCCATGATCATACATGGTACATGGGAAATAGGGCTTTTCCCTACTGCCTCCTGCAAAGTCTCTGAGCTATAAATGGTGTACACCGAGCCTGATTTTGCCATATCACGCCATTCTGTCAAATCGTAAAGCCATTGCATCCCCAGCTCATTGGTAGCCCAATGGCAAAAGGTGCCTTGAAAGAATTCTAGAAGCTTTGCGGATATGTCAGACAAGCCAATCTTTGTGGTTGCTCACCCCCGGGCTTGCTCCACAGCGTTTGAGCGCATATTCATGACTCAACATGATACTATCCACTGTTTCCATGAGCCATTTAGTGATGCCTTCTATTGTGGCCCGGAACGACTTTCTTCCATTCGATATCCAGATGAAAAGTCTCGGATTGAGAGTGGTTTCAGCCAAACCACCTATGCATCGGTTCTGGAGGAGATTAAAAAAGCGTCTGAGGTACGAAAGCCCCAGAGCACTTTGTGCTTGTCCGCCCTTGCAGATGCAGCACATAGCTCGGGACGGCTGCTCACCATTTCAACAGGGAAAACGGGTGTTCATCAAGGAGCTCGACTATTACATCTGCGTGCCTGACGGAAAGGCTACCGCCATCGCCCCATCCTTAGAAGGTACTGCACGAAGCACCACCAATGGGGCTGCAAATGGCATTACCAATGGTACCGTGAATGGTCATGCTGCGACAAACAGCTCTCTCAATGGCGTTGCAAATGGAGCGACAAATGGAGCGACATATGGCACTGCTAATGGAGCCACGAATGGTACCGCCAACAGAGACACAAATGGAATCACCAACGGAGCAACAAATGGAACCACGAATGGCCACACAAACGGCGTGGTGAAGAGCTGTGTCCACTGCTGCCCTTCAAACGGACACACAGAAACCAACGGCGATTCCCACCAGAACGCCTACCAAACCTCCGCCGAGCCCGGAAACCCAACCGTCATCCCCCTCGCAATCCAAAAAATGTTCCACTTCGCCTTCCTCATCCGTGATCCGCACTATAGCATTCCATCCGCCTACCGATGCACCATCCCGCCGCTGCGCGAGATGACAGATATCTGTTTCGACCCTCTCAAGGCTGGATACAGCGAGCTTCGTCAGCATTTCGATTATCTCCGGAAAGAAGGTCTTGTCGGTCCACGTGTGGCGACGAGACCGGATCTGGGTGTGGATGGGGAAATCGCGAAGGAAGGTGCTGGTCATGAGATCTGTGTTATTGATGCAGATGAGCTGCTTGATGCGCCGGAGGCGATGATCGAGGAATTTTGTAAGAGTGTGGGTTTGAAATATGATCCTGGGATGCTGCGGTGGGATCGGGAGATCGATCATGCGGTGGCTAGTGATAAGTTTGAGAAATGGCGCGGATACCACGAAGATGCGCTTCAATCGGCTGGGCTGAAAGCGAGGCCTCAGGTGAGTTTGTAACATTACAGGGTTGTGAGACATGCTGACGAGCAAGAAGCGTGCAACGAAAACAAGGGAGGAATTCGATGCCGACTGGCGGGCGAAGTATGGCGAGGAAGCGGCGGCGTTGATCCGGCAGACGGTCGATCAGAATATGCCTCACTATTTGTATCTCAAAGAGTTTGCTATGCGTGTTTAGCTCGCTTTTGCTATGCGGTTGCGTCGTCGTTGTTGCTTTATTTAGAGATTCATGCTGCTTTAGAATTTAGACATTCTCGATATTGTACACGGTGCCGACAATCGTGATATCGAATTCAATAACGCACTTTATAGAAATTCGCAGGAAAGGTGTTGATTATGAGTTGGTTGTTAGTGTACATTTATTCCTCTCGCACCCAATGCCCACTTTTTCCACCCTGCTTCTCCAACAATCGCACACCGCCAATGACCATCCCCTTGTCCACGGCTTTCAGCATATCATACACAGTCAAAGCTGCACCAGTGGTAGCGGTCATCGCCTCCATCTCGACTCCGGTCCTCCCAAAGCAACTGACAGTCGAGACAATCTGCATAGAGCCGTAGTCGTCCGCCTTTTTTGAAGCAGGCTCGACTAGCTCAACCGTAACCTCAACACCTGTGATGCCAATTCCTGGATGACAAAGTGGGACCAAATCCGGGGTGCGCTTTGCAGCCATGATCCCTGCTATCCGGGCAACACCGTAGACGTCGCCTTTGTGCGTGCCTTGACCTTTCCGTAAAAGTTCCCAAGGCCTGGAGTTGGAAAAGGCGACTTGGCAGGCAGCTGTTGCTTTTCGTGCAGTTTCGGGTTTCTCTGTGATCTGGGTCATGTGGACGGTTTGTGCGGGTGTGAGATGGGGGAGGTCGTGGTCGGAGGCTGTAGGAAGAGAGTGTGATTTGTGGTTCTCGTCATCGGTGGAAGATTTGTTGCTTGCAGCACGTCTGGTGTGGTAGAGGCGAGCCTGCGGAGAGCCGGGAATAGATGGGAGTAGATGAGATGGGATTCTCGACCATGGTGAAGAAGCCGTGGACATCATGCCGACTCCATGTCGAGGTTCTAGACCTGGTTTACGATCTATCCCGTAGTGGTCATCAGCAAGGAATATCAGACACAGAATCAATCAATTCATAAGTACATGGTATCAAATATTTCATTGTCGGCCAGGAACCCCGCCTCATGATGAACATATAAAAAAGATCATGTCGTAAATCGTTCCAAATCATTAAGAGAAGAAAGATGGGGCCTACCCACCGATGAGAATCATAGGCCGGTTCTTCATATTCTCCAATTGACCCATGCCGGCGTGTTTTGCCTTCTTGCGCTTCACGGCCATACCAATGACGTCGAGGATTTCGCGCTCGCGTTCATTGATCAGGCCACCCTCATCACTGAGCCGAGCCGCAGATTGTACAGTCTCCAATAGCTGGAGTTCCTTCAGCGCATCTTCATCAATGGGCTCACCGTTATTTTCCCGGCGGATGATATCTCGCAATGAAACCTCAGAATTTCCGAAAAGACAGACCTTCAGGTTCCCGTCACTGGTAATGCGTAATCGGTTGCAGGTCCCGCAGAAATTGTGCGTCATGCTGGTGATGAAACCGATCTGACCCACAAAGCCGGGAACTTTATAGGTCTTGCTGGTATCGTTCTTGTGGTCGGCCACCTTCTCCAAGTCTGGGTATTTCTCCCGGATGACGGCCAGCATTTCTTGGTAGGGGAACATCTTGCCCTGGTTCCACTTGTTCCCATCAAAGGGCATATACTCGATAAAGCGCACCTCGATCGGCTTCTCGCGACCCATCTCGACAAATTGGATGATCTCGCGGTCATTCATGCCCCGCATGACGACGCAGTTGATCTTCAACTTGATCCCCGCACCGACCTTGTTCATTTCCAGAATCCGGTCGATGCTCTTCATGACCGCCTCGAAGCCCTTCCGTCGTGTCATAATCTGATACTGGAATGGGTCCAGGGTGTCCAGACTGAGATTGACTCCTGTCAAGCCTGCCTCCACCATGGGGTCCAACTTGCGATGGAGCGAGATCCCGTTGGTGGTCAGACAAAGCTCCCGCAGTCCGTCTCGACGCAGCTTGCCAATATCCTGCATCAAGGGAACGATGTCTTTCCGTACTGTCGGCTCTCCGCCCGTCAGTCGAATCTTAGAGACGCCCTGCGAGACGAAAAGCGAGGACAAGTACACGATCTCGGGGGAGGTGAGCAACCGCGGCTGTGGCGAGAGTTCGATTCCTTCTTCGGGCATGCAGTAGAGACAGCGCAAGTTGCACCGCTCGGTGACACTGATACGCAGGTAGTCATGCTGGCGGTTGAAGGTGTCGGTCAGGAACTCAGAGAAGGGTTTGGCAGACTTCAGCGCCTTGCGGCGGGAAGTGGCGTTCGCGTGCGGAGGAATAATCTCGGTCGCGGGCGCGGGCGCTGGGGACGATGTGGTGCTCTGCAATCGAGTATGGGGGAACAGCCCCGCAGCAAATCGGGACCGCCGAAGGACTTCTTTGCGCAGCATACTGGGTATCTGGTTAAGGGAGCGAATGGGGCATGGCGGAATGTAAGATGGTTTTATAGCAGGCCAAGCGAGGTCGAAGTGGAGTGGAAGTGCTTATCGCGTGGACTTCCCCAGTTGCGCATTAGTCATGGCTTCAGTCGGTCGTCTCCGCGGCGGTCGAGTCACGGGACTCGTCCGACAGTCATAGTATTTGTAAATACTAATAAAAGTAGGCAGTAACAAATAGTGATATACAATTGACTTTAGATAGCATAGATGAGGAAAAGCGTCAGAAAGGCCCATACAACGAGAAATGGATAACTATCAAATGGATCGGCGTCTGATCGATCCATCACCCCAAGGCAAGGATTCCAGAAGCAGGAACCATGGGCCGATTACGTGACGATACTCGTCTGTTGATACAAATTTATCAAGATTGTTTTCTGTTGGTGTGGTCTTCTGCTCGAGTGTCTCTGTTGTTCCGCTGACCTTCCTTACTAACAGGCCAGAGAGGTACTTCATCAACTTCGCATTCTCAAACCCCCCAGAGAAAGTCCGAGCTCGCTTACACGTAGTATCAGGTCCCAACATACTTACAAATGGCCGAATCAATCAGTGGGAAGGGGGTATCCTTCTTTCACACAACAATAATGATCCAGATATGAGCTTCATGCATAGCGATTTTACACCGTCCAACTGTATTGTTGACAACGACACAATTGTGGGGCTTATTGACTGGGAAATGGCAGGGTACTTTGGTTGGAAAACCGCAGGGAGAGGTTCACCATCGGATCAGATCTCCACAACGAGAACATTTCGCGAATGCCAATTTTAGGGGAGGATCAGCATCATGATATTATGTTCTGGAATGATCTATATGATGAGGATTTATAAGAGAAATAGGCGAAGAGTTTCGCGTATTATCATGAAAGTTTAGACTTTGAACTATTCTAAAGGACTTGACATTTCTCCTCCAGGACAGATATACGGTGGTAGGATCCCTGAGTATGCCGAGGTTTAGTTGATAAAATAGTAGCGTTCAAGTAGTTGCTTAAGTGCCCTGACTATACCCTGGGTCAGCAGGCCTATGAAGGAATTTGTTGGTGACTCAGGGATACCAGTTTATTTGGGAAAGTTCGGGTATCCGTTCTTCTCGCCTTACGTGGTAAATAATGTCGTAGGCCGACATTCGTATATGGGCTCGCATTCTCGAACCACTGTCTAATTCTGGCCAATCAACTCATCTGAGCGCTAGGGCCCGCTCTAGTCCCACACGCAGTAAGATTGATATCTTTGACCTGGCTCGAGGTTTTGACACAAAGGATAAAGATTGGGTTGAGATGCTTCTATTTATTTCATAGTTCAGATACTGTCGGTATATATCCTCCTGTCAGAACAAACTAACGGTGACCCACTGCTAGCGACCGACGGATAACATCCCTTGCTTGGTGTACGCATTCTTGCGCTAGGCTGCGGCCCTGGTGTTGTGACCGCCGAAGGCCGGTGTGTGGGATCTAGGGGTGTTTTCCAACTAGACTGAGAAAAAACATCTATCTACATGAATCAATTGACTTTTGCTTTGGAAGCATACACACTGTCCACTTAACTGTGTACACAGTACCTAGCTGGTGATACCAACAGATACGGCTAGTTGATCGCTGTCACAAATGCCGCTCGGGCCAGTACGAAGCCTTCACAAAGAGGAGGATCGAGCGGAGGGCCGGGATCTCCTGAGAGGTTTTAAGGAGATTGATGAAGATGGCTCCACGGAAGCTTACGAGTACGGCCCGACTGAGAATGAAGAACATGGCTTCGTGAACAGTGATCACTATGGATCTACGGGGAATGATGGCTATGCATTCACGGAGAATGATGATCACGGCTTCTTAGAGACTGATGAATATGGCCTCACGGAGAATGATGGCTATGACTATGGTGATGACTATGGCCCTGGAGAATGGTGAATATGGCTTCACGGAGAATGGTTGACGTCGCTAAGGATGATACTATTTACTATTGCCAAAAGGAGACTCAATGGCCGAGGAGATTGCTATTCATGGCGAGCTATTGCTACGGCCAAGAGAATCGATCGCCGATGAAACTGCTACCCATTGGGAATATTACTACAACCAGGAGAACCAATCACCGACGATGACGCTAATAATTATGGACTATTGAGGGAGCCAGGAGAGCAATATTAGTCAATATTCTACTCCCGAGTTCAATAGGAATGACATCCAATATACTGCTAGACCCCCAATCCTCATTGAAGCATCTTCTGCACCCGCTTCACCAAGCTCTTCTCAAACTGCTCTACCCCATTCTGCTGCTCACTCATCTTCCCCGCTTTCAAAACATAAACCGAGCGACGGCGAGTAGTCGACTCATCTGCTTCTTCCTCCTCCAACCCCTCAAACTCTTCATCCAGTTTGTGCTCCATATCTCGCTTGCTCCTCGATCACAGACCGGACTAGGAATCGGTCGTGGGAAACGAGAAGAATGGCGCCATTGAATGAAGATAGCGCTGTAGCTAGGGCAGTAACGGTGTGGAAATCCAGGTGGGTTGTGATTTCATCGAGGATGAGGAGTTGGGGTGCGTTCCAGACGATGCGAGCTAAGGCGAGACGGACCTGACAGTTTCGTTAGTACGGTACATCATAGGCGTTCATGAGGAGGGTAACTTACCAATTGACCACCAGACAGCTTGTTCACTGGTACATCAGAAGCAATTCGTCCCGCAAGGCCCATTGATGAAAGCAGCCCGCGGAGAGCACCTTCGTTCAGGGTTCCTTCTACCTCTGCCATCAACAATCCTAACGCAGTCAGGGAAGGCTCATTCTTTCCACGCTCTTGTAGCTCCTCGACCGAATGTTGGCCATAGTAGCCTACCTTCAGTCGTGGGTGAGTGATAACCTTGCCCTTGGAAGGAATATTACTCCCCGTCAAGACACGAACCAAAGTGGACTTTCCAGACCCATTCAGGCCCATGATACCGACACGATCGCCGATATGCATGACAAGATTCACATCGTCAAGAATCACCCTGTCATTTTTCTTATACTGAAAGGTAATTCCCTCCAGGGAAACCAACGGACCCGGAAATCGCAGCTCTGTTGCATCAGGCAGACTCATCGTTGCGCCTTTCTCATCCTGCGGGACTTCGATTTCGGCCCGGGCAGTCAAATGGTAGCCGACCAGATCGCGATTCAGCTTGAATCGACCGCCATTTGCGCTAACCTGCAAACCCATCCGGTCATCGACTTTCTTCTGCCGAGACTTGGCCTGTCGAAGCTTATTCTCGTCGCCGGTCTTCTTGCCGATTTTCATATTTTCGCGGATACTCGCTTCCAGATGCGAGATCTGTCTTTCCTGAGCCTCTTTCATGCGTCCCCAGTACAGCTTCTGCTCTTCAAAGTTCTGTTCGTAGGCGGCGAGGTTTCCCTTGAAGTAGTTCAGCTTTTGGTCGCGGAGGACCACGATCTCTTCGCAGACGGAGTTGACGAAATCGCGGTCGTGCGAGACGAGGATAATGGTGGTTTGAGATGACTCGCTGAATTGTTGGAGGTAGTTCTCTAGCCAGACTACGCCCAGAAGGTCGAGGAAGTTGGTTGGTTCGTCGAGAATCATGATGTCGGGGTTTTGGATAAGGACGCTTGCGAGCATGCATCGCATTCGCCAACCGCCTGACAATGTCGAGACTTTCTTTTCCAAGGCGTCCTCTTTGAAGCCGAGGCCGAGTAGGATGCGACGGGCTTCTTTCTCCGTGTCGGCTAGTTTCATCTATCAATCATTAGATTTGGACAATGAAGGGTCCATTGGGCGAACTCACATCTTCAAGCTGAGATTGAACAGCCTGCAGCATCTCAACCGCAGCCTGTGTATCAGACTGGACGGCATCGGCATCGATGTTTTCCTGATCCTGATCGAGCCTGTTTGCGAATGTCAGACAGTGTACAAATATGGGTATGAACATCATTCCGAGGACTCACAGTGCGAATGAGGACTCCAGGTTGGATTCTGCAGCCTTGAGATCTTTCCGCGCCTGCAGACCTCGGGCGCCACTCTTCAGACTAGCATTTTTCTGCGCCAGGAAGAGTTTCTTCTGTGCATGCTGATGTCTGATTTTGCGAATGGCTTGAACTGGTTGTAAGGGATCCTCCGATTCGAAGCTTTTCGAAAGGACTAGCAAAGAGTTAACCAACGTGATTCAGTACGGTTGTAGCAGTTTCTTACAATCTGCAGTACGGGCAGCCTCATTCCGAATCTCGTCGCTGCTCAATACCGATTCCAAGACACCCTTGTCCATGCTCAGCCCATCAGTGCCTCCGGCAGTATACTCTCCGTCCGTCTGTTGGAGGATAGTAATCCGAGTGGCGTGGGGAATACCGGGGATGAGTTTCTCGGCCATTGCCCGGAGCAGCGCTAGAACTGAATGTCAATATCTGAGAGAATTAGAAGCGATAGACAGATCGTACTCGATTTCCCTGTTCCATTGCGTCCTAGCAGACCATAGTGTATGCCCGCCTTGAGCCGAAGGTGGCCATCGGAGATCAGCTCTCGTCCTTGCGCCTTGGCCTTGGACTTTCCCTTTGCTTTCGTCTTGGATCCATCGTCGGTCGATCCAGGGGAGGAAGACGTCACAGTAATTCCGAGACCCTCCACATCTATCTGCATAAGGCGTCAAAATTGATCGCGCGATGCAGTATAGACTCGCTTACCTCGGCTGAAGGATTGTCATCGAGAAGATGGAATCGCGTTTGTTTGCAGGTCGCAAGAATCGTCGGGGCAGAGGTCATGACGATAGATTTCACATTGAGCGACTTGCATAGGCGCTGTAGGTTGTGCACTCAGTTGTGCTCAATAGATCTGTGCGGACTGCTCCCTTCATATAGCACTGGGCTCGTGCGGCAAGCCTCGGACTCAAGTCTGCATCGACAGCACGGCCAAGGCACTCGGTTCGCTTCTCGTGTTGAACACAGTCATCGATGAGCCACACTGGCTCCACTGATTCGTAGCTCACTCTTTCTCAAGTGCTAGCATGCGCAATGCATCGTCGCATTCTCAGGATTTCGGGGTCCCGAAGGGGTTTAGGTTGATGCCTAAGGCTGCAACTCCCATTTCCCATGGCGGCGACATCCGCCCGTTTTTATACATTTTCAACATGCAGAATTTCGGGGGAAAGTGGAGGCTGTGGCAAGTGGATGCACTTGTGATTTATATGGATCCATGGTTGTAGCTTCAGGATACCGAGCTCTGACTCATTTGACTTATGCCTGCACAAGCTTGCACATGGGCCTTCCTAAACGGGTGGGGACTAGAGTGTGACATCCCTAACACAATACCTGATGCCCATGGCTGTACCCAGGTAGAGCGAAATTCACACATTCTAACTTATGACAAAAACAGACATTGAATTATTCAGCTTGAGGCTCCAAGAGAGCAATATTGCCAATCACATGATTACTCATGATTTGAAATCTGCTTGCACCGCTGGATCGACCGACCTCTCGGACGGACGAAAAGTGCGGACGATGTGCGAATTTATCAATATCAAAAGGTATAAGTAGACATTAATTGCATCGAAATGTAGGAATCAGCCCAGCACAATCAATCAAAATGACATCCAATCGACTCGCCAACAAAAATATCCTCCTCATCGGCGGCACGTCCGGCATTGGCTTCGCCGTCGCCAAAGAAGCCCTAGCAGCCGGCGCCAACATTACCATCAGCTCATCTTCTCCAGAGAGAGTTGCCAACGCATTCGGCCGTTTGAAAGAGAGCAACCCAGACCGAGCATCTGCAATCCGCACCCATGTCGCCGACCTCAGCATCAAGGACCAGCTGGAAACGACAATCGAGTCCCTTCTCAAATTCACGGCGGAGATCGCTCCCGTCGACCATGTGGTTTTCACCGCTGGAAATGTCCCTCCTCTGGTCCCGCTTGCAGAAGCATCATTCGCTGACTTTGAGGTTTTCCTGGCGGTTCGATTCTTTGGAGCTATGGCGCTTGGCAAATATGCACCCAAGTACATGACCATCGGCAAGGAGTCGTCCATCACCTTGACAAGTGGGACTCAGGTACAGAAGCCGACTTTTTGGATGCCGCCTGCGGTTGGGGGTGCTGTCGAGGGTCTGATGAAAGGGTTAGCGGTGACGCTGGCGCCTGTGAGGGTTAATGCCGTCTCGCCTGGCCTGATCATGACGGAGTTGATTGATAGGATGCCGAATGAAATGAAGCAGTTTGTGCAAAAGGCTGAGGAGCAGTCGCTAACCAAAGATGTTGGCTATCCCGAGGACACGGCCGAGGCATATCTTTATCTGATGAAGGACTACTTTGCGACGGGGTCAATTGTAACCACCAATGGCGGCGTCTTTCTGGTGTAAAGGAGTGCAATAGTCCTTATATTCAGTTCGATTCGTTTCTATGTACATCAGTCATCCTTAGACCTCAATTTCCTTCAAGAATGCGGGGCTTTCGTAGCCTTCGACAACCTTGGCGATCGGAGTGTAGTGGGCATCGGAGCCATCCTGGGTCTCCTGGAGTCGACGAATGTACGCCTGAGCGACCTTGATCCACAAGGCCTTCTCACGCTCACTCGCTCCTTGGCCCTGCCAGACCCAGAGTCTACTGCCGATATCATAAAGGAAGACATCGTTGCCGTCGAGATCCGTCCGGCGGACCTTTTGCCCGTCTCTGACAAGTTCGAAGGTAAGCTGGCCCGACGCATCGCTAAGTCGGAAGAGCTTGCGCGAGGAAGGCTGGGTCTCCTCGGCTGTGCGCTTCTGGAATCGGCCCGGCCGCGGGGCCTGGAAGGTGGACTGGGTGACTTCCTTGCCACCTAGAAGGTCGACTACGATCTTCGATCGCGATTCGAGCTGAGACAGCACTTCGACGTCGATGTGCTTGGCCAATGTCATGTCATTCACCACCTGGGCAGCCTTGCCCTTCTCCATGGGGCTGCAGTTCTTGCCCTGCCACACCCAAATCTTCTCTCCTTTGTCAAGGACGAAGACGTCATTCTCGTCGAGACTCTCCCATGTCGGCTCCACTTCGTGCACGATAATCGAGCGACCAGCGCCGGGGTGCTTGAAAATGCGGAGGAGCATGGTGACCTCCTTGGAAGCTTCGGGCTCCACATGAGTAAATCCAGATCGCACACCACCCTTGCGGATCGAATAGTGTCGGAACAGCGAGAGGAATTCATCCGAGGGCTGCGCTTGAACTTCCCGGTGCTGGGTTGCAGCGCCATGCAGGAACTCGTCGAGCTCTACGGTCTTGTACGCAGCGGTCCCGGCCTCATCCTGTGTGGTCTTGCTGCCTAGCCAGAAGAAGATATCATGTCCCAGTTTGTCATTGTCGCCGACCTTCCACGAATGAAGCACGATGAAGCTGTCACCGTCGAAGAATTCGCCCGTCTTTTCCTTGGGCCACGGCACGACTTGGAATTCTTCGATTCGCCAGATGAAGAGGCCGGGTTCTGTTCCGATCTTGCCGTTGTTCCAGGCGGGTTCGGTTGCCGCGGAGTTGTATTTCACACGGTGGTCGAGGTCGGAGCCGATCAGCTCCACATTGCTGTCTTTGATGTCGTATTCTTTGGGGAGGACGAGTCCTTCGTGGGGGGGCATATTGTGTATTGTGGGAGGCAGATTCGAGAGAAATTGCAGAGTTGAGAGGAATTGGAGAGATCAGAGGGGCATGCCAGCTGGAGCTGAGCTTCACGTGGCGAACCGCCTCAATCGGGTGGGGCGCAGGCGGGCCGCCGATCATACCAGGTCCGAAATGTGGGAGCCTATGTTGTACCCTAGAGGATGTTCGTGCAATCCATACAATCCCATCATCAATTCGCAAGATGATACCATTGGCAAGTATATCTTGCACAGAAACCCGAATACAATTCTGTAAAGTTACTATCAACTGTCGGCCCTATTACCATCACTTGGTGATGTCATTCTGGAAGAACCGATCGAGTAGAGACTGCCGAGGTATTAGGATGTAATATCTGAACCGGACACATCTACTTACCCAATCGACTGCCTCCGATCCATCAATCATGTCCGACATAGACTCCATATAGGGAAACTCGGCGCCTACCCATGGATCGATCTCAGGCTGAGCAAGACCCATATCCTGCATGATATAGAAACCTGACTGTTTCTCAGTGACTTTTCGAATCATCAAATCAAGAACCACCGATGCAAGATGCGATTGAGGGGGACAGTTCCGATTTGCTGCCCAAATCTCCCTTGACATTTGAAGCGCGCGGAACTTCTTCGCTGTAAAACTCTCGCTGCCTTCGATTTGTGCGATCTCTGGTGCTTCCGATTCAATCTGGATGGAAAGATCCAGACAGACAATCATGGCAGCGAGGAGAAAATCGTGCTCCGTCAATGCGGTAATCATCCATCGGTCTTCATGCAGTCGTCCTCCCGGAAGCGATGCTTTGTAGATATCTGCTTGACGAGAGAGGATCTCCAGCGCTGCTTCTAAGCAATAGCGACGAGAAGGCTCGAATTGTGAGCTTTCCAGGTCATTCCGGACGTATCTCCGGTGGAGGACAACAATGCCTTTGAGGTAAAGCAGCTCTAGTGTACAGCGTTCAAGAATGATATCTGACGAGTCCATGAAGGAGTCTGAAATGCTCCGCCGTTTCAGCACATCCGGCACTGCTTCGTATACACTTTTCATTTCGTGGCTCAATGCAAGGATCGTGCTGTAATCTGGAGATGCGAGAGGCTGAGTATGCATGACGATCTTCTTGAATATCCTCATGATGCCGGACTTGACGATTCCATAGAGCATTGGTGTCACCTCGGATAACGGTCGTGAGGGAGGGACTACGTCCATCTCAATTGAGATATCGGCATCGTGTAAGTTGCTCGGAAGCTTGGCGTCGCAATATTCTGTCGGAATCATGCTTGGTAATCCCATCTGAAATGAAACCAGAGCATCGATTTGGAATATGTGAAGCCAGACGCGACGTCGTATCTCACCGTCAAAGGCAGAGATATTCTGCAGTCCGTCCGGGTCGCGGTGATAGCCCATTCGGAGGGCGAGTCGAATAATCGTGCCCAGCTCGAGCCATAGTTGATTCGTTGAGCTAGTTGCGTTCATGAATCTGCTTTGCAGATACAAAAATAGCGCCTCGATTGAGTATTCCTTGGCTGTGCCATATCCCCTGAGATGAGACATCGTGCAGTAGCTTGTTGAAGGACTTGCGGTGAGGGGATCCCTTGAACTGAGTCCGTACCTGGCCTGGCCTTGCCGTAGAATGTCGTCGCGACACTGAGGATGGAAAAGAGGAGGGCAAGCCAGCGGAATGATGTGCTTTGCGGTTGCTTCCAGAATTTTTCATACTGTATACCCTCTCGTAAGCCATTGTCATTGAAATATCTTCATTCATATGGTACTTACCTCCATGCGAAACTTTCCATAGTGTACGATTCCTAATGTTAAAGGTAAGCGGGGCCACGAAGAAAGGCGTCGACAGAACAAACCTAGAACCATGTAACGAGAGTTGAAATATTTCGACAGCAGCATATCGGACACCGGCTGGGCTGGTAGGACTGTCAGAACATCAGCCATACTGATTCTATCGCATGGGCCGAGATTAAGGCTGATATCTAAATCGGGACTCAAGCCCGGGTCATCACTGCCTGAGGGCTCACTGGGAGTCTCTGATTCTGAAGGTAGATGTGCTCGCACAAATTTGATGTCCTGGAGGATCGACATCCAATGGCTTGGTTCGGTATAGAATGCTTCACCGTTCTGATCATGCAGGACAGGCGGCGACTCCTTCAGCTCTGAGAATGCGGCATGGTTGTTCACTGTGGGATCGTCTGGCCGTTTATGACTCGAGACCATGTTCTTAGAGGATTCTTTCGCTGCATTTGGCGGGCCAACAAGTGAGGAAACGAGCTTCTCAATATTCCTTAGTCGATCATCCAAGTTGTTCCGTGCGGGTGAATTGACTCTGTTGCGATCGGCATTTGAAGCATACTTGCAAGAAGATGCGCGATTTCGCTTCAGACATTCGTCACATGGTAACTGGCGATTGCATTTTAACCTGCGTATTCGATCAGCGGCGACCCTGGCCTTTGAGGCTCGCTAGATTACTTTCGCGTGCGACATGGCTCACAGGAGACGGGCGGCCGGTTTCGTTTCCCGATTTTTTGGGTTTTGTCCATGGTGTGCTTCGGAATCCTATCTGGATGACATCGGAATAGTTGGATTTGTCCGCTGGTGGAAATCTGCGTTCTCAGCCTCGCAGGGGATACAGAGTCACAAAGGGGAGAGCGGGGCTACGGAGATATTATATCCGCGGGTTTAAGCTTAGCCCTGCGGGAGATGATGGCGGCCACAATTGCAATGCTCACTTTCCAATTTCAAGGACATGCCTGAATAAATTTCCATTTTTTATTTTGTATTTTGTATTTTTTATTTTAATTACAGTAATTAAAAATAAGTCGCCCAAACAGTCTTCTGAGCGATCAGCTGAACGGTCACCTACCTGGCAATATCGCCACTTCTAATCTTCTACGGGATGCTGGGAAGCTTCAACAAGTGATATGGATATAAAATCTTTTCTTATTTCTAAGTGATTTTCGTCTCTCCGCGGTGTTGGATCAGTCAATTGAAAGTAGGGCACTAACGTAGGCGAAGAAGGAATGCGAGCTCTGGCCATTATAGCCTTGAGTATCCGCGCGAGGCTTATCCCCGCGGGAACTGGACTCCGGAGACATCACGGAGACTACCAAAGGGATTACTCAACACTCACTCTTGCTACATATAAAAGATTTCCTCTCTCAAGAGAATTTATAGTCATTCAGCAGCTCAAAATATCACAAGTCACAACGCAAGTCTCGACAAACACAACCATGGCAGTGCTCTCCACTATAGAGGGCCTCTCCTCCAGCATGATCTCCTCCATCTTCATCCAACTCCCCGTCCCAAACGCCGACCTCACAGGACACACAATCATTGTCTCCGGATCCAACCAAGGCCTCGGCTTCGAAGCCAGTCGTCACATCCTCCGCCTAGGCGCCGACCGACTCATCATGGCAGTCCGCAACATCGAAAAGGGTGAGGCTGCCCGATCGGAGCTACTTCAATCCACCGGTCGTGAAGCGAGCACGATTGAAGTCTGGGAGTTGGATATGGATAGCTACAGCTCTGTCAAGAGCTTTGCTGCGCGGGCGGCAACCCTCCCGCGTCTTGATGCTCTGTTGGCTAATGCTGGGCTGGCGACAGAAACCTTCAGCATGTCTGAGGATAACGAGAAGACGGTCACCGTCAATGTGGTTAGTACGTTCTTATTGATCGTGCTGTTGCTCCCGAAGCTCCGCGAATGTGCTTCGAAGTACTCGACCATCCCGCGCGTCTCGATTGTCAACTCAGCCCTGCATTATATGGCGCCGACGAAAGAAATTGAGCCTGACCGTGCTGGGAAGACCATATTCGAGCGGCTGAATGATGAGAAGAGCGCAATTATGGCGCTCCGATATCCTCTGTCGAAACTACTCGTGCTGTTCGGAGTAAGGGCAATGGCCGACCGACTCGAACGAAGCAACAAGCCGCTAGTCATCTTGAATTCGCCGAATCCCAGCTGGTGCAAGTCGCAGCTGATGCGAGAGTCGTCGGATAGCGTGGGATTCCGCGTTGGAGAGCGCCTGATTGCGCGCAGCACTGAGATGGGTAGTCGTGCTTTGGTGCATGGGGTGTTGTCTGGGAGGGAGAGTAGTGGCCAGTATCTGGATGATTGTGCGGTCAAGCGGTATGTTTCATTGCCATTGCCTTCAGCCTCGAGTTCATTGCTAATAATTCCATAGTCCATCATGCATTGTCACGAATGAGAAAGGTGCGAATATCCAAGAGGCGTTTTTCAAAGAACTCATGGATAAAATCGAGGCCATTGCGCCTGGCTCGGTGGCGAGTGTCTCTGGGTGAGAGGAATCATGCTGGGCGAATTCTGGGCGTTGCTGGAACCGATCTCGGTGATAATCGCTGGCTTAGTGATAGTATAGTTTTGTTAATGTAATACTTTCGGGTCTTCGTCAAATGTTCAATTTTCCCAATTTTTTCCCAGTAGGCACTAGTAGCCCACGAGCCTCCTTTGTCAAAAAACTTGCCGCTCTTCCGTGAAGGTGCCAGTCTTGTGTCGCATGCGGGGCGCAGATGCAGGGCATAGCGCCATCTCATCTCGCTCAACTTATCTCCTCGGGACGGAGTAGAGAGTACTAGTAGTCTCTTCACAGTCAAATGATCTCTGAGACATCGCAGGTCGTACAGAGGACTAACCAGCTTCTGCTTGGCGGAGTGCGCCGTCGGGAATCCTTTCTTGGCTGCACAGTCAAAGAAAAGTGAAGTCCATTTTGTGATTTTTCGACGGCTCCGCGGGACTAATCCCAGCTGTGTTGATTTGCGACCCCTGGTGCCTGAATGTCGGCCACTCAATAGAGTTGGACCCTGAATTTGGCTGCCTTGCGATAAGAAAAATTGAGGCTGTGGAGTACTAGTGTGTTAATTGGGGTTGTTCTGGTCCGGCACCCCGACGCTGTCGAGTCGGAACCTCAGCAAAGGCGCTAAGGCCTCTGAGACATTCGGCTCGATGGCAAACAAATGTGCAGCTGTGCTCTGGAGAGTGCTCTGTACTAATGCTGCCAGTGGTAAGGTAGATACGACGCCCGAGATCTTTTGGGGGGAGCTGGCCAAGCCTAACCGGGTCTAGTATAGTGTCGCCCGTGGCAACAGCCCAGCCCAACCGGTTACGAACTAGTCAAGCTGGATATGGCGATGAGCACATCGCTCGTGATTCCAGTGTCCTATCATACCATCACTTCCCGCCGCGCCTTAAATTTAGAGAGAGGCTTAGCCGGCGCATCGTTGCTGTCCGATGGATAGCGACGGCAGAGGTGCACTCCTGAGAGGCCCGGCGGTTTCTAGAATATCACTTTTCTCAGGTCCCAGCAGGACAAGGCAGAACTGGGCAAGTGATTGCTTTCCTTTTCTTATCTCGACTGCGACTGTCTGTTTTTAAGGTTATCACAAGCCGCTTTCAATGCCATCTGCCTCTCGCGCGTCCGAGAATCTTCTGCAATCGCTATGAGGCAGCTGGCGCCCATCCGCTGGGTCGCCCAGGCCTGTCTGCTCTGCCTGCTCTGTCTGACGCTGCTGTCACCATTGACTGTTGCCCGCTCATTTGCGCTGCCACTTGGGGTATCTTTCGATACCCGGGGAAATGAACTCACCACGCGGGCAGACGATGAGAAATTCCTGCTGAGAATCATGCCTCTCGGTGCGTCGATCACCCTGGGCTACAAATCCACCGATGGCAATGGCTACCGAGAATGGATTCGACAGCAACTCCGTTCTGAAGGCTGGCCGGTGCAGATGGTCGGCAGCCGACGGTTCGGCAAGATGCGTGACAATGTAGGTTCTTTCCCCTGCACGGTGCACGAAACGAAGGCTGAATAATTCTTTCTAGCGCAACGAGGGCCACATCGGCTTCAGAATCGACCAGTTATCCAAAAAGGCTGAAGAGACTATCCCCGAAAAGCCAAACCTGATTCTCATCAAGTGTGTTTTTGATCCCTATACTTTCATTCGTGCGAAACCTAACCTACCCTCCAGCGCGGGCACAAACGACGCCCTACAAGACTACCAGATCTACTCTGCCGGCCTTCGCATGGGTAAGCTCGTCGACAAGCTGTTAAGCAGTATCGACGGAACGACCATCATTCTCTCCACGCTCCTCCCAAACAAGAAAAAACCGGAGAAAGTCGAGATCATTAACGAGCAGTTCCGCGACCTGGTCGCATACCACCGCGCAAAGAATGATCGGATCGTCCTAGCTGATATGAGCAAATTCATCACAGCCGACGAACTGGTCGATGGGATCCACCCAGACGATGCCGGGTACGAGCGCATGGCCTCGGTCTGGTGGGCGGCGTTCCAGACGGCGCAGAGCGAAGGCATGCTGCAGAATTTCAACTACACAGTCAGCGCGCTCAAAGAGAAGAAGCTGGACGACAATACGACCGACCCAAACCTGCCGGCCTATTCTGCACCTGCTCAGCCGACGGTGACGGGAGGGCAGCCGCCGTTTGGTCGAGTACAGATCTGGGTGCTGGTCTCCCAGATATTTTCTGGTAAGTTTTCGATTTTTTTGCTCTTCCGAATCAATGGAAACGCTGACTAGATGCAGTCTATATTGGCTTTTCTACTATGTATATGTAACGATAGAACAATGTCACATCATACCGTTCAATAGAGCCTTAAACAGATTCACATGTCCAGTAGCAACCGTTGTACCTTTGAATGATGTTTGTTTTGTTGAGCGCCAGCAGCTTGAATCAGTCCTGTCCATTCCGAAACGCGCTGTGTCTCAGCAACAAAGCCTTACCCGATCCAGGTAAGCGTATTTTCTCAGCCTGGAGCTATCACGATTGGCTGTGTATCTACCTGTGGGGCAGAAAATGCAGCTAACGAGCACCGTTTTCCCAATTAGAACAAGGCTGTGAAGGGGCCAATCTGTGAGTGTCGAAAGCCTCGGATTCTTGATCATGAAAAGGGTCGGACTTGGGTATAAATAGGAGTGAAATATCGCAGAAATTGATCTTCTTTCCATCTCATCGCAATTCTTCCTTCTCTTCCTTTCATCTTCATTCCATCTTACTCACGTATCTACAATGGCGACAGATACCCTTGACCTCCAAAGCAAAGTAGCCATCATCACCGGCTCCGGCAAGGAAACCGGAATCGGCGCAACTATTGCATCAACTCTAGCACGTAACGGGTCCCTCGTGGCAATCAACCACATCTCCGAGGCCAGCGCACCGCGTGCTGCGGCCGTGGCACAAGCTATCTGTCAAGCAGGCGGAAAGGCGATTGTTGTTCAAGCGGATGTGTCAACTGCCGAAGGAGCGCAGTATTTGGTCTCGCAGACTCTTGAGAAGCTTCAAGTGGACCATATTGATATTCTCGGTTTGGTTTTTTGAGTCATTTTGACGTTCATCGCTAACAATTTACTGGGTCACAGTCAACAATGCGGCGGGCGGTGCTCCCCATGGAGTCTTGCAAGCAACTCGCGACTCCATCGATGAAATCTTCTCAACAATCGTTTACGCTCCCATCTTCATCCTTCAAGCGGCAATCCCTCATATGCCTCGCGGCGGCAGAATCATCAACATTGGCTCCGTCGCATCGAAGCTTGGCATGGCCCCCATCGCCATCTATGGTGCTGCCAAGGCTGCTCAAGATGCCTTGACATATTCCATGGCGATGGAGCTGGGTCGCAGTCATGGTGTGACTGTTAATACGGTGGCGCCTGGGCCGGTGAGCACAGAAGCCTTGCCGAAAGAGCAAGCTGAGGCTATTGATCGAGCGATGTTGCCGATGACGAGGGCGGAAGAGCGGGTCGGTACGACTCAGGATATCGCGGATGCCGTGTTGCTTCTTGTTTCGGAGAAGAGTCGTTGGGTTACTGGGCAGTTTATCTCTGCTTCCGGTGGTGTGGTTGGATGAGAAATCAATGTTGTATTATCAGGAGCGAGTGCTTTGAAAATGAATTGCATGACTGCCAGTGACATAGTTAATAAAGCATATCACGTGATATATTTGGTTCCTCATGCAGACTTTACCAGTGAAATCCGAGAGCACGTGGTAAAAAATTAATGTGATTTATCACGTGATTCATACCCCTAAGATTTCCTTCACGTCCGTATGACTTATTTTGAGAACAAATCATTTGTGTAAGAGTTCATATTTTATCTAAACTGCTTTTGTGATGAAAAGGGTTTATTTTCGTCCAATGTATGGCATGATATATTCGGACGGATCATGTTGAAACCGGGAATATATCTAATACACTTGCTGTTGTCCTCTTTCGCCAAAAAAGGCATAGCAATGCAGTTGAAACTGCATCAAAGCTGTTGAGTTTTCAGCAGTCTTCAATGCCGCTGAGGCCATGAGGGCTACTATGCCATCCTCTCTGAGTCGCACTAGCCTTATACGGTAACGAGGACCTTCGGGAATTGTGTATAGCATACTTCCACTCAGGGGTTATCTTAGATCATTAGACATCTTCAATATTACTTCATTGCTGGCTTCAGCGATTCCTTCCAGATCCTATCCCTCAACTCAACAGAAGCTACTTCCCCCGATTCACCTGCAGTGTGAGGTCTCATCCCATACCGACTTATGTGATTTATCAGACTGAAGTTTATGCTTATCTGATATTTCTACTGATCTCTAACTAACTTGATTCAGCTGATTATTAAATCGAAGTTCACCTGATCTTGTAGGCTTGAATTTATCGGACAAATATTAAATCCAGCTAGAATCTATTTGAAATCTTGGATTTGTAGTAAGCTAGCTGTCTTCGAGTGCTTTCCATCTCTATCCCACATCATGGATGATAGTGTCAATGTTACTTTGGCCCCCACTTCTCTCCTGAAATAGCCCGAGGCTCGCGCTCTCTCATCTCCCTCTCACTCACATTTTCACCCTCGCAACGCCTTGCATGGAGTATGGCAAGCGAACGTGGTCTCACATTTGTTAATGCTTCAAACCTCGATGAATTTCGAAATGAACACGTTCGCCGCATCGTGCGGAGACGCGTGATGCGCGATATTGGCAGAGCGCGTCGGAAACAAAAGCATCCCGCTGTGGTCACTTTCGTCTGGCAACAACTGATTGCTTCGACTGCGCCGGTTTCTCTCAGAAAACCATGTTTGGATTCTCATCAGCTGCCATTTGATACAGACCCTCGCGCCCGCGAGCTCATTCATTTCAGTACTGTATTCGAAACTTTCTATTTACAGCTCATGACTGATCATCCCAGTGAATTCCGAGGCCGAATATAAATACCGGCCATTTCGGAAAATCTGGTTTTCCATGGCGCTGACCGACCAGAGCGCGTTCACCCTATGTATGGCCAATGCTGCTATGTTCCTTGAGCAGACCCGACACCCGGAAACCTTCCGGTATGAACGCTGCGAAGAGACTTTGAGATATTATGGCCGATGTGTCGAGCAGGTGACGGATCGATTGTCAGATCCAGTGGATAGTACGAGCGAGGGGATCCTCACTACTATCCTTGGTCTGATATGCCACGATGTAACTTAACTCTCGACATCATAAGTGTACGCCTGTGGACCTTGGCTAATGATATGACAACAGCTATACGTCGGCACACTTTCTCGCTGGGAATATCATATTCGTGGACTCGCTGAAATAGTCAGGATACGAGGTGGGATTCACGATCTGCCTCCCAACATCCAGCTATTCGCTTGTTGGTTTGATGTCTTGGGATCGGTGGTTCAGGACCTGCCACCACGATTGCCAGGATTTTCTGCTCTTTTAGAGCGTTCCTTCAAGTCTGCCGGTCAGCAACCTCGATTATTGAGAGATACAATCAAAGAGATCAGAACATCACCCATCGCTATCAGTATCCTGGTACCGGTACTCGAAAAGGCGGTAGACCTATTCAACTTTGTTAACAACCAATACCTTCAACGAGGATTCTGGAAAGCCGAAGATGACACAAGTCCAGTAGAGCTCATTGGTACTCTCACCCATGAGCTGCTTGCATTGCCGCGCGCAGACTACTCAAAGTCGAACGGATACGAAGTTGTTCGTGAAATGACCCGTCTTGCGCTGCTAATCCTCCTCTCAGGACTGAAAGCAAGCTATGGCTTCAGTGCAGTTGAGATGACAGCACTCCAAAAAAAGTTTTCTTGGCTCACTCTTGAAATTAGAAAGCTTCACGAGGCTCTCCCATTTCAGCGCCTACAGCTGTGGTGTTTCCTCGTTGCGGCCATTCTCCATCCGGTGGGCACAAAGAGGAGTCTATACCTGGAGCAGATCTCTTTACGAATGACTTCTATGAATGTTCCCAATGGATATGGTGCCATCCAGGCTGCACGAGATCTGTTATGGATTGAAGTTCTTGCATCAGGAGACGAGATCACGTCTCTCGTCTCCGATATTGACAATTACAACTCGGGCAAAGACTGGCGGTTCTTTACTTAAATACTGGATACACAAGAGTAGATTGATTCACACTATGCGGCACAATCGAAAGAAAATGATGAAAATTAGTGCGTGATCATAGTGTAGCCAACCAATGTCCAAAAATCTGCCAGTAAAATCCTCATTTCGCACGTGGTCATTGAAGCATGGAGAAAATGCAGAATGCAAGGTCTAGACTTGAAGTCAGATTCTAGAATCAAGCGAATGCTTTATTGACTCCTCGAGACTGACAAAGAACAGTTCCCAGAAAGATGGGTCGATCGAGTTCATCGAGATCTGGACCCCGGTTGCCAGTTCGATTATCTGGGGTCGTCGTCGCAATCCCTGCCAAATCCCCCGAGTTTGGACCTGCCCCAAACAAAAGAGAAGAATCGGTCTAGAAGCTCGAGGGGTCGTCAGAACCAAACCTTTGAGTGGATGTAAACCACCCTGGTGGGAATTCGGTCAAGCGTCCTAGGGGTGAGTAAGAGCCGGGCGGTCAGGGCCTGGCGGGGCAAACAACGTGCGTCGTCAGACAACCAAAGAGCGTAATGATTCTGAGCTTTGCTGTAGTCAGTGGAGTTATGGCTGCCAATTTTAATTTTAGCCGCGTGCGCAAGGCGCGTTTCACGACAGTCATAGATTTGGTTGTTTGGTTCACACGGTAATGAACCCTATTCTTCCCATCCAAGTTCGCCTTCAGGCTGGGGATGCATTATGGCAGATAGCGTGTACAGACTATACACGGTAGCCGGTAGCATGGGTGCTGCAAAATGGAGGGAAACGTGCCGAAGCCCTATCGTGGAGCCCAGGAACCACTGGCAGGGAACCAAGAAACCGGAACCAGGCCTGATATCGAGACCGAGAGTAGGCACTGGAAAGGCCCTTTTCAAAGGGAGCCGACCCGCAAGTGAACCATTGTTTCCCAGATACCGAGGGAAAAAATAGGAGGAAGGCCGGACTTAGTGTGCATGTGTACTCGGGTCGACAGATGTGTTTAAGCATTCGATGATCGTCTGATTATTGGCGGCTGGTGCACGCCACAGCACACGATCCAGCCGAGTCTATTTTTATTCTATTAGCCATCAGTATGGACTGCGGTGAAGATGCAAAGTGTATGTGGCAGCGAGGCGCAGACTGCAAACGCAGGCGAAGACGTTGGGCTCAGCCTCTGGTTTAGAGCCAGTTCTAGTGCGGGCATATCAAACGGGAGTCTCAGCCCTAGGTGATCGTTGCTGGAAAAGGGGGCAAACCCGGCAGTCGATCCAAGTTTAGACTCCTCGTACAAAGTTCTCGGTCCGCGATCCACTGCATGTGTCGAGGCCACGCGGCTATGATTTCACCCGGGGGTTTCTCTCGCGAACGGCAAACTGCTGACCGGGCAGGTCGCGTGCTACGAATGAAACTGGGTCAGTTATTACCACCGCAGAGCCTTGCAGGTGATTTACTGGCGTAGTCCCGGTAAGACTCGTGGTGAAGCGAGCAGAAGAATGCAGTCGCAGCTGGAAGTGTTCCCGTTCATTGGCAAATTAGATCGGCCGAGTTGACCTCATTGGGAAAGGCCTGTCACGTGTGTCGGACATCAGCCGCCTCGATGGGAAAGACATTTAATGCCGATTAGTCATCGGTGCTCACTGGCCGGCCCATTTTTGATGGTTCCCGATGGGTCAACATTGTCTCCATCGAGGTTCCAGGCGAAGAAAAGCTTATTGCTAGTGTGAATTGAATGAGCCCTACGAAATCGGTTTAGATACTCCAGAACGGTGAACCTCTGTGGTTTTACCGACCGGGGGGCCTAGACACATGCTCGGTGTTAAGCACGTACGGGAGACGAAAAGAATTCCAGTCTCATGGAAAACTCTCAAGAAAAGGGAAAACATGTCCTTTCATGATGAATCTGAGTGACGACGAGGAATGAATGGAGTTGTTCAGGGTCCAATCTAGATTCTAGAACTGGAGCTGTAGGCGTGAGCGATCGGAACCACGATGCTCGATACTTGCTGGGCTAGCGGCGCATCCGCTGTTCATGGCCCTCCCTTTATGGATTCCGATGTCCCACAGCTGAGACCATTGAGAGGGTACGGCGCCGCATCGTTCGGCTCGAGCGCGGTGCTAGAAGGTTTCGAAGTTTCGAGTATCGATGTGAAGATCCGGAAATCCCGCTGGCGATTTTTTTTTTCCTTTCATCCCAATTGTTGTTCCGAGTGGATTGCCGACGTTGCTGTTGTTTATGCGAGGAATGCTGGGCGGTCGAATGCGGCAACCGTTGTTGATGGGCAGATTCCTCGATAAACACACAGCCACCGGCGTCATCCCAGCCTGGCAGAGGCAGCGAGTCCGGCGCCAATGGGAGGTGATGGTTCCTGGGGCCCCCCACTTACCTATCTTGGTAGGCGATTCGGGGGGAGATCGGATGGTCATTTAGATGACAGTAAATAGGATGAAATGTAGGAAGTAGCCGGCACAGTAAAATGGTCTATGAGATAAATCTACAGGATTCGTTTGAGACCAGTATCTCTATTCGATATCATTGTAGAGCATTGTATTGTTCAATTGTGCTGGGTCGAATAAGAATAGATGCAGTGGCAACGGGACCAATAGGAGGGCGCCAGGGGGCGCCCCGCTGAGTCAGCCCGGAGGACGCGCAAACCTTTCTGACTGAAGCGATCGCTCCCTTTTTCCCCCCTTCCCCATCTCGACCCATACACGCCCGGTTCTTTAATCAATCGGACCCCCTTCTAGACTGCCGCTCTTTTCTTCCATCGTTTTGCCTTCGTTCTCATTTAAATACAACCCTATCCCCATTTGATTTGAAAAGGGGACAAGGGTCTCGCTCCAGTCACACTTTTCACACACCATACACATCTACACCCGCCCATCATGGCTACCCTCGCTGAGCATCCGATGCAAGCGACCCAGTCGCCCATGCCGACCATGAACGCCGCTTATGATCATGACCTCGACTCCTTCATCAATTTCGACCAACTCGCCTACACATCCGCCGATCCCGCCCGCCCGAAGGTCGCCCTCGCCAGCCAGCCTTCGGTCGCAAGTACCGACTTCGGCTCCAGCGATGCCCGCAGTGCCAGCTTCGCCTCTAGCGGTCAGTCCCCCATGGCTTTCCAAGCGCCTAGCCACCACTACGAAGAGCACCGCCAGCAGACGGGTCTGCCCCCTGGGGCACTGTCTATGACCTACAATCAGGTCAACCCCATGGGCTTCGGCAACGCCAACCAAGGGTACGGGATGAACGGCGAGATGTTCCCGACACACATGAAGCGCGAAGATGCCCCCTTCGACTTCAACACCGCTCCTACCCGCAATCCTTCCGAAATGGACATCGAGTCCGACGGCATGAACAACACCCCTTACTACGTACCGACGAACCAGAACAAGAACCAATTTGTCGACCCCAACGCGCTCGGAGGCCATGAGCTGGCTCAGGCCGGTCCGTCCACGCAGGTCGGCCGCATGTACCCTGGTATGCATCAGCAGCAGGCTGCGATGGCCAAGGCGGCGGCTCAGCAACAGAAGCAGCACGAGATGATGCGCCAGCAGGTGCAGCAGCGTCGCGTGGAAGAGAGCCCCGGTGCTACCCCTAACCGCGTTTCCCGTCAGCCCGATCCTGTCGTTGAAGAGCGTATCTCTCGTCTGCTTCAGCAGATGCGTCAAAATGCCGTCGCCAATGGCGAGGCCTCCCCGACTCCATCTTCCGTTATGCCTCACATGGCAAAGTCGAAGAAGGATGAGGCCGACATGGACGAGGATGAGCGTCTTCTGGCTAGTGAGGAGGGCAAGAAGCTCAGCAGCAAGGAGCGTCGCCAGCTGCGGAACAAGGTGTCCGCCCGTGCATTCCGCTCCCGTCGCAAGGGTAAGATCACTCCAACGACTGAGTCGTCTTGAATGGCTTCACTAACATCTAATAGAGTATATTGGTCAACTTGAGAGCGAAATTGCCGCCCGCACCAACGAGGCTCACGACTTGCGCATGCAAAACCGCGCTCTCTTTGAGGAGAACGCCCGTCTCAACGACCTGGCTCGCATGCTCCTGGCCTCCCCCCACTTCTCCAACTTCCTGCAAGAGATGCCCGACAGCGTCGGCTCCCAGGTCCAGGCTCCCCAGCAGCAGGCCCAGCAGGCTCCCCAGCCCCAGCAACCTGCTGTGCCCAAGGAAACCAGCGCTCCTCGTCCCCAGGAATTCCAGATGCAGCAGAACCCCCAGGTCATGATGGTCCCCAACCAGGGCATGGATGCCTCGATGATGAACAACGGTGGCTGGAACTCTGGTATTGACATGAACTATGGTAACACTCCCGTCTTCGCTGTGCTCGACGTTCCCGAGGGCCCGGCACTTGACGTTGAGGTTCTGTCTGGCAAGTCGTATTCGCCGATCGAGATTACTGAGAGCTCGAAGAACGAGGCCCCCGTCCTCGACCGCCCGGAGAGCGAGGAGCCGGTCCAACAATCGGACATCGGTGTTGCCAACCCCGATGTTGAGATTGACGAGTCCGACCCTGCCTTTGCTCTCTTTGTTGATTCTCCTGCCCCTTCTGCTTCTTCCGATGTTCCTGCTTTCGATGGTGTTCAATCCGAGAAGGCTTCCCAATACGAGCTGGTCGTTGACCCCTCCGAGGTCAGCGCATCGGCCAAGAGTCGGTTCAACCAACTCTGCGCTAGTATGGAAGCTGCCTTCCAACGAGTGTTGACTGTCACCTCTCATCTCCAGTGATTCCCCCCTTTAGCGTCCTATATTTCTGATCCATCTTCTTTGTATATCTGTCTTTTTGGTCCCGGCATCATGTGTTTGATTATACATCCCTGTCAATTTTTTGGCTACATCCTGCGAGTGATCGGTCTCTTTTGTCAAATGTCCCCTCGGGAGTTTTTACGGCGCTCGTTTGTTTTTATACTAGGTACTCCCGGGTTGGGTTTCTGGGTGGAAATTTGGTAGCGGTTACTCGGCGCAATCGAGGATCAGCGAAGAGCTCAAAATTGATTTAAATTTCATATTTCATCAATCTGTTGGTTTGCTGTAGCGAAGTTAACAACATCGTAGTCTACCACTCACAGCCAACCCTACCTTCTACAGGGATTATATAGCTACCTCATCAACTAAAATACAATACTACGTTATATGAGGTACCCGGATGTAGTACTAGCTTTATTGTACTCTTGAGATGGTATCTGTTCGCGCATAGTTGCGCCGGGCGGTGCAGAACCCTTGCCTCCCAACTCGACCCGCAAGCCGCAAAAAAAGTTGTCGCCAAGTCCACGCCAAACACAACCTTCTCTCTTCACAGGCCCCTCACCACTGGCAGCGTCATTCTTTCCCCGGTCGCTGCTTGTCCCCCATTTCCAGCCAAGTTGGCTTCCCTACAAGCCCGCGGTACACTTTTTACCGCGGCTCTTCGCGCAGGCTCTCGCACGCTTCCCCAGACTGCCATCGCCTCAATCGATCGCGCCGCCGCATTTCGCAGCGTCACGCATCCCCAAGCGCCTGGACGACCAGCCACTGGACTCAGCCTTCTATCTCGCGCTCGATCGTCGAAACTCAGAAAGAAGCAACCGGCCGCGCCCCGTCCCGCACCTCTACGAGCCCGACAGCAGAAACTCGAAGCGGAGAGGCAGAAAGTCAAGCAGGAGAAGGAACACATCGCCCCAGACACGGTCGTGCTCAATACTACCCGAGCTAGTCGTTCGGAACTAGTCCTTGCCAGAAAATCACTTCTCGAGCGCGCGGAAGAATCGTCTTGCTTCTGGTCGCACCCAATGAAGTTCCACTGGCAGGTCTTGACGACCCCGACGGCGGACACACCTGGGACGTTTCTCAGTCTTCACTTCCCCGAGAAACGGTATATATTTGGGCAACTATCAGAGGGAACACAGCGAGCATGTGTCCAGCGTGGTACTAGGCTTAGCAGCCACCTCAATCAGATCTTCATCACAGGTCGAACAGAATGGGCAAACAACGGCGGGTTGATTGGCGTGATCTTGACCATCGCAGATGCAACAGCAGCCACGACCAATGCTCTCGAGGAAGCCGCCCGTAAAAAGCAGCAAATCGCAGCCCAACGCTCGGCCACTGAGGGTCCGTCGTATAAACCCAGTCCGACTCCTATGGCTCCCGTCGAGGCCTTGAAGAAGAATGCTCGTGTGAGCATCCACGGGGGGACAAATATCATGCACACCATGGCTACAGCCCGTCGATTCGTTTTTCGGAAGGGGTTGCCCATATATATGAATGAGTATAGCGCCGAGAGTATCGCAAAGGGACTCCCTGCGAGCGCTGAAGATCCCTTCCAGGAACCTACCTGGCACGATGAGAATATCAAGGTCTGGGTTGTCCCCATCAAGCCAACTGCTTCAAGAGTACCCTCTCCTTCTCGATCTCAGAGCCCACGGAAGCGGAGCTTAGATGAGTTCCAGGAGACAGTCGACCCTGGGGCACAGAAAACCCATGATGATCTCTTGAGGCAATCCATCGTTCAAGACATGTTCAACTCGACCTGGAAGATGGACGCTCTGCATGAGACCCCGCTCGCGGATGTGAAAATGCCCGCAACTCTTTTTGTGCGTAACCCCGAAACTAAGGACCTTGAAATCTACAAGGGACCGATACCTGGTGATGGCCAGCCTCTGCCTGATATCACTGTCCTTGTCCGGAAGCCTTGGCCTGGAGCAACCGTGGAGACTCTGCCAACCACCACTCCCTCAAAGGAGTCTTTGTGCTACATAGTGCGCAACTACGATGTCCGGGGCAAGTTCGATGTGAACAAGGCCCGGTCACTCGGAATTACAACTGGTGCCGAATTCTCAGCGTTGACGAGTGGGAGGAGCGTCACAAACCCGGATGGCCAAGAAGTCACCCCAGATATGGTCATTGGTCCTCCTCGTTTGGGTCAAGGAGTCGCGATCATGGAGGTGCCGTCTCCCGAATACGTTGAGGATATGGTCAATCGCCCAGAATGGAACTCGCCTGCCGTCACTGGCCAGCTAAAGGTCTTTTTCTGGATTCTCGGCCCAGGCGTTGGCGAACATCCCAAATTCCGTGAGTTTGTGGCGCGCATGTCGGAGTCCCGGCACTTGGTATCCGGCACGGACTACTGTCCGAACTACTTGGCTCTTGAAAGTTCCGCCCAGGCTTCGATTCGCTTGAATCGTCTGAAAGGTGATAATTACTCGATCCCTGTGCACGACAATGAGACGCTTCCGCAGCGCGGCGTCGCAGGTAGCCCCGAAGCAGGTGCCATCGATTTCCAAAATCTACCGTTCGAGACAATGAAGCCCGGTCTTATTGTTCAGATGGAGCCCACCTTCCAAGTGGACACCAACGAGATTACGAAGCCTGTCAACACTGCCATGACTGTTCGCATCCCGGCCTCGGTCACGCAGCGCCTTGACACCATCGCGAAGCGCACCAAGAAACCTGAATTCCAAAAGAAGCTTGCCGACTTCCGCGATGGTCTGCCTGGAGCAGACGCCGAGGTCATCGCCCTGGGTACTGGATCGTCTGCCCCATCCAAGTATCGTAATGTCTCTGCAACCTTGCTTCATGCTCCTGGCTATGGCTATTATCTTCTCGACTGTGGTGAAAACACTCTCGGTCAGCTGAAGCGGGTCTTCGAGCCCGAACAGCTACGTGAGGTGCTTCAAAACCTGCGTATGATCTGGATCAGCCATCTGCACGCCGACCACCACCTTGGCACTGTCTCGGTCATTCGTGCTTGGTACCATGAAGTCTACGGTCCTAATGCGACACCGGCAGCTCAGCCTGAGACCGACCTCGCCAAGATCCTTCAGGAAAAGCGCTTGGCCGTGGTTTCTGATGAAATGATGATCACTTGGTTAGAGGAATACTCCAGCGTCGAAAACTTTGGCTTTGACAAGGTGTTGCCTCTCTCCGCTCACCCCGAGGCAGTAGAGAACACCATCATCACCCGGTTCAGCTACCGCCAGAAACAAGATGGCGGTCCACCATTTGGACCCTTCGGACCCGACAAGATCAGCCTCAGCTTCCTTCAAGACTCCGACCCTCTTACTCCGCTCCTAAAACAGGCTACCGGTCTCAGTGATCTTCTCACTACCAAGGTGAAACACTGCCGTGGTGCTCTCGCCCTGTCCCTCGTTTTCCCGGATGGGTTCAAGGTCTCCTACTCCGGTGATTGCCGACCCTCTGACAAATTTGCCTCCATTGGCGCGGGATCGACTCTACTCATCCACGAAGCCACCTTCAGCAACGACATGCTCGGCTCAGCCATCGCCAAGCGCCACTCCACCGCCTCGGAAGCTTTGGAAGTTGCCAAACGCATGAATGCACGCTCCGTCTTCTTGACGCACTTCAGTCAGCGATACCAGAAAATTGCACAGCTCGACCAAAACCCCGTCGCATACAACAAGTCCCGGTCTCAGAATGCGGGCGAAGATGCGGGTCCAGGTGCGGACGCAGATATCCCCCTCGATGAGGAGCCGGAGCCAGAGCCAGCGGAGCAAGCAGCTACTCAAACCGCCCACTCACTGCTGGACGACATCAACTTCCCCACGCAGGACAGACCCAGTCTATCCGCTGACGGATCCCGCATTCCGTTGAAGAATGTCCCTGTCGCCGCAGCCATGGATTACATGCACATTAAGGTCGGCGATCTCATCTACGCCCAAGCCTATGCTCCTGCGCTGGAAAAGATGGTCGAGGTCATGGAGCAGAGTACGGCTTCCGAGGCCGAGCGGCAGAAGAAGCACCGTCAGAAGGAAGAGGAAGAGAGGAAGGCGGCGAAGATGAAAAAGCACTCGAAGGAGCGTGCTGCTGAAGCATTGGCCACGGCGGCTGCACTGGCGGCTAGTCTCGCTGCCGATGCTGAGAAGCAGTCTGTATGGAGTGCCGACGAGAGTGAGGATGGATGGGTGACGAGCGACCCGGAGTAAATTTATGATTCCTTATACCTGGATGCAGACTCAACTCTTTAGAGGGACTTGGAGGATTGTATTTATACCATCTATAGAAAATCCTTATCATCTCACATATTGATCATGGGCTGATTCTTGGGGTAGCCGTTTCGTGTAGTTTCTGCAACCAAGTCTCAACGTTTAAAAGCAAATTCAAAGACAGTGCTAGCATTGATTACTAGATCAGCTATGTTCCTGCGATTTTGAGGACCTTGTATTCTACTCTCTGATCCTATACTGCCACCACCCGTTGACTCACCATAGTGCTTAATCACTCACATTAAAATTTATTACTTCCTTCTGGTCCAATAATTATTTGAATATAACAATTGTATGAATTGTGCAGATTACACGTTTCGTCCTATCGTATACTTTGATGCCCCCACGCTCCACCCACGCCCCCTCACCGCCCCACGGCCGATGTCATCCTCGGCACCGAAGCTCCGTCCGATCTTCATCGACTCATCGCGCGCAGCATGACGAGCCTCCAGCCCCGCGAGCCCTACTCCCCCGAGGAGTTGGACCGGCTCTATCCAAAGACACTCAAGTTACAATTGGTGCAAGTGGTGAGTCTCCCACAGCTCAACAAGTCAATCCGAGCTAACCCGTGCAGTTCCTTCGTCATGGTAAGGAAGCTCCAACGCATATGCATGCCAACCGTTGAACCGATCGGGTCCTAATTTGAGCTAGGTGAACGCACACCTGTTTCCTCGCGCTTCCAAAATGTAAATTTCCTTGCTCTGTTCGGTGTGAACTGTGCTAATAGCTTATGAAGACAGGCTTAGCCCCATGTAACCTCCCTTCCCCGGTACCCTCGTTCTCCCGCGACCGGCTCGTAAACTGACGATTCAATTCAATACAAGATTGGCCGTACTGTGGTGTCGCGAGACGTATGGTGCAGATGGCAGCCAGTAACCAGGAGCTTTCCTCTTGGAATGGCTTCCAATGGCGCCGGAAGATGGAGTCCTTTGGCAGCAATGACCAGTCCATTGTTGCGGTAGGTGCTGGCGATGAGATTGAAGGCATTTGGTGAGTTTGAATGACACATTGTCCTTGAAGCTTTAGGTCTTTCGCTGATGAATTTTAGTCAACATGGAGAGCTTACGGATAAAGGGCGCGAAACTACGTACGCGCTCGGACGCCGCCTGCGCCATCTCTATGTCGATCAGCTTGGTTTTATGCCTGCGATCAAGAATGATGCGGAGGACATGTACCTGCGGGCAACGCCGATCCCCCGTGCTCTGGAATCCTTGCAGCAGGCGTTCTGGGGTATGTACCCGGCCAATGCGCGCACCCTGGAATTTCCTCCGCCCGTGATCGTTGCTCGGTCGGTTTCGGATGAAACACTTTTCCCAAATGAGGGCAACTGCCGACGATTCCGCCAACTTGCTCGTCTTTTCGCCGACCGCGCGGCGACGCGATGTAAGAATTGACCTTCTTTATCTCGCTAATCTTGGTGGTGACTGACACAGGTACTTGTAGGGAATGATTCCGAGCAGATGGCCTATCTGAACAAGCTCTGGTCCAAGCACATGCCGGAGGCCTCACCCAAAGTTGCGGTCGATGCGCATCCTCGCCTTTCTGGTATTATGGATACCATTAACGCTTCTGATGCGCATGGACCGGCTACCAAGCTCCCCTCTGAATTCTATGATAAGAAGGGTCGTGCCGTTTTGGATCGCATTGCCGTCGAAGAATGGTTTGCTGGCTACAATGAGAGCAACGAGTACCGTAAGCTAGGCATCGGTGCTCTCATGGGCGACGTGGTTGATCGTATGGTCAGCACTGCCGTTGACGGTGGCTGGCGCAGTGAGACATCGGCTTCTGGGTCTGGTAACCCTGGAGCTGGCAAGTCAATCAAATTCGCCATGAGCGGATGCCATGACACTACCCTTGCTGCGATTCTGTCGAGTCTAGGTGGCTTCCAGGATGGTTCATGGCCACCCTTCACCTCATCTGTTGCCATTGAACTGTTCTCGCAAGCCCCTAACAACCGAGCCGATGCTGGCTCAATGCTTGAGGAGTTCGCTAACCCGCCTGTCACTGCTAAGAAACCTGGTATGTTCTCGTCGCTGCTTGGTGGTGGCAAGTCCGTGTCTCAACAACTGGCCCCGTCTGAAACTGCGCGCGCACCTCTTGAGTCTTTCCCCGAGGAGACTCGCGAGTCTTTGCGCAAGCACTACGTCCGCATCCGCTATAACGACCGCCCGGTCACCATTCCTGGCTGTGCCGCAAACGCCGGGAACCACCTCCCTGGTGATGAGACATTCTGCACCCTGGACGCTTTCAAGGAGATTGTGGATAAATTCACCCCGAAGAGCTGGCAAGCGGAGTGTATGCAGAACCTCGGCCAGGGTCTGTTCGGCCCTGACGACAAGGAACGTATCACTGCTGGATTTAGATGATACGACACCCCACTTTTCCTTGCCTTCCCTTTTATTCTTTTGTGTTGAGTTTTTAAATGCAGATAAATTGGGTATGGTTAGGATGTAATTATTGCAGACAGTTAGAGTCCTTCCATGCATTAAAGACAATTACCGCTTCTTGGCCTTTTCTTCATCCTCCTTTTTCAGCGCCATCATTCGATCGATTGAGACCTTTACCAGTAACCAGCGAGGCATAATGTCAAATGAAAGCCCTTGCAACCAATGCCAGAAATAGGCCCACACAATCACCCGTCCACATCCAATGCGATTCAATCCAGCACTCGCCAACGTTCGTGCCTCGGGCGAAAACAGGCCCGGGGCAATATCGAAGCCCGCCGTGCGGACCTGTCCAACGCGCAAGCCCAAAACCTCCACATTGCGTTTCTCGTTCTTGCATTCGGCTTCGAGGGCTTTCGTAAACGAGTCGACAAACCCCTTTGTCGCAGCATAGACACTGATATACGGCATGCCAAACGACGAGATCGAGGAAACATTCACCACAACCCCCCGTCGCCTTTCTCCAACAAGGGCAGCAGTACCCTCGTGATTTGAGTCATGAACACAGCGTTCTTTGCAATCGTGGCATCAACCTCGTCAAATCTTAGGTCACTTAAAACAGTGTACGGCCTTGTCTCGCCACCAACATTATTCACCAGCACAGATAACTCCCCACCCTGCGCAGTGAGAATCTCACGGACTTCCGACCCAATCTCATCAACAGCACCGGTCAGCCCGACAACATCGCACACGACAATTTCGACCTTAGCCATTGGGAATTGCGCGTTGAGCCCCTGCACGCGTTTCTCCAATTTGGCCCGGTTGCGCCCGTGCAGAATAACATTGAACCCACGGTGGCATAATTCTTGGCAGAATCCGAAGCCGATTCCATCGCTGGCGCCGGTGACGAGGGCCCAATTTGCTTTGGTCCGGTTGTAGCGGGTGAGACCTGATGGGAGGAGGAAGGTTGTTGCTGAGCGGGTGAATTTGATGGTGATGTAGGCCAGAGTTGCGAGGCCGAGATAGCTGAGCGGTGTGTTCCAGTTTGAGAGGTTCATTGCGGAGTGGTTGGAAGAAGCTTTGTTGAGCTTCCATAGGCTATTCAGGAGGTTTGTAGGTGCGTAGTCGGAGTTGAAGATTTGCGGGATGGGATCGTATCACGATGATATCACGATGGATCAACACGGTCTTAACTAGATCGAGACAGGGTCGATGTCCAATATCGTCGTCGATCGAGGGAAATAGCCACAATGCTCCTTGATGATTGAATAATTGTCTGGTATGAAGCTTTTCAGTGAGTATTATACTTGTCATCCGAACTAGCGCATAGTATCTTTTATACTTGTCCTGTCGCGGGCGGTTTGGTCGGCGTCGGGCCGGCCGTCGAGCCGAACGCCGACTTCGGCCTGACGAGGGCCGACCTACTACCAAATCGATAGAATAAACAGGCCTAAGTAGTAGAGACGGCGTGAGATTGGGGTTTGAAGATTAGGAAGAGCGTTGATTGGCGGTCTTCAAACACGACCCAGTAAAAGTGCTACATAATCATGCCGACCGAGGAAATTGCTGGCCGGCGGACGAAAAGTCGGGCGGTTCGGAGCTCACAAGTGTAGTCTTTGACGATAGAACATAAGCCAGGGCAAAGAACTTAAACCCGAGTATAATCAATCTGGGATATTTCAGAAAACTTTTAATTATCGCATAGTCGGTTTTCAACAGCTATCATAGTAAATACTGTGAAATGCCCACATCACACATACCCGATTTCAGCCAGGAGCTTCTCCACCTGGCCAGCATTGCCATGGCATCAGTCTTGATTGATGAGTGGAGTTTCAAGGCAGAAAGGATTTTGAGCATTTCAACTGAGTATGACTCCTCTGTTAGTTGTAGCATTTATCTACGCGCAGTCGTGACTCTTTAAAATTCGTTTACGCCCTCTCCCTGCCCTAGCTCAACCCTCGACGATATAGCACACCGACCCCAAATAGCCCTCTGATGTAGTCCGCATTTGTAGTAAAACAGAGTGGAACAAGGTTAGCCAATAAAAGCCGCTTTAATACCAAATTACAGTGTTGCACTCATCAATTGAGGACCGTGAAGGTCAGCGGTGCCGTCCAGGTACCTTGGGGACCGAGGAATACAGCCAAACAGAACCCGCCATTTATCAGCATCATAGGGCAACGAGGCAGTCATTGGACGGGCCTTGGATCCACTTCATTCCTATCAACCTTGGAGGACCTGTATGAACGGTCGTACCGCACAGGAAACGCCACCAGACATGCTGGACGATGAGGAACTTGGAGACGATAGTCTGGAGAGATAAAAAGAGTTGCCCGCAAGGTTTCTGGGGGCAGGAAATCCCAATTGTCGTTTGAATTCTTCTCTTTGGCATACTCTCAAGTCACGATGGTCATTGATTCAGGTCGAGAGAATTTGGCGTACCATGTCCAGGCTCCTACTCAGGAGGCTGAGAAGCCCAAGACTCGACAATTACCAGTCACTCTACTCTCCGGGTTCCTGGTATGTCTTGTATCATGCTTGAAATTATTGGGGATAATTGTTAACAATTGAATAGGGCAGTGGAAAAACAACTCTCCTAAAGCATATCCTTGGGTCACCGGACCATGGCATGCGCATTGCTGTCATTGTCAATGACATGAGCTCGTTAGTATCTGAGATCCATTGATATCTTATGCTGCATTATACTTATCCCTTCTCTGCTAGACTCAACATCGACGCCGCTCTCATTAAGAATCACAAAGTCTCCCAAACCACAGAGAAGCTCATTCAAATGCAAAATGGCTGCATCTGCTGTACCCTGCGTGGCGATCTTCTGTCCGAGCTGGCACGCCTCACCAGACAGAATGACATTCAATACGTTGTGATTGAGAGCACCGGTATCAGTGAGCCGATGCAAGTCGCCGAGACCTTTACGGCGGAATTCAGTTCTGCGATGCTGGAGGCCGAGGACCAGATTAGTGCCGAGAACGATGAGGAAGCGAAGAAGATCTTGAGTGAGATGTATGTCTTTGTCACTCCTGTCTAGTGGTTAAGCACAGCTGACCTAACATTTTGGCAGTGTTGAGTTGGGTGGTTTGCATACTATGGCCCGCCTCGATACCACAGTGACGGTCATCGATGCTTTCAATCTGCTCTCAAATTTCGACACCACAGAATTTCTCTCCGACCGATATGGAAGGGATGAGATTGTCCCCGAGGATGAGCGGACTATCTCTGATCTCATGGTGGATCAGATCGAGTTCGCCGATGTGTTGATCATCAACAAGGTCGAGACTATCGACCAAGCCAAGCGTGATAAGATCATGCAGCTGCTCAAATTGCTCAACCCGGATGCCAAGATTCTGGAGTCCAGCTACTCCAAAGTCGACGTACGCGAGATCATCGCGACTGGCAAGTTTGACTTCGTGCGCGCCGCATCCGGTGCCGGGTGGCTCCGTAGTCTGCATGAGATGACCATGCAGAAGACTGGCAATGGTGAACGCATGGCACCCAAGCCAGAAACACTGGAGTATGGTATCAACAACTTCGTGTACTCGGCTCGTCGACCTTTTCACCCTCGCAAGCTCTTCTCCTTACTTCACGACAAGTTCATTCTGCTTCAAGACAATGAAGTAGATGACGAGGAAGAGGATGAAGATGAGGATGACGAAAAATTGGACGGTGCGGAGGAAGAAGATGAGATGGACACTGACACCGAGTCTGTGGAGGACTTTGATCAACCCGACCCTAAAGACATACTTGATAATAAGCGCAATCATGCGGCCTTTGGGCCCGTCCTGCGCTCCAAGGGCTTTTTCTGGCTGTCGACAAGGCCTTTCCAGTTTGGCGAGTGGAGCCAAGCGGGCGGAATGTTAACGGTCGGTTGTGGGGGGCCTTGGTTCGCCGAAGTGCCGGACGAGGCGTGGCCCGATGACCAGGATGTGCGCGAGTCGATCGCGAACGACTTCCAAGGACCCTGGGGTGATCGGCGCCAGGAGATCGTGTTCATTGGCGAAGGTGTCAACGAGACCGAGCTCACTGCCATCCTGGACGAGTGTTTGCTGGACGACCGCGACATGAAGCAATGGGAGAAGATCATGAAGAACAAGCGGCTGAGCCGGGAGGCCAAGACGAAAAAACTGGCTGCGATCTGGGAAGACGGCTGGGAAGAATGGCCCCAATTCGAGATTGAAGATGAGGAGGAAGTGGTGGGAGGAAAACACCGCATAAGCGAGTACCTCGGCCAGCAAAACCACCGGGGACATGTCCATAGCCACCGATAGAGACCCGCATGCTCGATACGAGAAATGCCGGCACAAAAGTAGTTGAATTGATGAGCATATGTGTTGAATTTTGTCGATCTGTTGTTGCGTGCTGTGGGAAAGACTAGGTCAAAGTAGAAGTGACCCCTCACGCTGCCGCTGCGCTTAATGGCGGTGCAAGTTGGGGCTTATCGATAACCCCTCTTGCGGGCAACCCAGCTTGGTCCTCCTTCCTCCAATTCGAGGCATTGTCACTCCCACCTTCACGCGATAACCGACCTGCGTGGTATTTGACGTTCAGACCAGGGTGACCCTTCCAATAGCCGTCCCCCCGTCCTCCGCTGCGCCAGAGGATGCCTGACGCCTGACGCGATCCCTGCCTCCCCCAAGCCACCAGCCACCATTCACCATCGTCCATCGTCCATCGTCCATCCCAGTCCGGCCTGCAAAGCGACTGCACACATTCGGTCTTGACTGGTTTGCGTTAATATCGCGGGTGACCCTCGATTTGTTGCGGCTGTACGTTCGTCCCCTGGCACCGCAGCAGTTCGTCCAAACTAACTTGCTCCTCTCAGGAACCCTCCCCGGTATTTGTGACTGACTGCTTCCATGGAGGTAAGAACCGCCCCCATCTGTCAGGCAGACCTTTTCCATGTTCCCTTCGGCCCAATTTCTTGCTTTTTTCTGTTTCTTTTCTTTTTCTCTGCTGCCTCGTGTCCTGCCCATTGCCTCCCATCTGGCTGGTCTCTTGCCGGTGGCTGTCGGTTGCTCGCTGCGTTCGCCTGCGCGCCAGGCACGTCAATGGTGAGGCAGACCCTTAGGTCCACAACTCTTTCATGCTTGGACGCGATGCAGACAATACTCCATGACTTTCCTGTTCTTCAGGTGGAGGAATGGATGGATACGAAGTCTGAGGCATCCAGGCACTTTGGGGGCGCACACGCGCTGGTCAAATAGCGCCCCGTGTGTCGCGATGGGCTCCGGAACCCCGTGGATCACGTCGGAGAGTATTTTCCAGCCGCAAGAGCCCTGTTGCCCATCGCCTGGTCCCAACCGCGTTGCCTCTGCAACGGCATGTGATGGATTGACTTCTTTTTCGCGCGGTTCCCATCTTTTTCTTTCCTATACGCCCTCCTTTCGCGGCCCAACATGCCTTGGCCTGCGGTCGAGCCATCCCAGTTCATTGAGCGGGAGATCGAGCGACGTTTGATGAGCGCATATCGATCATCTTCTCTAAAGACCGAAGCCCAGCTAAGCCTTGAACTCAATCTGCAGGGAACTCACCAAGTCGGCTCGTCGGCGCAGGCTAGAACCAGCCTTGTGCCCAACACCCAACCACGCGATGCCAAACCTCGTCTCCTTCTCATGGGACTCCGCCGGTGAATTAAGCACACATCTCTAGATCCATGAATTACGTGACTGACATTCATCTTCAGGAGCGGCAAGTCATCCATCGCCAGTGTAGTCTTTCACAAGATGCCTCCGAATGAAACCCTCTTTCTCGAGTCTACCACACGCATCCAAAAGGACTCAATTCAGTAAGACTTTGGTTAGTTCCATTTCGCGATATCTGTTAACATTTCCTCCAGCTCCTTCATGGACTTTCAGGTCTGGGACTTTCCGGGCCAGCTGGAATACCTCGAGCCGTCCTTTGATCTTGAAGACATTTTCGGCAGCCTAGGTGCGCTCGTCTGGGTCATTGATGCCCAAGATGACTACCTTGATTCGGTCGCGCGGTTGAACCGCACCATCTTGACAGTGCAACAGTACTACCCAGGCATCAACATTGAAGTCTTCATCCACAAGGTGGATGGGTTGTCCGACGAATACCGTCAGGATACCTTCCAAGATATTGTCCAGCGGATCTCCGACGAACTCAGCGACGCGGGATACGAAAACGCGCCCGTGCACTACTACCTCACCTCTATTTATGACTATTCCGTCTTCGAGGCCTTCAGCAAGGTCATTCAAAAGCTCATCCCTAACCTCTCAACCCTCGAAAACTTGATCAACACTCTCGCAAACAACTGTGGCTTTGAGAAGACTTACCTTTTCGATGTCCTCAGTAAAATTTACATCGCTTCCGACACCCGGCCCGTCGACATGGCCTGTTACGAGATGTGTTCCGACTATATCGATGTAATCGTCGACATCTCAGAACTTTATTCTTGGGACCATTCCCTCCGGAAACCTAAGGGTGACCAGGTCCAGGAGGCCGAAAGTCATGTCGTTCTTCACGATGAGACAATGATCCATCTCATGGAGATGAACAAGTACTTATGTCTTGTTTCAGTTATCCGAAACCCCGAGGCCAAGGAAAAGAAGGGTCTCATTGATATGAACTGTCGCACTTTCCAGGATGCGCTGAATGACGTCTTTTCCCGATCCTGGGAACAAGAGCAAGAAGAGCGAGCAGCAGCTGCCGCCGCCGCCACTTCTGCGGCAGAGTGACCTCTCGTCACCACGATCCCGAAAGAAAATCAGAAATGGCTAGTTGAGGATATACTTAATTTCGACTTCCTTCGAGCCTTCAAGTCTTGCCTCGTGCTCGCCAAAATCATGAATTTGATGACAACTTGAATTTTTTTTTCGCTCATATCTCGACTTGGCGAGTGTCCAGATAGTAATTTGTAATATTACTAGCTTCAGATTTCGTATTTTACATTTCACAATTGTTAGACCCATTGCTGTGTTGTTCTTGTTTTTAGTATGGGACGGATACATTATATATCTGCAAGGTGTGGGCGGCATAAGCTTACTCACACAACTCTAGCAATTGTCCAATAATGGCAAATGTGTTGTGATAGGATCTACTGAGAGGCCACATGGCAAGATGTAAAATGGTGCATCACATTTAACCCATTTCGATTAATGTGAGATCATGACGGTCTGATTTAGATGTGTTGTGCTGCGGTTTTCCCCAATAGGGTACTTGTGCTGTGCTGGGTACAATTCTCAGTCGAGGCGATCTTCCCCAGGTTTTCAACCACACCTCTGCACCAGTGTGCCCATCCCTACCACCTCTCAATGAGTTCCATTCGACGACAGTGAACGAGACTCGACGTCACATCTAAACTATGTCAGAGCTTCGCCAGCGCCCGACCGCAGCGACCTCTGGGTCCAAACGCGATACGGACACAACGGCATCGCGACAACCGCGTCGCCCCTCTGAAGGGAGCTGCAGTATCAGTGTGCTAGATATCATCCGCGTTCTAGCGACTCTGCTCATCGCTTCATGTGGCCTTTCTTACTATGTGACCAACTCCGAGTCTGTCCTGTGGGGGTACCGCCCGTGGTATACACGGTGGCCGATCGTGAAATCGTACTTGGTGAGCAACATCACCGCAAAGTGCAAAATACGCTTTTACAATAGCTGCTGATGTCGACTATTTTGAATAGACTGGACCGGTGCTCCTAACACCCTCCCAGTTGTCACTCTACAATGGCTCCGACCCCTCCCTCCCCATCTACCTCGCTGTCAACGGATCCATCTTCGACGTCTCCGCCAACCCAGCCATGTACGGACCGGGCGGAGGCTACAGCTTCTTTTCCGGACGCGATGCGACGCGTGCATTTGTCACAGGGTGTTTCAAGGAGGACCTTACCTCTGATCTGCTCGGGGCAGAGGAGATGTTTTTGCCGGTGGAAGATGTGGAAGACGAGGGTATTACGTCGGCACAGAAGAAGATTCGGAGGGAGAAGGAGGTGAGAGTGGCGAAGCAGCAAGTCCATAAGACTGTTGCGCGCTGGGAGAGCTTCTTCCGAAACCACAAGCGGTATTTCCAGGTTGGCAGGGTTATTGACGATGGCGATGGAAACGAACGCAAGGGTAAGCGTCCTCTCTGCGAAGGGGCGCAAGGACAAAGGCCCAAGCGAAGCGAAATGAAGGATTAGGACCTTTTTTTGTTTTCGGGATTGAATGTTACGTGTTTTGATGGTGCATGTTGATAGCGGGTCGAACATGGGCCTAGTCAAATTGATGGTTGACCAATTTGAATCTACGTATTACGCAGAACAGAGCACGAATATTGAAGTTTTTGAAACTTTTTTATTCTTCGTTCAACCTGACACTAGTTCAGAAAGCACGAAGCCCACAGTGCCGAGAGTCAGGCGTCGGACCACTATGCATCACACCGAGCTTCCCATGTGAAATGATATCATTCGTAAGAGGAATAGAGAAAACCGCGAGAAATGGAGGAACGGAAACGTTTACTCGGCGGAGACGGAACGGGCTGGGTAGACGATTAGTATGCTGGCAAAAAGTTCGATGGAGTCTCGAGTAGAACGCACTGTAGATGTTCATCTTGGAGTGGCCAACGACCTTCTTGATCTGACCCTGAGCCTCAAGGTCGTTCAGGGCCTTGCGGGCAAGGGAACCGTTGATCTTGAGACGGTCGACCAGGGTGGCGACGGTGATCAGACGGTAGGACTGAACATCCTTGTTGAGCTTCTCAAGGGTGGACTTCTCGAAGACAACGGCGTGCTGGGCCTTGTCCTTGACTATTAAGTGCATATGTTAGTTGTCGCTCGTTCGTCTTGAAATATAGCGTTTCGCATCTTCCTCCATAACCGATCGCCCAACGACTCCTGTGCTATTTCGTTCGGTAGGGGTGCCGGGCGAAAAAGTTTCAAGGTCGTTGTCACGGTCGGCTGGATTGCGATCGCGAGGATGCTGGTAATGGTGATATCGTACCCTTGCCCTTGCTCCACTTCTTCTTTTGCTTTCCTGCGGGGGCCTATCGCGAAATTATGTTAGCTTGCGTCGTCAAGGTGTCGTGGGATGGGCGCTCACCATTTTGTCTGTCGGTGGTGGATGGTCGGAAGAAAGTCAAGAAAGTCAGCTTGGGCGGGCGGATCGAGTGCGAAAATGGCCGTGGGGCATGACTAATCAGATCAAGCCCTAAGCCCCAAGTCACGTGCGGACCCCCTCGGTATTAGGGAGATGTGTGTTGTTATTGGTCATCTAAGCTAGAATGGAGTATATGACCCCCTGATGGTGGTCACGTGGCTCCCGGACTATAGTTGATCCACGCCGGAGGAAGATCCTCGGATGCAGCACGCTGGCACTCCCACTCATCCGAGATCTCTACCGAAGGCGTCAGAAACGACTAGGGTCCTCCCACTAGATCACGGGTGAGTCAAAAGAAAGACAAAATAGCTATATACAGGCAGTCCTGGGGGAAAACCTCCATGCAAAACCCTGTGGGACAAAACCATGGAGGAAACCAGGCCAGTTCGGATACATAGATCCCAATTCCATCATATCGCTTCCATTCCCATTCCCTTGACATGACGCTGATGCAATTCCTTAGGCAGGGCCTTTGTCAGGATATCTGCAGTCATATCTGCCGTACGAACGTATTCGAGTCGAATAAGGCCATTAGCAATAGCCTCGCGAATAACATGGAAACGGATGTCGATATGTTTCGATCGTGGAGAGGGTGAATTGCTAGGTCGATTTGCAGTTGCAATAGCACCTTGATTGTCGCAATAAATGATGTTGGAGGGCATTGAATGTTCTGCATACTGAGGCAGAATCAAAAGGATGAGTTTACGAAGCCAAATGACTTCAAATGATGCAGTTGCTAATCCAACATATTCAGCATCATGAGTCGAGCTTGTGACTAGGGATTGCTGTTTCGATTTCCAGGCTATCGGGCCACCGTTCAGAAGGAATATAAAGCCGGAAGTCGAGCGTCGATTGTTGAGATCTGCAGCGAAATCGGAATCGCTATAGCCATATAGGATTGGTTCGGTGGAAGATGGTTTGCTGAAGACGATGCCTAGGTCCTGGGTGCCAGCCAGGTACCGAAGCAATCGTTTAAGTGCTGCTGCATGCTTTACACCCGGTTTCTGCACGAATTTTGATAGGCGTGAAAGTGCGAATGCAAGATCAGGTCTTGTACAGATCATTAAATATATCAGCGCTCCCACTGCAGCGCGATATTCTGATGAATCTGCTTCACTTAAACGGTCTGCATCAGTTGCTTCAACAAGTGGATGCTTGGGGTCTAGGGGAGTTGCAACAGGGTTGCTGGGTGCATTAAAGCGTTCAAGGATTCGCTTGATGTATGCTTTCTGATGCAAAATGGCTTTGCCATCTCGATAGTCAATATGGATGCCTAGAAACAGCCTGGGTGTTCCCATATCCCGAGTGTTGAATTCATTGCAGCATTCCTGGACGAATTCCTCAATAGCTTCCTGATCACCAGTTAGCAAAAGGTCGTCAACAAAGAGGAGAAGTATCATGAATTTGTTTTCGTGGCTGCGAATGAATATTGTTGGCTCAGCATCACACTGATAGAAGCCTGCTTTTGATAGGAATGCGGTCATCCTATCCCACCAAATGCGCGGTGCCTGTTTGAGTCCATACAGTGACCGGCGGAGCTTCAGAATATATCTGGTTGGATCTAAATCCATGCCTTCTGGTATCCCCATGTAGACTTCAGAGTCTATGCTGCCATTAAGAAAGGCAGTGATAATATCGAGATTGCGTAAGGACCAGCCATTGAACACAGCGATCGCCACCAGGAGTCGGAATGCAGCTAAAGAGGCAGTTGGGGCATAGGTCTCCATGAAATCAATTCCAAAGCGTTGGAGAAAGCCCTTGATCACCAAACGTGCCTTATAGCGCGTACTTCCATCAGGACTCAATTTACGCTTGAATACCCACTTGCCAGGGATCGGCTTGCACCCATTAGGCATTTGACTGATCTCTTGAACTATCCAAGTTCCATTTTCTTCATGAGATTTCAGTTCTTCTTGTACTGCTGGTGGCCACCTAATCGGATCCTGGAGCAAGGCATCCGAATAGGAGAGAGGATCTCCATTGTGGTCTGTTTGGACTGTCCTCTCTGCTGCTTGCCTGGGTGGGTAGGAGAGCGACTCCATACCTTGCACGATCAAAGCGGCTTCCACAAGCTCCCTAGTAGTATCGTACTCGTGGATTTTGGCGCAGGTGCCGAATACAACTCCTCGCTGGTTGTAGACGGTCTGGCTGTCCGTGAGGAGTGCCAGGGACGGGGGAACGTCCGATTCATCTGCTAGTTCCATAGGATCCGCAGGCTTCGCAGGATCGTTTGGGTTCACAGGAGCTGCGGGTGGGTGCAGCCAGAAGGGGTTCATCGAGGAAGGTGGTATGCCTGATACTGCGGGAAGCACTCCCGATACTGACTGACCAAGTACAGTATCGACCGCGGAACCAGGCGGATTTCGTTTATGTGCAATCGATGGTTTGAAACCAGCTGGGCGTTTAAGCCATGGACCTGGAAAGAGGTCCTCATCGAACTTGAGTTCGGAATGGTTGCTTGTTTGCAACGTGTAGAGATCAAGACATTTGTAAATAGAACTTGAGTCTTGTACATAGCCTACCATCATGGCTGGCCTGCAGCGAGGATCAGAACTCGAGCTGCGATGCTCCTTTCGAAGGTGTATCCAGACTAGACATCCCCAGGGCTTCATGGAAGCGAGCGATGGCTGCTTGCTGTACAGTAGAAGGTGTGGGGAGATATTACCTAGAGTAGAAGATGGAAGGAGATTAGATAGGAATACCGAAGTTGCAAGGGACTCAGCTTGTAGTCGGTAGTCATCTAGAACACCAGCTCCAGCTCTCATGGAGCGTTCCATGTTCTTGATTGTCTGGACTCTTCGTTCGAGTACACCATTCTGTTGCTTGACACCAGAGGTAGAAAGCTGATGAAGAATTCCAAATCTGCGGTTTATCTCGCTGACCATGCTGTTTGAGAATTCACCAGTACCACCATCAGTCCGCCATGACCTGATGATAGTATCAAATTGGGTCAGGATCATGTTTATGAAGCCTTGAAGAAGAGGTGCAATGGCTGAAACATTCTTGCTTGAGGCAAAGAAGCACCATGCAAAACGCGTGAAGTCATCAACAAGAAGCAACATATATTTGGATCCACCAAAGGAGATGCCATCCAGAGGAACAAGGTCAGAATGGACTCGGTCAAATGGCTTGCTGCAACGTTCAAGCACAGGAGGGTGAGGATTTGCCTTCATTTTACCCTGGAGGCATGCAGTACAGGTGGGAAGCTTGCGTGGTACAGATAGCTTCATCATAGCTCCCACTGAGCGGAGATTTCGGTGGCCTAGTCGATTGTGCCAGGATCGAAGTGTGCTGTATTCTCTTGCACGGAGGGCTCGTGGGCTGTTCAATAGAGATGCAGGATTCACATGCGTTCGATAAAGATCTCCACGTTTGGAGTCGGCGAGCTGGAACCATGCAGAGTCATGACTCTGTCGAATATAGACTTTGCCATTTTCAATGAGAGTTGAATAGCCAGCTCGGTCAAGAAGCTGCAGGGATAGCAGATTCTCAGCCAGCTTTGGTACGAACCAGACATTCAGGACAAGGAGATGAGGACCAATCTGTAGAAGTTGGGTCCCAGATCCTTCTGCGTGGATCTTTGTATTATCTCCAAGGTAGATCTCCTTAGGGTCAAGAAAGTGTTTGTAGTCCTTGAGGTCTGATTTGCTGTTCGAAAAGTGCTGAGTGGCACCAGAGTCAAGGATCCAGCTGAGATAATCCTTCTGCTGGGTTTCACTGTTGACATAGGAGGCTCTCGCGAGGAGGAGGTGTGTCGGATAGTTGTAGGGATTTGATTCGGAGCCTTGAGGCTGTGAATAGGCAATATTCGCCTGTGAAGGTTGCGGAGGTGCAGGCGAAGATTGAGGTGGATACTGTGGGATATTCGGCTGCTGGACTAGATAGGCACGGCTGCCATCTAATCTTGCAGCTCCAGTATCTAGTTGTTGTTGACGAATTCGACAGTCACGTTCAAAATGGCCTTCTCGTTTGCACCAGTTGCAGATGATACGCTTGTTTCGAGAGGTTCGGTTTGATCGACCACGGCGGTTTGATACTCCTGAGCGGCCTTGGTCACGGAGATGCTGAGCGCTTGATCTGCGGTTTGGTCGACGACCTCGAGCTACTAGAGCTTGGCCAGAGGTGTTGTCACCTGCAGAGGAGGTGTCTTTGATATTGGCAAGCAGGTAGGTAACAGTTTCGATAAAGGGTAGGTTCAGTTGCTTGGCTGCTTGGCCTTCTGTCTTGTAGCAATCGGGAAGTCGATTCACAAGGATATGGACTGCTATATCTCGATGTATCTTGTAGGGGGTGTTTTCGAGAGATAGAAAGACATTGCGGAATCGGCTTGTATAGGTAGAAATGGTGTCTTTTGGTTCCCATTTGATGCTCTGGAACGATTCGTATTGGGCGAGCAATGGTAGAGTTGTTCCTCGATCACAGCCAGCCTTGAGCGAAGACCAGAGGTCTCTAGGATTTGTATGGCCAACAAGGAGCTTTCGACATTCAGGAGCAACATGCTGGCGTAGCTTTGCAAGGTTCTCAGTCAACGTTTTAGCGATATCTCGATTGACATTGGAGGTAGGAGGTGGCACGGTTGCTGTAGAGGATGGATCGATGTATTGCCAGAGGTCAAAGAGGATCAGATGGTCTCTCCAGAATTCGCTCCAGTCAACCCAATTCGAATAGTCAAGGATTGGGAGCTTTTCACCGGATGAGGGAGAGGCAGCTGACATTCTTGAAGGCACAGCGATCATAGAACAGCTCCTCTAGCTCAAATTGAAGAGAAAAGGGTCTCATAACCTGTTAGGGAGATGTGTGTTGTTATTGGTCATCTAAGCTAGAATGGAGTATATGACCCCCTGATGGTGGTCACGTGGCTCCCGGACTATAGTTGATCCACGCCGGAGGAAGATCCTCGGATGCAGCACGCTGGCACTCGGTTAGTTAGTGCAGACGCGGTGATTGGTCAGACGATGACAGTATACCCGTGCCTTAGTCAGTGCCCCCACTCGCTCCAGGTCGTCGCCAAGTGGGTGCACCACGCCACGCCGATAACCACGCCACCCCAATAAAATTTCACCCCCCCTCGACGGCGACGGCGCTCCGTAGACCTTCGCTTTGCCTCTATATTTTTTCATCCTCTCATTGAACTCGCGACGTCTGATAGTTCTCGGTGAGGGCAATTTGGGCTCGATTCGAGGGGGTTCTGTAGGAGAAATCGGCGTTTTTTCACCTAAGTTTGGTCGTGCATCCTTTGCTGCGCGAGCCTCTGCTGCCTTCTGCTCACGTGCCTTGCGCTCTATAATTGAATTTTGTGCATCATGAGGATATAGACGACCTGTGATAGAACTGAGGCCTTTGCCTTGGACCTGCCGTTTTGTACGCTGTTTTGGAGCGCTGAAATGGTTCTGGAAGCTCTGCTCAAGATGACGGTTCCGCTCCACATTTGCTAATAGACCATCACATAGTAGGTCTAAACCTCGCACGACTTGTGGGTTATTAGAGATATCTTTATTTAGAATCTTCTTAACAACACGGCGAGCAGAGCGAGGGGTCTTGATAGGACTTGAGGGGAGTGGTGAACTGCTCTGTGGAGGTGGTGAAGGTGTATTGGCAAGCCAGCCTTCATCAACAGTAACAGTAATATTAGAGGTAAGGCCTAGGTTAACCTTACCTAATATTAGATCTGGATTATATGGAACCAGACCTGTATCACGGAAGGCATGACGAATTGTAGAGCGCTGGAAGACGCGCTTGCGGAGATCTGGTAGTTGATGTAGAAACGCGCCTTTGTGTATAGTATCATCGAATCTCCCCTCTGCCTGTAGGTGCGATGTCTGTGCCTTATATGCCTGCTTATAGACAACAAAGGGCTTCTGGTCGAGTGGTTGGCATAATTGTGTCAAATTTGACATAAAATTCCAGGCAATAATGTTGTTATCCTGGCAATATTGGAGAAACTCGACAGTAATATGTGATGGATGACCGTCAAATAATAGCAGCCTCTGCTTGCCTGCTGCCTTTGCATATGTCTGCTTATCGAATAATTTGATCCAGTCAAGTGCAATCTCGCCGTTCGAATAACCAGTTTCGCTAACATTGACAGGGTAATTAGGCACATTGCCTTCATACCACGACTCCATATGACGTGCACCTGGAAATATGATATAAGGCGGCTCTACCATCGTTCCATCGGCACAGGCACACTCAATGACAGAGACAAGTGTACCCTTCTCAAGTGAGGCAAAGCGCTTATCACTATACTGTGAGGGCCCTCGAGTCGTCTTGCCTACTCCAAGCATAAATCCAGTCTCATCAAAGTTGTAAATGTTATGCGTGAGTATCATATTATTGCCATCGCAATGCAGATACTCACGAAGCTTGCCATACCAGATTTCAAGCATTCCAACATCCTCTGCCTCAAGACGCTTCTTATTCACAGGTCGGTGACGCGCAATACGCGTTCCAAGTGGTTTAAGATGCCTCTCCTCAAAGCGATAAACCCACATTTTGCCTACTGACTCAGGCGCGAGAATATGATTTGCAGCAGCAATAATCTCTTGGTGGGAGGGTCTGTACCCTACTGAATCAAAGAATTTCCACCAGTGAACAAGGCCCTGAATTTGCCAGGGATCTAGGGTCTCTTGGTAGGGTTTAGGAGCGTGTAAGGCCTGCCGACCTTGAAGACGCGCCCTAAAACGCTGATACGGAACGCCATATTCGCGCGCAATTTTAGACAAATTTGGCTTCGATTTAAGCGAGGCAGTGTACTCTACTGCCTTCGCTATCTGCTGCTCAATTTTGACTCGGTCGGAGGACATGGTTGGTGAATAAGGTGATGAAATGCTTCAATGTGGTGAAATTTTTATTGGGGTGGCGTGGTTATCGGCGTGGCGTGGTGCACCCACTTGGCGACGACCTGGAGCGAGTGGGGGCACTGACTAAGGCACGGGTACTGTGATTCTCCCGATGGCTTTGTGACCGTTTATGGAGTGCTTTTGCAACCGAAAACTATTTTCGAGAGGTAGTTCTACTGTTGTCTGAGCCAACTGGTGGGAAAGACAATGGTTAACAATGGACTCAAAATGTTGATGGTTGTGGATATCATCACGGACAGGTGAAAGCTAGAGGGTCTATCTAGTATGTATTACATCATGCTTCAGCATTAAAGTAGACAGGCTATCAGCTTATACTGCCAGTATGACCTCCATAACCTTGACTAGTCACCGCATTCAAAACTTCAAAGGCAACCTTATCGTCCAATTCTGACAAATATCCGACCACATACTCCTCCGCCGAAGCGAACCAGAAGGCTGAGTCATTCTCTGACCCAACGAGCCATTTCACTTCATACTTCCCACTTTCGCTTCTTTGTGTGGGAACTTGGACAATCACAGGATAGTCATTGGGAGACCACCACCGTATAGTTGGAAGGTTGTTCGAAATTGCATTGATAAGCAGCTGTTGTGTGGAAGGATGCCATGCCAGTTGTCGAACGGGTTGCTCATGTACCAAGGCGGATAATAGTCTTGGTGTACCATTCAAGGACCATATCCAGACAACATTATACCGCGCAGTATCTACGGTTGCAAGCATCGTACCATCAGAGCTGAATGTCATAATTTGTACACCTCGTGGTGGCCCTAAACACTCGGGACTCATGTTGAATGCAGAAGAGCTAGTCGCCTCGGCGTACTCTGCGTCCCCAAGGGCACTTGTATATCGTTCGCGCCATATTTTGGCCGAGCTTTGATCGGATGGGAAAACATGCGAGAGTGTAGTGGAGCACGAGAACTGCCAGCAGTATTAGTATGGGAATCATTCGACTGCTGAGCGAAAGTTGCATACCGTCCTTGTTCGGAGAAGGTCAATGTTGCCGTTGACTTTGCCAATGGCGAGAATATCACTGGCTCGGACATTGCCGGCAGGGCTCCATTCAATGAGTTTGACACCCAGATCAAATGACTCGTCTACCTCCGATGGACCAGTATAAGTTCTGAATAGCTGTCCATCAGCGGTAAAAATAAGCACCTTGGTTCCGGAGCTAGCAGCGTCCCAGACGGCAATCCACCTTCCGTCTGGACTCCATTTCAGCCCTTGGGCGTCAAAGGTGGGGAGCACAACCCGATTAATGAGACTGTATGATTGAGGTTCGTGGATCGTGAGTAGGTCGGATGATTCTGGCTTCAATAAGATCGCGAACTGCCTGGTTTGCGGGCGGTATCCGAACCCAAGGTGATGGGAAAATTTCGGTGATTTGATCATTGAGCTGTGACCCGTATCTAGCGAGTGAATAGCCATTTTGGTGTGCCATGCGTGGAAAACAAGGATCTCATTCTCGTAGGCACCGAATTCGGTGTTCAGGGTCCCAGGTTCTAGATTTTCAATCTCCGCGAAGAGCTGCAGCTGATCTAGTTGCCAGACCGAAATGCGGGAGTCACTGGCAACGAGAAGACGTCGCTCAATAGACGGTCGAGTGAGATCTCGAGTCGGAGAAAACCTAACTGTTTTAACCACAGTCTCTTTATTTCTTGCGACATGCAACTTCTTGTTTTCTGAAGCAGGGTTGGAGTAGAGAAGCAGGTCTTTGCCGCTTATATGAGTTGCAAAAAGTCCATCATCGGACAGTGTGAGGGCCAAGGGTGCTATTTGATCGTCAGAATTAGACCATTCAATGCGCAGCAAGGCACTTACCTCCGATTCCAGTTGAGGTGTCCATTGTTGACAAGGACGTCAACAGCAGGGCGCGTCGAAGTAGTGGTTATTATACTGGATTGCTTGGTGACTCCACGAAGTTGACACGTGCGGGTTAAAATGGCGTTATGTATCTAGATACCCGATTCACATCAGACATACATTCAACTTTTGTCTGTTGTGCCTGTGTTGACAATCTTCAGTCGGATGAATCCATGGATAGCCAACACGCGCTAAGGCATCAGCTGTTTATGCCTGAAAATTTCGATAAGATAACACTAGGATCAATGTAAATCCGACCCGAGATAACGAGCGCGGCGCAAAAAGTCTCACGAGTCGTCGTCCTCCGATGAGTTAGATTTCGGCTCCAACAGTCAAAATAGGCCTCACGAAGACGTTCTCCCCTTGTCTGGGGCGCTCACTCCTGAGACTATCCAGACTACAGCTCAGAATGGCGTCCGATAGCACTCAGGTAAAGGCGCCAAACGGCGCCGAGCAGCCCTCCGCAGCGGCCCCCCACAAGAAACTACTGGGCCGACAGTTCTACGAAAGCATTGGAAGTCCTAAGTACATTGTTGCTCCGATGGTGGATCGGTCTGAGTTTGTGAGTATGCCTCGACACATCTCAATTGCTCTTAACTAAGGATTTCGTTCTCCGTCTAGGCCTGGCGCATGCTCACTCGATCATTCATGCCCGAGGAAGAAGCGAAGTCGGTCCTCGCATACTCCCCAATGTATCACGCGCGTCTCTTCGGTGAACAAGAAAGAGTGCGCTCGGGTAGTTTTCAACCCACGCGGGCGGCCATTGGCGACTCGAACAAAAAGGATGAACTTTTCCTCGATGGAAACCCTGCCTTCGACCGACCCCTCTTCGTTCAGTTTTGCGCGAATGACCCGAATGAGTTTCTGGAGGCTGCGAAGCATGTCGCACCATACTGCGATGCCGTTGATTTGAACCTTGGCTGCCCGCAGGGCATTGCGCGGAAGGGTCACTACGGAGCTTTCCTTCAAGAGGATTGGGACTTGATCTATAAACTGATCAACAAGCTGTCAACTGAGCTTTCGGTGCCTGTTACGGCCAAGTTCCGCATTCAGGAGACCAAGGAGAAGACACTGGAGTATGCGAAGATGATCTTGTCTGCTGGCGCAAACATTATCACAGTCCACGGACGTCGGCGAGAGCAAAAGGGTCATGAAACAGGACTTGCAGACTGGGACCACATCCGCTATCTGCGCGATAATCTGCCTTCGGAGACTGTCATCTTTGCCAATGGCAATATATTGAACCATGATGACATCCAGCGTTGCCTCGACGCGACCGGTGCCGACGGAGTTATGAGTGCGGAAGGCAATCTTTCTGATCCTACCATCTTCAGCAAGCCACCACCTGTTGGTAGTGAAGGACGAGACTACTGGCGAGGCCGCGACGGAAAGGGTGGATACCGCATTGATGCCATCTTGCGCAGATACCTCGACATCATCTATAAATACGTTCTTGAGCAACCAGTTCCTGAACGAAAACCTCTCTTCCTCCCATCTGACCCGGTGGATGAGGCGGAAGAGGCAAAGGAAGCCGCCGAGCAGGCTGGCGAGGAAGAAAAAGACGGCCCACCCAAGAAGAAGCAAAAACGCGACAAGATCAAGCGACCAAACTCGCCCAACCTGGGTTTCATGCAGGGCCACCTTTTCCAAGTTCTCCGACCCATGGTCGGAACTCATACGAATGTCCGCGATGCCCTCGCTCGATCGCGACCTGGAGATATGCCAGCTTTCGAGCACGTTCTCACTCTGATTGAGCGGGCTATCAAAACTGCCCTGAAAGAATATGAACAAACCCCCGAGAAATTCGAGAAAAGTCCGGATGAGACTTTGACGGGATCTAAGGCTACCATTGCTGAGTATGGGCGGCCTTGGTGGGTTTGCCAGCCTTATATTCGACCCCTTCCCGAGGAGGCTAGAGAGAATGGCGCTCTGACTGTCAAGGGAACCGCGCGTGGACCAAAGGAAAAGACAGAGAAAAAGGAATCGACAGAGACGAACACGCCAACATCCGAGGGGGCCAACACACCTGCCAATGACACGCCGTCCTCGACCATCCCACCGGATCCCCTGGTCAGTGGATAGAGACGACGAGGCACAAAAGATGCCATGCACATAGAATAAAAGATATTCGATCTCAAAGGCACTGATAGACCATGAATTTCGCATAGCGCTTTGATACACCCAATGAAATATTCTTTAATGCATTTCTAAACTTGACGATTGATTCAACTCTAGACAACATCTACACGTTCAGTTCATCTGCTCGAATATTGACTGGGACACCTGCTGCTTTTCCTGGTCCGTCTTCAGGCTCACTTTGTTCAAGATGATCTGTACCAGCAACTGATCCGTCAGCCGCGACCCTTCCAATAACATCTCGTTTCCGGTCTCTGTGCTCAAGATGAGCAATGAGGCCAATAAATGGCAAGGTCAAGGCTCCAGTCACTAAACTGGCAACGTAACCCTTGTGGAAGTTCGGGGCCGCAGTGGCTGGGTAAAAGATGAGCGGCCACCAAGTAACGAAGGCGAAGTCGAATGAGTTCATGAAACCAGTGGTGATGGCACGCAGCTGAAAATCATGACCAGTCACATCCGCCATCCAGGAATACCAAACCGCTTGAGGCGCGAATGTTGTTCCAAGCAAATAGAACGCCACGAAATAACCCCCATCGGATGACGGGCTCGACACGAGAATACTGGATCCGATGACGAATGTCAGTCCAATGGCGATAGAAACCTCCCAGCGAGACTGCAGCCTGTCCGAAATGACAGCATAGAAGACCGTGCCGAGAATAGCTGTCGCATATACGCCGGTAGGATAGTCGTTTTGCTGGATAGTAGTATAACCTCGGGAAGCCATCCAGTATGCCATGACATTATTCTGCAGCATCTGCACACAGAGAGAGTATACTAGATGTGACGTTGAGACGACTTGATCTGGTAAAGCAATGATGGGTGACTAACACATAAAGATGAATGGCAAGAGCCAGAACTGCCAGCTTAGAAGAACGCGCTTGAAGACAGACACATCCCACGACTCTTCGCGGGGGGCACCCAGTCTGGCGATAGCATGCCCTTTCTGCTCGCGGTTGAGAAACCAGGCTGCGCGATGCACCGGTAGATCAGGAATGAAGATCCAGCCTTGAACACATTGTTTTTCGTTAATATTCACCTCGGCACGACTACTCGTACGGAATAACCGGGCTTACCGAATAGTGCAACAGGGATAGTCATCACTGAAACAATAATGAAGATCCATTTCCAAGCGGGAAGACCACCTTTTCCAGCCAGAGATTCCAGCAAGCCGGCTTGAATCCAGCCACCGGCCATAGTCCCTATATGTCCGAACACACAGAACACGGCAGCACGGATGCCGAGCTCGGATCTTTTATACCAAGAGCCGAGGACAAAGTGGGCTCCCACACTAGATCCATCGTCAGTGGAAGTTCTTATCATGGAATCGTGGGTTTTGGCTCTTACTATGCGACGGCGGAAAATCCTCCTTCGATTGCGTTCAACAAGATAACTTGCCAGGCATGGGTCATCTTGTACGTGATCAAAGTTAAGACACTCCATGTCAGATTAGCTGTAACAAACACGTATCGAGGCCGTACAATAGTGAGGAGACTTGTCCCCGGGATCTGGCAAACAGCATAAACAACTAAGTACGCGGTGCTCATGTAGTTGTACTCCTTTCCCTGGAATCCCAGCGCCTCCTTCATACCGCTAATATAGGCAGAGGAATAGCTGGCCCGAGTTACCCCGAAAAGAAACCAGATCAAGGAGAAATAGGGCAACAGGGTCACGTCGAGCTTAGAGAGGAGAGCACGATCTCGGTCGTCGGGACCCCAAAGCCCGATCGCAAGCTTTCTTCGTACCGAGGCCATTTTGCTGAGCTAGACTGCCCTGTGCTTCCATGGGATGGTCGACGACCTTCGTTGCGGGGAAGAGGGGAGCTTGATGCGGAAGAGTGTTAGCAGATGGAAAAAGGAAGGGAGAGCGCTCCCGAACTCTGTGAAATGGACGAGAGCCTCAGACGGCTGCGGCCACACACGCAATACATGAGCCAGATGAAAAATGCACCGAAGAAACGAGCATGCGATTATTTTTATTCCATGTGCTAGAAATCGGTTTGGATGGCGAGATAACTCGCAGGGATGATGAGATTTAGGGGAGAAAGTCATTCACATGATGATGCGATGGGAGACTAATCTGATTTCATGCGGGGTCCGGCCTCTACGAGTAACTCCGAGTATTCATCAACATTGCATCTTGAAAGTAGACAAAATCTACAAGACTGCATATTCCCTCGTGAAAAATAAGGAACCATTTTCATCCGATCCCCCTCATTGGTCCGAAATATCTGACTTTGGCACAATTGACGAAAACTAGAGTTTTCATAGCCAACAGTTCAACTCTTGCTCTTAGCTGCCCATATAGAATCTAATCTAGCCGAGTAAAACCAAGACAGAAATTATGTGGTATGGTTGACGCAAAAAGTCCTGAAGGACGGGGAGGCCGTTCAACCACTGTGTCGATCTGGAATCGCTCTAAGATCAAGGCGATCTGGCGTTTGATTTGTGCCATGACGAGGTTACGGTCAACGCAAGCCCTTGTTCCATATCTAAATTATAGCATACATGCAGCTGTTTGCGCGCCACCGTTTAGTATTGGCTTTGGGTTTGTAGGATCGTATCGACCGAACCATCGTTCAACGTTGAATTGCTTCGCTTCAGGACCCCGGATGTGTGTGGCAAAATTCATTGCCTGAGGGCAGATGCCAATATTAGTAACCCCATATTGGGGATTGGATCATCTCGGAAGAGCTGGAAAAATCATCCTACTGCTAGAATCGTGAATAATTATGCCAGATGCTCATCATGATTGATAATCCAGACTGCACCAAGCTTCCGAAAAAGGTCAATACCCTTTTGTTTAGATTCACTCTGCAATTGATCTGCAGCAAACTCGTGGGTAGCTTCGAGCAGAATTTTGTGGCACTGGTCCATGACCTTATCGCCTTCTGGTGGAATCAGCTTGTCCAACCATGCTGGCAAGATACTATGTCAAAGAATACGGGATCTCTTTTCATGGATGCTGGAAAATATGATCTCCACCACTTCAAAGGAATCCAAGTTCTTGCCTTTGACTATCTGAGGATCACAACCAAGAGCGATGTTACTAGAAATGTCCAGTGATGCTTGAACAACAAGTCTTGTATAGGGCACAATTGCAAACTGTGAACATTCTCCGCCGGGTAAGACTATATTCAACTCCTGCGAACAAAGTATTCTGATCCATAAAGGCCGAAAAATGCATGAGCCCATCGGGATATTCTCTCTCCTTAATCCAGCCTGTAACACGATGGGCCAAATCTCATCGAAAGTATCAAAGATGTGGTCATAGAACCAATTTATTGACTGCGGAGATTAGAACGAGTCAATTTTAGCGTAGAAATGGGCATATCTGAGGTCCTGATAGGTCATGGAAAGCGCTCCGGTGTCGCCGAAGAAGAAGTTTGATGCAGACCGAGGCAGTCGTAAATCAAAGAAAAGTAAACAACCCAGATAGCGTTTGCACGAAATACGAAGCAGGAAGGAAACTGAGGTAACGATTGGGTCCATAGATAAAGATCCACGAAAATACTATCGCGAAGTCGTAGCCCGTGCCTCTTCAATTTTGATGTTTCGAATAGATGCCTAGCGAAGACTGCTCGTGAGTAAGATGAAGAGGAATGTAGACAGAAAAATACCCTCTGGAGGCCAGGTTGCCCATTTAACATCCAGCATTGCGTCCGAAAAAAGGGCGTGTATCTTTGAAAGCGCAGCAGCTGGGGGCCAAATCGTACCCAGACTGTGAATATGATACAAGGACATCCACCCAGGCCCACAACATCTCATGCCAACCGATCGGTGATTAGTACCCAGGTAGGCCCTTAGACTGTATCGACTCTAGATTCATTGGTGCTTTCGGGTATTCCTCTAAATTATAGATGTTTTGATAACAACGCCGATATCATATCTGGGGCGTTAACCACACCTCAGGTTAAACAAGTTATTCCCACCTGCTCTCTCATAATTTTCACCAGCCCTGGAGATTGTAACAAGCTTTTGCTTGGGTATCATAAGTTGATCGAGAGTTCTCGCATTAAGAATCAGTCGTGACCTGGAAAGATTCTTGAATTATTGGGATCTGATCATCGACGCTGTGGAAACCATGACGTGATTTCATTCGAGGCGGCTCCCACTGGAACGTTGGCATATGACCGATCCCTATCGAGTTAGTCGAGGAAGGGGAACCAATGACGATTTAAAAAACGACCACGCAGCTTGTATGACCGCCCTTCGATCATGATTTGACCGCTACGTGGCGCTAGTGGTGACTATACATGGGCACTTGTGACGTCCCTGCATTGCGCTAGAAACATACGTCCAAAAGGCTATAGTTGCATACCATATCCCATAGGGTATTGCCAACGTAAACTGGAAATAACCTTCGAGATACCAGGTAAATTATTACAAATTTGAGCTGTAATGAATTCCTTCCCGAATGCAGGGCTCTTGCTCCCCTCCCCTCCCTCCGGGGGGGAACATACCCCGCCTTCATAGGGAAAAAACAATCCCGACGACAAATGCAGTGAGTCAAGCCTTATTGTGGAGAGAGGACTGGCAAGTGTGAGAAAAGCCGCTTGCCTGAACCCAGGGTTTTTGTCATCTTTTCCGGCCGGGGTAGGAGGCACATCGCTTTGTTTTCCTGGTCTTAATTGAGCAACGGTAAAGCGCAAACCGAATTCTCTGATAGTGTAGATAACATCCCGATAATGCATCCATGATAACCGAGACGTCGTTGACAAAAGGGCTAGTGTCAAAGAACTGAAGTTGCAACCAGTTCTAGACAGTAGATGGCAGACTTTTCTCTCCTCGGCCATCGATTCAGTATCTAGCATAGGCAGGCTTTGGGTGAGCCCCCCAGATGCTGCTGGAATGCTGCGTCGAGCTTAATAGATGAATGTATGTCAATGCATCAAAATAGAGCAGGGGGACAAGACAGATCTCTTTCTCAAGTTTCTATGATAGCGTACAAATCATGGCCCGAGCCCATCAAAATTGACCACTTCTTCCGTCCTAAATAGGAATTCATCGAAGTCAAAGCGAATATCTTGGAAAATATCATCGAAGCAGAATCCTGCTCCTTCCGCTAGGGGCTCACTCCCACTCTGCAGGGACGAACCAGTCGTCCGCAAGATCCTGGCCGAGAGGGCCTCAAAGGTACAAATGCACTGCTGAACATATGTACTCAGGTGGACGTGTGCGCGGAGACCCGCCAGAACGTCCTGCCAGGATTGAGAGACCGAGTCGGTAAATAGATCAGATCCGACCATGGCCGCGAGGAAAATCACACCCGCGATGTGAAGGTAATAGATTCGGGTCCACCAAGGAATAATGCCGATAGGCTCACAGGGCTCTAGTGTTTCGGTGACCAGGAAAGTGACACCCTGCGCAGCATCGACGCACATCCTGGCACATTCTCTGAGAAGCCGCTCACTTAAAGTTGAGGGATTGATGGACCTTGGTTGGACACCGGATTTCATAGAGTAGAAGCGGGCAAGCATTGGCCTGTAGAGATAGATGCGGGAATGAAGAAAGCTATGTAGTAGACAACATTAGTAAGGCGAGACCTAATCCGTAAGCGGTGCAAATACTAGCTTACCGAAGATGCAGCAAGTATCGCTTCATTCGAGCTGTCCTGTCTTCCAAAAACTTAAGATTTCGGAGTTGTAAATCGCTTGGGAGACTGGCCTCCCACTTGTTGAGACAAGCGTCGAGGTGAACTGCCGCGGTGTGGTATTCCTCCTGTTGATCAACACGTTGCGCGGCAGATCGAGATGCGAGAGTACTCAGTGTCTGAATCTGGGCCAACTGAATCTGGTTGCCTATTTCGTGAAGTTCCTGCTTCCAACGAGAGTGCTCCGTATGCGCGCCTTCCTGCTGACAGCCGCTTGTCGGCGATGGAATGAGCGCCAGCGCTGATGCCTTTCCGAGTGACCAGGAAACGCATCTACAACCGTCAGTGACATTTCCTGCACGTCAGTGGAATAAATGAGGACATACCGATCCAAGGCAACACAGCTTGCCCAAACCTTGCGCTTCAAACGCACGTCATTACCAGTATCTTTGCCAGCGGGAATCTCAAAAGAGTTGCAACACATAGTTTGCGCAATGCGCATTGCCAGCCCAGCAGTCATCCATGTCTTTTGTTGATGAGTTGTGCAATGGAGGTATCGATTCATCAGCATCAAGCACTGCACACGCTCAAGTGAAGCGGGCTCCCAAACAATCGACTCGGTCGAGAACAGAGCCCACGCACGCCGAAAGTAAGTGCTCCCCTCTTCATTCCGCAAATCGAGGGGCACGCATTCCTGTCTTTGCGCTGCGAGAGCAAAGATCACATTGAGGATGCTGAGCTGAATGTGATGGTCCGTATTCGGGGACGCACTAGGCCCGGAAAATGAAGTTGCATACATTTGCGAAAATTGGTCGTAGTCCAGTACAGGCTCAACTGGATGCATGTATTGCCAGTATATATTGGTCAACTGATCTGCACGAGCGCGGGAGGGTAACTCGGTGGAAATTGAAAGAGGGCAAGATCTTAGGGGCAAATCCAGATCTCCAAACAGGGGTGCATCGACTAGTGGGACAAGGTACGTCGTAGTTAATGGGGCTCTGCCGGCTCTCTCTTCAATGGCAGCCGCGACCTGGCCCGCGAATCGGCCATGAGCTGCGTAGTATGCGCGGTTGGGATTCGGGTCAGGGTTAGATTCTCGGTTATCATCCCAGGGGGAGCATGGCTCAATGACTGGGAGAGCTAAGACCGTTGATGTCGAGGATGCCTCGAGCGAATGGGCAGGTGAAGTTGGAGGGGAAGCGAGGGCAGGAACGCGCTGAGATGCTTGCCTTGGGGTAAGCTTGGGCGGGACGTCGCCGACAGCGGAAGGACGGTTGTAGTTACACGTCTTTCTTCCGGCCTGACACCTGGCGCATGCTGCGCATTCTTTGTATCAGCATGGCTCACAAGAGAGGTTATTGAATGACGGGGTGTTTTGGGGGGGGGAGGGCAAGATTACCCGGGCGGCTGCCGTCGCATTTGGTCTTTCTCGAACGACATGCTTGACAAGCTGTTGCGACTTTCAATCGCTGTCTGCGTATTACCGGCGAGTCGTAGTGTTCTGGTCGAATCATTTTGGCCGTTCTCGCTGTAGCACCGTTGGCGTTGCCATTCTCATGCCCGAACAAGGGACTCCCCATAGGAATTGACAGAGTATACAACCCCGGGATGGAGGAGGTCGTGAGGCTGGTTCGGGCGGAGACTCGGAAGATCATGTGGGGGCGATCACAAAGAAAAATAGTGTCCAATCAGTTGGTGTTCCGGAGAGATAGCCCCCACAGCGGGACAACTTTTCATTGGAAGTCGCAACCCAATATCTGTAGAAAAGGCCAATAGAGAGTAGGACCGCTAGAGCCCACTATTATCCCCGCAGCCAATAGACATGCATTCCGCTTTTCACATCACGGAGGGCACAACAATAGATACTCCGGTCTCCCCGAGGATGCTATATAGATCGCTACAGCCCGACATGAAAAAATTGATCAGATATCTGTGTCCAATCGGTACCATTTATTTCTATCACTATGTCCAGCTCGACCAAGATCACCGCCGACCCGGCTGAGGTTGAGAAAACAGTTGTCTATGGTGGCCGTGGAACCGAAGAAGATCCGTTTATCGTGGAGTTTCAAAAGGACGATCCCGGCAACCCGATGAACTGGAGTTCTTTTCGAAAGTGGTTCATCACATTTATTGCGACCATCTCAGTTTTTGCTGTCACCCTGACCTCGTCTGCATACTCGGTCTCCGCCAACGAGGTCTTTCAAGACTTCGACATTAGTTCTGAAGTCTTCATTCTCGGTCTTTCCCTCTTCGTTCTAGGGTTCGCAATTGGCCCTGCTCTCTGGGGTCCGCTGTGAGTAACTGCCTCACCACCAGTACCTCCCCGAAAAAATTGTCAAGCTAATCTGCTTCAAGATCCGAATTGTACGGAAGACAGAAGCTGTGGATGATCACTCACGTCGCTATGGTAGCATTCCTCGGAGGATCTGCTGGGAGTAAAAAAGTTGCCACGCTGTTGATACTACGTTTCTTTGCTGGCACGTTTGGGGCTTCTCCACTCGTCAACTCCGGTGGTACGATTGCCGATCTCTTCCCGCCAGCTCAACGTGGTCTCGCTCTCACGGTTTACTGCATTGCGCCGTTCCTTGGGCCCGTCCTTGGGCCAGTAATGGGAGGCTTTATCTCCGAAAATATTGGCTGGAGATGGGTACAGGGCGTGTGTACCATCTTCATCGGGATTGTCGGTGTCCTGGGCGTCATCTTTATTCCCGAGACATACGGCCCGGTACTGCTGCAGAAACGGGCGAGTCAATTGTCCAAAACGGATGGGAAGGTTTACATCAGTGTTCTCGAGAAAAGCCAGGGCAAAAAGAAACCATCTGAAGTCTTTCAGCGGGCCTTGTTTCGCCCTTGGATTTTCCTGTTCCTTGAGCCAATCGTCTTCATCGCTTCGGTCTACATGGCTATCATTTACGGCACGGTTTACATGTTCATGGGAGCTATGCCAATCGTGTACAACGAGGACCGTGGTTGGAGTGAGGGTATTGGGGGCCTTTCGTTCCTTGGTATTGCGGTGGGCATTGTTTTTGGACTGATTTATGCGATCTGGGACAACAACACCCGGTATATGAAGCTCGTTCTATCGAAAAGCACGACAGCCGAATCCCGTCTACCACCTGCAATTGTCGGTGCGGTCGCTCTGCCGATTGGAATGTTTGCTTTCGCCTGGACCAACTATCCCAGCATCCATTGGTCCGTCAGTATCATCCTCTCTGCTCCATTCGGCTTCGGATGCGTTCTCGTTCTCTTACCAATCATGAACTACCTGATCGACTCCTACACGATCTACGCCGCTTCTGTTTTGGCTGCGGCCGCTATCTTCCGTTCTGTCATCGGTGCTGTGTTCCCACTGTTCACAACGCAGATGTACCACAATTTGGGTATTCACTGGGCATCCAGCATCCCCGCCTTCATGACACTGGTGTGCATGCCGTTCCCACTGATCATGTATCGCTACGGCATGCAGGTACGTATGAAGTGCAAATACTCGTTTGAAGCAGCGGACACCATGAAAAAGATGCAGATGCAACAGGCACAGGCCAATCAAGCAAAAGAGGAGGACACTGGCTCAGAATAAGGAGGAGTGAAATGGTGGCTTTGTGATACATAAACGCTACAGGCTTTTGCGTACATTTAGCGCAATACAGAAGTTGGGCATAGCGAAAGAAAGACACTATTTATTTTTGCTGGTAAAAGTCTCCGAAATTGGGCTTTTGTTAATTCAGAAAGCTACACTAATGGCTTTGGATATAATATCATTATTTTGGAGGATTGCTACACCGGAGTCACACTCCGCCCATCCCTTACTACACCCTCTCCTAGCCTTCTAAGTACACTGGTGTATTGATGTATAAATTACTCTGAATTTTCCACTGTAGGCGCATCAAGTAAAATTACACTTCGTTTCTGGTTGTAAAGCCTGGCTTTAAGCACAATTCTTGAACATGGTCCCAGCCACCAAGATACACTAGTGTACGGAGTAGATGACCAAGTAGATGACCAGGTCGACGACTAGATTTCTGACCAGTCAAACGATATTCCTGGATGGATGTAGTATAAACGTATCGAGGATTTTACAATTTCGGGGACATAGGGAAGTAATGCCTGATTGCAAGACATGAATGCAGAATTGGAATTCTATTCTCCAGTTGTAGCAAAGGCAGAACAGCAACAGAAAGAAATTCGATCAAAACAAAAAATAAACACGGTGCATTACAACAGTAATTTACTATAATCGTGTCTTCGGCATGATACATCAAAAACCAGTCTCTTCGCCAACAGTCGAAAATTTTCATGTCACTGCAAACTTCGCGTGAGGGCTACGGTCCACGACATCCGCAGCCAAAAGACTCAGACTGGGGCTTTGCATGATATTGAAAATCGACACCTCGGCGGGAGCATGGCTGAAAAGCATATTGCGCACTTCAACAGCAACTAGTGAATCGACACCTTGCTGGGACGGCGACTGGCTCAGATCGACATCCTCAACGGGAACCAAAAACATGTCGGCCAGCATTTCAGCAATGGCCGTCCCCTCAACTCGGGTGGCTTCATCGCGCGATACACAGGCAGCTATCTGGGATGCCAGAGATTCACTGCCGTTTTGCTCTTGCTCTTGCCCAGTGGAAACGGTTGGGCGGTATTTGAGTGGCAGCACACGCATGTCGCGGCTGAGGTCGCCGTCAACATCCCAATGGGAGCCCGGGCCTGAGTTTATGTCACCGACAATGAACTGGGGGTCATAGGGGGTCATTATGGCCGACTCGAGCGAGGACAGAACATGATCCTCGTCAATAACCCTGCGCCCAGCCTTGAGGAGGGATCTGCGAAGGGTCTCGGATGAGCTGGCCTCGGCGACATAGCCGACCGCATTCACGACAGAGAGATCGATCGAAACGGCGGGGAGGCCGCACTGCTTGACGCGCCAGTGTGCCAGAGCATCATCGCAAGCACCGGCGGCTGAATAAGCGGACTGACTAGCGTAGCCAAGGATTCCATTGATGGAAGAGAAGAGGACAAAGAAGTCGACATCGCCAGGTAAGTTGAACTGATTGTGTAGATTCCATGCGCCAGCAACCTTGCTCTGGATTGTGGTCTTCCAGTCATCCAACTTCATTTTTTCAACAAATGCGTCCTGTCGAAACAACAATTAGTCTCCAAAAGGGGGATCAAGATGGCATAATTTTTACTTACCCTGAGAACAAAAGCGGCATGAATGACACCCCGGATTGTTGGTAGTCCCTGGTGGGCGCATGCATTTATGGCCCGGGCTAAGTCATCCTCGTTGGCGACATCACAGCTGATAGGCAAGACGCGATGACAGCCCGCCTCACGAAGCTCATTGGCGAACGCTGCTGTTTTTCATTTTTAGCAGCGCTACGTGAGAGTAGGATAAGATTCTTTGCTCCACGGGTACCAGCCAGTGCGCCGCGGACTGTGCGAGGCCACCACTGCCACCCACAATCAAGTAGGACACATCGCCAGAAAGATTTGCGGTCCGTGTTCGTGGCAAGACAGACACCATCTCGTTTGGACTAACCGAGAAGACAGCCTTGCCTAAATAGCGCTCACTCTGAAGCAGGCGAGATGTATTCGCGATTTCCCCCAAAGAATGCATATCGATGGGGTGCACAGGCGTCATTGCTTTAGTCTCGATGAGACGCATCACTTCACTCAAGCATCTGTGAACTTGTGGACGTCGATGTTCCAACAGACTGGGGTTGTCAACAGCTGCAAATGAAATGCCGTGAGAAAAAGGACGCATTTCTAGATGGCTGTTCTCCTCTGAATCTCGTCTGCCGGTTTCGATGAAATGCCCTAGGGGTGCGACAAGGTTGATGCTCTCATGAAGGAGCTGTCCAGGCAGTGAGTTTAGTACCACGTCGACTCCACAGCCATTTGTAGCGGAACGAGTCGCAGGACCAAATGATGTATTCCCACAACTGAATATGTGGTCTGCGGGTATACCATATTTCAACATCACCAAGCCCCGCTCGCTGGGACCGTCGACCGTTGCAAATATCTCTGCACCTAGATGTTGTGCAATCATGATGGCTTCTTGTCCGACATCTCCGGCTGCTTCATGAATCAGAACGGATTGAGAACTCTGTAACCGTGCCATCTCCACGAGAGAGAAATACGCCGTGAGAAATGCCACGGGAATTGATGCTGCCTCCTGTAAGATCATTTCTTCAGGGATGTCCATCGCAAAGCTCTAATCGACGACCACCCGGCTTGAAAAAGACGAACCATTTGACACACAGAGGACATGATCGCCGACTGCAAAGCCTCGTGAGGCTGCATCGCCGCCGACTTGAGTGATGATTCCTGCACATTCGAGACTGGCTAGAGAATGTTCTCCATTGCGCAAAGATGCACCGAAAGCTCTGGGCTTGAGCTCAATTGAAGACGGAGAAAGCGCACCTGAATTTGCGAGGGCAAATTCATCGTCGCCAGAGGCCAGATAATCGGGCTTCAAGGAAAGAGGTCTATCTGACTGATAGAACGGTTCAAGAGGCACCGTTTCTTGCGTGTCGGCATCTGAAGCATCAAGAGAAAAAAAAGCCTGTCTCTCGGCACATCATGGTAAATTCGCCGGACTAGTATCACACCGTCCCTCTCAGCAAATTCTTACTCAACCGGGCCCCTCTCTGCGATCTGGTCATTCCCGATATTGCCAAAGGCATCACAACGTACCTGTGCGATTGCAGACGCGCCGGCTTCAGACCACTGCGGTCCCTTGGGGTCCAAGTCTATTGTCAGAAGTTTGCGACCGACATACTCGTTGCGGAGAGAGCGAATGAAACCAGGGGCAAGACTTAGCTCGGGTCTCTCGCAGTCAACGGCCCCACCACGAGTAACCCAAAGTAGCCCTTGACAGGAGGTGCTCATGGTACGGATTCCTTCCAGGGAAGCTGAATCAAGGTCGTAAAGGATTGGATCGTCCACTTCGCCAAAAAAGATGGCAATCTTGTCAGCGTAAACTTCGGGGTTAGCAGCGACAGATTCAAGATTCTGAACAACAAGTTCGTTTCTTTCTAGGTTCTCGGTGAAATTAGAAACCGAATTTTGAAGACACTTGAGCCATGCTGCTGGGGGACGGCCGCCTTTCTGGCCAGTGACGATGATGAATTTGTCCACAGGTATTTTTTGAGACGAGTAGTGCTTTGGTACACTCGACATGATTGTCAGAGAGGTCCAGGCTCCACTGTCGCAGTCAGGCAACTCGAGATCAGCTCCGGTGAATCCAGCGCTCTTGAGATGGTGATTCCAGAGGCTTTTGTCAGCCTTTGTGGTTTCCTGTCCATCGTGCACCTCTGGTGACCATCGATCAGAAAGTAACCCGTGGACGAATTCGACATCGACTTGACCTTTGACGTCTTCCATCAACAGAAGGGTTCCACTGGGTTTGAGAAGACGCCGAATCTTGCCCAGCGAACGCGGAAGAAATTTGGTATTCCTCGCCATACGCGAAGCAATGACAATGTCGTAGGTGCAATCTGCAAAGCCTTGTGCCGGGAGATCCCGGTCGATGTCAAGTTCGTCAAAAGACAACAGGTCACCCCAGGAAAAAAAGGTTTCTCGTGCTGTTTCGAGTGAGGCTCGTGAAATATCCGTGTAATGATACGAGGAGGCGTGTGGGCCACCTGAATCGGTTGTTCCCAAAGCTTCGAGGGCAAATGTTGTCATAGATCCTGCGCCAATCTCGAGGATGCGAGCACGAGGGTTCTTGTGTGTAAGGTGTCGAAGTATTCCTGAGAACTGCAACCCAATTCGCTTAACCTTTGGTGTCTCGCCATAGAAGCGGGACAAGATGTCATCCTTTGACAAAATTTCGCCAGGTGTCGTTTGACCCCGCAGAATAGACACCAGTTGAATACCCAGACGATGGCATATCTCACCAGCCACACCATGCTGAGAAATTTGGCTGATGTGACGCTTCCTGCCTGAATCCAAGGCGGAAACCCACTTGGCACTGCCAGCGTATAGTTTCCCAGATGGAGCGCGCTGCACTGTGGCATTCATCCATGAATAAAAATTGGCAAAATGGGGCTGCATGTTGTCAACTTCGCGCGGGTGCAAAGCCAGCAGCGCATCCTGAAGAAAGTAGACACACACGCGCCATATGTCCCGAGTAGAAGAGTCCTCAGCCGGGTCGATCACACAGGCCAGCTGCTTCTTCACCAAAGACAGGGTTGCTGAAGATGCAGTCGAAATGTCGAGTGACCAGGCCGTTTTGCTATACCATTATGTCTACAGAAGCTTTGGTTCTAGTTGTCTGGCTCGTCGAACAGGTAGTTTTCCTACTCTACACGCAGTCCCGGCCCTCCAGTGTCCACTCGTGTACCTCAAGAGAAGGAGCCAGAAAAATAGAAACCCTGACCGGGTTTTAGGTGGCTGGAGCCTTGATCGGATCCTTTGTGGTAGAATGGTGCTGACGAGGCTGGAAGTTCGATTCCGGAGTTTATTAACAAGCTCGTAAATCCGGAGTCCGGAGTTATAATTCGTGCTTATTGGGGGCATAAACATAACGCAGGTTTAAAAGGCAGAGCATTAATCGAAAATATAAAATTATCCACAGATACTTTGTGATCATGAAGGTCACGGGCTCGTTTGCGACATGTCTCCTGGCATCGGTGGGAAGGAACTCCAGTGGAGTGGCCTTCCCAGACCAAGCCAACTACGCCACCTGGTCTCTCCGTATAACCTCGACCTTCTCACCACACCTGCTGCCATCGTCTTCCCTCAAAATGTAACACAGGTTGCAGCAGCCGTCAAGTGTGCTGTCGATGCGGGAATCAAGGTCCAAGCGAAAAGCGGAGGACATAATTATGGCAATTTCGGGTCGTCGACTGGCGAGATTTCGGTGAATTTGGAGAACCTCCAGGACTTCAGCATGGATCATACCACCTGGACTGCAAAGTTCGGACCCGGAAACAGCCTTGGACAGGTCACAGAGCTTATGTACAACAACGGAGGACGTCAAGCACCGCATGGAGAGACGTTCGACGTCGGACAGGGTGGACACGCCACGGTGGGAGGCGCGGGGGCCGCATCGCGCCAGCTATGACTCCTCGTGGACTTTGTGGAAGGGGTGGAGGTGGTCCTCGCGAACTCCTCGATCGTTCGAGCATCAAAATCGGAGAACGAGGATCTCATCTTCGCCGTCCGCGGCGCCGGGTCTAGCGTCGGGATCGTCACCGATTTTACCATCCGCACTGTGCCTGTGCCTCCGTCGACTGTTGACTATACCTACGTTTGGACGAAGCAAAGTGTCGCATCCCAAGTGAAGATATTCCAGAGCTGGCAAAAGCTGCTCGCTGGTGGCACCCTGCCACGCGAAATGTCGTACGGATTGACCGTTACGGCTAACGGCATGGTTCTGTCCGGAGTATACTTCGGCAGCGAGGACGAGTTTGCGGCGCTGAACCTCACCAGCCACTTCGCCACGCCTCCACAAGTTAGCGAAACTAAGGCCTACAGCAGCTTCCTCGAAGTGTCCAAGGCCTTGGACGCGGCAGTCAGCGCCGCTGGTATTGCTTCCCCGTCGCACTTTTACGCCAAGTCCCTTGTCTTCACCGAGAAGACACTGATTCCCGAAGCCACCGCCCATAGCTTTTTTAGCTATTTGGCCAACACAAAGAACGGAACAGACTTGTACGCCCTCAACTTCAACGGCCTCGGTGGGGCAGTTGGTGATTTCTCGCCATCGGAGGCAGCCTATCCTCATCGCGACACGCTTTACTTCATGTTCTCCTTTGCTCGCACGAGTGGCAACCTCACAGACACGACGATTCGCTTTTTGGACGGCCTAAGCGAAGTTCTGACAAGCGGGAATCCCAAGACATACTACGGCCAATACTCGGGGAATGTGGATCCACGGGAGACGAACGAGAAAGCCCAGACTGGGTACTATGGCCAGAATCTGGATCGACTGCAGCGGATCAAGGAGGCAGTGGACCTGAATGATGTTTCCACAACCAGCAGAGTGTACCTGTGTCTTGATTGCTTGATCTCCTGCATAAGAAACTAGTGGTGGTCAGCAGGGTATTGGAGAAGATGGTGTGGGATGGGGAATCCAAGACGGAGAATAGAAGCAGTGAGGCGGGTTCGAGCTCTAATGCGGGAATGTGAAAACGCCGGAATATTCCCCGATGTTTCCTAAACAGCAATCGAACCCGGCGCGGATTCCGACCTTCATCCCTGGCCTTTCAAGTGTATGCGATTCGACCCCACTAGTCCTCGCAGCAGTAATCCGCCATAGTGACACATATTGAAAGCAAAGTTTGCACGAATGAGAGACCAATGAATCCTCCAAGGGCCTCGCAATTAAACTATTGTTTATCACATGATCGGAATAAGAATGCTCAAATTCCGAGGCGTGAGGAGTTTTAACTTCAATTACAATCTCCGACTTCATTTTCGCAAGGGTGTTCGCAGAATGAATTCCTCCTATGCTAGCTTTGAGGGACTTGTTGCCCAAATAGGCAACTCAGTCGAATCATTTCACGACTTACCACGGTCCGAAATTTCTGGTAATCATGAGCTACAGCCAATGGAAAGAACAACTTCGAGACAATCTCATTTGCGAGAATTCTCTCTTCCTCCTGTGGATGGAGGCAAGAATGCATTACTTTGTTTAATGGGTGCTTTCTGCTTTGAGATGTGGGTCTGGGGTAGGTGAACAGTGCCAAAAAATAAAGGTACCACGATTTTCTGACCCATATCAGGCTTCCCTTTTGCTTTCGGTGTGTTCCAAGACTATTATTCAACAAATCAACTCTTTATAGAAGATTCTTCAAAGGTTTCATTGATTGGCTCTTGCTGCATGGTGAATACTCCCGCCCAAGAAACGATTCTCGATGCTAACAATGGGCACAGGGAATTATGTATCTGGCATCTCCGGTTAGCCTCTTCGTTCTCCAGAGGTGGCCCAGGACATGCCGATTTAGCTGCCTTGTGGGTCTGGTAGTCGCAGTGCTTGCAATTGTCATGTCCTCCTTTGCTACACGCGTCTGGCACCTCATTGTCACGCAAGGCATTTTGTATCCTTTCGGTGCATGCATGCTATACTACCCAACATTCATCTTCATCGACGAGTGGTTTATCAAGAAGAAAGGACTAGCATTTGGGATTTGCTGGGTTGGTATTTGCCTGTCCCGATTCTTGATCGGTCATCTAACTGAAGCAGGCAGGAAGTGGCATTGCCGGTGTGGCCTTCCCACTTATCGCTAAGTATGCCCTCTCGCGATTTTCCTTCCAGGTAACTATGTGGGCATGGGCAATACTCATGTTCATCCTTACTGGGCCCTTTTTGCCTTTCGTGAAACGACGTCTCCCGCTCTCAACTCCATCCAGTTCGGGCTCCCAGCAGATTGCCCCCTCTTTCCTGTCTTCAAGAACCTTCATCATCTTACAATTCGGAAACATCCTGCAGAGCTTGGGATACTTCATACCGTCTATTTACTTAGCGACATATGCCCGATCAGTTGTTGGAGAAATTGGCTTTGGTACGACGGCCCCAATTGTATCTATGAATGCCGGCATGACTCTGGGCTTCATTGTAATCGGTCTACTTATCGACCGATGTCATGTTGTCAATGTACTTTTTACTTCCGCTATCGGCGCGGCCCTGAGTGTCTTCATGGTCTGGGGGATATCTATCTCTCTCCCACCACTATGCGTCTTTGCTATGCTTTACGGTACATTTGCTGGAAGTGGGCCTGCAGCATGGCCCGGGATCGTCCAACTCCTGCGAAACAGGGACCAAGCCATTCCTGCAGGTTTTGTACTGAGTCTTCTTGCAGCTGGTCGCGGTGTTGGCTCGATTGCCTGTGGTCCGATCAGCGAGGCCTTGATGAAAGGGGGCTGGACGCTGACTGGGAGGTCGAAGCTAGGGTATGGGACCGAATTTGGCATACTCATTGTCTTCACTGGAATGACGGCGACATTTGGGGCACTCGGGTTCGGGGCAAGAAAACTAGGAATAATCCAATGATGTTTTGTTGCAGTGTTTACTATGAATAGTTTTAAAGAGGTAGAGTTAGTCGGGGACCACCATACAATACCATCTTCACCAGAAAGCTGCCTTCGATTAGGGCTAGAATATTGGGAATTTAGGTTCATCAGATTCGTCCCAACACAACTTGCCCAGCCGGGATGCGGCACTGGCAGCTGACGAGAGGCTACGAAAAGCTGCAATTGATGACAAGGAGGGGAAGAGGGTGAAAAAAGAAATAAATTAAAAGAATGAATGAATTGAAAAAGCAAAACATAATGAATAAAAAAAAGAAAGACAGGCAGGATGAATGAATAAACACAAAAGGGAAGGTTGTAAAAAAAGAAGGCCCGAGCCCGGGATCGAACCGGGGACCTCGCGCAAGCATGCTCAGAGTTGAACCCTAAGCGCGAATCATACCACTAGACCACCCGGGCTATTTGATAAAATTTCTTGCATCATTTGCTCTCATGGAGCTATTTAATTCGGACGAACATCCAACTCACTCAGATCGGACTGCCCCGATGGGTATACCCCAATTCAAAGTCCGGAGCATTCGGTTCACCTATTTCCCTGCTCCCCGTATGAAGATTCTTATGCGGGTAAAAAAATTCTTTGATGACCCTAGACGAAAAGCATCTTCACTCTGTGCTCTGAAAAAAAGGATAGCCGTGTGTCGAAATGGTGGTCAGGAATGGTCGACTCCACGTATCCACAGGTTTCGATTTTGTTGCGGCTACAATCTCACAGAGTGGAAAAAATACCTTGTGCTTTTCGCCGCACTTTTTGCAGCTATGGGGATCACTGATAATTTCCACTAAGGGTCCTGGAAAACAGAGCACCGAAACGCTAGAGAGATGACACATTATCAACACCACCAACATTTGGGAAATGATCGAAAAATATATAGAATTATCTTACATAAAAAATGGCCCAAATTCTTTATTGAGAATCTACAAATTCTCAATCAAAATATCTGGTACATTACGATCATATAAATCATTCCAGAACATAACATCGTGAAGTTCACCCTCACTCAAATTGGCATTCCACGAAATGTTCTGGCTATGGAGTTATAATCCGACGGTGGATTATCCCCACGGTTCTCCAGCCAAGAGACCCCGCCATTTTTAAGTCAATTAGCTCCACAATTGAGACGTTGTCAATAATGCAATTAGTCGTAGCAACGTTGTTATGCATGAAGATCAAGTCTGGGCCATCATTTTGGCCCGAGAAAGGGATTTTCTCCTCTGACGGACTGATTCGACCGTTCACGAGTATGTTGGGACCTGGTACCACGTAGGAGCGAGCTTGGAGTTTCTCTGGAGATTTAAGATTGTGAAGCTGATGGAGTATCTTCTTGGCCTGTTACTTAAAGGATATCTTCTGGTCGTTTGAAAGATATTGCCATGCAACACACAATCTAACACCTAGAAGCCTTTCTTGCGCAAGCACTTGGCCATTGACCTGGGAGTATGTAAGTTATAGAGCCGATACAGAGGTCCAGTATTTCACATAGTGGGAATTGACGTGCTGAAAGTAAAAAGCGAAAATTATCGGGTTTCGGGCACTATCGACCAGAAAGGGGCACATTCACGTACAGGTTAGTTGTGGAAATCCTTTCTGGATCTGTTCTATATAGGCTCATGATGGCAAAGATGGATGGGATAGGCAGGGCACAAAGGGAATACAGAGGGATCATCGTGCCTGAGTATTATGGATATTGGATCGGAAGTATGCTGCACGTGTACCACGCCCAGGCGGTGTAACACCGGGTTATGACAGCCGATAGGCGTCTCTCGACACGTCGCATATCCCCATCTCCTTTATGTAAAGCCTAAACCCCGATTTGAGACCGGAAGTCTTTTATTCTTCCTGATTATATAGACACTCGCAGCCTCTACATGTTCAATCCTTGATGAATGCCTCCTGTTCGAGGGCATGCCTTCCATGCAAGATGTTCCACATAAGATGCCATCACAGCTGTGTAGGTTGATACTCTGGGCAAGCTACCTGTCTATGGCTTGGTGGGGGAAATGAGAAGCGGGACATTACTGTGATGTAGACCTCGCCACGACCCGAGGGTGACCCTGACGACCCGGACCGCGACCCGGACCACGCAGGTTTTAGGGTCGTAAGGTTAGACCCTGAAATGGGGTCAGGCTAGGGCCATAAAAGTCGAGAACCTACCCTCAGGGTCGAGAACCTACCCTCAGGGTCGTCAAACAAGGCAAACATTGCCAAGTCACGCGGAGCATAAGTTATGCAGATTTTGTCTGTATTTTTGAGTATCTTACTTACAGTACTTAGAGGAGAAGTTTCCTAATTTGGCAATGTAGAATGAATTAAATCAAAACAAATCAAACTAATGAATCAACCGAAAAGACTGCCCGAATCTCGAATTACATATTAGACGTTTCATACCCATCTAGCAACCTTGAACGCTTACGGACTCTGCCTGACACTCGGTGCTGTATCTCCGGCAGGGGTATTGCTTCCGACTCTTGACCATCGTCTTCCTCCTCATCACCTCTCACATAGTCAGCTATATTGCTTATACGTCTTTTGCCGAGTGCTTTTGCGGACGGACCCTGGGCAGCCTGCGAGGTTGGTCGGGTCTTCGAGATAGCTCGGGGCTGGGACCTGGCTCGGAGCTGTGTCGTAGACGCTTCATCCTCTTCATTGTCGCTAATTGGATCAACAGCGAGTTGCTGCTGTGTTCTCTCTTCCTTTGCAGCCTGTATCTCCTGAGCCGAAAGATATTCAGAAAGCATTATTCGCTCCTCTTCATGAATCTCAAACCGTGATGTACACATATACATCATAAGATCTGAGATTGTTTGAGGGTGAAGAGAGCCTCGACGATAATGACAGATATCTCGTGCAGAGTTAAAAAGCCGCTCTACCCCTGCACCACTAGCTGGGATAGAGAGCACATCGCGAGCAAGCCTTGCCATCGTAGGGAACTTATCTTGATGATCTCTCCACCAGGTCAGAGGCTGGGCATTTGTGACTATATCTAAAGGACAAGTCAGTAATTGCTCAAATAGAGATCAAGAAATACTTACTGCTATCAAGATACCTTGTAAGCTCATCTGACTGTGCTGGCTGTGAAATTTGAGACTGCTGCGACTCATCTAGAGCACAAGCTAAATCAAATTCATCCGGTATCGAACTTATAGTCGGACCACCTAACCTTTGATGGTCCTCGGCAAAACTCTCAGAGTACTTCTCGAGGAAGGACTCAAGGCTCTGGCGATAGGCTGCTCGGTAGTCGACCCCAGATCCTGGGTCTGGATCCCAGTCGGGAGTCGAGAAGAACTTGAGTTTATCCTGTGGAGAAAGGATTGTGCCAACTGCGTAGAGATGACTGTCAATCTTGTCGGTGTCTCTGTAGTAGGCTGAGAGCTTGAGTTTTGCTGCTTCGAGGGATATAAGCATCACCTGCTTCCAAGCAACCTTCTTCCGTCGAAGCTGGTTAATCGACTTTTCAAGATGATCAAATAGCTTCTTGTAGACCTTGAAAACCCGATGGATAGTGACATTCTTTGTTTTGCACAAAAGAGTTGTGAATCGGTGAAAAGGCTCAAGAATACAAAGGAGATAATCAACCTGCCGCCACTGCTCCTGGCTCAAGGAAAAGTGCCCTTGGTCATACTGGGAGCAGAAAGCATCGAAGGCCTGCTGGAGCTTCTTCGCGCGTGCGAGCATTAAGAATGTAGAGTTCCATCGAGGAGTAACGTCCTGGATTGGAACTAGCTTTTTCTCTCTTGCCTGCAGGTTGTAGAATGACTCCTGGCGCTGAGGACTTGCATTAATATAAATCGCAAGGTTTCGGACCTAAGGAACAAATTAGATTATGAATCGGAATTAAGTAAGACGTCTTACCTTGCTTAGAGTGTCAACAATCCCTCTTTCCTGCTGCGTCGCCCGCAGAGCTTCTACCCGATCATCAGACCATGTTTGCTCAGCCCTATCATTTTTTGGAATAGCCTTCATCTTCCCAAGAAGACTTTTTAGGCTAATCTGGATCACATGTGCAATACATGGTACCCGAATGAGAGCGACGTCGCTCGAGGATTGTAGACCTTCAATCGCCTCGTTGACACTCTCCATAAGAGTTTTGTTGTTTGAAGCGTTGTCGGTAGTCACCGAAAGCACTCGATTCGTGATCTGATGCTCTTGTAGCAAGTCGAAAACCACCTCACTCAGATTTGCACCAGAATGAGCTCCATGTAAGGGCTGAAATCCAAGTAATATCTCACGGTACTCCCAGTCTTTGTCAATGAAGTACCCAGTGATAGCCATAAAAGCCTGTTTGAATGGAGATGTCCAGCAATCAAGGGCAAGTGATAGCTTAGCACCAGAAGGAAGTGTCTGAAGGATAATCTTTTGGTTCTCACGGACTAGCTCTCGAAGCTGCCGGCGCATAGCTTTAGCGGATGGGATATCTGGCATTGATGGTGCCAGCCGGGCGTAAGAGATAAGATCACGGAACTCAGGGTGTTCAAGGAAAAGGAACGGAAGATGTGACACAGTAAGAAGCTTCGCAAGCTTCTGCTGCCAAATACGCGTATCGAATGCTCGTACGGGTGAATTCTGGGCCTAGGCGTAGAAGTAAGTTAGTAAAATAAAGCCGATAATAGGGTGCTGAACATACAGCATGCTCTAATGCCAGCTTGATATTTGGCTTCTGCCTTTTGGCTAGGGCAGCTTTCCGACAAGTCACCCCATTATAGTGCTTGTTCATTGAAGTTGTTCCGCTATGAGCCCAACCAGGGTGATCAAGAACCTTCTGACATTGCTGGCACATAACTCCTGGTTTCCCATTTCTGTCTAAGGCGACCTGGTCAAAGTATTCCCAGCACTTTGCGCGTTTCCCATCCCAAGTCATCCGTTTCTTCCTCCCAAAGTCGGTCTGAAGCCACCAAGTCACAAATTCATCACTCATTTCTGGAGAATATAGAATGTATGTTCTGATCCGGTCCGGGCAAACGCGTTTAAGGCATTCGGGGGCTTTCAGAGGCTCGTAGACGGTCTGTTGGCTTCCGGAGGGGACGGGGGAGAAAGGCTGAGGTGGTGTAGAATTAGCAACGTATTCAAGGAAATCCGAAGGTGGCGCATCATGTATAGAGGAGTGGAATATATCAGATGACTGAGACATGATGAAGCTGTGTATAAGAAGGAAGGACTTACTGAGATTTTTCTTTGGTGTTAGGCGAAAGGACTTAGGGGTAGAGGTACATGCTGATTCTGCATTATCTGATTTTTTGCTTGATAGATCACATCTAAACCCCGCTTTTTATTCAAATCCTCAAGCTAATTGGTTGACCTTCCAGGGTAGTCAGGGTGACCCTCAGGGTAGTCAGGGTGACCCTCAGGGTAGTCAGGGTGACCCTCAGGATAGTCAGGGTGACCCTCAGGGTAGTCAGACTGACCGTGGGAGGGAATTTCCTATCCTGAATCCCACCCGTATATTATGGCATAGGATAGGATTCCCATAGGATTTCCCTTTCATTGCGATAGCCACGGTCCTTCCTAGGTCACTGACCTAGGTTTTCAAGACCATCACCGCAGGAGTTAGGATAGTGTTTAAGTTCTGCGGAATGTAGTGCAACTATCTCATACATTCGATATATATTTCCGCATCCTTACACACCAATTTCACCAACTTTCTATAAAACACACCACAACAATTCCTCTTAGGTAGAAAAGAGGGCAAGTTTAGTATTACCAAGCCAGAAGACGTATTCAAAAGACTTAATACAAAGAATTACATAGGGGGTGGATGAAAATTGATGGAATCATAGTTAGACATACAGAACAGGTATAAGAAACAGTAATATATAATGATGTGTCAGCGAATTTATTCATCCTAATCAGGAAAGGCGTAAAAGAATTATGCAATTCAGGGTAGTCAGGGTCGTAGTCAGGGTGACCCTGACGAGATTTTATGACCCTGAGGGTCGGTCCGGGTCGTAAGGCTCGGAACCGGAACTGTTGAGTATCACGGTGGCTGAACCTTATGGCAGGGATTGGGAACAGATATATAAGAGGCATCTGGCCCCTGTAATAGATCACTCCTCAAGTCAATCAATAAGATTCAATCAGACAATCACATATCTCAACAGGTTATGAGCCCGGGTGGCGCAACCTTGGGCGCAATTAGGCAGCAGAAATTCAAACCGACAGCCTTTTGACAGCCATCTACAGCTAAGCTCCCCCATTAAGTGAAAACTTGATCAATTCAAGGATCTGACCACATTGATTCAGTAACATGGTGAAAGAGTATCGAAATCAAGAGTTCAAACTCTCTGGATGAGATGAAGTGGATGGAATTTCCTCTACTAGAGAATCCCAGGCATCACACCATCATCACACTATCACACTATCACTATCGCAGATATCACATCGTCACAAGATATCACAGTGACGCCCTCTGTGACTCGTCAAGTGAAACAACACCA